GTGCTGAACAGACAGGGCAAGTACGAAGAGGCGGAAACGATGCACAGGCAGACGCTGGCGACAAAAGAGAAGGTGCTGGGGCATAAGCATCCCGCCACGCTGACGAGCGTATACTGCCTTGCTCACTTCCTTGCAAAGCAATGTCGCTACGATGAATCTATTGCTCTGTATGATAGAGCATGCGCCGCGTACGGTATTCTCTTTGGAGAGGATCATCCAACTACGCGCGCATGTCGCCATCACCGTTCCAAAGCGGTTGCGTTGCAAGAGCAGTCTTGGGTTGTACTTTCTCCAGCAACGCCAGACAACGGCGTAAGCACGTCGTCCACTGGCAAGATCCCGGTGTTATCACGCAGGCTGGCAAAGCTTGGGATCAGGGAGTAGGGCGCTCGGTTGTCAACCCTCGCTTGGTAGGGCTCCAGATTACCACTGCAGCACAACAAGCTCAGGTGTCTGAGTGCCTCGCCCGGCATATGATCTTCTGATGTTCGTCTATTGTTTGACGAGTTTTTGGACGGCTTGTGCGAGCTTTCAGGTAGGTCTGAGGCTGGCCGGAGTGACGCTGCTGGATATGCCAGTGATGAAAAGTGGTATTGCAGGCGCAGCAGGAGGTGTCTGTAGAAGAAACGAAGAGTGATCAAGGCTTAGTGTCGAAGGTCTCTCTTCCAAGATTATCTGCGTCTAGGCGTGGTTATTGGCTTTGTCATGATGGAAAACAGGAATGACTTTTTGCTACGCAGGGTTTCTCGCCACACAGGGAGGGACGTTAGTGTCCGAAAACAGCTGTGATATGTCTTTCCTCACTTTGCACCTGCATGTTTGAGAAAGCAACTCTGACGGTACAGTGTTTGGGTCCAGAGTGCTAGGAGACAACGTCAGATGCTGGTCTATTCGTCTTGGAATTGAGTCTATAACAAGTCTAGTGCCGATTTTGATACGGCTGTAGACGGCGACATCTGAGCACCCTACTGCAGGCTGCCTGCGGGCCAAGATGCATTAGCGCATCCCGATACGTTGGGTCGCTTTGCACGATCTTCACTCTTAACCGTTGAAACTGCCGGACTGCATGTTTTACTGGTCAAATCTGCCTTCAGTGCATAGAGATGCAGTCTTTCTCGACTGTGCTTTCTATTAGACCCTCTGATCCTTCAGGGGACCCTCGGATCGCGAACGGACAGGGGTATTGATGAAGGGTCGATTGACAGCGTCGACGAAGCGATCGACAATATGGCCATCATAACGGCAATCCTTGTTGGAGGCTGATGAGCTGGAGGGTAGTTGGATGAAGAACGTTACATGTCAATCACAGGCCTGTAAATGTGCGAACCTATCCCGTTACACCGGGTGTCCCGGCACGTAGGGATGGACATTATCTGTGTTTGCCAGGCTGCAAGTGCAGCGTATGCTCTAGAAGCAGAACCAGGTGCCGATGCGCTTTCCCGTTCCTTTCCAGCCCTTCTGCTCCGGCTCCATATCCTCCTTTGTGTATACATCGGTCTCGAGATCCATTTCATGCGCTCTCCTGAACTTTGTCCTCTTGATCAACTTCCACAGTATGATCATGGCTACAAAGACCGGCAGCTCAAGGTAGAAGCTGACGAAATCTACCGCGCCAAAGCTCGGGCTGAAGGCCGTCCAGCCCTGTACCAGAATGATGAAGGTATTGAACACAATGCAGAGGATTGGTCCAACTGGATATGTCCAATTCCTGAACGGCAACAGATGCTCCTTGCCTTGAGCCTTGAGCCCAGCGCGGAAACGCAGCGAGGCGATGCCGATGCAGACCCAGCTCAATTGGTTGGATACGCCAACAATGTTTTGCAGCCATGTCCAGACCTGGCCAGATCCTGCGAAGGACAGTGAGAAAAGTACGATGGAAACCAAGCTGGTAGTGAGCACTGCGACCCAGGGGATCTGGTAGCGCGTCAGCCGCGTGAAGACCTTCGGTGCGTGGCCGTTGACTCCCAGCGTGTACAGTAGTCGCGACCCGGCATAGAGAGCGTGGTTTCCAGCAGAGATCACACTGGTAAGGACGACTGCATTGACAAAAGATCCCGCCGCTTTCGAACCCGCCATCTGGAAGGCGATAGTGAACGGCGATGTGCGACTCGACTTCGTGCTCAGGCTAGGGTAGTCGTAAGGGATGTTTAACCCAATCATCAGTGCTGACAGAATGTAGAACAGGAGAATTCTCCAGAAAACATTCCTGACCACCTTCGGAAGTGTCCTTGCTGGGTCTTTCGTTTCGCCGGCTGTAATAGCGATAGACTCTGTGCCTCCATACGCGAACGATGCTGTCACGAAGACAGATGCGAATCCTCCAATGCCTTTAACGAACGGCGCGTCGCCCTGCATCCAGAATTTGCCGCCGATGTACCCATACCCGGTGTTTCCGCCAGCATTGACTGCAATACTCAGGATGATGAAGATGATGATCGTCACCACCTTCAGCAGACTGAGCCAGTACTCCAGCTCACCATACGCTCGCACGTTGATCACGTTCGCGAGGACGATCAAAACCCAAACAATAATTCCCAGCGCATACCATGGAAATACGTCCGTCCAGTACTGCATGAGCAACTGCAGCGCAACTAGATCCGCTGCAGTACTCACGGCATCATTGAACCAGTAATTCCAAGTCAATGCAAACCCAAACGCATCGTCCACATAGCGACCAGCGAAGGTGCAAAACGATCCTGCAACTGGCACAAAAGCTGCCATCTCGCCGAGAGCAAGCATTGTGCTGTACACGATGGCGCCGACAATACTATAGCAGATGAGGAGAGATGCCGGACCGCCTGTCGCGAGGGCCTTGCCAGTGCCGAGAAAGAGACCAGTACCGATTGTGCCGCCGATGGCAATCATTTGCACCTGTCGTGCCGAGAGGGAGCGACGCAAACGGTCTTCATTAACGAGGACATCGTGGGAGTGAGTCTGCTCGAGGGACGCTGGTGAGCCGTCGTGATTGTAGGGTCCTTTTTCGGCGTCGCTGGTCGCCATTTCGTCGATTTCGGCTCTTTCAAATATGCTCGATGCGATCGTTCAGTTTCTTTTCACGAATGTGTGGCCTTGTGGGATCATATACAATCGCCTAGTGATGTGCTGACTGTGGAGCACAGCGCAAAATTCAAGCACCACGAAAAGCTCATGGCGAAAGCCTGGCGAAGCTTGTCAGATCGAGTCTACTGGGCGATAGCGATAAGCCTGCAACCTAGCACGCAATATTGTTGCCAGGAGATTGGTTACAAGCGGACGGTTCTTCACGGCTAGACTGCAGGGTGGTATTTGTTTGGTAAGGTGCTAGCTGGTGCGGGCTAGGGGCGAGTGAAAATCCCCACCATGCTCAACGGCCCGTCTAGCGTCACATTCTCTGCTAAGTGCACCATTTACTCGGGTGACAAAACAAGCCACACTCACGAAAAGTCTGCTTCTGCCAACTGAGATAATCGCACAACACCTCACAATATATAAGATCTAAAAATACAGGATTGTAGAGAATATCTTATTCTACAATTATGTGTTTTTCTAAGGATTAATCTCAAGTCGTTGTTGCGTGGTGTCGTGACAAAGAGGGCAACCTTGTTGGTGTTCCTCGACTTTTGGCTGGTTTAGAGTGCAGCTTTTTCTGGCACCCGAGGTGCCATTGCTTCAGCACAGACTCGAATTGCGATCGAGAAGAGTGGGTTAAAGCGTGTTGCCGTTACTATACATTGTTTTCCAGCCCTACGCCAAAAATAAGCACTTCGAAACGCTTTCCCCTTCCTAACATCGAACCGAGAGACCACACTTTGATGCGACAGGACATCAGTCAACTGCCCAGATGCACGGTCCCACTCTCGAGACCATGACCTCAGTATCCCCTCTTCATCCTCAAGAACCCCAACACAGCTGGCACAGCCACCACAATCGCCGTGAAGAACATGAACACCGAATCTGCCTGAGCCATCCTACACCGACTAACCAGCGCGTTGCCCTTGTCATACCACCAGCAGATATAGACCCCCTTCTCTTTGCCAGCGCCTCCACAGATGATATCGCTTATGAACATCTTGTGCGCGTTGATGGCCTTGTGCCAGTCGTCGTCCCAGTTCTCGGACTTGCACTGCACGCCGTTAAGTTTGATTGCCATCAACTGATGTCGTTAGCAAAGAGCAGCGTTGCTTTAGACTCGCACCTACGATGCCGCCAGCGATATTGATACCAGCGATCACCCCGTCCATCAGTACCCCGGCTGGACCCTGCAGCGCCTGCATCCAGTGCGTCGCTATCCCAAGAAGGGCAGCCACGAAGGACAGGCCCCCCACGAAAGCTACAAAGCCGAGTGTGACTGGCAGACTCCCATAGTGATGACCTCGGATCAAGGTAGTGGAGAGGCCAAAGACGACGATGGCGAATAAGGCTTGGGTGCCGCGGATGGCGAAGGCGAGGACAGGACTGGTTGAAGACATCGTGAATGGAGGTTTAAACAAGTGTGGCGGTTGTGCGAAAGACAAGAGAAGGTCAAAATCGATGATATGTGTAAAAGATGAGATGAATAGAAGCCCGAGACGATGCTCATACTTAAGCGTCCAGTCAAGATACAACATAGTTCCCCATTCAGACGCCCAGCCTGTCTGGCTACACCGGAAGAGAAGCACAGGCTCTTAGTGATTCTTCTATATGCCTGTACTTGCAGATCTAGATCTTGAAGGATGATGAGCTTCTTAAGGCGTTGGTCAAGAGTGAGTGATAGTGGTGCTGTGAGATGAGTGTGCAAGGCTGGGGTGGTTCAACATACCACTTTCGGGTTGACGAGCAGGGCAAGTGCAACATGTCAACGGGTGATGACAGGCGAGGCAGATACAGAATACTTAGCCGAGCCCAGAAATCAATCGCCAAGAGGACGTTTGTAACGAGTTAAAATTCGGTAGTTGCACGGCGAGACGCACTCTCATCCCAGTAGTACATTGTATCCAAGTCTGCCCTTCCTAAACTCCGCTCCCCTCCACTCCTACTCCAAGTAACACGGAATCCCATACACGACCGCCGCAGCACCATTGAGGTACTTAAGGTAACACGCTTGCCTCGCATCCCTCACAGCCTCATCGAGTCCCACGCCTCTCCTGCACTCCCCCTTCCTCTCACCCTCAACTTGCTTCGCCTTCGCCTTCCCCTTCGTACCCTTCCTTGGAGTCTTACTTGGCTTCGCATCAATCTCTTCTTGCACCTCAGGCCAAAGCCCCCAAAGCTCACCCGCCCGCACAGCAAAACGGTCACAGTCTTTGTCCGTGACATCCCACAGCATACCCACAACTGCCGGCGCGCCGGCCGTGAGGTAGGATTGCAGCATGCCGCTTGGTTCGTAGATGCCGTTCTCCGTCAGATGCACGGAAGAGCAACCGAATAAGAATGCGGTCGCGCAGCCGGACTTCATGCTGCCTTCTTCTTGCTTGCCAGGGTACAACTTGCGAACGGACTTTTGGCGCACGAATTGTGCACCGCTACCGTGTCCGAAGTATAGGAGTAGGTCGCGCGTGCCGAGAGCAGTGGAGAACTCTGTCTCTGTTGGCGGGCGCGAGTGTATGTGCGTCCAGTCGCCTTGCAGAGAGTTGAGGATGGGTTGGAGCGTCTTTGACGTGTTTGCTAGATCCCCGCCAGGGTTTAAGATGGTTGTGCCGCCGGCAGAAGCGGCGATGTAGTGCCCTGGGGCAGCTTCATCTATGCCGGAGGGCTGGAGGGTGAGGAGTCGCTCGCGCAGTGCGGCGAGCGAGGGGAGGCGGGAGACGGACAGCTTTTGGAGACAGGGAAGGGACTCCCAGGGGAAGCCATGGAGGTTGTTGTCGAGCATGAGAATGGTGTGTGGTGTAGACGATGAAGAACTGCGAGCGCCACTGTGGTAAGCTTTGAGTGCATCTTGTGTCTCAATGACCATTGCGTCGAAGTCGATTTCATCGTAGGCGTTGGCTTCTCCATTGAATTGGAGTATGTCGACAATGAAGTAGATCAAGTCTGTCAGTGCTTCGTCGAGATCAAGCTCTTCGTTCGCAATGTCTCCAAGCCCAATGAAGAGCTCTAAGACTCGTGCATCCAAAATAGGCCGCTTCGATTGCGTCTTTTTGCTGCGGGATGGTAGGTGACGGTTCAATACATCTTCAAATGCCTTTCGAAACTTGGCGAGGAGCGTAGGCTGTCGCATATGCTGAGAGAAGATACCTTTGAACCCACCGAGCCAGATGTTTTCCATGTTGACCAGCAGCTCATGGAGACGTGTATCAAGAGCTTCACGTTCGTCCCACCATTGCTGTCGTGCTTCTCTTGAGGTCATATCTTTTGCACTGCGTGTGCTGAAGTCGCTAAGCTCAATGATTTCATCGAAGTCTCGCTTGCCATCCTCGAATGTGAACTCATCCTCGTCCAAATCGCGAGAAGCATGGCGCGCAAGTGGTAAGCGTAGGACGAAAGGAGTCACACCGGCTTCAAAGCGGGTGACATATAGTTCATCGTGAGCCTCATTCAGCCCAAGTGATACGGCGGTCCAAGACTCTGGTATGGTATCGATGTACTCATGTTGAAAATCAGACGCCGACGTGAGGCTGAAGTTGGAGGCTTCGAGTAGCGGCCAACGCAGGCATTCGTCGCGCGACATTTGCTCCTTCTCAGACTCCACAAATTCTTGTGCTAGTCTCATGGCGTTGCATTTAGGGATTTCTGCTCATTGTTAGTTGAAATTTCAGATCTGCTGGTGGTTGCAAACTTACCACTTGTGTACGCAGCATACAGTGGGTGCACAGAGCCACGAGCCTCACATACAGCTGAGAGCAGAACCGTAATATGACCGAGTGCGTTGGACACCTGCTGAAACAAGTGATTTGAGCCGTGCGTAGCGGATAAAGCATGTACTTCGAGCAGATGTTCTCGTGCTTGGCGCAGCGTGTCCGTGAAGTTGATCTTTACAGCCGTTGTCGCCTTTTTGACGCGACCGCCCTTGGCTTTGGCGGTAGCCGTAGGCGTAGCCTTCTTCACAAGCACTCCTTCGGACATCCGCCTGTCCTTCGTACCAATAGCAGGAAATGCTATTGTGGACTCAGGAAGTGTGTTAAATGCAAAGTCCGCAGCAATCTGCTGGGCGCTCTCTGCAAGCATCAACTTGAACTTTGCCCAGGTGTGCTGAACGTCTCGGTCGGCGCCAACGTGAAGCTCTTGCACTCTTTCAATCAAGGCTGTTGCCGCTTTCAGATTGTCCTGCAAGAGGTTTGCATGCACACCTCGATGAAGCACTTCAGCTTGAAGAGCACGCAAGGTCGTACACTGATCTGTAGTGCTCACGGTCTCAGAGCTCGGAGCTGCAATCATGCTTTTTGGTCGACCTTTAGGAGCAGGTTTTGTAATGCTTGTTACACTTGCAGCACTTGCGGTGCCGCCTCGAGAACGAGTGCCTGTAGCAGACCTTGCACCCGCACGCGATGTTGGTCTTGAGACGGGCTTTGTTACGGGCTTTGCTACGGGCTTCTGGGCTTTGGTGGTTGCTGGTGCTCTAGCGGTTCTGGCTTTCGTGGCGTCGAGGCTCATACCAGCTATTTGCGAGGCGAGTGAATCAAGGTCCGGATGTATAGCGCCCAGAGATCTGATATAGGCTGGCCTCGTGAGATCGTCCAGAAGCTGTTCCAACACACCGTACGACGCAATTTCTTCGTCGAAATCTCCAGTGCAGTGGTGTACCCTGGCAACAGCTGAGTGGTACGCTGCAACAGACAGACACTTGCGATCTGAAGGTTGATCAAGAGCATTGAGTAGTGGTCCAGCCTTGTCAGGCCTGCCACTTTGTGCCCAGCATGCCGCCTGCCAGCTTGCGTTGTCGGTCATCAGAGAAGGCGAGCGCGTCGCCAAAGCAACTCTCTCTGCCTGTTCTGCAACGTAGATTGCCTCATGCAACAGCCCTTGGTTCGCGAAGACTTGTGAGTGTTGCATGAGTCCACGATACAGTGAAGGCACCATGAACCAGAAGTCTGCGCCTCCTAGCACATCATGTGTGTTCGAAGATACTATCGGTGCACCCTTGTCGTCGCGCATGGATGGTAGTGGGTCGAAGCTCAGCTTGCTTGAGCCCTCTATTGTTGATGCTTCATGTTCAGCGAGTGCCGCCTTCTGTGCGTTGACTTTGGACTCGAGTGCGGCCCACATACGGCGATTGAGCGTGACGCATTGCTTGGCGTATCTTGCAGCCTCTTTGTGAGATCCTTTGGAACTAGCGAGCAGGGAGTAGACATAGCAGGCATTTGCCAAGATGCTGTTGTACCGCAAGCGTTGAGATATAGTGGCAGAAGACTTCGACAAGTCCACGAAGAGAGCGTCATCGCGTGCAATGGACTCGGCAGCAGACAAGATAGATGCACTAGCAACGTAAGTAAAGCCTCATGATATGTAGTTGTTAGGGATCATACCATTTGTCAATGTTACCAATGCGAAAAAGGTATTCTGCATACGCCGTATGCCATTTCAACTTGGATTCTGTCGACACCGTTTGGCGATCGATGAGGATCTCGGCCTTCGCCAGTGACAGTCCAGCTTTGCCAGTGTAACCAAGCCGTAGAAACTGTAAAGAGAGCGCTGAAAGATTGCAAACAAGGTTCGAAGCATCTGTGTTGTTCTGCAACTCGAATATCGTAACCAAGAGGTGCAAGACAGGCAGTGCAAGGTACTCTTCGCCTTTAGCGTTGAGGCAATCGACACACGCTCGAATGTCATGAATCCAGCTATCGACACCGCCAACACGTTCGGTCAAAGCAGTCCAACTGGAAGCAGATTTTGCGAGAAACTCCCAGGTTGCAAAACATTGTCGCAAGGTCTCGGTAGGCGGGAAGGCTTGCTGCATCGCTAACTTGAAGCTGCAGAGAGCGCTCAGGTGCTCCTTGAACCTGGACAGGCTTTCATCCTCAGAAAGATCTACCGTAGCGATATTGTCTGGCGAGGTATCCAAGGGTAACAAATCGTGCGACACAATGTGTGGGTGGTCCTGGGAAAGCTGCAGCAGCAGGATGATAACCCTCAGGCGCCGTACAGGGTAGCGCCCGGGGTTATAGCTCTCAAGAAGCTGATGCGTTAGTGTCTTGATGGAGTGATTGAGATTCGAATCCCATTGTCGATTTTTGGAAAGCGTCTGAGAGAACAGTATCAGTTGCCACTCCAGGATTGCTCCCCGCACGTCGGGCTGCAGATAGGTGTCATCGTGGTATGCGAGTTCGCTGGCGCGCTTAACGCCATGAACAAGGTACGAACGATGGAGAGCTTTGAGCAATCTGCCGAGGGTACTGAACGTTCCTTCCCCTTCGAACAATGTCTGAAGCGAGTGCTGTGCCAAGCTCTCTGTGAGGGCTTGGTCATTGGAGTAGATGTGATATCCAATGCATTGTCCAAAAGCCTTGCGCGACTCGCCGGCTTTTTGGAGGTTATCCAAGGCTTCGCCTAGTCGTTCAAGCTTCATAGCCAGATGACCTGCTTCTTGCTGAGTTTCTGAGCCTTCTGACACAAGATCAATGGAACGTCGCATTGCCACCAGGAGGAGCTCTGGGTCGATAGCGGCAGCCTTTCGTAATTGCAGGTATGTGTTCCAGTAGGCGTTGGATAGTTTAACGAGGCACGACGAGACCACATCTCCAGCTTGCGGATCGGTCACTACTTCGCTCTCAAACTCCTCGCCAAGTCTTCGAAGTATGTAACAGCAATCCTGGAGAATAATGTCTAGCTCAGACCAGAGGTCAGGGCTGTTTGTCGACCGCTTGCAACATGTAATGACAGATTCAACGATGCTCTTCGTACATTTCCAGGCCATGTTGATCCGATCTTCGTGCTGTTGCTGGGGATCCAAATCTGAATCAGCCATACTCCTGCGCCCAATGAATCTTGCCGAGAAGTGTACGCTTGCAGCAATCATCGAGATGGCACGAGCTTGGGCTGAGAGGTCTTCTGAACTGAGTGCTCGGGCAGACAAGCCTGCAGCGAGCGATCGTGTTGCGGCTCGTCTCAGCGCATTAGCCTCCATGAACAACGAGTCAAGGTCAGTAGAAGATCCGCCCAGGCTTCCTTGCAAAGCCTTCAAGGCAGTACTAATGGTCTCCTCGATTCCAGGCTTGTCTTCTCCTTTGTTTGCAGCCTCCAATGAGACGGTTGCTATGCGAACGAGCCGGCATGCTTGTTTCGCCGCAGAGCCTGTAGACAAGGCACTTGCTTCAGGAGCACTCAGCCAGCGCAAGGCCTCATCAGATAACCCTGCAGCTTGCGCCAGGTTACAGAGCGTCTTGGTGATCAGCGCTGAAGAGCCAGAAGCGCCAGGTGTCAACAGCTGCTGGCCCAGTAGCTCTGTGCTCAGTGACTTCGACAAGTCGTATTTCTCCGTGAGCGACAGCTTCGACCGGCGAGCATAGGCAACCAGACACTTCGCAAATGGCTGAACAAGTTCGTGTTCCTCATTGCTCTTGTGCTTCACCAAGTCCCACCATCTTTTCCGTACCGTGAAAGCGAGGTGTTGTAGGCGAAGGACAGTCTCGGGCGAAGGCTGTAGTGGCGCTCCATCGTCTAAGACCGAGATGCTCGGGCATAGCGAGAGGACAGTCTGGGCGAAAGACTCGAGTTGTCGCGCCGCTTTCGGTGCGCCGGTCGACGTGCACGCCAGTTGCTGGAGGAGGTTTGCAGGCGAGGAGTCGTTCGATAGCTGCAGATGCTCCCAAGAGGCTTCAATAGTGGGCGCCTTCTTCAACCTCGCTATGATCCGCAATGTGTAGGTTTGAACGTTCGCGATGATCGGTAACGCAGGGCTCGTTGATTCGATGGGTCCGAAGTGTAGGAGCGACGCAAGGCTCTCCTTGTCTGCTGTCATGTCCTGCTGCGCTCCCGACTTCTTGACAGCTACACCGGCGTCCCTGGCCTCTGCATGACCAAGGAAGACCTCTAGCCTCCTTTTCAGAAGTCTGATCTCCTTGACCGCCAAGTTATCCAACCCAAGCGCCACAAGCTTTCCTATGAGTGCCAAGACTCCGTTCTCCAGCTGCAACTGTGGTCCATTTTTGCCCACAACTTTCTTAGCCTCCGCTGTTCCTAAGTATGCAAAAGCCGCTCTGGCGCACTCTGCTGTTGCTACCAGGCCGGCGTCAGGCCCACAAGTAGAGGAGGCAGAGGACGGGGGTCGTGACGACGCTGCAGTTCGCTTCGTTGTGTTCGTTGCCTGCGACACAGAGCGTTCCTTTAGGGCTTTCTGGGCGGCAGTGGGCAGTCGGGCAGCTTTGCGCGTTGTGCTGTCGCTGGTGGTGGATTTGGTGGATCGCGGGGGCGGCGTAGACGTCTGGCTCTTCAGCGCATCGGCGAGCGTCTTCAGAGAGAGATTGGCGACCTCTGTGGCCAGTATGTACTTCTCCCTCGGTGCAAGTACGGTTGGTTCCGGCTTGGGCGCATCCTTGCTTGCTGCAGCCTTCACAGCGTCTGCCTTCCTTCTCAGTGCCCCTGGGACCTTCACACCTACATTCTCCTTCTGTACCGGCTCATCGTTCCTGCGACTCAGGAGATCTCGTAGTGTGGTGACTGTTGTGTCTGTACATGACGTCGTTGCTCGTAAGTCGGTCTTGATGTTTTCGATGCGTGTGCGCGTTGATTCCGGTTTGGTGGCCATTAGTCGTCGAGCTCAGGGGCTCTATTAGGTTAAGCAGCGCTGCCTGCGCGCTTTAAAGTCTATACAAAAGCACAAAAAGATATGAGCGCAAGAAGGCGTAAAGTCGCACAGGCCGGACTCACATTGGACACGAGCCGGGACAAACGCGCCAAACAAATCGATAAGCGTGCACACACATTGCCGCATTGGGCTTAGTATGTTTCTCGAGTGGGCAGGGTCCACGGGGTCCGAGGTCGCGTTCCATCTGCATCACTACCCCACACCTCAGCACGCAATCCGCTCAGCAATTAGGCAGATCGCGCGCCTGGCCATTCACGATGGCCGTATTGTTAGCTGTGAATTTATGTCCTCCTTGAGGGTTGCCAGCCTTGTACAATGGCAGAAAACAACGCCGACTACGACCTGTCGCAGCCGATCACATCAACTTCGGGCTTGAGACAAGGACTGGCAGGCTATGGAGACCCTCACTTCTCTTTGTTCCTGCGAAAGGTCTTCATCAAAGCCCTCGGATATGGCGAAGATGCTCTATCGAGGCCGATCATAGGCATAATCAACACCTATAGTGGTTTCAACCCTTGTACGTTGATTGACACGACGACACAGGAAAGAGCATAAGCTGAACCTCGACCTAGGTCATGGCAACACTCCACAGCTCATCGAGGCCGCTAAAAGAGGCGTGCAGTTGGCAGGAGGACTGGCAATCGACTTCCCGACTATCAGCATTGCAGAAAGCTTCTCCGCCCCTACCAGCATGTTTCTACGCAACTTGATGAGCATGGACACGGAAGAGATGATTCGTGCACAGCCTGTCGATGCATGCATCATGATAGGGGGTGAGATCCTAGTATTAACAAAGTAGGCATGACTGTGACGCTGACAGTGTTTGTAGGCTGCGACAAGACCGTTCCTGCGCAGATCATGGGTGGCATATCCGCAAACAAACCAATCTTGCCCTTAATCACCGGGCCAATGTCAACCGGCAGCTATCAGGGTAAACGTATAGGTGCTTGCACAGATTGTCGCAATAATTGGGCATCATTTCGAGCTGGCCAGATCGAGATTGAAGAAATCGCCGACATCAACGAAGAGCTGGCGCCCACCGTAAGTCTTTGTCCGTAACACCTCAATTGACAGCAACTGACATACTACAGGTTGGCACTTGCGGTGTCATGGGGACTGCTAGTACCATGGCATGTCTGACTGCAGCGCTCGGTCTGATGCCGCTGAAAGGAGCAAGTGCACCAGCAGTATCAGCAGCCCGTCTACGTATAGCTGAGGAGACGGGTAGAAATGCGGTCGCGGTAGCAGCGGCCAAACGGACACCTCAAGTCATTCTGTCCCGTGGGTCCTTCCTGAACGCACTCATTGTGCTTCAAGCAATCGGTGGCAGCACAAACGGCATAGTTCATCTGCTTGCTATAGTGAACAGGCACCCTGAGCTCGAAGGAACGTTGACCCTCAAGGACATCGATGAGGTGGGTAGAACCACGCCACTCATTGTAGACCTCAAGCCCAGTGGAGACAACTACATGACGGATTTCCACAATGCGGGCGGTATGCTGGCTCTGCTACACACCCTCCGGCCACTCCTTCATCTCTCCGCCTTGACCATAAGCGGCCAGACACTTGGCGAAGTGCTCGACGCAACACCCTTCAAATCCTTCTCCTACTCGACCTCCATCATCCGGCCCCTCTCGAACCCACTCTCGTCTTCGTCCAGCCTCGTTGTCCTTTACGGCAACCTCGCACCACAAGGCAGTGTCATGAAGGCCTCGGCGTCCAAAGATCGTTCACTCTTATCGCACTCCGGCCCCGCAGTGGTCTTCCGCGACGCAGCAGACCTCGCTCAGCGCATCGACTCGCCAGACCTCGACGTAAAGGCCTCCTCGGTCTTGGTGCTGCAAAATATCGGTCCGCTTGGATACCCAGGTATGCCTGAGGCTGGACTCATCCCAATCCCACGGAAACTTAGCCACGAAGGCGTGGTCGACATGTTACGAATCAGCGACGGAAGGATGAGCGGCACGGCAGGTGGAACAATAGTACTGCATGTTTCCCCCGAGTCCGCGTTGCCGGAGGGTGTGTTGGGGATTGTGCAGGATGGGGATCAAATCACATGTGATGTAGAGAAACGGATCTTGAGGCTTGATGTCAACGACGCTGAAATTGAGAGGAGACTGCAGAAGAGAAGGGATCAGCTGTTTGGAAGTCAAGGTACACCGCCGCAACCTTCAGTGCTGACCAAGCGCGCAACTGAGAGGGGTTATCGTGGGCTCTATGAGAGGACGGTCAACCAGGCGCATGAGGGTGCCGACTTCGATTTCCTAACTGCAAGTGGACCTAAGCCTCCAACGTGAGGCCTCTTGTACGGACGTACATCGGTCTTGGTAAAATTTGTTGGGCTGGGTGGGGCCTTCTCTTATCAGAAACAGCAGTGACGTCTCCGCCGCGACCCAGTCAGTGTAAGCTTACATTGCGTCAACTTTCTTCTCTCCAACATAAACATCGCATACAACACACCATAGGTGATCCATTGCTTATGTTCAAAATGCCTAATTTGAAACCGGTCGTCGTGCGTAGCTGTCGAGCACAGTGTGACAACCATACTGACCTCACTACAGATTCAAGTGCTTCTCGTAGCCTTGGTAGTCCCGTGGCTGTACGATCGCTATGTCGCTTTCTCCCCCATGGCAGTAAACCGCCCCGGAAGCTTCGGGAACGTGCGGACTTTCGCGACACACAGGATCAAGTACCAAGACCGTGTGCGAAACTGTGAAGACGTCATCATGGAAGAAAGCCTAGGCGTCGCGTTTCTGAGCTGTGATCCAGGACGCGATCGATGGAATACTGTGATGGTGCGTTTGTTCTCTGGCACTGCAACATCCGATGAGGTACACATGTATGCTGATATCATCAGGGCACGTTCAAGCCCGAGAATTCCGAGCTCGACAATGCCAGCATTTTTCTCTACGACTACTCGACTCCTGGACTCGACGACTCAGCCCGTCTTAAGCAACTTGTCGTCGACGAACCAGATCTGCATCCCCTCGGCCTCGCCTTCGACGCCTCAACATCAACACTCTACGTCGTCAACCACGCGCGGCATCGCGGCTCACATATTCTTATCCTGCACATCGACATGCCCAGCCTCACCACGACACTGGTAACGCGCTTCAAACACCCACTCCTGCACGCGCCGAACTCAGTCCAAGTCCTTGGAAAGCATGAACTCTACGTGACAAACGATCACTACGTGAGAGCAGCCACGTCACCGCTGCTGAGCAAGATTGAAACGTTTTCTGGGGTGCCGGGAGGAAGCGTGGTGTACGTCGACACGCGCTTCCCGAAGAGCGCGAAGGTGGTTGCGCGGGTCCCGTTCGCGAATGGTATCACGCTGTTAAACTCCTCGTCACTTGCTGTAGCCTCGAGTTCAAAATCCGGCGTCTATCTTTTTGACATCAAGGAGGAGCATGACTTGGAGTTGAAAAAGGTGGTGAGGACGCCTGCAGCTGTGGACAATCTATCTGTCGACGGTGAGGGGAAGGTGTTGATGGCCGGCCATCCGTTCGCGCCCGCGTTGATGAAAGTGAGCAAGGGACGGGCGAAGTGTGATGTTCAGGGCAGTGAGGAGGAGAGGGAGGCGTGTGCGTGTACGGCGCCGAGTTGGGTTGCTGAGTGGAGCGAGGCAGAGGGGTTGAGGGAGGTGTATAAAGATGACGGGCGAGAGTTTTGCAGCAGCAGTACCGTGGTGCGAGATACGGCGAAAGGGGTGGGGATCGTGAGTGGACTGTACGAAAAAGGCATCCTGGTATTCAGAACTTGAATGCAGAGCTTGGGAGAGATGAGCAGAGCAGAGCTACAACCTAGGACAAGGTCCACTCTCCCTCACATTCCACTTCCTAAACAGTGCCTCCGTGATATCCATCTGTTTCTGTATCAACTTAGTCGCCTCCTCCGCCCTCCTATTCTCCCTCCTTCCCAACTGCTCCAAATGCGCCTCGTCGGGCCCATCCGCAATCCTCACGGTCCGCACATGCGCCCACATAGCCGCCAGCGGCGTATCCTGACAAATGCCCTGCGCACCGTACGTCTGCACCGCCTTGTCAATGACCTCGAGCGCCATATTCGGGACGAGGATCTTCGCCTGCGCGATCTCGACGAGCGCAGATTTTGCGTCTCCGGCGTCGATGGTGGCGGCGGCGTTCAGCACGATGAGGCGCGCTGCATCGATGTCGATACGCGCTTTTGCTATCCAGTGCACGATTACGCCTTGGGAGGAGAGGAGCTTGCCGAAGGGTTTCTTGTGTGGGGCATTGGCGCGCATGAGGAGCCAACGGAGAGCTTCTTCTGCCTGAGGTGCGTTAGTGAGATGTGAAGAAGGGTAAAGGGGAAGAAGGGCGTACGGCGCCGATAGAGCGCATGCAGTGGTGTATGCGCCCCGGGCCCATGCGGCCCTGCATGACCTCGAAGCCTCTGCTCTCGCCCAGCACGATGTTGTCTGTGGGGACACGGACGTCTTTGAAGATCAGATGGGCGTGCCCGTGCGGTGCTTCGTCGTAGCCGTAGACAGAGAGCATGCGCTTGACCTCGATACCTGGGGTGTTGGAGGGCACTATGATAATCGACTGCTGCTTGTACTTGTCAACGTGGTCTGGATCCGTCTTGCCCAGGACAATGTAGACGGCGCATCGGGGATCGCCAGCGCCGCTGATCCACCACTTCTGGCCGTTGAGCACGTAGCTGTCGCCGTGGCGCTTGATGCTCAGTCGGACGTTGGTCGCATCGCTACTCGCAGTGTCCGGCTCAGTCATGACATAGCAGCTCCTGATCTCGCCTCTCAGCAGTGGCTCCAGCCACCTCTTCTTCTGCGCCTCGGTGCCGTACTTGGCGAGAAGCTCCATGTTGCCTGTATCAGGCGCGGCGTTGTTTGTGGCCTCAGACGCGGTCACACATCTGCCGAATTGCTCACACATCAGGCCGTACTCAAGGTTCGTGAAGCCTGCGCCCTCTTTGTAGTGGCCCTTTGCGAGGAACATGTTCCATAGGCCTAGAGCTTGCGCTTTGGCTTTGAGGTCGTCCATGATGGGTGGGTAGCTCCAGCGGCCGGGCCCCTGGCCCAGCTGAGCTCTGTAAATGGCGTCGCTAGGAATGCATTCTTCGTTCACAAACTTCTCGACCTGTCTGACTGTCAGTAGACTTCAACGCCTTCAAAAGGTACTGCAACTCACAGTGTCAAGAGTCTTCTTTGCGCGCTCGCTGACAAGTGGCCGCACGGCAGCTGGAATCCTTTGCGATGCTGTAGTCATCTCGGGAGTGCTGTTGCTGTGTAGTGAGAAGACTATTAGTAATGGCTTCAGCCGTGATCAAATAATATATATTCGAGCTTCATCTTGCTCTTAAAATCGTCGATCATCGAATTAATGCCTCGGGTTTCGTTTGCAAAGCTTGGATTGAGCTGTGTCGGTGGAAGAGAGTCGACAGCTTCCCCCACGAACGCGATCAGGGTCGATCTAACCAAACATAGGTTAGCGGTAGATCGCGGTCTGTCGGCCTGTCGAAGGTACATCCAAACCAACATCACGACACGCTTTCACTTTGAGTTGAGGCTCTGCTCGAGTCCAGACGAGATGACAGGTCCAGCTGACAACTTCTCAGCTACTCGGCCCTGCACTTAACTACCAACTACCCAATCCGGCAAGTCCTTCTCCGACCGCCCGGCTTCCCCCATCCAGCCACCGCTGTTTCGCAACATGAATCCGCATCTACCATTTACCGTTCAGGTCCTTCAAGTCATGTCGAAGTGCTTACCTCGCGCTCGAGTGATCTGTTCGCGCCGCCTCCATGCATCAGCACAACACGCCTTATCCGCCTGTTATCCTAATCGGTGCTTACCTAAACCCAAAGCAGGCAATGGTCAGTCGCGAACCTGCAACTTGCTTGTATCAAACATCGCCGAACTTGCAACTCGCGTTTATACACTGCACAGATCGTATGTTGCACGTAGGTCCCGATTTATCGGTATTGAAGTATTACTTGAAGAGGAATGTTGGATGTTTGCTGTGGATTGCTGGACGAGGCATTGTCCGCTTTCGTACACAAGTGAGGGGCTTGGCGGGAGGGCAGCGTGATCGGTGCAGGATGGTGCAGGGCGATGGTGTGAAGACTTTGCAGGTGAGGGCTTGGTACGGGCGGATTAGGTACTGAGCTCTGAGGCTCAGGAACATGAGTAGGAGATAGCAGTTTTGCAAAAGACGCAAGCCATGCAGAAAAACAAAGACATTCAGAGAGCTTGGAGAATACGTTAAGCAGTTGTGATATGCCATTTGCCAACAGCATTGGTTTACAGCTATCATAGCTCGCAGGACAAAGACCAATCGAAAATCAGGACGGGCTGTCGACTGTGTGGCTTCATGCACCTCGTCTCGGCACTCTGATCTCTATCGCTTCCACCTCGCGATCATAGACATGGGGTCTACTGCCGCGCCGACGGGAACTCACACTAGCACTTCTCCTGCTACTGCGCGAAGAATAGTGGCCTAGCCCGCTATCCCTTCTGCGTTCTCCCAGAGCCAACTCAACGACCTCGGTAATATCCTCCTCCGCCTTGAGCTCAGCGGACTTATGGTCCTCGCACACATGTTTGACGAGTGCCTTTACGTCTCCGCATATCGTCACATCGTCGTCTGCTCGCGAGCACAGTATACACGCGTAGCCAGCGTCTGGACCACTACGATGACACTTGACGACGAAGCGAATTGAGATTTGGAAGCATCGCTCGTAGCCTGTGTCGTTCTTCAGGATCTCCCACGCCTTGCCAGGAGAGAGATGCAGGGTCCGTCTGCAGTCTGGACAAGATGGTGTAGATGCGTCAGTTATGCTTGAGCTCAACTGCTGCGAACGGTGTCGCTCGAGGTCTTGGGCGTACGAACAGTACAGTGAGTCAGCATCTGTTCGCGAGTTGTACGATGTCAGAGATCTTATGTCGATGCCAGTCATCTCTGGTCTGCCTTTAGTGAGAACTGTTGTGTTTGCTGGACTCCCTGCTCGAACTCGCGGTGGTTCGCGGTATGATACTAGAGCTGTCAGTTGCTCCTCATCTGAGTGAAAAGATCCAGGCATAGAAGGTGCACGAAGGGATCCTCTGCGAGATGTTGGAAAGTTGGTTGCTCGGAGCTCAGCTTGCTGGCGGTTTTGCAAGGCGTTTAGAATGTCGACTGACGCCGTTGCGGCTGTGTGAGATGCAGCGACGATCTTCGACAACTGCTGCTGTATCGACTCGGAAGATGTAGGACCGTATAGAAACGTCGTGAGTAGTACGCCTTGGAGTTTGATCACCTCAGACTGGAGGGAGACGTGCGACAATGCTAACTAGGTAAGCAGGTGTTCTTGAATGAACGGCAAAGTAAGACTTGCTATCTCCTACAGCGAACTCGGATCCAACGTCGCGAAGACCGTCCTCATATCTTCGCAGAAGAGCTAACTTGGCCGTCAAAATGGCTCGATTGCCGCTGACCTTGGTGTCATCGATGGACTCCAGCTTTCTCGAACTAGGATGCCCCTTCAACCGAAGCTGGAGCTCATAGTCCCTCTTATCTTTGTTCGTTAAAGTCTGGTACAGATCCCGGGTAGCATCGAAGACATCGAGCAATGTGTACACTAGACCTTGCAGAACGTCTGTTGATTCGTCGTTGTGAGTCTAAGAACATTAGCGCCTCCTCGCAACAACCGTTCCCCATGTCCACACTTACAAGAGCCCCCATGTTGTTGCTCGATTAGTGTCTAAGCCTCAGTATCAGCTCATTCCAGCAGACAAGCAGACCTAGATTGCTTAAGACAGGAAAGCTACTTCAGCGCACAGGACAGCCAACGCACCTCACGATGTCCCACGAGCCCATGCTCCAGACACTCGGAAGCGGCAATTTCTAGTAGCATCATTTTGAATGATGTGCTTGTACAGATGGCACACCGCCATTGGAGCCTGCAGGGGAACTTGTTTCCTGCGCGTGGGTAGCTACGGTAGCGGGCCGCGCCAGGAACGCGACGCCTGATACGTTACGTCATTGCCCTATGCGGGCGATCCACAGAGACGTGAACAGCATTTCGTGCATATGCAGCCCGCGCCGAGGTCGCTACATTGCTTATTTGGGCTCTGATGTGGAGGCGAGCGACTCGGTTGGGCGGTTGGCTGAAGGTTTCATGATCTAAACGATGGGAAGGGTCTCGCGATCAACGGCTGGAGCGAGCGAGGCATGTCATGGCACGCAACGAGATGGTGCGTGAGCTCATGGTTTGTCATGACCGTTGCACAAGAAGGGTTCTCGAGTCATTGAATTAGATGGCTGGATGCTGAGGATGACGAACGTTCCTTCTGAAGTTGGAGTCGTGGCAGGCGCTACTCACAGGCCAGCAAGTCGGTGTCAAGTTCCGAGGCTCCCAGTTGTCGAACGACACACCACCATCTTGTTATTGTTACATCTACGCCCTGCTTGGTGTTGTCGCTCCTAGCACGCTTCGGCCTGCCGATCTGTGTTCAATGCAACTTCGTTGTTCTTGAAGCATTACAACTTCGCTCTGTGTTGCTGAAGTTCTTTCTCTGCGTTCTCATCGATCCTCAAAATTGCCCTTCCCCAAGCCTTGTGATTCTTTGCATCCTCTAACGCCTCTGGCACGGCTTCAAGACCTCGATACTCTTCCTTATAGATCACTGGCTGTATCTTCCCACTGTCCACTAGATTCATGAAGCCATCCCACACGTCCTTCGTCCTCTGAGGATCGTGCCTTCCATCTTCACCGAAGCGCTGCGTCATGTCAGGAGATAGAGACAAGAAGGATCGGATACCAAACTCACATAGCCGTGCACCATAGCGCTCTTTAACAGTATGCGATTCGCCCTCACATTCTCCATGTTCCCTCCTCTCGCCGCAAATCCCACAATAACAAGCCTCCCTCTATACTTCAAACTCCTCAAACCGCTCTCCACAGCGCCAATGGCATCATACACAACCTCAACCCCCCGTTTCCCCAGCGTAAAACTCCTGACCTTATCCTCCCACCCCTCATCATGATAATCAACAACAGCATCCGCCCCAATCCCCCTCACCATCTCGCCCTTCTCCGCATCCCCAACAACAGCAACCACCCTCGCCCCCAGCGCTTTCGCAATCTGCACTGCCATGACCCCCAACCCCCCACTCGCACCCAGCACCAACACTGTCTCACCCGTCTTGAGCTGCGCGACGCCAACTAGAGCACCGTAACTCACGGCACCACTTGCGCCTACGGCACACGCCTCGGCGTTGGTCCATTGCGCTGGCACGCGCCGCACGTGAGCTTCATCGACGCAGATCTCTTCGGCGAAAGAACCTAGCCCGCCGCCGAAGACGCGCGTGCCGGGTGTCAAAGATGAGGTGGGAGGGGCGGAAGTCACGATTCCGGAGAATTCAGTGCCCAGGATGAAAGGCGGTTGCACGTGGCGTTTGTTGTTCTGGTGCAGCCCTTGCACGTAAAGGAGGTCAACGTGGGTGATCGCTGCGTGGGTGATTTCGATGTGTAGGGCTTTGGGGGACTGAGGTTTGGGGGATGGTACGTTCTTTGGACTTATGTTTGCGAGATCCTGGGACTGGTAAGTTTTTGGTGTTGAATGTGGAAGGTCTGAAGCTTACTGTGACGAAGCGGTCGATCTGGATGGCTTTCATGATGCGCAATCTGGAAGTTTCGCCTCTGATAGGGATTCTTGTTCTGCAAAGAGACCATGTATCGTCGGTTGTGGAAGATTGTAGGGCGATAGTGGATGATGCATGGTATGCAGGGCGGGAGATCGACAGTTGGTGGGGTTGTTTGTGCCTCGGTAACTGCGTATAATGCTGACACTCCAGGAAGGTATCATCAACGTCCACTCTTGTGTTTCTTTCCGGTCGTGCTCAGGACTGTATGGTGGTTCCGAGCTTACCAGCCTCCGTTGTATGAGCCGTTGGCCGCAGACAACATGGTATCGTAGAAAGCGTTGCCATCAACGCCCATCTCAGTTGGCAAAACATCCAAAAGGTCTTCGAATCCCATCATATCGATGTCAAAGTTGAACGCAGATGCCGCTTCGTTCGACAGGGGGGCTTCAGGGTTTGCAGGCAGAGTTGAAGGTAGGAGCGCAGCCTCGGCCCGTGAAGCATTCTCGAATCCGTTTGGAGCTTGGGGAGCCTGAGTTGTTGAAGCTTGAGAAGTGGGCCTCGTTTGGGTGCTGCCTCTCGCGGCTTCAACCTTCTTGGTATACTCCTGCAACAGCGAGGTCAAAACTCGTACACCGTGATTAGCGACAGAGCTGGTTGGGAACGAAGCCAGATAGACGACGGCTCGTTTTACGCAGGCGAGGTACTCCTGGGCTTCGGCGTTGAAATCGGTGCGGTAGAACAGATCAAGGATAAGGCAGATGCCAGCCGTGATGGAAAAAGCTTGTTCGACCCAAAATTGCGGCTCGTCCGGTTCCCGCTTTGGATACAGCGATAGTACATGTCTTGCGGCAGTCGCACACGCCCAGCGGCTGTAGGTGTAACGCACATCTCTGAAGCTCTTGTTCAGAAAGCTCTGATGGATCATGATGATCTTGTGGCTACATGATGCTTCGTGTAGTCTTCGTGCCCAGCTGACCCATTTAGGCCAGTGAGGTTGGAGAGGTGTTCGATGTGACAAGCATTTGGGGATCTTCTCTGCGTAGTTCGCTCGTAGCTCCCCGTCCCATTTCAAGATCAAATTGTACCTTGATTGGTCGTCCAAGTTCTCGGCCTCGAGCATGGCGTCTCCAAACTGAAGGAGCAAATAGGCGTACTCGAAGAAGTAGTTACCAACCACGGCGAAGGTTGGCGTGCCGTCCTCAACAGGTAGGACCGTTTCCTCGTCGAAGACAGCCGGTTTCGATGTAGTGAAATGCTTCCGCTGGATGTTGTATCCTGGGAAGCTCTGGGAGCTAGAGGACAACCATTCCTGAGTGGCTGCAGCGTACCAGACGCGGCGTCCGATCTCGCGCTCGAGGAATGCTTCTTTTTGTTCCTCGTTAAGATATGGTAGCCTCTGGTCGTCGGGATGTGGATTAATTCGGTGCAAACCCAGCCCTCTTGCGATAACCATGGCCACGCTACGCAAGGCAGCCCATTGATTTGACGACCCTACAAGATGCTCGAAGCCGTGTAAACTCATGATGGCTTGTACTGAATTGAGATGATACTGTGACGTATAGTCACCAAGATTTAGGGAGGTAACGGTCGCAGCTCCCCATAATCGTGACAGCCGAACTTTTTCTTCGATCGAGAAGCCCCACTCAAGCGACACGCTTTCTGGTGATCCAATGAGACCAGAAGACAGGATAGAGAACAGAAGACCCGTCCATCGCCAGTCTACAGTCAGTAAGTCTAACTTGCCTGACCGATTGCATGCTTCCTGGAGCTGTTTTCGGAGGCTAGGACCGTGATATAGGCCACCGCCCCAGTATGTCAAGTACTGCTCGTGATAGTCTATGATGAGGTATATCTTCTCTATTGGAGGAAGGAGTGACTGCATCTGCACTGTCTCAACGGCTCTCGCAGCGGGCGAGAAACAGCTGGCAGAGTTCACAGCAGTTCCGAGCTTCTCAGGAAATGGCGCCTCCCAAGCTTGGTTTCTGGACTCTTGGTCCAGTAGAGGTACCGTCGATACATCTTTGTCTGAGATGAGTGCTCCTATCGTGATCTCTGGGAAACGAGAGGCGCCTGCCGACAGAGCTTCTGGTCCAACAGCTGAGAGTGGGCCTGCCAACAATGTCTGGGGCCTGAAATGTGAGGGTAGGGCCTGATTGTGAACACGTGACGGGGTCAGGATATCTAACGAAGTGGTTAGTAGTGACATAGTATCTCGCAGACAGCAGCGAGAATGTGTTTCAACGATATCCGAAACAGAGTGGAACAGTGGCCATCGAACTTACCAGGAGTCAAAGCTGGTAATTTGAGCTGTTCAACAGCTGGTAGAGCTGGGGGATTATCCAGCGAGGAGGTAGTCTCACTGCTCGCAGGCCATGAATGAGTCGGTGATGATTTCCTAGGGTATTTCCGGTGTATGGATGGGTCATAGCCGCCAGCCCATGTCGTACTACACAGGTGACCCTCGTTGTTCTGAACGCATCGGCTGCAAGGTGCCTTCCCCGTCTTGCTTCGGTCGCACTTTTGCCGACGTTGGCTGCATCGCGTGCAAGTTTGGCGTTGCTTAGGCATGTCGCTAAGATCCTAGCACTCCTTCAGTTGAGGTTGCCGATAGCTTCGTACTGTTGTACGTATAACAAGCGCGCCTTGGGCGGTCTGGCTGGGGATCTGAATCAAGGATATAATTTCCACATCCGCTGAAATGAATCCGTCCACTCGACAGCAGCGTTGTCCGAATTGATGGGATATGCGCAAGTAAAGAGTGTGTAACCAGGCATCAAAAGCGGGCATCAAGGAGGGTTGTCTGTGTTGTGCGATTCGTACATCGTTGTACGATCCAAATATCCTCTTCAATCGTCCGTTCGCACTCGCGTTCTTAGGAATCCGTTCGACCTTATAGTCTCCCTGAATTTTCGCATGCAACGCGTCCGCAGGGTCCGCGATTTTCGACTGTCGGCCGAAGTCAATCGCAAAGTGTATGATGCAGACATGGAACAGCTGAGAGGAAAATACCGGGTGTGCGCTAGCGCCTGAGGCGCCCGACGGATGCTGAACGGACCGCTGCGATACGCATACCAGCCAGAAATGGCCATCACGACAATGCTGCCACGCGGAGAACTCGAGGTTGCGAACACCGAATTACCGACCATGATTACGCGTCAACAAGATCCCTTCGTATCGCATGCGTTGCTCATCAAGAAAATTGAACGCGTCTCGATGGTGTTCAGACACTTGCTATCTTCCAGAAGTCCCTTCGCCTCCTGTCTTCCAAACGTTACACCTTGCGACTATCTCGCTCAACGCGAACGTATCACAGCCTACCGCCCCCAATCCCACCCCTCATCCCACACAGCTTCGTTGACACGGTGAATGCGTGGGTTATGATGAAGACACTCAGCACGATGAGTTACCGAACCCGCGTCCCGCTTCTTGAGATATGGCGCCAGGCACTCCCAGCAGAACTCGTGCCTGCACTTCGAACATGTCATGTGGTCGCAGCCATAGCTCTTCTCGATAGGACGTTTGCAACCAGGGCAGTGCTTGGCTTTCTCCTTCATCCACTTCTTGCTTGCTTTCTCCTCCTCTTTCCTGATCTTCTTGTTCGTTCTGGGAACTGTCAGTACCTCAAAGCTTTTACGCACGGCTTGAGACGAACCTATACTCGTACTCCCTACAGGTCTCTCCCTTGTGCCACAGCATGTTATGCTCAATGCAATGAGTCTTCTTGCACTTTACGCAGCGGAACTTGTTAGTAGCTGGTTCGATCACTTGGCCTGACTTGCAACTCTTCATGAGACACCAATGAAAGCCTGGGATAGCTTCGAGCGCAGCTTTGGTACTGAGCTTCCTGTACTTGCGGAAGACCTTTGAAGGCGCAAACTCGCGGACATCCTCATAGTTTAGGCGTTCAGAGCAGATCGGGCAGTTGATCTCATCCCATACTTTGGAGGCGAACGTGGTACTGATCCACGTCCGAAGGCATCTCCGACATACGTCGGCGTTATGGGCGCAGTGTGCCGTTGGCGGATCAGATGGAAAGCGGGAGAGCGATCGGTTGTCGGTGCAGATCACGCATTCTTTCTTTTGTAGTGGCCTTCGACGGTGTGCCCCTGGTAGGCACAGTTGGGACCTCGATTTTAAATCTGAGTACCAGGGTGCTTTGTCATCGTGGCGATGAACAGATATAGCCTCATCATGATAGTACCGCTTATCTGGTGTGTCGTGCTGTTGCTGCGATGGAGTTTTAGTCGAATGTCGCGCTTGCTGTTTCTTACGACTGGTCGCTGGGTTGGTGTTGCCTGAAGTGGTTCTCTGGTGCCTCGAAGAAGACTTGATACTTTGCGTTTCTGGTCGATGCGAAGTAGTGCGCCGCCTCAGCTCCAGCACATCATGTGTGCTCTCGACGCCATAATTTGAGTGTGCATACTGTCTGGTGTGCTTGAACGATGTCGAACGAATTGATCGGTGGCTTGCTCTTGTGGGGGCTGCATGGCGACTCGATGACTGACCCATGGTGTCAGGCTGAAGTGGGCACTTCCGCGATAATCACGAAGCCTGATGAGCTGCTCAAGTCAGGATAAGCTAACAAGCTTTAAGCGATACAATAAGTGAAACGCGGAAGAAGGTCGTAAACAAAGAGGGGCCACAACCGTGAGCATCAGTGAACCGTGAATGAAAGGCCAAGCCTGCTGTGTAAGTATAAATGCCTGATGCATCTCGACATATACGATTCACGTGAACCAGCGATACTGATGCACATGGTCTACAATCCAAACGTTGATCTGATGCCCCTCGATAGGGCGTTGTTCATGCGGGGTTGTGAACCGGCCAGCGCGCTAATTGGACGTGGCTGCAGGAAGGCTGAAATGTGAAAAGAGGACACCAGGCTGAACCATGGAATGCTATGCTCTTCATTCGAACATTATGCTAAGGACATTTCGCATACAATTGTGCTCGATGTCCGCTCACCGGTACAGACCCCACCCTTGGTATCTATTGCCGTAACAGTCTAGCTCTCCTGCATCTGCATCCACCGGATTCCTTACAACCGTAATGTCTCCGGACCAGTAGCCTGCGACTTCAGGGTCAGACTCTCCCATATCAAGCAGGTTATTGTATGCAGCCTTCCTGTCCCTGCGAAACTTTCCGATCTCTGCAACAACATCAAGTTGTGGCTGCACTGCAGGCTCGACCCTTCTTGGTTTAGGAGGTGGAGCAGGGCGATGCACAGCCAGCTCAAGTCCACTCATCGCTGCCAATAGTAACCCACGTCCGGGTTCTCTTGTCGGAACACCACATTCTTCGTCGTCAAAAAAGGAGAAGTCATGTGTTGCCGCTTCCCAGAAAGCTTCTGAATCGGCATCTTCGGTCGACGATTTTGTGGGGTATGCTCTCCAGCTTGTGGAAATCTTCTTGTGTGCTACTTGGGGAGGCGCCATCTCGAACACAATGCGCTTCAGTGCGAAGAGACTGCGTGCATACTCTCGCTCAGCAACGTTTCGACTACGCCCAGGTGGCAACATGTAGGTGTGCTTTGCACGCTGTTTGGCGATCGATGCCTCTTCCGCGGCATCTTTGATGTATTGTATGAGTCGGTGGACGAGTTCCGGATCGTTCGTCGACGTTGGCACATCAGTCAAGACTAAAGTGTGGACTTTGGGAAGCATGCCTGGATGCAGCCGATTTTCTTGCGATTGTCGAAGCTCAAGTCTGGCTCTGCGGTCCTCGACAAAGTGGGTGGAGTTGTGGCGTGACCTTCTGCCAACAGCTTCATTTGAGACATTATGCCAATCGGCTAGGATTGGTGATAGTGCTACCGAGTGGTCGGGTGTAGAGTCTCCAGTCAAGAACGGCCTTTGATCTTTATGGCCTGGTAAAAGAGGGCTGACGGGCGACATCGGTGAGTCTACAAAGACAGGTTCTGGCGCATATGCTGCACCACGTTTGGCCTCTTGCGGCTCTGAGGTAACTTTGATTGATGGCGTTCGTGCAAGATTACCATTTTTACATTTTGCCAGCGGAACTTCGGTTGGAAAAGACCCGGGTAACTCTACGGCGAAAGCAGAACTCCCCGAAAGTTCAAAGACAGGGTTCTCCGTGGAACCAAGTTCAGGCATCGGCATCGACCGCTGAACGGTCTCGAGTTCGGCCAGTATCTGCTGCTGGGGTGTTTCAAGTTCGTGTGCATTAGATGGTGCGTAACGGCCAAGATCTCCATCAAGCTCTGCGCGCGGTAATGGAAATGCGTCTACAGGTGCATCCTCAGTCACAATATGGTAGTTGACCCTCAGATACTTCATCTTCGTAGCAGCAAATTCGGACAAGACAGGAGTCATCTTGGCAACACCCGGGAGATCCATACTGCCATTCACGTCCTCATACGAAGGCTGCACAGGTCTCATCAGGACCGCAGGCAGTACCCCGACATCGAGAACACCAAGGCGTTTTGATCGAAGGAGCCCAGAGATTCCTTCAACCGTCACAGCGTTCCTCGACAGATACAGATGAGTAATGCCCATATCTCTACTCTCTTCAATGGCCAGGCTACCAACAAAGCCCTTGGTCAATCGTTGGCGAAGATGACTGACAAGATCTTCCGATTCGTATGCGTCCAGATCGCCACTTAGCCGACCATGTTCGACGGGAGGTAAAGGAGACCTGGTTACGTGCTCTGGTATTGTAGTCTCTTTCAGACAGTGCTCCAATAGTAGTCTAGCGCTAGCATCTGTCAGATGATTATCGCTTACGTTCAGGCTTCTCACGCGGGTCCCTATGGAAGGTGCGATGATTGAGAATTCGTCATCTTTCAGTCCAAGTCCTTCCAAGTTCAGCACCCGCAAATTGCGGAGGTACTTTAGCTTGCTGAGGACTACTTCGGATCGAGCAGCTGGTGTCCTCGACAAGTCTAAAGACACAAGATCCGGAAAGTGAGGCAGGGCTTCGGAAAGTCCGGTGGATGTCGCGTTTGTACAACCTGAAGCATCCAACAAGCGCAGACCGAACACCGGGTAGGCGGTCGGACGATTAGCGTTCCACCATGAGCTGGCGTGTCGTAATGTCAGGAGCGCTGCATGGTCGAAGAATGGCAACCCGTTAACCATAAGGCATTGAAGATGTGGGAGTCGTTCAAAGCAGTCTCGTAACCATTCAGAGTGTGGTCCTCCATATATCTCGGCATGTGCTGGCGGAAACTGGAGAGTGTGCGTAAGCCCACGCACAATGGATCGTGCATACGGCAAGGTACGCTTAAAGCGCGTCAGAGCGACTGTCATAGTTCAGTGTATGCATCAAATTTACAACCATGTGATGTTTTACCATAAACGGTGTCATTCTCCACACCAAAATGTGATGCGGGACTACCCCACAGGTGAGGTGTGAAGATCTCGTGCCACTTCTTGCATACAAGAGCTGCAGCACAGATGGCATCTGAGGGCAAATACGGTGCAATGAGCGTCCATGGGTCTTGCTGGATCGCGCTTTCGTAAGATGGTAGTAGGTCATCCATCGTTGAGGTGGGAGGAAGTGTTCAGGCCAAGCCCGGTATGGCGGGCGCGCTCATGTCAGCCCCGAAAAAGTGTTGCGAGCGTGTAGGAGACATCTCTGCAGCGACCGAGTGTTGCGCAAAGGAGTCCATACCAAGACTCATGATCGTGGCAGTGTCTCGAGGTGTGCCAATGAGCAGGCACAATGATGTCGGTCAGGCAGACCGCGCTAAGGGCCGCTCTAACCGGAGTTGCTCACAGGGCTATGACGCGCCTCTCTAACACCATTCAACAATCGCTTTGATCGTATATCATACCGTTCACGCGCATGATACTCGATCACAAGTCAGGCAGTAATTCATTGATGAAAATGGACGGAAAATCACAAGATTTGGCAAATCGCAGGCTTCAGGCAAAATCTTCTAAAAACAGGTCTTAAGACTTTCAACCTGTATACCTCTGGCTTTCAATTTACGGCCACAATGTCCAGTTTGACGTTCTCAGTCTTTCCTCTCAACCTCCGCATCCTCGCCTCTCATCACCCCGTTCTCTTCCTTGTCCTTTCCAAGTACCGCCTGCATCTTCTTACTATTTCCCTCCAACCCCGCCATCACGTCTTCAGACAGCCCCGGAACAGTCATCTCAAATACGTCCCTGATAATCGCATACTCATAGTATCCACATCGCGCAATTGGCACTGGCGGTGTCAGTATATCGTAACGCAGGAACCGAACAAACAGCAGCTCACCAGTCTTTTGGATATCAATCTTCCCATCCGTCAATACCCGCTCATCAATATGGATACCCACCACCCTCCCGATCACAACATCCACGGACCCAACTGGCGGATTGCCAGGCAGTCGCAAAGTAGTATAATGCTCGCACTCAAACCGCACAGGACTATCCCTCACCATCGGAACCTTCCTCTTCTCCCCTTGCACATCGACCTCACTGATCCTACTATCCACCTTCGCCAACCCTGCTCTCTCAAACTCATCAATCCCGTACTCCGTTTGCTCAGCGGTGATGTTAACAGCTTTACGCAAATCATACGTAGCCAGGTTCCAACAGAATTTGCCCGTGGCTTCGGTGTTCTTGACGGTGTCTTTTTGCTGCGCGGTGGGGGTTTGATTCGCGCTGAACATCACGTAGGGTGGGTCGAAGGTTAAGTTGTTGAATTGCGAGTACGGTGCAAGGTTGGCGTGGCCACTGGGGGAGAGGGTGGATATCCAGCCGATGGGGCGGGGGACCACGCAGGCCTGGATAAGTTAGGATCTTAATTCGAAGTTTGGGTCGAGCATATGGGAGTGTAACGTTGATTAAGCAGAGATGATAGTTACCTTGAAAGGGTCATGAGGGAGACCATGGTCGTCTTTGCCGGGTCGGTAGAACATCTTCAGTGTTTCCCCAAGGAATGGTGTCTCATTGGTGTAAATGATACTTTGGGGCTCAGCTCTACTTTATCTATACCTTCTCAACGCACATATATAGTGGATGCCCCGAAGTATGGTACTCGGCAATGATGGCGGGGAACCACAACGTCGGCAACTATAGACGGGATCCTTGAGTGTGACGCCATGCATACGCTAATGCACGTATCCGCATGGAAAAGCGTTCAACCAATCTCACGAACAAAAAGACTACGAAATCGGGTCTGCTTACCGACTCGGATCTGAGCGAGACCTCATGACGTCCTCATACGAGTAGATCTGCCCAAGTCACACAACAACATCTCTACCCGCCTACCCGTCAGCATTCGGTCTTGATTCGGAGATATACACTGCAGGCATCCGAGAGCATCATCATCCAGCAATAATGCCACAAACAATCCTCATAACAGGCGCCTCATCCGGCCTCGGCCTCGCCTTCCTCGCACACTACACCGCGCAAAACCCGTCCCCATTCATCATCGCACTTGACACAAATCCCCTTCCTGCGGAGGCAGCCAGCGCATTTGAGTACAACGATATATCATTCTTCCACACAAACATCACCTCCACCACTGAAATCCACGCATTAGCAACTCAGTATGCCGATAGACCCATCGACCTCCTCATCCACTGCGCCGGCATCCGAGGCCTCGTCCCCTCCATCGTTGCATATCAGCACGGCGATGTCGCAGCCGCAGAAACCCTCTCCGTCATGGACTACTCCACATTCACTAGAACATTCGAAGTGAACACCTGGGGCACATTTAACATCATCACCTCATTTTTACCACATCTCAAACTCTCGCAGGACGCCAAGGTCGTCATTCTGAGCTCGAGAATGGGCAGTGTGAGCGCGAATAAGGCCGGTGGTGGGTATGCATATCGGGCTAGCAAGGCGGCGCTGAATGCGGTAATGATGAGCTTTGCGATTGATGTGCCGGATGTGGCGTTTTTGTTGCTGCATCCGGGGAGGGTGGAGACGGGGCTTGTGGCGTGGAAGGAGGAGGGTGCGATTAGTCCTAAGGAGAGTCTACAGGATTGCCTGAAGGTGATAGAAGGGTTGAAAAAGGAGGATAGTGGGAGGTTCGTCGATCGGTTTGGGGCGGACATTCCGTGGTAGATGGAAGTTTGGTGGTTAGCTCGGAGAATTTCAGAATAGTTCAGACATAGAATAGGGCAGCGACATAAAGTTGACAGAGGGCCCAGTGACAAACTCGTCATTTAGCTTTCATTACTCATTCGATGGGTATTATCATTCTCCACGCTTCATTCCCATTGATTCATGTAATCGTAATCATTTGTCGTAATTTTGCTCGTAGGGACATGGCAGAATACTGTATAAGTGACACACTCTTCTTCACCGCTCGCTTGCAGGGCTGAGCAAAGTCTTAGTTGTTGTAGGTCTTGATTGAATTGATTAGAAAGTACACGTCGTCAAAGGCAGAAGGGGTCTTCGCAACATAGTCGTTGCAAGATGCGACCCCCGTCTTTGCGCGGCACTGGGTGTAGTCGTCCCAAGCCTCACCGCCCGCATACTCGCCGCAGAAAGTGATGTTGATAACCTGTTGAGCGTTAGGGTCCGAGGTCAGACATTACATAGCGAAACTTGCGATCTTCATCTTCTTCCACGTGTTACGAATATCGCAGTTCTGCGGAACGAAGCTCATGACAGGCGTACCCCACTTGCTTGGTTTGGGGCTATCGTTCTCAATGTCAGCTGGAATGGCGGACTTTGCGAAGTGCCAGATCTTGATGCCTCCAGCCTCGACTTGTGTAGCCCAGACGCCGCCTCCATTCTGGTTGAAAGAGTCGCCAAAGGTACCATGAGGCGCGATCATACCGCAACCCCCAACGTCGTAGTCGCAGTTAGTACTGAAGACATCTCCGGTGCCGCTCTGAGCTGCCATGGTGCACTCAGTGGGGTTGGTGTGTAGGGTGGTCTCGTTCTGGGTGAGACAAGAGATAGACTCAACGATGTCGATCTCAGAGTAGAAGTCGCTGTCATGTTCATCGTCGTGTGGAAGCCATCTGACGGATTTTTTCAGCAAGCAAGAATAACACAGGACTATGCTGCAAGGTAAAACTTACAAAGCAGGCCACGTACCACAAGCGTTAGCCGGTAGGTACTCAAAGTCCGCGATGACAATGCCGCTGTCGATCGTGTCGTGGCTCTCAAGACGCACGCTCTTGCGACCGCCTTGAGGTGTCACGTCGATGACAGAATTATTGTGGACACCAAAGGTAGATCTGGTTGCCAACAGTCCTGGCGAGGCCCATGGACATGGCTTCATCTTTAGAGACGTAGCTGGCACATCCACTAGTGTATTTGTCGTGGGTTCTGATGAAGTCGAAAGAGCCAAGAAAGTTAGACGCGTTGAGCTTCTTGTCGAGCTTGTAAGCTTGGGTGATGCTCAAGGACAGGAGAGTGTAGAGGAGGTAATGAAGGAGCGACATGGCTGCTGCGGGTGTTTGTGGTAGGGAGTGTGCTGTAGTGAAAAAAAAAGTGTAGTGACGAGCGAAGGCGAGCTTCAAGCTCATAGACGAGGTGAGAGTCTTGCAGCTTGGAGGTGAGGTGAGAGTCAACTAGGTACTTACTGTATAGACCGTCCGTGCGTCGTTGTTTGGCGGCAGGCGCGACGAAAGGGAAGTCGTCACCAAGCTATGGCATCTCGAAACTAGAGCTGTCGGTAACAGACGCGAAATTACAGACCTACAAATGTTGAAGAGGACCACGTTGCGCTACGAGGAGATTACATGGGTGCTGTAGAGTTTACGGAGTCCCATCCGGCGGGCGCGATTGTAGTGGCATTATTATACTTCGCAAATCGTTGAACGGCTTCACACCACGCGGGAACGCGGTCCGCAGGTTCAAAGCTGGATTTGAAGCTGATCCAGGTCTTTGGACAGTCGCCGTCCAGCCTTACTGGCAGTGCTTGGCTGTGACAAGCGTTATCCGGTGCGATCAAAGTCTAATGGCAGGTTTGTCTCGACTGTGCCCTTCTCTTCTGTTTCCGCCCGCAAATCTGCCTGTGCATTCTCATCCTTTTCTCGAGACCCGAACTCGGTAACTTTGCTGGCAACCGCGAGGCTACCCTCGATACCTTCTACCAGTCCATCTAGCGCTGCGAATATATCGCCTTGATTCCGCTCTCTTGCTTCGCTGAGTATGTTATCTCCAGGTTGTCCTTTTCCTTTGCCCTTCTTCTTGCCAGGTATCTCCACTCCCTCTATCCGTAGCATGAGACCTTGATCTGGTGAGCTCTCATCGAATGAAGGTGCCGTCCGTGTCGACGCATCTGTTATTTGCCAGGACGATGATAAAGACTGTGCATCAACCACCGTACGCCCGTCCGCCCCTACATCGACTATGAGGTAGTGCTCCCTAACGCCTGGTATTGGAGGCGGCAGCGGAGACTCGACAGGCGAGTAGTGGGCTTCCTCTTCCTCACCCACATGGTCTTGATCTTCGTGCCCCTCTGGTGTTTCATGTGGCAGATATCTTGTATCGTCTAAGCCCATTCCACGCATAGATGCAGCCGTCACGATGATCGGGTCATCATCCGCAAACACATAATGTACGTATGGATGGTAGTGCTCGCCCGAACTCGAATCTTCTACGAGAGCGAAGAAAGGTATGAAATTCGGCGGAGGTAGGAGAGTCTGTTCGGAGCTAGGCTCAGGGTACGGTATCTCATCGTCGACTGGTGCCTCTTCAGGCTGCGGCTGCTGCTCTTCTGGCTGGTCTTCGAGGGGAGGGTCTTCGAAGTGTGGGAGAGCTGGCGATCTCGGCGAGTTTGCTGAGCGCAGCGGCGGGGGTGATTTGGAGAGGCTTGGGTTATTGAACATGGTAGACGGCGTTTGATGGTTCGTAGGCTAGAGAGCTACCGGAGCTCCGGTTGAGCTCGACTTGCTAATCGATAACGAAGTGGTCCATGCACATCAATGACATGTGAATGCCCGATGGACCTAGCAATGCTGTCAGGAAGCAGGTTGAAGCAATGTCTTGATTTCGTCTACCTATAAGTATGTACCCTGGGTATCTTCCGAACGCCGGTAAACCAAAAATTGTTTGTATGAGCGCTTTCGCGGGCATCTTGCTGATGGAAAGCGACCTCTCCCCTCCTCCACTGTGTTTTACGAGCCTGGTGAGGCTATGTAAAACCTTGTAACATCTTGTTCATACTCATGCCATCATATTATCTCGCTTGAGGAGCCTTGATCATATGGGGCTGCTGTCTGGCGCCTGTGTAGGTTCTTCGGCACCGGCGGCGGTGGCGTCTTGACTCTTTGACTTGAAAGCTGTATGTTGATGTCAGTAACTGCTGCAGAGCGCCAAACCACTGCACTATTGCTCACGTTGACGGCACATGGGGCACTTCTCTTGTGAGCTCTCCTGCTTGAGCCATGAGAAAATGCAGTGCTGCTTCGAGTTAGCCGTTGCCCTGTGCTAACCCTAGCTGTCACATACCATGTGGAAAGAGTGGTTGCACTCGCCAAGGACTAATTGGCCAGTCAGTGATACCATCAAAAGAAGGCGTAGGCGAACATACGCAGTGGGCACTCATCGCCTGGGAACTTGCACTTGGAGCAAGTGCTGTCATAAGGGTTGCGGCAGATACCACAAACATCGTCGTCGGGCATATCCCAGCGCCATGCGGCGACAGCATTCCATTCCTTGATTGTGACCTTCATGACTGCTTGTCGTTGCTGGACGCTGTTGTCTGCAGTCGCATACAAGGTGGGACGAAAACAAACAGCTAAGCTTGATACGCGGCAGAACCAGGCGGTCAAGCGGGCGGCGCTTGTCGAACTGCTGCGACCCTTACACTGGCCCGTGCTGCTTGACAGCTTCCCCACAAAACACAATGCCGGCTTCGGCTGACGACATTCGGCCTAGAGACCGATAAACATATCTGAGACTGTTACGATGACGTTCACGCGTTATCAAACAGACCAACACGGTTGACAGCGGTGACCGAGAATCAAAGCGGACGGGTGAGTGCATGACCCAGCTGCCCAGAGGAAGTTGCGATGGGCGTTGCTGCAGCTCGCTCTAGCCTCGAACTTAATTCGTGCCCTCAATCGCGCAATAGACAAAAGAGTCGAGAGCTCCTCCCTCATCTCCACACGCTCTCCATTCTTCCAAACCTCGGTGACTGATAGCCCTCGACAGTCTACAGCTTCCCATACCAAAATGTTGCCCCGACTCTCCAACTTCCGCAGCTCCCTGCGGCCTCTCTCCGCCTTGTCTTGCTCTCGCACTTTTGCGACAAGCAGAGTTGTCATGTCCCTATACGGCCTGGAGACATATCTTGTCAGCCCTTCTGAGCTCAATACAGCACTCAAGAAGAACGTCTGCAGCAAGCTGTCAACTGCACCCAAGATTGTTCCACTATGCGCCTCGTGGTTCCTCCCAAACGATGGCCGCAATGGCAAGGAGACATTCTTGGCTGAGCGCATTCCTCGCGCACAGTTCTTCGACCTCGATGCCATCAAAGACCCCCACTCGCCATACCCCCACATGCTGCCGTCAGCAGAAGACTTCGCTGTGGCTATACGCAAGCTGGGCATCCGAAGGCACGATAGCGTGGTAGTCTATGACAGCAAAGAGCTGGGCATCTTCTCTGCTCCTCGAGTGGGCTGGACTCTGCAGGCATTCGGCCATCCCAATGTCCATGTCTTGAACAACTTCTCCAAGTGGGTAGAGGAGGGATACCCTACAGAGAGTGGGGAGCCAAGTGCCGTTGATGAGGTCGACTACCCTGTGCCAGAGCTTGACAAGGCCAAGGTCGTAGCATTTGAAGAAGTCCGCGAAATTGCGAAGGAGCAAGGTCTAGAAGGCGCCGAGGAAGTCCAGATCCTCGATGCTCGAAGCCTGGGACGATGGAAGGGCACTGATCCAGAGCCGCGAGAAGGTGTGTTTCAACTTCGAGCTCACAATCTGCTTTCATGCTGACAATCATAGGTCTCTCTTCAGGTCACATCCCTCACTCGATCTCAGTCCCCGTATCCGATCTCCTCGATGCCGACAGCAAGACACTCTTGCCAGCCGCAAAGCTCCAAGAAGTGTTCAAGTCCAAGAGCATTGACCCCTCGAAACCCATCATCACCAGCTGCGGCACCGGCGTGACAGCGGCAGTCATTGACGCGGCTCTGACCGAAGCTGGCTTCCCGACCGAACAACGACGGCTGTACGATGGCAGCTGGACTGAGTGGGCACAAAGGGTAAGGCCAAGCGACCATCTCATTCGCAAGTCTGAGTAGGAAGATGCTAGGATTGTTGGCCACGTCTTTACTTTATCTGGCAGATTGATACCCCTTTCATTCGTGTATGAGCAAGGGTCATAACTGCAATTGTATTGTACACCAGGTGTCTTTACTATCGGACATGCGTGCTTATGTTTCACCTTCACCTTTCGTTTCTAGTACCTCTACACGTCTGCATACTTCTGTTCTTCTGTTCATAACTTCTTCATACAATCAGTTCAGGGCTTGTCGTCCAGTGGTAAGACGCTCGCTTTCAACTGGGGCTAGGAGGCTGTTCCAGAGGTGCCTTTGGTACATGTCATTGGATCTTGTAGGGCAGGCGCCTGAGCTACGAGTGGAATCGTAAGATACATCCGTTCGGATCGAACTGAGTTCAATCTTTTTGCTTGAAGCACGAATGTATCGCATCATAGCCTCGTCTGGCAGCTGAGCATCTAGCCATCCAGCTTTGGAAAGTTCTGTACTTTTGCCCTTCGCGTGTTCTTATCGATCACCTTACATGCAAATACCCACTTGGGATTTGCATCAAGCTTCGTTCATGGCTCGTCGTTCAGTGGTAGGGCACTCGCAAACGTCTCCACGAGAATAACCTTTTCGGACGGGAATACTCAGTCTGTGTGCCGTCAATTTGTGCTCAGCCACGTTTCGTGCTAGAGAAATTTGTTCGATTTGGGTCGAGCCCATGGATTTTGCTGACACCAAGTATGCCTGTGGGTCAGTCTTTACTGAGTGATCTCGAGCGGTGTATTTGTGAAGGCCTGAGGAGCTACGCTTCGAGCTTCTGTCACGCTTCCAACCCCTCTCTTCCACTTCCAACTCTCGTGTCTACACATTGAATGTTTGCTAGTGTTTGCATAGACTGTGTATCAGGCTTTATCGTCTAGTGGTAAGAGGCTTGCCCTGTACCTAATCAAGGTAACCCGAGTAGTCTACAGTACCTCCGGTACTATAAGGGCCAACGAAGGTTGATTGTGGCGCCATCGTGCAGTGATTTACATTTCGAGTCTGCTTGCTTTTGTTACGTTAGTCTGCAGTATCAGTATCAGTGAGTGAATAAGTATTATACTAAAGGCTTAATGAGAGAGAGGCTAATCGGTGCTACGACGCGATACTTCTCAGGGGCGACCTGGCAACTTGCGTATGATAAGTGTAAATGTTTGTAGTAGAGATAAGCAACGTTCCGTCTTTACCGATCAGTCTTACACGAACACGAAGAGGTCACACAAGCTTTTTGCGTGGCTTCGTGGCAGACGCCTATGGTGCTGGGCATGCTTACACAGAGCTTGAATGATTAGCATATCGTACAAGTCTTGCATATAAATTATCGCAAGCACAATGGAACAGTGAGTTAATTTAGCAGCAGCACCGCATACGAGCATTTTTCATTTGGTCGTGTATAGACTCTAGCATCATCAGAATGGCGTTCCTATCATCCCGACAATTCCAATCCGCTTAGAAGACGTAGCGGAAGTTAGGGTTCTCCCTGTCCGTCAAGTCATCAAACCCGTGAGTAACATTGATCTCCTTTCCAAACTCCCTGTCCTTCTTGTTGTTACGGTGGACCAAGTTCCACCTCAAGAACAGAATAACTGCGACCAATACACTGTAGCATCCGAGATGGATCGACAGCGCCTTGACGTAGCGCGGCGCGTCGCCGTCGAAGAAGACCTGAGGACCTGTGGCGTTACCTGCGCACCACGCGAGGAAGTTCATGGTGATGCAGACGGACTTCTTGGTCTGACCTCCAACGTTTCGTGTCAGCATGGACATGCCCAGACCTTGAGCGGCCCAGAAGGTGAAGATGATCCAGTACGAGATCAGGAGGCCGGCGCGGGTGGCGTTGTTTGTGTTCTTGACGGTCATGATTACGATTGTGCCGATGAAAGATCTGGGATGTATTAGTTTAGGCGCTTGGTTAAGGGTGCGGAGCAGGACTTACGGGATCAGGAAGACAAGCATGGTATAGAGGTTTTGGTTCCACTTCTTGGTCGCCCAGGCAGAAGTCATGAGCGTGAAGATGATGATGGCACCGAGCACCATAGCGAGGAGCTGGGTTTGGAGGGTCGTGAAGTTAAGACCCTTAATAATGATGTTGTAAAAAGCGCCGAGTCCAGATGTAGGTAGCGTGGTACAGATCTGGATCAACATGTAGCAGTAGGTCTGGGGGTCAGTCAGAGCCTCCTTGAGCTGGTATGCACGGAAAGTCTTGTTCTGGAGACCGGTTTGGTTGGAACGGACACGCTCTACCATCAGCTTCTTGTCCTCCTCGGAAAAGCACTTGGCGCGCATGGGGGAGTCGGGGAGCCAGTAAATAACGAAACAGCCCCAAAGGAAAGAGAACGTGCCGTATGTGATGAAAATGGCCTGCCATGACCTGATCTTTGCGGTTCCGTCGTATGGAGGCAATGAAGGGTGCTTAATGTGGGAGAAAGCGTAAGCGAGCAAACCACCGACCATCTGCTGCGCTCCGTTCATCATGTACCAGTAGGTGACGACCTGGGCCTGTTCCGAGCGCTTATACCAGATGGAACTCATGATGAGGAAAGCCGGCTGGCACACGGCTTCGAAAACACCGAGCAAAGTTCGGATGGAGACGAGAGCAGGGAAGCTGAAGCAGACAGAGTGCAAACACAGGACGGTGGACCAGAGCAGAATGTTGGCTCCGAGGTACTTGGCGACAGGCACACGCTGAATGATCCAGTTGGTCGGGTATTCGACCACAAGCACAGCGAGGTAAATACAGGTGGTTAACCAAGCGAACTGCGAAGCTCGTTAGCTGATGTGCTGAGAAGTTCAGACTTGATTATGGGCTTACGTTGGTGCTCTTCTCAAGGCCTGGAACATCTGCACGGATACCCATGATGGAAGCGAAGGACATTGTGCCCTTGTCTAACGCTTGCAAGAAGTAGGTGAAGACCATGATCGGAAGCACACGCCTGTCGATCAACTTCTTCAGACGCTTGTCTTCCTCCTCCGAGATGACAATACCGGTAGCGTCAGCATACTTGGCAATTTCGTCGTCGACACGGTCATAGTTGACGTGGTCGACCTTCTCATCACCAGCAGAGAGGGTGCGCTCAAGCTGGGTGATGTCTTTCTTATCGTCGTGGGTGGCCATGTTGACTGTACCTCCCGGAGTATTGACACTGGAAGAAAGGGACTCGAGTGAGGTGGCAAGGAAAGACCTCAAGATTCAGACAAGCTGCAGATTGTGGAGTCCCCAACCTTCATATTTCTACCCCGTCTCATTTTCTCCGTCCGTGTGTTGCATCCCCAGTTCCCCCGGCTTCTTTACCCCATGCGGGCGGGCTACTCCGCAAAACCAGCGCCCCAACATCTCGTCCACCATTCATCAGGAGAGTCTATCCCAGTAGAGTTTACCGTAGGATCCACAATGTTCATGGTCAACCCTGAATCGCTAGTTCTCCAGCTTCGGCGCCTCGGATGTCATGTCGACCATACAGAGTGTGGAATGCGGGGTCTTGTCGCTGCAGGATCAAGCAGTGTGGAGGTGCCACTTTCTTGGCTCATTAGCAATGTCGGTAAAGCGACGGTGTAAAGCACTCCGAAGGGCACTTCTGATGGGTCGCATGCGCATGTGGCGATATTACCTCGTAAGATCATCAGGCGAAGGTACTCAAAACGGTTGCCATGGCTGGTGGAATTATTTTACCGTGGTACCGAGAGGTTGTCGGTGGCTTCTTTCATGGTTCAGGACGGTAAGCTTCCCCAGTCGGTCGTCTCCGCTCTTCATTGTCGTTGCCCGTCTCGAGTCTCATTTGGCGAAACAAGCGATCAGCAGGGCATCCCATCGGTGCAACGACCAACGAACATCGGTGCATTGCAATGCGAAGACGGCTGTTCTTCCTCTTTGTGCGATCGGTGGTGGAGACGATGCATTCCTTGGTGTTAAGGTTCGAAGGTGTTGCAAGGAAGGCGAGAGCCGCGCTCCCCACGAACCTTGGGGCTCCACACTTCAACAGCGTCTCCACGTGGAGGCAAGCACCCTCGTCGGCACCATCGGTGTAGAGAGCAACGATATCGGTGCAGCACGGCACGAATCCGGTAATGAGCTTCGTTAGGTCTAATTCATGCATTGGAAGCTTCCCAAACTTTTTCCCCACGTTCAATTCCACCGTGTCATCTATTTCCTCGAACTCTGAGCATTTGCACGCATTTTCTGAGCAGTCGTGCACTTTCAGACTGCAAAAATTGCAAAACCTCACATTTAGAGCTTCTCTCAAGACCTCGCGTTGAATCAACGCGTCTACCTCCCTAGCACCCTCAAAATGTCTTCCCTCACCACCCAAGGCCTCAAGAAGGAGCAAATCACAACCTCCATCGATCTCCTCACACAAAACCTGATCAACATCAACGACACAACCGGCGAATTCCTGCTCAAGCTCCCCGATGGCCGCATCATTGACACCAAAGGCTGGGACGGCTGGGAATGGACACACGGCATCGGTCTGTACGGCCTGTGGCACTACTACACACTGACCGGCAACCAAACCACAAAAGACATTATGCTGGGCTGGTACTCCAAGCAGCTTGCCAAGGGCACAACCAAGAACATCAATACCATGTCCCCGTTCCTCGCGCTCGCGTATCTGTACGAGGACACCGGTGACAAGACTTTCGTGCCGTGGCTGGATACCTGGGCTGAGTGGGTGATGCACGATTTGCCGCGTACGAAGTATGGAGGCTTCCAGCACGAGACGTATCTTGAGTACAACAAGGATGAGCTCTGGGACGACACGCTGATGATGAGCGCGTTGCCTTTGGCGAAGATTGGACTCACACTCAACCGACCAGAGTACATTGAGGAGGCTAAGAGGCAGTTCATTCTGCACTGCCAGTACCTTTTTGACCCAACAACGGGGCTGTTCTTCCACGGGTGGAAGTTTGAGGAGAAGGATGGGAAGGTAGGACACAACTTCGCGCAGGCAAGGTGGGCAAGAGGAAACTCATGGCTCACGATCGTCATTCCCGACTTTATCGAGCTGTTGGACCTGAAGGAGTCGGACCCCACGAGGCTGTTCCTAATCGGCATTCTCGAGGCACAGTGCAAGGCGCTGGTCAAGCTGCAGCAGGAGGATGGCATGTGGTGTACATTGCTCGATGTTCCAGCCTCCGAGGGCTCATACGTCGAGGCATCGGCGACAGCTGGTTTCGCGTACGGTATGCTCAAGGCTGTGAGGAAGAGGTACCTCAAGGGAGAAGAGTACCAGAATTCAGCAGCCAAGGCTATTAAGGCTGTTCTCGCCAACATCAACCCTGAGGGTGAGCTGCTGAACACCAGCTTTGGCACGGGTATGGGACACACACTTCAGCACTACAAGGACATTGCCGTTACAAGCATGCCTTACGGTCAGGCGATGGCTATCATGGCACTTGGAGAGTTTTTGAGGTCGTTTATTTAGGTCTTGCACAGCTAGTAACACTTTACGAAGCAATGATAAGACGTTTGATGAGAAGTTCGGATCTATTAGTCGGCTTAAAAAGATGCTGTACAGTTCTTCCCGATCATCTGCAATGCACGGCGGTGGATTGACAAAGATGTGACCTATACTGCAACCTTTCGCGTATCCTCCGATAAGAGCCTTTTGCCTGATGTACTGTGGTGCCTCCAGAAGTTCTCAGCAGTAGCAGTCCTCTTTTGAGTATACGACGCGAAAGTAGATGGCAGGATGTCAAATCAATTAAACCTTTGGGATAAGTGGAAATGTTTAGAGCAGAGCCAATTGCAGTTGATTGTTCAAGTTCCGCGGTAAAAGCGTTCTTTTGCCACATCCAAAAGTGCTGAAAACTTCTTGGGGGGGGGGGGGGGCACCACAGTATCGATACGGACTTCGGGATGTAGCAATACAACCCAGGTAATGAGACCTACTCAATGCGTGTAGCAGCAGCGCGTTCAGCTGGATGTCACTTGAGCAAACAATCAAAAGACCATCAACGCCAAGTTACAACGATGCTACCTTTACATTGAGTACCTGCACTCTTAAAACGCCACACTGGCCTTTGCTTTCGTGATCCTGTAGACTTTTGTTTGGCCACCACTTGAGTTGTTGCACCATTGTGCATCGAACCTGCAACGGTACCAAGCATAACGCTGTCACGCCTCCGCTCACCTGACTGGGACGTGCGAGGCGTCAAACATCATTTCGGTTTCATAACAGTTAGGCGTAGAACGGAATATAGGATCATTTGGGACATATCCCATCTGAACGGATACAGCAATTCCTTCGTCTTCTTGTTGTAATCCTTGCCGTCGAATTCTACCTCCACACGCTCGATACGCTCCCTGGTTGTTGTAAGCTACGGTACATCGAGTACAATGGTGAGTATACTGAGTCTCCATGGCTTAGGTGGGGCACGAATGCGTCTGTCAATTGGCAGCAGAGTCAATTGATGATGAGGATCATTCGATCTGATTGGGATCGCTATGTGGATAATCGACTGTTGTTTAAGAGCAAACGCAATCGAATCGGCGTTTGTACGACAGCATATGTGCGCCCCATCTCATGTAGGGAGTGTTGTTCGGAGGATGTCCTGGTGAGACCTGTGGATCGAGGGGGACGGCGGACGATTGGTGGTGGCGGTCTGATGCCATTGTGAAGAGGTATCCAGCTGCCTCTACTTAGAAGGCATTCCTCTTCCTGAGAAGTGAAGACGTAGTACCAAACGTGTGGGTCGACGACGCGCGGTATCGTTGGTGTGGTCGAGGCGATGTTTGCTCGAGGACCAGCCCCGTTGTTAGAGGCATTCTAGGCGGCTCTGTTATCCGTCATGCGTGCAGTGCAGCGAACGGTGTAAGAATGTTCTTCGTTCAGAGATAGTGGCATAGAAACGCAAAGAATATGCGAGGCTTGGTGCCCGGTGTAGGCAACACGGCAAATGCAGACTGTTGAAGGCTGAGGCTATGCAAGGCTGACAGCCCCAGGGTCGAAGGAAGCTTCAGCTCAGCCCCAGCAAACAACAGGGCTGCAGCCTCATAATGAGCAATTGCAGCACAATAGTGTGCAGTCGCAGTCAAGGGATAATGCTGCTGCAGATGGCAAGCGCTCTCGACAAACTTGACAAGCAGCTGCAGTTGCTGCACGCGCCGTGCCCCTCAGTGGAGCTGCTGTTGCTGGGGAAGAAACTGTTTGGTTTGGCGTTGCGGGCGGCGGGCGGTGAGACAGCGGCTAGCCTCAATTGGCTGCATTCGAAGATGTTCCATGCAATTCTGCCTGCCTGTCTAGAAGATTCTCAAGCTCCACCAAGGCCTATATGAGCACCAAACTCTGCCTCTTCGCCCTCATTTCTCCATTGAAGTGCTCTCAACACACCATCCACTCATAGACAATCTGTCTCAGCGCTTGCTCTTGCACATACACCACCGCAGAGCTTAATACACCCTCTACCCCGCCTAATCTGTACGTTTCTCTACACCGACGTTGCCAGCCTTGCAGCTGTGTGAGGCAACAGTCGCCGCTCAGGTCTAACGAGTCTTCCCTCTCAGTCAATACACACAAACCGCCACCATGTCTGGTGAAACCTTCGAGTTCCAGGCTGAGATCTCTCAGCTGCTCGGCCTCATCATCAACACCGTCTACTCGAACAAGGAGATCTTCCTGCGAGAACTCATCTCCAACGCCTCCGATGCCATCGACAAGATCAGATATGAGTCCCTGTCAGACCCCAGCAAGCTCGACAGCGGCAAGGACCTCCGCATCGACATCATCCCCAACAAGGAGAACAAGACCCTCACCATCCAGGACAGCGGTATTGGTATGACCAAGGCTGACCTCATCAACAACCTCGGTACCATTGCCCGCTCTGGTACCAAGCAGTTCATGGAGGCCCTCTCCGCCGGTGCCGATATCTCCATGATCGGTCAGTTCGGTGTCGGTTTCTACTCTGCATACCTCGTCGCCGACCGCGTCACCGTCGTCTCCAAGAACAACGATGACGAGCAGTACATCTGGGAGTCCAGCGCTGGTGGTACCTTCAAGATCACCGAGGACACCGAGGGCGAGCAGATCGGCCGCGGTACCAAGATCATCCTTCACCTGAAGGATGAGCAGCTCGATTACCTCAACGAGTCCAAGATCAAGGAGGTCGTCAAGAAGCACTCTGAGTTCATTTCCTACCCCATCTACCTCCACGTTCTCAAGGAGACCGAGAAGGAGGTCGAGGACGAGGACGCCACCGAGACCACCGAGGGTGACGACAACAAGCCCAAAGTCGAGGAGGTCGACGACGAGGAGGAGGAGGAGAAGAAGAAGAAGACCAAGAAGGTCAAGGAGTCCAAGATTGAGGAGGAGGAGCTCAACAAGACTAAGCCCATCTGGACACGCAATCCCGCCGACATCTCCCAGGAGGAGTACGGCTCTTTCTACAAGTCCCTCTCCAACGACTGGGAGGACCACCTCGCCGTCAAGCACTTCTCCGTTGAGGGTCAGCTTGAGTTCCGCGCCATCCTCTTCGTTCCCAAGCGCGCTCCCTTCGACCTGTTCGAGACCAAGAAGACCAAGAACAACATCAAGCTGTATGTCCGCCGTGTCTTCATCACTGACGATGCCACTGAGCTCATCCCCGAGTGGTTGAGCTTCGTCAAGGGTGTTGTCGACTCTGAGGACCTTCCCCTCAACCTGTCTCGTGAGACTCTCCAGCAGAACAAGATCATGAAGGTCATCCGCAAGAACATCGTCAAGAAGACTCTCGAGCTCTTCAACGAGATCGCCGAGGACCGCGAGCAGTTCGACAAGTTCTACACTGCCTTCGGCAAGAACATCAAGCTCGGTATCCACGAGGACTCCCAGAACCGCCAGCAGCTTGCTAAGCTCCTGCGATTCAACTCTACCAAGTCTGGCGAGGAGCTCACTTCCCTCACTGACTACATCACCCGCATGCCCGAGCACCAGAAGCAGATGTACTACATCACTGGCGAGTCCCTCAAGGCTGTCCAGAAGTCTCCTTTCCTCGACACTCTCAAGGACAAGGGCTTCGAGGTTCTCTTCCTTGTTGACCCCATTGACGAGTACGCCATGACTCAGCTCAAGGAGTTCGACGGCAAGAAGCTTGTCGACATCACCAAGGACTTCGAGCTCGAGGAGACTGACGAGGAGAAGGCCGAGCGCGAGAAGGAGGAGAAGGAGTACGAGAGCCTCGCCAAGAGCCTCAAGAACGTTCTCGGCGACAAGGTCGAGAAGGTCGTTGTCTCTCACAAGCTCATCGGCTCCCCTTGCGCCATCCGTACCGGCCAGTTCGGTTGGTCTGCCAACATGGAGCGTATCATGAAGGCTCAGGCTCTCCGTGACACCTCCATGAGCTCCTACATGTCCTCCAAGAAGACCTTCGAGATCTCGCCCAAGTCTCCCATCATCAAGGAGCTCAAGCGCAAGGTCGAGTCTGACGGTGAGGAGGACCGCACCGTCAAGTCCATCACCATGCTCCTCTTCGAGACCTCGCTCCTTGTCTCTGGCTTCACCATTGACGAGCCCGTTCAGTACGCTGAGCGCATCCACAAGCTCGTCTCCCTTGGCCTTAACGTCGACGAGGAGGTCGAGACCGAGCAGGAGACCAAAGATGCCGAGGAGGCACCTGCTGCTGCTGGCGAGAGCGCTATGGAGGAGGTTGACTAAGCGCATCGCCATCTTTCTTCGTTTCGAAAAGTTTGGTCGGCGCTTTGATATCCCTTTCATGTGTTACGGCTTTTCTTCCTCTTTTCTTACCTCACTTGCATGACGATTAGTTCCATCTATGTCGGCGTCTTAGAGTGGTGGTGTCACGCTTCACGAGTAAATGGATATCCCGAAATGTACTCTAGGTAGATTTACCCTGGGTAACTCTGAGCATACCTCAGTAGCTGATTCATGAATGATGAAAACTTCAAAAACACCTCCGTTCCCTCTGCCTTTACTTCTACTTCTTCAGTTATTGCTTCCGTCGTCTCGCTGCTGATCGTGTGCTAAGCTTGTATTCCCGAAGTCACATCCCGACCCCGCGATGCCGCTATCGTGCAACGTCATTCTCAGTTTTTTCCGTCGGAAGGCCGTTCAAACCCCACTGTAGCTTCCTGAAAGAGTATCGGCTGACATATGTTCAGTGTGTTTCATCTTGCGCGATAAACTTTTCCGTAGGACCTACAATACTGCAACGAGTGATAAGCAGGTACCACACTATAAGTAATCAGTGATTCCACAGAGCATATTCTACGCACCCGAAGCAATTCGACTACCGACAGAATGCCTTCAATCAGCGAGATCATCAATGCTCATAAGCCGGACCTTAACGCGTACGAAGAGCTATGTGAGTACTAACACACAGCCAGGTGGTTTCGGCGTAAGAGTTGAGGTGTTTGTACGCCAATCTCAGTACATACTTCTCCTTCAGACAAACAACTTGTTTCCATTCATCTAAGTCATATCCCCACGCAGCAATCGACCTCAAACTCACAAGCCTCCAACTAACCAGAACAGACAAATGGTTCCACACGCACCCCGAGCTCTCCTTCTGCGAGCGCGAAACCGCCGCAGCCATCGCCTCACACCTTTCATCCCTCAACGCCTTCGAGATCCACTCCCACATCGGTGGCCACGGACTCGCAGCCGTGCTCAAGAACGGCGAAGGCAAGACACTCTTACTCCGCGCTGACATCGACGCACTGCCCGTGCAAGAGCAGACTGGCCTGGAGTATGCGAGCACGAAACGCATGAAGGATGTTGAGGGGGCCGAGAAGCCGGTTATGCATGCTTGTGGGCAGTAAGTACCCTTTCGTTTTGGATGGATTTGATTTGAAGTGGGAGAGAGATGCTGATTGAGGTGTAGCGATATGCACATCACCGCGCTCCTAGCAGCCGCAGAGACGCTGGTGAAAGCACGGGATTCATGGAGCGGGACACTGATCCTGGTCTTCCAGCCCGCTGAAGAGAAAGGCAAAGGCGCGCAGGCCATGGTAGACGACGGCCTGTACAGCAAAGTACCTACGCCAGACGTCGTAATCGGCGCACACGTTATGCCTGAGAAAGCCGGTGTGGTCGGGACAAAGCACGGCTTGATCGCGAGTTCAGCGGATTCGTACCTGTTCGTCCCCTCTTCACCCAAAATTGATTCAGTGAAGAAGACTAACAGGGTATAGACTGAAGATCAAAGGCCGCCAAACCCACGCCTCAACCCCTCACCGGGGCAACGACCCCATCGTGCAAGCCGCCTCGACCATCCTTCGCCTGCAAACCATCGTCGCGCGAGAAGTCGACCCGCTGGACTTCGCCGTCGTAACCTGTGCCGCGATCCACGCCGGCGACGCCGAGAATGTCTGAACCCCCTTTCCCGCCTCAAACTCCCACTGACAACCTCAGATCATCCCCGAGCACGCCGAGCTAAAGTTGGACATCCGCGCCGCGAACCCCTCAACACGCTCCCGCGTCCTCGCATCCGTAAAGACAATCGTCGAAGCCGAAGCCCTAGCTTCCAGCAACCCAAACATCCCCGAACTGCAAGAAATCCGCAACTTCCCCCTCCTCTTCAATGACGCGACCGTAACATCCACGCTCGAGTCCAGCTTCTCTTCCCACTTCAAGGATAGCAAGTATGCGACGTACACGCCCGACATCGCGCGGCTGCAGGGGAGTGAGGATTTCGGGATCCTAGCCACGGCAGTTGGGAAGCCGAGTTGTTTCTTCTTGTATGGTGGAACGGATCCGGGGCTGTATGAGAAGTTAGAGAAGGCGGGAAAGATGAGTGAGGTTCCTGGCAATCACAGTCCGTTTTTTGCACCGGTTGTGCAACCGACGCTGAGTGTAGGGTTTGAAGGGTATGCTGTTTCTGCGTTGACGTTCTTGGGGAAGGTTTGAGGACATGGGGTGTAGGAGGAAGGAAGGTGCTTCAGGTATATTTTCAAAGATGAGTGGCAAATGCGCTCTTGCTTTGGAATATTGCGATTGAATATCTGTTACTGGTACATTGGGGAATCGAAACGCACTGTGCTGGTTTGCGCGAACGCTGTGACGTCGTAAACAGGAATACAGTTCCATAACAAATGTTAGTCAGAAACTCCGAAGCGCCTACATGGTACCGATTTTCACCTAGGGCCATTCCAGACACCGCGCTGTGATGGACTGATGATCGAGAGCCGCTACAAGGACGCGATAGCCTCAAGCAGCACATCGAGAGTGCGGTCACCGACACCCTCAAGACCTTCACGAAGCGCCCATGCCACATCGCTCTGCACGCCCAGAGGGACGTACACACCGCCCTCCTCTTTCTTGACTTCCATACGTTCACCGAGTCTAGAAGTGTGCTCCCACTCTCGAGCAGCCTTTTCAGCGTTCTCGATGACCTTGTTCGGGATGCCGCACATAGCTGCGCAGTGCATACCAAAGCTACCTTCGGCAACACCCTCTTCGAGCTTGTACAGGAAGGTAATAGATTTGGAGTCGCCATCCACGTGAATGCGCATGCGCTTGTTGACAACTTCAGGATGCGTCTCGAACTCCTTGGCCAGAGAGCGGTAGTGCGTAGCGAAGAAGCCCACACAGCCAACGCGCGTGCTGATGTCGTGGAGAACGGCCTGGGCAACTGCCACGCCATCGTAAGAAGACGTGCCGCGACCAAGCTCATCAAGAATGACAAGAGAGCGTGGTGTTGCCTCGGAGAGAATCTTCTGCGTCTCAGACAGCTCAACGAAGAAAGTTGATTGAGCTGCGAAGATGTTGTCATTGGCTCCAAGACGTGACATAATGCGATCGACGGGCGTGAGTTTCGCGGACGTGCAAGGCAAGTAGCAACCAACCTGGGCAAGAATGACCGCTATGCACGTCATTCTCAGGATGGTCGATTTACCTGCAGCGTTGGCACCAGTCAGCAGACTGATGTTTGGTGAGTCTCCACCTAATCTGATGTCGTTGGGGATAAAGTCGTCGACAGTGTTGAGCATGCATGGGTGACGAAGCTCCTCGAACTCCACGACTGAACGCTTATCCTCTGTGAACACTGGTCGGCAACTGGGCTCACCAAGTGAGGCGGACGCTTTAGCTAGACTGATCAGGCAATCAAGCTGCGCGATGATCTTGACAGCTGCAAGCCAGGTTGCGTAGTCCTCATCGAATTTCGCATAGAAGCGAGTGGCAACCTCTTTGGTGATCTGACTGTGCGTTTCTGTAGCCTCCTGCAAAGCTCGAACGAGCTTTCGCAGCTCTGGTGAGTAATATCGTGTGACCTTTGCAGTTGCCGACATCTGATCCCAGGTGTTGGGCACCTTGGTCTTCTTCGGTACTTCGAGTTGGTAGATTTCTTTTCCATTGTCGCGGTAGCAAATGGAGTTGTTGCCGAGATCTTTACGGACCTTCTTCAACAAAGTCTCAAGATCAGCAAGGCATTCGTCGATGGCCTTCTGGCTCTCGTCATAGTCTTCCTCCACGCCAGGAGCTGGTACAAGGATACCCTCCGACTTGGCAAGATCGCGATCAAATGCTGTCTTCCACTGTTCTAGCGCGCCAGCAAGGTCTGGCATTGAGGCAATCAGCTGCCCAATGACACCTTCGCCATCGCCAAATTGCTTTAGCAGACTAACAGTGTACTCAATCTGCTCAAAGCCCTCGAGGACTTTGAGGAAGTCTTGAGCTTTGCAGCGACCAGCATGGACACGCGAGATGAGTCGCTCAAGATCAGGCAACTTGCTAAGCGAGGAACTAAAACTGTCCATGATGGTGGAGTCGGCGTTGAGAGCATCGACAGCATCGAGACGAGCGTTGATCTTCTGTGCGTCTGCGAGAGGGTGGCACACCCACTGCCTCAGTAGCCGCTTGCCGAACGGTGTGATACATCGGTTCAGCATAGTGAACAGTGTGCCTTCACCAGAACCATTGAAGTTGTTGGCGAAGATCTCAAGGTTGATCAAGCTCTGACCATCAAGCACTAAGCTTGTGGCCTTCCGGATAGGATCGTACCATTGGAAGTTGCCTAGTGTAACGAGATCACGTTCGATCTTCAGAGTACGCAAGTACTGCAAAAGGGCACCGAAAGCTGACATGACTAGCTCTTGCTCTCGTGCTTCACGGAGCACCGGCGGCCAAGCTTCGATGTTGTCTTCTGTTAGGGACTCGAAGTAGTTGTTGACCTCGATCTCACGCACTGTTATATCCGCAGGCCAGAACTCCTTTGTAGGCTTCAGTGAGTTCCAGAGGGTTGTTGGCGGGGTGTTGTTCTTGAGGATTCGTAGGGCCTTTGCGGAGATACAAGATTTCTCGATGAGGAGTTCACCCGGCCGCATTTGAGCAATGAGTGTCTCGAACTTGGTCATGTCGGCGTCGTCGGTGAACTCGCACAGCTGGAACTGAGCGGTAGCAGTATCGACGAAGGCAACACCAAACGCAGGAAGATTATCGCGGTCGATCTCCTTGACAGCCATACAGTAGGTTGACATCTCATTTTGGAGCATGCCAGTATCCACGAGGGTACCAGATGTGAGGACAGAAGCCAGCTCACGCCGAATGACTTTGTCCGCTTTCTTGGGAGCACTCTTCTTGTCGCCACCGCGCTCGCGCATCTCCTTTGCCAGTGCTGACTCCATCTGATCCACGCGCGCAACTTTGTAGCCTTTCGCTACGAATTGACTGGCCCACATATCCAATGAGGCTTCGGGCACACCGACCATCCGCATGTTGACTCGGTCTGTCAGCTTGAGATCAAAGAGCTGGTGGCCCACAGACGCATCCTTCTCGTAGAGCTCGTAGAATTTGCCCTTCTTGAAGAACACAATCGAATCCCAGAACTTGCATTTGATCTCCCAGTATTGTTTCTCGAATGGAGAGAAGTTGTTCCAGGCGCCGGGTGGGATGTACAATGTGCGTGGGTCGTAGTCAGGGTGGTCCGGTAGATTTCGGTCAGCATCCTGCATGTTCGCCAGCCATGGGTATCGCTTCTCTGGCTCAGATGCAGATGGTCTCTCCTTGAGCTTGGGCTTCTTCTTCGTGTCTTGAGTCGCTGGTCGAGGTTTTGGTTGCATAGGGTTCTCGGGGTCGTAAACCCATTGCTGTGCAGTCGAGGTGCCAGTCATGGCAGTACCGACTTCATCTTCTTCCTCCTTATAGACTTGAACTTGTGGTGGAGAGGACGCAGGTGTGGCTTTCGTGCTAGGCTTCGAGGACATCGGTCGCTTGCGTTTCTTCGAGACAATATCCTCTTCAGAGTCATCTGGTGCGATGAAGTCGTCCATGTCTGTTGTCAAAGTCAGCACAGTTTTCTCTACAATGTACGAAAGTGGAGCTCTCGTCCGTACCATCTTCGATCATAGCCTGCTGTGTGGCAGCGTCCAGGCCAAACTCATCATCTGAGTCGTCGTCAACGCTCACCCTTTGCCGCTTTGTAGCCCTTGCTCTCGAGTTATTCGCAATTGGTCCGAGTACATCGTCCTCCTCGTCATCAGACTCGGCATAGTTGACTGCCTTTCTGCCCTATGCATAGTCAGCTTTTTGGCGTATTGGAGTATGTACTGTTTGCATACCTTGCGTGACGGGCTGCTGAGGACAACACCTGCAATCTCTGACGCAACACGGTCAGTTTCTGTACCTGGTGTAGAGACGCGTGAAGGCAGACCATTCTCCTTGTTTCTTCCTGCTATTGGAGTATCTTCCTCGTTCTGCCGTACTGGACTCGAGGGTTCAGGTGCATCGCTGCTGGGAACTGGTGTGAGGGCTGGAGGCGGGCGAGAGAATGACTTCTTGGACAATGTGGATGTGGGTGTTTGTTTTGCTGGTGTAGGTTGAGACGGAGCGGGACTTGGTGAGTTGGTTGACTTCTTTTGGAAGAAGCCGAGGATGGACTTCTGGTTCTTCGCCGACTGTGAGCCTGACGGTGGCTGTTTCTTCTGTGAGGGGCGAGGCGTCGACATCTCGTTTCCTTCGACTCCACGGACCATGCTTGCAGCCTCAAAGAAGTTGAACTGTAAGTAAGTGAGGTGCGGCGAATGGTTGAGAGGTCAGATATGTCAAGTCGCGCTTTCCAACGTTTCCGGGATAGGCGCGACGCGTTCGCGCGTCGATGTGGGGCCCTCCACTTTAACGTTCAGCCACATGTGCGAATTCACTTCTAGAATCTAATGTGATTGTCTGTTGTACATGGGGGTCTGGTCAACTTTTGTATTGTCTTGAACTCAATCATCCCCTCCTCATTCATTCTTCGACTTGTACACCTTCACGCCGAGCAGCTTATCAACAGCCCAGCTATGGCCCCCTGCCCAAATCGGCCCTCCTCTCCACAGCGGCAGAATCTCATCTGAGTTCCGTCTTCGCTCTGCGATTGCCGTTTCCCACTCTCCTTGTTGGAAGCGCTCGACATCGTCTCTGCTAACAGTGTGTGTACGTGTGTTTGCAGCCATACTCCAGAAGCCAACGATATGACCTTGATCAATCTTGTGCTTCAAGAAACCTGGATTGCGCTCTTGATCAAGCAGTCGTAGAAGCTCAGAGCACGTGAACTCTTTCTTGCCCCTGGGCAGCGTGACATTGCTTAGCTGGCTGCGATGTGATGACTGAGGAATGTCGGTGATGTTGATGCCCGTCAGGCTGAACGGTGTATACAGCAGCTTGAGACCCAGACTGAGAAACACTGAGATCGGGAAGTCGAGGCCAAGTGCGCATGCACCTTCTACTGCAGATACGAAGGTGAGCCTTGGTGGATTTGTGGGCGTCGAGAAGAACTGTAAATGTCGCTGAAACGCTGTGTAGCTTTGTCGAGACATGATGTATGGTCTGAATGTTGTTTGGACAGTTTCGAGGAGCAACAGTCAAGTATGGCCTTTAAGGTTGACTACCTGTTCAGACCGTTCAGATCTACGGAAGATGAGTCCTGACGTCATCATCACAACGATGTATTCTGGCCGTTCGCAACCACAAGTCAGGGGCGTCGAGTAGACTGAGAGCCTGCGCAATATCGAAACAACCTTCACAACTTCTGTTAAAGGTCGTTTTTGTTACTTCAATTGAAGAATTGTTGAATAACTCCATATCAGACCCAATACGTAGGTGAAGCATTGGTTCGATGGCTTTACCTGTGGATGCTCCAATGGATTTGCAGTCTAAACCGAGACGACGCATGATAGATCGTGTGAGTAAATACAACGGTGACTACAGCATCTGGGTGGGCGACAGCTCAGATAACTTACACCTGAGGTGTAATACAGCGAGCAAGGCCTGCGCTGAGGACCAAGCAAGTCCTGTTTGACATTCCAACAGGTCATCTGCTCCTCAACCCGTTCGAGTGAGGTAGCACTGTCTATGCTTTTATTCCTATTGCTCAACTCACAACAATGCACTTTTTCTTACAGTTGACTGTCTCATCTGCATTCATTCCTTTGTTTCATCGTCCCTAAGCTCTCCTTTCGTCGTTATGAGATGACAAGAACGAAGAAGAGGTGCACAAAATGTGCTTCGCTGCACACAAGGTATCCAAATAATGCGATTGACAATAGGCAATGAGCGGAGTACAATAGGATTATGTTTCGTGTAACGTCGGATGGTTCGATGCAACTGGGGCCGCGGACATTGGAGCATGAGGGAAAGACAATGAGTGGCAGAAGCACCCAACTGTACGACGATCTTGTTACTATAGCAGAGAATAAGATGCAAGGTACGCGGTCCTTGATGGCTGGACATGGTAAAGCCTATGCATTCCGAGCCTCTTTGAGCGCTCGGCCACTCCCTGGGACCCACTAACATAACCAGGCGAGATGAAGTGCATGCCATTATCCAAACAACACCGAACTGCGAGGGCAAAGTCAAGGTTGTATAAAGATTTCCGGTCGGACTCCTCGTCTCAAGCATCACACAGGCACTCTCATAACTCGTTTCAGATGGGATTTTGGTCATTATCTCTTCAATTTCGGCTCTTGATTCGATGTTTCGGCATCTAAGCAAGCAACTTTACTAACCAGCAGCTCTAACTACTAACCACAGGCTACTAATCAGCAGCTATACTGACAAGCAGCTTTCTTTTTCTTTGGCAGAGTACAGAGCATTAAGTACAGAGCATTGATGTACACTGCCTTGGATCAGCTTGCTGATAAAGCAAATAGGAACCACCAGTCAGCTCAACTCCAGTTGTCCCTCTTGTGTCGACCCCAGTCGTTCCTCCAGCGTCCTCGACTCCCGTCGTTCCCCAATTCCATCGACTGCGATCGCCGCTCCTCCGGTCTCCTCCACTCCAGCACCTGGAGCGCCATCCACCAACGTGACCGGCGGAACCTACCTCGGATGCGTTGTCGACACCGACACCAGCACAACGCTGGCCGGACGTCTCCTCGACGGTTCTGCGTTCTCTTGCCAGACCGCTCTGACCACCCAAGAGACTTGCCGCGACCTCTGCACGATCTCTAGCACCACCGCTCTCAACGCCCCGTACAAGTACTCCGCTATCGAGTTCGATCGTGACTGTTGCTGCGGCAACAACTTCCGTTACACGCCTATCCAGTCTCCTGCCATAGACTGCGATGTCACCTGTCCCACGATTACCGGTGCCCAATGGTGTGGTGGCACCAACCGCATGAGTCTGTTCCGCAACCTCGCGGTCTCTGATACTGTGAGCCTAACCTCTCTCAATTTTTTGGCTCGAATGCTCTATGCTCTGCAAAAGACAAAGAATACTGTCCCCTACCCCTTATGATCGGGTAAGTACGGTATGTCTGCGCTGCGGCCCGGACCTCACAATACTATTGGTATGCCCGTGACTGGCAGACTTCATAACACTGCGATTCAACCACCGTCACGACAACGGACTCTTACGACCCACAACTACCACTTTCGTCATCATACACATGCCACAACACGACGACCGCTCCATTGTAGCTCGTCCGCCATCGGGACTGCTCGCCGTCGACCACAATCGGTGAGTCTCACCTTCTGCCCCCTTCTTATGCACTGCTGACATGTCTTGATAGCCTGCACAACCAGGGTCTACGAATCGTTGATCTGTCTGTCCACGAGCTATCCTCCGCTCACTAACTTCATGACGATGCGCAGCGCTACGTCGCATAGTTACGGTAACGAGCATGACTAACTTGTCCCGCAGCCTCTGGTCCCGTCCACTCCAGTTGTCTCTGTTCCTGTCGAGTCGACTCCTGGTGCATCATTGCCAGTCGATATTCCAGAGTCCGCTCCTGGCATATCCGTTCCAGTCTCCGTCCCCATCGAGCCAACTCCTGGAGCATCGCTACCCGTCGGCATTCCTGAGTCTACTCCTGGTGTATCAGTCCCAGTCTCTGTTCCCTCCGAGTCTACTCCTGGTGTATCAGTCCCAATAACTGCTCCTGAGGTGTCCTCCACTCCTGAGGTCTCATCAACTCCTGTGATCTCTGAGCCTGTCGAGTCTGGCCCTGGTGCATCTGCCGGCCCGATCCAGTCTACTCCTGACGTCCCTGTCCTTACTCCCACGCCTGCACCCAGCGACTCAGGCATTATCAACCCCATCCCCAACCCACCTGAGTTCAGACCCGATGTGATCCCACCCAGCACACCAGGTGTGCCCACATCATCCCCTCGCCCACTGCCTCGACCCAACTACCCCATCCACCCACCCTCCGAGGTCGGCGATGGCGTCGACGCACTGTACTTCTACAACGGACCGTACGCACCCCGCCCTTACCCACCAAACGGGGGTAGCAGGCCCACGCGTCCTCGTCTCCAGCCCAACCCCAACAACGGCGGTAACAATGGTCACCCGGTTGGCGGATACCCTGTCAATGGTGGCTACCAGCCCCGTCCCCGCCCGACCAAGACACAGCCGACTGCTACGCGCAGGCCGTGGAAGCCTCGGCCTACAGTCAGACCTTGGGAGGGTGGAGATGGGTACCACGCGAACCCCGTCGCTGCTCGCGCTGAGCGCCGATGGTTTGGTCTGTGGTGAACCATCTTCTTTTCACGAGGAGGATTGTAATGGGTAGGATGGAGGGGGGGGGGGGAGAAGATTGTATGAATATTGTTAGCAGGGTTGGGAGGATTCCTCAGCAGGCGATCGATTTGTTGGCCGTGTTCGCACTCATTTGACGGATCTGTATGGCTTTTGTTTGCATAGTGCTTAGTTTTCGATTCTGAGACTGGACCAAGTAGCGGTCTGGTCTGGTAGTCAGCAATAATGCATTCGTTTTAGTGCTCAGCTTTTTTTTTGGTGTAGAACTGTCACTTCTACCCATGCTCCGTGTCTCTATCCCTTCAGCCTTCACTTTATCTTTTGACGTTGGTTGCTTTGTGATATTGACTTGGACTTGCACGGGACTGTACTAAGATGTTCTGTTCGAGAGGACCGGCTCTTGTCTGCCGTTCGCTGTTGAGACGATGACTTTAGGACTGACATGAAACAAGATAACGTTGGGGTAGTATACGCTTATGCTCCGACCGCTCCCGGTTTCTGTATTCCAATTCAGGCCGTCTCGAATGGAATCTATGGATATCACGAAGTATGTAACAAGAAGAAGAATCACGGACGATACGGAGGCAGCTCCTATGCTTTCTCCTTCTCCTTCTCCTTCTTGTCGTGGTGGTGCTTGTGTTTTTCCTTCTTGTCGTGCTTGCTCTCTTTCTTTGCGGCGGCTTCGGCCATCAGCTGTTCGAAGGCCATGAAATCGCCTTCTTCTTCGGGGTCACGCTCGGCCTGAATTTCTGTCAGGGATCTGGCTATAGATGATTTGGGACAGGAGTGGGTTTACCTTCTGGCACATCTCACCGATGATTACAAGAGCATGCGCCCTCTCTACGCGCTTCTCCAGCTTGACCTTCTTATCGTTAAGCACCTGATCGCAGACATCTCTCAGCACGCTTTGGATCTCGAACTTGCTTCCCCTCCAAGCGGCCGCCAGGATCTTGCCCGTGACCTTCTTCTCGTACTCAGCCTTCTTCTCGTCTGTCCAGCCCTCGCCGCCCTGCTCTTCCAGCTTCGCCATCTCCTCCATGGTGAGCTGTGCGTCGATCGCGGCGCTCATGGTGTTCCATGTGTCTTTGACCAGTGTGCCCTTGTCCTTGATGCGGCTAAAGAAGCCGGAGATGCCGAGGAATTTCTGCGATTTCAGGAACGAGGAGGCTTTCATGAGGTATGTTGCGCCGATGGCGTGCAGGATCTCCAGACCGAAGGATTCCATCTTTAGGTTCTCGATCTCGAGGGCGATCTTGTCCTTGAAGGCTTTGGTGACGTCTGTGGCCTTGTCGGTCTCAGTCCATAGCGAGATGCGCTCGGTGAGCTTCTTGGACAGGTTGGAGACGCGCTCGTCGCGGATCTTCTTACGCTCCAGCTCGTATGCTGCGAGCTCCTCGCGCTGCTCTTTTGTGAGACCGCCCTTCTTGTTCTTCTCCTTGTTCCTTAGTTCCTTCTCGGCGTCGGTCATGTTTGCTGCTTCCATGCGTGCGTCCTCCTCGGTCTTGTCCATGATGGCAGGCCGGATTGGGATACCGCGTTGCCTGGGTGTGCTTGTGCCGGACGAGGTACCTGCAGCAGCGGCAGGTGGGACGGTCGAAGGGGTATCAGCGGCGGGTTCGGCGTACGCAGGCGGTGGTGCAGCGTATGCTGGCGGCGCATCACCACCGTGTTGGGCTGCAGCACGCTCTGCTGCGGCTTCGGCCTCCTTTGCTTTGGCGCCAGCAGTGGGCTCGGTCGCATCCGTCGCGGTCGCGGTCGCGGTCGCGGTCGCGGTCGACGCGCCAGCTGCAGGCGTTGTGCCAGCCGTTTGGCCGGCGGCGGTAGAGGCAGAGCCGCCAGCGGCAGCTTCTGCTCGTGCAGCTTCGGCCTCGGCGGCTTCCTGCTCCTCCATCTCGCGCATGGAGATCTCCATGGTCTTGGTGAGGTCCTTCATGAGCGAGATCTCGCCGATCCTATGCCTGTTAGTCTCCCTGCCCTAGACCAGCAACTCTCCAGGAGCCTCATACCAGTCCACAAAGGCCTCTCCACCGAAGATCATGGTGAAGAACTCAGACGGATCCTCTGCCGGAGGGTTAGCGCACTGCAGCCACTACATCTTTCCCTTGGTGCCCTACCGAATCCGCTCTGTGGTACAGCCCCCTCCTTGCCATACTTGTCGTAGTTCGCGCGCAGTTGGTCATCGCTGAGCACCTGATATGCTTCTCCAATCTGTCATCATATGAGCCCCGCCATCCTCGCAATATCGCAAACGCAGCCGAACGGCGCCTTGGTGAGCGGTCGACGTACCTCCTGGAACTTTGCGTGTGCGGTCTCATCGCCAGGGTTCTTGTCTACGCGGCGTCAGATATGCTCGTTGCGGTTGCTATGCAAAGCTTCGCGTGGTTACCGGGGTGCAGCTTGATCGCAAGTTTGCGGTAGGCCTTCTTGATTTCCAGTTCGGTCGCTGTGGGCGGCACGCCCAGGGCGTCGTAGTATGCGGTCTCTAGCACCATTTTGCAAAACAACAGCTTACAGAGGGGGAGGTGAGAAAGTCGGTGGGATATGTGCAGGCCGTTGGGCTTAGTTGGGATAGGCACGGTCAAAATGTGGCCGCCTGCACCGCCACTAATTACGTCGTGCGCAACCCAGCTCTTCACATGGCAACAGAGCTACGGAACGCACGGCTGGGGCTGGCAGCAAATCTGGTGCTTGTCACGTCCCAGCCGGTTTTACTAAGCGACGCTCCACGGCTCTGTCCGCATATCTTGTTACTCTCTCATTCGTAAATTTGCTAAATAAAAGAGCTCAGATCTATCAAACTTGGATCCCAAACCCACGTACCGCCCGAGTCACATAACTCGTCATGACCATAAATCATGTCAGACCCCAAGATGACCGATCGCCGCCCCATGCAGACGCCATGCTAGAAACCCAATCCCGTAATCATGATCGATACGTGAAAATGCTTTTGGGTAAACCGGGTAGTAAATTACGCTCGAGCGCAGTCTGCGCGTAGACTGCGCTTCAACGTATTGGACAGAGAAACCGCAGAGGCAAACCTCTGCTTCGACCATGTTCGAATCTTGCCAACTCCACGTCTCTGCAAACGCTTAGACGGTAAACTTGGCCTTCGCACGGGTGCTGCCGGAGTGAGCAGCGTCGGTGTGACCAGAGAACTCAACGGCCTCGTTGTCCTTGAGCTGGAGAGACTGCTTGAATCGCTTGCCAATCTTCTGGAGTGCCTCCTTGCCCTGCTCTTGTGTCCTGCCCTTGCCCGCCTCGCCAGGAATGGCACGACCGACGGAGCGAGTCCACAGACCGATACGGTAGAATCCTCGCCTAACGTTGACAACTACGCCCATGACCTCGTTGTCATCCTCGTCCTCAAGGTTCTCGCCGATGGCAGCGAGCATAACATGGAGCCAGAGCGCGTCGATGTTGATAGCCTTCTTGTCCTTGAACTGGAACGCCCACTTGCCGCCGTGCTTGTTCTGAGAGTCTTCCCACTCAGGGCGGACGCCCCTCTTGAAGAGATGGTAATCAGACTTCAGCGCCAGGTCGGATGTGGGTGTAATGTTGTTCTAGGGAGCGCGTTAGCGTTAATGCCCACCATTGCTATTCCGTGGCACATACGTAGATACCCCAGAACTCCTCAACTGAGTCGAACGAGATAACCTCCTTGAGCAGCTCAGCCCAGTTGTCGCCCTATCATTGTTAGTAAAGCTCCCCAGCATGCGTCATAAGCCGTCTACGCACCTTGCCGCTTGGGGGCTTGGTAAACCAAAGGGTCCATGTGTTCATGAGCGGGTGCTTGACGTTGAAGTTCTCGGGATCGTGGAAGACGGTGCGGGCGGCATTGTCGTCTGTGGTGGCGCTAGTGGAGGACTTCTCCTGGCCTTCGGATGACGAGTTGCCCTCGACGGGCGAGATGGGGATTGTGTCCAAGGGGACCTGCTGGGAGGGGTTCGGTGCGGTGGCGACGTCAGCCATTGTGATTGTGGTGGAGGTGTTGAGAGGCGGTGGTAGTGAGTGGAGCTGCGAGTGGCAGACGGATCGTATGCGAGTGCGGAGGTTGCTGGTGGGTGGATCGCGGTGGTGGAGGGGTCGTTGAAGTCGCGCCGGGCGATTCTTCAAGGATAAGTAGTCGCGGGGGTGGTCTGTCTAGAGTGCTGCAGAAGGCGAAAGTGGTGTATGCGCGGTGAAGGTAGCTGCGGTCGGCGTGTGTGTCTGCTCTTTCATATTTTCGCTTCAGCAGCAGAAGTCGCGAGCGATACGCCAAGCCACTAGTCAGGCATCTCAAAACACCATGTGAGAGAAGCCATTGTTACAGGCCGCATTCAGGCACGTGTGGACAATGGGCGTCTCGAATTCAATAGCATACGCACATCCATTCTTCAGTAATAAAGTAGTAGTCGTTCAAGATGCATTAGGTTCGACTATATTCCTGCGTCTACGAAAAAGGTATGTCGCTGCCATTATAACACATATGGGCATGAAGATTACTATTTTCCGGCAGCTTAGAGCTCGCTCTTCTCCGTCACAACCTTTACCGCTTCAACTGCCTTGGCCTTCGGCTCTATCCATCCCAACAACTCTCCCACTTGTTGCTTGAGCTCGTAGTATGCAATATCGAATCGAGCACCAGCCAGGTAGGCAACGAAGATCTAGAACCATGTTAGAGTATGTCTGCCGCAAAAGATCCGTACAACTTACCATGCAGCCTGTGATGATAAGCACTGTAAGGATGACTGCCGCAGTCATGTAGATCAGGTCCCACCTGTCCTCGTACGCCTGTTTCTTCGCCTTCTCAGCCTCCTCGACGCTGGCAGGCGACTTCTGGTCAACAGGCGGTTTCTGGGACGGGAAGATGGACTCGGTGAACTGTTCTATCTGAAAGAGAGTTAGCAGTGTATTTGGAAAGATAGAAAAGGCTGCTTACCCTTCCAATGGTGATGCTGATCTTCAGGAAGTTGGGGTCGTGCGGGTTGTTCTTCTTCGCAATCTTGCGAGCATACCGCTTGAAGACTTCGCAGACCAGCTGGAGGTTTTGCGACGACTCGACCATCAACTGGCAGGCCTCGCCCTTGGTGATCTTCACGTTCTTCTCGAAAATGTCGTAGTTCTGGAAGCAGGCGTTCAGTGTCGCAATGGCCATAGTCTGAGGGATGGCGCAGAAGTTAAACACACTCTGCTCCCTAAGACCTGCAAGGTAGTACAAACAATCATCTGCGCGTGTCAGAGCTGTGTAGATCATCTCTGAACTGCAGTCCAGGGCCTTCTGCTTGTTCTCGGGCTTAAAAAGGTCTTCGAAAGTGTCGACGTGCTTGGACCAGATCTCCTTGGGCCAGAATCGTCGCTTGTCGTCCAAGTCCTCCTTGATGTCACGAGTGATGTTGACCTGCTGGAGAAATTGTCCCATAGACTCCATGAGCTCCGGCTTCTTCAGCAGCGCAGTGTTGGCAAGGCCAGCCTCTACGAAAAGGCGTGTCAACCCTTCACCAACAAGACCTGCGACGTAATGGCAGTACAGCTCGTAGTCGCGAATAGTGTCGACGCCGACAAGGTTGTGCTCCGCGTTGTTGGCGTAGTCAGCCATGCCGTTGCCCATGCGCTTGGTGATGTCCTTGATGATCTCTCTGTACGCCGGCTTGATGTGCTTGAACTCCTCAATGACCACATTGAACTCAACCAACAGCTGCCTGTCCTTCTCGTTTGGACCGTTCTCAGTGAAGGTCCACCCATCCTTCTCCAAGATATCTTGGAAGTTTCGCAGAATGGGCTCTTTCTTCTCGAGGGGGATGGTCATGTCGTCCTCTACTGTGTCGAGTCCACGCAGGATGAGGTAAAATAGTGTGACGGGGACAAGCAGCTCGGGATGCAGCTCCATGATGACGGCCGCGAAACTGCGGCTCGTCAGGTTGAGAAAGTGGAAGCATCGCTTGAGGTTCTCGGAGTCCTTCGCTTCGTCGCGTTCGTGAACGGGGTTATGCCAGACTTTCCTGTATGGGTGTCAATACAAGAATTGCTGCGAATAGCACCTGGAACACAGTGTGCAGGTAATGCCGAAAGCGCCCTTACCACTGGATGATCGAGCGCAACTCATTCGGGTGGAAGACATAATAGGCAATGCTCTTGGGCGACACCATGGCTGCTGAAACTCTGGGAAGTCGCTCGTGTGGAGAAGTGGGTTAGCGCGCCTCGTGACAGCTGGGCAATTATCGTGTAGGGAGACTCAATGACCCGATTGTAGACAGGCAATGCGTGAATTCAGCGAAGAAGTCAGGCAGCGAGAACGTGAGTTGTCGTGGAGCGCGAAGGATGAGCAAAATGCGGCCTGTATGGGGGGCTCGAATGCATAGCGGCACAATTCATCCGTGCACGGCGCAAGGGCCGACCGCTACTCGCTGGTAGCAGCTCATCTCCATAGCTCCGCATCGTGTGAGTAGCTCGTCCGCGTCAGGGTTCAACCACCAACAGAAGAGCGGCAGGACTTGTTCTCGACCAACTATCGGTCTACGCTATCACGAAAGCACATCAAATGTACGATATGGCTCACGCTGCTCCTAGACTGCACTTGGTGAGAAAGGTCTTCACTTTGTGTACGACTCGTGCTAGCAATACCCCGTCTTGGCTAACGATCATCAAATTCGTGACAAGCAACTCCAGCTACAAATGCTCAACGTGCCGCGTGTGGGCATGCCATAGTTCAGTCTCATGGATACCACCTGCGCCAAAACACTGTCTCAAGTAAGCTAGCTCGTCAAAGACCCAGCCTTAACAACCAGCACACTCGCACCAAGCTTCCCTTCCCACACCTTCTCAGCCAACAAACCCAGCGTACTCGACGCACTCGACGCGCTCCTGATCTCGTCCGTGTTCTCAGCACCAAGCGCATTGTTCCTACTAATATTCCTGCCCAGCACGATCAAGTCCCCTGCATTCTTCGGCGACTGTCCGACCTCGATGCTCGCGCGTGCAATCACGTCTTTGACAGGTTGTTCAGAGGTAACAGTCTCGAAGACAACACGGTTTGCTAGGTCTGCTGGTAGTGAGGCGCTCAGCGACGCGAAGAACGCTGCGCCTTGCTCACGGGTAGATGGTTCGGTGGTGGTTACTACTGTCTCGCCCGCTTTGCTGGGCATAGCGGCGGAGGAGAATGTGGATGTCGTTGGGCTTCCAAGGAAGGAATCTGGCACGTCGAAGTGCACGAGCGTAGCAGTGACCTGCGCGTTCTCTGCGAGCTGGAGCACGAGACGCAGCGCAGCGCGGTCGTCTGCGCCGCCGAAGAAGGGGAAGAAGATGTGGTGGCTGCGGTCTGCAATGGGCGCTGTGACGGCCTGGTCTGCGTGCAGACTGACGCTGCTGTATGTGCGAGTGAGTTTGAGGTTTTGCTTGCGGTCTTTGTTTTTGCTGCCGCCGAAACTCTTGTTTACGAGCACGGCGACGGGGATGCTGGATGCGTCGAGTGTGGAGTTTACGAAGGCGATGTAGGAGGATGCTGCGAGCTTGTTTTTGGTGCCTTTGTCTTCGATGATGGCTTGCTCGGACATGCCGCCTGTTTCGCTCCAGGGGAGGAGCAGGAGGTTCGAGTCCGAGGCGCGCGTGGCTAGGGTGTCGGCGAAGGAAGACTCTGGTACCACCAGGGCTTCTCCGCTGACTGCAAGGTTGTGTAGGCGGCCGAAGGCGCGGAATGTGTTGACTACGGGATCGTAGGCAGTGTAGCTTTCCATTTCAGAGACTTGCATGACGGACGAGCCACGATCAGTCAAGTTGAGCAGGCGCAGACCGTAAGCCTCAACAGGTCGGTTGGGTGCGACTTCGTCCAGTGATGACTCGCCAGTATCTTTGCTCGTGCTGGCAGCAATCGAAGGATGGACCTTGGGCGCAGGCTTCTGAGATCCTCCGAATAATGATGTGAAAGCAAGCAGGTTAGGCATGCTGTCCAAACGCAGGTATACTGTAACCCGCCTGATCTTCTCGGCGGCCAATTTGTCAAAGTAGACGCCGTCTGGAACACTATCAGTGCCGTCCAGAGGTCTGCCGGTATCCCAGTCGATCTCGCCGCGGCGCCAAGCCTCTACCTTCTTCTGATACCAAGGTGGGTAGAAGTACATAGTGAGCGGGGATGATGCAAACGTCGTAACAAGCGCCATGACAACAAATATGGTGAACGTTCGCGTGCTCAAAATTTTGGCGTTCAGTCCAATATTCTGCTTATGTTAACTTTGTCTCCTGTTAGGTCTCGATGAACTTACAAGCACAATCAACTCGACAAGACCCTTGCAACTCATTAAGGAGCCAATAGCAAAGCATTCACGCCACAGCATCTTCGTCCCTCGAGCTGCGAGTGTGGCGCCGATGAATTTTGAGAAGAAGGCAACTGCTATGACGCCGAATACGTAACCCCAAACGATCCCAGAGTCGAGAAGACCAATGTTGGTGTTGAGTCCGGAAAGTGTGAAGTATAACGGCAGGAACAGAGCGCCGATCAAATCTTCAATCTTCTCAGCAACTTTGATGGCAAATCCGCCCTCGTGAGGGCAGATCAAGCCCGCCATAAATGCTCCGAAAATAGGATGTACTCCGATAATTCCCGTGAAGAAAGCGGAACCCAGAGCAATGATGAGCGTAAGAGCAATGATGCCCTGGCTTGGTCCATCCTGCAAAGCACCGGACCTGCGCAGAACCCATACAAAGACTGGCCGAATTGCGTAGATCAGGAACAGCATGTAGCCTACACACGTCAATAGCACCCACAGTGCCGCAAGACCAGTGCCCGCATTGACAAGAGCGACGCAGAGCGCAAGCAGAATCCAGCCTACAACGTCGTTGCCAACTCCGGCTGAAAGTACAATGACACCAACGGGAGTCATCAGAAGCTTAAGCTCAGTGAGGATACGGCAAAGCACGGGAAAAGCCTAGAAACGTCAGTAAATCGTCGTGAACGATGGTTCAAAAGCACTTACAGTGATAGCCATGGCTACACCAATGAAAAGCATGAAGATAGCGAAATCAATCTCCACCATTCCTGGCTCGTCTTTGAACTCGTTGTAAAGTCCAACTGCAATGGCGCATCCCAATCCAAAGGGAATGACCATGCTGACGACACCGACATTGAGGGCCACTTTCCAGTTGCTCAGCAAGAAACGTAAATCTACTTCTAAGCCGATTATGAAGAGGAACAAGGTCAGACCGAGATTGGCGACGAGATTCAGGTTGGTCATAGACTGCGCAGGGAAAATCGCCGCAGTGAAGCCTGGGATGCGACCAAAAACCGAAGGACCAAGGAGGATACCGCCGATGATTTCAGATATAACGCGAGGCTGGTGGATCTTCGAGAGGGGCCAGCCAAGAGCGCGACAGAAGATTATGATGATTGATGCCTGTGGTGTGCATGGTCAGCACGTTGTAAAGGATAATGCCATTTAGACACGGAGCGATCGTTTACCTGAACAATGAAAAGGATGATCGGGTTCTTTGCATCGAAATGCACAGGATTGACACCTTCAAGTACACCACCCTGCGGTGGTGCCTTTGCCGCAGCCGTCGCTGACGCGACCGCGGACGAAGCTGACGCTACTATCGACATGATGAACAGGTGGGGTATCGCGGAGAGGCTGGACCCCGAGCTCAAATGTCGCAGCAGGTGTCGGACCCCAAGAAATGTTGTGGGAACGTGAAAGGATCAAATAGCTGTCAGAAGATGAAGCTCAGACCAGGGCGCAGTGTCAGCCCAGCATGCAAGACGAATACGAGATCCTGCGATTCGGCGGCGTGTCTCGCGGTTGGGCATATGCAGGGCAGCGGACGGTAGTGAAGGCAAGGGTGTGTGCAGGCCATGTGACGGCTCATGGAGGCCTCGTGGTATATATCGATGGGGTCGTCCTGCACTCTAGGCGGTGAAGAAGCGAGTGGTCCCTGGGGCATGGTGGGATGAATACCCTGGTGGCGCAACGCGCGTGAGGAGCCTGGCGGCGAAAGCCAAGAGAGCGGTGCATCCGACGAATGGCACACGATTATTTTTGAGGCAGCTGTTGACGGTCTAGAGCGGATTGGGAGTCTGCTGCTTTTCGCACATCGCGCCTAACAATTGTTGTGTTCATGCGATGCATGATTTGAGAATGGCGAGCGCACTGTCTGTGATGAGTGTGGGGAGATTTAACATTGTGGGGTAGGTGGAGGGAAAGTCCCTGCCCTTGTGATCCAACAGGCAAGCACGGCAAAGAACTGAGCGATCTAGATATCGCCTGTTTCAGCCATCTTTATGTCAACATACCAGAAAGCAGCTCAAATGTCAAGGTCCTTCATTGTTTCCAAGCTCGAAGGTATCAACGTTGACCAGGGCATGTCGCACATGCCGTCTATCCCGCCACGATGCTATTTCGATATACTCTTGGGGTACACTCCTACCAAGGCACTAGAGAGTGGGCATCTCCACCGAAGCTGGGCTCGGCGGCAAGTCACCGGTCGACCATTCAACCTTGTCCGTGCCAAGCACGAAATCCAAAGTACCGCCATTGGCAAAGATATCCGCCCAGGTCACCCATGACTTGTCCCAAGGCTCGCCGTTAACCTTTAAGCTCTGGACATAGGGAGCACTGTCACGATTACCACCAGTCGTCGATATAACAAGCGTCTTGTCGTTTCCAAGAGTGATCATCATCCTATCGAACCACGGGGCAAGAATGAGGAAGGTCGTCTGTCCTGTCATCGGCCAAAGACCAATCATCTGCCACTATCGCCGAGTGTCAGTATCAAGATGCAAACGATTGCTGGCTACGACTTACCACCAGGAGACTCTCCATAGCCCCAGCATCTGAGTTGCCTGGCAGACCGCTCTCGCCTGAATTATACAGAGCACTGATCGCTCGTGCTCTTGCCACACTCCTCCACTGCTGCCCATGTACAAAATTATACAAATACGGACTGGTAAAGCCTGGCTCATTACCTGCATTAAAGATCTTGAGATCGAAGAGCTTGTCTAGTCTGTCGATGAACCTCTCATCACCACCAATCCTCTCCTTCAGCTCCGCTACGTCGTGTATCGCGTTCATGCTGTATATCCAGGCGTTGTCTTCGTAGTACGCATCGCCCCAGTAACACCCTCCGCAGTCCTTCGGACCTTGTGGGACGAACGACCCGTTCACCTGCCTAGGGACGACGAAGCCAGAGTGACCTTCTGACGTAGCGTTGGGGTTCCAGTGATTCCGCCAGTTGCGTGAGCGGTTGAAGTATGTGGCTGCATCCTCCGTCTTCCCAAGCCCGGCAGCAACTTGGTACAGCCCGAAGTCGTTAGTCGAGTACTCTACCGCTCGAGATACTGCGCGGGTAAATCGAGGCGTAATGTAGCCGTACTGCAGCCAATCTGGAAGTGCGCCTCTGCCTTCTTTGGTGGAGGAGTCAGGGGCTTTTGGGTCAATGAGTGTATTTGGTGGCGTGACCTCAGCATTGGTTCGCATGGCGGAGAAACCATCTTCCCAATTCACGGAGCCCCTCACACCTTTGACGTAGGCGTCGGCTAGGACGTTGTCGGCGTTGGAGCCACCTTGGACGCGTCCATTGAAGTTGGACGATCGAGCATCCGGCATAAATCCATCATGTCGCTGAATGTCGATGAGCGATCGTATAAACTCTTCGTATGCAGTGGGCTGGACTATCTGGAATAGCGATATATGGCATCGGTGGGTATCCCACAAGGTGAAGACGTCGTCGTAATATGGTTCGCTACTGCTCCACCCCGGATTCTCTCCCGTTCGATTGGAGGGAATGAGGAACATCCCGTACAGTGAGCTGTACAAGAGTTGGAGGTTTTCAGTATTGTTTGAGGAAATCTGGATCTTGTCGAAAATGTCCTTGTTCCATCGCGCCTTAGCAGCTTCAGTCAGTGACTGAATACTAGCGTTCTCATCGATCTCATCATCCAGGTTCTGGCACGCTTTTGTGGTAGAAACGAAGGAGATACCGACGCGGGATGTCACTTCAGTCTCATTGAAGCTGAAGACGCCTCCAAGTCGTACAGTGTCGGCGAACCAAGTGGAACTGTAGTTAGTCGCAATATTTTCGGAGAAGATCCTCGAGCTTGCGGCCTCTTGGCTGAATCTTCCACAGAAGTAAATCGTCCAGTCTGGCGACAGGTTCCAGCCATTGTTGTACGTGCCTGAACCTTCGTAATGTCCGTCATCGAGGAGTTTGAATGTGCCACCAGAGTAGTGCTGCTCCCAGCCGAGACCTCTGAAGCTTGGTAGTACATGAGAAACGTCCACAACAATGGAAGATGATGTATTCGTACCCCTGGGGAAGTCGTATGAATAGAGACCGGCGTGCTCAGTGGCCGCAAGCTGTACAGTGATGTTATTCGCAAGGTTGGATCTGTACCAACCGACACCACCTTGATCTTCTGATGACCGCAGTTGTGAGAGGTCCGCGAGAGGATCAGAAACGTAGCCTATCACTGGCATCTGGGATGCCACTCCATACTTCGGTGCCCCTCCTATCCAGAGTTAATCGACCTTGCATCCATAAAGCGACGCCAGTAACATACCTGTCCCGGACTCATGCATCATGCTGAAGCCCCAAATCCTACCGTCTGGCAAGTAGCCAGAGTATGCATCGGTTTTGCCATTTTGGACATCAGGCCCCAGCTTCGTCATAGCGAACGGTGCCGCCACAACTCCTGGGAATCTATTGCCCCCATCTTTGGTACCCATGCTAAGGAAACAATGAGCTGTAGGTATCAAGGACAATGGTTGACTTACAAAACATTTACATATTGGCTGTAGTCAACAGCTGCGCTACCAGTAGCTGCGAGTGTCAGGATAGTGGCTAAGTTTGATTTTGACATCCTTCAATCACTAGACCTTCTGACTGGATATTCAACTTTGGGTCAATATGTCGTTGATTGATCTGTTAATGTGTCAATCGAGAGAAACTCAGGTATATGTATATCCTGCTGAGTTACACGATTGCTGTAGGGTTGTTCTTAATCACTGCCAACAGGCTATGATATGATCCCGTTCCGTGCTTAGCGAACGTAGAACATCAATTGGGGAGGACCCGGCCAAGTAGGATATAGCCTCTCTGCAACAGCTATGCTTCGGAAGGGTTGTATGGGACTAAGATGCTGTTGAGCCGTTGTGGCTGAGGTTCGGGACAAGAGGTCAAAAGTAACTTGAGTCTCCGCAAAGACAAGACACATGCTTTTGAATAATTCCATACTGCACTGAAGCGAGGTCGACGATCGAGCGGCGTCATAGCACTTTCCGACTATGCATGGAGCGAACTATGCGTAACCAATCAGAGCCTCGTTCTGGAGCTCGTGAGCGGTTGATAGCCAAGCAGACTTTGAACAGTACGTCCACGCTCCACATAAGGATTATAGAAATACAGGAACATGTTGTGAAGAGAGAGAAGAGTAGAACTATATGGTTGGTGTGACGTCAAATTGTTGGCTAGGGTGCACAACTGTGTGACAACGCCCCGTGAGCCGAGTGAAGTCATGCTGTGACGAGGATAGTTTATTGACCCATTGTCGAAAGCCGATATACATGAGAATCCTGTTGATTCCGGGTGCAGTTGGTATCTCGAGTTCAATAGCTGCCTTGTGCCTTTGTTGGGTCCTGGCTCTTACCCCAGCCGTCAAGGTTGTGGACGATGGGACTGCGACCACCACGCGTGATGATCCACTTGACCTCTTCATCGCCATCGTTAACCTCCTGATGTTCGGCCTGCAATCATGAGTATATACCCCAGGTAGGTCAACGGAAAAATGTGCATACATATGCTGGTATCAGCGCGAAGTCTCCAGGAACTAGCTCTTGCCTTTTCTTGCCGTTATCACTGACGATAGCTCCTCTACCACTGACTGCATAGACAATTGTGTCTGTATTCGAGATCAGACTGTCGTTCAAAAGCAGAGACCAAGGTTGTTGAAGGGCCATGGAGCGCATGCGAGACCGTTCAGGGGCAATGTCGTACCTTCTTCGCCGTGATGGTGGATAGCACTTGCACTGTGAGGTTTTGCAAACATCACTACAAACATTAGTACAGACTATCTATCGCAAGCCTCATATGTCAAATACCTACTTGTACCGCAGATCTGATCCGACATGTCTACGATGGCAGGGATACGCACCATGCCATCGCTTTGAGGACCGCTTGGAGACGTGATCTCCGAGAACTTCTTGACCTTCACTTCTCCCGGCATAATCGGATCAAGTTCTGAATTGCGGTTGAGTTGTTTCGTTGAATGGGTGGAAAGTTGTTCTCAGCTGCCGGATCATGACGACAGCTGCAGCCTCCGCTTCGTAGGAAGTCACTCCGCATCAGAGTGCGATTGCAGCTTCATCACATTAGCAGCACCACCAGCGACATTAACATCATGTCGATATGCTACACGAACGACATAAATATCGGCTTCGTGGCTCCGACACGTCTTACAGCAGCTGATTGTCAGCATTTGGCTTGTGAACGCCGCGGTGCTGGCCCGTGAACGATTTGCACAGCCAAAACGCTGCGCCTCGGCATCTCTGAGGCATTGACGTCAACCACGTCTCACCTCGAAGCAGCAGGTCAGCCGCTCAATCCACACCGCAGCCAATGGCAGCGCGCTCATTGTGCTCACGAGATCGCGGGCAATACCCCCGGAATGCGCCAGATGCGGCTACTTTCATGTGCGTCCCCAGACTCCTTGGCGTGGAGCTGGCGTTGCATGTGAAAGATACCGAACACTAGTCGTTTATAGATTCACTACTTTCGTGTGGCCCTCTTTGTCTCTGCATTTCCTTCTTGTAGCATACCATTACTCTCAGCGTTCACGTCTCCTTTGCCATCAAGATGTCACAACGTTTCTCTACCGTCGATGTTGCAGCGCACAATATCGCAGACGACCTCTACATCATCGTAGATGAAGACGTCTATGACCTGACCAAATTCGCGGACGAGCATCCCGGAGGAAAGAAGAGTATGGACCTCTACCCACAACACCAATCCAAAAAAACTAACAAAAACCAGTTCTTACCCGCGTTGCTGGCAAAGATGCCTCGAAGCAGTTCTGGAAGTACCACAACGAGAGTATCCTCAAGAAGTACCAGAAGCAACTGCAAGTAGGGTCGCTAGACACAAAGGCTGCGCCTCCCACTCCTCCAGCAACACCACCATCGCAGAAGAAGGAGCCCGTCAAGCCTGAGACTGTCTCAGGCGCCATTGCACCTCAGCCAACTGAGGCTGCTGCCGAGGAGGCTGAGTCATTCGACTCCTATGGCGACCTTATTCCATACGCCGACCCATCATGGTACCAAACCTACCACTCGCCCTACTATAACGAGACCCACGTAGCCCTCCGCGAAGAAGTTCGAGTATGGGTTGAGGAGAAGATCATGCCCAACGTCACCGAGTGGGATGAGGCAAAGAAGGTGCCAGATGAGATCTACAAGGAGATGGGTGACCGCGGCTACCTTGCCGGTCTGCTGGGCATTCACTATCCAGCGCAATACACCGATAAGCGAGTAGCAAGTGTACCACCTGAAAAGTGGGACCACTTCCATGAGATGATTCTCACAGACGAGCTGTCTCGCACCGGTAGTGGAGGTCTTGTCTGGAACCTCATCGGTGGCTATGGCATCGGTGGCCCACCAGTCTTCAAGTTTGCAAAGCCAGAACTAATCAAGCGCATTGGCCCTGGACTGCTCAGTGGTGACAAACGCATCTGTCTTGCCATCACCGAGCCCGACGCTGGCAGCGACGTCGCAGGTCTGACCTGCGAAGCCAAGCTCTCCGAGGACGGAAAGCACTACATCGTCAACGGCGAAAAGAAATGGATCACCAACGGCATCTGGTCCGACTATTTTACAACCGCGGTCCGCACCTCGAACAAAGGCATGAACGGCGTCTCCGTGCTCCTCATCGAGCGCTCAGCCGGCGGTGTCTCGACCCGCAGAATGGACTGCCAGGGCGTCTGGTCATCAGGAACAACATACATCACCTTCGAGGACGTCAAGGTCCCCGTCGAGAACCTCATCGGCAAGGAGAACCAGGGCTTCAAGGTCGTTATGACAAACTTCAACCACGAGCGCATAGGCATCATTATCCAATCTGTCCGCTTCGCGCGCGTCTGTTACGAGGAAAGCGTCAAGTACGCGCACAAGCGCAAGACCTTCGGCAAGAAACTCATCGACCACCCGGTCATCCGCCTCAAACTCGCACATATGGCGCGCCAGATCGAGGCCAGCTACAACTGGCTTGAGAACCTGGTGTACCAGTGCCAGCTCATGGGTGAGACTGAAGCTATGTTGAAGCTCGGTGGAGCTATTGCGAGTTTGAAGGCGCAGAGTACTACGACATTCGAGTTCTGCGCAAGGGAAGCGAGTCAGATCTTTGGCGGTCTGAGTTATAGTCGTGGTGGGCAGGGCGCGAAGGTCGAGAGGCTATACAGGGATGTAAGGGCGTATGCTATCCCGGGTGGAAGTGAGGAGATCATGCTGGACTTGAGTATCAGGCAAGCGCTGAGGGTGCACAAGGTTTTGGGGATGAAATTGTAGGCCATGTTGATGAGGTTGCGCGAAGTGGTACCAATACACATCGCCAATGGCGAAGACTTACTTTAACCTCCCCCACTCCGCTTTCAGTTCCACGTCTCCTTCTTCGTCGACGACTTTGCCCCTGTCCCACTCTCTATCCTGTCCTTCCTTGCTCCATACCACATCCTCTTCCATTGGGTCACCGCCTTTCTCCCACTTCTTCACTTGTTCGTCCTTGAACCCCGCTGCGCGCAGTCGATCTGCGCCTTGCTGCTTCCAGCGTTCGCGGTCCCGCATAACCTCTAGTGCTTCGCCCCAGTCGTCCTCGGCGTCTGAACCCGGTCTCATGTCCATGGAGGGATTGTAGTTAGCGGAGAAGCGAGACTCGATCCCCATGGAGTTCGCTTTGAGGACACCTCGGCCACGCGAGCGAACAGTAGGTTCAGGCGGAGGTGGTAGGGGGCCAACAATGGCTTCGAGTGGATCAGAGTTGGACGCTGGTGTTGCTGATCGTTGTTTACTCCTACGCGATGTCTTAGGGCTGCGCGATGAGCGTCTAGGCGAGCGTGACCGGTCACGCATTCTGTGGGTCTTGTGGCGAGGCGATCTTGACCGCGATTGAGTTGGAGATCTTGAGTATGGTCTTGGTTTTCTGCGGCTCCGGTCGTGCGATGATTTGTCGCGCGACCTCCTATCCTCTTCCTCACTATCGTGACGATGTCGACGGCCATCGCTCCGGTGGTCTCTCGACCGTCTCAATTTGTATGTTGTTCGATCGTCGTCACTGTCTTCGTGCCGCCTTTTATGTCTATGCCTCTCTCTACTTCTGTCCCTATGCCGTCTGGAATGCGAGTCTGGGTGGTCATCTCGATGCTCCCTCCTCTTACCCTTTCTACGATCAGCCTCGTCCTCGTCATGATCGTCTCTTCGCCTCGAGCGTCGTTTCTGTGAGTCGTCGTCTTTGGGTGGTGGGCTTAAGCGCTCTTCAATCCTCCTCTTCGCCCTGTCCACCGCCTCTGTGCGCTCCTTGTCTCTTTCGTGATTCATTTGCCTGAGTCGCGAGCTTGACTCCTCCGCCTCCTTCGCCAACAGTGCAGCATTGTGACTATCGGTTTGGCGGATGATGTGTCGCAGGAAGTTTGTGTTAGGTTTTGGTGCGCCCGCTCTAGATCTGATTGCAAGTTAGTCGTACCTAAGTGATATAGGGAGGAGCTCTTTGTACATTGGTGGCTACTTGGGAGCGTAGCAAATATCAGAGGCTTCCTACGCACCTCTTGGGGTTGAAGGCGTCCAGGCCAACTAGGTCATACGTCTTGCTCATCTTCTTGGCATCTTGCGCAAGAAGTTTTGCGACATACTCATCATCGTCAATACCAAATGGCATAGTTGAGGTGTAGGAGTGAAGAGGATTGAAGCATAGGACTCGATGTAATGAGGGCACAGGCTAGTCTCGGATGGGTAATAGCCGCGGCGTTCAGCCCTACGAGAAGGCGCGTGTATCGCCCAAAACAAACACCCCCCACTCTCTGCACATTGTGCAATCTGCAACAACTTCGACACAACATACTCACGATGGTAGCCACGCGTAAATCTGCATCAGCTGTGCCGACGTCGGCATCAGCTCTTGCGCAATTACAGCAAGACCACGAGCTCAAAATCCTTGCGATTACTGAGCCGTTGAAACCTAAGGACCTTCCCCAATCCTCAAAGAAGCGTAACTCCGCTGCATCAGTCGACGATGATCAGAATGTTGACACACATCCTGCAGCACTGGAAGCAGATCTGAAGCATTATAAGGTTTGTGCTGACCGCGGTTGTAGCAGGTCTGCGACTGACACCCACGACAGGAGCTTTTCAGCAAGCTACGCTTCTCTTACGTAGAGCAAGTCACGAAAGAAAAGTTTCTACGCAACCTCACCGAAGACCCACCACGGCTTGTCGAGGCTGCAGAAAATATCGAGAAGGAGGCCGATATTCTTGCGCTGAAGGCGAGCTTGAAGGAGCGTAAACTCGAAGTCGATGAGATACTGAAGCAGTTGGAAGAGAAAGGCAAAGAGCTTGCTTTGCGCTACGATGGCATGCAGCTGAGGCGACAGCAGCTGGAGACGCTGCCCACCGAAATCGAGGGTCTTGAAGCCAGCATTGCGCAATTGAAGCAGGATCAGACGCCCACATCAAGCAATCCAGAGCTTGGCCTTCCATTGCGGGAAACATTGAGGCTACTGAATGAGCGAGAGGCAGAATTGGCCGCACTAAATGCACAAATCGCACAGCTGCAATCCTCTCTGCCAACCCGAGCAAAAGAGCTGGAGAAGTTGGAGCGCGAGCTCAAGCCACTGGAGACCCAAAAACAGGGCACTGTCGCAGCAGCAAAGGAGGCAAGGCGGAGAAAAGAGGAGGGCGGCGGAATCGGCGACGAACTCGAGGAGAAGGGTCGATGGCTTACGGCATTTGAGAAAGCGCTGAGGGTTATGTTGGAAGTGGAGGGTTGAGCGTGGGTCTGCAGATCGCTTGGAGCCTCTTAGGCATTGGTGTTTTTCACGGTCATCTGGATCTGGAGTCACAGGCGTTTGAAAATTGTTTCTGAGATACCACCGATTTCGGCTTCTACAACCGCTGTATTATGCAACTCATTCAAACCCAAAGTTTTCCATCTGACTTAGCACAAGACAATCCCCATATCGTGCGACCTTGAAGGCGATAATGCTTAAGGTGCTGTCGAGCAAGAGCGGTCTGACGTAGATCTGGAGTCGCCTCACTTGCCAGCGCAGCACTGTCCAGAACTCGAAACTTGGAAGACGCGTCGCAGGGACCATCGTAGCTGAATGTAAAGATGGATGCATCATGATTGGGTGAGACCAGCCACCTCCAGGGCTATTTATCGTTTAGAGCGAATCAACCCGCCGGTTGCTGGGCCAAGTGGGGTGTTTACTCGGTGGGTCCTTCCTCACCAAGCTAGTTGGGTGGTGCAGCTACCCGCTGTCCAGCCTCTCCAATTCTGAGGCAACACGACTACGTTTGCGCGCGCAGGAGAACACCGCAGAATCTTCATACGTTCACGAATACCAAGAGGACAACGACACGACTGACGTTCTCAACCGAGCTGTCCGCAACGCCGGACGAGCTCATTCACCCAGTCCAGCGCCCAATATCGACACCAAGACCAGCCTGACCACAGGCAAACAACCTATCTCTACCCTCACGGCCTTTACGACGTTACGACTTTCTGGTTCCACCGTTTATTGCTAGTTTTTGTCGCGCGTTTTTTGGTTTCAGTCCCTGCATTATCACTGCTTTGAACTCTGTGGTCTGCCCGTTACACATTCATACCTGCGTCATCACTTCGAACCACTGGAGAACACCCTCGGGACACGACCACGACCATGTCAGACCAAGGGCTTTCAGCTCCTGGGAGCAGCGTCTACTCGTCCGACTCCATGTATGTTGGCGACGGAACATGGGATTCGCAGCGCAACACTTTCCTGCTGCCCAACTTGATGGGTGTCAACTTCGACACCATGCGCTACAATGGTGAGTAGACTAGATCCAAAGCTGAGGGCGCGTTGCTGACTCTTCAGGCATGGGCAATCGCTTTCGCAATATGGTCGGCTACAAGCCTCTCATCACCGCTCATGGTATTCTCGCTGCCATCACTTTCCTCTTCGTCGTACCCGGAGCAATCTTCATGGCCCGATTTCACCACCGAAACCCGCGGCTTGCACTGCGCGTACACATCTGGCTCCAGATTATGACGTTGCTTCTTGCTACTGCGCTTATCGTGCTGGGCTTCCAAGCTGTTGGGCTTGAGAGGTCATTGACCAACCCACATCACGGCATTGGCGTAGCTTTGTACACTCTTGTTGTTGTACAGGTTCTGGGAGGGTCTATCATACACCGCCTAGAGAAAGGCAAGGAGCGCTTCAAGGTGCCGCTCAAGCTTATTGTACGTCTATGATTGATATCACAATACTCACATAAGCTAACTTGCACAGCTACATCAATGGATTGGTCGCGTCGTGCTGCTTCTGGGTATCGCGCAGATCCCGCTTGGACTGACACTATATGGCTCACCCAAGGTATTGTTCATTCTGTTTGCAGTTTGGGCATTCTTGCTTTTGGTTGTTTATTTCGTGCTTTCATACAGGAATCAGCCTGAGATGGGCTTCGATGACAACACAACGTACATCACTGATCGCACTGCAAGCACCAGAAGCCGAAGGAGTCGTGGTGGTCGCGGTCTTGGAGCTTTGGCGACAGCGGGTGCAGCTGGTGCTGGGCTTGCTGCCTTGGCGTCCAGGAACAGATCACACAGTCGCAGCCGCAGCAGACGCCGTGGAGACGAAACAACTGTGTTGAGCTCTCGCCCTGATTCACGTTCACGGGTCACCGAGTCACGATTTACCGAATCCTACTTGAGCGATGAGAAGTACAACGACAAGCGCAAAGGTTCTACTTGGCGAGATCGCTTTCTTGGTGCTGGAGCTGCCGCAGGAGGAATTTTTGCCTTCAAGTCCCTATTCGGCAAGAAGAAGGACAAGCGTGCTTACACTGAAACGTCGACTGGCAGTGATGTCAGTTATGGTCGCCCATTAGGTCAATCTGAGGTCACTCAGACAGATTTGAGCCGTCTTGAGGAAGGAAGAGCTCCAGACTCACCAGCAAGGAACCAAGACTGGCGTCGTGTCGAAGAAAGAGAAGCCGCTCAAGCAGCTGCCATGGGCGCAAGTCCATTGCGAGCTGGTCATCGTCCAGCAAGAAGTGGTGGATCCATCGACTCATTCGACAGCCGTACAAGCTTTAACGATCACCACGATTCCCGCCCTCTCAGAGAAGAATCATCATATGGAGTCAAAGATGGGATCATGACCCTTGGAGCCATTGGATTCCTCAAGCACACATGGAACAAACGCCAAAACAGGAAAGAAGAAGCACGAATTGAGGAGTTGAGGCAACAAGACATCGAGGAAGAGAAGATCGCCCGAGCAAACAGTAACCGCCGAAGATTCACTGGTGACGGCGCGGCACCTCGCAGGCACAACGGACCACCATCAACAATTTATTCTGAAACCGAGATTTCGGGCATGACACCTTCTGTGGCAAGGCCGAACGTTGCTCCACCACCTATGACTTCGTCTGCTGGCCCCTCTGTCCTACGTCCAGCTGATAACACCGTTCTTTCTGATTCTGGGTCTGAGGCGTATATTTCTCCTGGTGGCCGTTCCCATCGTCGCCATCGCCAATCTGCAGGCGCCGCAGCTCTCGCTGGTGGAGCAGCAGCAGCCTCTTCTGGATCACCTTCAAGAAGGAGGAACAGTCGGGACGAAAGCGTTGCCTCCCCTCCAGTGTCTGTCAAAGTCAAGATGCACAACGATGGCCGACATGTAACACTTCGACGCTTGAACGAAGAGGAGGCAGCAGCAGAACGAGATGCTAGGAGGCGAGAACGACAGCGCAGAAACCGCAACGGGAGCATGTCTTCCCTGAGTCAACTCGACGGAGACCGATGGCGAAGAACGGAAGCTCTTGAGGCACAACAAGCGCAAGAAATGGCACAATCACAAGCAGCTCCACCACCCACATCGCAACCTGGAGCGCCTCTGCAAATGCCAGAGCCTTACATCCCTCCCCCTCCTCCGGGTCCACCTCCAAACTTTGGTGGAACAGCTCAGAGGCCACCAGCGCATATCAGTCTTCCCCCTCCTCCACCAATCCCAGCGGCGGACCCTAGCATCTTGAGCAGTCCTCACGGCACCCAGATATATGGAACAGAGACGGACGTCAGCAACTACGACTCAAACAGAAGGCGGAGAAGGGCCGAGAGGGCCCAAGCGAAACAAGCTAGGCTGGGCGGGAGCCGTGTGGAGTTCTCTTGAAGATGATATTGATGTTGATGCTAGAGCCAGAGCGTTGCATGGAGGCTGAATTTGCATTTCCAAGCGTAATCCTTTATAAGTGTTTTATCCAGGTGGACCATTAGTATGGAAATTTTCCCATTGTAGATACTTTCAGCATGGTGTATAAATATATCCCGTGTTCACCGATGACTTGTTCCGCGGAGTTGATCCCTGTGATTTGCAACTTGAAGTTAGACGAAGGATGTGGTACGCACTACTCAAGCGCATCACTTATAGATTTACCAGCGCCCTGGACTCTCAAGCCGCAACACCACAAGTACATCATCATTGACGTGCCTTGCCGTCCTCTCCCATACGCTGCCGTGGTGATAGTTGCAGTGTAACACTTCCTGCTGGGGTGATTTGTGGCGCGTAAAGCCTAGACATTATGTGGCACCTCACTCTAGAACGCTTTCCGGACCACTCTTATGCGACTGCTCAACACCGCGTCGCCCTCATGTTCGTCGTTGTCGGCAGCATCTCGGGGCCCTGGTTGCTTCCAGCCGGTGGATGAGTCCGCAAAAGGGCCTTTAGGAGGACGTCAAAAAGATATAAGCAGTCTGTCGCTACGCTGGTGGTGTGGAGTAGCATCTCAGATACTTCAGATACCTCGAAATTCGATATCTGCCAAAAACATTCGACAACAGCAGCTCAATGCCCTGTGACGACGAAGGCGGCCGATGATGCAATTCCCACCTCACACCACCGCTCGAGGTCACATCCTGACCTCTCAGATGCACCCATGAGACGACAGCGCCTCGCGACTACTGCCTTCCTGTCGAAGGAGATGCGACTTTTCGCAGCGCTCTGGGGACTTTTTCCTGGCTGCTGCATGGATCCTAAGGAACACCCGCCGTAAGGTGACGACATTCGAGCCACCAGCCTACCGGGGACTTCCGAGGATTGCTATTGCTTGCCAGATCAGGGCAGCGACAACAATGGGGTGGAATGGGGAACGAGTGGTGCGCTGTCGGCAAAAATGTTTGGAGTACCCGCAAGGTGGATCGTTCAGTGATGAATCAGATACCAGCAACCGAGTCGCAGAGCACGCAGAAAAAGTTGCTGCCCGGGCAGTTAGGACAACCAGCGCCTGCAAAGGTACGAAGAGCGCATGCAAGGGCGGTCAGTTAGACTGCGCCTGTTCATCGCGGTTTACCTGCCGACAGCACGTCGACTGCCTTTCCCGCTGCGCTGCGCTGCTGCGGGAGATTTTCGGACCATTGGCACCACTCCGTGCACTCGCCCTAGCAAAAGCTCCCGCCGCGCTGGAAGGGAACCGTGCCATCCTCGACAATTACTCACACCGAGCGGTCAGCCTGGGAGTCGTCGTCAGGCCTGTTCCAGCCCAGCAGGCCGCCCAAGCTCGCTGGCTGGCAACCGGATGGTAAGCGTTTGGCCTACCCTGCAGCAGAATCCTTTCCCCAGCGCTAGTGCCAGGGATGCCGGATCAGCCTCCATGACCTGCCATTGGACTCGCCTAGTGCAAGCCACATCCTTGCAACGCAGCGGCAGTCACTAGTCCACGGTCTAATATGCGGCTTTGACGCTTGGTCGTTCTGTCGTCCTGGTTTAATCAGGTGCGAATGGGCGTTCTCTGAACCTCTCCAGCATGATGACACAAGGACCATGCGAAAACATCTCCCGGACCACAGAGTAACATATTGAACATACATAGTCCCATTGGATCCGCTCCGCCACCAATCCACGCCCACGCGGAGGACGACTCTCTTGTCCACTGGCCTGCAACACCACCATGGCCTCCACTACCACCACCATTGCTCCCGTCAAGCGAGCCTGCGATAGGTGCGTATGCTGTTGTCGCCGTGTGAACAACGACTGATATTACGGTAGCTGCCATCGAAGGAAAGTCAAGTGCATAGGTGAAGGCACCAACCCGTGCAAGAACTGTGTCTCCGCAGGCCTAGCATGCACATATAATGCCATTCCCCAGAAGAAAGGACCCAAAGGCAGCCGGGCCAAAGTTCTTTCTGAACTGCGTGAGAACCAACGAAACGCACAACTAGCTTCCGGCTTTCCACAAGAGCTCGGCCACGATGGACGACCACTATCTTCTCAGAATGTTCGAACCCCAGGCCTGCTACCCCCCGCCCTCGTCGAGAGCTGCATGGAATTCTTCTTCGTCAATGTCTACCCTTCACAGCCTGTACTGCACCGACAAAGGGCACAAGAAGCGGTCGTCAACATGGACTGTTCTATCGAAGCCTACTGCATGATCGTCTCTTTGTGTGCATACGTCATGATTAAAGCAAACATGAAGATTCAACCTAACCTTCTCGAACGCCATGAGATGGCCCAGATGTCCAATGTCCAGTTCGGACACATTCTTCTTGAGGAATCCGTTCGCGTACGGAGAGGATACGACTATCGCGAGAACCCCACACACTGGACCGTCCTCACATCATGGCTGTACTGTGGGTGCTACTTTGGACTTGCGAAGGAAAACACAGCGTGGTCCTACCTCCGCGAAGCAACAACACAAGCACAACTCCTAGGAATGCACGATGAAGAGACCTATAAGCACGATCCACTCGATGCTTCACGCAAACGTGTCCTCTACTGGTTGCTCTTCATGGCTGAAAGGTACCAATACCTCAGACTCATGCGTGTCACAGCTGACCTTGAGTCCAGGACATATGCTATTCACAAACACCGGCCAATCACACTCTATCCAACTATCCATCCTCCTTCCTTGGACGAAGTACCTTCAGATCGACCAGTCGCCGTCGGCCTTGAGCTGATGATCAACCTGTATAAGACCATCGATGACACGTTTGTGAACATCTGGAACCGAGTTCACAGTCACGCAAACCCCTCTTGGATCGCACAATTGCAAACACAGCTCTCCGAGGCAGTTCCGGCATATCTTGAATGCACTGAAGCTCAGGCCGTCGAAATTCGCGTTACCCAACAGTGGCTACGAGCAATGGTCTGGCAACTATGCGTCTGCCAGGGACTTGTGAGCAGCGTTAGCCAAGACACTTCCATGACATTCAAATTTCCGATTCAGATTTCGAGGGATCTCCTGACTATGACACACCAATTCTCGCAGCCGGCCATGGAGGTACACGGCGTTGGTCTGGTGAGTGCCACTACAGATTCCATTTCCACCCTTTCCTGCATTCTATTCCTTCTGCGCATCCGGACCCCTCTCCGTTCCGATTGTGCCATTCCTGTTACATGCTGCATCAGCACGGGCCCACCAGCAACGTCAATCTCTGACGTCCGCTCCTTGGTCCATTAGTCTACACCTTCCTGGTCTGTCCATGCACACGCACTTAGCAACTCTTTACCGTTCGGGCTTGACACGCTTTGAATACGGGTTTCGGGCTAACACCACTGCAGATCGAAAAGCTGTTCGATATCGCTTGCTGCCTAACTGACGTGGTAGCTTGCACGTCGTTTTCGCCAGATGCTTTTGCTCTGGGCCCGCGAGATTATGTTTCTCGCTTCTTGATACTCATCCAGACGTTGCGCGGTGGACAGTCCCGGTATCTGCCACTGCTCCTCGCCAAGCTGCAGGAGGTACTGCCCAACCTCCCCCTTCCCCGGTCCCTGAACCTGCCCCAAACGCTCCCTACCTCGTCGATCGGTCTTGGTGCTAGTGGTGGCATGGTGCCTTCAAACGTAGGCAACGAGTTCTCAGCGCTTCCCTCTGTCATCTCACCAACGTATCCATCGACTGAGTTGATTCGCAGGCTCGCCGCACAGACCGGGGCTCAGCTCCCTTTCAGCACGTCTCAACAGCCTATGGTTCCAGCTCCAAGCTCTCGCATTGAAGATATGTCAATCTATGGCTCTACTCACAGTACGTCGCATTCCTCCGGGTCTGCACCTAGGAGCAACTCGGCAACGCCAGGGCCTTACGAACCACCCATGTCACAAGCGCGCGCGCAGATTGTTGGCCATCTCTCTGCTCAGCTTCCGTCGACCGTCACTCAGCATATTCACATACAATCACACAATATCGGTGTGAATCCTACCGCTTACGACCCACGATTCAACGTTCAGGGTTTCCCAGTGGATCCCGCGATGATGTTCAAGCAATAGACGATGGTTCTTAATACCCGGAAGGTCGTTCATTGGGTAACACAAAAAAGAAGTTGTGTGGCACGACTGCCAAAATCCTTTCCATCGCGTACCAACCAATCACGATCAAAGAATCGTAGGAGCCAGACCTCGGAATACCGCACCTCGCATTCGAACAATGCCATAGGAGTCGTTTTGAGTCAATAGGCGACAGCCGTCAGGTATGTCGATAAATCATAAGAAGCTCTTTGGAGTCCTTGTGAAACATCCATATTTACGGCGTACGGATTCAGGTTCACCTCTGCAGCATTTCAGCACAGCGTTATTAGACGCGGGAATGCGGACACGTCCACCACTGCCAGTATAGCCACACAGTTAGAAGCAACGGGATTCGGATAAACATGCGGATTACTACTAGCGAGTTATTACGACATACCTACAGTTATCCAGCGCACAGCGCACGGCGCACAGGCATTAGACGAACTCACAAATTCAATCAAATGTAACGTCTCGATATCTCAACACGGGTCCCGTCAAATTTGGCACATTGTCAACGCTCAAACAACGGCCGCACGGTGCAAGTGATGGACATGAGTCGGTAGGGTGACTGTACTTTCCACTTCACGTGGGGTAGCAACTAACGACTGAACCACTCGAACCACCTGGTGATTCTGAGATCGTCAGAGGGGACTGCTCGCTCACAGACCTGCATGTCGCAAGGCTGGCGCTGCTCATTCCGGATTACCAGACCAAGAAAAGCCGCCCAGGGGCGTTCCATGTTTAGGACTCCCGAGCAGCGGTTGCACGGACTAGGTCACGACTTCACGGCTTACGGAACCATGTCTGTGGTGAGGGTAGTGCAACGGTTGGGATTATCAACGCTGGCAGGTACGAGTTGATCTGGAGTGAGGCGGGTGTTCTTGGGCTTCTACTAGGACCAAGGTTTGATACTATCTACTTTCGATCGCGAGCCCCGGTCTTCCGCAAGCTCCGAGCATCGACGTCAACTGTGCGGTACACACATACGTCTCCAGCGGGGCTAAGAGTGAGGCGCACAGCCTTCTTCCAAGACATGGTTCATGGAGAAGAACACGGCGTGCAAAGGATAAAGCCTGCTTTCGATACTTGTAATTGAAGTGACTTGGCAAGTGTACCGCGTGCTCTGGGCCTCGTTTATCTACGAACTCTATCACAATTCTCCGCGAACGCACCTCGAGACACAGCTGCCCTCAATGAAACATGAATGCTCCATTTCCAGTATCACACAGATCGCCATACAAAGGCTACTGTAGCCTGCTGGTAGGGTACCAGACACCTGTCATGCAACCGTTTGCAATCTGCCCACTCGCCCAGAGTTTATTTCTGTCTCAGTCTCAGTGCGACAAGCTTCCTGTATGAGTCCATATGCCAAACATCCCGGGTGAACGTTTGATGAATTAGGGTCTGTGTGGGAACGTCGTTGGTCACGCTTCATCTTTTGGGTCGGCCCGCCTCCTGGGCTGGACGTCAGAGCGTTTTAAGGTTCACAGCGCTACAAGCGGCGCCGTTCGTTCGCGTCACTTGCCCTCCGACTTGGAGTTTTGGAGCGAAGGATCACTGACAAACGGGGTGTTCCATGTGCATTTTGGCATTACATTGTATCCTGGTTCAGGCATGAGCAGTCGATAAATGCTGGGGTTGGACACAGCCTCGCTCTGAGCGGAATGATGTGTGTTTGATTGGCCTTTTAGTGCGCAGACGATCACTGGCGGAACGTGTTCCCATGAATCGCAGGTTAGACGTCGAAAGCGAAGCTTTCGACGTGGGAAGGCTGAACTTACCATTCGCCCGGGCCTTGCACTATCGCTCTCGCATCGACACTCGGATGTGCAGATGTCCCTCTTCAGACGCTGCAGCTCACACTCGCTCCATCAACGAACCGCAACGAAGCTTCATGCACATGCATGACATTCGACGGACCCATAGCGAGCACGGTCCTTCACGCTTGACCGGATACGGACACCCACGCAGCTCGTAAAGGGTTGTGAAGGCTAGTTAGCTAGCTTTTCATGTGCCATGCTTGTCGATCCTCAGCGGTGTGGCGACTATCGCGCCATCGACTTGGAAGGTGTTTCCCGCAAGTGTACCCCTCCTGGAGCGTGTTTCCCTCAGAAGCTTGTGCCTATGAAAGGCCCTTCGGTCGGGCCGAGTTTCAAACGCCATCAAACACCGTCGCTGCCCCAGAGTCCCGCCGCCGTCGCTTTTAGATCCCCGACTCTTGCGGCTGCTAGAACCTCTAGGGATGAGTGGCGTTCGCTGGCGTACAGTGTGGTACCACCTGGCCGGGATTGCGCTCCTGCCAGTTATCAAAATTCATTTCCATCTTGCAATTTTGCATCAAAGGTCGAATTCTGCTTGACATTTTGGTCAAGGAGCATTGATGTCGCGAGCCAAGCATAGAAATCCCAGATCCTAAGCGGGAGCAGCGCCAGGGCTGTCAGTTCCGGAACGGTTGCAGACGATAAGGCGTTAGTCTCGGTTCATTCCGAATAGTCTGTTCCTTGTTTTCTCGTATTTGGATTATAGTGAACTCAGAACTGGGCAGTTCTCAAGGATAGTTTTTCATGTTGAGGACGCTGATGACGATAGTTCAAAGGCTTAGACCAGATCCAACCCGGCATCAAACGCTCCTTGAGTACGAGGGACTGAGTACCGATAGCGTACACTCTATCGTGGCGTTTGCGGAGACGCCATATGGGATCATTTAGGATTAGTATACCCACCAGACCCTGATAACCGCAGTTTGACAGCTCAACCACGTGTGAATGTGTGCCAGTCTTGCATGCTCCTTGACGATTAGACTTTCGAGATCGACTTGGATTGTCTTGGTTGTTTCGCTGGCTGGTGTCGAGGCATACGTTCGGCGGTTCAATTAAACGTCGGCGGGGTTCCCAATGCAAAGAAACGCTCGATGCATCAACAGTTCGGTTCACCTGGCTACGATGAGACGATCATGCAATAAGTCATGCAATAGATCATGTAACAAATCGTACAATGTCTAGCATGGATTTCTTATCCGAGCTGCTAGAGGCTCGTGGTGTCTTGGATCTTCCTTGCCTGGACGGTCTGTGAGCCTGTTGGAGGTGTTCTGATATGCTCATGCATGCAACATGTCATCCAAGCATCTTCCCGTTGGCTCCTGCACGTGCTCGACTCTTCACATGCAGGAGTGATCCAGGTCTATGGGGCATTGACCAATCAGGGCTTAACGCAAGTTCCTTCCGGTATCGCAAAATCGATGTTTGGACCAAGCCATGGCGGCGCGGAACTCTATGACAAGAGAAATAGCTTCGCGTCGAGGGCGTTGGGCACCTCTGTGTCTACGGTCTTTTCCTTTTTGTGTGCGGTTGCTCGTGCGGTTCCCGTTTGGTAGAGGCCGGCCCTCCTTCGGTAGACTAAGCATTTGGGTTCTGCCGCTCCTGGAGATCTGTGCGAGCGTAACGTCGCTGCTATGCACTTGCGCATATACATTTGTGATTGGCTAGGGTCCTGCGTCCGCGCTTCGAATTGGTGGTGGGGGACCGACTTCCCAAACGGACGAGCTCAGGGCAGCGAAGGAGGCAGTGCTGAAAGATTATTGCTGTGGACTGAATCGCCGGATCGCAAGGCTTGTCATTGGCAAAGGTAGATCCCCCGATCCTTGTTCATTGGACATGCAAGACGCTGAATCGCTAATGTTGATGCGTCGAGGCGTTGCTAGAGCTAAAGCCAGTGTAATTCGACTTGAGCATCGCTGTCCATCTGCAACCCAAATCCTGCGGAAACATGCTCGGTAGGATTCTGAGCACGTATCGGTTTGATTGCAGAATAGTGAAGTAGTGAGACATTGCTAACTTTGTCAGTGATAGACTCTTTCACTGCCGGTGTGTCCCAGCCTTGCCGGGTGTGTGAGTTTCCTGCTGGGGCCACTGACACTTCCGCTCCTCCCGCCGCCGCAAATATGACCGCCGGCAGATATCTTAATCGATCCTACAAGGAGACGTGGTATCTTGGCCATTAATCGCTGCGCTCGCGCTCGTTTCCCGGAGACGGTTCCTTTTCGGTTCCGCCCAGGTGTTCAGGTACCGCGGCCTGCTTGCGGCCCCAGGTTTTGGCAGCCACAGGGTCCTCGCGACGCGGCATACATCGAGGAGTCTCAGCTCGGGAGTTGTTGAAGCGAGGATCTTGTCATGCGTAGATGAGGGATACAAGGATGTCAGGTATGAGCCGATGTCGACCTTGAGAACGCCAACCTCGAGATCCAGATATGTTCGATCTGGACCTGGAAAGTGATGTCATCAGAGCTCTTCCGTCCGCTACCTCCGTTCTCTTCGATCGCTTTCCTTGCAGTATGCCTCACCTTGAGGTTGGGGTTGATTTACCAGGTATGGCAGGTATACACGCAGCCAAGGTCTGGTCACCTGTTATCTCCGGCTTGTCACGTATAGAGCAGTCTTTGGTAGGAAGCTTTCCAAGGTTTGTTTGTGAGAGCCCTGACCGTGGCAGGTAAGCGCTCCGTTTCCATGTGGAATGGTAGTGTGTTTCGTGGTAGGTATGACAGGTAGGTGTACACACAGCCGGTATTCGCGGTCGTCACCAACACAAAGCGGTCTTTGGTAGGCTTTTCTTGTTCGTCTACGTTATGAACACTGAGCTGGTAAGTAATGACCTTGGTAGGTATTGCTCCATTTTCCATATGGCATTACAATGTGCCCAATCGAGTATCTGTTCTTCCGTAACTCACCATGATGATCGTACACCCCAAGTAGCTTGTCGGACTCTTAGTATTCATGCGCCCTTGATCGTTTCGCTTTTCAGACCGTAGTGCAGCGATCCAAGCTACTCACAGCATATTGCATTGCGCTGCCGGGCTCGATGACCGAGGATTCGACCGACATTCACGTCTCAGCTTTAACGTTGCTTATGCGTCCATATCGGAAAATACTTAATAATCTCGTGGTGATGAAAGAGTTGGAAAAGCAATGAGAATTAAGGGACTGACTGTTGTTGATGGGGTCGTGCAGGAGGCCCACCTCCCTCGCCAGGTCATTTGCACCACTACCACCACTCCATATGTCTCATGTGTTCACGAGCCCTGCGCATGTTTGTGCATCCCGTTTCTTCTGATGATATCTTTTGGTCTCAGCCATCGTCCCAATATATGTACCCCTGCCAGTAACGAGTGATCTGCCGGGACAAGCTTTCAGCCAGATCGCTGTCACCGCCCGCCGTCGAGGCCAAAGCATGTGGTGCATCCTTCGTTGACCATACCTCGAAGAAGCACTAGAAATGGATCAATGACAAGAGCTGGCGTTGAGGCGGGTGGACCTATCTTGCGACGATGTGAGCACCCGATGCAATGCGCCTGACGCGAGATAGCAGTCTCGCGCGCACGTCATGATCAGTACGATAGTCAACATCATGGTGTTCACGCCCTCAAGGTCCTCAACAATGTCCAGGCAACGCGCGATCTTTATCGACACTGGCCACGTGTAATCAGAAAATCGTGAAGGATCCGAAGGACTCTTATTCGGCATTGACAGCGTTGCCCCATTCTGTTCACCCCTTGCATAATTCCTTCAAAAACATGTCGCTTACCTGCATCCTCATTCAGATATGGTGTTGACACCCCTACAGTGCAACTGCTTGTAGAAAATATCTGCGCCTTCTATCAAGCCTAGGCGCCATGTGTATCTTTTCCTGGAGCTGTAGCATGTCTCAGAGCCCTGGGCGACAGCCGATTTGCCCGGCACGTCACACGCATTGGTAATTGGACCGGGACTAGCACAACTACGCCGCTGAACGATCACTGTATAATCTTCCATTATCGTCAAGTGTGTATGCTGGAGGATGTCTCATAAGGTTCTGTCAGCCCCTCCTCGAGTCTTGCTCGCAAGCAAACATATCCACATGTAAGCAGCAAACAAGGCTGAGTCCTGACTTCTCACTACATATCACTACAGCATTTCAACATGCTTACTCGACTCCTCGACCTCCCATCAGAACTCCTCCTCCAAATCCTAGCCACCCTCCCGGTAAAGCCACTCCTCCGATTCGCGCAAACATCCCACTACGCACGTAGCCTAGCTTACTCGAACCTACAATCTCTCTCCCTCGCAATCTATCCATCTCATCGCAGCTCCTGGCACAATAAACTCTTCATCGCCCAGCACAAGCCAAAACACGCCCTGCACGCCGCCATCCAGATACCACGGGCCTGGGACTTCGACTACACCACGCTTCTAACTTTCCACAACAAGATTGTTGCGAGCATCTTGAGCCGCCATGCATCTGTGCTGCAGAAACTCGAACTCACGTTCTGGACGCTCTCGATACCTATAGCTCGGGCGATTGCAAAGCTGCCAGCACTCAAGGAACTCAACATCTGCATTGAGACCGTGCAAGCCGTGCCGCGAGCGTATATGAATGTGCAGCGGAAAGAAGAGGGTAAAGCGTGGGCCCTACTTCCTTGTAGTCCTTCATGGACTCACCTCATCCACACGCTTCGGATCGAGAACGCCAAGATCAACACCTCGCAGCTACACTGTCTGATTGCTGGGGCCGGTAGATTGAGAGAGTTGGCGCTGAGAAAGTGCGACATGCTCACCAGCTCACTCTGGGACACCGAAAGGTTGAGCAGCTTGCGGCATCTCAGTATCACAGACTGTGCGAACGTGCACGCCAATTCGACAGCGCTGGAGGCAATAAGCAAAATGCAGAGATTAAAGGTACGTCAGCCTCATGCTCTGTCACGTCAAGATTCCGAGTGAGATCGCGAGTGCAGCGTTGCACACGATAAGCGGACTGGGCTAATTTGGGTTGTGCTACACAGGTTCTGGACTTACATGGGTGTAGTGGTTTGGACGGCGAGGTTTTGGAACAGTGGAACAGGGATGTCTGGCGTGTGCCTTTGTTTGTGGCACCGAGGCCGCGTGGGATGCTGAAGGAGGAGGTGCATATTGAGGTGGATCCGGATTATCTGCTTGAGCAGGATTAAGCTGTCTATTGAACTATCAAAGATGCTTGCTGCTTGATGCTTAGAATTGGCATCTCCAAAGTGTGTGTCAGTCGTTTGTTCATCGATTGTAGCACTGCCAAGGTGCTTCACGTTCTGCTGACGCTCTCAGATGTCACCGCCCATCATATTCGTATCTCTGTTGTCGGCATGCTGGACTGGACCACCGAGACCGCTCGTGCGCATGTCATTGTTGGAGGCAGTGCTTTCCACCAGGTACTTGGCGTTGCGACTAGCCATGCTCCTCAGGTACTGACTGTACTCGGAGACACGCTGAGTCTTCATCTGCCACTCAAGCGCATACTGCAACTGATCCTGCTGGCTCTGATGGCCCCTCATGCTCTGCTCTTGCATTTGCTGATCGACCGGCATAGCCATCTTGGCTTCCCCGCCTGCCATCTGCATCTCGTCAACAGCCTTCTTGCCTTCCTTCCTTGACTTTAGCTTATTCTGTGGCTGCTTAACCTTCTTGCCCATCTTTGACCTCTTTCGGTCCATGCGGCCCTTGCTCTCTGCATCTTCCTTCTCGATCTTCAAGACGACACGGTACTTCTCTTCCAACCATGCAGCGACCATGCTCGGCGCCCACCCGCTGACCCAAGCCAAACCTTGGATGCCATCGTACTCGTTTGGATCATAGAGATCGCTCAGCAGCTCTTCAGCGTCTATCTGGGTGATTTCGTCGTTGTGCACTTGCGCGATGATCTCTTGGTGCAGATACTTGACGCGTGAGCGACGAATTGCGCAGTCGATTGGCTTGACAAATGCGGTGTGATTGAGGACGTCCCAGTATTGTGCGAGACTGACGTACAAATCGGCAATGCTAGGGCCGTCCGGGTAGACAGCATCAGTGAAGGTGCTGAAGCCGCTTCCGAGGCGCGCAGTCAGGATCTGATGGATATCTTGCATGCGTGCAAGGACGGCGTAGTACAGGTCTTCGAAATCTTCAAGCGGGCGGTGGGCGGCATCTTTGGCTGTGCGTTGACCGAGGGTAGCCCTGATGCGCGCGCTTTCGTTGGCGTGGGACTGGATAGGACTTGGGTTGAGCTGGCCGCTGTGAAGGCGAGAGCGGAGGGTGCGTAGACTGGGACTCCAAGGATCGTTGGCGAGTCGACCGAACAGTGCACTTTTCTCAGCGAAGGAGACCAGGTATCCGCTGATTTCGATAATGATGCTACTGATGTAGTCGGCCGGGTAGGAATCGGTCGAAGCTTTGACGGCAGCCTGAGTAGCAGCTGGGCTGAATGGCGGGAGCAGACCTGGCTTCGTAGAGCTGGACATCCCGTTGACTGTGACCATGAGGTCGCTTGTTGGTGTTGTGTCTTTCACAGGCCGCGTGTAGCGGCGCTGTGACGTTGCTCAGGTAGGAAAGAGTGGGTAGAGATGTTGGAAGTGGGAGGGAGCTGTCGAATTTTGTGAAGACGAGGAAGCGAGGCTGTGTCGTTGAAAAGCTTTGAATAGAGGGGCTGGAACATAAGACGGTGTCGAAGTGAAGGGAGGTGAAAGTGACACCGGACAAACGATCAGGTTGTACATGGTTCTTTGATCTCACCAAGCGTCGAATGGCGAAGCAGCGTTACATCCGAGGTCGGTTAATGGGTCCGGATTGTGGTCGCAATCCTACAATGTAGAGTGCAGATTTCTAAATGAGTCCGTGTGTTTGACATTGCTGTGACACAGAGTTGTCGAGAGTGGCAGCTGCCAACTACACCTGACGTCGAAGGATCTCCACCCTTCATCCCTACGCTTCTCCCTTCCCTAGCCTCTTTTCCATCTGCTCGATCCACAAGGCTGGACTGAATACCGATCCGTTTTTTTTAAAAAAAAAAAAAACAACAAAAAACTTTCGCATTAGCACTCTACGCTTCGAAAGTCTACTCATGCTTCCCTGTGCCGTCTCTTAATTGCCATACCATCATCCCAACTCATCATCCCATTACTTATCGGCCATGCGTAGGAATACAAACAGCGTCCTCTCAAACCTTCCCAGCAGTCAACCTCCTCACCCACTCCCGTCCATCAAACTCCCTTAACCTCGTAGTTAATTCTTCACGCAACCAATCCCTCCTAACAAACACCCCCACAAACGCACCCAACGCCAATACCCTAAGGACCCACTTCCTCGTTCTCCCCGGCACCACCTCCCTTCCCTTCTTGCCATCCCTGTACACAAAATCCCCCTTCTTATAAAACACACTCCTCCACCAAAACATAAACTGCCAATCCGGATACATCATACTATTTAGCCCAGTCTTGAGATCAATAGCCCAATTTGTGCACCCGCTCGCCCATACGAGTTTCTTGGCTTCGCGCTGCGTCCATTCAAAGTCCCGCGCCGCGGCTTCGGGGCGGACTTCCACCGTCGCCACGGGGGAGGGGGTGAGGAGCGAGGGGAGCAGCGAGCGCGAGCGGTAGGAGGGCAGGGAGGTCAGGATGGGCGCGAGCAGGCGCAGGGTGAAGTTGATCTGGCACTCGACGGTATAGATCACACTGAGGTGCCCGGTGACGGTGTTAGGACCCATGAGGACGAAGAAGTTGGGGAAGGAAGGGATGACGGTGCCGAAGTAGGCTTGTGCTACACCGCGGGTTTGCGTGTCCCACTGCGCGTTCAGTCAGCATATCTATCCTCTCATGAAGGGGGCGATAGTGTGCACTCACGTAGTCGTTCAGCTTCAGCCCATCTCGGCCAACGATCTCCATCGGACAGAGCATCTGCTGCGTCGCAAACCCGATCGCCAGCACAATCGCATCCGCCTTTACCTCGCGCCCCGACTTAGTTACAACTCCATCTTCTGTGATTTTTTGCACTGGATCGTCCGGTATCAGTTCGACATTCTCCTTCCACAAGCACTTCAGGTACTCCGTATCCAGCACCTTCCTCTTACACCCAATCTCACTCCTCGGAATCAGCGCGTCCCAATACTTCTTCGGCGCTGTACGCTTCACATACGCCTCATTCTCTTTCGCCAGACCAGAGCGAATCGCTGCACCACTTTCGATTGGGAAGCCGGACCAGTCGGACTCCATGTCGTAATAGTGCTTGGCGCGGTAGAGACGCATGGCCAGCGGGACGTAGCGCATCACGGCTTTGAAGGTGGGTGTGTAGTAAGGGTTCTCGCGCTCCGAGAGGTACTGCGCTTGCCGGGCGAATTGGATGATCTTGCGGACTGGGGGTTTGTCGCCGACTTCGCCGGCCATGATGGGGACGAATTGGGTCGCTGAGCAGCCGTTGCCTGGGTATGTCAGTCTGTGAACCGCATCGCAGAACTGTCTGCTTCGTTAGGAGAGAGGATAGGTGGGGATCGTACCCAAGACGACGACATCCTTCCCACTCCAATCAAATCCATGATCCCACTTCGCAGAATGAAACATCTTCCCTTTAAAAGATTCTTTCCCCTCGACATCGCACTCCTTCGGCACACTCAAACTCCCCACTCCACTAACAAGCACCTTCGCCCTCGTAACCCGCCTCTCCTTGGTCCTCAAATTCAGCACACTCACCACCCACACCATCTCCTTCTCATTCCACCTCGCTTTCTCCACCACCGAATGAAACCTTACTCTCTCCGTGATCCCATACGCATCACTCACGCCCCTAAAATACCTTTGAATCTCCTCGCGCATAGAGTACTTGCGACTCCAGTCCGGATTCAGCGCGAAACTGTAGGAGTAGAAATGGGATGCGACGTCGCAGCCACACCCGGGGTAGGTGTTTTGCAGCCAGGTGCCGCCTACGTCGGAGGATTTTTCGATGAGCTCGAAGTTGCGGATTCCGAATTGGCGGGTGATTTGGATGGCAAGACCGAGGCCGGACATGCCGGCGCCGATTATGAGGACTTCGGTGTCGAAGGACATGGTGCTGGTTGGACGTGCTCAGAGTTGTGATTATGGATAGGAAGGACAGAATGCAAGGCGAACCAGAAGAATCAGGGAGAAGGGATATGCTTGAGGACTGATGGGAGAACGGGTGCTGTCTCATTTATACATCTTCTGCCAGTGCCAATCGTTCATTACATCTATTACCGCCGCCACGATACTATCAGTGGGTCGCTCAGCCCATGTCGGTCACACAGGTAGTGTGTTGGTGCGGGGAGGCTCTTGAGATGTCGTTGAATGACCCGTTTCGTGATGGAAGGTGCGCCGATTGTGAGGGATGAGCCAATGAAGTGTCCACGGACGTGTGTGGTCCGCGGGGTCGTGTATGGGGACCCCACATATTTACACGCGTGTAGCTCATCTCGATTCGGATCTGCTTTGGGTATTTCGGAGCGCATCCTGGTAGTTGGTACAACAATGTCTTCGTCGTGTGCAGAGACGTGACCAGTGTCTCGAAGTTGCGCGGAGCTATCTGAAGGTGGACGATGGGAGGAAGGTTATAGACATCTAGATTTTGTCAGAGCATGCAGTGTCGAGCACGTGGTCTGTAGTACTTGGGTATATGGCAGTGTTCTACCAAGCACACCCTATATAGATGACAGAAGAGAACAATCATTACTTTATCATACCCATATATATTCTTATCACCGGAGACCCTGCTTGATACCCACGAGTATACCAACAACAAGCAGGGCCGCATTGAACGCCGCCATCATGTAGAACGGACTTCCTGGCCCCATGCTATCGAACAACGCACCTCCCGCCTTGGTAAGCAGCAAGATACCAAACCCCCCAAGCAAGCTGTAAGTTCCGGCTATTGATCCCTTCATATCGTTGTATGAGTTGGATTCTGGGGGCGAGCTGGGTCTGCTGGTGCTATAGCTCTGATTCTGAGGCAACAGTGGCTCCTCTTCATGGACAGGCGTGATGGGTGCGCTTGTCGGCGGTGTCGCGCCTGCCGAGGGATGGTAGCTCACATTTGTTGAGTCAAGCGCTGAGCCGTTTGCGCTGGACTCGTCGTTGTTAATGCCGCGACCGAGGAGGGCAAGAGAGCAGACGATGGCGCCGATCTGACTGATGCCGAGGAGGGCGACGATGATGAAGATGGCACCTGTTCCATCTTCGCTCTTGTAGTCTGGACTGGCTAGAGATCCGAACATAGCGTAGCCTGCAATGCCTGATGCAGCTGCAAGGAGCAGGGGGACGTTGTATCTTGGGTATATGCCAGAAAGGTAGCCGAAGACTGGGGCGCAGAGGAGGGCGATGAGCTGGCTGATACCGGTCAACATGGCGGCGAGTTTGTAGGCTTGCGGGCAGGCGTGCTTGATGTCGGAGGGGTTCGAGGGGTCGACGGCGCATTCGCCGGTTTGGAGGAAGTAGTGATTCGTGAACAGCGGGATGAAGAGTGATATGGCGACGGATGATGCGCGTGCGACGAAACCCCCGACGTAGCCCAGGCCGATCAGAGGTGATTCGAAGCCTAGACGGACGCTCTCGAGGAAGAGGAAGGGGTACGACAGAATGAGGTCGCGCGCATGGGACGTCTCAGTACTCTTGTGCTCGTCCTTGCTAGTAAGACGTCTCCACCCCTTGTCCTCCTCGCCAGGCAACTGACGCAGGCCGAAGAAGCAGCCAATGGCTACAAGAATGGCGATGGCACCCACCACATAGAAAGCGGCCGCAACAGCAGCAGCAGGGCTCTCGCCAGCCTGCTGAAAGCGGGTGGGCAGGGGCAGGAAGACCAACAGAGCCACCAGCGCGCCGCAGCCCGTGAACATGCCGACCAGCCCTGCAAGCTGCGAAGTAGACGCGCCTGTGTCTTTCTTCGTGGGCGCACCTCCGCTCGATTCTTGTGAGCTCGATCGAAAGCGGTCAGGGGTGATGGTGAGCTCAGAGGAAATGGACGGGGCGACAGCATGCCGACTGCCATTGACCACGCGCCTCAGCGTAGGACTCCTTGGATCCGGCTTGGCCTCCCTGACCATCGTCATGGTTGGCAGAATCGCAGTAACCATAGTCGCCCTGCACATGTCAGCCTATACTCTTCCCACGAACACCCACGAGAGACTCACGTTGCGCTCCCTCCCAGGCTGAACAGCACCCTCGCCAGCAGCAACTGTGGGTAAACATCCCTGGCCTGAACCAGCACCCACAGACTAATTCCCACAACTATGTACCCCGTCACCGCAACAGCCCTAACTCCCACCCTATCGCTCAGCAGCCCCCAGACCGGACACGCAACCAGCGCAACCAGCTCGTCCACAAAGCCCAGCGTGCCCACCGCACCGCCGACATTCTTGCTCTGCCCAATGCGCTGCGTGATGACAAAGCTGATGCTGCTGTTCAGGAACACGAGGAAGGCGATGCTGAAGAGCGCGACGCCGAAGAGGTACGAGGCGATTTGCGTGCGCGTCGCGGTGAAGGATAGGCCAAGCATCGCGAGGGACCGAGCGTGATTGCTAAGAGCTCGGTGGAGCTGAGGTCGTTATCGAGGGAGCATTGACGTGTGGGCGTGTGAACGTGTGGGCGTGTGGACGTGTGGGCGTGTGTGTTAGCGTGAGATGGTATGGGTTGGGCTGCCCTTGATTACCGCGGGATCGGACGTCATTAGCAGCAAACACGCGCTAGCCACATTGTGACCACGCCCTGGATGAGCGTGCATGCAATGAATTCACCCATGGCAGTTTCTGGACGACCCTTGCTTTGGGCGTGCCTGTCAATCAGCATGTCGGTCTCACGGTGAAATTGTGCGATGGTAATGCATGGTAACGTTGAGTTCGATAAGACTATCTAAGGCTGTCTCAGTACTGCCAGCAGCCCATAACGTTCAAGATCAAGGGCGGTTCGACTGTCGCGAAAAGGAACCCGGCTATAAGCCACCCTTGCCAATGCTGTCCAACGCCTGATGATGTCTAACGTCCGAGCTCCATAGCCCAGAGACTCCTTTTCGAATTGGCTGTGAAGCCTGCGTTTCTATTCCATAAAGCCAACCATAACACCGTCCCACGCTATGCTCAAGTAACAATCTGTCTAAGCAGCAATGGCTGCTAGTTGTATCCATCCCTCCCTGCCATGACTAGTACAGTCGCTACAAGGAGTCTTGAACAGCTCCTATGGGTAGTAGCCAGAGTTCTGGGCGGAGCCCGAGTTGTTCGGGTCGTACTTCGGGCCTCCGCCATTGTGGATGACGACAGTTGCTGGCTTGCTGCCATAGCTGCGCGACGAGTGGGCGGACTGAGCGTAGTTGCTAGACGCGCTGGCTGTTGCTTGTTAGACTCATGGTGTGGCACGAGACAGGCTGAAAGACATACTGGAACTGGTCGAGGGCCTCGGGGCGTAGGAACCCTTCTCCTGGTAGTAGGATGCGTAAGACGAAGGCATGATGGATTGTTGTTGTGGCGTTCGAGGGAGTTCAGGAGGAGTATTGATTGGGTGATCCGACGGAGGTTGAGAAGTCGTCTTTGAATGAATGAGGCCTGTGACAGTGATTGCTGGCGTTTGAGTAGCAGGTAATGTATGAGCGTGATGTGTTTAAATAAACATAAAGAAAGACAGTCATTTATACTTAGGCAGACACGGCTGAGGCCGCCGTCAAGTGCCCAACATACTGTTGACTCTTTCGCCACAGAGTCCTCCTATGTTCGTTTCTGCCTGAGCCCATAGCGCGTCAAAGTGTAGTTCTCTCAACTTGCGAATCATTACGCGTGGCAGTGTATGTCCTTGGCAAGTTGATTACTGGGGGAAAGGGCGGAGCGTGCGCTAGGCAAATCCGCATGCCTGAAACTACTGGTGAACACCCGAATAGGTAGGGAAAGAGTCATCGTGATTATTCGAAGTGCTAGAAGAATCCACTGCTAAGGTATGGATCAGAGAAGCACGCTCGGCGCGTAATTCGACGCGAAAGCAAGCAGCGATGACTGTGCAGCAGCTGCAGGCACGCAGGCTAGAAACGACTCATTCTGGCCTGTGCCACCAGTGGCAACGAGCGACCCTTCGCCGGCTGCCAAGGCCAGGCTGAAGCGTGCGCACTGAGGTCGATAATGAAGGTGTCGACCCCGGGTCGCTGGCTAGCGTGGGGCCTGCCGGTGCCTGATTTCAGGTGAACTGTGATGATAAACCCTCACCGGGACGTGGAATCGGAGAGAATGGACGCAAAGATGACAAACGGAAGAAGGACAGAGGCGAACAAAGAGAAGGAACAGGCGGAAAGGCGGTGTTGTAGGAGGCAGACGGTGAAGAGATGAAGGCAGTGCAGTCCAATGCGGGGTTGGGCATAAGCCGCGCCTTGTTAGACATTCTACGAGGCACTTACGCGCACATTGTGCTCTCACGTGCTGGCGTACTGGTACTCTCCGTGAATTGGTGGTCATGAACCTGAAAATTTGATGAACTGAGTCGTTGGCGCATTCGTGATAGATTGTGATGAAGTGGACGACGCGTTCAAAGCTCGAGGTGTCTGCCAAGGACGACGCGCGCTGTCTGTCCAGTGTCCCGCGAACCTTGGAAAGTGCACTTTCGACAACTTTGGAACAGCATCCTTGACGTGCTTGTTAATTGATTAATTGGTTTAACGTTGACGTGCTTGTCTTGGGTCCCTGTATCGCACACTTTGCACCCGGACCTCAAGAGGCTTTCACTCTGAGCATCACTTCGAAGATGTGTTCGCTCAACAGCTTCACGCTGCCCCGCCTGATGACCCCTCATTGACAACCTCGCCCTCGATCTTTCGATCCCTTAGCATCCTGTACATCCCAATGCTGGGCTGCACGTCCTTGAACCCGTACTGAGGATACAGCTTCTGCGCCGCCGGCTCTGCGACCAAGCTGACATATGCTTGAGGAGCGTTTGCATCCACATAGTTGACAAGTGCTTGCATGATGCGCTTCCCAAGTCCACGCCGTTGGTGATGTGGATGCACCGCGACATCGCAGAGCAGGAGGAACAGCGACTTGTCGCCCAGCAAGCGACCCATCGCAACTGGGATCTGATCTGGACTGGGTGTTAATTCGTCTAGCATATCCTTCGTTTCGTACGCCAAAATGCCGACAAAGGAGTTCTCCAGTGCTTTTGGTACAGCTTCAAGCGGCGGGGGCGTCATGCCAGCAAGCTTTCGTAGGTCGTGGTACACTTGAGGCGTCGGCAGCCCTTCGATTATGGTATATCCGCCGTTGGACGTCATTTTGAGAATTGTGGAAAGGCTGTAGAGTATAGTAAGAGCGGTTGACAATTGATGTGGTGTTGTGTTACCCTAGAGCTCACGATGCGGTGTCAGATGGCAGCCTCGGACTGCACGCGGAGTCATCCTACGCATTCGGAATACCTCACGAGTTCCACGCTTCCAAGTCAGCACAATCTTGCATGCCACGACAAGATTCGACTAATCGATACTAATTTGTTCACTGGCAGTACGATGCCACGGCAAACACGCTGGTTCACGCGCGAAATGCTCTCGTCAATTTCGGATGCGTTGCCTCAGAAGTCCGATATCACCATCATCCTCTCTCTTACCTTGTCTCTGGTTTGGGATTCCCCTTCGTCGCTCAGTACATGTGACCGTTGTATCACAAGCTACTTGGCTTGCGACTGACCCATGTTTTATCAGCCTGACCGCAACACGATGCCACTATCAAACCACACAGGAGCAGACTCGAGCATTGCGTGCCATTATGCCAACCACCGTCTACACTATTCGCCTTCAGTTTGCAATACACATTGACCGCAGTCGCCCAGAACTGGTGGTCTGTCACATCTGGAATCCTTTACGAACTTACGAGAAAGTGCGATGGAGTCACGTGGCGGACCTGAAAGCAGCGCACACATGAACGAAATCTACAACGCTATAGCAACCACCGAAGACCGTTACTGGTGTAGGTTTTGTCTTCATGTACTGCTGGCAATTATCACTGCTCCTTACCGTCGAACCTTCAAGCTGTACACATGGAGACCGCTGAAGGAGATGCGCGCAGCACATGGCGATCGTAGCGTGTTGATCCCTCTGATACGGCAGTGGAAGGTAGAAAAGTATGAGGAATTGCGGTCAGTACAAGTCTCTGTAAGTCAGTACATCATTGAGCCAGACAAGCATTGATTGTCGCAGGCAAGCTTCTGTGCCGGAGCTGCACTCACCGGTATGCCCTGGTCCAAAACCTCAGATGCTCTCTGGATCGCAAATGCACTCTTCGTCAGCTGTCTCCTTTGCGCTATCTGGGCCATCATTTCTTCGATTCAGACGAAGTCTATCCTTGACGACTTGCCAGCGAAAGAAGATCTCGATACCAGCCTTGCAGATGTTGAAGTAACACGCGTCCAGCGTACAATTCTGCGGTACAAACGTACTCCTGCCTTTCAACACTGGGTCATGCTGTTCATCTGGCAGTTTCCTTCGATGACCATGGCCTACTCATGGGTCACCTTTCTCTCAGCTCTTACTGTGCGTATATGCGAACCTTTCATCCGGCGGTCACCGTGGTCAGACCAGAACAAGGTACATGACTTACCTATGCTATATCTGCAAGATTCGCTAAAAACAACAGACAGCCATAGTCTATCTCGTGATCGGTCTTCTCGGTCTAGCTACCTACATATTCACTGCCGTCTTCGTGTACATAAGCGAAAAGGATCTTGAGCATTATGTCTCAGGTGCGACCACGAAGGGAGGTCCAAAAACCAGCAAACACACCCATGCGCCTGCATTACCCCCCACACTTCCAAATATTGCAAGGACATTCGGTAGCAGCAAAGGCAGCGTTTCTTTCGAGCAGTTTCGCAAGGATGGCTTCGTTGAGATCGATCTTGAGCGTCAGGGAGAAACAGAGACGATAACGATCATGGAAAGGCTCGAGCCAAAGGGTAGAGAGAAGACCAGATTGATGTTGTTCAACTGAGGCGTCAGGAGCCAGCACGATTGTTGTTCTACCATATTGTAGCGACGGCAATTTCCTCCTCACCTTTTTATCGATTCTCGGTCACTCCGAGAAGCACATATCAACAACCCTGCATACAACGAATATCATCTTTAGTCTTCGGTTGCCAACCATAGCCTCTCGATGGCTGCGATCTACAGTGCATCACTAGCGTTCACCTATCACAATGGCAGCCGATCCTTGTCAGACGCATACCATCGCAGTTAGCGCCAGGGACCACAACCCACGAGCTTCAAACACGAACAAAGATTGGTGCCACTTTTACTAGGAACAGGATGCTCGACGAATACGCTACTTCATACCTATGGCCGAGCAAAGTAGGGGAATGCAACGTTCTATGCATGTGTGTTAATGTCGCCGTCTCATAAGCCAGAGCTGAATCCTCGATTGCACACGGAGCCGTGCATGATCTTGGAAGCAGAGGTGTGCAACATAACATGTCCGATAGTTGACATGCTCATCTTGATGCACACGCGAATCAAGATTGAATGCCCCAGCAATGGCTGACAGGTTCAATCAGGCTTCAATTCTGGAGGTAGACATGGGCAGCAAAGTATAGGGTGTGATGATCGAAAGAGTAATTTAATTTTGCTGTTCATAAAGGCGTATGAGTCCTGTTGTGTGTCAATTGCTGAACCAACAGAGCACATCAGCAAAATGAATCTACTCTCCGTTTACACAGTTTTAGTTTGTCTCACAACGTCAGGTCTGGTAACGTCTGCGCCCACGCAACAACGGACGCGACAGGTCTCTACCAACGTCCCAGACTTCGTGCTGAAGTACGGTCCGTAACCTTCATAACACTGCGTATCAGTCAGATTGCTCACATCTACAGCACCCATCCTTCATCTACACAGCGAGGAAACGCATTTCCCAACAGACCTGTCAACATTTCTCACGCACGTAACACCGCGCGTCAATTATACCGCCGTACCCGATGCTCCATACCCGCTTAAGCTTTCCAATCTCAACCAGCTTAGCCCCGAAGTGTATCTAACGTCCAACGACGACGTTACCACCGACCCAGGATGGCTCAAAGGAACAGCGCCAGACGCCAACGATTCCACTATCGGAATCACCTCAGCTATCATCGTGAACAAGAAAAACGACAGCAGTGTAGACGTTTTCTACTTCTACTTCTACGCCTTCAACCCCGGTACTTCAGTCCTCGGCCTCCCATTCCTAAACTTCGGTACGTTTCCATCCCTCTGAAACAACTTTAAACATTCCCTCATATCTATCACAGGTAACCATGTAGGCGATTGGGAACACGCAATGCTGCGCTTCCCCACTCCCACCTCCCCACCCTCCGCCATCTGGTACTCACAGCACGCCAACGGACAAGCCTTCCGGTATTCCGTCGTCGAGAAAGACACCGACGGCATCAGACCCGTTGTGTACGTAGCCAAAGGCAGCCATGCGAACTATGCTATTCCAGGGACGCATTCACACGTCATACCGAACCTCAACCTGCCATTCGGCGCGTTGGAAGACTATACTGATAAGGGAAGACGATGGGATTCGCTGGGGAGCAAGTATGTGTATCGGTATGATGCTGGTAGTGGTACGTTCACTGCTTACGGCGATGCACCGGTGGAGTGGTTGGAGTGGAAGGGCAATTGGGGAGATGAAGAGTACCCGGATAGTGATCGGAGGCAGGTGGATTTGTTTGGACAAAAGAAGTATGTCGATGGGCCGACGGGGCCGGTGGATAAACAGTTGGATAGGAAAGAGGTATGTCCTGATAATGGGATCTTGTGTATACTTAGAAGTGCGCTTGTGCCTAGGGATGTTGGGGATGGGGAGGCGAATGTTGGTTGGAAGGACGTTGAAGGTTGACATAGACCCGAGATGCTGTAATGAGTATCACTTTTCGAGTCAATTTTCTGACAATCTCCAGGGCTAAAACAGCTCCTGGCTGACAATGTCCCAGAAGTCCCCTGCAAACTCTCCACCTCCGTCCATCAGGTTTCTGAACTCCGTATGCTTACCGAGCACCTTCACCTCGCAGGCAACGTAGTTCACAACCATGTCGCGCAGCGCATCGATTTTCCCATCTTCGGACCTATCCTCGCCATGCTCGTAAGCATACCTGGCAATCTCGACGACATCTCCAAGGCGTTCAGGGTACAGCTCGAATCCTACCAAGGTTCTGTGCAGTTTGTAGAGAGCAAGATCCTTAAGTGGTTTCACCATGTGCATGTCGGCGAGAGTGTAAAGGCGAGCGTGTGCTAGAAACACAGGGGCGAAGTTTTGCGTAGGGGACGTGTTTGGGTGGGTGTCGAACTGCATGTGAAGAAGACTTGAGGCATTGTGAGTCGGGTGCATGTATTGGCGCTGATTGAACGCAACACGCGAGCCCATTTGGTTGTTATTGTGCTTTTTGAGGTTCCTGGTGGAAGGGATGGTACCAAAGGCGGAGGGAGCTGCATTGGAGTTCCAGCCTCCAGAGTCCCAATTAGTGGTGATAGGCATTGCCTGAAACGTTGGCCCTACTGGCTCTTCATCAGACATCATAAGCTCCAATCCATGGGACGGGGTCATACAAGCACTTGAATCCTTCTGCCCATTCTCAGCGGTAGCTGTGGGGTCTCGCGTCCATAACGGAGTCGTATAGTTGCGTCGATATGCGTACTCCATGAAGCGAATGAAGGTCTCTGGATCCACGTCCTCGATTTCGGCAGTCCGACTCTGCGCCTCACTCAGCCCGCCATTGACGAGCCTATCAAAGTACGGCGAAGTAGCAGCGACGGCTTTGGAGTGCACGATGAACTGCTTCTTCTCTTCTCCGATATAGAAGGTGAAAAGGTCGGATTGGATGAATCTGTGTATGTCAGTCTACTGACATCCCGAGTAATGAATACAACGTATGTACTCTTCGAACGCGATGTTTTTAGGCAACTCGGTCATGATGGCAAGGTTTGTAGTGATACAGACCGACAAAGCTGCGATTCGTATTAAGTACTCAATTGCTTTAGCCTGGCGGCGGGGATGCGCAGCACAAGAAGGCGGGGTGCAGCGGATGCATATATTCAGTCAGCCCACCTACCAGATAGGATGGTGGTTGTCCATACATTGCCTTCAGCGTGTTTCTGAAATCTGCAGTCCGCCGCATGTCTCTAGGAAAAAAGGATCGCGGCGGTGCGGGAGCGCTTCTAGACATACTCTCATGCAGCGGTATTTTAACGGCAAGTCGCATCAATATTCGCGCATCTCAACAGACACATACTCGCACAAAGCTGTCGGTGCGCATCACGATCACCATATCGAGAGTGGAGGTGTGAACGTTGGAGATCAACGGTGCGGGTGCCATTAAATGCGATCACGCCAATCGAAGTGAACGGCAGCTGCAACCGGACGCGATCCCTCAAAACCGGGTTTCCTCATCGCGTTCTCACTGCGTCATGACACCACTGCCACACTTCGTCCCAGTAATCCCAGCAGCGATGATGATCCTGCGGGTAAAGATGCAAGGGCTCCCATGCACACTGACAAGTCGTTGGTGGAGGAGTCCTGCTGGAGGGCTCTGAAGCCGCGAACGACAGGAGCCCTGTACGTCACTCGTAGGCAAGATGTAATGTAGGTAGCTGTTTCCTTCCTTCTATGTTTCGTCTCCTGAATACTTTATCGCTTTTGGCACCGATACCTTCCTTTCGCAATTCTCCAAAAACATAAGTCAAGACGGCGCCCCAAATCCCATCTCGACGCGCTCTTGCCGGTCTCGCTGTCGTAACCGTACTCTCGACAATTGAGAAGCGGCGCCGGAGCCAAGCGCAACTAAAAGAACAAGAGGAACCACCTCTGGACGTCGAAGATATGTCAGGCGAACTACAGACTATTCCTGCACGCCATGGCGTTGCGACGTTCGTACCGCGTGGCCGCACGATCAAAGTCATCAACACCTACGGCAAGCAGGTTGTCAGTATGTGGGCGTTCACATTAGGTGCACCACCTGAGGAAGGCGATGAGGATGCCCCAGGTGACGAGGAGATCGAAGAGGAGGCGAAGAAGCTACAGGAAGCTGCAGAGCGAGAAGAGGGCCAGAGTGAGAAGAAAGAGCCCGAGCCAGCAAAAGAGAAAAAGTCCAAGGACCAAGAGTCCAAGGACCAGATGGAGGATAAGAAGGAGCACTCAGACTCGAGCACAGGCGAGCAGTCGAAAAAGGGACACGAAGATCCTCCTGAGCAAGCGCCAGAGATACCTGACAACGAGAAGTCTACCGAAGGCACAACAAAGTCCGTCGAGAAGGCCGCGAGGCAGCTCTCCAAGCGAACCTGGGCGTCCTACCTCCCCTCGATCCCGTACCGCTCCAAGGGCAAAGGAGACAAGATAGGCAAGGCTGAAGTCGAACAAGAGCCTAGCCCTGACGAGCAGAGAGCACAGAATGAAGCCAACACCAAGAAGTGGTCCTCGTACATCCCAACCGGCAAAGGCTTCTCAAGCTACATCCCAAACGTAGAGGTGCCCAGTAAGGAGGGTGTTGTGAGCGCGTTCAAGTCGAGCCATTACCGTGATCCCAACAAAAGCTATGCTGAGCAGCTGTACGACTTCTCCAAGACGCCTGTCGGCGCGGGCACCATTGCGGGTAAGTCTAGATGAGCTTCTTTATACTATCGTCTGTAGTGACACCATCACAGCGGCCACCGGGTCAGGCTACGCATCCACCGTTTACGCCGCCTACTCGGCCTACGCGCAAACCCACCCTTCGAAAGACTCCCGCCCACCGATGGAGTACCTCTCGCTGCCCCACACACGCGCCTCATCCTACAAGCTAGTCCCCGAAGTCGACGACACCCTCCTGACAAACCTGCGCAACCCCATCATCACTCTCGTCGAAGACACCACACCTGGTGCGCACGACACACTGACCGCTGCATGCGATGCAAACCTGTATGCCGCACTCGGCGTCGAGAAGCCCGCCGAGCACGGCAGTTGCGCGGAAAACCTGGTCCTCGCGCTCAAAGAACTGAATGAGAACGCTGGTCTGAAAGGCGCGAAAGCCGTCGGTGCGGATATCAGCGTCAACATTGCCCCCACACCTTTGCATCTGTTTATGGTCACCCCCATCGAACTACCCTCAGACGCAAAGACCACCGAGTCTGGCGCCAAAGGCGCGAAGCTCGCAGTTGAGGAACCTAAGGGCAAAAAGAGGGGATTCGTGCGGTTCCGGGCTGAGCGCGACGTCGTTGTGGTGTTTAGCGCGTGTCCGATGGATGTTGGGCCTCAGAATGGCGGGCGGTGTATGGCTGCGAACTTCATGGTCGAGGAGGCGGAGGCGGATGACAATGCGTCGGTTAAGAGTGGGAAGAGCAGGAGGAAGATGCCGCCGAAGAAGCTAAATGCGGCGGGCAAGAAGGATGAGAGTAAGGAAGCTACTGAGAAGATTGAAGAGAAGGAAGAGAAAATCGAAAAAGCCAAACCGAAGAAGCTCAATGCACCCAACGAGGAGGATGAAGACAAGCGGGCAGAAAGAAAGGAAGTCAAGACGGAGCAATCAAAGGAAGAGCTTGCAGTGACTGAACAGAAAGATGATGCAAAGGGAGAGAAATCTGAGGTGAAGCAGACTGGGGAAGCATCTAAGCCAAAGCAGACAGAAGAGAAAACTCCTGGACCCTCACCTTCGCCGAAGACCGAGGAGAAGACCGAGGACAATGGCAGCGAGAAAGGAAGTGACGCGCCTTCCGAGGAATCAGCAAAGCCGAAGAAGAAGCCTAAGAAATTGCAGGTGCGATCCAGGCAGTAAACTTCCTTCTGTTCACGCAAGTTAATGGGTTGTAATTGATATAACATGTGCTCAATACAATCTTCAATCGTCCCAAGTTCGCGCCTTCCTCGCACGCACACGTTGCACCGAACCTTTCCTTCACTTACATCTCATACCCCGGTCAACCTGTGCCCCACAGATAGCTTCTTGGCGGTCGATGTCTTCTTCATACATCAGTGGGCTTCACCTCGAGTAATCAATGCCAGTCTACTACCTTCCAGTACTGTAGCAACTACCTTCCAGGTCGATCCACGTGCGATGACTGCCACAACACCTTAACCCCGCAACACGCCTTACTGGTCTTCTTGGATATCGTCACGACACTCGTTTTCACCACTCATCCCGTCGCCTGGCCTTGGTCAACATGGCTCCACTCACCGACGGGCAGCTCTTCGGTATCGAAATCGCAACGCGCGCCTCGTCAATCGCGTCGATCCTTGGCTCTCTGTTCATTACCAGCACCTTCCTCTACTTCCCATACTTCCGAAAATTCAATACCCGCTTGATCTTTTACGCGACCTGGGGCAACATCACCACTAACATCGCGACGTTCATATCAATCTCTGCAATCCCAAATGGCCCAGCGAAGACCACGCCGCTATGCGAAATCCAAGCCTTCCTGATTCAATGGTTCATGTTGGCAGATCCATTTTGGGTAAGTGCCTCCTCCGGGCCAAAGACTGCACCTTGATGACTCTAATAGGTACTTTGCATGGCCCTAAACGTGTGGCGAATTTTCATGATCAAAAACTTCGATGGACGAAAGCTCCCCGATCCAGAGAAGTGGTACATCTTGTTTGCATATGGACTCCCCGCTATCACGGCTTTCATCTACCTCATCCATGATCACAACAGCGGCCAACGCATCATGGGTCCAGCTATCGTAAGTTCAACTCGAACTTGCACTTGATTAAGCGCTAATTCGACAGCTCTGGTGTTGGGTGAGCAAAGAGTTTGACTGGATGCGCATCGTGTTCTTCTACGGTCCAATGTTGTATGGACACTCTTCTCCTCGAGCGGCGTGTGCGTGCTGACCTTCACAGGATATTAGCTGGAACGGCCATGAGCATACACATCTGCGTCGGCTTCAAGGTCTATAAAGTAAAGGTCGAGCTGCGCAAGATGGTGGAAGAGTCCCGACGGTCTTCTGCACAAATGTCCTCTGGAGTCTTGGAAGATCCTTTCTATACTCCCAAAGACACCATCGTCGTCACAACTAAGATTGAGCGCGACATCCACGCGGGCGACTTCATGTCTCGACCTGCGACACCAGGAGCCAACCAGAGCTGGCTGACTCCTCCCCCTAGTCCGCGAAAATCGACAACTCCTCCACCTACCGACGCATCAGACACCACTCGCTCACCCACACCCTGCTGCCCGTCAAAGTCGCCAGGACGTTACAGCCTCCTGGTCCCTTTGAACCCTAATAGCCCGCACCGTCACAGCAAACCCCTGCTCATCGGCCGCTACAGAGCAACCGCTTACTCTGCGCCCCTAGCCTCCGGCGACTTCGCAACACTTCCATCACCTCAAGTTCCGGTCTTCCAGCCAACGGAGCACGCCGCCCACCTCAAGCGCCGGCGAGAGAACGCAGCAGCATTCGCCTATTTCAGGGTCGCGTTGTTGCTGTTCGTCGCACTCGTTGTGGTCTGGGTGCCGTCGAGTATCAACCGTCTCTACCAGATCGCGCACCCAGATCATCCTAGTTATGGCTTAAATGTTGTTTCTGCTCTTGTCCTCCCGATGCAGGGTTTCTGGAACGCGGTTATTTATGCGCAGACAACGTGGCCGGAGTGTAAGCGCGCATACGCAACAGGTATGTCGAAGCTTAAGGGAGATGCCGTGAGCAAGCAGCCGTCGAATGACTCGGTGCGAGATGAGTCGATCAAGTACAACGGGATTATCGAGAGCGAAGGAACCGAGATGTCGTTCGAGGACAAGTCTGAGCTGAATGCCTCCGTGCAGACGGTGTGAGTACGCCTGCAGTTCGACAGAAATAATTGCGCTTCCCACACAGCTCTTGTTGGTTTGAAACAGCTTGTATACCTCCAGTGTGCCTTGGTGTAGCTGCACTTGCAAGCACTGGACACCCTCGTCTTTTTCTGTTTTACGACTTTCACGATGGCCATGAGAGATACCCCGGTTTTTGGCGCAAGGTGTTGGGTAGTTTGGCGCTTGCTGGAAGCCCCATTTGGATGGTTGGAAAATATACACAAGCCGACTTGTCTACAAGAAGGGTTATACATGGTACAAAGGTCTTCCCTAGAGAGTGAATGGGAAACATCCATCGTTTACTTACACACATACAACGAATTGGCATCCGCCAGGCGTGGTATTCATCCATGGTCTCGACATGAGCACTCCAGGACTCGAGCTTGGGCGTGGCGACGAGCATCCCATACAGGCTTTCACATCTTCCCGTCATCCACCGGCGACAGCAGCTCATCCAGCGGCCACTTCCGTATCGCCCGAATACCCAACTGATCCGTATACCCAGCCTCAAACATCTCAATCCCCGTCCAGCCAATCATGGCCGCATTGTCCGTGCAGTACTTCGGCGGCGGGAAGAACAACTCCACTTCCCCAAATCCATGCGCACACAGCGTGCTAGCAAGGACGTGTCTGAGGAACGCGTTTGAGGCGACGCCGCCGGCCATGACGACCGCTGGCTTCTTATTCGTGCTGTCGACGGTTGAGGCGGTTGGGGTGGGGGATTGCAAGGCGAGCACGACGCGGGACGCGATGTGCTCGAATGCTGCGCGCATGACTCCCAGTGCTATATCTCGCCGCTCTTCAAGACTGACTTCTTCAGGGGTCCGCGGCTGCTTGGCCAGTTTCCCTGTCGCTGGATCCGTGGGGTAGCGTACAAGGCGCTCCACAGCAGTCATCAGGCCTGAGAAACTCATGCCCATGGTGTTGATCTTGTTGCCGCCGCCTGTCTTGGTCAGGGGCTGGTTTATGCTCCATCCCCATTTAGTTTTGCTGCGTGAGATGGCTACTTCGTTGTTGGTGGGGGGCGTGTACCAGTCGTGTACGTAGCCGTGTTCGTCCAGGTAAGTTTGTGCGGCGAGCTTGGATTGCGCGCCTCTTGACCCGGGCGGGATGGAGCTGTAGGCGCGCGGTGGGAAGGCGAAGGTCTCGAGGAGGGCGCCGTACATGGTGCTCTTTGCGTGTTGGAGCTCTTCCGGAGGGAGGACTACGCGTGCGACCTTGTCTAGGCATTCGCCCACCGCGATGTCGTCTGTGCTGCCGAGTATGCTGTGGTCGGTGAGGGAGGTCGAGTTGATGAGTATGGTGTGTCCGCCAGAGGCTAGGACCGAGAGGACGGGGAATGTTGGTGTCAGCGCACCGTTCCCATTGACAAGAGGCTTTCGACTTGGGTCTGCTTCGCCAAGGGTGGCATTGCAGGCTTCGAGGGCGGCGACGAGGCGGGGCGTTAGAGCGTGGGCTTGCATGTGGTGTACGCCGACAAGCGGTTTCTGCGCACTGTCAGTCCTTGCAGCTGAGTAGAAGCGTCTGTTTGCAGGCACCTCCCAGGCCACTGCCAGGCCTTTGGCTGTGTCCAGTCCAGTGAATAGATTCGAGCGCATGCCAGGGCCTCGAGTCACAGACACAAAGTCTGGCAGTCTACGGCCTCCTCCATGGTTTGGCAGATGCTCGATTGCCTCTGCTATCAGCTGCGCTAGGTTCTCCTGGTGGGATTTGAGCGTCAAGAGTGGATGCACACCCTGGAACTCGGTGTTGTTCGATGTGACTTTCTTGTGAAAATGCAGTCTCGCGACGGTGTTGCCGTCGTGCACGCCCTTTTCCACGATGGCGACCGAGGTATCATCGCAGGATGTTTCTACAGCAAGCGTCATTAGTAGACGACGACGACGACGACCGTGCGCGCTGCAGCTCGGTGAGGTTCGACGTGTCCATTGTGGTCGAATCGCAGTCTGAAGTATACTGCGACGAGGCAGCATCACTCGCTCTGACGCCGTCGATGCGGACGGCTGAGGCGCGTTCGTGATGCGAAAACACGGGACGACGAGACCCTGCGCGACGGCTGCTCGCTCCTGACTGCCGAATGTGACATCATCCCGGACCACGCACATGCCAAAGCAGCTTCAGCTCTCAACACCCGGCCCGGCTCGACACTTCGCTGGTACCGAGCGACGCCTGACGATGCGACATACGTCCAGCTACCATGGCCGACACTAAGAAAGAGAGCGACGGGCCAGCGCCCTACTCGTCGTCGGCATTCGACCTCACACAGCTGCCCGACTACGACAACGACTTCGTGACCGAGGACGACTTCGTACGCTTCGCCAAAGCGCTTGCAGCCCCCGAGACCTCGCCGTCTGCAGAAGACCTGACCGCGCCGCCGGACACGCCGCACCACTTCACAGCCCAGAACGACTGGCGTCCCGTGCACCAACGCGTGCGGAAACGGAAAAAGAGCAAGGCGGCACCGGGGCGAGGGAAGGATGAGACGCGCGAGGGCTTCGTGTACGTGCTGCTAAAGTGGCCGCTGTTGGTGTTCGTGCTCGGGTGGCTGCTGTTCCTCAGCATTGGCTACGTCATCACCCGAATATACATCTACCTCTACGAGCACTGGGTGACATGGCGGGGTACGCGCAACCGGCTACGGCAGCAGCTCCAGAACGCGGCTACGTACGAGGAGTGGATTCGCAGCGCCAAGACACTCGATGCCTACCTGGGGAGCGATATCTGGAAGGAGAAGCCCGAATACGCGTACTACGACAGCAAGACGGTCAGGAGGGTGCATGAGCAGATGGTGAAGCTCAGGCAGAGGGCAGAGTCAGATGAGAACGGCAAGTCGGACTCGAAGAGCATCGAGGGGCAGAACAGGGCTGTTGAAGACTTGCGCGCGCTGATGGAGGCATGCATGAAGAACAACTTTGTCGGGTTCGAGAATCCGCGTCTCTACAGCGAGACCTACTACGGCACCAAAGACCTCGTACAGGACTTTGTCGACGAGGCTGAGACGTCTATGGACTTTCTCCTCAGAACCAAGCAGCTCGATGCCGAGAACAAGCGAGCACTGTTCAAACATCTCGGCAGCAACTTTGGCAGAACTGCACTGTGCTTGAGTGGAGGGGCGACGTTTGCATACTATCACTACGGCGTAGCAAAGGCGCTGTTGGATGCTGGCTTGCTCCCCGAGGTCATCACTGGAACGTCCGGCGGAGCGCTGGTAGCAGCACTCTTAGGCACGAGGACCGACGAGGAGCTCAAGAAACTGCTTGTCCCTGCACTCGCTCACCGCATCAAAGCGTCTCAAGACAGCACCTGGACGTGGATGAGGCGCTGGTACAAGACCGGCGCACGCTTCGACGCTGTACAATGGGGCAAGGCATGTTCTTGGATGACCAGAGGCAGCATGACCTTCAAAGAGGCCTACCAACGGACCGGCCGCATCTTGAACGTCTCTTGCGTGCCGTCAGATCCTCACTCACCCACCATCCTCGCCAACTACATCACCGCTCCCGACTGCGTCATCTGGTCTGCAGTCCTCGCCTCTGCCGCCGTTCCTGGTATCCTCAACCCCGTTGTCCTCATGAAGAAAGACAAAGACGGCACCCTGTCTCCTTACTCGTTCGGTCACAAGTGGAAAGATGGGTCGTTGAGAACCGATATCCCGCTCAAAGCCTTGAACCTCCACTTCAACGTCCGCTTCTCCATCGTCTCTCAAGTCAATCCACACATCAACATATTCTTCTTCTCGTCCCGCGGCTCCGTCGGTCGTCCAGTAACCCACCGAAGAGGACGAGGCTGGCGCGGCGGCTTCATTGGCTCGGCTATCGAACAATACCTAAAGCTTGACTTGAACAAGTGGTTGAAGGTTCTTCGACACTTGGAGCTCCTACCGCGACCGCTAGGTCAAGATTGGAGCGAGATCTGGCTGCAACGCTTCAGCGGCACAATCACCATCTGGCCAAAGTCCATACCCAGCGACTTCATATACATCCTTTCCGACCCCACGCCCGAGCGACTGGCCCGCATGATCCACGTCGGCCAGCAGTCCTGCTTCCCAAAGCTCAAGTTCATCGCCAACCGCGCAAAGCTAGAGAAGCAAATTCAGGAAGGCAGGCGCATGTACCGCCCGCGCGGCCAGAACCACGATGGCGCAGACCTAGCCAACATGCTCTCCGAAGACGATTTGCATGGGCTACTCAAAGATACAAAGTCTGGGAGTGAGAACAACGGCCCATACCCTCTCTCTGATGACGACAGCGAGAGCACTCGGCCTGGCTCGCCTGTCGACCTCCCTCTGGGTTTTAACTTGACCCGCAGACCGAAACGCACACCCGGCGCCCTCAACACCCACGCAGCAGATGGGCAAAACGACGTCCCCGACTCCCCGTCCCTAAGCCAGAGGCTGAGTGGGTGGTGGAGCACGATGAGTCCCAACGCAACAAAGAACTCCACAGCCCTCAACTACCCCCGCTCACGCACTCGAAACCCCACCTCCCCACCACCTGGCTACGCACTCCACGACCGCCCAAATAGCATGTTCGAACTAAGGCCTCGGACTGAAATTGGTGATCTGCAAGGTTTCAGACGGCAGATTCGTGCGGTCGCTGATGATGCTGATGATGATGATGATGATGATAAATCGGACGGTGACTCGGATGTAGAGCAGTTCCAGAGTGAGAGTAGGCGGAGGCAGCAGCACCAAGGCGGGGGCTTTGGAGACGCGGATGCGGGCGCCGTGGATGTGGAGATCCATGGGGAAGCGGCGCATTGGGGTGACGATGAGGGTGAGAGCGAGGAGCAGAGTGTTGGTATTGGGTTGGGACTAGAAGGGCGCGCACTATAGTAGGCCTCACCATGATCTTTGGCGCCTTCAATGCGAGGTGATTTGCACCTTTAGACATGATTGCTGGAGACGAGACTGAGTGTGCATAGAGCTCGAGGTTTTTGTTGTGTATATATTCGTTACCATTCATCAAGCTATACGTTCAAGTCACAAGCCCTGTAGTGTGTACTGCTTGGAGCGCGAACTTGAGACGAGTAGAAAGCTCCCAGACTAGAAATGTGACCAAGTCGATCATGAAGGAGTAATGTAATCAGCATCCATTGTTCGGCAGCCTTACAGCTTCTATTGTGCTTACTAAACAATGGCTTATCTGCATAAGGACTATGGGTTATCACACTTGTGGTGCGAACATGCAGGTCGTGAGTAAGCTGCAGTCATATCACGACCAGGGTTAAACTGACGAGTTAAAACACAGCGATTTGTCTAGCGACCGAGCGAATGCTATCGAGGGCTTAGGGTATGGCGATGCAATGAGATGCGCGTATTGTGTGATTTGGAATATAGACACCTTGACGGAAAGGTGTATATAGTCGGCCATGATCCATCCAACAATCTCTCCATCATCCTTCATCTTCCAGCCGGTTTAGCTGCAAATCCAAAAGAATCCAATCACCAAACGATTCGAGATGCCTTTCTCAAAAGATCCTCAAATATTGGAGACCAGCAATGGGCTAGTCAGCGTACTTCGAGCCGCAGCCAATCAGCCTACTGAAGAATTCAGACCCGGTAGGTAACTTCCTAGTATCACCTATCACCTACACATCCTGACTTCCTCCAGCCCACGCCAAAGGCCATCTCCTCACCGGTACCTTTACACCCACCAGCTCCGCATCCACTCTCACAACTGCGCCACACTTCAACATCCCATCCACACCCATCACCGTCCGCTTCTCCTCCTCAACCGGCCTCCCACAGATCCCAGACACAGACGCCAATGGCAATCCCCACGGCATTGCAATCCGATTCCATCTCCCGGAAGTGGATGGTAGACGCAAGCACACAGACATCATCGCGCACTCAACCAAGTACTTCCCCACGCGCACCGGCGCAGAGTTTCTGGAGTTCTTGCGCATAGCCGGCGGACCGAATGCGGGGGAAGGGGTGCCTGAGTTTCTGGGACGGCATCCGGAGACGGTGAGGTTTTTGCAGGATGCTAAGCCGAGTCCCGTGTCTTGTGAGTTGATTTTTTTTTTTTTTTTTTTGCGAGCAGAGCAGTGGTGGTGTGAGCTGACGAAGGGCAGTTGCGACCGAGAAGTACTTTGGCGTGAATGCGTTCAAGTTCGTCAAGGACGGTAAGGTGACGACCCTAAGATACCGCATTGTTCCTGCAGCGGGTGAGCAGCATCTTGATGCCGAAACCTCCAAGACTAGATCGCCATCCTACCTCTTCGATGAGTTCCCGGACCGCCTTCGAGCTGGACCCATCGAGTTCAACCTCCTTGCGCAGATTGCCGACGATGGCGACGTGACAGACAATGCTACCGTCATCTGGCCGGACGAGAGAGAGATTGTGGAGCTAGGCACGCTGAAGATCGAGAAGACGCTCAGTGAGGAAGAGAGTCTGGTGCAGCAGAAGCGCATCATCTTCGATCCGATCCCGAGGATTGAGGGTGTTGAGACTAGCGACGATCCGCTGTTGGAGGTCAGGGCCAATGTTTATTTGATTTCGGGTCAGCAGAGGAGGGCTGCGCAGAGTGGTGAGGCTGTGAATGGAGACTCGAAGGAGGCTGTCAAGGCTACTACATGAACAGTGTGATCTGAATATCCTTCTCAAGGCACCATTGGAGTAGTTGTCGCCGACACATATGATGGTGGTGTGAATCTCGTTATGAATACCTTTGCGTCACTTCGCAGTCTAGCTCTCTCATCGCTTCTCAGGATGCGCAGAACTCAACGACCTTCTGCGCCCTCTCGCCCACCAACCCATCCACATACGCCAGAAACACATCCAAATCCAGCATGTCAATCTTCCCCAGCGTCGGGCTCGAACTCTTCAGCACCTGCCCACCCCACAAGACACGCAGGTACTTCTTACCACCATCTTTCTTGCTGGTGTACACCTCAAACACAACCTCAGCACCCATGCCAACCCACACCATCTGTTCGACCTGCAGAATGCTAAGCAGCCTTGAAACCGACCCATCATGCGCAACATTGTGGCGGTAAATAACCTCACTCTTGCCAGCCACTGTGTCGCGGATGTTCTGCGCAAGCTCGGCGAGCCAAACGCCGTACGAGCCGACGGCGGCTTGCAGTGATTGAGGCGAGTCGCGGTAGATGAAGGAGTACTCGTACTGCCCGAGGCGGTAGACAGTATTGGCTTGTTCTTGAGTGACGCAAGAGCTCGTGTCGTTGATGTTGCAGGGTAAGGGTTTGGCGTGGCATTGTCGTGCCGAGAGGTTGTCGTAGTAGTGGTCGAAGGACTTGTGCCAGTCTGTTGAGTCGCTGGCAATACCGGAGATGGAGTCAAGAGAGTTAAACAGAGGTTTTGCGGCGGTCAAGTGCGCAGTCCAGTTTGATGCTTTACTGCCGACGCCGTAGGAACTGTAGCGAGTGGACGCTGCAGGGCAGGAGTATTGGGGTTCGAGGGAGTCGACGCCTGTGGGTTGGATGCGGAGTGATACGTCGTCTTCTGGTGCGTACATGCCATTGATCAGGATTCCAGCGACTTGAGATGTGATCTGGTTGTTAGTCACTCTGTAGGTAACTTTGTCGCTGAGGTCGTTTGGCAGAAAGCCAAGCAGGTCGTGGTAGACGCCATAGAGATCCTTGCCATGCTGCCATGAGTCGTCTAATCCTTGTCTTGTGATCTGTGGAAACTGACAAGAGCCGTTAAAGCCTGTCTGTGCGAACGGGTTAATCTCGTTGGTGTAGACGCTCCAGTATGTTGAGCTCGATTCGTTGCCTGCAGGGTTGAGGGGCTTGCCGTAGTAGAACAAGCCTTGGTCATCGCAGGTCCATCCATAGGACTCTTTCGGGAATGTGTTTGATGCATATGGTGTTCTCTTGTGGTGGCGATGAATGCTACAACGGTCAGTTGGGCGCGAAGTTTCTGCAGGCCACTTACACTTCAACATATTGCAACTCGTACTCATCGCTAGCCTTTGGATACTCTTGAGCCCTCACATGTGGCATGTTACACCAGTTGTATGTGCCATATGGTGTTCCAGCGGGCAATTGTGAGCCATTGAACGCAAAGCCATTCGTTCCCGTGCCGTTCAGAACCTGTCCAAGATCATTGATCCAACTCTTTCTCGGTGCATGCCATCCTAATTCTATACTAGCATTCTGAGCGGTCGCTAGAGGGATCCATAGTAGGGGAATAACGTTTTTTACAGATGGCATACTCAGGTCCAAAACGCGGAACAGCGTGAAAGCGGTGCAAGATAGACAAAACGCGTAGAGCAAAACAACACGCCCATGATACATATCTTATATGCGGGTCCTCCGAGAATGAAGTTCGGAAGCCATCACAGATAGAGAAGTTTGCCGTGATTTTCAACGAGAGGAAGACAGAGATGACGGATGCGCAGATGGGAACGAAGGCACGGGTTGGGTCCTGTGTTTGTGATTGGTAGACCAGCGGAGAGCGGACCCACTTCCCTCAACCCACAGTTTCTTCGCCGAAGCATCGACCAGAATTTGTACTTTTTCTGCGCAAGAAAAGTGAGTGGTACATGACAATGATACCTTATTGGTGTTCGTTATTGTTGTGGGGTTTCGGCATCGATCTTGACATATAAAGCTCTAAACATGCTGGCAGGATGGCAGGAAACACTCGCCATCGAATCATCGAGTACCCTTGCCTGCGCTCTACCATTGTACCAATCGTACATGCCGCGAGCCTAGAAACCCAGGACCCTGTCAAGTAGTAGTGCGGTGCGACGAGCTTGACGTCTCCTTCAGAAGGTCTCCCTGCGCTTTGCTCGTGCAGGCATCCCTTCCCTTGGCTTCGCCGAGGCCAGCAGAATCTGGTACATAGGATCACCGAACACCTCCTGAGGCCCTTTTTGAAAACTTTTGTCCTTCGTCCAATGCGTTCCATCGTTGCTCAGCGATGCTAATTCGTCAAAGGCGCCTTGCACGTCGAATTCTCGCAACGTCAACGCGAGCACCGTCTTGATCTCTATCATGGTAAGTTCTTGGCCTATGCAATTGCGAGGACCCTTCTCAAATGGACGCCATGCATCGGCAGGTACTTTTGCAACGTTCTCCGGCAGGAAACGTTCAGGCTTGAACTCATCGACGTCTTCACCCCATATCTTCTTGGAGCGACCCATTGCGAATGATGGAGTCCATATGTTGATGCCGTCCGTGGGAAGCAGTTCGCCGCTTATAGGATCACGGATGAAGAAGTCATTGCGTCCTAGTTTGGCTGTCGATGCTGGAGACCAGAGGCGCAGTACTTCTTTGATGACGGCGAGCGAGTAGTCAAGTTTGTTGATCAGGAAAGGGTTCTCTCGGAGCTGTTGTGCCGCACTGACGTCAACTCCGAAGACTTCATCTAGTTCTTGCCGGGCTGCTGTGAGTGTATGCGGGTGTTCGCTAAGTAACTTGTAGCAGTAACACAGTGTCGAAGATGTTGTGTCGTGCCCGGCGAACAGAAGGACCAGAAGATTGTCAATGGCAGCTTTTCGAAATTCTGCATTCATAGTCGTTGCGCTGGCACCCATCTGTCTGTTGTAGTCTTTCGCGTACAACTCAAGAGCCAGATCAATACCAGTCTTTTTCTTCAGCGCCTTTGAGGCTTCAGACTTGCCAGCAGCGAATCTCTCGTCCAGGATCTTGCCAACGTATGTTATCATCTTCATACGGTAGTATCTCGTGACAAGTGGCCGTAGCAGACTGTATCGATGGAATGGATTGAGCGACTGATGGTCGAATGCCCAGAAAAGTGCACCTCTCATCCACTCCATGAATTGGCCACCAGAGGTAAGACACTTGAAGTCGTAGCCACAAATCACCTTGCCGATAACATCGATTGTGATCTTGGTCGCCTATGATAGTGTCAGCAACGCAGGCCAAGTCTAGGGTCCCGTCAACGCGCCTCTTCCTCCATCCTAAATACTCGATCAGCAGACGCATGCTCGTCAAGCAATCTGACAAACTCTTGGCAGCAGTCAATAATGGTAGGAACTTGGCTGAGGAGGTGCTGTGTCGAAAACCCCGGGTTGAAAGCGCTCCTCCATTTCTTCCACAATGGCCCGTTGGTTGTTAGCATGTTGACCTTGCCAACGAACGGCTCCAAAGCCTCTACCAGGGCAGGGTGCTTAACCAAGTCAGCTTCAGCGATCTGACGGGCTACATCCCTAGGGAAGATCAGTAGACTCTCTCTAAGGTGACCATCTGCTACGTACGGATCTGTGACTACCAAAGATATAAAAGAAACCGGACGTGGGTCTATGTAAAAGACAGGTGGTAAGTCATATTCGCGCATGAGCTGAGCGGTCAACGTATGTGGATGCGCACGACCTGGTAACTTCGCCGCGACTTTGCCCAGCGAGATGAGATGACCGAAGATTATCGAGTGTGGTGGACCAGGCTAGACATCATCAGCAAGGACACAATCCTTGCACACGGACGCCATAGTCCTCTGCTAGTTGAAAGTAGCGCAGGAGAGAGTGCAGCACATATACTCACGAGCTTCCGGTACCGCCATCGGTCTTTGAACAAAGCTGCAAGCTTTCCCACGACCCACACTACGGAGATTGCCAATAATGCCGACGCTACAGTGTAGTCGTGAAGCAACCCCATTTTGCGATGTCCCAAGCATAGAACGACTTGCGAAATTTTGTGCGGTTGGGAAGGCGAGGAGACGGCGTTTTCACTTCGTAGTGCGATTGTACGGTCGTAGCTTGCTCATTATATGCGTGTCGGGCGCCTCAATCACTGTTGCAATAAGGTTCACCTTAGTTCGATCCGTCGACGCTTGGAACCGTGGCCGTAGCCTGTAGGCGAGGTTGAGGTGATGAGGTGTGAAGTGCGGGGTATGTCGATGCGGTCTACTTCCGTGGTTTCTTCATGCTGACTACAGAGGGCAAGTACAGCTACAGCTTGGCTGCCATAGTGACGACGAAGCATATGCTATCAAATGACGTGCCCCTTCTTCACGTATTCCTCGGAAGTGACGTTCGCAATGACGCCAACTCTTTATACTTTTGTTCTTATAACAAAGCAGCGGTCTGGTATAGATGGTGGTGAACCTTGTGAAACATTAAGTCGAGGTTGTTCCTGGATGCATCGTGGTCGACTTCAAATGGCGTTTTCATGCGCAGACGGCCGGGGTGGCTTGCCTCTTTCAGCCTGATCTCCACGCACTGAGGCGATCATCTCCTAGTGGGAACGAGGCCCGTCCCAATTCGCACTGACCCCTTCGCTGTACATGCGGTTTCGGAGGAAAGACGCGTGGGCAGAATTTGTGTAGCGCACCTGTTCCGGTCGCCGTTGACAAAACGATGTTTGCGTGCGTCCACGACGATTACACAAGCCGTCTGCAAGTTACAACTGCATGAAAAGCCACGCCGCTACAGACGCATTGCGAATTACTCGTCGTAGATTATCTTGCAACGAGTGGCGGGTTTCGCATTGAGCGTTTCGCGCTGGAAAAAGGTCGTGCCATCCTGGTTTTGTTGTTGCTCCCCTGAAGCTCACTGTTCTCGAAGCCATTGCGCGCATCTTTCACCACGTGTCACACTACCCAACGTGTCCATTGTACTTTCTTCTTCGCTCTTACTAGCTTCGAACAGACACTCTACCACATTCTGGAAGAGGGTCTCATCTCTCCATCTTGCTGTTCGTATTCGGTGGACCTGACAGCCGTACCTTGCAGTAGCGCTGAGACGAGTCGACCGCTGTACCGCGGCTAAGCCTGGGAAAGTGCGACCTAATCTCCCCACACAGACCCTGAGCCATTCACCCTGCTCACTGCGCCGACCCACCCGATTTGCGCGCCTGCTGAGGGACCTGACTGACCGGGCTGATCTCCAGCAGCGTCCTCCTCTAATTTCATTCTCTCATCACTGCGACTTCTTGCAATTCACTGTTCCGTGAGCGCAGGACAGGGTACCTAGCTCCTGCTACCCAAGCTACCTGCTCCGCAGCTACTCTCCTTTCTCGGCTGCTCAAATTACACGCGCAAGCTGCTTGCCACCCATTGATATAACGGGCGCATCCCGCTTGATCAGGATGGCCAGTACTACTCCTTCCAGTATACCCTCTAATACCAACACCAAGGACGGTTCGCCTGATCCATCTGCGGCACCTACGTCGAACGGTGACTTCCAGGCAGCTGCAGCACGAAGATCCAGCTTCTCTTTCCTTCGAAAGCGGTCTTCTGAGAACAAGATCAGCGCGTCAAGAGCCCCCAGCATGAGCCGCAAGCAGAAGGCACTCGTCCAGGAGGAGGCGCTGCGAAAGCAGAGGGAAGCCGCAATGCTGCCCAAAGAGCCACCCCGCCTGCCATCTCATTCACCTCTTCCCCAGATCGCGAGTTTCGGGGGAGATAACCGTCCCGATTCTGTTGCCATTGTCTCCAACAAAGTCAGTAACTTCAGTCCGAACTTCAGCAGGCCGTCAGTCGAGCAGCACAGAATGGCGCCTATCACCAACCTCGCTGTACTCCCACCTGTGCCTGGTAGCTCGCACTCCTTCATAGAGACCGACCCCTATGCCAGGACAGAGAGCATGACCAACCGTGGCCGCTACAGCTATGCCAGCAGCCAGATCAGCGCCGTCAACAGCCCTCGCCGTGTGCGGAAGAAGAAGCAGCCTACACCTTTCAAGTATGTAACCCAATCTCAGGTGCTCTCAATCAGACTAACATTGATCAGCATCCTCGTACTAGGCACCAAGGGCTGCGGCAAGTCATCGTTCATCGAGTTCCTTCGCACTGCGCTTGCGCTGCCCGCCAGGAAGCGCCCTCACACCCCATCTCCACCACCCAGCGCAGTCGCCGAAGACTCACCCTTCACCTCGCAATACCTGGAGACAGAAGTAGACGGCGAGAGAGTTGGCATCACTCTCTGGGACTCCGAAGGACTCGAGAAGAACATCGTCGACTTCCAATTGCCCATCGTCACTTCTTTCCTCGAGTCCAAGTTCGAGGACACTTTCGGTGAAGAACAAAAGGTCATTCGTGCGCCAGGCGCCAGCGACACCCACATTCACTGCGTCTTTCTCATTCTGGATCCTACGCGCCTCGACGCCAACATCGCGGAGGCCCGCAAGAAGTCGAATGTCATCAATGTCGGCAGTGCCATCTTTGGCGGGCTGGACGAGAACCTGGATCTCAACGTACTTCGCGAGCTGCAAACCAGGACAGTTGTCGTACCTGTTATCAGTAAGGCGGATACCATCACCGGCGCGCATATGCGTCATTTGAAAAAGATGGTCTGGGATACTATAAAGCGTGCAAAGTTGGACCCCCTGGAAGCCCTGAACCTTGACGATCTCGAGGATGACGATACTGACCGACTGGATGAGCGGGATGAGGACGAATACGCACAGTCATCAGACAACGAAGGCAAGGCTGGTGTTCTGAATAAGATTCTTGGACGTTCATCTTCCGAGGCGGCTCGTTCCATTGCCTCTTCGCGCTCGTCTTCCGCCTCGCAGTCTCCCTCAACGTCTCCGCCCAGCGCTCGAAAGAACCACAGCCGCAAGCCGTCAGCGATGTCTGCGTCGATACAGAAGGAGGACGCCGAGACACCATTTCTCCCATTGAGCATCATCTCGCCCGACCCGTATGAACCTGACGTTGGCGGCCGTAAATTCCCATGGGGCTTTGCGGATCCTTACAACCCTGAGCATTGTGATTTCGTCAGGCTCAGGGAGAGCGTATTCAGCGAATGGCGAGCAGAGCTCCGTGAAGCAAGTCGAGAACAATGGTACGAGGGCTGGCGGACAAGCCGACTGCAGAAGGGCAACAACCCTAGAAGACGTATCGCGACGTCCGACGGGCCTACAGCGCAGCAATTTTCTGTCCCTGGCTCAACCGGTCGTGCGTCGACCGCTGGTAGCCAGCAGTACCGTCCCTACCACAGCGAGAACATTTGAATGCCTGGTCAGCAGCATGACACCTGCGGATTAATCTAGACTGGCCCTCTCTGGCGGGACGTCCAATACTTCCACATCCATCGATCCTACCGTGCGCAAAACCAACCGCCCGATCAACACTTTCCATACATATGATTCGACAACGTACAACAGCCACCAACCTTAGACTTAGCGGAGCATCATCTTTTCTCTTCTTCCTACACTTTTACTTGGACATCTTGTACCCATACCCAAACCTTTACTATGTCCGTCGAGTTCGTCCCCGAATCTGCATGCATTTTTGTACCTTCCGTTTGTTTGGCATTGCTTATTGAAATTGCGCATACCCCTCTTCTATAGTTTAGTACGTTTATTTCACGCCGTTCCGATATGTCACAGCCTGTGAGCTGTGGGTTTCTGGTGTGGTTGAGTAGTAGTAATACGCGAGACGCAATTCATGTCTGAGTGGAAGATGGCAGCGGCCAAATCAATCAAGCAAGAGCGAACGTCAGTAGCAGTAGTTCTTCCTACATTCACCCCAAATAGCACCTTTGTACCTCTATAATTCTTCTGTTGACTCTGAGCTACGAATCCGCCATTTTGCATAGGTAAACGCGCACATGCAGGCACGAGGCCGCAAAAGAGAAGGCAAGTACACCGCAGCAACTTCCACATTCGATCACTACAACACTCTGACGTGTCACTAAACTTCGCGGACACGTCTCCGCATCTCTTTTGGCACCCCTCCTTCTCCATCCAACCCGGATCATGCGCATGTGTGCATTAGAAGTCTTGGGCAGCGCGCAGTTGTGGTGGCTAGCATCGCAGCCAAGAGCTGAACGTTTTCCACGGCGAATTACAACTCACACAGTTGAGGTGCGTCCCGCCCGACCCGATTCCCGCATGCATAGTGCGTGTCTAACATTGTCTTGGATGAGGCCTGGATGGGCTTCAGCTTCGCCTTCAGCTTCGCGCAAGGCCGCTATGGGACGGCACAGGAATCTTTGATTAATCCATGCTACATACACATTGCGGCTGAAATCTGGCCCACCATGCAGGTTGCATCGAGCTTCACAGTCAAATTGGTGGTTTATTGATATACTTTGGTCGACTGCACCTAGTGGTCTCTTACAACCCTTCGTTCAAGTGTCATTTTGCGGGCACTTTGTTGCGGAGTCAGCCATCGAATCACCTCAGAAGCCATGGAGTACAACAAAGACATGGCAACCCCAAGCACTGCCATGGCTTCGGACGACCATGGGGAAGCCCATGAGTATGTACAGCACTCGAAAATTCCACCTGAATCCCCCGCAAGGTTCCAGTTCCCATCTCGCAGGAGCTTTGTCGTCAAACCGGGTTTGTAGAACATCTTCATACTCATCGTCGGTGCGATTGCAAGCTTCTTGGTGATGGCCTTCCTTGCGCTACTGTGGGCCGGAGCCGAGAGCGCAAGAAAAGGTGACCCAACGTCCTACATTTGGTGGTTCATCGTTGAGATGGGTTGGGCTACTTGGGTCATTAAAGTGGCTTCAGTCCTCATCCGCCTTGCCACCGCCGCTCAGATGGGTATCTTTGAGCGATACCATGGATACGACGCACCATGCTTCGAACGTGGCTGGCTTTGGAAGTCAAGCGGTTGCTCAGGATGAACAGCTGTAAGGACAACGAAGTAGTGCTGAAGACGGGTGCAGATAGTGGAAAAAGTCAGGCCGTGTATCGAAGGGGAACTGGAGGGGGCTATTAGCTGCGTCTCCGCGCTTGAAGTCAGGCCACTTGTCTGATAATGAGGAGACTCAGAGCTTTTGAGACTCTCCGGCGGTCTCCCTAGCAGGGCAGAACGCAATCAAACTTGATCCAACACTATTCTCGGGCTACTGCAACATTCCACACAGCGCGATGGTACCATTTGACTACCCCCACAGCTTGTGCAGCAATCTTATCTGCCTTTTCGTATAGAGTGAAAGACCCCAGAAGCAGTCTTTAGATATTAGACAACTCAAGGCACATCACCGATGAACTCGCCAATGCCACACGAGCGCCTCCAACTGACGTCGAGCCCGCGCTGAAACCGAAAAACACAATCATCCACATCACGTCGCAACTGGCACAAGACTCAATCTGCAACATCGATACAATTATATTGACACTCATCTCAAATTACCTCTCCACCTTTCCCATCCCCCACAGAAAACCGTCCTATAAACACCATGCTCTCAGATGAACCGAGAAGTACCAGTACTAATACAGGGGTTGCCTTGCACTAATGTCAAACAGAAACGTGTGTAAATGCTCGAACGAGTATCGGAGAAGGGTATTGTGAAAGCAGATCGCAAAGAGCAGACATTAGATGCGCGTGCGGATACAGATAGGATGTGTGGGGTGAAGTATGCGAGTGGTAAGATACAGGGACGCCGGATGAACACGTATCAAGGCGTGCAGGCAGATGCATGGAATGCCTGATCAGCGATCAGGTTGGAGAGGCATTTAGAACAGCCGGCCCCGACTTGTTACGCTTGCCCTGCTTGTTGGACTTGCTCTGCTCCTCTCGTCTTCCTCAGGTACGTCGCTCAGTCTCGTAGGGTGGTGATGCCTCATGCCGATCCACTCATCTCCATATCCGTCGCCGCTGTAGTCGGGGACCGGTCGCCCAGCCGTTGCGTAGCCCTGGCCATGCGGACTGCCCTGCTCGGCGCCAGTGGTCGCGTACTGACTGGGAGGGTTGGCGGCAGAGCCATAGCGTTGAAGGTGTTCTAGCTCCCTACGTCGGTCTTCACCCACGTCGTACTCATCAGACATGGGAGATTGGAGAGAGCGGAAGGGAACACGGTGGCCGGCGTCGTCCAGGATGTAGTTTCCGCTGCTGTCGATGGCGTATTCTTCGTCGCCTTCTGAGGTCTCGTCTGCTTGAGATGTGACGTAGGATTGAGTGTCTTCGGCCATGCTAGTTCGGCCTTCATGTAGATAGGATTCTGGCTGCTGGTAGAAGGCTTCGGGGTGCGAAGTTGCTGGCTGCACAGGTGCTTGCTGGCCGTGAGAGCTCGGCATGGGATACTGCACCAGAGGGCCAGGTGCTATTGGGTGAGCCGTGGCCTGGCTTGAACTCATGGCCTGGGAGGATGTAGCACCTGAGGGTATGTATGCACCCTGAGACAGGTTTGCAATATCCTGCTCGCGATGGCCGTGGCGCTGTTCAGTGAACGGGTCGGTGTCGGTGGGAGACTGGCCCTCTTCGTAAGAGTAGTGCTGCTCAATGCCACCGCTGCTTTGGGCGCCAGCATATGTGTCGCCTCCACTAGACCTTCCCGGGCCACCCATGCCTTGTGCCATGGGTACAACCTGCACTCCACCGACCAACGTGGGCTGACCTTCGCGCAGGGAGAAGGTGCGATCGCGCTCTTCTTGCTCTCGCCTTCCAAGCTCTTCCCACGCGCGTCGTGCTTCCTCTTTTGAGATTTGCAACTCTCGCTTCATCTCTGAGACAGCACGCTCAGCGTTCTTCTTTTCGGTGGCCATGCGCTCCATGTCGGCTTCAGCTTGCATTCTTGCGTCGCGTTCAGCTTGGAGGGTCGCTTCGAAAGACGCTTCGCGCTCCTGAGCCTTCTCTTGATCTTGGCGGTGCTCGTAGAACCATCTTTGGAACTTGCGTTCTGACGATGCGCGGAGACGTTGAAGTTCGACAACAGCATGGAACAGATTGGCTCCGGCTGCTGACAGATCCGTGATTTGTCGTGACATCTGCTGTGCTAATGGCTCCCGGTGAACTTCATCGGTGTTCTGTTCCAATCTTCGTATCCAGTAAGATGTCAAGCCTTCCCAGTGAGAAGAGAGGGTCTCCCAACGTTCAAATGCATGGGGAAAAGTTGATGTCGTGGAGTCGCGAATTTGAGCCTGCGATGCGTCTGGTGGAGGTGCTGGACGTGGTGGTGCCGCTGTCGACGGCCCAGCATGCGCAGACCCAGTGGAACCTGTTGGGCGTCTTGCATGCGTGCGATCACCAGAAGGCTGCCGCCTTTCGCCAGTGGATGCAGGTGCAGTCGGTGCAGGACGGGGTTGCTGTTGTGCTTGCGAATTGGCTCTGGAGCGTGGTTGCTGTGCGCCTGACATGGCGTCTTGTGGGCGGCTTGATGGTGGCAGCATGCCGTCGGGAGGACGGGGTGCGCCGGTGGATGGATATCGGACGTGTTGGTCGCCTGATCGCGAAGGAGCGTGCTGGGGTTGTCTTTGTTGCCCTGGCTCGGTAAGGGGGTTTGTGCCAGCTACGCCAGCAACAGCTTGTGCTCTTCTCTCGACGCTTCTCCTGCGTTCTTCGTCGGCCTTTCGCTGCTCTTCCGCCTCGGACTGTTGCCTTCTCGCTGCTTCTCGTTGTCGTCGCTCGTTCATGATCATCTGCGGCGTCCGTATGTTCGATCGATCAGCCTGTGTAACAGGTGTTGGGCCTCCAGTGGTGCGCGCACCACCATTGGCAGGACGGCTGGCCATGACGTCTGACATGGCTGCGTTCTCTTCTACCGTGTCCGGCGTGAAGGCGTACGGAGCACGAATTGCCTCTTCGAGCACAAAGCGAATGGCAGACGCTGTGCGCCGCGAGATGCGTAGAGCTGGGTGAGGCTCGAAAAGAGTGGGATCGCGTGACTGGGACGCTGCGCGAGGGCGAAGTGCCGGTCGAGAGCCGTCAGAGAAACGTACAAGACGCTGGTGCTGCTCGAAATTTGGCGTGCGGCGCAAGCTGTGGGCGGCGCTTCCAGAAGAGCTTGAGACGCGCGAGTGGTTGTGATGAGCGCGGTAGTATTCGTCTGCCTGCTGCTGGCGTAGCTGTAAGGATGTTTGATAGGGTTCGTCGCTGTCGTGGTGTGTCGTGGTCTCGTTATGGGGTGGTTCGTAGTAGGGCAGCAGGTTGGCGAGCTCTGGCGGGCCGGCAGACGTCAACGTGAAGCTGGTGAGAGTGATGCAATGGCAATGGCTCTAAAAGCCTGCTCAGAGGGCAGTGCTTGACTCGCAGGCGCAATTGCACCCGCCGGGTCGAGCTGAGTCCCCGGCGGCTGGCGTGGTGAAGGTGGTTAGAGCAGCACTGGTTGCTCTGCTTATAGCGGGATGTGCAGCGATTGTCGCAATGGCTGGGATGCAGCGTGTTAGTGAGGTGTGAGGTGGAGAGCGCTGCAGTGGAGCCATTGCTGCCCGTCGAGCCTGGGACGTCTGCATGGGGGGGGGGTTGGAGGTGTGAAATGGGGGGGGCTGATGGAGGTGGCTGGTAGACTTCAAAGCTTCACTTACAGCGCATCACTCACCGACACTTAATGCTCCAGACCTCCAATACGCAGCGACGGCTGCGATTCGTGCGATTCGAGAGAGCTCGTATGCGCTGGAGGTGCGCGCGAGAGCGTCAATGCTGTCGTCCTGATTGAACAACGTCACCGCGTCCTGATTGACTATCGAGCGCGCTTCCAGCCCAGCGCACAGCTGCGCGCCTTCAGTCGCTGCGCAACTCGAGCAACAGGTGGTCGAGGACGAAGAGAGGGGCAACTGAGCGTCTGCGCTTAGGACATGCATGCTCAAGCAGTGTGCATGACCGTTGGAAGTGGTAGTTCGAATCCAAGTCGAATCCAGTGCCGTGGAAAGGACCGTCCGGTTCACACTCGCCGGGTAATGCGACAAAAGACAGGCTGTGGACCGCACGTGCAGCAGACTTGTGTCGACCCGGACGGAATCAAGGCATCGTAGCGGGTGCGCCGACTGGCATCTGGCAATTGACGACAACCTGGCGAGGTGACGATTACTCGCGGAGTGCCAGTTCATCGTGCAGCATCTACTAACCCATGTTCATACAAGCGAGGCGGGCCAAAGCAGGAACAGAAGGAACGAGTCCGGCTCCGTCACAGCGTCATCTTATTGGGGGCGTTCAATAATGAAGACGAGCAAGGTAAACCGGAACGTTCTGTAGACAGCAGCAGCTCGTCTGAAGTCGTTGCAGGCCGCGTGAAGCTTGCGTTCCGTCATGGACCTGCGTTTCCTTGCCGCAAGCTTCTTCCAATCACAAGCTGCATTGCTGCCTTTGCCTCTGGCTTCGCGGGAGCGGGCCGCTACGTGAGGCTACGGTCCCAATGCTGCCACGAGTGCTGCGTCTGGTGTCACAGCCGAGTCAGAGTGCGTTCGTTACATTGTTGAACCACGGCTCACCATTACAACTTATCTCACGCCGTGTCGTTTTGACAGCTCTACACATAAGGCGAAAACGGTTTAGTGTGCAATAGCGCGGAGATGATATTCAATAGCACGCGCAAAAGCACGTCTCTTGCTGCTTGGGTAAGCCTCTCAGCGTAAGATTGTGCGAATGTCAGCTCAAATCTCCCCAGCCGCGAACAAGATGAGCTGCGCAAATTACAATATCAGGACAAGTGCTCATCATAGTTGACCGTGGAGGATATCAAGGCGTTCTGGATGCAGAACTCCTGCGCATGGCTGCTGTTCAAAAAGGCTAACCACCAGGCTCGAACCGGATGCAAGAAGAGCGACAGCTAAGAAACTGACATGAAAAAGATATCATTTCGCATAAGATTTTCATACATCTGCCCAAATATCACTGCCCTTTCGAACAGCAACCTAAACTCAAAACGTGGTATATACGAAGCGAAAACGTTGCCTGCCATCTATGCAACAGCCACCCATAACCCATCACAACACATGAATCCATCTACAACATAAAGAAAGCAACAGCGGCAACGACACCAGTCATACCCATGCCGAGCTTGCTAGCCGCACCCTCAAACTCAGGGGGCGAGTAGCTGGAAGGCTTGACAGGCTTTCCAGTACCGGTAGCAGAGGGCTTGACAGCACCAGTGCCCGAAGGAACAGTGCCGTTGCCGACAGGGTAGCCCTGGTGTACGACAGGCGTAGCGTACGCGACGGGAGTGGCGACCTTAGTGAGGGTGAGGTATTGCGAGATCGTGACAGTTGCGTCCTCGGGGTAGGAAGGCTTGGAAGCAATGTCAGATACGGTAGGGTAAGCCGCAGGCGAGGAGGCCTTGGACGAAGCGACGGGAACCTCGGGGTATGAGGGGACCTCGGGCTTGGTGCTGGGCTTTGTGGCCTCGTAGGGGACGGAGGAGGACTTAGCGGGAGTTCCGTGCGAGGGGACTTCCTCCTTGTCGACGGGGTATTCGGCAGCGGGAGTAGAGGGCTTAGGAGCTGTGGGGTACTCGAAGACGATGGTCGGGTAAGCCGGAACATCAGTAGCCGGGTGATTGGGCTTAGTGATGGTGACAGTGAGGGTCTTGGAGACGTAGACGCTGGTGGTCCAGTCCTCAGGGTAGTCGGCCTCAGGCTTGTCAGAGGGCTTGGTGCACGCGTTGCAGACAGTCTTGGTGATGACGGTGGTCTTGGTGGTCAGGCCGGTGGAGCAAGTGTCGAGGTAGGTTGTCGTGACAACAGTGGTGGTGCTCTTAGCGGGCTTGGTGACTGTGGGAGTAGCAGTGCTGATCTCATACTCAGAAGCCTCAGGGGTCCTGGTAGAGGTGACCGGGTAAGCGGTTGGGTATTCTACTGGGTACTCAGAAGTCTTGGAAGAGACAGCGGGAACCGGGGAAGACTCAGAGTAAAAAATGTACTCAGAAGCGGAGGAGGCCTCGGGAGTCTTAATAGAGACAATCGGGTAGCTGGTCGGGTATTCGACAGGGTATTCAGAAGCCTTGCTGGAGACCTCAGGGACCTTGGAGGATTCAGAGTAGTACGAGTACTCGGTGGCGGTCGGAGCCTCAGGAGTCTTAGAGGATTCGGGGTACAGCTCGGTCGAAGTAGTGCAAGGAGTAGATGAGGCACCGACGGGAGTGGTCAAACTGGCAGAGTAACTTGTAGAGGCCTCAGGGGTCTTATTAGACTCAGTGGGGTACTCAACGGAGTAGCTGACAGTGCTGGACGAAGCCTCGGGAACCTTAGAAGACTCGGTGTAGGAGAGATACTCAGAAGCAGAGGAAGCCTCAGGGGTCTTCGAAGACTCAGGGTAGAGCTCAGTCGATGTAGTGCAAGGTGTAGAGGAAGCGCCAGCAGGGGTGGTAGAGCTGGAAACATTGTAATCGGCAGTGCTGCTCGAAACGGGGTAGACAGAGTGGTCAGAGGACTCAGATGCGGAAGCAGCAGATGTGGAGCTGGAAGCACCGGAGTAGTACTCAGATGCAGAGCTGGTCACTGCGGCGGGGGTAGAGCTTGAGGCACCAGAGTAGTAGTCGGATGTGGAGCTGGTGACGACCGGGGTGGAGCTTGTCTCGTAATAGCTGGAGGCGCTGCTGGTGACATCTGCAGGGTAGCTGGAGTGAACGACTGTGGAGGAGACATCCTCAGGATAGACGGTGCTAGGCTCGACGGAAGTGGAGCTGGCGCTGTAGCTCTCGGTGGGGAGGGCAGTGGAGAAGTAGTCAGAGTACTCTACGGAAGAAGAGCTGCCGTGGACAGGAACCGACGAGCTGCTGGCAACGTAGACAGAGCTGGAAGCAGAGACGTGGACGCTGGACGAGGAGATAACAACAACAGAGCTTGAAGCGTAGTATACGCTCGAGGATGCAACGGAGCTGGATGCAGGGTAGCTGGACGAAGCTGCCGGCGTGCTGGAAGACTTGAGGGTGGAGCTGACAACGACCGAAGAGCTCTTGTTTGAAGGAGCGATAGAGCTGGTCTTGGAGGTGATAGCAGAGCTCGTCTTGGAGGTGACAGCAGAGCTCGTCTTGGAGGTGACAGCAGAGCTCGTCTTGGAGGTGACAGCAGAGCTCGTCTTGGAAGTGATCGAGGAGCTGATCTTGGTCGATGAGACGGTGGAGCTGGTCTTGATGGTGGAGCTGGTCCTGGTCGATGAGACAAGAGTGGAGGAGCTGGTCGAGGTAGAGCATGCAGCGGGCTTATACTTAGCACTGAAAGTGCCATCAAGACTGGACTTGATCCACTGAGAGTAGCTGTTGCAGTAGACTGTGTTGTTCTGAGAGACAGTCGCCTCCCAGAGCATAACACCACCCCACAGATCCCTGTCCTGGTACTTGGTAATCAGCGCATTTGCTTCCTCGGGCTTGAGGTAGTGCTCTTCCTTCGCTCCATTAGGACCCGCAGAGAGTCCCAGGTAAAGCTTGACGTTTTTGTTCTTCGACCTCTCCTGGAGCCTATCAACCCAGTCATCGAAGGTGAATCCGGTGGTAGCCTGGTTGATCTGCTGGTAGCCGAGCTTAGCAGAGCATTCGTCGGTGTTGTAGAACTGTGTGAAGATGTAATCGAAAGGTGCTTGGTAGATAGCGTCGTCGAGGTGAGCGTCAGGAACGATGCACTGAGGAGCGGCGGAGATCAACATGTTGGAACCTCCCGGAAGTTTCTTGAGGTAGTTGACGAAGTCGCCGTACAGCTGCCACTTGTAGTTGCCAGTGCCAGATGTTGACTCAATGTCAAGGTCGAAACCATCCACTGCAGAGTCGCCGAAAGGACGAGGCCATGAGGCGCTCGCGTTCTTCGGACCAAAGGAACCCACCAGGGTCTCTGCAAGCCACTTGTATGCGTCAACGTTGTCCAAGTAGTAGTCTGCAGGTGTCAGTGGTTATAGTACTACACAAGGTATTGCGGCAGCTCACCTGCAGGGTATCCACCGCCGAGAGACAAAAGAACCTTCTTGCCATTCTGCTTGCAAGTCTGAATACCACGTGTGATGATGTCGCAGCTGGCCAGGAGTTTGCTTGTTGTGCCGTCGGGGTTCGTGAAAAATTTATCCCCACATGCGTTTCCTAGGAGCCATTAGCTTGAACAAGGCCAACAAGGCAGCGAAGTACTTGCCGAAGTTCGTGTCGGGGTACGTGTTGCGGTTCTTGGGGAAGCCATTGACGAATCCAATGTTGACAATGTCTACACTAGGATCCTGGCAGACTACACTGAGCTCCTTTTGGTAGGCACCCTGACCCCAGTAGATGGCAACATTGCCCTTAGCAGAGGCAGTCGAGGCCAGCAGGCCGGCGGCGATGGTTGCGACGGTAGAGATCGTGGAACGCATGATTACGGAATTACTTGAATATCAACTGTACGTATCGTAATGACGGGACGGCCAAAGGCCAGTAAAGATCGTGATGAGCGGACTCAACGAAAGGACGCAAGCAAATGCTTGCTATTACTGTAGATACTCGAGAGAGCGACTGAACAATGACCAAGAGTAGGACAAGTTGGACATGAAAAGAAACGGGAGATTGCGATATATTAGTCTTCAGGCAGTTGCTGTACCTGCATGACACCTCGGGGCTTACTCACGCCGTTTGCTAGCATGAAGCCATCCTACAGAGCCAACCCTAGATGGCACTGTATGCAGGAACAGAAACGATAGAGGATGTCCATTGGCGGAAAGCCTACAAGTCTAACTGGATGTGGATTAACGGGGTCGTGTAGCGTCTAGAATCATGCAACCAGGCGATGCGCTATGCTTGGTGATGGCTTCCGCACCATGATCCTCGTGGCGCCTTTCCAAAGCTGATTGACCGGTTACTGGGCGGTTCTCAGTGGACGGTGGGTCATTTCGGTTCACAGTAGAACTGGCTAAATGAGAGGTTGGATACTCTTACTCTAGGACTGTGCCGGGACGGACGGTCAGACATTCCGCCGGCGTGGCATTCTTCAAACATCGTATGATTGCCAGCTTCAAAGAAGAAAACCTTTCACAGCTCTTCGTCTCTCCTTGCTCTTGAAAATCCTTCAGTGGCTCCAGTGGGGGTCCGCCGGAAATCGTCCCTAGACAAGAGTCGCGAGTCTTCCAAATGACTATTCAGGAACTGCTATAAGCGCTAAAGGCTGGGTTGCGGGCCTGTGGCTTGCTGCAGAAGACATCGTGGGCGGCATGGAGATTACTATCTCGTACATACCGGGCATAGTGCCCATGTTGAAATCTGGTTCGATGGATGATAAAGTGAGCACCTGAAGCCTCGGGTGGTATCCGAAAGCTTACCGAGCATCTTGGCAGGTACCGCTCAGTCAGGGGCAGTCAGCGTTCAGAGACATGTCGTTTGCCACAAGACTGCAAAAGACTGCCATTCAGCTTGCATAGAATCTTGGCTCGGTTGTGTGTTCGCAGTGGTTGATTCTGACCTGTTTGTATTCCTTTGATCGCTGTGCCTGTGGTTGCTCCTCTTCAGTCAATAAGGTGGATGGGGATGGTTCTCGTCTCAAGGCCCCCCGTATCTGATGCAATTTTGGCGCCAGAGCCATTTTGAGCAGGTGGAAACTGTGGGACTAGGCCAAACTCAGATCTATCGCTGCGAGATGGCCATTGCTTTGCAAGGCTGCAACGCTTGACTCCGACATGTTCACGATGTCTCGTGCGAAAATCTAACGTGGCGCTGCCTCGGCTACTCATGTACTATTTCTGAAGGCCAAGGCTCGAATCGTATGAGAGACGAGGTCCAGTTGCATGGGGTCTTGTTATGCAAGCCATATGATGTCTTTTGAAAGGTAGTCTAAACGGTGGTGCCTTGTCGCACGTGCGTGGCCTAGTTGCGGCTCTTTCGTGTTCAACGACTTACTTAGATACGAGGTGAAGACGCGATAAGATGCTTGTGTTGATCATTAGCAATATGGTCAATCAGCAAAGCGCTCGATAATTGCGCATCTGCTAGGTGTAGACGACGCTGACCTAAGAGAACAAGAAATGCGCAAGAGGGTGGCCTTGACGGAACTGCTCCGAGAGTAGATTCGAACAATGCTCGATGCTTCACCCAGCGAGGATTGGAGCCTGATGCGCATTGTTCCTTTTACGAGGTCGACAAGACCGACAGCAAGGCCACTGGCCCACCCCCAATAACATTCGGACTCTCAATAACATTCTGGCCATCAATAACAGTCGGACCTTTGGAGGAAAATTTTGCTCGCAACATCGTGAAGCTAGGTCTTCAATGGGCGAAGGTTTGACAGCTTGCCGAGGCTCACGAGAGGGCATTTCAGTGGCGGTGAGGTCTGTAGGAGAAAGATGTTTTAGAGCCGCGACTTGCGGCAACGGTATCATTTGGCAATTGTGAATGATCTTCAAGGGTCCAACAGCAGCAGTATTGGGAGTAGCGGTGTCGCTCTTTCCTTGTTGTGGGCTGTCCCGTGGGCGCGCGATGGAGCCCATGATCATGTGCACCGCCCTCGGCGTGCGTCATCTGTAGCGGTCTGTAGCACACACGCAGCTTCACGCTTTACACTGGCTTTTGTGTAGGACTCAAGGACAAGGGTGCTCCACACTCTATACCATATTCTATCACCTGCCTATCATGCACCTGCAATATGGTGGAGCTAGATCAGAATGGTGGTATAGCAGTCCCATGGGGTAGCAGCGAAACATAGTGTACCCACCGTATTCACTGTTGATCCGCGCCATTCCTTCAACAACCCATCTCCTGCCACTGTTTGTGTTCATGCTTGCATACCTCCGAGATTCTTTATTATTCTCACAACATTATGGGAATAATGGGAGGCTTGTGGAAGCAGCCTGCGTCAGTAGAAGGCAGCGGCGATGCACCCACATCCTTGCCTCAAAATGAGAAGAACTCAAATCCAACCAAGAAGTGGAACCTTGGAATCTTGAGTGATCCTCTCACTGATGAGGTGCCTGGTAAGTTGAGCGTGTTGGCGTGGTCGTACTTGGTAGACTGACAACCTCCAGGATCTGTCATTCTCCTCTCGAAGGCGCACAACCGCAACGAACCGCTCGGTCTACAGCATGCGCACGCAAGAACGTCGACTTCTTCCCTTCCATCAGCGTACGGCCCCTCTCGGAGCGCTTCCCGTGGCTCCCGCCACTCGTCACGATCACGGCAACCAGAGAAGAAGCGTACAAAGGACGGGAAATTTATACTGGAGCCTCAGCCAGAGGAATCGGCAAACGACCCGCTCAACTGGAAGCAACTGCGACGAGATGCTGCACTGATATCACTCGGTTTCTACTGCATGCTCGGTGGAGGCATGACACCTGTGTTGGCGGCAGGTTTCAACGACGTTGCAGAAACATACGGTGTAGGTCTCTCGCAGGTGGCTTTGACAACCGGTCTCTACATGCTGGGCCTGGGTCTTGGGAGCGTTCTTGCGTCACCCACTGCCATCTTGTACGGGAAGAGACCCGTGTACTTGGTTGCCATTGTTTTGTTCACACTCTCGGCAGTATGGTGTGCCCTCTCACCAAACTACGCGTCGTTGGTCATTGCACGGATCGTTCAAGGGTTCGCTGTCTCCCCAGTTGAATGCCTCCCAAGTGCCACAATCGCTGAGATCTTCTTCCTCCACGAACGAGCCTACCGTCTAGGCATGTACACGTTATTGTTGCTGGGTGGGAAGAATTTGATCCCCCTAGTCAGCGCGGCGATTGTACAAAGTTTAGGATGGCGATGGGTGTTCTGGATCGTTGCAATCGTGGTTGGATTTTCTTTCTTCCTCATTTTTTTCTTCGTACCCGAAACCTTCTGGGATCGCACACCTAGGGCGAGAGGCCGTAGCCATGCGCGCAGCCGCAGTCACAGCCCAAAGAGACAGAAACATTTTCATCTACCAACAAGACACAACAAGAAGTCTACAGATGAGCTGGCAGGGCCAGTAAATGCCCCCACAATGGCTACTCCGCCAGCTGGGACGCCCCTCGAACACCCGAAGAAGGTCCACAAAGCTGCACATGTTGGTTTTGCAGATGACTTGGGGCGCGATACACCTGCTCTGCATACAGATGTACCACAGACACCGCGCTCCCCTATTAGCATTCACTCTTCGTGTCCAGAAACTCCACGACATGACTACTTCCCGCATGTGCCAGAAAGCACGATCTCGGATCCTGAGAAGCAGGACCAGACTTCTGGCACCCAGAGTCTGTCGTCTGCAAAACCTGGAAGGCCGCTGGACGCCGATCAGATATCAGAGCAGTTTTCCATACACTACACCGACTATTACCGCACGGCCCCTGCAAAGACATATCGTCAGTCTCTGAGGCCCTGGAACGGACGTCTTGCCAAAGACAAATGGGTCAAAGTCATGGTCAGACCGTTCATCCTCTTTGCATATCCAGCCGTTCTTTGGTCCTCCCTAGTATACGCCCTTGCTGTTGGTTGGCTCATTGTTTTATCGGAATCTGTTGCGCATGTCTACCAGAATCGCGAGTCGTACAACTTCACCGCGCTTCAAGTCGGCCTTGTATACATCTCGCCTTTCGTAGGTGGTGTGCTGGGAACAGCCGTCGCAGGGAAGGTATCCGATCTGATCGTGAGGTTCATGGCACGTCGAAACGATGGCGTATACGAACCTGAGTTTCGTCTGGTCATGGCTATACCGATCACCATCAGCACAGTTATTGGCCTCATGGGTTTTGGATGGAGCGCCGAAGAGAAGGATCTCTGGATCGTTCCTACAATCTTCTTTGGAGTTATCAGCTTTGGATGCTGCCTTGCTTCCACTACCGCAATCACTTTCGTCGTTGATTCTTACCGCGTATATGCGGGCGAAGCACTGGTGACGCTGAACTTCTGCAAGAGTAAGTCATCTCTCATTTGCTGGCATTTGGACACTATCACAATCTCGACGATAACGCTAACAACATGCAGACGTTCTCCACGGGTTCATCTTCTCGTTGTTCTTCCCACACTGGCTTGAGGCCAAGGGTCCTAAGAGTACTTTCCTGGCAGTTGGTAAATGCTCAAACGGCGATAGATTGGATGTCAATTGACTGATCGTTGAACAGGTGGCATCCAGTTGGGCTGCATGCTCTTCTCGATTCCAATGTACATTTACGGCAAGCGAGCGCGCATGTGGACAGTCAGAAAGAACTTGATGGAGAAGTTCTGAGTTCACGATATTCGGTGATGACACCGACCTACCGACGTGCGGCTCTGACAAGACGTTACGACTTTAGCTTGGCATTACCCATGGCGTTCTTTCGGGTGCACACACGGCGAAGGAGTGGATCTTCCCCATCTTTTCCCCAGACTCTTCGCACAGCAGTTACGGCATTTTCGACGCATATCCTGGCATTCTCCATGCGAACGTTCCGCATTTCTGCGGGGTAGACACGACCCTCCCGTTCATCGGTGCAAGAAATAGATTTTTATGCCGTAATATGAACTCTTGTGGCTCGTCTCGAAGTCTCCGTGAGGTCATTCCTCGCATCTCAAATGTGCTTTTAGCCGAGTTGGCAAGTCATAGCATGGACAAGGCCTGCTAATCTGCCGAAGTCTATCACGGAAGCAGCAGAGCCGCCTTAACTACGGTAGCTGCAGTCTCAACAGCTGAAGCTCGCATCGTGGGCTGTCGTCAGCCAGTGTCAGGTGGACGATACGGATAGTGCACTCACCGTCCCTTACCGCAGGACTGTCCTCGTGAGCCGTATCTTCAACGACTCTAGTGTTGATACATTCTGGAACACTCCTGGTAGGCAGATAAAGATAAGTCTGGATGCCCTGCATGGATACCTAACGATGTCGTAGCCGCACACTTGCAGACGTGGCTTTATCGTAGTTCTTGATATCGTGAAGCGATATGATGCATGATGTGGAGTGTACTATCCTGATGTAGTAACTAAATCCACCTTCCCCACATCCATTCGGCTCAGGGATAACAAGCGGCGTTGATCTCACATTCGCCTCATGCAACAAGATAACATCGCAAAGAACATCTTCAAGATGCGACTCACGATACTGCGCTCAATCGAAGGCAATTTTTTATCCAAACCGTGTCCTGTTTTCCGCGTGAACGGGCGTCCTCCCATAGATAGGTTTACAGTCAAAAAAATGGTCGGATCCGACACTGTGGCTGGCCAATCAGCCTCGCACTGATGCAACTGCGACGCAAGACCAGGCAAGTGTACTCGCCTCAAAGCCGAGTTCGGGCGATCTAGGCTGGGTTACCTCTATTCCCAACCACACGACGTGATTTTATCAGCTGCTCTATCTTGACCCCTTGTTACCTTGATACGCAACGGTTCCTATCGGCTGTGTCATCATTGCAATTTCACCCGCATTAATTGGCGAAGTGCCCCTCTTGCATCTTCTTTCCATCCTGGGGTATCACACCATCGTCTTTCGACATTGCCCAACTTGTCACTTTGCCAACTAGCAGACATGCCCGCTTTGGCTCAACAGAAGGCGCTTGCACAGGACCTGAAGACAAAGAAGACCAAATCCAGGAATGGCTGCGGTCGTTGCAAGCTGAAGCGAGTAAGTCCCCACAAACAACCTTTTAAACTAATACCATTCTAACCTTACACTAGCTCAAATGTGATGAGACCGCCGGATCGTGCCTGCAATGCAAGAAGAGAAACGTCCCTTGTCCTGGTTACGAGAAGACCCTGAAGTGGTCCACCAAATATGAGGTCTTCCAGCCTACAGAGTTCACACCGTCTCCTCCTAAACCAAGGACAGCATCAGCTGGTGTTCGCAAGACTTTTAAGGCCACAGGATCTTCGCTCCCAAAGAGTGTCGCCAATGGCATCGAAGCTCTTGCTGCTGTACTTCCTGCAGGCAGGAAGAGTGCAGATGTTGAGATGACTGGTAATGACAAGCAATCAACACCACCACTGGTCTCATCACCGTCCTTGGAGGAGCTGGTCATCACTCAGGAGTCCTCCGAAGAGGACGAGGACTCTCCTCGATACCTCGAGCCGTTTCCAATGGATGACATCAATGTCTTGGATTCTGTAATACTTGATGGTTTTGTTGACACAATCCCACTGCCTAACGAGGAGTCTCACTTTGATCCATTCAATAACACTGACCTTGACTCCACTGTAATGGACGACTTCGGTAGCTTTGGCGGTTTCGACTTCAACGCAAACCCTTCTTCTTTCAAGCACAACGAGTCATCAACAGAGTCGTTTGTGCTGACCACTTGCGAGTCCAGCCGGGAAGCCAGTCCTCCCCGCCTCTCACGGTCGTTGCTTCTTGGTTTCTACAGACTTCCTAGTCCCTCACCAAATTCTTCGTCGCCGGACGACCAGGAGTTACTTCTTATTCAGCATTACTTCAAAGATGTGTGCGCCGTCTTCTCTTCTTTCGATTCACATCTCAACCCTTTCAGGACCACAATTGGCAAGATCTACCAAGACTCACCTTCGATCAGCTATGCCATTCAATCCATGTCCGCAGCTCACCTCGCCAACACATTTCCATCTATGGCGGCGATTGGCAATGAGCTCCAGCGCAAGGCTGTTGCAGCACTTCAGGAAGAACTGCCGTTGGCACAAGCTGGCCACATCAGCTGTACAAGGACGTTCCTCAGCATCATGATGCTTGGTTTTACCACATCGTGGCACGATAGCAATGCTCTTGGGACGGAATTCCTTGCTGCTGCTCGAGGTCTCATCTTGCCCAAGCTGATGGATAGGTCTCAGGAAGTTGAGGTGCAGCGTGAAGCACAGTTCTTTGAGGAGTCTCTTATCTACTGGGAGATGGTCATGGGCTTTGTGACAGAAGACGCTATGAGCTTCTCGCGGCCGTCAGGTATGCGCCCTCGGGTAGTCTCCAACAAGAAGAAGAGCACCCCGGCAGGCCGACGTCCGGACGGTAAGATCGTTCCTCATCCCTGGACAGGCGTTGCCCCAATGATCCAAGCTCTGTTCGCTGAGGTTGGCCTTCTTGTGCGCAGTGAGCGATCACTCAACAGGGACTCGGTCATGGACCTCATTCGTCGTCAAGAGAACCTCTTCAACGCCACGTCCTTGGAAGAAGACCTCCTGGCTGTGGACTACCCCTCAGTCGATGAGATTGCTGACACTGGTGATGACCGCACCCCGAAGGAACACTTCACTGTCCTCGCCGAAGTATATCGCTGCGCTGGCCTGCTTGAGCTTTACCGCGTCTTCCCTTCCATCCTATACAAGCGCTTGGGTAGCAACAAGCTGCCTGTGTCCGAGAACGTCGACTTCCACTTCCCGATGCCCCGTTTCGAGACTCCACACGAAGATGCCGATATGAAGCTGTGGCTCAACTCTCTGGCCATGCACATCCTGCAGATGATTGAGTCTCTGCCAGCATCTTCGGGTACGTTCTGCATCCAGCAACTCGTCCTCACCGTAGCTGCCTGCGAGCTCAAGTTGGTCTCGTCGGTCGACTTCTTCGACGTGCACGCCAATGACTCGAAGGTACTTGAGGTCAGAGAAAAGGTCATCCGACGTCTGGAGGTGTATGCTCATCGCCTGCCTGGCAAGCCACTTCGTCGGTTGATCACATTGATCAAAGAGACATGGCGACAGTCAGACGAGGGTAACGATGCCTTCTGGATCGACATTATGAACGAGAAGGGCTGGCACACCATCATATAAATGATGCGTTGCTACCTATCTCTATCGACCTCTTCATGTGTCTACGACCTTTACATCTTGCATAGCGCCTTCCCCTCGGGGCCTCTCAAAGGCTCCACCTTCTGTCGTCCCCACGCCACGACATCTTGTTTCAGCAACTCCTGTACTTCCAGCGTTCTTCCGGCTCACGGCGTTACATCTTTCTTGCCTCCTTCCAAGTTGTCCAACTCGGCTTCATCGATGACTGGCCTTCTGGTCTCGATCGATGCGACATCATGTCCATACACTCGGTTCGACACGAACCTCTAATCACGACTTTCATCTAGACTACCCGAACCAACATCAACCGTTTGATGTGAATCACATCGTGTGATTGTGGTGACCGACCACTTGCGGCAACCCCTTCGATACCCCTGCGACAACACGCCTACCGCCAACTGGACTCTCGCCCTGCCCTGCAACGACACCCTTTTGCGACTACCTCATGGAGCCCATCTGCGATGACTCCCACTGCGATAAAAAGAGATACCCCTGCGATACTCACGATATACCCGCTGCAACTTCAGCCTCCGGCCACCTAATGACGGTTTAATTTAGATATCCATAGCGACAAGCCTGGACTATTTTCTTCCCAAGCACTTTGCCCATGTTTTTTGCATTTCCTTCTGGACAGGTAAGGCAGGTCATGCTTGTGCTGTTGATATCACTGGAGCCACGCACCTACCCTCGGCCAGTCGTCGTCCCTTGCACCTCCCCACGCACGCGACATCATCTCGACTGGAATTCATGTCGACTTGCTTTGTCTTTGTTAGCACGCATTTCTTTACCGTTGATTGCACATATACGTCTTGCTTTACGATACCCCATTAGCGTTTCGTCAACGTTTTGTTTGCGATACCCTTTTACTTCGTGTCATCTTTTCATGGCACTGGCAAGAAGAAGAAGAAGAAGAAGAAGAAGAAGAAGAAGAAGAAGAAGAAGAAGAAGAAGAAGAAGAAGAAGAAGAGAGATGGCAAGGAGGAATTAGACAAGGAGTAAGACGGACACCATTGATCAAGGATAAGACGTCCCTTGAAATCTCCTAGTGGATACAATCCTTCGAGACCGCATCTGAACATGTATCATACATCATTAGGGTATATGGACTGTATATACTGCCTCTCGCATCGCTGAAAACGCATGCTCAGGCATCAACTACAAACAAAAGCGCCGCATGTGAATAAAATCACATCACCGGCCTGTTCGCCTCATCATCGTCCTCACTGTCATACGCAATGAACTCCCTCCTCCCGCTCGAGCTCTTGACAATAAAGTACCGTGTCGCCTCGTACGCCCTGATCTTCTTGTCTGCACCGGGGCTGAAAATCTCATCCTTCTCACTCACTTGGGCGGGGATTGCGAGGAGTAGTCGTTCAGCGCCGGGGAGTCGTAGTGCCTTTTTAGATGAAATCTGGTCCTCTTCAGAATCTGTCGAGGAGCCGGAGAACCACCGCATGCCCAGATGAATGCCCTCAGCGACACATGCCAGAATTGTGACGGCGACAATGATCTGTAGAGCCCAGAGCGTAAGGCACGAGTCGCTGTACGCGGAGAACGCCTCGGGTTCTGAGTAGCACACTATCCTCTCGTTCGGTCGAGATGTCGGTCTTGCCTCCTTGTTCATGAGGACTTCTGTAGGTAGGGGTTTCTGCTCTTCATCATGGCTAGGGTAAGGCGTTTTCGAGGAGAGCTTGTCGCGCACGTAAGATTCGTAAAGGTCAGGCTTTGCGTGGCGGAAGTTTTCTAGCTCTGGGCCGAGATTTGCGCATTTGTCGAGGCTTTGTTGGTGGTAAGGGGAGGCGCTGGGGGTTGGGTCTGTGGGCTTCCAGTTGGCGGGTGTCCAGTGTGCAGCTGAGGGGGTTTCGAGGGGGTTGAAGGCATCGGAGACGAGGACGCAGCGGCAGTTGGTGCGTGTTTGTGTCTGTGTTGGTGCGGCGAGTGTTGTTGTGGAGAGAAGGAAAGTTGTGAGGAGTATTGTGGTGCGCATGATTGCGGTATTGTGTTCGAAGACTGGACTGCACCTGATGTTAATTACCAGTACTTGTAGAGTGAAGGTGATCATACTCACTCAAATCCCTGTTCTTCTTCAAGATGATTAAAGCCGAGTCTTATCTATTGTGACTGTCGAAGGTTCGGGTTTCTGGATGCGTCCAAATTGAGATGGTACAAGGTCAAATAATTACTGCAAGCTGCTGACCGGGGCTCAACGATTTCGTATGATGCTATTGGTATGTCGACCAGAGATGTTCAATCGCGATGCTTCGTATCTGACGGCTACAATGATGTCGTGTTAAATAGCAAGCAGCAACCAAACACGAGCGGCGCCCACTCAGTACATGTACTCAACCGGTCGCTCATGAGCCCGGACCTAGTCGAACCTTCCCACCTTGGTGTGACATGCACTAATCGCGCACTCACTCTCGTCTCAGCTGCGCCCGCGGGCAGCCGGCACTAGATGCTCTATCCATGCCCTGTCGCTGTCTGCCAGATCCCGTCCAAGCGCCATGGTAAGCATATTATTAGGCCGCTAAGGGTCGCAACAGCAGTTCTTCCAGGCTCAGTTCTGCAATTGCAGTGCTGAAAACGTGCAGTGAGTGGCCTGTGCCCGAGGGCTAGATCTCGAGGCTCGCAGCGCCCAAAGCTCGGCAGGCGCAGGCGGACTGCTGCTTGACTGCAACTGCACTGGCTTTGGCAGCCCCGCAGATCCGACTCAAATGCCGCTGTGACTTCGCGATTTGTGGGCGTGAGCGCGTGGTTTGCGCTGCTGGTTTCGATATCATGTCCCGCCTGTGCCGACGTCAAGCTCGTTTGCGGAAGACGTGATGACCGCATTCCAGGAGCCGCGCCTCCAGCCTCGTAAAACAGACCCCTAACACAGTCTCACATCATGCTTTTCATAATCTACGACAACGATCCAGAGCCTCTCGTATCTGAGAGACGATTGCTGCAGCCTGCGGAAAAACCCTCGGGCACACCCTCCCCACCTATACTCTTTTTGAATCAATAAAAAACACTGAGAGCGCCGCCCTAACTAGCTTGTCTATTATTATTAACCTCCTTCCCCATGCGTTGTGTGGCTAGCTTTGGCACCTCATTTCGCAGTACGAGGCTGCCCTACCCACGTGCGCACCGGTGAAAGATAACAGCGGTCTGCATGCCGCTTCGATATAATGCGCATGCAGATTTGCGCAGAATCACACCTCGCTTTTACAGGATCTGCCTTGCCAGCGTTGGGTTCCACCAGCAGGAAAATTGAGAAGAAAGATGAACTGACGCGTTTCGCAACACGAGGCACGAGATGTTTGCGGGCCGTGGGCGCCGCGGCCTCCGCACTGCCAGACGTCTGATCTTTGTACAAAAGCGCGGTTCTTTGCGGAGCACAAAACTGTGTGCGTCTGGTGAGGTTGTCAGGAAACACATGACAGCTGTTGCGAAACAAGTTAGGGGCCAAGCTTTGCGTTCGAAGCTTAACGGCTGATAAGATGACCTTGAAACAGGCGCTCGTCGAAACCATGGAGCTGGAGGGTTGACGTTGACAGTGTACAGACCCAGCGTAGAGACCGGTGTCACCATGAAGCGGAGCAGTGGATGCCACACGGTTCGCGATGAGTTGTGGGCGTTGCTGATCAGGCCGGAGGTGAAGACACTCGTCGCAGGATGAGCCCTAGGGGCTGGGCTCGACATTGCAGGGTCCTTCGTGCAACCCACGACAAACACACTGAGGTCGATTCATCGAGGGAGCTGATAGTCTACAGTAAGACCCTACACCGGTGCAGACTCACCGTTCATGGAGCCAACGTGTCTTCCTTCACATGCTTCACTGGGCGGCTCTTCTTATATGCCAGCAAACCGACAACTAGCTTCCAAGGTTGCCTGTAGTGAGGGTGTGCGATGTCAGCATCGACAACCAGCTCACTACTTTTTGCTGACACCGGAAACATGCGGCTTTAGGCTGCGAGATCTGCTACACAACATGATCACCACCGTTCCGGGCCTGTGGGAAGAAGAGCCTCCTTCGTGTCGTTGAGTTCGGAAGTATTGTAGAATTCAACGCACCAGATGTGATAGCGATTGCACGCATACAGCTAGTTGTCTACGTCGCTGTAGGCCGTTCGATCACCTTCTTCAGGGCACATATCGCATCTTGCTCAGCTTACTCCCCGAAGCGGAAGACGTTGGAGTTGCACAAACAAGAAATGAGTAAGCAGCCGCACCTTGGAAGAATGCACCCTCGGACTCCCAAAGCGACCGCCGGAGACTTTCAGAAACGTCAAAAGAGAAGGTTTACCAATCGGTTCGAATGCTGTCCGAAGGTCTTCGTCCGGCGTTGGCACCATCTCTCTGCTTATGGATCCTGATTGTTACCAGCTACTTGCGGCAGCCACGCTTTGTAATAATCACAGGAAATCACCTCGACTCACCATGACCATCGACCAATTGCAACGAGGACGGGTGGAAAAACACGCGCTTTTGTCCACTGAAAATCGTCGCTGCAATGCGCCGCCCTTGTACTGGGAGGCACTTGTCTTCTGCTGATAGCTTAACGTGAAGGCACGATGCCTAACGCAGGTAAGTCGGCTTCTGCCCTACGGTACTGAGGCGTCTACACCACGTCGATTTCGTCAGCGCCATTACCATTTGGTACTTGGCACTGTACACAGTCATCACATAACGCAAGAGAGTCTGACAAACGCCGATATGTTGCACGGCGTTTGTGATGGACTTAAGGGCAAATGCGCGAAGATATAAACCTGCAATGCGTTTGGAGGCGCCAGAAAGGCAACTAGCACCTCCTACCTCCTGCCTCCTACTTCTCAATTAGTTCTAAACACCACTTCGCAGTGCGGCCTTCCAAGCTGTACTTCGACTGCTCTTAGTCCTTGCACCTGCAACCGGCCTTCACAATGTCTTACCTATTCCGGCACTCATCAGTAGGGACTGCTCTCCACTACATCCGCCATCGCAACCTCGACTTCTCCCGTTCTAAGGCGAAGGCACTGTCACCCTCCTCTTCGACCGATGATATCCCTGCCGCGATCCCCGCAGACAGCGTCCTCGGTGCCGAACTCAAACTCGAGCAAAGTGCGACCCTCGTCGGCTGGGACGGCCCCAATGACCCAAGCAACCCTCAGAACTGGCCGATGAGGGACAAGGTCCTCATGACTACCCTCATCGGCCTGTACACGTTTGCTGTATACGTCGGCTCGTCCATCTACACACCTTCACAGGAGGCGGTACAGGAGGTATTTCACAAGTCACACGTTGAGGGTTCGCTGGGCCTCGCGTTATACGTGCTAGGCTACGGTATCGGATGCCTACTCTTCTCGCCCATCTCAGAAATCCCAGCCGTTGGACGAAACCCACCATATGCTATTTCAGGCTTCCTTTTCGTCATCCTGTGCATACCCACTGCGCTCGTGGAGAACTATGAGGGTCTGATGGTGCTGCGATTTCTGCTTGGTTTCATGGCATCGCCTTGCCTGGCTACAGCAGGAGCGTCGCTAGCCGACATCTGGACCATGGCTCAGTTTCCCTTTGCTGTAGCTTTGTGGGCTGCGACAGCAACCATGGGGTAGGTGTTCTCTCTGTCATGTAGAAGAGCCATGCTAATCGTGATAGTCCCGCTCTTGGCCCAACACTTTCCACCTACGCTGTCCGCGATCTTGGTTGGAGATTCTCATCTTGGGAACTCATGATCATCGCCGGACCAGTCTATGTCTTAATGCTGTGCATGCTGCCCGAATCTTCAGCTCCCACGATCCTATACTACAAAGCAAAGCGCCTTCGCGAAGAGACTGGTAACCAGAACCTCATGTCTGACGCAGAGAAGAAACAGAAGAACCTGAAGGCCTCCAGCCTCCTGTTTGACGCTCTCATCAAGCCCTGGGAAATCAACGCGCTCGACCCCGCAATTCTCTTCACGACCATCTAGTAAGTTGAAGTCTTATAGTATTTGTAGCTGCTTGCTTACAATTTACGCAGCATGGGCTTGTGTTACGGTACTTACTACTCGTTCTTCGAGTCACTGCCTCTTGTGTATCCGGTCATGTATGGGTTCTCCGCTGAAAGTACCGGACTTGTTTTCCTCGTCGTCGCACCAGCTGGTCTCCTCGCGTTCACCGTTCACTGCATCTACCTCAAGTATAGAGTGTTTCCAAGGATGATGAGCGGCACTTTCGGTGAGCTCGAGAACCATCTGCTGCCGGGTTTGTTCGCAAGTCCGATTATATGCATTGGTCTCTTCATGTTCGGTGAGTCGGGCCCTTTCCACGACTACAAGCAACCTCCGCTAACAATTCCTACAGCATGGACAGCCCGTCCCTCAGTACACTGGATAGTGCCAAGTACGTCGAGTTTCCCCTGAACTGATATAATCTGCTGACCGCGTCTGCAGCACTCGGCCTAGGATTCACCATCTTCGGCACATACTTTGTCGCACAATCAGTGCTTTTGTACATCCCTAACATATACCCTCGATATGCCGCCAGCATCTTCTCAGCGAACAGTCTATCGAGAAGCTTGTTTGCGTTTGCAGCAATCTTGTTTGCGAGGCCCATGTTTGTAAGCATCGATATTGACGGAGGTGTCAGCCTGCTTGCTGGGTTCATGGTGCTATGTACCATTGGTATGTGGGTATTGTTCCAGTTCGGTAAGGGCATGAGGGAGAGGAGTAGGTTCGCTGTGGTGTAAAGAAGGGCTTGAGCTATGTGGCAGGGATGCAGTCGCAGATACCAAATCGTAGACCTAGAACTTAGATGCGGCAATGGTAAAACTACACTTGGCAATTCTGGGATCGTGAGTACTTGCCAGAGGGGCTCATATGTTGCAATCGTCTCTGCGCTAACCGCTGCTTGAGTAAAATGTACGCGTATATTCTGTTGGTGTCTTATGGTCGCCTTGGTCTCGGTGTTCTTGATTGTGTGCTCGATGTTGCTGAGCTTCTTCGTAGAGTCATTGGCGTAATCCTGGTGGATTTGCTTCGCTAGCGCGACGGTCTCCGCTAGGACTTCTACCAGCGGGCGCGTGAGCAATTTGACCTTCTTCGCTGTCTTCGCTGTACGCCCTGAGATCTTCTTTACAGCGCGGACCTCATCGAGAGCCGTCTGTTGCAGCTGCTCGACGGACTCGAGCTGCTTGGTACGTCGATCGAGCTTCTCGTTGCTAAGGTCGAGCTTGGACGACTTTGAGCTGGTATAGCGGTGGATCTCACTGACCTGCTGGCCCATATCAGCGGCCCGATGGACAGCACTGTCGAAGCGCCTGGCTGGTCGAGCGCCATTCGAGGTTGAGTGTTGTTTAGCAAGCTGTTGAGGCGTTGCGCGTCGGTTGAGGTGGGCATGACAACTCAAAAAGTTCAACGATGAAGAATGAGGTCGAGGTGGAGGGAGCCAATAAAGATCGATGTGAGGTACGCCACACGCGGGAGACAAGGTCGGGGACGGGGAGCCATGGTAGACTCGACTGGGGCTGGTTGCTTCTTGGAATCACTTGACGAGTCTTCTTCGATCGGCGGTTTGTAGCTTTGTTGACAGAGGGCTCACCCAAAACGACCTGTAGACTTGTGTATACTTGTCAGCGAGCAATAACCAGACAATGTCACCTTGAATAACTCCTAAAATTCGGAGCGTTGGATTATTTTACTCCTACGGCATATAGTGTACTCTGTGAATACCTGCAGACAGGAGAGGGCTTGTCTCATTGCACAAAGAGCCCGGGCATAGCAGCCCCATTTTTTGTTTCTCTTAGCGAAGCCGGGAGGTCTCCAGTCATATGCAGACAGTGATCTGCTACAGCCAAAACTACCTGTAGCCTCGTGTACACATGTTAGCCAGCAATAGCTGGACAAAGCCACAGGAAAGCCTCCCAGGTGTTGGTGTTTGGCTCTGTCATGCGACATCAAAGAGGGTGTTGTGAGAGATCGGCGCCTCGGCAGGCGGCAGGGCTGATGCTTGCAGACGGTGGCGGGGAAAGCACGGAAGTCCATCGTCATTCCCGCGAAGCTGCAACCTCACCAAAAGATAGCGAGGATAATCACCAACAACCACTTGCAGCAGTTCGCGAATGCGCCGCAATGCGTGTCAGCTCCTCTTACGCGAGCCCGGACCTTGACAAACTCCCGCCTGACTGATTACACCTTATTTGCAATCCCCGTGCATCAACGCGTGAAACTCGGCCGTTCGCCTCGCCGCTACTTTCCCACTCCACCCTCGGAGCTTGCCACAAACCTCTCACGAAGCCTCACTTGTCTACAAGATGAGGCATACCGTATACGACCGCTTGCTGAAGCGAGAAATTGGCCACCAGCAGAGGACGTACACCGACATTCGAGGCATCTATGGGGACAGGCACTGGGTCGATGACCTTGACATCGTAAATGAATTAGAGGGACACAATGGATGTGTGAACGCTCTGAGGCACGCATGCAATTTGTTCCAGCTTCACGCAACACTGACTGACTGTCTGCTAGCTGGTCAAGATCTGGTCGCCTCCTTGCCTCTGGCTCTGACGATCACCGAATTAACATTCACTCGTACAATCCTGGCTCAGACACAGAGCAATTCAGCTTGACGACTTCTATTGTCACAGGTCACCGATCGAACGTCTTCTCAGTGAAGTTCATGCCCTACTCAAACGACCGCACCATTGTCTCGGCGACCGACGACGTTCGTATCTTTGACATCGAACACTCTGGACACTCGGCTTATGGCTTAGGAAGCAGGCAAAGGGCCATTGGGACGAGACCTAGCATCCATCATGCGAGGAATGCCGTCACCCTCACTAGTACAGAAACGAACGAGCGGGCGTTTCGTAGCCACAATGATACAGTGAAGCGCATTGTCACCGAGGACAACCCCTTCTACTTCCTGACGTGCTCAAACGATGGCGATGTACGGCAGTGGGACATCAGACAGCCGTCAAACACATATCCACCCGCACAAGATGGTCGACTGCCATCATGGGCAAGAGATCCAGATGCTGCCGACAGTGTGCCGCCGCCGCTTATATCGTACAGTCGTTATGGTCTCGACCTCAACACCGTCTCCTGTTCGCCATCGCAACCCCACTACATAGCACTCGGTGGTGCTCATCTTCACTGCTTCCTTCACGATCGTCGTATGCTAGGAAGGGATACGAATCGCGAGCGAGGGTCTAGACTATCAAGTCCAAGCAACTGGACTAAGAATGATGAAGAGCTGCTAGGGCAAGCCACGCAATGTGTCAAAAAGTTCGCACCTAGCGGCAAGCAACATATGAAACGTAACGACGGTGGCCACATCACAGCTTGCAAGATCAGCGATGCGCATCCGAATGAGCTTATTGTGAGCTGGTCGCAGGACCATATATACAGTTTCGATATCCAACGGGCGCCAGATGCGCGTGAAGAGGCCACAACATCGAAGGTGACGGCTGGTGATACTACAGGTCGGGTAAAGGACAAGAGCCGGAAGCGCAAGCGCCCGAAGTCGAGTACGCAGGATATCACGGATCGAGCCGGCTCGAGGCAACGTACCGAAAGCGACGAAGAAGACTTCGCCCTTCGAGTTAGGTACGGAAACGGCCAGTCTGAGGAGATTCGCATTGGAGCTCCTACGAGCAATGGCATGTCGCCAGACGAATTGAATGAGCTGCGTGGCACAGATCACTTCCGAATCGCGAAGACGACAGTACAGGTCAAGACGCGAATCTTTGATTTGGCTAACCACGGCGAGTTCGGGCTGCATCTAGCCTACACGTCGCTCTTGGGTATGGCACACTCGATACTGCCTGATATGGACGACATATCCAGATCCTGGGGTTATCCAGTCGACCCAGATCCTGTCGATGTTGTGGTGCAGAACAAGTTACGTGACGACCGCGCCGCATCTCGACGCTTCGTCCAAGCAGCTGGCACACTTTCTCGAGCAATGGGGGGGCAGCTCCTAACAGGTTCTAGCTCGACATCAGATGCTATGATTGCGCAGTACTTTGCTTCGATACAGCCAGCACCTCGAGAGCGAGAACTGCCACAGCACGAACAATTCGGTTACGACTTCCTCAAGGCCATCTTGCTGTGGCTCGACAGCGGCCCTAGTGCAGTCATCGAAGGGTTTTCCAGTCGCAGTGGAGGTGAGCGCCTGCCGATACCGCAGGACTCGGACATGGACGCCATCGAGGAGGCACTCGTTCCCTACCTGCTGGATCTGGCAAGCGAGCATCCGATTGTCGACGTCGATGTATCGAGGTTTATGAAGGACGACATTCGGGTGCTCTTTCCCACCGAGATCGATGCGGTTCGCGCCTTCTCGCGGGCAATTCAGATTCCCTTCGCAGACTTGACTGGCGATGAAGAGGACGAGGACAAGCCCCAGGTCGCTAATCAGAACCGTGATGTGGCGAAACTGAAGTGGGGTCATCAGATTGGAAGAGGCCTTCTACTAAACGCTGCGAAGGATGTCAAGTTTTCATTTGTTGATCGGGCGTTTGGCGGCCAAGGCATCTCCGACGCAAGTATCAGGGCGGAAGAGAGGACGTTGAAGGAGCAGCAAGAGGACATCGATCCCGTTGAGGATGAGTTGGAACAGCTGGGCGCTGAGATCGCAAGGGCTGATGCGATTAGTGAGCTGGAGGCGGCGGCGGCGGCGGCGTCAGGGTCAGGGTCAGGGTCAGGGTCAGGTGCTGAGCATCTTCCTGCTGAGGTCGAAGATCTCTTGGATGAGGGAGACGAGGAGGAAGTCGAAGAAGAGGAAGAAGACGACGATGACGACGACGACAGCGACGGCGATCTGGAAGAAGGAGACGAGGAGGAGGAGGAGGAAGAGGAAGAGGAGTCAGGCTCAGAGGACGAGGAAGGCTTGCGGCGGACAAGAAGTGGGCGCATGTTGTGGAGGTCAGACTTTGGTCGGAGAAGATCCCAAAGAGCGAAGGTGGAGCGCGACATACCATGTGCACCGCACACGCGGGTGTATACCGGACACTGCAACGTTCAGACAGTCAAGGATGTCAATTACCTTGGACTTCAAGACGAGTATGTCGTCAGCGGCAGCGACTGCGGGCATGTGTTCATCTGGGAGCGCAAGACGGCGCAACTTGTCAACATCCTTGAGGGCGACGGGGAAGTTGTCAACGTTGTACAAGGTACGTCAGCCCATCCCTTCGTCTAGGTCTTACTGACTGTTCCCAGGACACCCTTACGAACCTACCATGGCCGTGTCTGGCATTGATCACACCATCAAGATCTTCTCGCCGGATATTCGAGACCAGGGCAACGCTCGAAAAGGCATCGGCGTCCACTCCGCAGACACAACTGGATTTTCAAGTATCAACCTTGGGCGTCGGAGAAGGCCTAGTAGGCCAGAGCCGGAAGACGAGCCTACTAACGACGAGGCGTTGAGTGACAGCGAAGGGGAATACACAGCGGGTGGATTGAAGAGCCGCAAGCGCATGCACCAAGCCTACCAGATCACTTCGAAGAACGATATGGACCGCAAAGGAGGACGGGATGATTACTTCATCTCACAAGCGGTATTTGCACAGCTCGCGCGACACATCGCTGCGAACCAAGGCGGCGAAGGCGAAATGAGCGAAGACGGAGAGGGACCGATCGTCATCACTGAGGACAACTGTAACGTCATGTGAGAGGAGGGCTTCACTAAACGCAATTTCAAGCATCTTGCAGGGTCAAGCTCGCGGCTTCTTGCACTCCAATCAAGTGCATTGCAAGTACGGTGTATTGTCCCTAGTGCTGCCGTTTGCAGTCTTCATGCTTTGGATATCTCCCAAGCGCCGCCCATGTGCCAGAGTGTTACCCCATATGCCTCGCACCGTACTGCGCAACTCTATGCAACGTGTCCCCTACGAAGCCTTCTTCTGCTGCGCCTTGAGAGCCTTCTTGCGGTTGCTCCTTATCATGACCACGGAGAGGAAGGAACCGACGACGGTGGTGAACAGGATGATGAGGATCACAGGGATGCGGATGGCCCAGACGCGGGGGAGGAAGAGCGAGTGCAGGACGTGGTCCTCGTCGACGAAGGGCTGTGGAGGGGGGTTAGCGCCTGACCGAGAGGATGGAGCTGCAAACGACTGCATGTCCGCTGCAAGGAACGTGTGCGCACCATGAACAGAGTCCAGACGGTGTAGTAGACGAAGATGGCAGTGGCTGCGATGAGCATGCTGAGTCCCACAAGGCGGTCGAGCTGCGATTGTCAGTCACGAATTCGCTACGAGTGGCTGCAGCGCATACCATTTTGGGATTTGTGAGTCTAAGGAGCGTGGCGACGAGTGTCTGTTCAGTCTTCAATGTCGACGTGGTGAGAGCACCAAGCGTTAGCACGGGCGATGCAGCGCAGGGGTGAACGCCAAGACTCGTGCCCGCGCGGCTGCCTTTCTGGAGCTAAAGTTTCTCGCGACAGCTCGGGACGACTGCCATCACAGCGCCCGCCGCGTTGTGAACACTCCTACACACCCACGTCGCAGCAGCGGGCCGTCACCATGCAAGTCGCCTCCGCCGTCCGCATCCCCTCGCCCGAGCCGGAGGTCGAGCAGGAACCCCCCCGCAAACGCGACCGCTCGCCCTACGACGCCGGCCCATCGAAGCGCTCGCGGCGCCACGGCGACGACGACGATGATGATGATGATGTTGCACCTCCACGCCGCGAGCGGGGCAGCGACCGCCAGCGCGACCAGATCGGCAACAGGAACACCGAAGTCGCAGACGACGATGCGCGCCTCAACCTCTTCAAGAACGCCTTCAGCGCGAGCCGCAAGCTGCCCATCGACGACTCCAAGACGCGCGCGGGCGGTGCATACATCCCGCCCGCGCGCCTGCGCGAAATGCAGAAGAACATCACCGACACGGCGACACCCGAGTTCCAGCGCATGGCGTGGGAGGCGCTGAAGAAGTCGATCCAGGGTCTGATCAACAAGACCAACACGGCCAACATCAAGATGATCGTTCCCGAGCTGTTCAGTGAGAACTTGATTCGCGGACGTGGGCTTTTCTGCAGAGCGATCATGAAGGCGCAGGCTGCCAGTCTGCCGTTCACTCCCATCTACGGCGCGATGGTGGCTATCGTTAATACAAAGTTGCCGCAGGTGGGCGATCTGCTGGTTAGGAGGCTGATTGTGCAGTTTAGGAAGAGCTTTAAGAGGAACGACAAGGCTGTGTGTTTGGCGAGCACCATGTTCCTCAGTCATCTCGTCAATACGCAGGTCGTGCACGAGGTGCTGATTGCGGAGATGTTGCTCCTTCTGCTCAACAAGCCGTCAGACGACTCGGTGGAGATTGCAGTGGGCATAATGAAGGAGGTTGGCGCGTTCTTGGAGGAGATGAATCCGGCGATTGCGAACGCGATTTTCGACCAGATGAGGAACATCCTGCACGAGGCGGATATCGACAAGCGCACACAGTACATGATTGAGGTGCTGTTTGAGGTCAGAAGGACAAAGTACAAGGAGCATGCTGCGATCAAGGAGGATCTGGACCTTGTGGAAGAGGAGGATCAGATCACACATAGGCACACATTGGAGGATGATGTCAAGGTCGAGGATGGTTTGAACATCTTCAAGTTTGATGCAGAATACGAAGCGCACGAGGCTGAGTACCAGAAAATCAAGGCGGAAATTCTCGGAGAAGAGGAGGGCAGCGACGCCGAATACACGGACGCTTCAGACTCGGACGAGGAGGACGAAGAACAAAAGGCGGAAGATGTCAAGGACCAGACCAACGCCGATCTCGTCAGCCTTCGCCGAACTATCTACCTCACCATCAAGTCGAGCGGGGGCTTCGAAGAGTGTTGTCACAAGCTGATGCGCATCAACCTCCCACACGGCCTCGAAAACGAACTCACGACCATGATTGTCGAGTGCGCCAGCCAAGAGCGTACGTACGAAAAGTTCTACGGCATGATCGGCGAGCGATTCTGCAAGATCAACCGCATGTGGACCGACCTCTTCGAAGAGGGTTTCGCACATTACTACGAAACCATCCACCGCTTCGAAACAAACCGCCTGCGCATCATCGCCCAATTCTTCGCACATCTTCTCGCTACAGACGCGATTGGGTGGCACGTGTTCCAGGTCATCAAGCTGAACGAAGAGGACACAACGTCCTCATCTCGTATCTTCATCAAGATTTTATTCGAAGAGCTGCTCTCCTTCCTTGGCCAGAAAGACGTCGTTGCGCGCTTCAAAGAACCCATGTTGCAGGACAGTCTCACAGGGGTCTTCCCTACAGACGCAGACGATCAGGCGAAGACGCGCTTCTCGATCAACTTCTTCACCGCGATTGGCATGGGTGTGCTTACTGAGGGTATGCGCGAGTGGCTCAAGAACGCGGCGCCGAAGCCGAAACCACTTCCTGAGCCGGAGAGCGATAGCGAGGACTCGAGGAGCGTGTCGAGTTACTCGTCTTACTCATCACGGAGCAATTCACGCTCACGCAGTAGGAGTAGGAGCAGGAGCAGAAGCAGAAGCAGAAGCAGAAGTCGCACCCCAGCGAGGAGGAGAGACTCTCGATCTTCGTCGAGAGGAAGGTCATACACACGCAGTCCCACACCAGACCGCAAGCGTGCCACTGCTGGCAAAGGACGCGCTCGTTCCCTTTCAGACTCGCGCTCTCGGTCACCCTCTCCTGCATCCCGCAAGAAGCGCAACTACTCTTCCAGCCGCTCGCCTTCACGGTCTCGCTCTCCACCGCCCAAGCGTCGCGGTCGCAGCCCGTCAGATTCGCTGTCGAGGAGCCCGCCGCCAAAGAGGAGGGGTAGGAGTCCGAGTGCGAGTGTGAGCAGAAGCAGGAGCCCCGTCAGACGGAGGAGAAGCTACAGCTCGAGCAGGTCCAGATCTCCACCGCCGAAGAAGGCGAATGGGAAGGGCAAGGCGAGAGCTAGTGAGAGCAGAAGCCGGGGCCCTGTGCGCAGACGGAGAAGTTATAGCAGCTCGAGGTCGAGAAGCCCGCCGCCACGGAGAAGGAGGGACTCATGAGGGAGCAATTTGAATGAGATCCCACCCCCATTGACAACTTACGTCCAACTTCATAGGAGATCCCAAAACTTGAAAGCATTGGAGGTTGCAGATATCAATATGTAATTAGCATAGCATAGCATGGATCTGGGCAAAGTCAGATTTCATCGCATCAAAGTTTCCATCACGGAGAAGGCATGTTCTCTCGAAACCTGGTACCGTCTTCATCCCACTCGCGTCCACCTTTCCCTAATCTCCTCAAACACTCTACGCATCCTTTCCACCGGTTTCCCCCTCTTCGTGTTGTCATATCTATCCCCCATAATCAGTCCCTCAAGGACCTGTTCACTCCGCCCTCTCCTCGCCTGCTCAACACTAAACCCTCGCAAATGCACGAACAAGTCCTTCAGTCCCGCCTCACACAAATACCTCACCGGGGCGAACGACAGTCTCGCATCACGGCAAACATCCCCGTCCGGAGGCACACTGTATTCCCACCCGTTTAAGCACCATCTCAGTCCTGAGACGTTGATCGTGAGCGGGAGCGCCGGGAGGTTCATAGCATGCTGCATCAACGAGAGCGCGTCGAGGTAATCGTTCCATCCAGGTGTGTTCGGGGCGGAGGTACGCTGGCCGCGCAGATGGGAGGATTCACTCCAGCCAACGAATGTGCTGGAGAGCACCGTGAGCGATGGAGGATAGATACAGACTCAACTCGATCTGGGTTAAGGGGAAGATGCTGGTCTCAGGCCATGTGTGCGCGTAGGGGTCCATGAGCTGTATAGAGGGGCTGTTGTAGGGGAGTGACCAGGATTTGGTTGAGGGTGTAGTATACGGAAAGTGCGCCCTGCCGGACTTGGCTGCTGACGGAGAATAGAGGTTGCGCCGGAAATTACATGTGCATGATGAGGAACATACCAGGGATTGGGCTGAGCAGTAGCAGAGCCCTGAGTGGTCTGCTGGCGCGCAGACGTTGCAGCAGAGGTATCCGATGTATTCGTCGGTGTTTGGGCCGGGAAGGTAGATACAGGGACCAGTGCAGCAGTCTGGGCATGGATCGGCGACCAGACCGTAGCCGTAGCCGGTGCATGTGGGAGACTGAGCTCGTGTGAACTATTTGCGAGGGCGCCATTGGACTGTGGCTGGGGAGATGAGATCGGTGTGTGAAAGGATCGCGGTGCGTAGCTCCTGTGGTAAGTCCAGGTACCTGGAGGGCTCCAGTTCCCTCTCACGGATCATTGTAACCGCTCTTACAACGCCGTCAACGAATCGAAAGATCTCCATGTCTTCATTGGTGTATTGTGGTACTTTGTAGTGCTTGTAGCGACTGCAGTAGTCCTACCCTCAGGATCAGTGGTCTCAGCGTACGACATGGCTGTATGTGCAAGGAAGTAGAGACTGACCATTTTCACCTTCCACCAATAAATTCCTCCACACAGCTCCACAAGCAAGCCACAATCCTTCAGCTGTGGAGGCCGCATCATAGGGTCGACCACAGCTCTAGCATCATCCACCGTTCTCGCGCGAAAAACAAGTCTCAGCCTCAGCTACCCAGGCTGAACCTACCTCACAAATCTTTCCGTCATCACTGTTCAATTCTTCAAGGTAGCCTTCCCCCATCTTGTCAAAAGACCAATATATCCCAGAGACTAGCAAATCTACCCATCCACCACCCATCCATCACTCCTCACCACAGTCTTCGGAACATCAAGCCGGATCTTGGATAGATTTTGAAATGGTGTAGCTGAGATCGACAAATAGGTTGTTCGGGCCGGCGTATGAGTAGACGAGTTGCCGCACGAACAGGGGTATGGAGAAGAAGGTATGGCCTGAGGGAGTGAATGGGGGGTGAGCGGGATGGAAGTAGTGGGAGAGTCGGCGTTGTGAGATCTTAGTAGGAGGTTTCAAGTGAGCCTGGAGTTGACCCAGCTGGCCGGGCAGACGGCTGTTATAATGGAAGGAAGAGAGCAGAGTTGCCTGTGTCAGCGCAAAAGGGTGAAATCCCGAAACAATGGGTCGGTGCCGAGATGGACAGTAGTCAGCGGCCAAAAAGCAGGAGTATCTGAGCTTGGAGATAAGGTGCATTTCTACTTCCAGAGATCTGATAGGCTTCCGGTCGCACCTTCGTGACATACAGACTTGTGCAGCAAGACAAAAACATACAACAGCGGGTATATTTGCTAGTGGTCACTCACCTAACGACTAATCCGCCGATACGTTGCTTAAATAGGGTTGAGCGAACAGGAAGCCTCGTTTTCAACGTCCTATGGTTGTGTATGAAAGATACGGCAGGAAATGTGCAAAATCTGGTGACTACAATGCAGACATTGTCCAATACATGCATAGCTTCCTCAGCCCATGCTCGACAACGACGAAGATGCCGGTTAGAAACGAGCGTCGAAGGCACAGCTTGATTAGATTCATTGAAATGGTTGGTGCCATGAGTGTGTAGGCCCTGTTACGAGTCTCGAAGTTGTTGAAGTGGAATGAGTTGTGACTAAGCAGTTGAGCACCGCAATGGTCCGGCATCGGAGGCATTTGAGGGGTGCTTTCCTTGACATCATCAAGGCAACCTCCTCCGGACACCTTCGACCAGTATTCCCGTCCCTTTAGTGGATTATACCTCCGCGTTCGCAAGATCGCGACGTCGGCGTAGACATTGGAGTCGTGCATTTGGCACCTGAACATAAACCTCTTATTCCACGACTAACAGCTTCATGCTCACTGCTTACCACTTCCTGCCCACCTCATAAATCAACCTGTACACTTACTTGCTCACCAATTAGAACCCTTTCACAGACAATCCTGCATTTCCCACGATGTCAGGCTCTTATCTTCACGGCCACCACGCCTCAGTCCTCCGCTCCCACAGCTGGCGCACCGTCGAGAACTCAGCACCTCACCTCATTCCCTACCTCAGGCCTGACCTCAAGGTCCTCGATGTGGGTTGCGGCCCAGGAACCATCACCGTCGACCTCGCCACCCGTCTGCCGCAAGGTTTCGTATACGCGATCGACCCCTCCGCCGATGTGATCGAGAAAGCAAGACAACATGCGAAGGAGAAGGGCGTTACAAACGTGCGATTTGAAGTTGGCGACATCTTCAACTGGCAAGGCTTAGATGGTGTTGAAGAAGCTAGCTTCGATGTTGTGCACGCACATCAGGTACTGCAACACCTGCAAGACCCGTTGGGCTGTATGAAAGAAATGATGCGGCTCACAAAGAAAGGTGGGATTGTGGCGGTGCGTGACTGCGACTACGGTGCTATGGACTGGTACCCCGAACACCCCGGCATGCAGAAGTGGAAGGACTTGTACATCAAGGTCGCGTTGGGATTGAAGGCGTACCCGAACATGGGTAAGATGCTGCATTCTGTTGCGATGCAGGCTGGGATACCGAGAGAAGATATTGAGGCGAGTATCAGCGCTTGGTGCTTTTCTACACCCGAAGAGCGGGCATGGGTAAGTAATTGGTGGATGCAACTAGTTCGGATCCAAAGCTAATGTGAGCTTAGTGGTGCGGTTTATGGGCAGACAGAACGGTCAAGAGTGACTTCAAGCAGAGAGTCCTTGACGGCAACTACGGCACCGAGGCTGAACTCGAGGAGATTGCAGCAACATTCCGAGAGATGGAGAAGAAAGAGGATGGCTGGTTCGCAGTCATCAACGGGCAGGTCATTTGTCACGTCAGGTAGGCAGTGCAATGTAAGAGACAGTAATCGCAGTAAGCTACATGCTCTTTCTTGGATCTTCCACCGATTCGCTGTCAGCTTGGACTCGCTATCTCTTCCACATCTGGTCTTACAATACTCTCACCTTCTCTCACCCAGACATCCGACGCAGATCAGACCTGCTGCCAATCACACCACACAACGCCTGTACCGCACGCGAGTCAGCTGAGTGTGCGTGCGTTAGCTGGCTAGCCTTGCCATAGCTTCCATATCAACCCCACTTTACCCCTCCATCCTCAGCTATCTGACTATCACCAATTTCACAACATCCAAAGCAAAGCAACAACATCGTCAGTCAAACGAAGGAGAAATCAAACAGTCGTTCAACAAGCAAAATGCAGTCCACCACCGTCCTCGTCAACTTCCACAGCAGCTGCCCCAAGTGCGGTGCCAGCATCGATGGCGACAACAAGTCCTGCGGATCCTGCGGTAGCGTGAGTGAAATTAGAGATCTATTATCAGAATGCTGCTAACGTGGGACATAGTCTTGCCCCGTCTAAATTATGGCCAGCAACGTCGGTTGCGGTGCGTAAGGCACAAGGTTGAACGGCGAAGTACAACTACGGCGATACGGAAATGAAACGGAATTCGCAAGTCTATTATGAGTGAGAACGTAATAAATGAATGGATAAACATGAGCACGCAACTTTTCCTCCGTCCACTCTTTTCGTTGTACGCGATTTAAGTAGATCCCTTCCCGCAATTTAAGTCAACCGTAACGCGCTTTCCCATGCACGAACTCAGGCAGCTGCGGTGGCTGGAGGTTCACTCTACGTGCGTGCAGATCTGCTTCTGGGGGAGAGTGGGCGCCTGAGGCTCCTCCGGAACATGCTATCTCACATCAGACCAGCACTACTTGAAGAGGTGAACAGCTGGTGTACTTACGTTCGCTAGAGTGACCCTGAGTCCGTTCTTGCGTGTGGTCGCTAGAGTGGACGATACGAAAAATAGCGCCGCTGTGACGAGCAGTATCATGACTACGGCTCGACTCTGCACAAGGCGCTTGATAGCATCGCCACAATGTTGCCATTCCACTCAACGTGCAGTACAGCTACTGCGTCGGCACACCCTATACAGCAGGCATCCTCGAGATATATTATGTATCCCATCTGGAGATATTTGCAGCGACTTCGATCTGTTGTAAATCCGTGTTTGACAGCAAGAAACTGTTGTAGCGTCAGTGATATGTATTATCCGAAACGTGGGGCTTTACTCACAGTGCCAGCAGCAATATCGATAACGATGACGAGGGAGATGCTGCCGGGTAGCATCCACTTGGTCATCATGACTCTTGATCAGAGCGACTGAAAGCCAAAGAGATGTTATTGCAATGACGATCTGTACAATACGAACGATCATGTTGGGGACGAGGTACGTGTTGACAGGCATTATGAAGACAAATTCTGATGAATTAAAAGTATAGTATCAGCAAATAATAGGGAGACCTCAAGTTTATCTGAATTTCAAACGTAGTGCTGGTAAGTTGACACATGTATGGCTTTAGTAACATTGCTCAATGTCAAGATTTTGGTGTAACGTTTTCCATTCTACTGTTCATCCCCTGCCTTAAGCATAACGTCCTACAGGATGGACAAGCTCGGGCAATGCCGGGGGGTCTGCACTGCTCACATATCGATGTGTCTGAGCACAAGTATCGTATTTTCGCGCTTTTCGCTCCTGAAGCTCATGCTCACAATCCTCGTGTCGCTATAAGTCTTTGGTGGTAAATTTGACTCGGTCTTGCTTACATTGATCACAACAATGCGAAACCCTTTCATACTGAAGAATAGGGCTTCTCCGGATCTACCGCCTCTGCTCCTTACTAGCCTTAGACCTTTTCTCTTGAAGACCTCCACGACGAAGGTGATCGTGATACTGGCAAAGCCGGTCGCCGTCGTCAAGAACATGAAAATGTCCAGCGTACGGGCATGTGCACAGCGCGCCTCCAGCTATTCACTCCATTCGAACAAATCTGATCCGGCAGGCCAACATTTAAGGTTGTTGTTGAGCTCGTCTGCACACCGCTCGTCGAGGAAACTGACTTGACTCAGATCTTTTAGGTCGTTGCGACAATAGTTTGGTGGACGAAGGCTCCTGGCCATGAGTATAGGATGTTAGTGGATGAAAAATTAGTTTGCAGTGCAAATAACCTACTAGGCCTCCTACCAAGTTCAGGATGGTTATAAGAATGTCCAGACCAAAACCGAACTTTCCATACCAGCTGAGGTGGACTAATATGAAGCAGATGATAGCACCGACCAGCGAAGAAGATCCGGCTAAGATCGAAAAAATAATTATTCTCGGAACTGACTCGCACTCCAGAGCCTACGTTGCTGCTAACACGATTGAAAGGCCAAGAACGACCGCCGAAAAGGATAACTGTAAAGCACGAGTGATCGCACTCAAAATTGTGCTGGTATGGGAGCCATAGTCGAAGGAGTAGTCATGCGAAACACCGTTGCAAGATCGAGCGTATAGAAAGATTTGAAAGCATGAGATTCTCCAGGAAAGATGTATGTCACCCGCCATTGGCAGGTGCAACCGCAGGAAACATTACTCTCCTGTTGGAAGCCAGGATGCATGTGCTTTAATCTACGATCTCGGAGATGTCTGGTCCAAAGAAGATGTGATAAGAGTTTGAGTAACATATGACGCTACACACTGTGGGCAGCAGTAATGCACACGGCCATTCTACACGAGATGCATTGGATTTCTTGGGGCATACCAGGGGTTGGACATGACCCAAGTACATATACATGACCGAAAAGACTTAGTCAGGACATATACAGTGTGCTTCGTTGGAGATGGTAGTCTTCATATATGCATCTGCACTGCAGTGTTTGTCAGCGAGGGTTGTTGAGCACGCGATTGCTACCCAGCCAGTTCGCAACAACATCATGCAGGTTAACACCATCACCAATTTGGCAGGAGATATCGTACGACCGGGGTCTTGAAGTTCGCCGCCGAACTCGAGTTATGGGGCAGGGGCCCATACTTTCCTTAGCTCCTTCCTCACACAGCCTAGCTTGACCACTCAAGATGAATGCTTGCACGAGCTTCCATCACTCCACAAAGCTTCGAACAGCAGTTTCGCAAATCTACTCGGCCACACTTCAGTGTCATCTTCTCAGTGCAGGAACCTACGTTGATTCCGCCTGTCAACATCTTATCATTCTCGTCCCGGCACATTTCTGCCTGCACACACGAGAACGTTCCTGACTGCCGAATTGTTCTGGATACGATCTTCGAACGGCCACTATCACAACTGCCTCTTTGGGAATCGTCGAGAACATAGACTCGTTGACTTCGGTTTAAGAGATCGCGAAACCTCCTCCCATTCGCTGCAATGGATCAGTTTGCCTCACCCTGCATGGATCTTTGTCAACAACCCTCATGGTTGCTGCAGCTATGATGCCTACCCACAACGGCTCGAGCAAGATTCCACGGTCCGTGGCTATGGTACCACGGAGTACCCTGATTCCAGAATGAGTATAAATGTAGCGAGGGTCTCCAGCATCATGAATTCTGGCATCCGTTCTTCGTAAGTGCTTCGACCTCACAATCGCCGCGAATATGGTCCGGTTCACGAGTGCCGCCGCGGGCTTGTCTCTTACCTCTGTTGCTCTGTCTTCACCTCTTCAGGGACAGCTGTATGCTCGCCAGAATGCATCGACTCCCTGTGCGCAGGTGAGTGCCTCTGTTGCGGCGCAGAAGTCCGTTGCGACTCCCACCGTCGCTGCGGAGCTGGCGTACGAGTGCATTACCTCGGTACCATTCAACCAAACTGCTGCTCTGGCCTTGGTTGATGGCGTTGTGCCTTACTTCAAGTGGCAGAGTAACACTGCTTTCTTGAAGGATCCACCTGTGGAGTACGCCGAGAAGGTCCAGCCTGCTGTCGACATCTGGGGCGAGCTCGAGAAGATTCGCGGCAAGGTTGTTGGCGGGCAGTACGGGAACGAGTTCGAGGTACGAAAGGAATAAGCAATGCCTTCAGAGACGCAGCTGCTGACCTTGCAAAGTTCGGTTTCGAGCTTTACATCCTTCTTCAGAGCACACACGACGGCCACTTCGTGTACGTTCCTGACGTAGTTGGCACAGTCTTCAACTACGCCCGCCCTGTGCCTCTTGTTTCGGTCTCTGCAGATGGAAAGGAGCTCCCCAAGGCGTACGTCTACGCAGACGTACTTGCTGAGTCGTTTGGCAACGCCACTTTCACCTCTTCTCCGATCAGCAAGATTAATGGCGAGGATGCTCAGGCTTTCTTGGAGAACTGGGCCCAGTACGGCTCGCTCCAGGACCGTGATGCGTTGTACAACAACGTATTCTACGAACTTGCGACAGTTTCTCTCGGTCCTTCTGGATCTGGTATCGGAACCTTTGCCGGTAGTGGTCGTGGCCGCTGGGTTTACCCGGGCGCAACGACCGAGCTCGAATTCGAGAACGGCACCAGTGTTACTTACAACAACTATGCAAAGGTCCTGATTCCCTTCACTGATATCACCGATGGAGAGTCTCTGTACAAGACTTGGTTCACCGGCAATCAGCCGGTTGCTGCAACACCTACACCTACTCCTTCCTCGAACATTACATCTTCTGCAGTCTCATCTGCGACTGCCTCTGCTACAGTCGCTCCTATTCCCGCTCCTGGGTACCCGCCACCAGTTGTCCGCGAGGCACACAACCTGATTGGAGGCTACTTCCTCGAGGACGACTACTCTGACGTTGCTGTCCTTTCTGTTCCCTCGTTCGTGGGTATCAGCGCACAGGAGGAGTTCCAGGAAACTGCTACCAGTTTCCTTGCCGCGGCGAAGGCTGCTGGTAAGAAGAAGCTCGTTATCGATGTCTCTGCTAACGGCGGCGGCACTATCCTTCTAGGATACGACCTATACAAGCTGCTCTTCCCCAATGACATCGACCACGCCGCGTCCGACCGCTTCCGCGCTTTCGAGAGCACTGACCTTCTTGGTCAGAAGATCTCTCAGGTCGCAGAGGGCCTGCCTCGCCAGCTTGTCACCGAGGAGCAGAACGAGACGCTGTACGAACTTACTGACAGTGTCGTTTCCTCAGTCTTCAACTACCAGTCTGATGTCTCTGTGAACGGCACAAACTTCGTCAATTGGGCGGACAAGTTCGGACCCATTGTTCACGAGAAAGGCGACAACTTCAGTGACCTCTTCCGCTGGAACCTCTCTGATGTCTTAACACCCCTGAACTCTGGAGGCATCTACGTCCACGGATACGGTCCCCTGAGCAACTACACTCAGCAGCCTTTCGCCGCCGAGGATGTCGTAGTTGTTACCGACGGTTACTGCGCGTCAACTTGCACAATCTTCTCTGAGCTCATGCGCCAGCGTGCTGGTGTCAAGTACATCTCTCTCGGTGGCCGCCCACGTGAGGGCATTACCCAGGCCGTTGGCGGTGTCAAAGGAACAAACAACTTATCATGGACCTACATCCAGTCCTTAATTCAGTACACGGTCAACAACCTGACTTCCAGCGCTGAAGAGGCAGTAAAGCTCAACAGCACAGAATTTGGCGAGTACTGGAGCGACACCGTCTTCGACCGACTTGCCATCGGCAGCTCAGTCAACATCAACTTCCGCGACGGTATCCGCGATGGAGACGAGACCTACACTCCCCTCCAGTTCGTCTACGAGCCATCTGACTGCCGCATCCTGTACACCAAGCAGATGACGGTCGATGCCACAGCCATTTGGAAGGCCGCAGCTGACTCGACCTGGGCTGGTAAGAGCCACTGTATTGCTGGAGACCTGGGTAGCTACCCTACTGGATCCAAGCTAGCTAAGAGGGAGTTGACCGTACAGGATAAGGTGCTTAGCAGGAGGATGCACCAATGGAGGAGGGAACTCAGAGAGCAGGATTACCCGCTCGATGTGTTCACCAACCTGCGCGAGGCTAAGCTTGGTGGCGATGGTATCATGTGGCCGTAAGGAGGCAGTGAGTCTGTTAGCTGTAAATAGTCGCTCGATGCAAAATCGATGGTTTATATCGAATTTCAAGTTTCTAAGTGCAGTCTTGACGGCTGTTGCCCTTGGTGCCTGACCCTTGACTGAGCACCCTCGTAGTCGATTCCTCCCTCGTGGTAGCGGATGTCGCCATTCTAGCTTCTGTGTAGTCGTCGTGTATTTGCTAGCTCATTTTACTCGCTCCCCGGAACTCGGATGAATCGACTCATCCTTCGATGGCCGCCGTCTCATGTAATACCGGAAGGCAGCCCTTGGTACCTTGTGACATTCTCACGGAGCACTTCCGGTATATGAACATTCTTGCCGCAACTGTGCGAGTCTGTTGCTAGGGCATCATTCTCTGCAAGCGCATCAAGGTCTACCCAGCGCATGGCATCGAACCCTCGAGTCGTTGTCAAGCGCATCGCCGCAAATAGAATGACGGGAAAATCCTTCGTACATTGCAAGACAGGAGGGCGGAGCAGCTTCCGGCGCTTGCAGACCTCTTAAAGGGCTTTAGAAGGGCCCAGGTCCGTGGAGCGTCACACTTGAAAATGCGTACAAAGTCAGTTCATTGATGCGACCGATGCAGCGATGCGTGCGGAGCCGGCAAGCCACTAGATATGGCAGGTGCGGTGGCGGATATCGTGAGATCTGTTCTTAGGAAGTCTGGGCCGCGGAGGGATGTGGACTGAGCACAACATGACCGCCATACCTAGGTATGGAGGGGCAACGGTTAAAACACCGCACCTTCATCGTGCGATCTCATGCCCCACTGAGAGCCGCGCACAACGGAAGTGTATCCTGACCAGTGAGAGCAATGTGAAAAGCTTCTACGGAGGAAAACGTTGGAGATCTGCACCACGGGAGCGAGGGAGATAATCTTCCACGCGCGCAGCACGTCTCCATCGTGAAGTGGAAATCAACATCGAGATTCTGAATCGAGATGGAGAAGTCAGCAGCAAAGCAGCGTGCGTATGCGCGTATCCACCACGGTCCATACGCGTTGATGTCGTCTTGACTTCCTCATTCGACGCGATCAAACGTTTCTGCATCACAAGTGCATCGCGCGGGCATCATGCCAGACACAAGGCTCATCCGAGCAGGCTTGCTGTTTGGAGGCGTGCGCGCGTGCGAGTGGGGCGCTCGATGGGATCGAGCGATGTCAGACACTCCACAGGGCGGGAGGTGTTCGATTCAGGGACCGCATCGTCGATGCTTGACAGTTCGCATTGTTTACCGAGCGCTGTTCGAACAGGGGTTTCGAGGAAGGGCCGAACGGTTAGTTATTCTTACCAGGCATATGACTTGCGGAGACGGGGAGAAGGTTTGAATGTGCTTGGTAAAACCCCGAGAGGGGTGGGTTTGGCATGAGACTTTGAAATCTCAGCTGAGATCTCGATGAAAGCATGGAGATTTGACTTTTGCATTACCGATAAGAAAAGTCGGCACGTCGATAAGGAACCTTATTACCGACGCACCTTTTTGGCCGTCACACCTTCAAGTCTCAAACCCAACCTCCCCAGCAGCAGTTTCACCGGAGCAAGGCCTTGCGCAGGATCGAAGCCTCAGGTGCGTCTCTGCATCCTGACTCGCTTTCATGTTTCTGTGCACGCGCACTGTGGAAAAAATCGACTTCATCCGCGCATCTCATCAGACTCACATATGACGCTAAACCAATCAATCAACCCGCGCATCTCAGAACTGCGCCTTCATCGACTTTTCAGTTTGCGCCCAAGCCACTTTGGACCCTGCTGACCGTTGATCTCAAAGCGCCAGGTCCCTGTCGGTGCGCGGCGCTGCAAAGTTGATCGACTGGATCTTGCCTTTGCAGGGTTAGATTACTGGCAATATCAGGCTAGGACGGGAAATCATTGCCGGATTCAAGGACATCGACTTTTGAAAGTGCATCGGCTTTGATGGTAAGGGTCAACCACCACGGATCGTTGTGGGTCGCAGACGGGACATAGATGCGATAGGGCAGGTGGTGTTGCAAGTGCCGTGTGCTTGAGATTGATGGTTGTAGTCACAGATGTTTGCGGCTAAAGTTTTCCTTTGATTGAGTGTTGCACCGATGCCTTATCGCAGGATGTTTCAGGCTGGGAATAAGGATATGTTGTGAAAATGTAAGACGTGTTGCGCTGTATAGTTGTGCGCTGCGATCAGAAAGACCATGTTCTCCCGAGAAGATCATATTTGCTTTTCTAAGTCATATTATTAGTGGGATGCTTATGGTGGTCAGCCCCAAACCAGATAAACCCGAAGATCGTCGGCCACGAGCCATCGAAAGGAGAACACGAGTCAGTATACATATACGAAAAGTTAATGCGCAAGACAAAGGTTAGCGCCAATAATATTCGGTCTCACACCATCATTCGGGTATAATGGGAACAATGTGCGGTGGTGAACGATTCCATTGGTGTCTCGAAAAGGCTGAGCAAGAAGTAGTGACGCTCAATGCGACGGGTATCATATCTTTAAACTGAAGAAAAATCCAAGCTGCCTCAGCACCGTGGTGCAAAGACTTGCTTCATCCACCTCTTGTGCCACCTAATAGTGACTGTCCTTCATTGCATCCTGTGCAAGTAACCTTCCATGATGCCTGCTGCGCGGTGTTCCATGTTCATAGCTTTGCGCTGGTTGAGAACCAATCCATTCCAATCCTGTTTTCCGCAGTCCACTTGAAGGGACTTCAAACATGCGGTGATAGTGCGCCGGTGGTAGCAATGATGCTAAATGTGCTGAGTGACATTGATTTCAATGTCGCGACCAATGTCGTGAGGTGGGACTGTAGGCTGGTTTGACCAAAGGTCGTGTAGTGATGTCGTCCATGGAGAGTTTGGATGTGGGAGCAACAATCAAACCGAATGTTAGTCTTTCAACCAGCACTGTAGCCAACCATCTTGGCGCAGTGGCTGCAGTAGTAAAGATTGGTGCCAAACTGGAACATGCCGGAGTGACCGTGAGACTCGCGGCGGCAACGGCAGCAGCAGAGTGGGTTTGATGGAGAACCGGAGATGCTGCTGCGCTGGGACGACATGCTAGAGTTGGAGTTGCTCGGCGAAGGGCTGCCGACAGGCTGGAGTGGCTGTGTAGAAGGTCGATGGGCAGCTTGGGTTTGCAGTTGCAGCAGACGTGAAGGGTCGGCACCAGGGCTCGCCATAGGTAATGATCTATGGGCTAAAAGTGGATTCGTAGGGCTGGCCCATGTGTCTGAGGAGTATTCAGAGTAAGGTGATGGCTGAGGTGTTTCGTCCGAATAATGGGAGGTGGACACAGGTAATGTAAAGTAGCAGGAGGGTGGAGGTCCTAAGGGGTGCAGATCGTTCATTATGCCTGCGCGGCTGTTGGTGATATGACGGGCTTGGTGATCAGGGCGATCGTGAATACCGAGGAGCACGAACAGCGGACCGTAGGCAACTTGATATACATACATGTGCCTACGATCGGGCGATGCAATCGCGTGGGCCATTCACAGAGCACGGAAGGGGCGGCCCACGGAGCTCAGCTGATTGGCACGCAACACCCTTGGGCGTTCGGGGCGCTGAGTGCGCAGTTTCTGCCTTCGGAGTTTTGGAAAGAGCACTCTCGGTGCGATCCTAAACAAAAGGCGCAACCCAGCCAGTGCGTCCCCACTTTCGGCCGATACTAAAGGCTTACGCGATCTACCTGCGCGCCTCAGACACCGGTCGCTGTGATGTGTCTCTGCTGACTCCGCACCCAGCTTGGGTTTGCTGGGCAGCCACACAGCTTGCGAATACTGTGGCCGCAGTTAAACGAGTGAGCCCTTAAGCGCTTGGGCTGCCTCAGATCAGGCGTTCCTTTACGCTGCCCAAGCCTGCCAACGCGTCCTCGCATACTTTCAGCTTCCGGTCACCGAGTGCTTCATCTCCTCAGCAACCATGACGCCCCCTTACACTGACTGCACGCTACAGACGCATGCCGGATCCCGCGACTGTTTGCTGGTCTGTTTGCGGGCCCGTGACTCGCAGCAAGTCATCGTTGTCTAAACGGCCCGCGCCGCTGGGATGGAGAGGTCGACCCGTCTAGAACGCGAGACACAGACCCAACGTTCACTGCGACACTCGCACTGAGCCAACACCGGCAGAGGAAGTCAATCTGGGATCGCTGAAAACCGAGCACCAACTGCCGCTAACGAACATCTGGAATCGGCATCTCAAATTGCCATGATCTAGAGAGTTCTGCACCAGGAAAGACAAACTGCTTTCATCAAGGCCTTAGACCTCCATCTGCTCGGACGTTTGCACCGACGGCCATTTCCTCCGCGCTCCAAACCCCAACCTCTACCCCGTACATTGCGGCCCTACGGCTCTTGCTCGGTCCTGCGTGGGAACGCGCTCAAGTCTAGATGGATGTTACACACATGGAGGCGTCGAGGGCAGTGAACGACTGGAAGACTGTGCAAACATCACACGCGGTGGCTCGTAAGGTGTGGCTGTTCTGGACCAGCCCTTTAGGGCCTGGGGCTGGTGACTAACTAATACTGCAATTGTAGCTGAATTCTACAACAATTGTCACGATAGCCGTTCCAGGTTTGCTGTATTCGGTACAGGGGAAAAGTATCCAGATCGAAGCTTTGATACACCCAACGATGCGCAGAGAGCTCCGACTTGAGGTAGTTGCCACAAGAACCGGATATGCTTCCCCTCTCCCACAACCGAATCCTGCATGGCGAATACGCATTTCCAAGGAAGACTGCTGCGGAGAGTTGTCTGGGCCTCTGCCTTAAGATCGTTGCGCAGGGTGACAGGTAATAAGTGTACCAAAGGTGCACTAAATCTTGAAACTATTCTCTTTGTTAAGAAAAGGACCGATCAATAGCCCCAACAACAGCACATGGCGACTAGCTGAGACTTATCTACGTGCATATGCAATGGTGGCGAACGTGTGGCGGTTCCGTGGATCTTGGGCTCAGATCGGAGGGACCCTGAATTCAAATGAAGGTGGAAAGTCGGAGTTGCCGGCCATCGAGAGATTCAATCACTCCGAGTCCTTTGCACATGAGGCTGGCAGTATCACACAATAGCCATGAGTTGATATCACCGGTTTACCAAGATCAAGCTATCCAATCACCAAATGCTTCATCTCGTACGCAAACAGCCCTTTGTCTTCCTCTTCCGAGTATGCTCAACAGACTCAGCACCAGCATCCCAACAATAGCCCGCAGTAAACGATCATCGTATCTCTTCCAGATACATGGCCGTGGAATGTGATGCTCGTGTTCCTTCCTGACGAGACTAGCGTCAGGTACTTCCCCGCGAGCTGAGCTCAGGTGGACATCTTCGATTGCTCGCTCTCGATCATGTGCGTGCACGGTGCGCAAGTGCGGTCTCAACAGCTTGAGTACTTGTACTTGACCTGAGCCTCTCCTGCCGTTGCTTCTCATTTCCTCAAGCCGCCATGGTGTTGTTGAGCAGCCTCATGCACCAAGCGCCGGCGCAATGCGCGGTTGCATGTTGGGTAGGCATGTGCAACTGCTCGCATTGGGGCCAATGGTCCGGTCAATCAGGAGACGGCCGCAGGCCTCAAATTTGACAACCATTACACTGCCTGGTTGAGAGCGCGCACAGGCCTGTTCGAAGGATTTCCATCCCTCATTTGGGATTTGAGGTTTGCACGATACGTCACTTATCGTGGGTTATCAAAACCCAGCTTAGGTCCGCCCCACCAACGCTTGCTTGCCACAACCCCTCCACTTCGTCCTCCAAAAATCACCTTACCCATTCCACGCGCCGCCAACATGGGAAAGCCACCGAACCTATACGCCTTCAAGAACGTCGATGAGCTCGCTCCGAGCCTGCGCGCATATGTGCTCGATGCGCAAAACACCGCGATCGAGCGTCACAACGTTTTCCGTGTCGCAGTTTCTGGAGGCTCTTTACCCAAGACCCTTGCGCAAGCGCTGTTGAAGGAGACAAATGGCGAGGGGAAGCCTCAGTTCGACAAGTGGGAAATCTTCTACGCCGACGAGCGCGCCGTGCCCCTCGACCACGAAGACAGCAACCACAGGCTTGTGAAGGAAGAGCTTTTGGACAAAATCCCGGCTGAGCAGGGCACGCCCAAGGTCTACCCCATCGATACCAAGTACCTTGACGACGTTCAAGAATTAGCCGACCAGTACGAGAAGACACTTGTTAGCGTCTTTGCTGCACGAGACAGTGTCAAGCTGCCCCTCTTCGATCTGCTTCTGCTCGGTTGCGGGCCGGATGGCCACACCTGCAGCTTGTTCCCAGGCTCTGACCTCCTGCGGGAGGAAGACGCTTGGGTTCTGTACATCTCCGATTCTCCGAAACCCCCGCCCAAACGGATCACAATCTCCCTCCCTGTTGCGCAAGCTGGACTCAAGATCGCCTTTGTAGCGACAGGCGCTGGCAAGAAAGACATCATGAAACAAATCTTTGACTCTGATGAGGGACACCAGCTGCCGTGCGGTTTGGTCAACCACAAGGGCGAAGGGCGAGTCAGCTGGTTCGTTGACTACCCCGCCATTGAGGGCGTAGCGTTCCCAGCTCGCCGTGGCAGCCTTTAGATTGCGGAGCATGTCAGTCGTGCATGTCGCTGGGTTTCTTTGGGTTGAGATTGGAAGGTCGTTCACTCTGCATGCTGTGAGCCTACGATTAGGTACTTTCAGAGCTTTCGTTTGTGCTTTCGCGATGTAGACCCACCACGGCGTGGAAGGATCACCTCTCGAAGTAAGCATTGGGCCAATCGCTCACAGGTTAGACACGAATAGATCACGAAATTTTTCATTCAGAATGCTTTCTGTTATGTTCGCCTGCAGAGTTGCGAATTGCAAGAGCGCAAAATGTCCGTGCACGGTGCTGAATAAGCCTACCTAGCAACCGCGTGCGCTGTTTGTTTCACATGCATGAACCCGTGAGCCGCTCCGAAGCAGCCACTACACCCGCTTTAGGTATTGCCCTATACCTCTTCCAGTACCCCTAGCTCGTTGCAGATACGATGGATCAACATCACAGCGACGTTGTTAACGAGATCTCGCCTTTCTCAACCCAAAGCAGTGCCAGACTGAAGCGGCGCAGTCTTCTTCCACAACCTGGAACAGCGAAAAGCATCCATCGCTCAGTGACACTCTCAGAAGCGCCCAGAGATCGTGTGAACGACAGTCAGCCCAGTATGAGTGCAGATGAATTACCGAAGCCAGCTACTTCGATACCTTTGGCTCGAGGCACCTCGGTTACCGGCTCAAGGTTGGGACGACTTCGACCACGTTCGACATATCAGACAGGATCTGCCCCAGCAGACAAACGTACTGAGCCTGAGAAACCGACAGCATCACAATCTATGCGACCACCAAGCCTGCTAAGCAAGCCTTCAGCAACACCGTCACTAGGTTTTGGGCGAACCCAGTCCTTGCGCAGACCAGCTGCTGTAGCACAGTCTGATCTATCAGCGTCTAATATGAGTCACTCGCGTACTCAGTCTACCAGCACCGTGCCACTCGCTCGAAGCAACACGACAAAACCCAGAATCACCGCGGAAAGACCAAAATCCGTGCATATTCCTTCGGGTACCATCGCTCAGGCCAACAGCAACTCGATACAGCCAGAATCTGCGATTACGAGGACATCCACACGTCTTGCTGGCATGGGCCGGTCAGCAAGTGTGAGGACAAGACCAGATGGAGCGAGTGGTGGTTTGCGACCCAGAACGGCAACAAAACCCGAAGAGTCTGGCCCTCCGCAGGCAAAAGCCAAAGAACCAGTAAAGGAAGAACCCAAGAAAGCGGCTCGCCCGGCATTCAGCACTTTGCAGCAACACTTCACACCACGCAAGGCAAGCAAAGCACCGACTGCGACATTCCTCCATCCGGCCCCAGTCGCGACAAGTAACAGCCTGCCGCCTGAGCTAGTCAACCTACAAATGGATCTTCTCCAGCTACACCTGCTACACGAGAGCGCTGCAGAGATTAGCAGGCATTGGGAGATGAGCGTCAAGCGTGGGCTGCGTCGAAAGTTTGACGAGGTCGCCAGCATGTACCAGGTCATGCTGGAGCATGAGCGCTCTGGTCAAGAGCAGAAGAACCTCCAAGCTCTTCTCGAATGGACTGGAGACAAGACATCTGCCAGCTTGGTCGAACATATCCAAGTGCTTTCAGGGCCACTTCATAAACTTCCGTCCTTAGTTCAGACAGGCGGTCGATTCCAGCGCCATGTAGGTGCTTTCGAACAGTGGGTGTCCTGGGTGGAGGAGGTTCGAGCAGCACGTCAAAGACGATATGAAGGTGGCTTGAGATCGATCGAAGGCCTTGGAGATGCGTGGAAGGCAGAGAATGCCGCGCTTATGCGCATATTGACCTCGTTTGCACGCGAATTGAGTGGTCTGTCTCAACCTACTGCAGGGTCAACTATCGCATCTATCGTTGGTTGCTGCGAGAGTTTGCTGGATGGGCTTTTGGAGGAGCTTCGAGTCATACGGACAATCGAGGCAGATGTAGTGTCGAAAGAGAAAAAGTGGGTGGAGACGCGCCTGCAAGGTATTGCAGCAGACATTGGCTCCTTTCTGGTTGACGATGCTCCAGCCTGGCGGATATGAGCAGGCGCGCCCTCGAGTGCGTTGAATTGGAACAACCACGGCTAAGTTCTAATACATGTCGATGTCTGATGTCTGCAATACTCGCAATCCGTAGTGTTCATGCACATATTTCTTATTAAGCCGCTTTTCCCGTAGGCTGCACAGGTGTGGTTGACAGCTCCGAGAAACCAGATGATGACCACTCATCCATCTTGGACTCAATGCTTGACGAATTTGGGACGAAAACCCTCCACCTAATTGAGAACCCGGAACCAGGCTGTGGACAGTGCTCTCCACGATGTCAAAGTTGCGATACAAGGATAAGGCGTTTTCTTGGTAGCTAAACAGACCTTGGAGGTATTCAGGTTGTCTGCTGATGGAGGAGTAGAGTTACAGTTGATTGTTTAGTCCTGGCTTTCTCGATCGAATGAGAACAGCAAAACATCATCATCTCTGGGACGTCATGCTGGTTTGCAGGCAGAAAATTCGGTTCCATCCCTGTCGTGTCTTGTTTGAGCTAATTAACAAAACCGTCGCTTTCACTATTTGTCTACCATCTCGAAACCTTCAGTGAACACGAGATTGCATACGTCACGCCTGCTGTTGTTGCTGCTCACCGCACCTGCCTTCTGCTAAACAGCAAACGCGCTTGCTCTCACTTCACCTCACCTCGATCACCTCCCGCCATCACTAAGTTATGCAATCGAACACTCTCCCACCAACCTATGAATATTCCCATCAAAGCACAGCGAGTACCGCTATCACACATCCTACCTGGCAAGCATGTCGAAGCTCGAAGAACTGCTGCGGCCACACAGCATTGAGGCGGTATGTGCAGCAGACCGCGCTGATGGCAAGAGCTACATCCTTATCGATGTCGGCCGCGACTCCAAGGGCCGTGCAGTCCCGTCTCTCGAACGACTGAAGCGAAAGGTCGATAAGTGTCTCGTCACCGACAAGAAGCACGTGTTTGCAGCGACAAAGCTGTACATCATCGGTGACTGGAACGCCGCCGAGCCAGGCGAAGGGCAGAATGAGGTGAGTTAGGACTATCTTAGAGGTCCACAGGGTATCGTACTGACGTACACTGCAGAGGAAAAAGACACTTGCGGATGCGCAAGAGTGGAAAGATGGTGTCGACGCAATCCGCGACCTTATTAAGGCCATGGGCAACTTGAAGGAGCTAATGCGAGTGTAGAATCTCTGTGAGCTAAACCGAGTACTAACTCATCGCCTGTAGATGGACATCCGGTTTACCGTTCATGGCCTCCGTCTTCACCGAACTTCCTCCAAAGTTGACAAAGTTGGTTCTGGATCTTAGCCACCATGTCCGTGTTGTTGACAACGGCGCGACCTTGACAAAGTTGCACATTCGACCCGAGGATATGAAGCCGCTGCTGAAACAGACAAGGCTGCTGGAGCTTCGCCTTTTAGGTCTGAGAGACTCGCTGCAGTTCATTGCATGGAAGACGGTCTACCTGAACCAGCTCCCTGGGGGTATGCGCATCCTAGAGCTACAGATGAACGCCATGCCTATCATCCGCAACAACAACAACAAATGGCACATGGCCTTAGATGTGCGCGGCTTGACGGTGGCGCAGCCTGGTTTGCTCGAGAAGCCTTACAAGTGAGTGAGGCACCAACGACATCAAGAATGAAAGTTAATACCCTCCAGAGGCCAAGATGGCAAAGGTGGTCTTCACTGGAGCTTTGGGTATGGCGAATATCTTGACGGCGACTGTATTCGTAAGGCGAGAATAGCGTCTGGTGTGGAAGAAGCAGTACCTCTTCCATTGCAGTAAGTCTTACGCCCTCTTTGTCGCAGACGGGGATCGCTGACCACAGTATGACAGGTGCCTCATGCTCGATGGTTTTGTCATTGACCACCTCCCGTTCGAGCACGAACTCACGGATATCGTCCTGCTCGCTTGCGGTGAAAAGTGTATCGATGCCGGCATGCGAGCTCCCAAGACCCAAGCCGAACCATACAACCCCTGGAGTAAAAAGGTCAATGACGCTGCCTGCCGCATCCTCATACAGTGGCCGAACTGGACCGGCATTTTCGATACCGAAGGCGATCAGCGCGACACGCACGGCGATGTCGTCTCTCAAGAAGCTGGCCTATCGACGCCGTACGCGGAGTATGCACCTTTACCACCCCCACAATTGCCACTCACGGAGAAGACGCTCAACATGAAGGATGTGGGCGACGCACTCAACAATGCTACGAAGCCCGACTATTTCAACATTCAGCCGGCTCTTCTGCCTCTATCAGGCACTGATACACCTCTCGGCGCTGTGTCTAACCTCTCCGAGCGTGGTTCTGAGGTCCCAACTCCGACTGCGCTCTCCATTGCGACGACCGATGAGATCCGCGCTGTTGACGGTTCGATCACTTCCGGATCAGGTTCAGCAGCCAGCTCATACATCCTGCACGCCAACGGTGCCAGCGACTCCACGCCGGAGATCTCACCAATCTCACCAAGCTGCAACAGCAGTTTCGAGAATGACGGCCCACCTCGCGGTCATAAGGTAAGGAAGTCTTTGTCTGATAGCTACTGGGTTCTTGGTCCTTCTTGATTGCGTTGCACTCGACTATCGATATCGGGCTGACACAAGGAGTGAGGAGGTGTAGAAGTGAAATGCTAGTCAGGTAGCTTCACTGTTCTATACACCTCTCTTTCGAATTCTAGGATATATAGACCACTGCTTATTCTATCCGTTCTATTGGTGGGGACAGCTTCGGTGGCACGTCTTCGGGTGTACCATGGTGCTGAGACATCATTTGGATTGGTACCACAAGCTAGACGCGGGATTTGTACGTTTCCGCATCCCTAGGTATGCCAATGGCATTAAGTATGGAATCAAGCTTGCCTTGTTGCGAGCGCAATACATCCCACTCCTCTTGATGCTTGACCATCATCGTGCCTCCAAGCGTAGTGCCATTGAGAGCAACGAAGCCAATCTCACTGCCATCGGGACGTTTGAGCATTGTGCCTTCAGATCGTCGGGGCAGAACCACCATGCCCTCTATCGTTATTGCCAGGTTGTAACTTATGGGTGAGTCACCTCCTTCGGTGGAGTGCAGAGCAGACTCGCTCGGTCTCTTTGCTATGAAGTCGTTGACCGCATCTTTCGCTTGGCCATACAGCTCCTTGTAGATGCTGAAGAGCTGCTCTCCGGTCGGCTCGGAATCGAACTTTCGGCCGAAATGCGCGAACGGAATGTTTGGGTTTCGTAAAGCGCGTGAAGATGTACCTGTCGTTTGTCTCAGCAAGCGGTTCTGCCAGCTACATACGTATGCTCCATGCCAAGCTTACCTGCGCTCTCCTCGCCCGTCAAGATCAGATCGATCAGCAGATCCCACCCGTTCGCCGCCTCTTTGTCGCGCATATGCTCCACAGGCAAGAACTGCAAGTGCCTATGCGGCTGACTCGCACCACTGTAATCGCCAGAATTGAAGAACGCAAACAAACGCTTCTGCTCGCTGTCCTCGCTCCATGCCTTCAAGCAAGCGTACGTCGCCTCCAGATCATCTTGTTCTAGAATGTGTGTTTGCTGCTTGTTCGTTTTTGTTGCGAGGATGAAGTGTTCGGCGATTATGGGGAATTTGTTGAGCACGAGGAGGTGTGTTGGGTTTGTTGTGGGGATGTCGATGATGTGGAGGTCGGGCGAGGGATTGTCGAAGGGGTCGAAGTGTTTCTTGGGTGTTGGGGTGGGCGCTTCGAGTTTGGGGATGGGTTTCTTTGCCAGGGAGGGGCAGTAGCGGAGTTGGAACTGGGGAGTTGTTAGTAAGGGCGAAGGTACATGTTGGTGTCGCACAGGTACTTGCTGGAATGCCGGTGGATGTGCGGATGATTGAGAGCTCGGTGGGCGAGCATAGCAGGCTTGAGGATGCTTTTGCTGTTGTGAACTTAGCTTCCACCAGGCTTGGTAGTGATTCTGTGAGGCCTAGTAACATCTTCCTAGACATGTGAAGGTGCAATGGGTGAGAGACGAACAGAAGTGACGCAGGAACACCCTCAAATTGTGGGGAAGGAAGCATGGGCCACACCCGCTCATGCATCTTTCCGGGACATTACTCTTCAGTCTCATCCCACCACGAATCGCAAAACCACGCAGAATCATTACACACACCTCTCGAATACTCAAATTTATTGTGAAACTGGTATCTAAGAGCCGTATACGCCGAGAGTCCCTCCTGGAGCTACGAGAATGGAGCAGCCCGTGCCTTGCGGCCATGCGTATATAATGTCCTGCAATATGCAAGGTGTGGGTATGCAAAAGGAAAGAGCAGGAAATATGCCAATACACGGACTGCCGATACAGGATCGATGAGTGTACAGAAGGTTGATGAATGGAAAATCGAAAAGTAGGCCGAACGCCAAAGGTACCACTTTGATGAGAAAGTGAAGAAGACCGCCCAAGTGGACCCGAAAACCAGAACGCCATCAGCAAAATATGGTTAAGAATACCTCGAAATGTTCAGCGCACATGTCGTGTTTCTCTGCGCTCGATTGCCAGAAGGAGGACAATCGACTTGAGAGACTGCCGAAGGCCTTCAGGGTTGGGTACGGATCCCCGAGCCCGATGTGCTCGTGGAACTCGAAACGATCAGGCCTTGCTGCGTCGACGAGACGACCGAATCGAGGCAGAGCGTGTGACTTCAACCCACTTCTTCTTCGCCGTGGCAGCACCAAACTTGTACGTTCCGCCAGTCGTTGCGATCAATTCGACGATCTTCATCCACGGAACCTTGTCTGGCTTCTGCTTCGTCTCGAGAGAGGGCTGTATTACGTCAAGCTTGTCGAACTCTTCTTGCACATAGCGTTTGAGCAAGGCGATCTGTATCTTGGTCAACAAGAGAGCCTTAATCAAAACTCGGAACACTTACATCGATCTCGGTCCACTTCGGAGCCCGGACACGGTGATTTCTGGGCTTGGTCAAGGATCGATAGCGACCACGAAGAGTGGATTCGGCGACCTTGCGACCGAGCGCTTTGCGGATGTCCTTGTACGTGTAGCCATCTTGCTTCATCTGAAGCAATATCTCATCGTCCTTCGCGCGCTGCGCCTTCTCGTTATCAGTGAGAGGCGTCATGAAGCGGGTCTGGAAGTGGCTCTGTCCAGGGACAGCACTCTTATTGCTCCACTGGGCTTGTCGCTGCCGTGAGTTGCGATCGAGAGGCGCCAGGAAAGAGTTGGGACGGCGGTCAAATGGCAGCGTATCTGATTGCTGATGCTGGGAGCCTCGAGCAACTGAAGCCTTCTCATCCGTATAGCCAGTGAGGTACCATGGCGTCATGCCTGGGCTGCTGCTCTGTGAGTGCTCGTATGAATGCTCTGAGCCATACAGTGTCACATCGTCATTCTGCTCGACTACATTGCTCATGAGGAATGGTCCAGCAGGTGTCATGGGGGGTCCGAAGCCGTTCTGTATGGCAGCACTTCCTGACTGTTGTCGGATCACTGATTGCGGTGTGGGCGGTGCAAAGCCGGGTGATGAGGCCTTCATTGCTCCAGGTGACATCGTGTAGCTCGCTGAGTCGCGGCTGGGTGTAACCGGACTGCAGTCTGGTCCAGGGCTGTACGTGTGCTTCGCGTCGCTGAAAGGGCTGACTGGCGAAAGTAGTATGTCTGCGCTTGGACTGGGCGTCATGTTGTTCATGCTATTCGAGGTCCAGAATGTCGATCTGCCGAGATCCATGGGCTTGTTCAGTGCATTCTGTAGCGCGTGGTGGCTGTACAGCAAGTGGTTATTTGTGAGCATCGAGTCGTCCGGTTCCGCCATTACGAGCGGCTCGCTGGGTAGTCCTGTCCAGATCATGTCGTGGCCGGACGCCGGGAGCCGTCCCCACAGCTGGTTCTGTGTGGATATCGTACTGCTCGACATTGCCTGCGGCATCGGCCACTGCGACTGTGACATATGGGGCTCCGATCTGAAGGGGCTTTGCTGCCTCAAAGTCAGGGCTTGCGAGGTGACAATTGTCTGTTGTACTTACGAGAAGCGGCTGCGCCATTGATCCTTCAGGCAGCAAGGGTGCAGAGCTGTTGAGGTCGTATGCAAACCGCGATTGAGGCTGCGGTGGGGAAGCATAGAGCCCGTTGGGGTCATAGTACTCTTGTACTTGAGCCATGGCAGCACGTGCAGCGGATGCGCGCTATGGTACACTTGGGAGCCAATAATGAAACAACAGGTCGGAAGCCACGCGTGAATGTCAACAACAAGGTGACAGGTGGGCGAAGTCGGCGTGAATGTGGGTGAGGTGGGGTGGAGGGACGGGCGCAGGTACGTCAGTTGTCCAAGGCGGGAAATGGTGCTATTTGTCGAGTGAACGACACCGCTTCACAGGCCAGCGGTCAGATTGCGGCCGCCCAATTAGCTCGAATCGCAGGTCCAACAACACGCAACTCGATTATCACGGACAAGTCTTGGGAACCGTGAATGAGGGAGAGGTGGGGAGATACTGAGACCAGTCTCGGTATCTATATGGTGCAAAAGTCAAGGTGCACAGGGAGCTGAGTCGACGCATGTCAGTGCGCTAATTTGGCGTGTATATGTGAAGACACCTTACCAGCAATGCCACGAGAGTGCGGAATGACCAAGACTGAGTCCGGCTGTGCAGGCAATGCTCGCTTGAATAGGTACAAACAAACTTGGAGAGGTCCACGAAGTATCTTGTGGGACAGCCTTTGGACAACGACTGGAAACGCACAACCAGATCGACAAGGCAAAAGAACAGTGTAAAAGGATGTCGAAGCTACCAAAGGAGAGGCCAATCACGATGGTATGCCGCCTTCACCGAGGATGTGGCTTTGGTTAAATCCAAGACAGCACCTCCACTTTCATCATGGTATCAAGCTCGTTTGAGCATCCCATGTCTTCTTGCGCGGCAGCGGAAGCAAAGGTCTGAGCGTCTTCCGAGGTACACTTCCATGGCTATCCTCAATTCCAGCAACTTTGGTACCGGCACGGGAAGCTCTCTGCACTGATTACACCCTGGTCTTCTCATTGGGACTGCGGTCCGGCGCAGTACGGCCAACGTTCCGAGAAGCAAGCATAGCCTCTGCCAACATACAGTATGGCAGTGACAACAGCCCTAGATTATCAACGTGGCTTGCTTGTGGTATGAGATCTATATGCTCAGCCTTGCGAACAGCACGGCGCCTGTGGACGTATCATCACCTACCAGCTAAGCTCGAGCCAGAGAAGCTTGCTGCTCTGGTGCTAGCTGAGCTGTCATCTCGTCTTCTTGTTTGACTGACATGCAGAAGCGAGCGGGAAGGTGCTCTCTAGCGCCTTGGCATGCTTGCCTTCATCCCAGTTGCGAACGAGGAAGAGTTGAGCAAGCGTGACTTGCGGCTCTCGCAAGATGATCCTCCCGCTCTGCAGTGGAAAAGCTCCTTACGGGCTGGCCCCTGGTCAACATGCGCTGTAGATCTTCGCGGCGCTTGTACACCACTGCAATCGAACATCCGTCGTTGCGGCTTTGCTCCACACTTCTCGCCCGTAACGCTTTCACTCGGTCTACTATCGGTACGGCTCATCCGATAGACTCCGCGTCTTCTATCTGCGACCTTGGGGAGGAACTCTGCGCTTGTCGCTACTAACTCAGGCTCACGGCTACCTACTCCATGGACCCTCAGTGTCGACACTGACCAATCAATCACTAATCCTGAAGGAGACACAGGGTCTACGGATAGCAGTCCCTTGCCTCTGGAGCGGCTCGTGGCAGCGCTGTCAACCACCTGCAGCCATCTGCAGCCAAAGCAAGGCCTGGTGGTACAGAACGTGAGACACGGCCGTAGCCCGGCCAGCTCGTCCATTCAGTGGCTGGCGGCAACAGCCTGACAGGAGATGACAGCTCGCGTAGTCTTCCTTGCAGCGAGAATCTGGGGAAGCCGCTATCCGTCCGGCGGGATCACGTTTCACACAGTGCATATAGATGCCTGTCGTCGTTGGTAGCACGAAACGGCCATCATGCAGCATGCAGTGCGCTGTATGCACAAGTCGTTCGAGTACACTGCTAAGAAAATCTCACCAGACTATTCTAGTAAGAAACTACGACAGACAGCGGAAGGAGGCATGAATGGAGTGCTTAGTGCACGTAGTACGATAACTAGGCCCGCAGCTTCCTGCGAGCCTGATCGCCAACCCCAATCATTCCCACAAAGCAACCCTCTGCGACTTTCCGGATTGCATACGTCTTCTCTTCCTCAGATACTGGCTTTCGATATTCCCACATGTAATGGAATCTAACATAGCATCATTGTCCCCCCCCCCCCCCTCCACACCAAAATATGGATTCTCGTTTGATAGCTTCCATGCGAACTTGGTTCGCATCATCTCAAACGCTTTCCCCGTCCGCTGGCGCCGACACCCTACCTGACACGGATCGACCCGCAATAAACAAGGAATGAGATTGGGCTGTGGCGTACCTGTCACTTCCGAAGAAGGGATCTTCGGCTCCTTTCTCTATTGCACACCCAGAACCACGGGCATCCGAAGGCACCCCGGTCGAGGGCCCCCTTCGTGTCATCCTTATGTCGCTGCTTGAATGGGGCGCTGTTTGCTGATGATATTGTCGTCTTTACCTCCTCGGAGCTGAAGCGCGATTGAAGTGTCTCGGCAAGCATGTCAGGTACACTGACGTCTTTACTGTTCTTCCACATTGCCTTGAAAATGTCAAGGAAGGTGGAAATGAAGAGGTTCGGATGTCTCTTTGACGAAAAACAGAGCACCTTGCGGCAGGAGAGACAGGACTGGGAAGGAGTCTGGCGTCTTCACATCTTCTGCACCGAAGTATCGCTTGCTCGCGCGCTGTCAGCCGCTGTAAGCTGCCTTAACGGGAAGCGTCTATGGTGGCTTATTGCTTGTTCATGCAAGTCAAGTTGGGATCAAGGCACACCCCAGTCGCGATCGTACTGGGTCAACGGAAGGGGAAGACGTACGGCTGCCGACATTCATGCTGCCAAGAAAGACTGGGACGATGCTTTTCCCGGTCAATTGTTGGCTACGAAGTGGTTCGATGGGTTTCAAGTGGTAGCGTGCAAGTGCCTTGAATGACGCACGCAATTGTCTGGGGAAAATAGGACTTACTCGATCTCTACATTGTGCGTTGCAAGTGTTTCTCTGTTTTCCTCAAGATACAGTAGTGCAAAGTAGGAGTAAGGTGACACTGTCAAGGTCAGCTCACAGTTCAAGGCTGACTTAGTGTACTTGTAACAGCCCAGCGTACCGCAATCCAAATAGCACATAGTCTTGCCAGACATGTTCGCGATATCGAAAATGGACAAGTGAGCCCTTTCTCGATTACTTTGTCGGTCTTATATTCAAATGTTGTTTGCAGGCTGCACAGACCTTGACCATCCTGTGATCGTTGTGGACCGAGGTCCAACATTGCTGCAGCTCGCAGCTTTGGCGGTTTCTGTCCCAATCAGTAATCATCAACCACCACCACACCTCCAACACGTAATGCATGCATGCCGAGCGGTCTATATACTAACCTTGCGAGCAGGAGCTGCAATGAGACCTCGAACATCGCCTGCTGGAGGCTGAAAATATCTGTCTGAAAGCATTCCCTCGTTACTCCCACCAGCAATCGACCAGCATGGCACCTCCGCCCGGCATGTCTCAGCAGAACTACTCGTTTACATTGATGCTTCTCGAGCAAAAGCACAAACGTCTGTTACGTATAGCGCGCGATGAGCTCGAGAAGTCAGGCACATCATCGACAGATGCAGATGAATCAGCTCTAGTCATTGCTAAAAGGGAAGCGGAGGTGCAGAAGCAGGTTGCTCTTGTTGTTGGCGCATCGCGAGGCATAGGTCGACAAATAGCCATTGACCTAGCAAAGGAAGGATACGCAGGTACACACGCCCGTGTTCTGGAATCTAGCACCGTGGGCAAGGCTAACACATTTGCAGTCGTTGTAGCAGCTAAGAGCACATCGAACGCTTCCACCACCTCACCCTTCCCGCCAGACCCCAACTCCTCCGCCTCCACCATCTCGACCGTCGAACGCGAGATCCACGAAGCCGGCGGCACCGCAACCGCACTCCCAGTCGACACGCGCAACATCCCCTCCGTCAACCTCCTCATCTCCTCCACCGTCGCCCTCTACGGCCGCATCGACGTCCTCATCTACAACAGCGGCGCAATATGGTGGTCAAGCATCCAAAACACACCCTTCAAGCGCTTCCAGCTCATGCAACAAGTCAACGTTGAAGGTCTCTATGGGATTGTACAAGCCGCGCTGCCACAATTCGAAAAACAAGGATGGAAAGGCAGGATCATTGTCGTCAGTCCGCCAATCTACTCGCGGTTTTTTCGGGGCAAGGCGGCATACGCAATGGGCAAAGTCGGCATGTCGGTGCTGACGAAGGGGCTGGCTGTGGATTGGGAAAGGGAGGGGAAGAAGGATATGGCGATTACGAGTATTTGGCCTGCTGTGGCGATTCAGTCGGCTGCTACGCAGAATGTTGAGGGTGAGAATTTGCAGGATTTGAGGAAGCCGACGATCTTCTCGGATGCGATCTTGGAGATGTTGAGGAGTGAGCCGGCAGATGTCAATGGGTGCTTGGAGCTAGATGAAGACTTTCTGAGGAAGAGGGGGTATAAAGATGAGGACTTTGGGAAGTATAGTCTGGTACCAGGGGCAAAGCCGAGGAGGATCATGCCGAAGGAGCTGCCTGACTTGAGGGTTGCAGAGCAGGACGATGAGGGGAAGAGGGTGGACAGTACGAAGTTGAGGGCCACGAAGCTATAGTTCGAGGGCGTCTCGATGCTGTGAACAAGTACGTTGGAGGTCTTCAATGCATTCTGATATTCAATTTTCATGTATAAGAATTGTATACCACAAATCACAAAAGGCTCGTAGGTCAAGGCTTAACCCTCGAAGCTGACGACGGCCCTAGACTGTTCCTGCCCTCTTCATCATGCCTTGCCCAGTCTATCCGATTCCGCTTGACTTGATTGTACTTGACCTTCTCCGGCCAGCCTTTATGCTTCTTAGCATCACGGTGCTTTTTGCACTCTTTGAAAGGGTGGTTCAGGTCGTGCGGAATTTATGGAGCTTCCGGGTTGCGCATGGCATTCAGCTGTGCCTTGAGGTCAATGTTGTTCTGACCCTTGCACTTGCTCTTGTTCGAGCACCAATCTTCGAAATCTTCGGAAAACATGAATTCGGTACGAGCGACGAATGTTGGTATTTCGTCCTTCTCCTGTGACCAACCACGCCTCCAGCCAAATTCTCCACACATGCAGGGGTGGTTTTGGCCTTTTTCGTCCAATACGCCAGATATCGATTCGCCGTCCGGGTTACGCCAGATAGGAGGCTGTGAAGACACCGTTCATGCGATCCTCTTCGTTCGGTTTTAGAGCTGTGGTATCAATGCTCCGGGGGTCAAAGGTAATATCACCTTTTTCTCTCGAATAGCTTATTCTTATGTACCCAGTCCAGTAGGAGGATCTGGCAACATCTCGAAGAGTGATACTGAAGTACTTCGGATCTCTGTCGAATCCCCAATGTCCTGTAGGGCCGTGGGCCATGGCTTGTTGATAGTGGGCAAAGTCGTCTTCATGGTAACGGTCGATCGAATAGAACCAAAAGCCCAGCTTAGGTGTTCAGGTGAGCAGACGAGATAAGCATGCGGCCCACGAACCCAGATCGTCCTCTCGTTCTCACAGCCTCCGGGATTGTCAATAAGTACTGTCGAACTCCCACATGTTATTGACAGCGGTGCTTGTACCAACTCTGCTAACGTGATCTCTAACGTCGAGTAAGAAGCCGGATTGTGGTTCCAAGAATCCCCTATCGGCTACGAGGTCAATAACCGTTCTGGTTCGAGAATATATCTGACCTATCATAAGACCATGCAAATCGAGAACAATGCTCCCTTGCTTTGCGAAGTACCGCGCCAACATCGTCGTGGAAGGCTTCATTCAAGTCATCAACGAACTCGAGATTGCCACAAAATTCGCTGACTACGGTGGTCAAGGCAATATAGGAGCACACCTAGGGTCAGTAAGTTAGTGGTTGAACTATGCAAATCTGTGGCAAGACAATTCCTTGCCACCAGGTTGACAGAAGCCCGGGCCGTTGCGCCCCCGGATCCAAAAGGGTTTCCTCTTATGAAGACGAACCCACCATTGATTACAAAACTTAATGCCTTTCTGGTTTCCATCTCCGTTTACTCCTTCTTCAGCTCATTTTCCAGGGCTTTCTCGATTTGCGGCGCACTACTGGTTAAACGCTTTGGAGTGTCGTTAATCACGTCAGTGACCTGTTTGTGCACCCGCGGGTACAAATGAGCAGCATTGGCCAGTTGTTCAAAAACTTAAAGAGCTATCTGACGGTTATGTTGATTCTTCCCGTTGTCTTCAATGAGATTCTTGCAGCTACCGATACTACATGAACCAGTCGCATCGCAGAAAAGACCACTGCTGATAGTGTAGGGGGCCCATTTGTCTCGGAAAAATAGAGCCACACTCTCGTACGATGGCGATCGAACATATTCGTAGCACTATTCCAGAAACCAATCAGCGATAGCATCACGCTACGCCTCCAAATTTTCTGCCGAAGGAGTGCCAGGGCCACACATAGTTCCGCCAAGCCGTCCTGTACCTTGAAAATCATCAGGTGTACCACCAGGCGGCTTTGGCTTCGGTTTGGGACGCCGTTCAAGATGGGTGATGCTGAAACTGGCGGCATCGAAGAAAAACGTTCATCGAACGGAAGTGGGTTGCGGCCTGGAACGCGTATAAATTGGCCATCCGGTACAGTTGTCGTCAAAAATACCAGAGTTCCTATAAACAGCGAGGAGGATGTCAAACAGGCCAAGAACTAGGGAGAAATTCCCTTTGCCTTGATCATTTTTGGTGGCAGTGGGCGTTCCGTCAATATAGTAATTGGAGGCCAAACGTAAGTTTATTAGAATCTATCGTACGCCCTCACCTTTTAAGTTGTCTATAGGAAAAACAAGGTTGGGATGCAAAAGGAGGGCAGTGCTTCAGCTTTACAAATGGGAGGTATTTGCTCCTGCCCAACAAAAAATCTACAATATTGGAGCTTCGCACAAAAACCACTCTGAAGAAAGGGCACATCCATCTCATGGGCTGTGTTTTTCCGGGGAGCCCCTTAAACGCAACCCTGGAGGTCTTCAGTGGATTTGCGCCGGCGGAAGCTATTGGTTCGACCTTCAAAGCCAATAGGAACTGCTCATAGTGACCTTTGCGCGCTTGTTGATGTTCGAAAAGCTAGGGCTAGATTGAAAGAAGACACTTAGCGAGATGATGCAGTTCGGTTGTTGGTGAGGGATTGGAATATGAATGGTACGTAAGTGGAGGAGGAAAGCCTTGGAAGGTCCCTCTGGAACTACCTTTGCAACAAGGCATACTCGTTCCACATTGGCAAAGCAGACCACCCATTCTGCAGCTGTGGAGCCAAACAGACACCAGAGCACCTTCTCCTGAGCTGCAAGTGGCTCAAGCAAGACCGGAAAATCATCCAGGACAGCCTGGGGAAAGTGCAGCTCACACTGCCTCTTCTCCTCCACATCAAAGAAGGCATCAAGGCCACTCTGGCCTTTATCAGTAGGACCAAGGTGGGCACACGCAGATGGCATCTTGGACAGCACACAAAAGACCTGGCATAGACATGCCCTAGCACTGCAGCACGGCAGACTCTTTCCTTTGTGTGTTTTTGTTACGGTATGTGCCACTGTAGAATACTGATAGCTACGGTAAACGATAACGTAGGACTATCGGGTCGATGGATACTGCGCTGAATCGCTATCTAGCTGGGAGATGACGACTATATCCCTGACCTCAGGCCATTGACCTGTCACACACTAGACTAGGGTAGTCTGTCAGGGGTACAGTCAGACCTTGTACAGACCGACCGATACCGCAACAGTTTTGTTTTGCAATCTTTCATTTCCAGCAACTTTGCTTAGGGCATAAGCTCTCAGTATCCCTTAAACTCTCATTGAACTCAACCTCCTGTAACTAAGCCTTGCATTACCAGAGGATCTACTGCTCCTCTCGTCCTCCATAGTCTCAGACTCATATAGGATGTTAAACCAATCAATCAACCAAACTACCTTTACAAGTTCGACCCTCAACGCCGTTTAGCAACCATGCTAGCAATTCCCTCCTGACTTGTTCCCTTCCTAAGGAATTGTCGGAAAATGTAACTCGGAACTAAACGCCGAGTTGAGATATTATGCTTTGCAAGAATCTAGGCACCCCCTTTTGTTTGGTAGTTCAAGAAGAGCGTACCAAGAAGTCGAAGTAGGGAGGGGTCAGGGGTTTGATCAGAGGATATATGTGGGCTTCTCCACGTGCTAGACCCTGAACCAGACCTTCACCACCACTCGGAAGCCACGGACATAGCAGAGGTCAGTTCAACGTCACCTGTTCTGTCTAATCTCTTCCCTCTCCACCACTATTCTTCTTCTCAATTTTGGCTGTTCCTTAACGTGCATCCATCTAAGCATCACCAACATACTCAGCTTGACAAGGCGATTAATTGATACCCACATCACGTATCTGCCCCTCCTCTTCTCATAGTTGCCTATATGGCATAGTTCTTTCCCAAAGGAGGGGGTACCAATACTTTGCAAAGCACTGATAGCATGCTGGAGGTCTTCAGCACACTTCACTCATTCTTAGTACACGAATATTGCGACGCGATTCTTTCGTCTTAGCGTCCCTGGGGTCATAGCATACGGTCTTGCAGCAATTCTTGCGTGACGAGCTGCAGTCAAGAATCCGAAGAATATCGGCACTTCGTGGGCATGCTGTGTGGAGAAGTCCAAAGATTTCTATGAATCAGATGGTACATGTCTGTCAAATGCAGCTCATACGCAGACTGAAATTACATCATGATGACTACAATGTTGCTTGATAGCCAGCGCAATTTTGGTTTGGTGGAGGCCCCTTCATGGAGTTAATGCAGAGAGCGCGCGGGTCGAAGTTTCTGTTTTACCAGCAGACTGGACAAGAAACGCGCTTGGAAGAGTGGCACGATGGAACTCAATCAAACAGGTCGGTGTCTTCGATGCAGTCAACCTATGGAGTGACTAGATACCTGCGTTTCCGGCAAACTGAAACCCCCCCCCCCCCCCGGTCAAATTGACGATGAGAAAACAGTACGGGTTGCGTGAAGACAGCGATACTATCAGAGTTTAACAAGCAGCGCAGCGTCACCACAGGACATCAAGCCTAGCAGAAACTGTGAAACATATCGCAAAGGACATTGAGGTCGAAAATTTTAAGGAGATAGTGTTTAAAGATGCTTGAAAGACAATTTGCTGGCGTGATACGGAGGGATGGATGCTTCTGGCTGAAGTAAATGATAAACGTCAAATCCTCGATCTGCCCCGATCGCAAGATCTGTGCATTGCAAGTATTGCAGGACTTTTACATTGAGCATTCGTGCTTGTGTTGCTTCAGATCATGCATTACCTTAACGGAAATAAGTTGGAGCCGTGGCCTTTGCAACCAGCCAGGCCTCGTCCAACGACTGAACAACGTCATCCGGCAGTGGGCCCTTCTCAATATCTGCCAGGTTTCCTTCCAGCTGACCGAAGCTGCTCACACCAATGATAACACCATCGTTGCCGCCCTTCACCCTTGTCTTGAGCTCTGAGTGGTGGATTGTCCATCTCAATGCAATCTCGAGAAGAGTTAAGTTGTGCTTCTGTGCGGCGTTTTCAACAATCTTCAAAGCATCAAACGTGCCTTTCTTGAAGTAGCGTTCGCGGTACATAGTGCCGACGCGGTCGGCTTCTTTACCAAAGCGACCGTCGTCGGGGACAGCGTCAGTGGACTTGATTTTGCCGGAGAATAGGCCACCAGCAAGAGGGTTGTACACGACAACATCGATCTTGTACTTGCGGCAAGCTGGGATGAGCTCAGGTTCGATGGCGCGAGCTAGATGCGTCAGTCATTTGGTGCATAAAGCAATGATGTTGGTCTTACTGATGGCGTTATACATCGCCTGGTAGATTGTCGGCTTTACCCAACCCCGCTCATTCGCGATGTTCCAGATCTCCGCTACCTCCCAAGCAGCGTAGTTACTGAGACCGAGCTGGATAAACTTCCCCTCTTTGTGCAGCTCGTTGACTGCCTCCAAGGTCTTCTCAAAAGGCACCGATCTGTCCGGTGCATGCAGGTAGAAGATGTCCACGGCATCTGTGCCCAGCTCTTTCAAGGAGGTGCTGAAATGCTCCTTCAACGACTCAGGCTCGTGGACTCCTGCCTTGTAGGGGTACACCTTGGTCGCAAGGGTGAAGCCTCGATCCTTCCATTTTGCGTCGCGTGTCCAGCCCTCCTGCTTGCCGCCAACATACATGCGAGCTGTGTCGATTTCATCGTAACCCTTCGATTGGAAGTAGTCAAGATGCTTTGTAAATTCACCGTGATCTGTGACACGAGCTCCAGAAGATGCATCAGGGCCTGTAGAAGCTTAGCTAGAGCTCTGGTGGGGTAGGTGGGGTTGGCTAGCTACCAAAGGTCATCAATCCCAGGATGATGCGGTCATTCGGGTTTTGCGCGATGAGAGGCATTGTGGAAAAAAATTCTGAGTTCGTTGAAGCTTTCTCGAATCTGTGTGATTCGGCGAGGAGAAGAAAGGCTGCGAGACATTGCAAGTCATTTTGAAGGATGACGACAGGTGGGACAGTGGGGTAGCTGCTCCATCCGGCTATAAACTGTTATGTCCAGCGGAAGCTAGAAACGCTACGATTGGTTGCTTGATATTTGAGGCATCCTTTGTACAAGGGCGGCAATTGTGAGCCCTATATCCAGTTCAGCAGTGTTGCAACCTTTGGTAGCGCCGACAACGAGATACATGTCCTGACAATTTGCCCGGCTCCACCCTCCCTCATTGCTACTCGTTCAGACCAAATGACAAACAGTTCGAATGCTCAACAGCGACATCGGCCAAGGCTCATCCTCATCGTCTAACTCGCTCAGAGGTAACCGACTATCTTCCTCGTCATGATCGTGCATTTATTTAGCTGGACGTGACTCTAGTGATCGCCTCAGCTGGACCAGCATGCTTTCACAAGCTCTCTATCTCCTTTGGAGCGAACTTGATATCAGTACATATTGGCAATTTCATTACATACCTTCAACAAGGTTGCTGCAGCAGACGCAGGTCCAGCGATCTGTAAGTCTGCGCAACGACGACAACGTGCCGCCGATAGCGCGATGGGTTGTACCTCGTCCATCCAGGTCTCTTGAGTCAAAACGTTGTCAACGTGTGACTGCTTCTCGCAAAGCCCGGCTTTCAGAGTCATCAGCTCCAACAGATGACCAGTGATTATTGCATACTCCGGAACGAAGAAGCCTTTACCCGATAAACTCTTTTGGACTCTCCACATGATTTCAGGGGTTTCCAGAAAATCTTCGACGCTTTTGTGCAATGATTGGATGGGCTGTGTCTTGCCCGAGATATTCGTAACTTCCAAAAAGCCCGCACAGTGACTCTTGGTTCGTCCTGTCATGTTCTTGCAAATCGTTATTTGAGATTCAAAGGAGATGCTGCTGAAGTCGTGATACACATTATGTTGCTCAGCATCGATCAGAGCTATCTGGAGTAGCATCAGCGGGTCTGACCGTGTGGCCCAGTAGCTTCACAATGTGAATGTGATCGCCACTGTATTCGTCCAGCCCATCGATACAGAAACAGATTATCACCGGTACCTCTTTCTGTTCTACCAATCGCTTGAACGCCTGTGTCAACATGGGCAAGGTCCAGGTGAACGGGTCCGTTTTCGAGACAGAGTCCGAGAGCACAATTGGTACAAGTTCATGATTATTGGTAAGTACTCGAAAGAGTAATGGCCTGAGTGAACCCTCCTGGGTTCTTTTCAGAGCATTGCCGCCATGCCAGAAGAAGAATCGAGCGACGATCAATATGGTAGCACCCGACCAGTACCTAAGTGAGCCTCTAACCGCTGGGTAATGACTGATGTATTCCATGAGGGTAGATTTTCCAGAACCTGCTTTCTCGTTGACCCAATAGATCGATTCTCCCTGCTCAAACCACTGGATGAAATCATCCCACTTGTTCGTCGCGGTTTTGAAGTGCTGTAGGATCCATTTGAACGTATGCAGCTCCGCAGTAGCAATCTCGTCCTCTCGATCGTCTAGAACAGAAAATCCGAGACTCTTTCAATGCTCTTTCTTAACGCTGGCTAGTTTTTCAGCGTAGATAGTCGTGTATCTGCTTGCGAAGAAGACCGATACTGTGTCCACACTCTTTTCCAGGCATTTGGACGAACTGCTGAAAGGCCCTACTTGTGCGCATTTCGACAGGGCATCGATTGGTGAAGGAACGGTTGATTGTTGCTGTACACGACTTACAGGTCCAGGCCACTGGGGTAACGTTGATACTTAGTCGCGAATCGCTGCGATCAATTTCGCGAACACATTTGATTGCAATGCCTGGAATTGATCTTCTTGTCAGGACGCAAGCAGATTCATGCTTTCCATGGTCAATAGTTGGTATCAAATCAGCAGCAGGAGACCATACTGGAGCTAGGTTTACCTTAGAGTTAGCAAATTATGACATTCCAGCTGCTCTCGATTTTGGCGAAGTTGCATCTGCACATCATCCAGTGCGTGCCTCTCCCACTTGTGCTTCACATTATGTTTAAAACTTTTCCACTTTCCCCGATTTGCCGCTTGATTTCAATTTATCGAAATGCTGCAGCAGTTTTTCCGCTATCTCTTGACTTTTGGAGATGGCTTAGATCCCGGTATCGTTCTTCTCGCTCGCTTGTTGCAGGCTTGTACAGAGAGCATGGAAGTAGCTTTTCAAGTCGGATGATATACCGTCGATTGATTCCATGAAACCCTTCACAAGACGTTCGGTCTGCGTATCGGAGACTGATTTGCCGGACGCGTTATGGTAGATGTCGATGGCTTCGGTACAGACCTTGGTAGCGAAATCAAGAAACTGCACTGTATTACTAGCGAGTCCCAGAGCAACGAGCGCCTCCATAATGTTCGGCCACGATGTGTGAGGACATCAAAAATGAGCGGCAGAAGGTCGAACTATATGTCGCAGCCTTGTAGCAAAGCTGGAGGACCATGCAGCAGAGCCGAAGAGAGTCGAACTCAGCCCCAACGCGTAACTGAATAGTGAATGTATTCGGTGTGAGTTGCAGACAAACCGCAACAAAAAGTGGCCTTGCTGAGGATGCTAAAGACAGTCCAATCGTTACTGGGCGTGTGGGCTCAGACGTTGACGGCGATATCCTGTCTAGAAGGTCAGACATGCCAAACAAGGTTGCTGCGGGAGCATGTTGAACAGCGCTGATCGAGGCAAAGTGCTGCTCCCAAAAGGTGTCCGCTCAAGCAACAGCAGCACGATGTGAATCGGAGACGCCGACATCTCCTTGCCCTGTGAGCTTCACTAACCAGTCACAAAGCTCATTGCTCGTGTAGCTTTGCGATGTTGGATTCCGATGCAGCTTTTCGACAGTCGAGACGAAGAGCAGCTTTCGTGAGACTATTGACTGATCGTCAATTGGTTCGAATTTGGACGAGCTCCGTGCGGACAGATAGACAGGGAGCCTTGAGCTTGACGGACGCCAGCTTGTGCAAAGAATGTCGGACAATCAGGAACATGCGCGCACCAAGCAGGTTTCTAACCGATGTGCTCACCAAAGACAGACTGAAACATTGCGCATGGTTCACGCTTCACATTCACTGCTCCAGGGCTCGCTTGCGCTGATGGGGCTAGAGAATCCCATTTAGCCAATGGCGTCACCGAAGGACCGATAACGATAAGCAACCTATCGACGTCAGCAGGTCAGCATGACATCCTTTACCTGCAGCTAGAGTTGCGCCGTCACACGAGAACACCTCCGCCGACGACCGTGCCCAGGATCGACTTGCGAGCCGTCCCGCGCTGCCTGCACTGCACAGGTGCCACGTAGCAAAACGCAGGTACACGCAGAACCAGCACATGAGAGGCATAAACCGTCTCAAAAAGAACGATTGCGCCCATATAAGAGCCGCTCGCCGCCCCGTTGAACATTTCGAGCGTTCTACATACACATTCACAGCAGCAGACCGCTGCCGCGTGAAAGATGAGTCGATCATCTGCCCAGTCGGAAGTGTCATGTGGGCAAGTAAGCCACCCCTCCGTGAACTCACGAATCAGTCTTTTCCTCGCACACCATCAGACACACTCGAACCTGATTGGAGCGCAATTCGTCGATACCAGGTACTTCGGATGGAATCCTTCTTGATTAGCTTCTGGCCATGCAGTCAAGCGCTTTATTGGAATTCGGCTTCGACGCCGCGACAGTGGTGCGGTGTGCTACCTTGCCAGGTCTTTGTCTTCCCATGATATCATTCTACCCAGGCCTCTTCTTCTCTCTTATGCCTAGTCTTCTAAGTATCCCTTGCTTTGAAACGAAGTCCTTGTCGCAATCATTATTGGTTTGTTTTGCGCATCCATAAGTAGCTCCCTACGACCCTCATCTGCACCATCCCGGCATCTACCAATCCGGAAGGCCTTGCATGCGAAAGCCGTCGACATCTTCAAGAGAGCTCAGAACGCAAAAGCTGAGCGCACAAAGAGCTGAGACCAATGTGCTGGTGTTTCAACTTCGGTTTTCAAAGCAAACCGAAGAACAAGTCGTCATCGTCGAACGAAAAGAGAAGGCGGGATGCGCCGACGGATGGCGCGCTTCACGCCAAGGGTAGACCGGTTGTCGCAAAGAGTCAAGAGAAGCGCAGATGGAAGGAGTCATCGGGAAAGAGACAGTCGACAGATGCTGAGGTTTCGCGCTCACCGCGACGAGCCAGAAATGAACTCGACCCACGATCGCAATACCAGTATGGAGAGACATACCGGGGCTATGAGCAGCATAGACCAGCTCTGAACATTCAGGTGCCTGCCATGTGGCAGCGCTCTGTATATCCGGGAGGCGTGTATTATCCTGGAAGTACACATTCTTCGCAGGAGACGCTGCTCAATCCTCGACCTCATCGCAGTACTCATCAGCGTCAACGACACCCAAAGCATTCATCGCAAGGCACACTTCGAGGTCGCGGAGCTAAGCGAGATCCTCCGAGGAACTCCAAATCCAAGAAGAGTCTTCGTCCTGATCCGTCAAGAGGTTGGTCGTTCTTTGCGCCTTCGCCGCCGAAGACGCCATCAAGGCGCACCTACCAGACATTGGACGCTTCACCACGCAGCCATCGACCCAGTCGCCAACAAAGATCCACACAACAACATGATACAGGTTCGACCTCGATGCCGTCTCAATCGCGCCATCATCGTTCACGTCAGTACGAACAGCAAACTCCTGCCGTGCGCAGCGCGCGCTCAAGGACACCAAACACAGCTGCCAGGCGGGTACCTGATCGTCGCTTCGCTGTACTCGCTGCTACCAACCAAGCACTCGAAACCGTACGTCGTGATGCCTTTGCGCAGCCGTCACCACCCCCGCGAAGAGAAAGGCTTCGAAGGTATGAAGGCGTGACGATTCCCACATCGCAAATGCCTTTCAACTGGGATTGTGTCAGCAGTTCCCAAGCTTCTGGTGGCTACGGAGATTCAACTTCACGGCACAGGCGGTCGCGACGATGATTTATAACAAGAAGGCGCATACATTATCATGTACATGTACGACATACTGTCGTAGTAGCAGATGTGGCTGACGATACCCCTGCACTTCGTCTCTCGCCTGCCATGTTCTACACAGTACACTTTTCGCATACAAAATACCCTTGCATATCATCTAATTCACTTACACTCATACTGTTGTTCATATTCTTTCGATTATGTTTCACGGGTTTAGTCTATGTTCGGAGCTGGAGCGGTGACGATTATTCATGTGGATGTTAGCTCTTCCTGTCACACAACCGGTTCCATTCCTATCGTCACCATACTCCATACATATGTACTCTTTTGAAGTGCGATTGATGTGGTCACTGAGTGGTCATGCTCACGCGCTAAGTCTCATAAAAGCAATTCTGGGTCTGTGATCCACTCCTTGAAGCAGCTTAGACTGTCAAAAGCTGTACAGCTGAGTAGTGAAGGAACACTTTGCCTTGCGCCGCGGTGAAGATTCTGTTGTCTGTCTTGTATGAATGTGCGCATAGTGACGGTGAACGCGCTGAGACCCACTCCGTTAGCTGGGATCTAAACCACGGGCGATCGCCACGGAAAGCTGCAGGATCTTGTGCGGGACGTTGGTTCAGAAGTGACCGGTTTTGGGGAAAGAGCAAGTTCCATCTGCCCTGTGGTAATATGGCTGCAACTGTCAGGGGGAATGAGGGTCGTTAATGAGGCCGCCGCTCAGCACCACGTTACTCAGCAACCTAGATATTCCCACTGCAATGCTATGAATATGATTAATAGAACAAAATTGATCACAGATGCTTTCAGTGAACAGTTTTGTTGTTGGGTCAAGCAGAGAGCAAGAACATTTATGTTCCAAAAAGAGTTCGGTCAATCAGAACGAGCTTCTTCCAGAGGTCGCAACTTCGGACCTCACCTTTCCACGCAAAAGTTGTCAATTTCCTCGTCAACTCACGCACATTTTTCGTACACGAGTGCTTTGTCTCGCCTGTTCGTACAAATCGAGATTTCTGCCTCTCAGGACTCCAGATCAAGCGACCTCAAGCTCCATCTACGACCAAGCTCCCCGCCCACGTGGCGTTTCGACACCTGCAACCCAGGGCGGGCTGTCACAACGTATACGGGAATGTCTCCTGATCCCATCGAGATCGACAGCTTTCCAAACTACCAGAAAGAGAAGGAAAGGCAAAGTGTTGATGGCTGGGGGAAGGCTTTCCGCGGTTTACAGCCAATGAGACGAGAGCTTTACCGACTAGCGCCGTATGCGGTAAGCTTGCTACATATTGCTATCCACCTATACTCCTGGCTCGCATGCATCACGATCTCGACTGGTAGTAGACGGTGGTATTGCGGTGTTTCTAGACATTTATTACGGCTGGAAACCTGAGTTGTAAGCCTCTGTCACATGGAAAGACGGTGTCTACCTGAGCAGCAACGCATCAGGTTGATCTCAATTTTCACCCACTGGTGTACCCCATGCTTTCTTGAATATCGTGTCCAATCTGCCATTGAACTTGTGCATAGCATTTAAATTGCGCTCCGCGATCTCTCGTTCCGTAGCGGATACATCTTTGGTTCGTTCTTCGTATCATCTTCGACGTACTCGGGATGTTTGACACCTGCAATTTCGGGAAGGAAGACGTGGAAGGAGGCTTCGTGCCGCTTCTCGCGATATTTACTGCCGGTCTCTGCTCCTTCTGGCTTGGACTTCGACCACAGACCGCAGTTGTGGAACGTGTACGTCCAACCTTTGGCGAACTTTGATCTGTCGACTCGCGCTATTACTGTCAGCCTTTACATTGACGTTGTATGACGTTTATGGACACCCTTACAAGTCCTATTGAACGTTATGGTTGTCGCCTTCAGTAGAGTCTGCATCTTCTTTGAGCGTGAATGGTAAGTCACCTTGATACCTGCAATACATAGTTGACAGTATCTGTTGTTGTGTCTGCAAGCTTCGAAGTATACCGCATCTAGTTCGAATCAGCACTGATACAGACGAAAGTCGCATTGTAGAAATACACCTTTTGCATTTTGTGCCGCAGTCGCATCTAGTGGAGCCGAAGAATCACTGAGGTCATCCTGAAGCTCACTCAGGTCGCTATCAAGATCGCTATCTAAGTCATCAGTGTCTACCTCTTTGCGGTCGTGTCTTTATGCTTCAGCTCTTTAGGTATCGCTGCGACCCCATTGTAAAAGTCCATGGGAATGCTTGTGTTGGATTGCGTGTGATTGGCATAGTCCTAAGAGCAAGTAGGAGGCCATGAATAGAGGTAAGTAATTCGTGATAGATGTACGCAAGCGACCTGCAAACAGATTCAGCTTGCTATCAAGATTTTCAGACCTAGTCACAACCAGAGAGCAAGCGGCAGAAACCAATGGGATGCTTCTTTCCCTTCTCCTAGCTGCGAAAGCTGAAGATGCTCTCTCCAGTGAAAGCAGCTAAGGTTATGAATTTAGTCGTCAATCCTCACTACCTCACCTCCGGCTTCTCGAACAATGCTTACCAACCGAGCCATGAAGCGCTGCCAACCCGCCTTGTTGTGTCTCGCCTCCCCGGGCCCATCGGTTGGGGGGTTCCATCTGGGACATATCTCTGAGTCGTTTATAGGTGCGTCGTGCTGTGTCTGCGGTTGCTGTTCCTCACTGAAAGGCGACAGAGCCCGTTCGGTCGGATCAGGAACTTCCAGCTCCAGCCCGTCTCCTGTATCCATATCCACATCTCCCCCAGGCTCTGTGATGATGAATAGGGTGCGCAGCACAACCATGCGTTGACCACAAAAGACCGTGTGTTTGGTGCTAATCACACAGCCTCTGCGCGTGACGCCTGCCATGGGAGATCGATAGAGAGGTGCTTAGCGTCTCCTTTCGAACACGAGTGGCTGGACAGGAGTAGCGTCGTACAGGGCAGTGCCGCACACCCGACCCTTGACGCATTGATGCTGATGTGACTCCAACTTGCGTCGATAAGCTTTTGTCTCGGGAATGAAGCTTTTGTTGAGGCCACTCAGGGGCACTGCAAAGCTCTTAATTCTAACCAGTCAGAGCTTGGCTAAAGCTTCGCCAGCTCTAAATCTTTATGTAGGGCTATCCTTGAGACCTCACCTTTCGAGAAGTGAGTAATCAGAGTGATGTGTGCACCGAGGTTCAGTGTTGTTGTTGTGTGCGAAGGGAAGGCCGCGCTGTTGCTCTTTCCTCTCGCTTCATTGTGATGACATCAGCGTTCTCCACCTCACAGAGCCGCAAACGTTACACACTGACTGTCATCCCCTTTCGACAAACACGATGTTGATACCCAGACCACTATCTCGACGATTATTTTGGGATGCCTGCGTCAGCTGCGCCACGATCTGTGCCAGAAGTGGCCTGCTCCGTTGTCCGAAACATGCAAGGCAGCCCGGAGCTGGTGCCTTCATAGCGAGACTTCACCGAGTCTTGCAAGCGGTTTCGGAGCAACTTTCGAGGAGATGCACACCAGCTTGCATGGTTTTCTCGCAACAGGGTTGATTACGCGAGGTTCGTCGCGTTGAAAGGGGTGCTCCATACGTTTCAGAGGTTCAGAAAACATCGTCGCTAAGGCAGATCAGATTTGACGTCGATTAATTGAGCAGTACAGAGCACACGATCAGTGGATGACAGGTGCAGCTTGCGGTCCATATTCGTATTGCTGACGAGCGTCTTCTCCACAATGCCGACATCCGCTCCAGACCGCAAGCTGTAGACCAAGTTGCCGGTCCCCACGCGCATTTCCATCAGGGGCCACGACCCGGTCAAAGCCTGTGATGGCTCAACTATCGACGGATACTGAAGGCATTTTACTTCTTCAGAGCGCGCCTTGCACTTCTTCAGGGCGCGCCTTGCACTCGATCGAGGCATCTCGTCAAGAAAGAGCATTGCATCGTAATCGAAGAAGCAACCATTGGTTCCTGGAGACACGAGCCACATGAACCAAGCCACATTTGGCACGTTTTGTCGCCCTAGTCTTTCATTCGCAACCATCTTCGCCCCATGGACCCTCAAACTGAATGTTTTAGCGTCTCCTGTCTGCGACCATTGGTGAGAAACAATCAGTCCAAATATTTAGTGGCTGTGCTTGTGTAAACGATCGTTACAGGGATCTTAATTCACTCACTACTCAGGGTGGTTTCAGCGCCCGCGCAGCACGCCACAGTGAATCTTAATCCGTCTTACACTTCAAATTCTCCCGGCTCCCCCCGCACAATCTTTCTGAACACCCAGCTTGGCACACATTCCGTCATACCCATTGGAGGAAATTGGCTCACCCACTCATTACTTGAATACCTGCTCGGAACGAGGCGCACCGCGCTAAGGAACGGTCTAGATCGACACCACCAACTCCCCAATTCATACTCCACGAGCTGAAGCGATCATTCAACCATAATATCGCGACATCCTCCAGCATACTTTGTTACTTATACAGCGACGATCACCCGCAATACGCCTCGGCCATGCTGTTTAATTCCAGCGCTCTTGTTGCGGCTTTGAGCCTGCATACTGCTTTCGCAGCTCCGGCAATGGAGCACAAAGAGCACCATCTCGAGGATATCCAATGTCGCTGCCTGACATTCCGCGCAAACGAACGACCCACCCCATGCAACTTCTTCGAGTCCAGGGGCTTTGACTGGAGGTCCGCACAGATACTTGCATCACAGTACGACATCAAAGTTCAGTTCGCCAGCAAGAGCACCATCTCCAAGGTGCTTTCGATCTCTGCCCCGCTTCCGAGCGAAGTGCTGCAAACAACCAACACTGGTGATGCGCAGTCGGCATCGAGAGATGCGAATATCAGCCAAAACAAGATTGTCTGTGGCTTTGGGAAGGAAGTCAGGCGCATGAGCCACCATTACCGAGACTATGAGCCAGAAAGTCATTTTGTGGGACAGGTAATTGGTTGGTTGATGCTGTTTATCGCTTTGTACGTCGTGGGCGAGTACGTATGGACAAGGTAAGATACAGGTACCTGCGGTATTACCGCCGTCGACTAACGCTGTTAGATACTCATCTCGAAGTCGACCCATCAAGCTCAAAGGAGAAGAGAAGCATCTCAGGGCTAGGTTTAGCAACACCACCTCCTCGAAAGACGCACCCTCAGACTTCTCTTGAAAGAGTTACGAGGTTGCGACAAAATAGTCTTTCAACCAGCATCCCCGAGAGTTGTACTTCCGGTTCCCTCGCATGTCATCGGTCACACTGCGCGAGAACGATGCCGGCGCCAAACCCTGACACACAGATGGAGATTTCTGAGCCACGACCAAGCATGAATGAAACAACTCCATGCAATTAGTGGCTTTGTGTCCTGTTGCTGTGTGCATTCGGGTCGGCATCGCCATCTTACGGATAAAACACCACATCAATCCATCGGTCGAGACGATTCCAAGAGCTAAGGGTTAGATACATGACGTGTGGTGCGGAACAGGATATGGAGGCATTTATTTATGCGTCAGGTACGCGCAGGGGATCGGATCGACTGCACTATCTCTCTCACGAGGAGCATGTATGGGGCCGGTACTTTCAAGCCTCATTAAGTATCAAGGATGTGTTCACCTAACGATGCCTACTCTGGTACAGCAGACTACTCGAAAGAAATGCCGCTCTTGCGAATATGAAAAGTAGGCGTAGCCATCACTCCTGCGTCGATGTTCGCGGTCGACGTGCGTGGTCATTCCCCGATCAACCTTGACGTAGTTTGCTCCCTAATCTCAACTCATCGTGTCGGCATTAAAAGACGGTTTTAACAGACGCAACTCCCAAGGGTCCACCTATATCTCGGGCTTTCCGACATCTCATCTTGTGCACAAAAGCAGCACAACATCTTCCTGCAAACTGATTGCTTACATCTCACTGCATTAAGGCATCCCGCACGTGTATTCATCTCTCCTGCGCGCGAAACGCGCAACGCTAGCGCTCCTCCAACACCATAAACAGGAAGTACTATGCTAAGAGCACTTCGCCCAATATTCACTCACCTGAACACACAAACCCGTCCCACACCACGTCTATTCGCTACAATGGCCGCCCCGCATCCCGTGATCCTATGCGGCAAAACCGAAGTCATCGGCGCCGTGGTCATCGAGAGCTTGAAGCCTGAGTTCGAAGGTACATGATTCCGCCCTCCATCGCATATAATCTCCGGCCTTGACACAACACGCAGTGATCCACTTCATCCAAACCGTCTCCACCGGCAAGGCAATCATCCCCTCACTCCTGCGCGGCGAAGCGCCAAACCCCTCATCATCAACATCCCCCATTTCCAGTCTCGGCACCAAGAACTACTCGAGACCCCCCGTTGCTGTTCTCCTAGGCGCTGCGTTTGACGACGAGGGAGTCAAGGAGCTGATGGAGGCTGCGAAGGGGACGAAAGATGTGCCGTGGCTCAGACCGGATACGAGCAAGCCTGCGCCGCCGCCTGGGCCGGAGTATGGGCAGGCGATGGTGAAGAGGATTAAGGAGGCGGTGAGGGGGTTGGAGGAGAGGGGGGAGTTGGTGGGGAATGGGGGGATTGTGTGGTTTTGATGTGGGAGATCAGGTCAGATTTGGGTGGGCGGGGGATGGTCGCTCGGCGCTCGGGCATGTTCGGTAGGCTTGTGTAGTAGGAAGCTTCGTTTTTTGAGAAGCTGATTATGCATTACAATGTGTACATGATGAAGCTATACAACAAACCCGTTCCCCGGGGTATCCAATCCAAATCAATCCCAAAACGCCGATGCTAGAAATGCTTCGCAACTGCCGCGCTAACATGCAGCTCTACATAAGAAATGGCCATCCTAGAGCCACAGCAGCCACTTCACAACTCTCCAAACCAAACCAACAACACTCTTCAACAACCCATACACCGCGAAGATGATCGACGCAAACCTCAACGCAACAACAATCGTCCACTCCACCGCCGACCATCCCCAGCTCATCACCCATCTAGTATGGCGTCTCCGCTGGCGCAGCATGCGGTCGATTTCGTCGTTGATTTGTTTGACTTGGAGCGGGCCTTGGCCTGAGACTTCGCTCGTGATGCGCACGGCTTTGTCGCCGCTTTCGAAGATGCGGGGCATGAGGTCGCTCTCTATGCTATCCCTCAGCTGGCTGATGCGCGTGTTCAGGTCTTTGATCGTGCCGGAGCGGAATATTTCGCATGCGGTGTGGAGCGCTGATGTTGAGCGCTCGAGATCGTGGACGAGGATGCGGGCGGCGAGGACGTGCTCTTCTTTCCTTGAAACGGGGAATAGATGCTCCTTCGCGGTTTCTGCGGCCAGAGTGAGGAATCGCGGGATTTGGGTATTGGGTGTTTGCGCGCGTCGAGCGATCTCTTTGGCTTTGACGCCAGAGCAGAGGAAGAGTGCGCGCACGCGAGCGATGTCTGCTTGCGTGACTGCATTCTGCCATTTTCTGCGCTGGAGTGCATGCTCATTATCGTCGTCGTCAGCAATACTCCAGTGTCGCTTCCCGTCGAGAGTGGGGCGAGAGGCGCTGCGGTGCCTGCCTTGAGCATCCTTGAGGGCTGTTGGGGGGAGAGCGCCAGGAAACACGCTGCCAGGTCGAGCAAGCTGCTTGTTCATGTGGTCTTGATCGCGACTTCTAACAGGGCCGAGTGTAGCTGATGAAGAAGCTGTCGAGACGCGTTCCAGGTTGATGCGAGGCGGCAGAAGCCGGTCGATGCGAGGAGATCGAGTGTTCCGGCGTTCGCGGGACTGGCGTGAGATGTGATGCTCGAGGTCTGATGCATTATCGTTGTCGCTCAAGGCTTCGTGAGCAGGACGGAACGATGGGAGTTTGAGGTGGTACCGTCCATCCTTCTCCGACGTGACACTACTCGCCGTAGTCGGTGTGACTGTTCGTGAAAGCGCTGGTCGGTTGGTGCGTACGTCTTCGTCAAAGTCCACAGAGTTGCGATCAGAGACTGTGCTCGCATCCGTGTCATCTGCCCGGTCACGTCTGAAGATGATATCGCCCACTTTCGTGCCCTCATGCTTGACACCCTTGAAGAACCTTGTGACAGCGGAGTGAGGCTCTTTGAAGTCTTGTGTTTCTTTGCGACGCAGCTTATCTGGACTTGGTAAGCTACTTACGCTATCGTTCTTGCGATGGCCAAGTAAGTTCTTCACAGCACCTGGTGCAGCAAGGATGGCGTTTCCAAGGCTGCTAGGCTCCAGGGGCTCCTCGCTCGTCTGTCGAGAGCTCTGGTTGTTGTTGTTGTCCAAGTTTGTTGAAACTTGGTCGTGCTTCTGCTCATGCTTGTCGTGGTCATGAGAAGAGTGAAAAGGATTCAGCTTGCTTCGCTTGGTCTTGCCAAGGTCAGAACCGGCTCTACTAGGTGGCGGGGACAAGTCGCTTCCAATGTGCGGGAAGTGCCTTGTATGAAGCGGCGTGCTGGACGCAGCACCCTCATCCTCGAACGATGATCGAGGTTCAGCCGGCTTGATAGGCGACAAGGGGCTGGTGCGATTCCGTGGAGGCATCTTGAGGGTGGCATTCTCGTCCACTCTTGCAGAGCCATTTGTAAAGCGAGGTACTTCCAGAGAGTTGCGCGAAACCTTCCCATCCGGAATGTCATCGTGTGCTCTTCCCCACTTGTCGGGCGTGTCCGGCGTGAATACAGCTGGTGACTTGTTGTTGATTCCCTTGGTGTGTAGCTCCAACTGTTTCTTCATCTGCAGTGCAAGCGGACCGGTGTTATGCTCGACATCGAAGGACTTCCGGACCTTGCGCGCATCATTGTCGGAATCGGACGAGTCACTGTAGCCTGTTGAGTGCTTTCGTGGACTGCCTCTGCCTTTCCGAAGTCGCGAGTCAGCACGGATTGTTGGTAGTAGTCTTCTCTTGCGGCTGCGCTCGCTACCATGCTCACTCTCATCGCCAGTCGTGGGATCAGTCGCAGTACCAGGCAGACCGTCCACGTGGCTGCGTCTCCTCTTGTCAGAGTACTCCTTGCTAGGTCGTGCTTGAGGGAAGTCATTCTTCTGCTGCCTTGGTGCTTCTCGTGCTGGGAGGATTTTGCGGCCGTTACGGTCCTCGATGACGGTCTTGTTAGCGCCGTGTTCGAGCCAATACGCATCAGCGAGAAGCTCCTCGGGGGTAAAACTCCAGCCTTGCTGTGACTTTGAGGGTTTGCCATGTGCGGCTTGCACTTCGTGGTCATTGTGTAGCTTTGGCAGCAGAACACGGTCCTCTTGGCGGAACCCAGGTCTTCTTGACTGTTCCTCAATCCGATCGACCCACTCGTGCACTTGCTCAATATCTGAGAATTCGGCAGGTTCTTGAGGCAATGCCAGCCGCTCGCGCGCTCTGCTCCTGCGGTTGCGCAGAGCTTGTATAGGATTGTAGGGCCGACCGAGCTCGTGCTGCTTGTTCGCGTACGACGGTGTACGCGTGAGCTGCGCTTGCGGGCTGCCCGGAACAGCGTTGGATGTGTAGATGAAGTTGCCTGGCGCATCAGCGTCTGCCTTCAGCGGTGGCAGATACTCCAGCAAGCGCATATATTCTGCGCGAAGCTCGATGTACGCGCGGGCCTTGTCTCGCCGAAGTAGCGTCGCGACGGAGGGATGGATTGCCTGGGATGCTGGGAAAGCCATGGATGCGCTCCGCTGCATGCTGCTGGACACGTGTCGAGAAGGCGAGCCTTTCCCGCCCATGGGCGATATGTTGCGAGACACTCTGCGTTGCTCGTTCAGGTACTGCCTCAGGCTGCTGCCCACGCCTGCGTTTGAGAAGCTGCCCTCTCGCTGTGCTCCAGAAGGCTGCCTCGACTGCGAGCCCAGCAGCTGAGAAGCACTGATGTTCCGCCGCCGGCTCTCGCTAAGATTCAGGGCCATGTGCACGAGCTGGTTTGGGTCGACGGTTGGTCGCGGCGGCGTGTTGCTGTGGTCGGCGGGCTGGACACCGAGCATGCTGCTCCTGGTCCTCGGTGCACCCAACCGGCCGTTCTCCTGTTCTGCTTCGACCCTTTGCGCGACCGGCGGGCTGTCTGGAGAGGCCGTCCGCTTGCTGCGACCTTCTGGCTGTCGGTCGTCTTCGTGCGCACGACGATGCCGCGCCCTGCTCTTGCCCTTTGCATCTGGGCTATGTGCTTGACGGGTGCTGTGTCGATTGCGTGGCCCGCTGGGGAAGCTCGAGTCCAGCAAGAAGCCGCCAGCGGACCTGCCTGCCCGATATCTGCGGTGGGCAAAGTCCTGCCCCTCTATGGCCTCCGGGCCCAGCGGACTGCGCGCTGACCCCTGTGAGGCTGCCCTGAAGTCGCCGTTGGTCGCACCTTCCCTATGCCTCGAGCCAGCGCTGGGCGCACGTGACGAGCCGCCCTCCCCATTTTCGACGTAGGTGCCCGACGTCTTGGAGTCGAACGTGTGCGACGATGTTACCGACGGCTCTGACGAGAAGGAGCGGCGGCCGTGGCTGGAGGAAGCGGGCATTACCATGTCTATGGCGGGTTCGGCCATGTTAGCTGCTCCGCAGAGGGGGTCGCATGGCGAGCGTGATGGCTCCGCGGTGCAGGCGACGATGCGGCCAGCAATGGGCCGCGGGGATTGTCGACCGTCTCCTGGGATGTGGCCGCAGAGGTGCCAGAGCACGGCAAGGAGGTGCTGGGCGTGCAAAAGCCAGAAAAGTGCTAAGATCAACCGTCCGGCGGTGGATTAACAGATGGTCGAACGCACCCCCGGCCGCTGCTCACACGTCACCGGCCGTGCACATGCAAGAGCTCCACTTAAACCGCTGTTCGTCTGTCACAAACTACACACACACTTACTCACTCACACACAACTCTTGCAACGCTTGCCCCCGAGTAGTCTTCCAGTGTGCAGGGCTAATGTATCCGGCAGTATGGGTCTGCCGTATGCACCTGGGTACTTTCCGCCAGGCGAACTCACGCTACATCTTAGCTGCATGCATAACAAGAGGCATTCAATCCTAGTCCAGACAGTCTGTATTGGACACCGCGCCTCGGGACCGTCTATCTCGCACACTGAGGACTGGGTCGCTCACTGCATAAATCTTTCAGTGGGCCATCTTGGTTCAATATTCACGGCTCTGGGCTGCGTAATCGGAGCGGGGTTCAGATTACTGATATCCAAGCCTGGAGGTACTCGCAGGACTGTATAGAATCAAGGCGAGGGGCCACTGGTCCTCGAAATTTGCTCGATCCACGGCCCTCGACCCTGAAGGCTGAATCGAGACCCTCGTGCTTCGAAACCCCATCGACTTGCACTCCGTTGCCCACAACTGTACCGATGCAAACAGATGTGGCGCTCAGCCTTCGTCGAAAGGAGCAGCACTGAGAGACGGTGTGGTTTGATCGTCAGGGGCGGACGTATGATGGGCATATATTGCTGTGAGCGAGCCGAATCTCCTCGGAAAATCTCTACGTGTACCGCATGGGGGAACTGCGAATAAAAACGTGAGGAGGGTCGTGCCTCGATGGTCACAGTCGTTTACATGTTGCGCTTGTGTGCAACGCGCGAAGTGCAGTGTCTAGCTCTGTTACCAGCAAGGTCTGCCTACGACATATCTGTGGATATATCATCAGTCGACGTGCCACTCAAGTGTACACGTATATACACGACGAAAGACTTGGAAGGTTGGCCTGGGTAATCTTGCGTGTTTGTTTACTCAGGCCGACTTGCGACGACAATCACCGCTCCTTCCACATACAACAGCCATAACAAGAAGGGTAGTTGACATGCCCGCTTAGAGCTCCCTGTACCACAACCATCGAGTATGCGACATGTGCGAGAAACTCGTACGGGCCAAGTATGATCAGATGGCCGATCAGCCCCAAGGTATGGCTGGCTGACCGTTGGCCCAAAACGTGTTGCGGTGCGAGGCTGACAGGCAGCGAAGAGCTGACCGCTCGCGCCTCTGACATAACAATCCTTCCACGCCATGCGCAGTGATATGGTGACTTCGACAGCATCTTGTCCGCCGTACCATTGCCCAACTAAGTGTGTGTCTGGTAAGCCCTTCGACGGCATGGATAGAATTTTACAATGGGACCAAGTATCGCAGAAGTGAGGTTGCGGTTAGAGATGGCTGGCGTTCGACAATCAGCCTTGTAGATATCTTAATGCAGCAGGTTGGAGAGGCGTCGAACGTTTGCAGTTGCCCGCGGTGTATGAATCGACTTCCTGCTCGCCGTAAGCTGATGGTTCAACTGCGCATCATAACACCCAGTACGGAACGCTCCACTTCTCCACACTCGGTAGCTGCCGAATGAGCGCAAGCCGGTCCACTTTACCCCGACGTGTATCTGAGGATGAGCCAACAGCTACGCTCCTTGTACGCTCCGTATGTCAGGCTGACTCCTTCATCGCTGTGGTCAGCAAGGTTGAGGCGACAGTCGCATCTTGCGCGTCGTTTAATGCCAGTCAGAAGGATCGATATCTCCCTAAGCATGATTCAGCTTGGCTTTGGAACTACTGGCAGCGTTCTCAGAGACTTCTGGCTCGAATCATTCAACCGAAATGTAGGATTGCTGCTCAAAAACCTGTTGGCTGCTGTTATTGAGGATAAAAGTACTGGCTCACTACGCTCTCAAGGACGAATGCCTTAGCAAAGCCACTGATAGAATGTAAATGCTCGAGCAGAGCAGTGCGGGGCAGAGCCTGTCATGTCAACGATCTTGCGTAAGTAAGCTTGCGGCTCGGACTCGAAGTTCAGTGTGAATCGGTACGCTGCGGAGAGTCCGAACAATCGACTCCTGCACGGCCTCACAGCGAGCAAGCAAGCTTGACCAGTCCGCATCTGATGGAGAATGGCAGCAAAAAGTATCGGCTCGTGCACGAGTCTGCGTCCACAGGGTGGACTGTCGTTGCACCGCGCTCTAAATGTAGGGTAGTTCACCTGAACCTCAGCGTAACATATCGTGTCGGTGAGTGGCACTGTGTGCACTCTCGTACTGCCGTCTCAGATCGTCCCGTCATAGTTCGTACTCGAAGATATATCTGATGGCTCACGATAACTCCAAAGTTGTTCATGGAGTTTGTGACGGCATTGTCGACGCATGAGCAATGTCAGTGCCTATGGCCCTGAACTCGATGGGACGGGCAAGTTGGTGTAGTCCAACCCAACTTGGTATATGGTAGCGAGTAAGTTGGCGATGCAGAGTAAGAAAACCTGAAACGCTGGGCCTTCCCTTGCCAGGCTAAGGGCTTACGAATCAGCAAGCGTGTCCTCGCATGCTGCCGTCTGCCTGCTACGTCAGAACGACCTTTGCGATCTCATGGGAGGCTCGTGTCCAGTGGTCACACTCGAGTTCATGAGGCCGCATCAAGAGGCGTCATATGGCATGCTGCACACATTAGTCGAAGATTATGGCGTCCAACAGAAGAGAGAAGGCGAACGTTAACCCGGCCAACACCTCTGGACATCGCATCAATCCCAGGGGTCTCGAAGGGTCCTGTGAAGATCACCCCATAGCAATGCTGAACAAGGTTTTGTGGCAGTTGCTGGTCCTCAGCCTCGGAATCCTGGGGGGACCGATCTTACGCCCAATGCCCATATACCGTATTTCGGAACATGTAGCCAAGACCTGATGTCGAAAGGGCGGATACGTGTCTGCTAGCAGCTCAACATTTCTCGTGTAATCGTGTTGCGCCCCACCATGTGTGAAGGTGCATCATTTCGTACAATCATTGTGTGGTAGCGACGCGTGCGGCTACCGGCAAGGCTGTCCACGATCGAGGAATCTGAAGAAAAAATAAGATACAGACGCAATCCATCGGCTGGAGGTTATGTTCACGGCACCGGTAGCACCAATTGGCTCGTGGTCGGCGACTCTTCGTCAAATAAACAAGCCTTCCGGACGCTGATTCGTGACCAACTCGGCTCCGCTTGAACGAGGCGGATGATCCGGTAATCTGGCCACGAGGCTGGACAGGGAAGAAATCTCGAGCATTGCGTCCTCGCAAAGTTGCTGCTGATGCTGGCCTTGATGGATGTGATCTGGGATGCATGTGTGTGATTTTAAGACAATGCGACTGGAATGCAACGTCGTCCTCGGGACCCTAGCTGCAAAATTAGCGACCCTGCACCTCGAAATAGCGATAGCATGACCAAGCGGTCATCACAACAGCTCGCCATCCCCAGCCAGCCAGCCATCAAGCCTTGCGCTCTTGGCCTTGCAATGCTGCGAGGCGGCGTGATCCGACACAAGGTTCTGACGGGACCTCTCGTTTCTTTTTGATTAGCTGACCGAATCGGCAACGCAGCCTTCTCCCAGCTGTACGCGTCTTCTTGCTTGATTCATGGTAGGCTCGATGAGCATCGTTCAGGCTGGAGTTGAGAGGCCCAATAGGCGTTCAGTTCGCCTCTTCAGGTGGTGGCTGCAGGAAAGCCGCCCACTCAGATGGCAAGTGCGAGGCTGACGCCGGCTGAAAACACAGCCTTGTCGCACTCCACCTCCCCCCAGCGAAAATCGGTCTATCAGGCAGCTGCATAAGTGTATTTGGCACGCCCAGCCCCCGCCCTCAGATCGACTCAGAAACACATCTGAAGTTCTTGACACCTCGACATCCCACCATCCCTATCCCCATCAGCCTTAGACGCCGTTTGAAAGACCGGCCCCACCCAAAGGAGGAAATCGACTACCAGATCCGTCCACCACGTTGCACCAGGATTCGAATCTCTACCATAGCCTTCCTGGACCCTGATAGCATCATCAGGTGTACATGCCTCCTACGAGAACAAGAGCAAGGATGAAGGAAGAAGCACCCGCTACCACCACCACCATCTCGACGGTGATCCAGACTAGTGATCCCGTTGGGCCGCAGTCGACGTCAAGGGAAACCCTCATCACAGCTCTCATCAAAAATGACACGCCTAACACTTCTCCCACCTTCCAAAATTCAGCGAAGACTCCGTCGCGCAGAGTGTTGCGATTGAAGTGTCCGATCTGCTCTGACTATCCCGACGGCTTCCGGAGTGAGCATGAGTTGCGCCGTCATACCAATCGCGTCCACAAGAAGACGCGTAAGGTCTGGGTGACCATTGACACGTCGCCGGATAAGTCTTTCCTCGCAAATTGCAAGGCCTGCCAGACCGGTAAGAGGTATAACGAATGCTACAATGCTGCTTCACACCTCCGCAGGATGCACTTCCACCCGCACAAGCGAGGCGAGAGGAAGATGACGGCTGCAGAGGCGCGTAAAGGCGGGAAAGCCACAGATCTGGACCCTCCCATGGATGTCTTGAAGACAAACTGGTTGCGAGAGGTGGACGAGTTCGTGGATGGGGATGATTCGCCTATGGATGATGTGAGGAACGACTCCTTGACTCAACCACCATCGCTGCTGCAACCACAGCCTCAGCAGCAGACCACCGGTACGAAAGCCGACTCAAAAGCGCCACCAACCCCAACAACTCCCTCTACCCGTTCGATGGCAATCGACAGTATCGTAGATAAGGTCGATGCTGCTTGAGCCACCTTGTGTGGAGGTCTCCGAGGATACAAGGCACATACCTCGACAAGCTTTCGAGCTCGTAAGAGCACCGCCTCAATACTCGCACCCGATCACATGAAGAAATGTGACACCGATGAGCGTGTCATAATAGCCTTGCAACGTAGGGTAGGCGGCCTAGTCGATATCAGCCGGCGAGTGGTTCCAGGGCTGCAGGCGCACCTCTTGGTCCTTCAATAATAAGGCTGCTAAGCGATGACACCAACGTCGAGCTTCTTCGGCCTTGCACTGTCCTCGGCCAATGTGTTCGGTCGCTGTACATTGTATTGTTGAGCGCAACTGTGCCAACAACTTGATGCGTTCTGCATTCAATAGAAGGGGTGCAATTCACTCCACCCCGCTAACCCAAAATCTTTCGCAAAAGCAAGTAGCGTTTGGACTCTGTAGTGAGGCTAGAAAACGAGAGACGCTGGTGCCGGTGAGCGGTCAGCCTTGTCGTGTTGGGCCATGGTGAACTAGGATTGTAGTCAGCAGGATACGATATTGGCAAGGCGCCCTGTGAAAGCTCCACTTGTCCCATGCTCTTTCTTCAATAGTTTTGAGTCTTCGCGACCCAGTCCAGATGTAGACAAATAGCGCGGCTTATATCACTGAGCACGACGCGTCGTCGCGTGCTCGAGCATTGATCCTGAATCATGCCGATATGTTACGCCTAGGAATGCATTTTCTGAATTGTTGGGGTTTTCGACATCAAGATGTTGCGAACAAAATGCTGGATGAGTATAGAGTAGAATGTACGCAAGGAATGAAGTGGGTTTAAGAGCACCGCAAGTGTAGATCGTCCTCGTCCCAGTTGTGTGGAACCGCGGCGCGGGTGACGTGTGACCTCCGTACGCGAGATTGTGGGCAACTACCTCGCGAATCCTTTCTCCGCCAACACAAACACAACACAGAGGTACGCGTTCTCACACACGCTGCAAGACCAGGTTGTTTATCATCAATTCAGTACGTACGTATTTGCAGCCACCACAGCGACCTCGAACGACCTACGCGCCGTCTTGTCGATGTACTACTCTCTACTCCAGTGGGACAGCCTGCGAACTACCGAAGCCAACGATGACTGTAGCATCACTACAACTTGGGCAAATTGCGAGCATCGAGTTCGCGACCACAAGACATCGGACTTTCAAACCGTATAAATCTCTTCACGAGTTGCAACGATGGCTTGGAAATACTGGAGAAACAATGTAAGAAACTTTGTCAACTTGGGCAGGCTTTATAGCTTGTCGCAAAAGGAGAAGATGGAAATGGATAGACTACCTCGTCTACCCAAAGGACGTTATACTGGTTTCCCACGCCATGGTGTGAATCTGGGCAACCTATTCAGAGGAACAACCATTTATGATTATATGCAACCTCCAGGCTGGGCATACTTTGAAGATGGCTCCATATTTGTTGCGCGTGCCAGGTACGATCATCACGATATGCAGCAAATCATGAACTTTGCTGCATTTTTTCTGCGGGACCCTTCCAATGGAAAACGTGCTTTGAGGAAGGAGCATACTGGCCAAACGCAGCTGATTCTGTTGGAGTAAGTGACTTCGACTGTGTTTGTGAGCTATTAACGAACGCCTGCATTAGGAGAAACGTTGCTCATGAGGTCTATGGCCATGGGCGCTTTCACTTGTACGCTCGATACGCTCATACCGGAGAGAATTTCTTCGCTCCTTCGTCGCACTATTGTGCAGTAAGCCTAGAACTAGACCCGACACAAGCCTTTCCCATCTCTATTGCCTTCTACAGTCGGATGAGTCAATCAATCCTTCCGCAAAAGAACTTCACCCACGGTATACAGTTACTCCATACCTTGCGGACATTCCGCGGCACCTTGATCGATGGAGCCTTGCAACCAAACGTTCGCCCGAGCAATAGACTGGAGTTCTCAATCGACCCGTCAGCCGCACCGGCTTCTCCACTACCGGCCGCGCAAGTGGCTGAGAAGGAAATGATATCACAGCAAGGAGGGATTCAAGAACAGCAAACAATCACAGCATCTAAAGAATCCGGGCGACAGCCACAGACTTTACTACAAGAGCACAGAGCCTCTACCACATCTCATGAGAAGTCTCTGCTACATAAGCACCATTCAAACAAATCCGGCTCTACATGGGTGCATGTACAAAATGGGAGTATCGCACAACCAGGGGTGCCAAGCGCGCCGGATAAGAAACGCAAGCCCCAAAAGAAACGAGGCCCCTGTACCTCAGACATCGAGTCAACAACTGCACAGCTCGAAGCACGAGAGCGCGAGTTCAAGCACCGGGAAGATCTGCTGCTCTGGAAGAAAAAGGGTTGGAAGCTTGAGCAAGAGCTAGCTGAGGCCAGGAACGTCAGCAAGGTGCCAGGGTCCTCAGAGCCTAAAGAAAGAAGTGTGAGGATCCAGAAAGTCATGTGGGGCCCATCCAGGCAGACAGATGTGGAATCCGTACAGGCAGAAGCGCAGAGAGCGGACGCTGAGTCGATCTATGAGTTTCTCAATGACGATGAGACTACGCCTCTTAATGCTCTCGAATTGCTTCGAAGGACATGCCGAAAGGATTGAACCATGGGCAACAAATTGGAGTGTCGACAAGAAAAAGTAACACACTTCCATACACTACTGTGCGACTTTGTCTTATTTAGCACTCAGTCGCAAAGACAGACCTGTTGCGGCCTAAAGAAGGAGACTTGGGAATGCAGTGCGATCTTTGAATTACGCCGATACGACTCGATCACTCGTGCCATTTGGAAAAGGGTCAAGGATCGCATGCCGCCATTGATCAGAGTGCAAAAGCGCTCAATATACATACTCTTTGCGGCTAAATGTCGCGACAAGCCGAAGGTACTGTATACTATGTAAACCACCACCCAGTAGACAGCTAGGGTCCACAACACTCGGCCATTGTCCTTCCACCGTCGCCATGGTCTTTGCTCATGGCTGCACTGACACAGATTGAACGCAAACAAAGACACAACGAACAAGGAGCTGAGCCATCCACATCTCGCTGCTCCAAGTGCACATATACCCACGAAGTCATCACATCATCCAAAATATGACCAAAAAGTCACGGCTCAGGGTAATAGTGTGTGATTCGCAATCTGATTCTATTTCAGGGTATCCAAGTACAAACAGTTTTTCCGCACAGCAGCCGTAACCACATACAACATGGGAAACATCTTTATAAGGAAGGTACAACGCCTCAAGCACCAGTCAACTCCACGCTTGTTGTACAATAAGAAAACATACCGCGTCGACTCGACATTGTAGGATAGCGCAGTGTGCCGTCCATAGCAAGTCTTCGAGTGCGCCCTTGAGCAAGAGATGCCCACTTTTGGTGTCTTGGACACGACAATGCGCCACAATCCAGATGCAACGCCGATCCCGCGGCAAACAATCCGTTGTCCCCGCAATCTCAGGGCCTCCCCAGATTCAGGATCTGCCAGATCGCTCCGCCCTAGTCCTCCGCTTCTCATCGTGCATGCGGCCTTGTAGGACTATGGCTTTTATCACCCGTCGGCGTTATCGTGTCGCCGTCCACATTCGCCATCGATACATGGATGTTCGTTTCGACCTGGACTTTGATCCCATCTGATAGCGGACCCGTCTTGATGATTGAGTCCTGACTGCCTGTAGGAGAATCCTCGCGCAGAGAGTCCATTTGTGTTTTGCGTGTCTGACTGCGTCCAAGACGGTGATCGACTATGCGTGACAACCTGTTGCTGCCGCCGACGATGGTGACGGAGCGTGCCGGTACAGATTCCTTGTCCATGGACATGAGGCTGTAGTGTTCGATGTCGCCGGGCCGTGTAGCGTTGGTTGTGTTTACCGTTGTGACGACGGTGCGGTTGTATTGTGCGGTTGAGATATCGTTAGAAACGAGGATACGGCGGGTTAGTGCGTAGAGAAGGGCATCGATCCAACCGCATGATGTAAGGAGCGAGCCGGCGATACAGAAGAAGACGTCGGGCATGGGAGTGCCGGTCATTGCGACCATGCGGCCAACTGCGATAGGGAGCGTAAGGATCACGTAGATGGCTGGGTACATGACCATGAACTTTGTTGCGCGGGTGAGCTTGGTGGTGTCATTGTTGATGATGCTTCGGATGCGACCACGCAGATGGATGAAGACATGTCCGTAGATGGCGATGGTGCCGAACTCGACAATGAAGATCCATAGGTAGTGGAGCCACAAGCGTTCGTTCTGGTAATCGGATGAGACCCAACACTAGGTAAATGATCAGCTTCTAGTAGTAATTGAAGGCATCGCGCGCTACTTACCCATCCTCCGGCGCGCCCAAAGTAGCGATCCTGGTACATGGCCGGACCCAATATGGTCAAAAGCAAGACAAATGCCCACAGTCCCAGAATTGAAACGATGAACCACTTGTATGGCACCTTGTAGCCTTTGACGACACCCAACCACGTGTGGATAGCAATAGCAAGGACGAAGAAGCCACTCGATACATCGCCAATTTGCAAGAATAATGCCTGAATGAAGCAGGGCGCTGTAGGAGCCAATATCTTGTTGATACGAAGCCAGTGGAATGACATGACGAATGCGATCGCTTGCTGAAGGTCCGCCAGTAACAGATTGTAGATGAGAATGACATATTGGTTGTACCCAACGTATTCTCTATAGTGTTTCCGCCAGCTGATCAAACGATGTGTGATGAACATGAGTAGAGCCGTAACACTAATCAAAGACATCATGGCGAAGATGGTGACGGGGATAAGACCGGTTCGGTAGACAGGCGTGAGCGGATCCAGGCTGTTCGGGTTGGGGAAGTATCGCATCTCCAGGACGTGCCTGGGCGCCATATCGAAGGTTGCCATGTTGATGATTGACTGCGCTTGGATACTTCGGAATGAACGTTATGAAGTAGAATGAGGGATTTCTAACTCGCGATCTTCAAGACATTGTGCAGAACAAAGCGATTGATTGCAGCACCCTCAGTACGAAGACAGCCTGTCTCGTGCCGTCTGGTAAACGTAGGGTAAGCTGGTGAGGGCTGAGTGGATGCCGAATGGGAGGACGGTGAGATGGAATCCTTTATCGCGGGGACGATGTGGCTTGCAGCTGTATACAAAGGTACGTTGGCTTTAGATCTACTCCGTAACGGCGGACCCTTAGATGTTAGGACAATATTGGGAGAAAAATGGGAAAACAAGAGATTGCTAAGACGAGCCGGAGGAACCTACTTCAGTGGAGAACAAGGCCATAATAAAGTGACGGATCTTCAGTCTGCCACTGACTTGGGGCAGAAACGATACTAACGAGCATGCTGGTGCGGCATGCTTGACAGCTGCTAGCTCGACCTGGGCAGGGTTCAAGGGAAGGTTTGACGGGGGGGGGGGGGGCTCCACTCCCTGTCAGCCGGTATATAGCCAGCCGAATGGTTTGCCCCATTGCTGAGTCGTTGTGACACGGAAGTCGATCAATGGGGTACATTCAACGTTGTTGCCCATCCTGACGGTTACGCTGTTCCAGCTACTGATACCCGGGCTTGCAAGGTAGTTGAAGCGGATACAGCGTCAGGAGTGATGAAATTGCCAGGCTAATGTCGTGTGATGAGTCTCATGGGCCGGAGGCATTGGACAGACGGGCGCAGTCCGCAGCCACCACATGTGGATGCCCCTAAGCATGGGCGTGCATGTCTGTGCAATTCCCAAAGCGACAATGAGCAGCGCTGCCACAGAGCGGTGCCAACCGCGCGACCGTCCTAATCTATATGCACGTTCGGCAGCCACGATTCTACATCGTGTTGCTGGATTGTTGTTGCTTCATCACACCAGAATAAGGCGCGAAGGCGCAAGTCCAGATTGTGGAGAGCTGAGAGTATCAGGACGTCTCTTGTGCTGCATTGTTGTGCGGGGAGAGCTTCCAAGGTGCTTGGCCCTGGGGTTGTTTCTTGCTAGCCCGGTGTGGGGGATTGCCGCCAATTTCTGGGCTCATCCTTCAAAGCAATTCAGGGTGAAAGAGCTAGGAAAACTAGTCCTTCGCCAAAATGGCTTACCGCGCAGCCCGAATCAATGCGTTTACTTAATGCTTTCTGCACAAAACAGCTCTCAAAGATTCCAGCAGGTACGGCTACCGACTCCCCGTGCACGCAGTGTGACTGCCGCCTCTGAACATCAGCAGGGAAGGAGGCCCTTTTGTGTCCAAGGCGTCCACGGCCGAACGGGATTGCCATCGACTTGCCATGGGCTTGCGACATCCTAACAACAGACACTCAGGGTGGACCGAGATGAGGTCGATGCTCTGCGGGAATATCTCAAGTGTTCGAGTTTTCAAGTCTCCACATTGGCTCATCAGGCATCCAACACAGATGGTAGGCCAGCCATAAGATGATGGCTGACACACAACAGGCTTGACGTTCCAGAAGCTCCGGATCGAATGTTGACAAGTTCGATGGAACCTGGCTGTGCGACCAGGCTGTTACCTGTGGGTGTGAAACGGAGTGCAGGCGCGGCAAAGCACGCCACACAGCTGCAGGTCACTGCTGCAAGGTCATTGCGTTGAAATACTCAAGCCTCATGGATCTCAGGTTCCTAACCATTTCAACCGGTCTGGCACCGGCCCGAAGCTGTCTCGCGTCTCTCAGCCATTCGCACATGGCACACACGCAGCAAACCCGGGAGATCTTGCACGTGCATCGCGTCTATCGAGTGTCGTCACGAACTTCCATCTTCAGGGTACACCTCATGAAGTTTGTTCGCAGTCCCGAAGTCACTGAGAGGTTGCATGTTGTCTTCTCTGGTCTGGTCGCATCCTGGTCTCCAAGCACAACTTCTGGAGTACATATCCGCAGGATTCCATTCGTTGCATCTCTATGTATGGCCTAATTCCTTCAGTCGACAACGCCGCGGGCTTGCATGTCTTCAACCCATCGCTCTATTCGAGACTCGCGCCCTGAACACGAACAAGATACCAGTACCAAGACTAAGACGAACAAGATGCATGGATGCACTGTTCCCCGGTGTCAACTTTACCCCGCAGGCCCCCAAGTTCGAACATGGTTCACGTGCTGCATGGGTTGGTGTTGACGCCCATTGGAGCACATGCGCCGAGGCGCGTCAATCCAATCCTGGGGTAAATTGCACATTAGCCACCCAATGATCTTAACACAGAACTTGCTTCATAATTCGGACATACCGAGGTGTATCGTTGCCATTACCAGATTCATGGGGAGTATTAAGTGCGAGGTGCGTCTCACTTATCTTGGCGAAGACGCCTTTGGGGTACCGTGTCCGTGCGCGTAATGCGCCGAAATCCTCACCAAAATAGCCTATTTCTAGTACTCTTTAAGATAGTCCAGCTCTTTAGCTACAAGAGATATTAAAGAAATCTAATAGTAAGGTCATAGTAAATGACTGGATCTATAACTTTTGTATATAAATATTTTTAAAGTATAGCTATTCTAGTTTTTCTACTTCAAAACTACAAATTTAAGGTTGATAGATTTGTCTAAGGTACTGTAAGTTTCTCCATAGCTCCTCATCAATTCAATCACTGTTCTCAGGTACCAGCATACTTTGCGCAACCCCTTACATGACCACGTCAATACACTATAGCGAATAAAAGTTAGATAATATCATAGTAGGTATACAGACGATTAAAAGACTACCCTAATCGGCAAGATAAGTTTGTTGTATTTAATGGTAGATGGGATAGGTAAACGGACGTAGACCGGCAAAACAATAATAGCGATACATCCGACTTGCACTGATGGCAGTCGTTAACCTACGCGTGCGGCCGGATATACCAATGCGAGTTGCAACGGCGAGGTAAAGTGATCATTTGACTGCCTGGCGGGTTAAGAAAACATGGTAATTTGATGATTTCAACAACGATATATCAACGGTCCTCCACCACAAGCAATAAACAACACTTCCACTTGAACCAGTGCGCGAGGAGGTCAATAGCGTTCTATCAGCTCTGACATTCATTTCCTGCAACTCACATCCTCCTAGCTCGACCAACCGCAATTAGTAACCACCAACAGTATCATCAGTATACAACCTCGTCGCCCCTGGCCTCTCCTCCCCCTTCCCACCCTTCGCCTGCTCAGTCTTCTCCCTCGCCTGCTGCATAATCCACAGCCCACTGCTCGTCCCGAGCCTCGTCGCACCCGCTTCCAGCATCTTGACTGCATCCTCCAGACTCCTGACTCCACCGGACGCCTTGACCTGCATCTGCCTCTTGCTGACGCCGATCTTATGAAGGTACTCTGCCGCACCGACCATGAGCTGCACGTTGGGGAGCGAGGCGCCCGGCCCATTGAAGCCAGTGGAGGTTTTGATGAAGTCCAAGTTTGCGGCCGCTGCGAGGTGCGAGGCTGCGAGGATTTGCTGGGGGTTGAGTTGTGAGGTTTCGAGGATGAGTTTGATTACGACTGGGGAGGGGCAGAGGGATCGTATCGAAGCGAGCTCTCTGTAGATGGCGCTGTAGTCTGGGATCTCCTTGTCGCTACCAGCGGTGGATCCGGAGTTGGCGGCGGTATTGGCGGCGGTGATGCTGTCGATCGCTGAGTCGTGGCTGCGGATGAGTTGAGGAGAAGAGGGCTTGTTGTGCTGTGTGAGGAGAGAATGGTTGAGTACAAGGTCCAGTTCTGACGCGCCGGCAGCGACGCAGGCGCGTGCTTCGCGCAGCTTGGAGTAGGTATCTTGAGTGCCTTCGTGGAAACCGACGACAGCTGCTACGACGACTGATGAGCCTTTGAGGTTGGTGACGCAGCGTTGTACCCAGTTCAAGCGGACACAGACGGACTGAATGATGTTAGTTCTTGGTCAAGTTGTCTTTACAGTCTTGAGGACCGTTGTTCCTCAATCTCGACATCGCATACCTTAAATTCCTCTGTTCTAGCCTCACTGCACAAGCTATCGATCTGAGTGCTTGTCGCATCCAGCTTCAGAACCGTGTGATCGACTGTCTTTGCCAGCTCTTTCAGTGCCTCATTGCCGTTTCTCATCCTCGGTCCCTCATACACCTTCTGCGCCCTCTCTCCGCTCTCCACCTCTTTCAGCACCGCCTTCTGCGTCTCCGCAATCTGCGCCGCCCACTCCTCGTTCGTGTAGCGGTTCGTCATGACTTCAATGGGGCTCAGGTCAGCGTCAAGCGCAGGGTTTGCAGCCAGGAAGCCGCGGATCAAAACCTCAGACTCTGTCAGGGGAATAGGATGGGGATTCTCGGCAGGTGTAGACATGGTGGATATTGTTGATATTTAGCAAGGTGAGCCTAAATCGGGAATTTTTCGATAGATGGAATTGTCAGGCCGCGGAAAGACGGACGAGACGGGGCGAGATTCTTGGTGATTGGTGGTATGACGATGTGGGGACGACTGGTACGAGTCGAGTCCTTCCTCACGAGAATTTGCGAGCGTCACAATCAAGATTAAAGATGTCGTTATGGGGAAACTGTTTGATTATAGTCACGGCCTGGGATTGTCGGAGTTCGGCGAAACCTCGTCTTTTGCTCATCATGCGGGACAACTGTGCGCTTCAATGAACGTGGGGTCTGGACTACGCTTCTCCACTCGAGGTCACAAAAGCGCAGCCAAGACTGAGGTCCTTCTTCAACGGGAATGGTCGAACAAATTTGTCCCAGTGTTACTTTCGCAGCTTGGGATTAGGGCGGTGAAGTTGCTTCGAAAAGGGCAAGTGGAGCCCCAAGACCTTCAAGCAACTGGCGTAGTGTGGGACAATATCAGCTTGACCTGTGAAGGGAAGGATCATTAGATAGACGTTGACTGATCAATTCACCACGTAGCTAGTCAAGTCACGTCAATCAGGGGAGGGGAAGGTGAGAAATTGACTTTCGATTTACAAAGGACCGCGTGCTGCGGAGGTATCCTCGATTGCAAACCGGTCCTCGCCCTCAGATAACGTATCCAGAGCTCAGAGATGCCATCTCCCCTTCCACATGCATGTACATAAAAGCTGTGAAAGAGATGCCAAACAGAAGGGAATAGATCGAAGGAGAAAGGGTCGCCCTATGATCAACGCTGAATATCCGGAACTCCCATTTTGACTTTTGCATTGACTCGAGTCGAAAGATCCCTCTTCTATCCCGCAGTCGGATCGATCGGTACCAATGAGATCTACCCCCCTTATTCCATGATAGTCGTCATCGTAACCCGTCAAATCCCACCGTCATCGTTCCGGAAGAGTCGCTTACTTCCTGCGGAAAGAGCAGCCCTCAGTCAGGCGGGCCTTACCACCGGTAGGCTGGCACCTGTTCCATTATTAGCCCATGTTTCATCTTTGTCCGTGATGATCCTTGACTTACAGGACCTGCGAGCAGCCCTGGCAGACGACGACTGTGTTGGCGTGCGAGAAGACGGTGGTGATGGTGAAGCATCCCGGGCACTTGACGTCCATGAAGAACGAGCGGGGAGCGGGGACGAGGGTCTTGAGCTTGTGCTTGCGGGCCTCACTGAATGCATGTTAGCCGGCAGTCGAGGGAGTAAATCGAAGGGTGTAAGCGTACGCGGCGGGCGAAGGGTTGAGAAGGTCAACAGCGAGAACCTGGGCTGGTGTTAGCATGCGAGGTCCATTGAGATCCTGCTCGCGCGCAGGGCGGCCGTAGAAAGTTGCGATGTGAAGATTCTGTGGCAAACTCCGAGGCTGTCGTGTGCAGACCACACGAAATCTCCTTGCACGCTCCCTGCGGGCTCGCGGCGTTTTTCACTCACCATATTGTCGGTTTATGGGGAGTTTTCGGCTGAAAAGTTGTCGGCAACGGGCTCAGTTGATGGTATGGCGCGAGGATGCGTAGACGCTGGACGGCTTTCGAGAGTCAAGGCAGGTGCGAGGGGAAGTAAAATCGAAGCCAGCAGTGGGCGCTTGGCACCTTCCTCGCCGCTAATTCGTCTGTGCGTTCGCTAAGTCGCTCCTTCCCGGAACACCAAACATCAATTCACTGTTCGATGACTGGATGCAACTTCGACATTCTTCTAGGCAGCAAAATGTTGCTTCGAGAACACCGACTCACTCCAGACGCGGTGCAATTGTAGCTACTGTTGCGTTGTTGCAGTCGTTGCGCAAAATCAATGACGGCAAGTGCTGTTCACCGCGAAACTTTGCCCTCGCCCCCTCAAGACCCACATGCACCCTTCGGCGCCATCGTAACAGCTAGCAACAGCCGTTATATCAAAGCTGTCAAGAACCAAAGAAGACACGGGTTAATCGTACCGATATCTCATCAATGCCATGGCTCAAGGGATTGTCAGTATTACTACATTCTCAACATGGGTTGCAGGCATCCTTCCTAGAGATCGATCAGTGCCACCACGTGCTTGCGACGGTGGTGCGACTACCACAAAGTATGGGTCTGACTCTTGGAAAGTCGCGTGATCAGACATTATCAATCCCGGTTAGTCCAAGACAACCTTTGCTCTATCTTTTGAAGATTGCTGCATTGCTCAATGCATGCCCTCTCTGCTGCCGCACCGGTGCACAAGAAGTCTTGCCCTGGTGGTCTGGGTAGCTACTTTTATGGCAAAACATGGCGATCAAAGTGAGAGACTGACTCACCAGGTTCAGGAAGATATTCAGTGTGCTCCTCGTCGCTGTGAAGCTCCCGAGGTCAATTCTCAATAAGACTCGCTCTGACCATAAGACCGGCTCTTCTTCCGTGCTATCCATTTTTCCATGTCTCTGAAGCGAAGTACAAGATCAGCTCGAAGCATTGCTTATGATAACGTAAGTGTCAACGCTCAACTTAACGTTCTGGAACAGAAATATCCTCATACGGAGATGCTTGGCTCCGCCCGGTCATGCATGCATGCTACCTTTTCGAGATTTGAAGAGGTGACCAGGAGAAATCATGGTGAATGCGAAGGTGAAAAATTCGTACGCTAGTTCCGGATACGAATAAATATCAAATGGCGAGACCTTTGTACTTTTGACTGCGATTCAATCAACGACCGCTCAAACACTCCAACCGCCACCACGGACGAGACCAACGTCACAAGCTACCTTCTAACTAAGGATGACGAAAGCCTCATCAAGTTCTACAATCTAGCATGGACCCTCAGAGACAAATTGTGCAAGAACAAAGCAACAAACGAGTAAATTACCGACCTGACTGACCTTTGTCTGCGACTCACGCGCCGAGGTGCTCCTGGAAACCGCAGTTAATCATATCCTCGAACTGGGGAACGCGAAGGTAAACCCTTCTCCTGTAGTGTTGAGTATCGCCAGTATACTGACGATGTCAGTGGAAGGGCGTGATCTTCCCAGACACAAGCGAGCAGATGAGGCGCTTCATCGAGACGGTATACACTACCAAAAAGTGGCAACTCCCGAAAGTCTTGACGTAGTGTGTGGATCATTCCTGTGGAGAGAGTGCTGGCAATCTAAGACTTGAAAACTAAGTTTCAGGGAGATCATCATCGAAGACTTGGAGTGACGAGAGAAAAGTGCGCGGGAGGCGGGACGATTTGCAATGCTCGAAAGGTCAACTTACAAAAGCGACGACTGTCGCCAAATGATCCAATGGCATGCTCACGGGATATTCCGCTATGTTGAGAAACTTGAATGGTGGCCAACCTCTAGAAGGCCAGACGGCACTCAGAATGTATACAACATTTGAACTCTGAACTATCAATCATCAAGCGTGTCTTCAGATCATGAGAGAAGCAATGGCGGTGTAAGATGGTTCAACCTATGATCGGCCAGGAGTCGTACCGGATTCAATTCTGCGCAGGTCCTTCACCAAAAAAGTGCAGCGTTCGTTGTTGCACGTTGCATCGAGTTTGTCCACCCAAAAAGTCCACGCTAAAGTGCGAGATACTTCCTAATTGATCACAGAGCCCCACATTCCTCACTGGCTCCGGATCTCCATAGCAGCCACGACGAACGTGGTAGGTACAGCTGCCAACAGTATTTATATAGTTTTGATCGAGCCTCTTATTCCTTTCGTGACAAACAACCCACACACAAATCATAATGGCAGCCACACAGAAGAATATGCAAGAGATCGAGAAGGCGAAAGCCCTCAACCACGTGCCCTGGTGCGAAGAGTACGAGAAGATGATTTCAGGCATGCTGTACATGCTCCTCTCTATGCAAATCTCTAGCACGAACTCATACTGTCCAGCTACGCATCCTTCTCCTCTGAACTCAACCGCGCCCGGTACAAAGCACGCGCCTTCGCCCACAAATTCAACACCTGGTTCCCCGACCCATCCATCGATCCCAACGAAGGCTTCAACGTACTCACCTCGGAGCGCCTCAAGCTCCTCCAAGGAATCATCGGTCACCTGGGCGACGACGAGATATTCATCGAGCCGCCCTTCAACATCGACTACGGCTGCAACATCTCGCTCGGCAAGCGCTTCTACTCCAACTTCAATCTTACGATCTTGGACTGCAGTCTCGTGACTATTGGAGATAGGTGCATGTTCGGACCTAACGTGAGTATTTTCGCTGCGACGCATGAGAGCGAGGTTCAGAGTCGAAGGGAGAACGTTGAGTATGGGAGGCCGGTGGTTGTGGGGGATGATTGCTGGATTGGCGGGAATGTGGTTATTCTTCCGGGTGTGACGATTGGGAGGGGGTGCACGATTGGAGCTATGAGCGTGGTAACTAAGGACATCCCAGAGTTCAGTGTTGCTATGGGTCAGCCGGCGAAGGTGATCAAGAAGGTCACGCCTGTGCCTGAGGGGTACGTCGAAGCGCAGTAACCTCCCTCTTTACGGTTCGAACAGCTCTACGCGGCGAACAAAAGCACCGTTACTTCGAACTTGAAAGCGTCTTGCTTCCACCACACTTTGTGAAGTGCTATGTAGTGATAGCAATGACTTGCTGCAGACAAGTCTACATGTGGGCACACAGTCGCAACGAAAATTACTGGCGCGTTGTTGCCTTCTGTGCTTGTTCTGCGAAGCGCCTGGTTTCGCTCTAAAACATACGTCTCCATCAACAGCAGCACCACGACAGTATTGCCGCTCCTAAAACATATAGACAGGCTCTACTGAGACCTACTGACATTAGAATACTATGCAGAAGTCGCTGCAAGCGGTGTGCCTGCTGTTGCACACGGTTTTGCACAATCTTAACATACGATCTAGTACCTCCAAGTTGAACCATTGCTAACACTGGCTAGCGCAAGACATCCTTACGCGCCCCACGGAATGCTTACAGCGTTAGATAACCCAGCCTTGTTACATGGCGCCGCCTGCGGCTATGGCTGCGCAAAGTCTTTGCGCACCGATGCCGACGTAAGTTAGAAGCGTTCAGTCAGCACATAGGCATGCGGCTTAATTGCAGTCCCAAAAACGTCTCTACTTAGCAGGCAAGAGCATTGCAGAACTGCCTGCGAGCGCATGCTTAACCAGTACACACATCTGCAAATGTCGAGGTCAGCAGCTAGCAGTTCCAACAAATATCGTATGTAGACTTGTTGTATTGATCTTTGCAACAGCTGGCTATGCCATCTGTATTTGCATCTGTGAATTCACGCTTCTCTAGAGGCCTGATATGTTTGTGAGCACGCTACTGCAAACAACCGCATGCCCCGACACACAGCTCTATCGCAGCCTGAGCAGAGTCACGCGTCCAGAAGAACACCCAAGGCAGACTATGTCCTTGTACGCTGCTGTCTCGTATGCTCGATACTCAAACGGCAGCCACAGAAGTCGCTTGATGGTTTTGTTCGGCGTAAGGGGCTGTTCGAACCGCAGGGAGGGAAGTTAGGTAGGAGTATGGTCGAGCGAAAGGACGTGAGAGGTAGGGTTCTGCAAGGCGCAAGATGATAGACTAGACAATGACCATCACTTGTGCACACACCACTACAATGCTTGAGCGCAGTGATGTCAAGATCGACAGGGTCTGCTGTGTCGGTTAGGTTAGAGCAAGGTCAATACATCCTAGTAGTGCAATCAAAGCAAAACCAGAGCACATGTCACTGCAGTACGGAAGAACGGATGATGGCAGCTTGAAATTTTTGGGCAGATAGGCTACACGCTGTTTATGAAGGCCTTCCACCAGTCGAAACCGTGCGGGATATACTAAAGTCGTAGACAGCACACGTGCCCGAAATGTCATCCCGTCATGCCCAACGCCGGTCACCCATGAATCATTCCTTTTGACGTAGGATTTACTCCTCGTCGTCCTCAGCGGCATCGTCGTCACCACCCTTGTTGGCAGCGGCGGCCTTCTTCCTCCTGACACGGCCGGGGCGGCCTCCACCAAAGGGCGAGGTGAGAGCGAAGTCGATGTGCTTCTGGGAGTCGAGACGGACCATGAAGGAAGGAACGTTGACGATCTGCTTGCCAACACTGCGCATTGTTAGCAATGCATTCTCTCGGCACAGCGACTCCAGGGCTACATACCGGATGTGACGCTGGCGGATGAGCACACGAGCGTGGTGGATGGACTTGGCAAGACCGAGCTTGTAGACGCAGGTCTGGAGACGGCGCTCCAAGAAGTCCTCAATCTTGAGGGCCAAGACGTAATCAAGCTTCATGCGGGACTCATCGAGGACACCAACACGGACGAGACGGCGAATGAGGGCGTTACCCTCGAAGAGGCGCTTGGGATCCTTCTCGTCGAGAGTCAAGAGCGAACTATCGCCAAGTCAGAAATGTGCGGCCATTGTGCAATGTCAGCGCGATGCATGCGCAGATGGAACACTTACCGGGCAGCACGACGAATCTTGGAGAGGGTGAGCTGGACGCGCCACACCTCGCGCTTGTTGCGCAGACCATACTCGCCAACGAGCTTGAGCTCAGTGTCCCTGTTCCTCCATTAACCAGGTGTCCCAGACGTAAGCGGAGCAAGCTCGCGCTCAGTGGCCGTGGGATGTGAATACGTACAGACGAGCGGACTCGAAAGGACGACGGGGGACGCTGTACGTCTTCGAGTAGGAACGGGGCGCCATTGTTGTTGTCGTTGGTTCAGAAGAGAAAGTTCGGTGGTGTTCTGAGAATTAGAAGGTGCACTGTGCGTGCACGGTCCCGATATCTTGTCTGGGCCAATGGCGCGCGAGGCAGGAGTGGACCGCTAAGCGAGGAAAGCGCAGCCCACGGCTCTCGAAATTCGAACATCACGATAGTGCCAACCTTCAACACCACGACTAACCGCCAACACACACAGTCACAATGGGTCACGCAGCCGGTCTCCGCGCGGGTACGCGCTATGCGTACGTTGAGAATGGCAGGAATGGAAATGCGACAGCCCGCTGACCGCCCGCAGCTTCTCCAGGGACTTCAAGAAGAAGGGAATGATTCCTCTCTCGACCTACCTCAAGCAGTACAAGGTCGGTGACATCGTCGATGTTGTTGCCAACGGTACGCTCCCCCCGGACAGCGATAGTCGCAGCTAGAAACTCATACAATGCAGGTGCTGTCCAGAAGGGTATGCCCTACAAGGTCTACCACGGCAAGACTGGCATTGTCTACAACGTCACCAAGTCGTCTGTCGGTGTCATTCTTCACAAGCAGGTTGGCAACCGATACCTCGAGAAGCGCATCAACGTCCGCATCGAACACGTCCGCCACTCCCGCTCGCGTGAGGACTTCCTCAAGCGCGTCAAGCTCAACTTCGCCAAGCAGCAGAAGGCCAAGGAGACTGGCGAGAAGCAGCAGATGAAGCGCATTCCCGCACAGCCCCGTGATGCCAGGACCATCAGCCTGACGGACAACAAGCCGGAGAACATCACACCGGTACCTTACGAGACAACGATCTAAGTGGACGCTCGGAGGCTAGTCGGTGGTCAGCAACGGCAAAATGGGAACGGATGGACAACGGCGTGGTTTCTCGGATCTCAAACTTTTCTCTCTTCTGCACTTTCACCAGCATGGAAAGCGGCGAATTCATGGTGCAGACATGGTGTGCCAACATGGCTATGAGTTATCCCTCACGCCAATGAAATATCATCCTCTAGTCCCAGTCCATACCCTCAAATACCCATGAACATCCAACACCTGTGCCCCGTTAGTGTGAGTCGTGACTGTCGCTCTCTTATGTCTTGCACATTCTTTCAACATAGCAAGAAAGGACGGCTACCTCCCTACGGTTAATGGGTATTGGCAGTCCATCGAACGCCTCTGAAGGTAGCTTGGATGCATTTGATGCATAGCTGAACGTCAATGACATCAACGCTGCTCATGTCTGAAAGTCTTTCAGTTTTCGGTATAGAGCAGCCATCTTGAGATTGCGAGTCTCCAGTGGCTTTCCGCCAGGACGGCGTATGTGCTCCATGTTTACACCGAACCAACGTATGAAGCCTCGACGGCATCTTGTCCTTCAGAAGGCTGTTTCTAGAACTCAATTGCACGAACTTGGGAGTATTCAGGCTGTATTGCATGCCATCTTCGTTACACTTCTTCACTATTGCGGGTAGTGGTCGCCAGAGTAAGGTGTATGATCTATTCAAGATTCCGTCAACTACACAACCGTCCTTTCCTCTTGCCTACACAAACAAGTTGATTAAACAATAAGCCAAAGCCAAAGGCAAGGTAAGCATGTACAATAAAGCGATATAAAGTGTGAACAAGTCTATGCAACGACAACGCAAGAAATCTTGAGAACAGGATCAAGTTTGAACGTTTACCAGTGCAGTGGTAAGGCTCGCTGGTAGGCCGTGTCTCGTACGCTTCTCCATCTTCTCGAAGCTCGAGCGAGAGACTTTTGAAGCCTGATCGCTTTTGCTAAGATCCACAACATCAGCTACAAGTAAACGACATAAAGAAGGGTATGAACGGAGCGACGCGGAAAGACGTATCGAGGTGGGAGTCGTGTCGGCTTGTGTCGGAAGAAGGTACAAGGTGATGCAGGTGTATAGGTATGCTGATGGTGTCGCAGGTAGGGAAGGAGGTGGGGCTGCGTAGGATCATAGGATCGTACAGCCGCCGCTCTTGTCTTTGCTGGTCTTAACCTGCAGAGCGACACGGGCGGCTTCTGTGAAGGCTTCGTTGACACCACGGTTCTTCATGGCTGAGCATTCTGTCCCACATATTAGTCGCATTCCCAAGCGTCCTAGTGAGTCTGTCATACCAAGGTATCGCAGGGCCTTGATCTTCTCTGCCACTCGGAGACCCTCTTCATAGTCAATGCATGGCTTCTCTGGCTCTGCGCCCTCAGCATCGTCGTCCTCGCGCTTCCTCAGATCACACTTCAATGCGACCAGGACGAGCTTAACGTTGGGGCAGTTCTCGGCGATCTCACCGACCCACTTGGTCTCTACGTTCTCGAGAGAATCTGGCGAGTCGACGGAGAAACAGAGCATAATGGCGTGCGTGTCATCGTAGCTGAGAGATCGTAGCCTATCGAATTCCTCTTGCCCGGCGGTGTCCCATAAGCTCAGTTCCACATGGGTGTTGTCGATATAGATGTCTGGATTGTTATGTCAATTGATAGATTCGAGAAAAGATCCTTGAGATAGGACGAACCGTGGACGTAGTTTTCTGAAGAGGCGTCAGCATAGTTATGTATTTACTTTGTCTAGTAGATGCTCACCGAATACTGTAGGCTCGCTGAGGTAGACTGCGGTTAGCCAAATGCGCACATCTCAGGGGCGCATCACTCACTATACTGTTGGGAAGTATCTATGTTATCAGTTAGCGACCATCCTGCCCCATCGAGATCGCATTCCAAAGCAACATACCCTCTTGTGAAGACGTTTAGTAGCGATGTCTTGCCGCATGCGCCGTCGCCGCTGTCAGATGTACATTAGCCTGCTCCAATGGCTCTACCTGCCCGCTCAACTCCTCCTCCCCCTCCTCCTCTAGATCCCAGGAACGTACAGGAGTACCAGCTTGCGCTGCACCGACTTTGTTCCACCGCACATAGGCATCGTGAAGGCTGAGAGGGTGGACTCGGCGATCGATTCGAGGTGTTGTCGGCGTGCGTGCGCAGTGGTGACACGGGGGTTGTCGGTGGTCGTAAGCTGTGCGGAGGTTGGTGAGCGAGTGTCGTACACTAAGCAGAGGCCGGTGGGATTTGATGATAAGTGCAGAGTGAGGTCGGAGGCGTTCCAGAGCTGGCCGGGCGATGTCTTCGGTAGCGATGGGGAAGGTCGACGATCCAAGAGCCAGCGTTAAACCTAATCAAGGTTCAACTCAGCGACACCTCCGCGAGCCATCGCCGCCTTTCCACCATGCTCCGCCGGAACGAGGCGCAGCGCATTTGCTAGCAGCCGCGCCGATTGGCTAAATGCTGGGGTGTGCACTTACGATGTCTGTAGAAATACAGTGATTGTAGTGTTATCGATGCTGTGCACGAGAGATGTTGGCAAGAGACAGATGTTGAAGAGGGTTTAACGTTTAATGAGGTCGATGAACCAGAAATAACGGTGCCTGGATGATCGCGACCAACGGAAGGAGCTGCTAGCCGACCAGTGCTGGCAGGAACTTGGATGCACTTGGGGTCACCACGTGCCCAATACCTGGGCAACCGAGAAGGCTGGGACTGCATGTTGTGCATCACTGTATACAGTAATGGAATGCCTTTGACATTCGCCACAACATGCTCCTCAGACCACCTGTGTCTGTTGCATGGACAAGTCGTAATTGCACGTAGTCCGGTTCTCAAAGATCAGATATCTTCTTCCATGGCCTTGATATTCGCGTCGCAGTGCAGCATTGGGGCTGAAAGAGCAGCCTGGAGATTCAGACTATTGGCACCACAGACGTTCCCACTCTGTAACATTGTGAAAGGCTCTTGTGAAAAGGCCAATCCGAACATTGAATACCTCAGGCATGGATGTTGATGCAGCGCAAGGCTCCGAGCTAGCGCGCCCCACTACCTACATATCGCGGGGGCCGACCACAGGCAACACCGTCTTGCTGAACAAACAATGCCACCTTCACCTTCACACCGACCACTCAACCGCACGAGAACCGTTCGCTACCGTACCGCCAACACCGCTGCAGCTTCACATACACGCTGACGCCCCTAAACGCGCACAACCTTTCACAGTCTCCACTCGCGCCACACCATGTCTGACGACGATGATTTCATGCAAGATTCTGGGGAGGAGGAGTATGCAAACTTGAAACCACATATTACCGCTCAAGCTAATGGCAGCGCAGGTATGACTTTGAATATGAGGACGATGACGACGAGCAGAACGGCGATGTAGATATCGAGAACAAGTACTACAACGCGAAGCAGCTGAAGGTTGATGATCCGGAGTTGGCCATAGACGAGTTCCTGGGAATGCCCGCGCTGGAGGAAGAGAAGTCAGACTGGTATGGCACATACACTAAAGCTCCAACTCAGCTACCGGCGTTGACGGAGACACAGGGGATTTAAAGGTTTAAAGCAGGCCATCAAGCTCGAGTTCAAGCTGGGGCGGTACGATCAGGTAAGTTGTCTTCACATCGCATTTGTGCGCTCAGCTAAATCAGTGCAGGCTGTCGAACACTACAAAGAGCTTCTCACCTACGTCAAGTCTGCCGTTACACGTAACTATTCCGAAAAGTCCATCAACAATATGCTCGACTTCATCGAGAAGGCCGCCGAGGATGCTGAAGCGTACCGTTGCATGGAGAAGTTCTACGCATTGACCCTCGACATCTTCCAGAGCACCAACAACGAACGACTATGGCTCAAGACAAACATTAAGCTTGCAAGGCTGTGGTTGGATAGGAAGGACTACCGCCAGTTGACAGAGAAGCTCCGCGAGTTGCACAAGGCATGTCAGAAGGAGGATGGTACAGACGACCCAAGCAAAGGCACATACTCATTGGAGGTGTACTCGCTGGAGATCCTTATGTATGCGGAAACCAGGAACAACAAGCGCTTGAAGGTTTGTATTGCCGCCTCCCTCAATCAATCAGAGGCACCTAGTCAGCTCACCATCTGCAGGTACTGTACCAGCGAGCGCTTAAAGTCAAATCTGCCGTTCCGCATCCCAAGATCATGGGTATCATCCGAGAATGTGGTGGCAAGATGCACATGAGCGAAGGCAAGTACCAACCTTTCGAGACACGGGTCCGGCGCTAATGCGGCTTAGAGAACTGGAAGGGGGCGCAGAGTGACTTCTTCGAGAGTTTCAAAAACTATGACGAGGCTGGATCGTTGCAGCGGATCCAGGTGCTGAAGTATCTGGTTCTTGCAACCATGCTGTCGGGTTCCGACATCAACCCGTTTGACTCACAGGAGACCAAGCCCTACCAGAACGATCCCCGCATCTCGACCATGACTGACCTTGTCAACGCCTATCAGCGTGAGGACATCCATGAGTATGAGAAGATCCTGCAGAACAATCAGGATCTGCTCCAAGACCCGTTCATCGCCGAGAACATTGATGAAGTCACGCGCAATGTACGCACTAAAGCCGTCATCAAGCTTGTTGCGCCCTACACACGGTTCACGTTGGCGTTCATCTCGAAGCAACTCAAGATCTCCCTTCCCGAGGTCCAGGAAATTGTGGGATTCTTGATCGTTGACAAGCGGTTGCACGGTAAGATCAACCAGCAGAACGGAACGGTGGAGGTCGAGAGTAGTACCGACATGGACCGGGTACAGGCGATGAAGGAGTGGAGCAACGCCATTGGATCGCTGTGGCAGACGGTTCTGAACGACGGGGATGGCTTCAAGTCGGACGAGAGCGGCTCACAATTCGCCACTACCCCAGGTGAGAGCGGAGGCCAGCGTGCGCCCTGGAACATGAATGGCTTGGGATCTAAATCAGGGCGACCGAAAGGCAAGGGCCCCGCGGGACGCTTGGGAGTCTCGAGCAAAGGATGACCTGCAGGCACCGGTCTGTGAGCGGTTCACAGGACGACCTGTGTCTGGGTATTCGGGAAGACCACGGGATATCGCCAGTTACACATTACCGTCACTGAGGGCTTCGCTCACCTGAACCATTGAAACATGCGGCTTGGTTCCCCAGAAGCAGAGAACAGGGTTGGCCCAGCAGGTAGCACAAGGCGAAAGTACCCCCACCTAAGCAGCGATTCACAAGCGGGCGTCTCAGCAGAGGCGGACATGTTCGGGTGCACCTGCGCGCCTCTACCCCATTCGGTCAGCAGCGAGCTTCTGTATGTAACATCGGCCTCGTTTTCTCAAGTAACCAGCCAAGGAACCGAGTGCTCGGTCATAGCAGCCGCCCGCAGCCAGCGCCCCGCTCCGTTTCGTGATTTGCGAACTGCAGTCAGTACCCGTGACGCAGTGACTTTGATGCTCCGTCTAACAAGCAACGAACTGACCCTGCTGCGGGTTCCTTGTCCCGGGGAAGTCGGCAAGGAGTGTCAAGTGAGCAGCAGCCGACTAATCACAATCACGATGATCAGAATGCGCCCATAGCAGCACCTCTTTGCGGTCTGCCCTGGCTCGCTTGCAGCGTGGGGGGCACCGCAACGACAGGATGTCGCGGGTCGGACATTTCTTTTTCCTGCAGCATCGGCGCCACATTGCTGCGAGCGAATGGTGATATGCAGGAGGCCACGGTGACAGGAGCGCTCAAACGCGCGGTCATCAGGTCTGGGCGTGTGTGAGACGATGTGAGAATTCACTTTTACCTCGAACGACAGGGGTATGAGCTCTCTATGATGCTCAACGATTCCATTCCACCACGTAACACAGCGCCGCTACTGATCTCTTCCCCCCTCTGCTGCATGCACTACCAGCCTCACGCTCCGCAATTGATCCGGCGAGCGGCACTGGCAGAATGCTACTCTTCAATCTCGTAAGGAGGCCCGTTCGGTGAGACTGTGGATCGGCCATGGATGGCGACCAAGTATGATATAGGAGGAGAGTCAGTTGGCACGCCAATTTCGCTCGTCTGTGCTATCTAGACGAAGCTCGAAGCGATATCACGGCCCCGCTGGAGGGTCGCGTCCACTGCCTGTTGTGTGAATACCTTGCGTGATGTTGTCAGTGCCTCGTTGAAGGCGGCCATGGCTGCTTTTCTTTTGCTCGAGGTCGCCAGGCGCTGATTGTGTCCGCCCTTGAGGGCAGGAATTCCCTCCCTCTTGTACGCCGTCACGCTCGCCCTCTCCTCCCTCCGGTTTCACTTGAAGTAGCCCCATCGCTCGATGTGCATGAGGCGCCCCTAGCACTGACGATATCGATATTGTGCTTCTGCCCGTCTCCCAGGTTCCTGGTGCAACAGAGAGCCGCCGTTTCAATCCGCCAGAAGCCAATGTGTTGCAGAGCGCTCTTGTACCTGGTAGAGTGAATTCCACCAGCACGCGGCCAAGAGCGCTCCTGTCTCTCTCAAATACCTGCGTGCCCCTGGAAGCCGGTAGGTATCACAGCAACGACACAGCTTCCAGCCCATTGCCGCGGATCTCTGTACCTACTAAAAGACGCTGCCGCCCTCTGCTCGAAGGAGCTCGTGGACGATTGCTGCTGAACTCGCCTTTGCGTGCTGCCGAGTCTGTCGTGGAATCAACCGTCCAATTGCCAGCCCTCGACGCCAGTCACGCCGCCTACCGTCGCCCAAGCGTAATTTCGCACACGCAGAGAGGGAGCGGAGCGCATCGCCAGAACACGCACACACACACACACACACACCTCCTCCTCCTCGCCGCTACAAACCCACGATGAGTCGCCCGTCGGTGATGACGGGTGGCTTTCACCCTCACGGTGTTGGTCATGGTCACGTTCACCACGGCGGTCACTATGGAGTTCATGCACAGAGCGCCTACGACAGCGCGGTCCACTCAGGTTTGACGTTTGGTCGGCCGCTACCAATCCGCGCCCCGGTCCTCCCTCCCGCCTTTAACCACCAACACACTGGCCAGCACCAGCACGGCCGCACCTCCACGTTCAGCATGGCGGACCCCGCGTTTATGACGGCCGAAGAGGAGCATGCCTACATGCAGAAGCTGTCGAGCGAGTATGAGCCCGAGGCCACTGTGAGTCCCGCATCTACACCAGTGCCGCTGACTGAATACGGCAAACTGACCGCTGCCAGGGTCCGCTTGTCGGCGAGCGCCAGAGCAGCGCTGCCATCACCACCCAGTATGCCAACGCCGATCCCGTCTACAGGATCAAGACCGCCGCCCTGCCCGGCAAGTATGCTTACTTCCGTACCTGTCGCGGCGATGGCCACTGCGGATGGCGAGGTGAGTTGCAACGTGCCTTCCTAATGTTTTGTTTGCGCTAACATGCTTAGCTATTGCCTTCACGTACTTTGAAGCTCTGCTACGCGTAGGGGAATGGCAGAGGTTCCAAGATGAAGAAGGCCGTTTGAACTCGATGGGCAATCTGCTCGAGCATATTGGCTTATCCCGCGACATCTGGATGGATTTCGCTGAAGAGGCATTCGAGCTGCTGCGCAAGCTGGGCGACTCTGTGCACGCCATGGATGGTACTGCTGCCGACATCCTGCTCCAATCCTTCAACGACATGGGCATATCCATGGCCATCATCACCTACTTCAAGGCAAGTCCGGATCGTTTGGTTTGCAATCTCTTACTAACCAAGGCAGCTCCTTGCCAGCGCCTGGGTCCAGAACCATGCAGATGATTACAGACACTTCGTCCCTATGGGCGACGTCAAGGCATATTGCGCCAATAACATCGATCCAGCACAGTGCGAGGCTGACAACATCGGCGTAGCTGCTCTTGCCGACGCACTCGTCAAGCCTGCCGGCTTTGGCCTTGAGGTTTGGTACCTTGACCGCTCGCCAGGCGAGGAGATCAACCGCAGCTACTACGCGGAGCCCACACTGCCTGGTTCTCCTATGTTGCGACTACTCTACAGACCGTAAGTTTGCCTTCAATGACAACGCACCTACATACTAACCTTATGTGCTCAGTGGCCACTACGACATCCTCTACAAGGCCGAAGATGTTCCTTCACCAATCCACCACCAGGCTGTTGCTCCTCAAGCACCTCTCCAAGTTAACTTCACCAACTATGCAGATGAGTTTCTGCCGCAAGCCTCCAATTTCGGCGACGTAATGAGCATGCTTCCGGGCATGGGCCGTCCAAGCCTAGGAGGATGGGCTTCGCTCTCGTACGACTGCAATCCAAGCCCCGCGCCCCAGGCTCAAGTCACACCTATCCAGCCGTTTCCAAGCGCATCTATGTCTGCACCTCCTATCACGAGCTCGCTAGACTTTGTCACACCCATTTCCAACGGTCAAGCAAATAGGTACGACGCACCGCGTCACCACAGCATTCAGCTTGACCAGCCTCCCATCACCCTTCCGATGCATCCTGCACCGCCGCCCCCACCACCTGTCAGTATCGAAAGGACTGCACCCCTAGCAGTTGAAAGTGGTGGACCATTCAGGCCTTCGATGTACCAGCTGGAGCCCGGCTTTGGCTTCTCAAATCAAGCACAGCCCTTCCAGACTTCCATTTTTCGCAAGTACGTATTACCCATCGCCCACCATATCTCCATCCTAACAATTGGTAGCTCACACTTCAACACGGCGCATTTCATGAATCCAGACTTCCAACCTGAGGAGTGGTGCCCGGACGGAGAGTATGCGACAGGCAATAAAGGCCGTCACAAGCATCCATCCTAGTCGTCTTTCGCTGCAACCTTTGTACACATTTTTGCTCTCCTGGAGGTTTATTCCGACATCTTAGCGACTACTAGCGTCGGCGTTCATCGAGCTTGCGATTGCTTTCGTTTGCTACCTGCATTATCATCCGCATTGCTTCAACACTCACGACGACGCACGACCAACGATACCATTGTTAATCATTTCTCGGAACATTACTCTATTACTCTACTCTTGCATATGCAAAAGGGGCGGTACTGCTAGGTACCAGAACTCTTGACCATACGGCGGCATACATCATTTCACCCTGGCATTATCTACAAATCAAACTTTTGGGCGGAGTCCTCTAATACTGTTCTCTCCATCTTGCAACGCAAGCTGTGAGGACCTACGACTGACGAATACCAAAGACCTTCAACCTCAGGGTACCAACATTAGCGTTGATCATCATTATGATTTTCGTCACTTTGGAGTACTATCGACCGCCTGTTTTCGCCGCTCCCCTCGGACATAGCTATCCTGCCCTTCCACAGCACACGCAAACACTATTCGGTATCCGCAGTCTCCTCTCCTCGACTCTAAACCCTACTGCTCAAATCTCCCGCTCGGAAGCGAAAATGTCCTGGTCCCACTTGGGCGCGACTCAACGAAAATATTGGCATCGTGCCATGATCGGGCGCTTCGTACCGAAGGACTACGACTGCAGGGTTCAAGATGCTCGTGAGCAGATTCGGCACCTTCGGCACACAGGCCGGGAGTCGATACCACGAGCACAAGCAAACATCAGATAGAAGAAGGAACTGCACAAAAACAACCAAAATGAGGTACCTCGCAACTCCCAGTTTGCCGCGTGATTCCATGTGCCTTCCGTATCCCTTGTCTTGCTCTCAAACACATGCTCAACGATTAGCAAATACACCAGACTCTCGACCGCGATTGAGATTGACACGAACTGAACCTGCATAACCAACAACTGAAGCCGCAACGCAAGGCTTAACACCCCGTCTCAAACCCACCCCCATGACCTGCTCTACTCCTACGCCAAGCTGCTCACGATGCCCTCCCCACCTTCCCTCACATTCCTCAAAACACCCCACTACAAACCTATATCATAGCTATTAAGATCCCCTCCTGTGCCCGAACGTTTGCCCGCCGCCATGGCGATTACGCTCCCGGCGCTGCTGCTGCAGGATTGAAACGGTAGCCGCATGATCAGCTCTGTGGGCTAGTGTGAGCGGCTGTGGGAAAAAGCAAACATGAGCACGGACGGGGAGCAACGCAGGTACAATCGCTTCACGTGCACGGTGGTGTGGAGAGTCGGGTAAGGATTGGATGGAGGATGTTCACCGACTTTCTCATCATGTATGCGTGGATATGGGCAGTGGGTTGGAAGATGGACGGGCTACTCTGCACACTGCGGTATATTGGAGGCTCTGTTCTGGACACTACGCGCTTACGCCGGTCTATCGTGAGGACTATCTACACCGTCCCGCCCTACAAAGTCAGCTCTGAGTGAGGCTGCAGCTATCTTACACCGCTGCATCGTCTTCGCCCAAAACGGGTGTGATCAGCGCGGCAGTGTGCTACAACATCGAATCTCCTCACCCCCCTCCTACGAACCACTCATCGCAATTGCACGAGGGCTTCGCTCTACCGCCGACCGTTGCACGGCAGCGCAGCGTCGTTGGACGGCGGTGTTGTTGAGGAAGCCGCAGCATCTGATGCTTTGTTTGTCCCGCGATGCAGATGATGCGAACCCGAGCGTGACGTTGGACATGGCGCGTCTCGTCAATAGTTGTACGAGTTGTTTACCCCGCTTTGTGAACGGGGGCGTTGAGATGGATATCGTGCTGTGTTTTGTGGTGTTAAGGAAGTTCTATCTGAAGCCCACACTTGATGCTGAGTCGTTCTTGTTGAAAGCTACGGATGTGCTTTCTCAACATATTGTCGGATTAGCCCGGCTATGCGCGGTGAAAGACGCGTATAATATCGACAAGGTCTCGAGCGTTGATATCGTCCCTCAGTGATGCAAGGGACTTGGCAATACGCGGTTCTACGCATTGACGTGGTACAAATCTTGCAGCTCTGCCGCTCGAAGGTGATCGGCGGAGGGAGCCGAAGCTGCCGCGAACTGCCTCACTGTTCTTTTGCATCCTAGAGATTCGTAGAGATGAGCAGTTCACGGCTCTGATCCCGTTGATATGGTTCGATTTATGGCTCGACACTGTCGTCGCCGTCGCTCATCTCCACGTCGTTATCGCCGTTGGCGGGGCCTGCTTTCTTTTTCGCCTTCCCACGTTCAGCTCTTTTCTTTTCCTTGTCTACGAAGTATTCTTTCTCCTCGCGCAGTTCCGACAGTTGCGAAAATGTGACCTTCTGGATGCGCTGTAGGCTGGCAAGCTGCTTCTTCAGCTCCTTGACTTCGTCTTGAGAGACATCGTTAGATGCACCCGATGGCTCTACATCGTCACTTTGGCTCGGTGCTGTGATGTTGACTGTTGGAGCACTGCTGACCTTAGACGAAGCTACCCATGTTTCCAACTCTGCGAGGCTTTCTTCGAGCATGTTTGTAGGGAAACTGGGGTGGGTGAGGGCCTCCGCGAACGAGCTTGTCTTGGTGGACCGCCTATCTGTGGCTGATACCGCTATGGTGTTCACTCGACCAGTGAACTGCATGTTTGGGTTGTAGTTTGAGGGGACCAAGCCACTGCTGCTGCCTGTCAACCCTGCGTCTTGTTTCGGTTTGACGATTGTCTGAATTTTGAAGGTGGGCTCAGTGGCGCTCGAGAAGCCTGTAGGACGCAAGAATTGCAAGCTTGATACAGGTCCTGGCAAGTTGGCCAAGGTGGAAAGATAATTGCCCTTCGCAATATCCCAGGCAGCAATCTTTCCGCTGCTATGCCCGGAGAGAAGAGTTGTGCCATCCCAGCTTAGACTCAGAGTAAGAGCCCCTCCCAGCTTTTGCGAATCAGCACCGAACCTGGTCTTTGGTGAAGGTTGTATAGGTCGGTGTGACGATGGGGCGTCTCGCAGAACGTCGGTCGATGTGGTCTTCTGGATATCGTCGTAAAAGTCTACTGTCTGCAGACTGCCATCTGTGTAAGCAATAAAGCATGCTCTGTCGGCTGGATCCAGAGTCACTGCTGTCGGCGTTTCTGGCAGGAGGTATGTGCGAAGCGCCTGGCCGTTGTGATAGTCCCATACAATCGCCGTCTTGTCTCCTGATATGGACACTGCAATGTTGGCGGTGCTAGAGCTGTGTCCGCACGCAATAGACGAAATAGGTCCACGATGCGTAGACAAGGTGTGAACAGGTGAACGAGAAGTATCGGACGAAAACGAAAGAATCGACGGTAGTGCCCACACGTGTATCATAGCGTCTGCAGAGCCAGAAAGGAAGAAGTTCGAGGAAGGATCGACAACGATAGACGTCACAGGCTGAAGGTGAGAAGTGGACGTGGAGACGAGACGACCTGAGCATATCTGTGCCATGAATTAGCACTGCAATCCTATATATGTATTTTGAGGCACGACTCACCTCCCAAGCCAGCACTCGCCCACTCTCAGCTCCCAGCAACAGTACTGTGTCCTGCGCCGCAAGCGCAATGCTGTGAATCCTCTCGGGAAACGGCACAATAGCTTCCTGATTGCCCTTCTCCCGGCTGTATACGTGTATAATGGCTTTCTCGGTTTGCGCGGCGAAAATATGTGTGCTGGTCATAGCAATGCCGTTCTGAGCAGTCGCGCTCTTCTTGAAGACATGACGCTGTGCCGCCAAGGGTTGGAACTCGTGAATGAAGATACCCTGATCTTTGGTAACGCCAGTATTTGGCTTCGTGGAGCCAGATATGGCGGCCACAAATTGTTCAGTGAGCATGGCTGGTGTCGTGATTGTCGTTGTTGTGAGCTTCGAGCTTTCCCTAGAGATTTTTTGGTGGAGCAGCAAGGTGTGGTCCGTGCACCCGGCGTTAACGGCCTTAGGTTCGCATCTCAGCCTCACCTGTTGTACACACTCGCGATGTCAACCATGTACATGTAACGCTACCAGTCGTCGACCGTGTTGGCCACTCATCATGGAGCTCGGGTGTCTGCCTTGGCAAAGCACCAGGGATCATCAACAAGCGCTAACGATGAAGAAATTAAGAACACAACAGCAACATTGTAAGACATGCAAGCTTCTGTGGGATGATATCAATGCCGTACTTGGGAATCGGATTGTCTCTACCATAGACTCGTTATGTTTTCCATTGCGATCGTTAGACGAAGCTGGGCCCCTGCATGTTTGTCTCGAGAATGACGGTGTACTGAGTGCACGTATCTGTTTTATCATCTGGAAGGTATGTTCGGCCATGGAACCTGCGAGTCAGTCTGTCTTTGTGCGTCACTATTTAATCGAGATCAACTACTCACGATTGACAACTTGATAGGAACATCAACCCCTTAGCATGAAATTGGACCTAGCTCAACTGTGGGCTCTAGTAGGCTGTCGAGCTGCACCTTACAGCAGGCAAGGAAGTGGCTTAATATGCGTGCCTCCAGCCATAGGGCGCATGTTCAATGTAAACCCTATGACGAGCACTCGACGCGCCTTCCAACGCGGGTTGGGACACGAGATAGCGATTCTGTACGGCTTCACATCTCTCATGAGGGGGAGATTCGGCGTTATGTCACTTTGAGTTACTGCTGGGGTAACGAGAGACCTCTCACCACGACCAAGGATAACTTCCAGCACCATACTGAAGCGGTTCCCCTGCTACTGCCCAAGAATTTCAGTGACGCAAAGCGCGTTGCCAGGGCACTCGGTGTATGGTATCTGTGGATCGACTCGATCTGTATCATCCAGGACTGTGACATGGCCTGGAATGAATAAGCGCCTCAAATGGCAACGATTTACGGGAATTCTTATTGCACGTTTGCTGCTGACGCTGCAACAAACAGCACGGAAGACTTTCTCGAAGGCACAAGAAGAACGCTGAATGAGCCGAAAAAGGTCTCTTCCTCACATCATGGTCAAGAAAGCGTGGTACATGTTCGAGAAAGATGCATTGATTATACTCCACGCCCTCATGACTGGGTGCAAGCTGAAGTCAGCCTGAAAACCGGGCTAGGGTGGCGAGTCAGCAATGAAGACTCAGATCTAAAGCATGTACGCTATATGCTGGCGGATCCATCCCCAAGTTGTCTCTCGAGACGCGCTTGGGCCTTTCAGGAGCGCGTCCTAGCTCCCATAACCCTCCACTTGGCCATACCGAGGTTTCGTGGGAGTGCCAATCGCTTGCAGACTGTGAATGCTCACCTCTGGACTCGATAGAGGTGGCACACTCTTTGACAGCGAAGATTGCTTTCTTCAGGATACGTTGGCAGGGAGTAGCAGAGCTCTATACTGCCCTAGACATTAACTTTTCTCACGATCGATTGGTGGTTTTGTCTGGCTTAGCACGCGCTTGTCAATAGAAGAGCAAAGATCATTACGTTGCAGGCATGTGGGTCAGAGAGCTCGAGTTTCAGTTGCTTTGATACGCCATGAACGGGGACTCGGTACCTACGAGCTCACTTCCGCCTATCAATAGCACCAACCTGGTCATGGGATTCGACGGCAGCGGCAGTCACTTATGAAAGCCACATCAAGTTGGGGTTCGAATTTGATGTAGAGAGTCGCTCCGATTGGAGAATCATGTCGGTAGACGGAGAAGACAGTGACACAAACAGTTTTGGGGCTACAGCTATAGCGAGTTGGTTCGTTGAAAGTTTCCTTGCCGAAGTCACTCTCGAGAAAGCCATTGACGGATTTGATCTCCAGGAGTACCGATGCAAACGCATAAGCAGAGCCATCGCAGCGAAGATTCGAGCCAACATGTGGTATACAAGATAGACTGGGGTGCTGGAGTCCCGGCTTCTCCACACTATACGCTGTTTCTTACATCGCTCTGGGGGCATCAGATGCAAGGTCTTATTTTGACTCAGAAACTGACCAGTCATCCTACGAGAGAGTCGGAATGGTCTGGATGAATCAGGCTGCGGGGGTGGACAACGACTCTATCCACCCATGGGACATATGGGAAGACGAATTGACTAAGCAGGTTTTCTGAATTTGTTGAGTACATTCCATGGCATAGGTCTTTGATGGCTAAACTAGAGTAGGTAGAAAACCACAAGGACAGGACACAACTCATCCCACAGACTCATCAACCACTCGTCCAGGTAGACTCTATCCTCCATCTTCCGGATCAACCTTTCATAACTCTTCCCCACCTCGATGTCCTCCTCCAGCATCTTCGGCAACTCAGCACACCCATACACGTCCGCGAACCACTCAGCTCCAAACTCCTTCAACACGTCACACCTCTCGTCCATCGTCCTACTCAGTTCTGGCCTTGCCCAGTCCTCTGGTCCCTCGGGCGCATCTGTCTCGAACCTACACGCAATCTCCGTCGGAAACACCTTGGGCAGCCATACACCACCCAGTAGAAGGATACCCTACATACGAGTCCTGCGGATAGTGGTGGTCATGCGGCAAGGAGAGACCCGCATCGGGGTGACTCTCGTAGAAGTTGAGGCTCGGCTACCAGCGCGTGCCGAGTTGGAGCATACGCAGTGCGAAGACGTCTTCTTCTACCAGATCTTCGTATGTCATAATGATTTGGGTGCGTGGAAGGCCAAGGTGATCGAGCTCGACTCCGGTGAGGTTCTTGCGTACCACACCACCGGTGGAGGGGTAGGCGAAGACGGTCCAGGTAGACAGGCCGGACTCTGTTCGAGCTCGTGTAGCTAAGCGATTTGACATAGTTGTTGGGAGCGTTTGTGTTCAGTTTTTTTAAGAGGTACAAAGGACACGGCAGGAACGGCTGAGAATGGAGCTGAAAATGCGTTGTACCACAAAGCCACAAGGCACGCTATGCCGGTGCCTAGCTGTTCTTTAGCCCGTGATCGTGACAAGTTGCGCGTATGTCAAAGGGGTATTTCTTGTGTTCGATACGATATGCGGGTCTGAAGGAATTGGCGACATATTGATGTCTCACCCTAGTTCCCTACTTCTGAGGAATTTGAGATCAATATTGCGAGAACCGTGATACATGCTCTGCTCTTACTGCCTTCCCATCACCCAGCCGATCATTTCGTCTTCCCTCCCTTCCCTACGTTCCAAAGCCTTAGTTTTATAGTCAATGGCCTGCAGCTCTTCTCCATCTCTGTTGTCCAAGGTAAGTAGCTCCACCTGTGCCCTTTGCCCGGATTGTGATACGAGGAGCGGTCCTCATGCGATTCGATGGTGAGCTCGCCAGTCGCTTCCACAACAACGCACTCAACATGATCCTGGTCGACGTACGGCGAAGCTGAAACGATACGTTGGAACTTCCGGTGCAGATGCGTGCTGTAGATAGATGGAGCAATTACATAGCGGCCTGGACATGAGGGCTCCGGGTAGAGGGGGTATTGTGGAGGCGCTGAGAAGTGCCAGTTTTGCGCGCAAAAGATGCAGCCCGATCTCAAGGCTTACTGCAAAGAAATCCGTCAGGAGATCTCGGTAACCCCATGCGCATCAGCCAGACATGTTTCTCACACAGGAAATTGTGAGGTGCACCACACAAGTCACAGTATCTCTTCCAGTGGTCCCAACTCTTGATATACTGCGGTGGTGGATCGCGTATTTGACGCATTCGCCGCGTGAACAGCTGTGCCTCCTTACAGTTGTTGGGCAATCGTTCGGTGACTATATTGGGCGGGTTGTGCAAAGTCCACATCCCGCTGGTTGAAGAGTTTTGAGAGAACCATACCGGTCGCCAGTGAAGGATCGAATTGTCATTGAAGCCGGTGAGGATCAAGAGGTCTTGTTGGAAACGCTTGACCGTCGGGTTTGGGTCAACCTCCGTTTGCGTAAGCACTGTTAGGACATGGACATCAGACACAGGTGTCGCCAACTTGGGTGATACCCATTTCAACTGATCGGAGTCGCAAGCTGAACGCCTGGACTAGCGCTATGTGGAGGTTCGGGACTAGGTGTCGCAGGTCCAGTATAGGGCGGAGTACAACAACCGCTCATTGCAGTCGCTGTGCAGAGAGTGCCGCTACTTGAAATGTCTGTTTTAAGTCAAGGTTATAGATGAGCTGACGACTGATTGACAGAGGTTGATGTGGCTGGTCCAGCATTAGCGAGTGATGGTGAAGAAGGATATCAGTCCACTTCGTCGATGAATTTAGTCATGTGTGACAAGCAAGCGGGTACCTGCAGTTTGCTACTAGTAGAGACAACGGGGCTGCCAGTACAAGCCAGCGTTTGCAGCATGATGAACATGCGCAAAACGAAGCTGGGAAAGTCTATCGGCGTAGTCAATGTCTCACTCTCACCAGTGTTTGTACATTATTTTCGACAAGGCGTTAGCTCCTCAGATACCTACTCCAATTCAAGCCGAGCATTCGTAAGGTTGTCCATAAGATCAGATATTCACAAGAATAATGTTGGCTATAGGCAATGTCTTGCCTGAAAACGATATTGCTTCTTGCTTGCTTGATCGCTGTCAGATATAGTTGAGTTCTTCAATATTTGGAGACGGGAGGTCTCAACATATGTAACTCGATATCGTGGCTCAGGTGGCTTCGTAACCAGTCATTTTGCTCTTCGAGCTTGCGCAGGAAGAGTCATGCTGGCTGGTTTGAGCCCACATCTGCGAGAAGGTTTGATGGCGGACGTAGGCAACGTGTCAGTGCCCAGAGAACGTACCCTCAGTCCTATGAGGCAGTTTGGAACTGCCGCTAGCCCAATTAGGTCTAGCTCCTCCACAGCGTTGATTTCCTTCACCCATTCGTAGTTCAGATAGACAGAATGATCACACAACACTTCTGACTTTCTCCGGTTGATACAATGCCACAACACGGTATCCTTATCTCAACCTTTGTACACTTCGTTTTTCACGAGCCCATGATCACTAATCGAGGTGCACCTTTGCGGAAGTAAGGCTTGCGAGGCTCGCAATGAACGTCGAATCAGGTGATGATGCGCGTGTCGATGTGGAGGTGTGCCTCTGGAACCGCGAGTTGAATTTGGCGCTTTCACGTTTCGGGAGCTGCTCTGGAGGACCCAGTTCTTGAGACTCTGAAGCGAGGACTTCAACGCCCGACTCATAGTGACTAGGTTGGCTTATTAGATTAGCTGACTGCGAAGTCGTCTAGAAAACTTTCTGCTGTACTTACATGGATTGGTAGCGTGTCGTGGTCAAGTCTTCAGGCTAAAGGCTCTTACTAGATATCCAATATATCTGTGTTCGCTCGAATCCTTCCATTTTAGGTACTGTCAGGGTCCTTACTCTCTTACTCATTGCTTTTCTGGAAGCAATTGTAAATCTTGTGCAACCATTGACGCCCAGATCTGTTCGCGTATTAGTGACACGCGACAGATCAAGCAGATAAACAAGAATGTCACATGCAAATTCGGTCAGCGAGGAAGACAGGGCAGAAACACGTCGGAAACCCCACCAACCTTGGAATGGCGGGGCAACCGCCAAATCTTGCCGAATGCAATTCCGCCTTACACATCAGTCGGTAAGCTCGAGAAGCACGACACTATCGCAAATGCCATGCCTTAGCACCTCTCTCCACAGATTGCGACATATTGGCGCACTATGATTGGCTTTCGAAATCGAAAAGCCAGAGATTCATGAGCGCCCTGTATCGCTCCGAGATGCCAATGATGTTCAACGAGCAATTCTTGTCTTTCCTCGAGCATCACGAACTTTGATGATGTCGCTCCACTCGATTATCAGCTCATGGAGCGCGAGGGCACGCACACAGCTTAGCGTCTCACTTCCAGCCAACACCGGCACGCCAGGAGGGCGTCTAACAGAGGTCTTCATCAGGATGTGGGATCTTGGCTTCACGGCGTTCGGTGGGCCACCTGTACATTTCCAGATTCTTCATCGACGTTTCGTTGAAGGTTTGAATTTTGGTGGGGGTAGCAAATGGATTGATGAACAGACGGTCAGATTCGCCTTGGAACCTCGAAGTTGATGGCAGAGCCTGACAAAACCACAGTACCAAGAGATCTTCGCCATTTGCCAGGCTTTGCCCGGGCCAGCCTCTACTAAAATGCTCTTCACGATTGCAATGATACATGCTGGCCTTGTCTCAGCCGTGTTTGCCTTCCTACTATGGAGCTTACCAGGCGCCATTGGGATGTACGGTCTGTCTCTCGGCGTGCAAAGGATGCCGGATCAACTACCGCCAATCGTGTACGCCTTATTGAGTGGAATGAACGCAAGTACAGTCGGCATCATCGGTCTGGCTGCTGTGCAGGTAGGTTTTACGCTTATGGTGGGATCGACATTAGCACATGCTTACAACGTCGTAGCTTGCGCAGAAAGCGATCTCAGACCGTTTGACCAGAATCCTGGTCATCGCAGGAGCATGCGCTGGCATCTGCTATAACGCTCTATGGTATTTTCCCGTCTTGATGGCTGTGGGCGGCGTAGTTACCGTAGTTTGGGATGTCTGGCTTGCGCAGAAGGTGGGCAAGATCAAAGCTAAGTGGGAAAGCAAGAGGAGGAGAACCAGGAACGAAGCAGGAGATGCTGAGGACACAAACGCTACGCAAGACATTCAACCTGTTCAGGAGCTGGAAATCCGGCAGCCGGAAGCTGCGAAAAGACGGGCACATGCTGGTACTTCCACAGAGCGCATCATCCCAGGTAGAGGAGAATCAGGCTTGAGCCGAGCCGACAGCCAGCGAAACACAGAACCTGATACAAGGACGATTCCTGCACCAGTAGCTGATGTCAAAGCTCACAACATCTCTATCAAGCTCGGCGTCTCATTGATCGCAGGCTTTTTTGGTAAGTAAGGTCGCTCGATGTTCAACAGCCAGCTTACTGTTTCCAGCATCCTTTCTCGTAGTGATGGTCATACGTGGTACTGTTGCCAACCGGGCACTAAGTTTCGACCTCTTCTCCAACATGTACCTGGCTGGCACGATCATCTTCGGAGGCGGACCTGTCGTAATTCCTCTTCTGCGCTCATACGTGGTAGATCCAGGCTGGGTCTCACCACGAGACTTTCTTCTCGGCCTTGCCATCATTCAGGCGTTTCCCGGACCTAATTTCAACTTCTCCGTATATCTTGGAGCGCTAGCCCTCACATCAACCAGCACACCAACCATTTTTGGGGGCCTACTTTCGTTCCTTGCGATATTCTTCCCTGGCTTGATTCTGACTGTCGGCGTACAATCGATCTGGCAGGTCATAAGAACCAAAGCATGGGTGCTGAGTTTATTGAGAGGAATCAATGCGACAGCAGTAGGGCTGGTTTTTACTGCAGTCTACCGACTTTGGGAGATTGGCTACCTCACGCCGGAAAGCAGTGATGGCACGAGTCTTGCTAGAGAGCCGTGGTGGGTTGTCGTTGCGACACTGACTTATGCGGAGACCGCCTGGTTCGGTGTGCCGCCCGCTGCGGCCATCATATTTGGAGCTGTCTTGGGTTTGGGATGGTATGGCGCAGTGGGGCAGTAATTTGTCCTGGGCTTCGTAAAAGAATATGACAGAGTCTGGTAGACCACGTCGTCACGTTGACAGCATGGTGTGATGGGGCAAGTAAGCGCCTGTTTCGTTCCGGACTTGCGCGCTGCAAGTGACACCTTTCAATGATGCGCATTATCATCGGCCCTGCTGCCCTGCGACTGTACTTCGAACGACTGTTCATGAACCATGACCCGGATCGTAACTTCCGAAGCCTTCGTATCTCGGCAGCGCGAGGTGCGCGGTGCGCAACGTTATGGCAAGCGGAGAGGCTGAATTCCAGTCGCTTCAAGAACGGGCGCGCGTGATTGGCTCAACCGCATACCGTGTCCGTGCGCGTGCCGACAGGATTTAACTAGGGAAAAACATCAAAGTAGGCTCACCCGTGAGGTACGTTACTTTTCTAATAGAAAGTATCTTAATATCTCTACTATTAGTAGAAATATTCAAGGTTAAACTTCTTATCCTTTGTTGTTTTCCCAGTAAAACCCGGTCGTCACGCGAATCCGGTCGGCACGCGCACGGACACGGTACAGGATCTCGTCAGGGGTCGAATGCTTTACCGCTTTCGGTTCGACCACCTTGGCTTTAGCATCAATCTTTGAAATGGCTTCTTGAGTGGTCTTGGAACTAAGTGCAGCGTTGCCCCTCTTGCATCCGGCAGGAGAGCTCCTGTGGTATGTTACACCTCTCTTTGACATCTACTCCACCTTTCCTTCCTTATTCCCTTTGTACAACGTCTTTCTCTTCTATTCACACTCTTACGATTGTGTCATGGGGCATAATACAACCATACTAACACGCAGACGCAGATTTTACTCTTTCCGCCGTCTTCCGCGGTCCTCAACTTTGAAATTCATTCTCCTAATTTTCTTTCTTTGGGATTCGATACATTGCATCTCCTTGTACCTTCATCAGACTGCAGCGTTACGGACACCGCCACCCCCGCCTAATGCAAAGCGCATCTACATAGCTGCGCAACATTACAACTCAGCACGCCTCCTACGGGAACATTGGAATGAAGCTCTATACAAATTGGTGAAAGAGTTGGGCGTCGACAATGTATTCGTTTCAATATACGAAAGTGGATCCTACGATGAAACACAACAAGCCCTGAGAGAGCTCGAAGCAAACCTGGAGGTACTGCAAGTTAGGAAGGAAGTTGTGTTGTCAAAATTGACCCATAAGGAGGAAATCGCAGCGCAACCTACAGAGCATGGCTGGATCGACACACCGGCCGGTGTGCATGCACTGCGGCGCATACCTTTCCTGGCAAGCATCCGGAACAAGGTCTTCCAACCTCTTGAAGCATTAACGGCTCAAGGCGAGCATTTTGATACCATCCTGTTCTTGAACGATGTCGCTTTCAACACTGAAGATGTGCTGAGGATACTTGACACGAACGGCGGTAACTACGCGGCAGCATGCTCGTTGGACTTCTCGAAGCCTCCATACTTCTACGACACCTTCGCGCTAAGAGACTCGCAAGGGCATGAAGCCATCCTGCAGACATGGCCGTACTTCAGATCATATGCATCCAGGCATGCTGCGGAAAGATTCTTACCAGTTCCTGTCACTTCGTGTTGGAATGGCATGGGTAAGTTTGCTTACTTCGAAGACGACATGAGCGTTATGTTGACCCTGCCCAGTTGCAATGCCTGCCGGACCCTTTCTTGGAGACCATGCTCTCCGCTTTCGGGGCACCAACGACTCGCTTGCCAGGCATCATCTTGAGGGATCAGAGTGCTGCTTGATCCATGCCGACAACCCACTGTCCGCTACCAAAGGCATCTTCCTGAACGCTGCTGTGCAGGTTGGCTATAATATGACCGCCTACAATGCTGTGCACTCTCCAGATGCAGTCATGTCGCCTCTTCGAATGTACACGCGGATTTGGCAAAGCCGGATACTGAGGTGGTCCACAACACCCTTATTCAAGGAGCGTGTGGTGCATAACAGGGTGACCAAGTGGGCAGAGGAGACTAAGGAAAAGGAACCGGGTGAATATTGCCTGGTGAACGAGATGCAGGTCATCTTTGAGAGGGGGTGGAAGCACGTCTAGATGCAAGCAGAATAATGCACCTGATGAACCATGTTGCCAGTCCTTGGCCTGCATGGCTGGGCATCTTGGCCTTCGCATCCTACAGCTTGTTCTTCACTCACATCTGGCACGCGTCTTCTCTTGCGCAGCAGTCATGTCTTGCCGACGAATGAAAGCAGTGGCATGATATATCATGGCTCCATTCGGGCCTGCCCGCAGGCCCACTTCACACTGCCCCACAGTAACTACCGACTACACCTGCCGATCGACACGCAGGTGTAGCTACATGTAGAAGGTGCCGACAGACGTGGCATGGCCTCCAAGCTTTCACTCGTAAAGCATCATATCCCTTCTCAAATTCCAAACTTCACCTTGTCGTTGCGAACCTTGGGATCGTGCATACACATCTTCCATCATGGCACAACCTACACCTCCACCCACGTCCACTTCTTCTCCAGAGCCATACTGGCTAGGCCGCGCCTCAGACGAGCAAAAGCGTCTCTTAAGGCAGCACACCATCTGGACTCGAAGCATCGGCTACCTCCTGCACCCATCAGTATCCACAAGCCTCCCTGACAACGCCCGAATCGCCGACATAGGAACCGGCACCGGCATCTGGCCCATCGAGCTCTCCAAATCCTCACCTCCCACCTACACCTTCCACGGTTTCGACATCTCCTCCGAGCAATTCCTCCCTGCCGACTCCCTCCCGCCAAACGTCAACCTCGGCTTCGGCGACTTCTTCAAACCGATCCCTCAAGAATTGCAAGGCACCTTCGACCTCGTCAACATCCGGTTGATAATCATTAGTCTCGGGCCCGTCTCAGTCTGGCAACAAGTCCTCGCCAATATCTTGACGCTGCTGAAGCCCGGTGGAGCGATATGCTGGACCGAAGGCAATTTCCTCGTCGCGCGTGGTTTCCGCGGCCCCGAGCCGCAGTCAACTGCTGGGCACCATCTCACCACTGGACAACTTCAACTAAACAATACCCTGATCCAACGGTTTGGTTATAGTTTCCCGTCCCTCACACGGTTGTTTGAGGACGCGGGACTAAAGGGCGTCGAGGAGGATGTGCTTAGTACGGATCGGCTTCCGGAGCAGAGGGGCGAGTTTACGGATTTAGGGATCGGGGCCGTGTTTGGGGGGTTGAGGAATTTGGCAAGGGTGAGGGAGGAGGGGCGTTGGGATGAGGGTGAGGTGGAGAGGAGGAGGGGGTTGGCGGTGGGGGATAGGGAGAGTGGGGCGTATTTGCGGTGGGATATACATGTTGGTGTTGGGTTCAAGCCTTTGTGAGCATGTGAGAAAGGGTTTGTATGTGGCATTGAGTTGAAACGATGAATCATTATCGCAATACCCTCTCTATTGTCGTAATCTTGTCCAACGCCTTTCTCAATCGAATCTGCACCTCTAACCAGTCCACACAGCAGGACCTGGAGGCGTGTAGCTTGTCTGACCCTACTTCTCATTAGCACACACCTTCCACGTACACAAAAATCACTCACACTGTAAATATTAACCTGCAACCCCTTCTCCCCCGCAACATACGCCCCTGGAAAAGTAACTAGCGGCCCCGGCGTCCCACTCCCACCACCCGTGACCTTGATCTGCGCACACGACAAGTAAATCTGCGCGCCATTAATCGCACTAGCAGAGTGCAGCGCAATATGCTCAATACGCAAAAGATACTCGCCCGACGGTGTATTCTTCGGAATTGTCACAGACGCGGTGGCAGCATTCATGCTCCCCCATGTCAGCGCACCGTTCGCTACGTTAGCCTTCTCGGCAAAGATCTTGAACCACACGTTCCCGCTGCCGTCCCAGGTTGCTGCTGTTTCTCCTGAGGGCACTTTGGCCATGTAGAATTGCAGCGGGCCTTGGTGGAAGATGTTGGGTGTTACTTTGAAGCTTACGCTGCTTCCGGCGGCGACGCTTTGGGTTGCTGCTGCGCTGGTACCTGGGGTGAGTTCGTAGCAGCGGAGTGCAGAGGAGGTTACGTCGGTTACGGGGCCGTTGGAGTAGTGGTTTGCGGTTATGCGGACGGAGGACCAGTCTGCTGTGCCGGTTAGGGCGGGGAAGAGGTCTGAAAATGTCAGTGAAGTCTGGGTGTGAATGAAGGATGGCGTGCGTACAGTGGCGGGCTTGTAGGGCTGCTGCGCTGACTGCATCAGCTGCAAGGGCAAGGGTGAGGGTTGTAATGAGCTTCATGGCGGCTAGTTGTGGCCAAGGCTTGTCTGGAAGAAGCAGTTTGGTGAACAACAATAGACGAAGAAAGGAGATTCCTTTGCGCTTATGTCTACATCTGCAGTATGTGACACTCGGGGAGATGAGCCTGATTCCAAGGTTGTGCTACAGTCGCCATGCCTCTCCATATTGCGCATCTTACGCGGTGGTGTTTCGGTTTGCCGAGAAAGGTAATCTGATATTGACCGCAATATAAACAGATCGAGGACCAATGCTGCGCGGAGCCACGCGACTCGGCAATGGCGGAACGCCGGCTTCTTGATGCGTCAAGGCTACAGACGACAGAGTCAACGGATTGTGCTTTCCGGTATCGAAGAAGCGTCTCCAGACATTCTTTAACCAATTTGACTGCGCTGTCGCAGAATGGACTGCGTCAGGCGCTGGAAAGATGCTCAAGACTGCTAAGTGAAGCAGCTTTCTAGGCTTGTCAAGCCGTGCTTTCGGACGCTTTTGTGTTGTGTGGCTGTCGCTGTGATATTCCTGGACTTGGTTACCATGATCTTCTGCTTAGCAACCAATGCATCCTCGATTAAGGGTCCTGCAGCTCATCGCGTTGTCCTCTCTTGGCCGCGGCGCCCTAATTGTCTTGAATCGAATGCATCGGTCAAGTGCAGTAATCCAGAGTCTTCTGCGGCGAGTCTGGTGGCGTGTAGATCGTGTTTCAGCGAAGTGTTGCGCCCCGGTGTTTGTTGCCCACCGTCAGGTCCTCATGCCCATCTCGACATCCCTAATCTCGGTGCTCAAGTCCTGAACGTCATCTTGCGCCATCATCTGCGCACTGACTTCCAGGTCGTTTACAACGCTTTCTAGGCCTCTAACAAGAGCCTCAATCTCTGCGCGCTGTGCGGTCACCGTTGCCAGCAGCTCCGTATTCGCTGTCTGCGTCTCGACGAGCTTGGTATTCATGTCTGTCGCCTGCTTCTCGAGGAATGGCATTAGATGCGCTAGGTGAATCTCAGACGGCGTGAGTGTATGCGGCCTGATTCCGATTGTCAGCATTGAGCGTGCATATTCCAGACTGGTATACTCACGGCACAGGGATTTCTACAGGCCCTCCATTTGCGCTAGCTTCAGCGCGCTTTTTTCTCAGCTTCGCATCTTCAATGCACTGCTCCAGCTCATTGACCAGCTTGACAACATTCCTCTTCTTCAGGATCTCTTCGAAGTTGACCTTCCATGTACGGTCAAGCTGATCAACAATCTGACTGCGCAACCCTTCGAGGGTCTCAGGCGCATATTGCGCAGCGGTAGGGAAGCAAGACGCGAAGTTCTTTGACGAGCACTTGTCGAGCGTGGCTTTGGAAGCTTGGTTGAAGACATTGATCAGACCCTGGGCGCGTGGACCAGGAGTTTCAGCGATAGGTGGTGCAAGGGCCGGCGAGGGCGATCGCGAAGGTAGATTCGTAGCGGTCGGCATGGTGGAGTATGAATGTTGTGGTGATGGTGGAGGAGATTGTTGATTGTTTACGACGCGCCGAGGGCTGCTTAGCGCGAACCCCGTGATGGGCTGCATGCGGCACTCATACCTTACAGTTGATACGGAGTTCTCTAAACACACATGTCCAACTTTTACTTGGTGTCTGTAAACTAAGTCTGCTATCAGCCTTTTCAAGGTGGTGTTCTCTTGTGTGTTATGTTTCTGTTCTGTCACTGCTGTGTTTGCGAAAGATCATCAGAGACCCCCCGTTTCCACCAACCAAATCAAAATCGGTCTCAAGAAAATCATTCGTCAAGAATCCTTCATCCCGATTCGCAAAGATTGAAAAGTTCCCTTCACCAGAAACTCACAATGCTCAAGTCGGCGTTCTAACTCGCCATCCTCATCCCCAAACCATCCCCATATCCACCGTTCTCACGCCAACACTTCGACGCTAACATCTCATCACGACCACCCCAAACCTTCCCAAAGCGGCAGGTGCACCTCAAAAACCATTGATTCTAGCGAACGACGTTCGCCCTCTGGCGCGCCCAGCGTGCAGCGGACCCTGCATCTGACCAGGTCTCTGGCACGCCTGACATCTTCTCGCCTGCAGCTGCCTTCCAAGTTCCTTCTCGCTGTCAGGCCGCCTGTCCATCCACCAACCCACCAACATCACCCACTTTGTCCGCGGACCCCACGATCATTGAGGGTTCGGTGCAATGGGTCCGACAAAGGACAAGCGTATGTAAGGGGCGCATCCACTGCGATTTCGGAAGATTTCCCCTTGTCATGTTGCGGCGCATGCTGCTAGACTGGATCCTTCGTTGATCAGAGCAACCCTGGTCGGTTGTTGTATGACGTTGACAAGTGTGCTTATTTGGCAGGAAATCAGACCAGCTTTTGGCGAAAGCACACAAAGAGGCCCAAATTCAGGGCCGCGTAGAGTCAGCAGCGGTGGACTCGGGCTCAGATGCAAGTTCGCAGTCAAAGGTGACACACGGTGTGGATTTGTTTGGCGTGTTATATTGAATTGAACTCGCTCGTTGATTGATGTTGGTGTGAAAACCCATGGTAAACCCCTCCCACGCCGAAAGCTTGCTAAGATATACATGGCCTCTGAGAAGGCCGAAAATTAGGTGCTAGGAGAGTGTGATGAAAAGCAGAACTCCCGTGGTATAGTGTTGAGCGAAAACTGCAGTGCTTGATGAACCTCCTCATGTCCTCCGCTGCCGTCTTCGTGAGGTTTGTGGCTGCAGTGCAGTCCATTCGCGTCCTTCAAGTGCAGAGCTGCCCGGTGGCAGTCTGTTCATCCTCCACGGCGCCGCGCCGCGCGTGAACAAGAGATATCTTGCATGATGTGATGTGAAAACCGTAACCGAGTGCCAGTGGTGTGCTGCAGAATGGTGTCGAAGTCGATCGTGTAGGTGCCGTGACGTTTACACCCGAATATTCTTCTCGTTGAGGCCCTTGTTGGTGAAGACGGCGTCCTGGCTGGACATGCGGCGGTCGAGAGCGCGCTGCACCTTCGCGCCTAGTGCCAGCTTGCTCATATCCGCTGTCTTGTTGTCGCTGGGGATGTAGCGCTGCTGGACGAGGCGCTTGTCCTCAAGGCGCTCGAAGCCGGCATTCCAGGTCTTGATGTCTTGTGACTTGGGGTCGCCGGATGTTGAGGCATCTGAGAGGTGCGAGGGCGCGATCGAAGGTGTGAGGGTGGGCGTGGCGCTGTAGGTGGACATGCGGGTCGAGGCGCGGTTGCCGGCCGACTGTGATTTGGATGCGTTAGACTGTGGTTGCGACATGGTAGTGGTGTTGTGTAGCTGTGGCAGTGAAGCAGTGAAGAAGGACGGGACAGCGGTGTAGTTTATTCGCAGAGCAATGCACCGCGTGGCAAGCATCGACCCAGAGACAGGGAAGACGTGAAACAGGCGGTGGGTACGCAATGACTTACGCTGGACAGCATGGGTCGCGAGGACTCCAGCGAGTTCGTCATAGTGTGCTGGGTAGGCGGAGAGCGAGCTAGGTCTTGCCGTGTTTCGGATAGAGCAAGTGTGCCGGGCGTTACAGCTCTTAATGCTGCTGTTATGGCGGCGCAACGCTGCAATTGATCGGTGGAGCGGGAGAGGAAGCGAGAAGCAGCACAGCGCAGGAACGTCGCTGGGAGTTTTGGGGTGAAGGGCTGCAGCGACAGTGCACCGTGAGGGTACGAGCCGGCCTGGTCAAACAGGTCCTGTGCTCGTTTCAGAGGGCCCAGAGCGGTAAGGGGGGCGATGAACGAGGATGAGATCCGCGACCAGGGGCCTACGGTGTTAGCGCACGTGTAGACCAGGTGCAATTACAGGTGCAATCGTAATGAGGGCGCCTAGATGCAGCCTTGACTTATAGCAGCGAGCGAGGGTGTTGTCGATGTATCGTGAGATTTAAATGAGGGAGAGCCAAACAAACAGCACCGCCTGAGGGAGCGAGCACCTTTTAGCACCTGCTGTGCTCTGAGACGGCAAGTTAGGGACTCATCATGCATTTCGATAAACTGAGCGCCATGCAGCGCCCTCTCAGACACCAGCCCAGGGTTCAACACGCTCTGAAGGATTTCTGCCGGTGTAGGCGGCGCTGAGGCAGCCACGACTCCGGCCCCATCGCCCGTTCGCTGCTGCCATTCGACCAACATGCAGCGCCCCACGCTCCTGCCACGTTCAAAAAACGTGGCTCCCGCAACACTCGCCGGGGTCAGCGGGGCATCGCCTGGTGCTATCTTTCGCTGCTGTCTTTCGCTCTCCGCGACAAGCACCTTCAAGACATCAATGTATGCAGGGAGTATCCCTTGTGCTATTGTCAGACTTCTCGCTTGCTGCACCGTCTGCATCCCGGGTGACGGATACGGTGAGTGTTATCGAGCTCTTCTGGAGGTTGGGCTGCCCCGAGTTCACTAAGTCCTGCATGTTCGACTGCATTCATACGTCTGCGGCTAAAATCTAGTCTACCGCCAGCCAGCTTTCAGATGACTGTTACACGAAAGCGGACAACCTCCGATTTTCTGCAGTAGCACGTCAAAATTGTCTCCGCCTGCTGCTCGTCTATGGTAAACCGGTCAAGATCACGATCCTATCTCAGACATTCCCATGCTGATCTACTGGATTGCAAACCTTACTGAAGTCTTCAAGGCAGAGCTGGCGAGGTTATAGACTTATCTTAGCTGCATTTGGGCGCCGCAGCTAGTTGTGTCAAGCTGCTCGCCCTCATATGACTGCAGCACACACTATCCGCATTTCCGCTGACTTCACGATAGTGTTACGGCATGCAAAGTTGCAGTTAGATCGTGCTGACCACGTGTGAAGCGAGGGGTGTTCCCCTGCATGATCGATGCACGTCACCACGCAGTAAGACTTAAATGCAGACTTTTACTGGATATGGCTGTCTTTTTGAAACCGCAGCTGCAGTGTACATTGCTGCAGAAACGCCTTACATCAACCCACATATGCATGGCGAACTGTATCAAAGTACGATTGCCTTGCTGGAATGTACATGCACAAACAAGACGATGTGGGTTTTAAGCGCAATAGTCTCCTTTAGTCACGCGCCTCTGCACATACACCATGCTAGCAAGCTTGGAAGTAGCTTACGGTACTCCGTGGCTCTCGTACTCTCGAAGAGTCCGCCAGAAAACTCGGCATCAGAACTATACTTTGGAGGTCCTCAGAGGCGTCAACGATGCAGGGGCAGATTTGGTAGTCAGTATTGAACGCTAGACAGGAGCGCAGTACTTCAATCACACGTCTCCGGCACTCCGCGTCCAGGGTTGTCAAGCGCACAGTTCGGCTTAAACAAAGCGCCACTATGTTGAACCTCAACATCTTCCGAGATGGATCTCCGTGTCTTGGCTCTGATCGCAGAGAACCATTAGGTCATCAAAAAGGCACGGATAGTCAGCACGGCAGTTGGAGACATGCAGTGGAAAGATATGTCTACGGGCCATTTCAGAGTGCACTTACAACCAAGAGCCCATTTTTGAAGGACAACAAAGTTTCGCTGTGATGAAGGGCTGATATGTAACTAACCGCCGAAACAAGCACCAGTGACTCAGATCCTAACCACCACCACCAGACCCATCTCCTACGCTCACCCAATCTTCCTACCAAGCCTCACCGACACCCCCATTCTGCGCCTGCCACTCCTCATCTCCCGTCCCCCCATCAGTCCTCCACCTCCTCACCACCTTCAGCCTAACCAAATCCCTCATCCACCCCACCGTATTCTCAGCAGTATTGTCCCTAACCCTCTGCAAGCCGACAGACGTCCTACATTTATCGCCCTTGAGCCCACAACAGATCGCCTGCTCCTTGATCTTGCGCAGCAGTCTATCCGGACGTCGGTACAGGCGACTCGGATCCGGCGTCCAGGACTTTTTGTCGGCGATTTTGCAGAGGAGGTCCGCGACGCTGGCGTCAGGCGCGGGGGTGAAATTGTCGGGGCGGAACTCGATGGGATTTTCGGACATGGAGCGTGACATGAGTTTTGCGAGATCGAGGTGATCACATATGCAGGGTGCCTTCTGCTTGACCAGGGTTGCAACGGTTCCATCGACGCTTTGGAAGCGGAGCTGAGCATATAGATCTACGCAACACTCAGCTATGGTTTCTATACCGAGTTCCCCTGGACGGATAGCCCGAATTTCGAGTGTGTTGGGCACATCCGTATAGCGTCGAGACTTAGTCTTCGACTTCGATGGCTTCGTTCTGTTCTGTCCGTAGTCGCTGAAGAGGGGTGGGTTTACAAGGTATGGATCTATGCCAGCCCAGACCCCTTGTAGCTGGTACCAAGTGACGATCCTGTTGTCCCACAACTTGACTGGTGTAGTTCGGGCGAAGCATTTTCTATTAGTAATTTCGCTCATTCCGGTCCGCTCCTGTACGCTCATTTGCATCTCACGCAAGGGGAAGTGAGGCGTACCAACTTGCTTGTTGCCACCCCGAGCAGTGGAATAAAGCCGTCGACCAGGTGAACCTATTGAGTGGATCCGAGTAGTCATATGGGTAGCGTGTTAACTCAAAAACATCACGCATCCGCAGCTCTTCGTAGATGCTATATTCAGAATCCAAGAGGTTGCGCATGTGGGTCCGCACGCCTTAAGGGTCCGCATCCCCGTATGTATGTCGAAGTCTCGAGTTATGTATGTAGTTCGCAAGAATATAAAAGGCGTGGTCTGGAAGGTGAGCTGCCATTTGCAAATGTATCTCAGTTTGAAGACTTTGGAATGTCACCGGTATTATGTTCGTTTTGAGAGCCGAAGGAGTGGGTCCTTGAGAGCTATTTGACGTTCTGGAAAAGCTTGGGCTTGGGCAAGGTGTTCTCAAATGTGTTGTCAAGAGCCAACTGACTGGATCGATGTATAGTGTTAAGTATAATAACGTTCGGGACATAAGCTCGGCATCGAGTGTTGACTTTTGTAGCGGTGCGGACCGCTGTAGAATACTGATAGCTACGGTAAACGATAACGTAGGACTATCGGGTCGATGGAATACTGCGCTGGATTGCTATCTAGCTAGGAGGAGACGACTATATACCTGACCTGTAACACACTAGTCTAGGGTAGTAGTCGGGGGTATAGCCAGACACTGTACGGACCAACCGATACCGCAACAACTTTGGCTTTGGTACCCTACATGGTCCTAGAGCAGTGTTCATGTCTCGCGTGAGTACAAGTTGAGGTGCTTCTTCTCCGTAACTTAACCCTCTCTTACTGCATATCAAAGGAGGCATGGGGACAGTGACAAATACATAAAAGAGAAGAGCGAAAGAGAACAAAAGCGTGCCGAATGCTGGACGTGCAATTGATTTCAAGAAGCTGTTATCCCTCAGTAGAAGATGGAAGCTATACTCTGTGATGCATAGAGATATGTACCCTGGAAAACATTGGCACGCCCACTCAATGAACCCGCCTCAATACATATTACCTGTACCTGCGCCAACCCAAACCTTGAAAGGGTAAAGTCGCGACTCCACAACGACTGAAGTGGAATTCAATGACCGGTGCTCGCGAGTAGATGTCGAGGTTAAGAATCTGCTCAACGCTCCCTGAGGCTTTTTAGGTGAGCCTGATCGAAAGTGTCGCTCTCTAGCGCTAGGTTCTCCTTTAGACGTCCTTGCTGCAAGCGAAAAAATGGTCTCGGTTTAAGAGGTGATGGGCTCGTTGCTGCGTGTAGCTTGCGGTTCCTATGATACCCCGAAGGGCCACGCTCCGTACAGACGTTTGGACTGAGGGGACTCAACTCGAGCTCTCCGCCGCCAGCTACTGTGTGGTTGGCAGGAGTGGATGCTCGGCTAATGTCAGCTACACTCAAGTGTGTTGTTGTTGTCGAAGACTGGAAGGTTGCTCCGAAGTGGTCGGCTGTCCGACTAGCTTGCTATGCTTGCCGAGTGTCGAAGTTGAAAGTCTTGCACATGTCCGAAACATGGCGTTCCAATCGAGTGCCGAGGACGCTCTGGGGCGCATCCATTGTTGGAGGGTTCGACAACAGTTCTGAGCCTTTACCACTTGTTTCTTGGTACACTTCTGAACTGCGAGGTCCTGGTACTCGTCTCTCACGATCCACGTCGCGATTTTCGCCCATGTTATCCGCAGTACCCTCAAGTTCGCCACTGCAAGTTGTTGACAGCCAGTCATAGATCCTTTCTGTTGGCGACTCGGCGACCTCTGTTGAAATACACGACAAACTCGCATTCAGATAACCTGAATCATCGGACCAAGGCTCTGGGGAAGGTCGGAGTTCAGCAGTATGAGGCGAAATCACATGCGGGTCGCTCACCGTCGCATCAGTATCAATTGATGAAGGCTGATCTTGAGGTTGAGGTCGATCGTGCCTTGAAGAATCGCTGAAAATTGCTTGAGAGTTTTTGTGTGGCGAGACATGCCTAGACACGTTTGCAAGAGATGGGTAGATTACGTCCCTAGTACGCTGCCGGCCAAGAGATCGTTGTTGCGTATCGTCAAAGATCTGGCGTATACATGCGCTGTGACCAAGGCGTGCAGGTGAGTGTAGCAATGCCGAACCCATGTATCGTCGAGCACTCGTGTTGGCGATGCGGGATGGCGATATTGGCTGAAGCTCTCCTGCTCTACGCACCGACGGAGTAGCAGGCGCTCTATTAGAACGTAATGGTGAGGAAGCCCCTGTGGCAATGTCAGTACTGTAATCTGGATACTACGTTGACTTCACCTACGTGCGGCATTGCAGCTGTGCCCACTTCCTAGTGACACAGCAACTATGTGGGTGTCGTGAGACGTGACGGGTTCCTGGATAGGTCTGAGCATGTGTTCGACCTCATTTGACCTGTACGAACGCGCTGAGATGATGCCATGGAGTAGTTGATGCGTATTAGTCGAGCGCTTGTAATAACTTGGTGAGGTGGCTGGTGGAGGCCCTGAGGTCAGTTGCTTGGTAAATGAGATGAGGGGATTCGATCTGAATATTGTAGACAATAACGCAAACGTAGCAGCGACGACGCTCGGCACGTTCAAGCTATAACTCCAATTCACTCATTGCGCCTTCTTCGCGCAAGAACATCAGCATGTACCGTTGGACAAGGTGCAGGACTCGACAGTATCATGTTCCAGGTGAAATGTGTGACTTGGTTGTTACGTGTGCGGAACAACACCGAACGATGCGCAAACGAGTCTACTGTCGTTGTGGTTTGACAGAAGTTGGTGTTGAGAGCACCAGACCAGGTGGCAGGAACTGGTGGTGAGCGGAAGTGGCAGCTTCTTCTCAAGGGAGCAGCTGTTCCATTCTCTTCATTCCGCATACATTGAGATGTCTCATTCCTCATATTGTTGTCGAGGTCAGACTTCTTTATGGCTGATCGTCATCTGAGCTGCCTCAGATTGATTACTTACCGGCCACTCAGACGCCCGCGCTTGCAACGGCCCTTGCGCGATACGTCATCGTCGTTACCCGTTGCTCCTTTGTATCCACCGCTGTGGGGCGTACCTGAATTAGCACGCAAACCCTCTTGTCATTTTGCTGCAGCATCTGGAGACCGCTGATCGCTTGTGTACTGGTGCCCGTTGCAGACAGCTGATGGCTGAGCGCTGGTACTGCAGCTATCCGTAGCAGGACTCGACAGCTGCCGCAACGTCCGGACTGGAAAGATTGATGCATGTGCGCACAAGGCATCCGTGGCATCGTGTCTCAAAACAGTTCTATGGCCGACACCACCACCCGCAGTCGACTCGTGAAGGCCTCGCGAAGCTGTACGGCGTACGCAGGGCTAGGCCGAAACACGCCAATGTCGGAACGCCTCTCAATCCTCCAGGCCTCATGCCACCACGTTAAATTGCTGACCGAGAACCCCAGCACAACGATCGTGGCGCTGACTAGCCGGTGTTGGGAGCGACAGACGGGAGTGAATTGCCCTCAGCCGCACACAGCACTGCTGAGCATGTCCAGTCAAAAGCCATCCAGCCATCGCGCTTCTCACGAACATCTGGATCCTCCTGATCTTCTTGGGGCCATCTCGCCTCGTGCTGCGACGGGAGCATGTGCGCTGCCCGCTACTGTCGCACGACTCAGCAACCAATAAACTGCAGCCACTGTGGACCCCTGAGGAGGTCCCCATTCGTGTTCGCTTGCTGCATTGAAGGTTCAGTCCGTGCGTGCATCTGACTTGGTCCGGCCTTCCTTACGCGTTCCGCCATCAGCCCTGGCTCCCGTCCAAAGTCTCTGCATTGCGAGACATCGCATCGCTGCCCTGCGCTGTGTCTCCTTGCCCTCTCTTCGCTGTCACCAGCTGTACGTTGAGTGCTTCTTACGAGCTTGACGCTCTTCCAGCGCAGCCCGTCTGATGCTTCGACTTCAGTCCGTTCTTTAACCTTCAATTCATTTCTCCGCACGGCCAAGCCTCCATAATCGAGTCGAGCATATCTTATCGCTATTCAACGGTCGATAGTAAGCTTACTTGCATCCATTGCCCTTGACAACTCATCGTCGTACGTTACCTCTGCTCGACAGAGCCCATTCTTCCAACCGACCTTGTTTGACCACCATCCGGGTTACGTTGATACGGTACGTACCTGGCTCTCTACTTCTTGAAACCCGGCCTGTCAGTTGTCCTCACATCACTGCAACGAGCAACGTCACAAGTTCTTCCATCACCCTTGCTTGCATTTCTCCGATCCAGCCTCTCGCCCTTTGTCAGCTCTTCTCCTACTGCTCATGAAGGTATACCACGTTTTGTATACCTCGTCTTGCCGTGCGCCATGAACCCTCGTGCCTTTGCTGGCCGGTCCAGTACCTCTGTATAATGCGAGGGGCAAGACTGACATCAAGAGACAACAGGCTCCTGGAACTCTTAGTATACACTATCCACCACTGTGTCGGTCTTCCCTAGCATCGTCGTTGCCAAGACAGCGGTTTTGTTGGCCATCCCAAGGCAAGGAATCTCTACCTTCCGCTGACTGTCGGAACCTACGCCAGATCTTCGGCCCCAACTCTAGACGTGTACCATCTGACCACTTGCCTATCATCTGGTCTTCCTGCCCTCAGTCCTGAGGTTCTGCTTTACAATTTCAAATCGGCTGCAGTTGTCGACAGCTTCGTGTCACACGTCTACGCATTGACCTGTCGCTGTCTTTGGTCTGGATTTCTTTGCTATCAAGAGTCGCACCATCACTGCTTTTGGCTGCTGTCGCATGCGTTGCGCCAGTACTAAGGACCCACGCCAAGCTCCCACGTTGGATCGATCCAAGCTTGACACTCTACATCCACCGACTCGTGTCAGTCTACAGACACGCCCGCCGCCAATATTCTAGTTGGACGATAGATGAGCTACGAAGCTAGACTGGCCCCACGGGCGTATGGCGACGCACAAGACGGAGCCGCACAGAAGGGTTCTGTACGTGCAGCACGGGAGAGAATGCAGGCCGCCCAGATGCGATCACAACTGCCGGATACATCGAGGATCATAGGGCTTCCACAACGACCCAACCAACTCGTGTCGCAATATTCCGCCAACAGAGACGAAGAATTGCAGCCGAGGACTCCTACTGATGGCAGAGATGATGGGAGCATGGCATCCCCACCTCCGCAGTGGCCTCTTCCCGACGACGCCAGTCCTACTATACCACCTCGTTCACCCAACAGGTTACGGCCACCGCAACCAAGCATCCGGCCTGTATCAGACGACTATCCCATTCAGCAGCCTTCCCCAAGGTCCCCACCGCCGCTTTCTCCAGATTATCTTCAACCGCCCTCTTTCAACTTTCGAATATCAAACAAGAGCGACGACATGTACTCGCCATCATCACGGCCATTCTCTGGCGCATCAGAGGCATCATCGCTGGGATCGATTCCGGACTTCCCGGTTCCTCAGCCACCCATGCCTGCTGTACAGCCACTTCCTCGTCGTGTCCCCGGCTTGGGCCCACCACCTTCGTCGCGAAGAGGTCCTTCATCATACTACACACAGATGTCTTACGTGTCGCCCATTGTCGAAGAGTCGGAGACTCGTTCGGACACAATCAGATCACGTCACGGTTCCTTCGCGTCAAGCAACGTCTTCCCCACGAACGGCGATGATTTTTACCAGAACGATTACCCACAATCGGACGATGACGAGACGATAACAAGCGACCGTGGGACAATGTCACCCACTAGTGACCACGATGACCAAAGTGGGCTTGTCAAAGAACCGCCTCCTCTTGTTCGACAAGCAAGTCTGGGGCGGAGGACGAAGCCGTCTCTTATGACAATCAAATCTGTCGACAGTATCGGTGAGAAAAAGAGTGAAAATTCCAAGAAGGCAGCAGCTGGCGCAGGCATTGGCGCAGTAGGAGCGGGTGGCATCTTTGCTGCACGTGATGCAGCCCAAAGTTCACCCCTTCGGAGCTCGATCTTGAGTAGTGGCACTGGACTTATCGACCCATCCTCATCCTCCTCCTCAGGCTCGTTGAACACCTTACGCAACACCAAGTCGACTTCCCCTAGCTACACAGGCGCCGAGTCACCCCTCTTTGCTTTTCAATCAGAGCCTCGCACAAATACCTTGGCTGATCGTGTCGGATTTAGGCGCCCGCCTAGGCTCGACATGGATACTGTCCGTGACGCTGAGGCACGCGGCAGTCTAACCAGCCTTCCAGATCTGATTCGAAGAGCAACGAGGTTAGCGGCCAACCTTGATCGGGGAAAGACAGCCAGCCGATTTGGGTTGGACTTCTGGGAGACTGGTGCACCAGAGCAGAACGTGCGGAAGTCTCAAAATTCCTTGACTGACATGCTCGCTGCATTCCCTCCACCAGGCCAAGAAACTCCGCAAAGGTCAGGTACACCGGCTGGCAATGCTATGGCAGAATGGCCGTCTTCAGGAGGAGCAGCTACACGCTCTGGTGGTGCAGACCAAGGATATGGTAACGAGAAACCAGCCAAGAAGCGGCGCAGATGCTGCGGCCTCCCACTTTGGACTTTCATCACGTTGTTGATTGTACTCCTCTTCATCGTAGCCGCAGCAGTGGTCATCCCGATCGTGCTTGTGGTAATACCCAATCAGAACAAGAGTACCAGTGCTGCTCAGGATAACCAAGGCAACAACAACAACACCACAAGCGCACCAGCTCCAACATCAGGCTCCGGAAGCGGTTCGTCCAATTGTCAGAACGGCGGTGTCGCCATTCAGAATGCAGACCAGTCGAGTACTTGTGTTTGCATCAATGGCTTCACCGGTAGCACTTGTGGCAACAACGATGAGAGCGGATGTACAACAACCAGCATAATGGGCACTGCCAACAACGCTACTGTTGGCTCTGGCATCCCTCGACTCGTTCAAAGCGCGGCCGAGGATTTCAACATACCCCTTGATGCAACTCGCATCTTGTCGTTATTCTCTAGCTTATCACTTAGCTGCGCAGCAGAGAATGCGCTGATCACCTTCAACGGTCTGACATCCCGCTCAGTTCCATCCACGGACCAGTCCATCAATCTTGGCAGCTCCCTTCCTACGCGTTCGCTTCCTGTCTTGCACCTTCCCCACCCAGCTCGACAAGTGGAGGCGCGACAGGAAGCCACACCCATATCCAGCAACACCACCGCAGTTGACTTCGCTCGAGTAGGCGTCCTATTTGCACTGCAACAGGCTGGCAAACTCGACACCGCTGCCACCGCGCAGGAGAACGTCCAGGACTTCCTCACCAGCAACCGCAACGGCGACTCAAACACCAACACCGTCGATGTCGGCCCCTTCACCATGGACCTCGTCAACCTCACCATCAAATTCGACAACGGCACTACCATCGGCCCCAAGTCGTAAAAGTTGTTTTGCATGTTATTGTCTTTCTAGCACAGCGATACCCGCATACATGCATCCCCATCATTGTCCACGTTCTCTTTGTCTCAGCATTCCATCAGCATGTACAATATAGCGTTTTTTCTTACCGTGACACTTTTACTTTCTATATCACGTCTTGAAGACGACCTTTGGTACTATTTTGATCTGGATCTAATGTGTATATGGACCGGGAATAACCTTTGCTGAGAAGCTATGACAGGGTTTGGGTTAGATAGCTTTGTATATAGAGTGGCATGCTTAGCATGGAGAGAACGAACACGAAGACTCAGAACATCGCTTCCCCACACCGACGCGTCTTGAAGTCATTTCGAGCTGCCCATCCTGCATAAATGAGGAGGGAGCAACAGGGCAGGTCGTCAGGTGCTCCTGCGCTCGTTCAAACATGACCACGCCAAACACGTGCTCAGTCCATCGCACCTGCCTGCTCCATACACTCCTGCCACGCGCCAAAGGCAGTCACTCAGTCATGACTCTTAGCTCAACTTCTCTCATAAACTCTTCACCGATGTAACAACGGCCAACAAAGCTCCGCCTACACTAACAATCCATGAGGCAACTCCAAACGCTCCTTGAATGTCCGATTTACCTTTGTCCACACCACGCAGAATATGAGGCTTTTCGCCAATAGGCCGAAAACAAACCTGAAGATTATCTTAGGGTTCCAGCCCTCTTTGTAGTATATGCCCCAGCCCTCGGCGGGCTGCTCTGGCTTCCCAAACAGCTCGCCCCATGTTCGCTTTGGCAATTGCTCGGCCATCCATCTGCTTGATTCGTGTGCTTCTTTGTGAAGAATGAGAGCAAGTATTCTGGCGGGAGGGATGGGGAGGTTTTGGGTGGAACGGGTTGGCATTTGTATTCGGCGGTGTCGACGGGCTCGACTCTTGCTTTGGAAGGAAGACACTCGCAAGTCTTGCTTGCGGTTCGGTTGTTCGATATGTTGATAACCGGAACGCATGTTGTCTCGTGTAGTATGATGATCACACTGTGTTCGCTAGCGGTCCGTTGCAGTGTCTACCAGCGGCCCGTTGCAGTGTCTACCAGCGGCCCGTTGCAGTGTTTGCCAACGGCCCGCTGCACTGATAGTCCAGCTCATTCGGTTAGTTTGGTTTGCTTCCCCAACTCTTCACTGCTATCCCCTTCTACTATATAGTCTCGATCGATTCCAGCCAATAGCTCTCAAGATCAATCAATCATCTCAACCCTTCCACACACTGTCGCCTAAAGGAAGGTAGAATCTGACGATGTGGATGCCTTGCACGCACTTCAGAGAGAACGCTGAGCGCAGTCGACTGCGATGACGACTGTACTGATCCCGCAGGAATTGGACTAAGGCGCGGTCAGTGGATATGCCTTGGATCCGATCCTGTAGAAGGATTTGTCAGAGCCTTTGTCGTGCACGCAAGCCATCAGATGAAGTAAGGTGTCCTTTATGACGCCCCCATGATTGCTCGCCATGGTGTTTGTCGAAACAGTCGACGCTGGGGTTTGAGTAGAAGTGGGTTGAGACCTTTGCCGTCGAAACGTGCTACCACGATTGCGGCGGAGATGTGTGTGACCTGAATACAAATCAGTACATCTATCTCGGGTTCTCTCGGGATATCAACGTACAGCGGATGTGAAGTATGGTAGACCCAGACCTACACCTCCAAACCCGATGGCCTGTATTCACAAAGAGGCCATGAGCGGAGCGCCTACAAGCGAGTTGAGTGTCTTGGTCAACATGACGATGCTGAAGTCCTGCGTGTCAGAGTCAGCAAGCGCTATAAGTTGGGACTTCACGAGCGACATGGTGAAAACTGGCAAAGCCGAGCCAAGGGCATAAATCATCAGAGCGGCCAACTGCATCAAGAACTTGAATACCAGTGCTACGCACAACACGCTAATGACCGAGATTAGAATGCTTGCTTCTGCGCCAAGATAGTCAAGCCGGACTTCAGAGCCGTGGACGGCTCTCGTGGACACTGACTTGTCGATGAGGCGCGGGACGACGATTGCAAGTAGTGTGAAGTTGATGATTGCTTTTGCTGACAGTATGAAGCTGGCCTAGAAGCACAATGAGCTAACGATTCAGACAGGAAAAGTGGGCTCTCAGCCAGTTTACCTGAGTAAACATCCACTCGTATCGTTTCGAGATGTACTGCACATGGAGCTTCGTATCCGAGCTCGCAAGTGTGGCAAGGAAGAACGAGCACAGAAGAACCTGGAAGTTTCAACGTCTTCTGAATGGGCTCACAAGCTTTTGGGCTGCCTGCAAGGATTCTTGGACAAAGCCGTGTGGCTTCTCAAAATACATTGGCGTAGCGACTTGAACTGCCCTCACTCTTTGCGAGGAGTGGTCCTTCTTCGAGATCGTCACTGTTGAAGCGCTTGTATACCAACGATGAAGAGCCGATGAGGGTTGACTTCGTTGTCTCAGGCAGCATCACAATCGTAGGTATTGCGAAAGCCAGAAGACCTATGTTGATCCAGAAAGGCAGCAATATGTTCCAGCTCATTGTAGCTGAAGCTATTATGGGGCTCATGAACGATACGACGCATGATGTTGAGCTGATGTATGAGAAGAAGGGTGCTCTGCGTTTACATTAAATGAGATTTGAACGATGAAAGAAAACGTGGCTGAAGAATACATACCGTTGATCATAGGCACCAGCCAGCGCCGATGTCAATGTAAAGATTATTGACTGAAACACATATTCTCCGCCGAACACAGCTAGAAATGGCTCAACAATGATGGCTTTAGTAGGCAGGATGTGGACAAAGTACCCTATTGCGATAACCCATACGCTCATGAATACCCTTGGATGAGATTGCACCATAGAACGACTCGAACGCAATACTTCTCAGCGACGGAGCTGAAAGGTATCGTTACCGGGAAGTCCGATTTGAGCGCAATCAGACACGTGCAAAGTAGCAGATCTGCTGCCGACGTTACGTATCACACGAGACTAGTGTAGGCTCCATGGTGCCCTGAAGCTATGCTAGTCGCTGCTGGGCTTCATTGATCTTGCACAGCTTCTCAGAAATGGGCCCATGCTCTGGATGAGCGCTGGATCGTGATGCTCGTAGTGATCTTAACAAAGCCTCAGCTCAATCACGCGGTTTAGAGGGAGCTTATACAATACGGCAGAGAGATGCACGAGGATGAGAAGCGCAATGAGTGGTCGTATTGGATGTTTGTTCTTTTTGACAGAACTGGGCGATGAGCTCCGAGAAGATGCGCCCAGCGCGGCTGGCAGGAGCAGTTCACCGCTGAGATAAGTTGCCATAAGTGATGGACACGCTCGCGACGACTTCATGTCGACATGTTTATTGGTGAGTATGATCAATGCGACGGAGTTTCGAAGGTACGAAGTACGAGATCTGATGCGATAAGATAACTATCACGTGCCAAACTCTTTCCACCCCTCTCACCGACGGGGACATTCATCACTCAAGAGCCGTCAAGGTTCATCAACTGCCGGAAAAACCCTTGACAGCACTCCGGCAAAGCAAATGCACACCGCAACTCCATCTTCGATCACCGGCCCTCTCCGCCACACAACCAGGGTATACCCAGCCAATACGACAGCGCATTGCGCCACACCGAACCAGCCCTGCAGCCGCCTCACCCAATCTCCCCCTTTTCCATTCGCCTAACCACCTTCTAGAAACGTGTGTTCCCAACACCGTATTTCTTACGAACGCGGTTTCGCGACTTGTGAACGCGACTGCGTAACCTTGGCTGCCTCCCCAGATTCGCGTTCGAGGCTGATGATCCTTGCAAGGGATGAAGACTGACGGTGACGGTCTGACACCACATATTGACACGGGAGCTTATCGAGGGATTGGCGATGTCGTTCCAGGGTGATCGTGAACTGGATTCTAGAATGATTTGGAAGTTTTGCTCCTGGTGACTGGGAGATCTTACACCACGCCCTGGCAATATCCTAGACCCTCGCGGATGACGCAGCGTGCCCATGTTGGATCTGCGCATCTGTCTCCGCCGTAGTGTGATAGGCATGTTGATTGTAGTTGCTTGTTTGAGTGTTGGATTGCTAAGGAAATTCCTAGGGTAAGTGCAGTCGTGGAAAGAATGAGCAAGAGCATGGTCGCGATGATTTGTGCTCTGTACTTTCGCCATCGCTTTCGATAGTTGCGCTCTGTACCAGAGTCTAAAGATATGTAGCTTCGTCGCCATGGTATGGACTCTAGTATGTCAAAGGACTGAATCGATGCTGGTGAAGGTGGTGCCGAGGTTGGGTCTTGGTCAGCATACCGCGGACACAGGACATTGTTGGCAAATGTAGTTTCATCGTTGATGTAGGGCGATACTGGCATGTAGCCTATGCTCGTGGGTCTTGAGATGGAGATTGGTGTCTTGTGCGGTTAGCGAGGTGTCGTATAAGCGGCAAGCCAGCGCAATCTCCCTGGACTTACGGGAGCCATGCTAGAAGACGAATTTGCTGGACTGAGCAGAATGCATCTCGAGCGCGCGCACCAAGGCCATCTTTAAGACTCAAATGTTGCATGAACAACCGTGAAACATGCAATGAGTGGACAGCAGCACAAGCAACTTGACGCGGTGCAAGTCTGCTTGCCCACGAAGCTGAAACATCATACCGCAGGAATCCCAAGATTAAGCGCGCAAGGACATGTCGCATGGAACACCGTTGATATTGTGGGCGACCATGTTCTAGTACCTAATGCTCGTCATGCCCCTTCCAGCCCCGCTGTCGAAGTACAATCTGAGCCCTAACACCAGGACTAGCCCACCGTATCACCGCGCCCACGGCACCATGTGTATGCCCACTGATCCGCTGCATGGGTCCAAGAGACGAGATTTTGTAAGGAAAGAAGAAGGGTATCTCTGCTCGCTTAAGCAAACAACACTGGCGAGTGAGCTCAATTGTAGCATCTGTTCCCAATTTAAGCCTATATGCTTGCTTTCCACCGCTCGCACTCCTGCCACAGAGCTGTTCATATTAGAGGATAGTGTAGGTCCAAGATGCGAACATTCTGCTCTGATCAGGACCGATGTACTAACGCAGCCTGAAGCTGGTGGCGTACGACCTTGTTTTTTTGTAGGTCGAGTATTGTAACAAAGGAAAGCTGGTAACGGACAGGAACAGAAAAATTCTTTGATATCGCAGAAAAGGTAGAATAAAACGCTTGCAAATGCCAGACAAATGTGACGCTATGACGCTCATACATGGAGAGTTTTGGTACAACGGGTATATTCATGGTTGTGATCAAGACAATCCATGATTATGCGGAGATGTTCAAGACAACAACTGCTCCCAGCAAGGGATATCTTTACATATGCTGGGGATGCAGGTATGAGGTGTGGTAATATTGTTGATGCGGCACGTTGGGTGGCAGCTCTGATGTTGGTGTCGATGGGTACATCGAAGCCGGTTGTGACTTGACAACGTGACCAGCGAATTGCCCCTCACCATCGGGTGTGATTGGTGGTGTGAGGCATCCGTTGTTCATGATGGCGCTGTAGACGACCTTTTGGGGTGTCGAGGGTCCGTATTCTGAGACGTGCTTGGGCTCTTCGACAGTAAGTGTTGGCGGGGGTGTCGGTGGCGAGGCCGCTGCTCGTTGTGCGTTGCGTGCTTGTTGTTGAAGGAACTCGTCGACAGTTGCGACGACGTTGGATAGGTGTGTCGAGGCGTACTTTCTTGAGAGGACAGGCGATGGCTGGTAAAGGTGGTTCGACAAGCCCATAACGGTCTGGGCATCGTAGGCACCAGCCCACTCTGTAGGCTTAGCTTGAGGACGTGTAAGCACACACCTGGCGAGGGCCAAAGCAGATCTGGCGAGGACTGAAGGCGGTGTAGATACAAACTCCTTGTGGAACAGGGCAATCTCTGCAATGTACAGTGTCATGTGCTCGACTTCGGCGTCATAAGGTGCTTCGGCGAGAGCAATCTGAAGGAAGGTGTCCACGGTGGGGTGTCCAACGACCCAATTCAGGGTTTGCAGAACGTGCCATTCCATCTGGGTGAACATCTCATCATCATAGAGCGAGCAGCACATCGACTTCAGTTCCCGAACGGTTGGTACCCGGTCCTTCTTGTCACCGTACTTAGCAGCAACGAGGAGGGCAGCACAGCCAACGAGCTGGTAGTGACGCTTGTAGACGACGCGGCGGGAGCAGTAGCGGTCGAGAAGGTTGACGGCAAGAAAAAGAGTCTCGGGCAGCAGCTGGAAAGCGGCGTGAGCTTCGACCAAGAAGTCGAGGAGGTAGGGGCGCATGAACCACTGGATCTCTGTCTGAATGTCGATTGAGTTGACGTCTGGTAGTGTTTGTGACTGGTTCGTGTTAGCAAGACTTTTCATCGCATGTGTCTCACAACACCAACCTCCATGTGCATCATGTGCTCCATAATGTCCTCCTGGTACTCATCGGCAGTTTGTCTTGAAAGCTCTTCCGCGATAGCCCGTTGTTGCATCCTTGCAATACTGCGCTGACGTTCCCTAGCCTCAGCACGGAGGACGTAGATGCCGTCATCGTGTGATTCCGTGAAGTACGAGTCGCAATGCCCGTAGCGGGATTGTGTGTGTTGGTGGTAGGCCATTGTTGGTGATGTGGAGGGAGGTGGGTTGCAGGGGCGTCAAAGTCGGTTTGCTTTGGTAAGGGAGTGTGATAGCTCGGTGTATTGGCCGGATTAGAGAATGGCAGCCTGATTGGCAAACTGGTGTCGAAGGACTGTGTGTAGTTGGGTGGTAAAGGAAGGTATCTGGTCCGTGGTTCCCGAAGAGCTTGTGTGGCGGGAATATGTATAGCAGAAGCCTGGAACACGAAAGGATGTTAGTCCGCGTTCAACTGAATTTTCGATCGTGAAGTGGTGCGCGAGGAAGTACATACCTTGAAGAATTAAAGTATTAAGATAAAGAACGAATGAGGAGCAGAGGACAGGAAAGGTACGGTAGAAGAAGTCGGAAAGCTCGAGCCCCTTGCTAATTGCATCCAGGAGCTAGAGTGAAATTGGGCGGGTTTGATGTGGGGCGAACACTACTGTGAAAAGGGATGACAGAGCACGAGCTAACGAGTCTGCCAGGGTGCGTTGCTAGGTACTGGAATGCGAATAATCCCAGTGCTGGCAATCATGGAACTACGCGAGGCTTAGTCTCAAGCATTTCGGATGTCTTTCGCGGGAAACTTACAGTGGATGCAAATCTTCAGTTTATCGAAGATGCAAAAGACTGTGGTGAGATACAGCCGGTTGTATAGCCTGATTACAGTTGATGAAACTGCAGTGGTATGGTCAGCGCAAGTTCGACAGTTGATCAATAGCGAGTCAAGGTGACATCCAGTGATCCAGTAAAATGAGAGTGAGCCAATGTGGTAACCGATGATCAGGCCAGCGATCGTGGAATGAGGCTGCGGCACGTTCCGGCCAGGGACCGTGACAGGACGTGACGGGTGCACATGTAGTTGAGCCGCCAGACTTCAGTGACAGATCCTGATGAACCACAGGTAATAGTGACGATGCGGTGTAAAACGACGTTTGCTACGTGCAGCATAATGTTGACGCAGAACAATGAGAGCAACAATGACAGCCATAGCCTCAGTCCCAAGTTACTAACTCCAAGCTACCAAACCTGATATGGATGAAATGCAAGTCGTAGACGTGACCGTGTATGAGGTGCTACAGCGGCGAGTTCGTGGCACACAATCTTGTGTCAATGGTGATGGCATCGCGGCGGCTTTCGAGAGTCGTGATTTGGCGAGACACTCCTAATTGACGTAGACGGGACGAGATGCAATCCGATGGACGTACGGTATGTGTCGCCCTTGACTCGACCTGCCACCCTAACCGACAACACTGTGCAAAGCCGATGCTTACAATCCTATTGTCTCGCCATGGCCCTGTCGTTCGCAATGTTCGCCCTTCCCTGATGCTGCCCTCATATGCTGACGTTGTCCTCCGGCCTCCTCGTAGTGTTCATGTGCCTCATCATGGTCTGTGCCGTCCTGTTCCTTCTTGATCGGGATCCGCGGATGGAAGAAGTCCCTGATGGAAGGTGCTACGCAGACCCGACGCAATGACCGAGGCAAACGGGATCCACGGCAACGAAGATTGAAACATTGACCTACCTTTAAGTTCCAAGAGCTGACACAGGTGTACGGTGGGGTCACACGAGGCTGGTCGTATAGGAGTCGAGTCTGACAACGATGGACGGAGGTACAGCGAAGGCTTTTTCAACTATCTCTGCGGCCAGCGAGAGGACAGGAGGGGTAGGCGGATGGGAATGGGAGGCTGAAGGTCGCAGAGTGGTCTGGCACACTTCAGGGTATCCTATTCGTAGAGAGACGGTCGGGGTGGGGAGAGAGCAGGAGAAGGAGGGTTTTGTGGAAAGACAGGGCCGAAGATTTTCAGCACCACATCAGATCCAAGAAACTCCGTGCTCGACCGTAGTGGGGAGAGGATGATAAAGAGGAGGTGAAGGGGAGGTGAGGAGAGGATGATGTTCTTCAGACGGCTGCAGCTCTTACAAAACGACGGGCTCTCAGCGCGCCCAGGAGCCAGAGTGGACCGCGCTCTACTGGCTTGGAGCTACCGGGCTAACCCTATCTGCGTCGCGCAAGTTCATAACCTTGGAAGTCAAGGAACACCAGCCAACCGTGGCGTGTTCCGTCCGGCGTCGTGGATCTATGGCGTTTTGCTCTGGCAGTTCCCAGCCAGGAACACGCTTGACATTGCACGCGTTGCAGCCCGTATCTTCCGCAGACTCCCCCATCTGTCTCGCGCACTGTCACGCCGCCCGGCTGCTGTGCTCGCGGCCGTAGCCACCAACTGCAGCACCCTCCAGTGCCTGCGCTGCGACGTGCAACAGTGGCAGGCTGGTCTCCCGCTGTCTTGCTGCTCGCACAAATATGTGATGCTGCCCGTATGCCCATAACGCGTCCAATTGTGGCTCCTAGCTCGCGGCGACTACTCACGTTAGCTGGCAGACGGGCTATGAGGAGACGCGCTGGTGGGCGGGCTGTCATCTTCGCAAACCCCCGCCCGAATTAAGCCTTGGGAGCATCTCCGGTCAGCGTGAAGCCAACGCATGCAGCGACCGGGTCAGGCTCTGATCGCTGGCCAATGTGTCCTCGTCTGCGCACAGGAAATATCTTGCTTTGCACGCTTTAGAGAGCCAAGACCTTGAATTGGCAGTGCCGCCGCAGCTCAGACGCTGCTGCGTGGTCCCCCTGGCACATCCTTACGCCAAGTGGCAGGAGACGCCTCAAAGGTGCCCATCGTTATGAGGTGATAATAGATATTCAATTCGCTTAAGCTCTCCTGTGCGTTCACGGGTGCGTACAGATGCATGCGGGTTGTTGCATCCCGTTTGAGGTTGTACACGAAAATTCACATCGTCGAGTATCTGCAAGCAGCTTCAACACCAGCTCTCTAGTGGTTTTATGAGCTCCATATAAACACGCAAACTCAGTGCATGCGGTTCAGAGCATGGAGATCCAGCGAGCCCCACGTTCACGCTGCTTCCGCATGGTGGAGTGCTCTAAGAGAGACTATTGCGCAGCCATCGGTACCGAGCTTCGTAACCAGAGTAACACAGACCTCCTTGCTGATGAAGCCTCAGACCCGACCGTTGAGATCATCGTTTCGTGATGTACGAAGACTGCTGCTGTCGTTTCGACGCGAATACGAAGTCTCAGGAGGCCGCCTGCTTGCCTGCAATATATTGCCGCTTATACACTCAGCAACGTGTCTTGCAGCACCAAACTGTGGTTCTTCATCTCGTGAGATTGCATCCTAAGTCCGCGGGTTGCAAGCATCAAGCCATGTTGCCGAACTTGAAGCTTCCAGAAATCAGCCGTGGTTGACCTTCCCTTGCAGGAGCTAGCCACTCCTTTTGCGGGGTTAGGTGCATGCACACAGTGTGATCCGGTGCTATCTAACGAGCTTTGTTCCGCTGCGTCGTGACAGCACTTGAGCTTTGACTTTGCAGAAGCAATACAACGCCTGACGCTGACCGCATTGGGAGGCAAAATGTACACATCGCCCCTTCAATGCATGCCCGGGTTGAGCAAGGCAGCCCATCTTAAAGGCACACCACCGAGACAAACCAGGGCGCCCTTCAGCTGTCTGCATGTCCCTGCAACTGCATCAACAAACAATCAATTGGCGTTTCTGCAGGTGTCTGACATATGATGTGATGGTTTGGATCCGGCAAGTCATTGCGTGCGGCTGGGAAGCTCATCATTTCCAAACGATAGATGCTAGCGCGATCTTTCGCGTTTCCCAACAATGACCTTCGGCGCCGTCCCAAAAGCACCGTTTAAACGCAACAATCGGCAACGCCTTCTCTTGGTCTGACTATTGCATGCAGCTAAAGCTCGCAGCCGGCTTCCGCGCACCGTGTCTCGTGTTTAAGCCAACACTGCAGCTAACTCGTCATGTCCTTGGTCTGATCACGACCGCGAACACAGCGCGCATCTTTAAAGTACCTGAGCCTCAATGCACGCGACCACGCGTGTAATGAAACTTTTGCCTCCAGCCTGTTTTCGTTCCACTCCGTTCCACGCCTTGTCTTATCCGACTGCACACCGAGTCTATCGACAGTTGTTCCGTGGACTCTGTGGGCCTCAGGCTGCGGCTACCGTACAATCAGCGTTGCTAGCAAATTTGCTCAAGACTTTTCATCACGATTGATCACGATGCGGGCCTCGTGAGGAGATCTTCACTTATCTTCCACAGCAACCAGATGCACTGCGCCGACATACGTTGTAGCACCGGAGACTGGTTGCGTTGCGGATGGGTCCCCTACCTCCGGCCTTATCGCTTACTTGGTTGTCTGGGCACCGCATGAGCTGTGACAGATCTTGTGCAGCTTACACAACGGTTGAAGAGCAAACTTTTTAACATTTACAGACGTGGCTGCTGGGGGCGAAGTGCATGTTTCAATACTTTGCAACACATGTCTTCCCCAAATACAGCCCAACGATAATGAGGTCCTTGACTTCCGCGAGCACGATTATTTATTCAAAAGGATGAAAGGACCGATGCAATGACACTGCACTGCGGAAACATGTTACCCCGCTCGGCGGTCAGAGCGCATCCTTTGAAGGTTCAACCAATGCTACAGTACGGGATTGTCACGGAAGTTCTTTTCCCAGGTCCCGCTATACACGCGTTGGAGGCGTAATGCTGGTGCACTTAGGGTCGCGTTCACGCGTACCGCGTAAAGTGGTTACATAGTTTGCGCAGCGTCATGACCATGGGACGCCCGAGCCGCACTGATGGTGATTCATGTTGATCTCATGCAGTATCCAAGGGGCGCCAACCCTGGTTGCAGTCAAGTTCAACCGTTGAACTCAGCATTTCTACAGCAACGCAGTGCGATGACGTCCAGCGCAGACGCAGAGCTAGCTAGTTTGTTGCGGCTTGCGGATTGCGGAAACTGGACCGGTTACTTATCACAATAGCTCCCGCAACGAGTCTCACAACGGCGTGATTATGCGGCGTCACAAGCCGAACAAGACGGCCGAAAGGAGGGGCACCCAACGAGCTTTCATTGCTGGGAGCACAAGTAATGTTTGCGCAATGCTGAAGCGGACAACACGTGCAAGACTATTTGGTTCAACGGATGGTTGAAGTGGCTGGTTGCAGACAGCGCAAGGTCAAGCTTGCCGTGCCTGACACCTGACTGACAGTACCGCGGCACATGCTGAAGGCTATTCAGAGTTTTCAAAAGACTGTCCCGCCAGGTCTGGTGTCTGAAGAATACAACACGTAGTCACAGCAAATCCGCCATAATTGGTTCTGAAGCTGCCCAGCCCCCAGAGCTATACTGTCGTGCTCAAGCCTGGCTTCCATCTTTGCAACCTCTGTTGTCCATCCTCCAGTTCATCTGTCCCAGTGTGTATTAACTACAGAGCCCAAGGGTAGAGCGGAGCGAAGTTCGGTGATGCACAGCCTGTGCCTGGGGGTCGGTGTTTTGACAACATATACGGGCATGACTAAGCCTTCACGAAGCCGAAAACTTATCGAACGTAGAGACGATACCTTTGCAGAGCACATTCACCATTCTGATGGAAGCAGATGGGCAGACGTGGTCTTCAAGGTTTGATGGATGACGAGCTGGAGTTCAAGGTTGTGCGGATGAAGTGATGTTAGACCGGGACGGACAAACAATTTACCTAGTGACAGTGACCCACCTGTCTCCACTGAAAACTTCGTGCCAAGAGTTCGATCCTCGAGTGCTTCAAGCTGCGACTTTACGAATATGATAGCTGTAGTGTTGACCCGGTAGCGCACGCTTACAGACCGCGCGTGGAGCTCCTCAAATATATTTGCAATTCCTGGTCTCAAATCATAGTGCACCATGGACATTCACAGATCGCGTTTCGTGCCTTTTCCGCCATCTGCGATCAACGCCCTTGCATTTTCGCACACCGAACCTGAACATGGCCAGCAAGAACCTGAGTCATTGAGACTCGCGATCGGACGCGCCAACGGCAACATCGAGATTTGGAACCCAGCGAACGGGGCATGGCTGCAAGAGAAGGTGTTCTATGGCGGCAAGGACCGAAGTGTGGAGGGTCTGGTGTGGACACAGAACCCCGACCAGAGGGATCCAAACGGAAAAATCGTTCCAGGACGCCTGCGGCTGTTTAGCATTGGATACTCGAGCAGCGTCACAGAGTGGGACCTTGCAACTGGTCTCCCGGCACGACACTCGAACGGCAACCACAGCGAAGTCTGGTGTATCGCAACGCAACCGAGGGCGAAGTGCAACACTGTTGCAGGCACGAGCGATGCCAGCTCCTACCAGAAGCTCGTAGCAGGCTGTGCCGACGGCACACTAGTCCTCCTCACCACCGAGGATGACGACCTTCGCTTCGAGCGATTCGTGTCCCGGGCATCGACAAAGAAAGCTCGTGCTTTGAGCGTTGCATACAAGGACCGCGATACTGTGCTTGCAGGATTTGCGGACAGCATGATACGAGTCTTCGACACAAGGAACGGCAACGTTATTAGAAACATCTCGCTGGGGAGTGGACCACACGGTGGACCGAAGGAGATTCTGGTCTGGAAAGTGAAATGCCTTCCCAACGGCGACTTCGTATCCGGCGACTCTACTGGCGAAATCAGGGTCTACAGCGGTAAGAACTACAGTCAGACGCAGAGGATCTCGGGTCACGAAGCGGACGTTTTGGATTTGGCCGTCTCTCGTGACGGCACAGGCATCTTCAGCGCAGGCATGGACCGCCGCACATGCTTCTACACTTGCAAGAAGTCACAAGGCAACAAGGGACAGAACGGCAAATGGCGCAAGGTGTCCCACCAGAGGTATCACGAGCACGATGTCAAGGCTATGGCAACGTATGAGGGTAACAAGATCAGTGTGGTCGTTTCTGGAGGTAAGGAAACTACTCACATTTCAATTATGATCAACGACTCACGAACATTGCACAGGTATTGACACACAACCCATCGTCGTTCCTCTCCGCCAATTCGGTCAAGAGCTCAGCCGAGGTCTACCAGCTCTACCTTCTACTCCGCCCCTTGTGAGCGCTCCGGAGGCACGACTCGTGGTCAGCTGGTGGAACACAGAAGTTCGTGTCTGGCGTGTCAAGCCCAACCACGATGGCACCGAGAAGCCCAAGGTGGTGGCACGACTGGCGTTGCAGGGTGAGGAGAACATCACATCTGTCTCAATCACCCAAGATGGAGAGCTTCTCACTGTCGCAACCGCGGACGCCGTCAAGCTGTTCCAGCTCATCCACCCGCAGTCAGGAGCAGGACCGAGCCTTCGAATTCGGAAGATCGAGATGCCAGATATCGAAGGTGCAAGGAACGTACGTCTGACAGCAGACGGCAAGTGGCTTGCTGCGGTCACCGCGTCGAACGAGGTGAGGCTCATCAGGGTTATCAGGACGGAGGACCCAGATGATCAGCCGCGCCCTCTAGCCAAGGTTGCGCGCCTGCAGCGTATGCCTCGCGAGGACATCCGGTCGACGCCCCTCACTGGCGAGCACGGATTTTACGAACGCTCTATCAACAATGCAGAGTTTTCTTCTGACGGTAATGTTTTTGCTGTCACAGACCTTGCAGGCTACATCGATACGTGGGTCGTTGAAGGGCACGAGGACTCAACCGCTCCCGAAGTGGACATCGACGACTCCACTTCGGACGCTGCCGAGGACGAAGACTCTGACGATGACGAGGATGGATCAAAGGAGCAAATCATATTTCTCGGCCAGCGATGGATACGTAATCCCTCAGGACACTTGCTGCCCCGTCTCGACTCCACACCTACGCTACTATCGTTCCAACCCAGCATGAACGACTCTCGGCCACAACCGAATGGCAACCCAGCGGTCCATCCCACAAGGTCCAATCCTCACTCCCACTCGCATGAGGTGCTGACGACGGAGCAGAGGCTTCTTGTCACATCTGCGAAACACCAGCTGTACGTCTTCGAAGTGATTGCAGGCCGTCTTTCAGAGTGGTCAAGGAGAAACCCCCCATCCAGTTATCCTTCTGAATACCGCATGCTCGACCTTCCCGCAAAAGGCTGTGTATGGGATGTCACTTCTTCCCAGCAACGACTGTGGCTGTACGGCGAGAAGTGGCTGTTCATGTTCGACCTGAGCAAAGACTTCCCAATCTCCGAGGATGGTTCAAAGAAGCGCAAGCGCGATGCGGTCACAGATACACCGAGGAAGACCACCAGTGGAGCCGGCGACATCATCCCCTCGAAAGAGAGCACTGTCACAAAGATGCGCAAGTATAACAGTGCACCAGGCAAGGATGCGGGCAAGGCGAACTGGTTGGACGTGCACGCGCCTAGGTCTGACGCGCTTGACGATGACGACGAGGGCGACGCTCAACCATTGGCGTCTCTCCGACGAACGGCGACGCAAGATGAGCCGACTAATGGCGACGTACCTACTGGGGGTGAGGTTGCAGAAGTGGAGCAGAAGGCGAGCTGGTGGCATACGTTCAAGTATCGTCCGATATTGGGCATGGTGCCTGTTAGCGGCGAGCAGGGGCAGCCGCTCGAGGTGGTCCTTGTCGAACGGCCATCGTGGGATCTTGATCTGCCGCCTAGGTTTGTCGGGGCGCATGAAAAGTAACTTCATTTTGCTCTTCATAGAGATGTTGCATTATATGGCGTTGATACCTCCAATCGAACTGCGTTCGATATCCATCCCTCCATCTCAACCCGCTACAGTGATACATGTTTGGAAACATCTAGGAAACCTGAAAGGAGTCATGCCGCGCGGTGCGGTCCTGGACGTGTTTAAGCTTATTGAGGCTGCGAAGGGTGCCTTGCTAACATGTTAGTAGACGACACGTCGATGCTGAACACCTCATGGCAAGTGGGCCTAGACCATCCTTGTCTCAAGCAGTGACTCGTCAGCTCGCAGCCTGTAGCTTGCACTGTTTGTCCGCGTCCGAGTCCGCACGATTTGTGAAGACCGTCTGACACAGCACAGTCTTCGTGTTCGTGAGCTTGCCAAGATATATTCGCAAAACAGAGTACTTGACTCGGTGAAGAGATGTATTCGTCAGCACGTGATGTGGGGTGCGCAGAGCCGCTTGACAGTCATTGATCGGTGCGATAGTCGTCGCAAGCATGCTTAAGCTCAACGTCTATCGCGCTGATGTCAGACCTTTGCAGTACCACGGAGTCAGCACATCGAGATCTTGACAAGTACCTGCTGATCTTGGTAGAATCCGCGGTGATGAGCGCCAGGCTGCAAGAAGGAGTATGTAGCATCATGTATCCCGCAGTATTCGCAAGCTGTTTCACCACAGAGCCAACGATGTTACAAGGTCAACTTTGACAACCCGCACTTTGCAGCAGATCGACCTGATAGCTGACGCAGACCAATGACGACGAGGAACGGTAGTGCCAAGAAACCGCCTGTCAGTTCGCCACATGGCCGCACGGCTAACGACAGCAGATCTTCAGCGAGCAGAAAAACACGCAGGCTCGAAGGGACAACGCTGTCGCAAGCAGTGGTGCGGGCTTCAACAATTAAGCTTGCGTGCAGGAACGGGGCAGCAGCTGGCGTGTTCTTATTCCTCCACCTGTTCCTGAAGAGTCTGCGTCATCACCGACGGTGTGGGAGCTATTGATTCATCAAAACCTACCGACAGCAGCACCGGTGCATACGCGTACGTGGGTTCCGTGGCGTTGCGAGGGCAGATCTCCGCTCCACACGCGCAGCTGCGCGCCTGATGGATGAAGATTTGTCGCACGCAATGTAAGAATACGCGTGGGAGAGCCGCGAGGAAATGAAACCATCAATTGCTTGGGCGCGTTGCGTTGTGCCTAATAATAAGAGGGTCGCAAGCTGCCAAGCAGTTCGAGAGCCGTCGAGGCGCAGAGCGTTCCTGTGGTTCCGTGACAGCTAGAGCCAACATACGCAATCGTTTAGCGCGGTGTGTGCAGGGCTTGGCGGCCGCGTGTGTAGAGACAGGCGACAGATTTGCAGAGGCACGCAGCAGCGATGAATGGGAGCGCACGCAATTGAGGACTATGAACTGCTGCTGGAGCGCACACGCATGCAGTTCGCCAGCGATGCGCAATCGCAGCATGGGGCCGGCACGCAGGATGTGAGTAGGTGCTGGCCGGGGTTGTCGCAGCAGTGTCCTCGGTGGGCGAGGGCCGCGTGTCGACCGCGAAGCCCCTGACAAAAGCGGGAAGGTGCGACTTTCCGCTCTTGCCCCATTCCCGCCCTCATGATTACCCTCCGTCCCTGGGCACCCTTCTCAGCTCTGCTACCAGATTTCACGACCCTTTGGACGACGTCGTCTCGCGCACTCTGACGCTGCAGCACCGAGCTCGCAACAGTCGACGACGACGTCTGCATACAAAAATACCGGACAGCCGCCGTGACGCCTGCCCGCTGCTGCGCCTGCACTCTGACGCTCATTGACCAGCGACCCGGGGCTGTGCAGTGCCAATCCACAGCCTACTTACACCCACCGTCAGCGCTCCACGCCCGCCCACGCCGACACTCCTCACCCACCACCACGCACCCGCCCACCATGGAGCACCCGCGAGCATCTTCGCGGGCCCCCGCCAGCGACGTCGACAAGCTCGCCGTCGAGATGACCGAGAAGTTCCGCTCCGTCCTCAGCACCAAGCGCATGAACGACCTCTCCACATCCTGCTCGCAGTCCCGCTCGGCGTCGCCTGCACCACGAGACTTTGGCACACCGCAGCCGCCCACACAGCATGCCCCGCCGTCGTACTCGTCGCTCAAGAACATCCCACTCGTCGCCCAGGCCCCGAACTCGAACGACCTCCGCTCGATGCGCTTCCGCAACATGCTGCACTCACTCTCGGCCATGCCCACGCGATGGGAGAACCCTGGGCTGCTGGACGAGGCCCTGCGCGTTGTGCCTCTGGAGCAGATCTACAACGAGGCCGACGAGGAGAGCCAGATCCTGCAGGCGGAGGCGGACAGTCTCGGCGCCGGCAAGAAGGCCGCTTGGGGCTACCAGGACTGCGTTGTCCGCGCACTGCTGCGATGGTTCAAGCGCTCGTTCTTCCAGTGGGTCAACAACCCGCCGTGTTCGAGGTGTTACTCGCCTACAGTAGCAGTCGGCCTCACGACGCCACTTCCTGATGAGCAGGCTCTCGGCGCCAACCAGGTCGAGGCCTACAAGTGCTCGCACGAGGGATGCCAGAACTACGAGCGATTCCCCCGTTACAACGACGCATTCGTCCTCCTACAGACCCGCAAAGGCCGTTGTGGCGAGTGGGCCAACTGCTTCAGCATGCTCTGCCGAGCCGTTGGATCAAGAGTCCGCTGGGTTTGGAACGCAGAGGACCACGTCTGGACAGAAGTCTACTCAGTACACCGCAAGCGATGGGTACACGTAGATGCCTGCGAAGAGGCCTGGGACAAGCCCCGGTTATACACCGATGGTACGTTTAAGCTTTACCCTGAACCATGGAACTCATTGACTGACATGTCCATCAGGCTGGGGCAAGAAGCTGTCTTACTGCATCGCCTTCTCTGCTGATGGCGCCATGGACGTTACTCGACGCTACGTGCGCGACCAGAACAAGCACGCAGCTCCCCGCACCCGTGCACCTGAGGCCGTCCTCCTTCACATCATGGACGAGATCCGTGCTGTGCGACGCAAGGACATGTCCAAGCAGGACAAGTTCCGCCTGCAAGGTGAGGACCTCCGTGAATCAAAGGAGCTTCGCGGCTATGTCATTTCTTCCATCGCACACGACATCTGCAAGCTCAAGCCACAAGACATCATCAACGGAGCACCTCCTCGCGATGCCGAATCCGACAAGGCATTGGAGGGTCGTATGAGCGGCAACCAGGCATGGATTCGAGCACGGAACGAGCAAGGACGAGGCCAGTCGAACCAACAGGACCCTCGCAACCAGCACCCGCATTGAGGATCCTACCCACAAAGGTCACTCACTATCTTTTCTTCACTACCATCTCCGCCTATCCTGTCGCCCTACAACGCAGCCGAGCCAGGTCCACCGTGCATAGCACCTACCCGCTCTGGCACGTAGGTCCGGATTGAGCTCTTGATGGCTCTCTTTCACCTTGACCCTGCGACGTTCGCTCACGAGCACCCCGCACTCTGTAACCATAGAATCCCGGATTCAGCGATTCATCGAACCTTTTGCGACGGCGTTCATGGCGATACCAACAGCATTAGCAATAACCTCTAATGTCTGCACCACCCCTCGGGGCCTCACCTATCACTAGCCTGGTTCAAGTACCATGGCACACACCCACCGACACGGGGTTTCCTTTCATGAGTTTCTTGCATATTCACTTCTTCATCTTTATGTGCGACGCAGGATTAGCGGCACTGTTTATACCACTGGGCTTTTTGGGTCACGATTTGATGCACCTGTTTCTTATGTCTTTTGCAGTCTCCCTTTGTTACGAGCATTTTTTGGGCACTTGATGTAGCCTCGTGCGATATGATGGCATGCACTTTGCGATTCTTGTTAAAGTCTGGCTTTGCACGCAGACTGTGTTGTAAGCGGTGAGAACGGCGCAAAGGCCGTGGTGGTTGAGGACGCGCGTCATGCATGGAACGCTGCGAGAACCTTGGAAGGAGAAGTGCAGGTGCAGATAGAGAAAATGAGAGCCAAGGCGATTGGCAACGCTTTTTTGCGACACACAACACTCTACTGGTCCCAGACTTTCCGAATCTTGGTGATGTTGCATGATCCATGAAACATTGCAGATGATCAAGCAAGGCCTTGCGCGGAACGCGCGTCTCAAAGCCTTCATGTTTGAGCATTTCAAATCTCCGAATAGCCTCATGAAGAACCTCAGGACATGATGTACCTTAGGCATCACACGCAGGTATTCTTCAGACAAAGAACACTGGAGCAAGTTGCTCTCCAGCCCCAAGCACACAGTCTCAGTGTCTTCGCAGACGCGCGTACCTCGAGGCGAAGGTAACATAAGGCTGTCAGCCTACTGATGCATTCCTGCATGTAACTTCGGTTCCCCAACCACACCTCGTAAACACAACTCCCTCGTACATCAGCCCGACTGTCTTTCTCCCCCCAGAAAGAACAGTCACGATACTTGAGCAAACTGAGCAAACATCACCACCTCAACTCTCACGTTTCAACCGGACGGCACTCGGTGATGATCATGATTAGATCGTCTTGGCGGGTGGGCGCAAGCGAGAGCATGGCTATTTTTGGGTGGGCCTTACGTTTTGCGTGGCTGATGAAGGATTCAAACACTTCATCTCTTGCGCCTCAGCACAGGCTGTCAGCAAGTTCGATTTTGGATGTTTTGTTGCTGCTGAGGATCCCTAGATGGGTTTTCGTCGTGAAGACCGAGCGCTTATGAAGATGATGTCTGTGAGAGAACGGTGCTGTTGATGCTGCAAGGCTGCTTGCTCGCTAGCTAGCTAGCTGGCTGTGTGGCAGAAGATGTGGAGCCCGCTGCCCGTGCTGACGTGAATGCAGAGGTTGTCGGCACCGGCGAACATGTCTTTGCTTCGCCTTACGCACACGATAATTACCCATTTGGGGAAGACGTGAAGCAGCGTCTTGCAGTTTGGCAAATTGCACCGAGGCGTAAGGCGCACTGTACACTGGCTCAACGGTGGTGACATTAACCTGTTTTGGAAAACTGGGAGGATTACATGAGGATTGCGCAGGCGTCCAAGGATGTGGTCGTGGTCGATCTGGGCACATCGCACAGCAAAGCAAGGCTGAAATGTGTAGCTGACTAGGCACACTATCAAATCATTCACCGCACACAAGACTGAGCTGGACCTCACACGGGCATGTCCACACTGTATACTCCCCAAACAGCATAGTGCAGGTCAGCGTGGAGTGTCGCGTCAGCACGCCTCCCACAGCAGGCCCGAAGTCGCAAGCCCTGTGAGGCTCGGTGAAGGCTAGCCATGCCACAGGACGCGGTTTGACTGGCTGGTTTGGCCGTTGATCTTGCTGGGCAACCCGCACTTGCACAGACCCTTGCTGTGCCTCTCACAGCCCCCTTCAGCTGGGTTCAGCTGTCGCACGCAAGTTTGTACAAAAGCTGGCTGACCCGCGCCGTTCGTCTGACCCTCATCTGTTTGGTGTCCTGTCGTTCAGCCTTTCCTGTTCACCTGCATTTGGATTGTTTTGCCTCTCAGGACTCAACGACCTACGAATAACAGTCGCTGCTCTGCGCAATCGATAACCATCAACCTCTGACGTCGCGTATCGAAGCACTCTACCAAACACTCACTCTACACCAACACCGCAAACATGGGGAAAGCAGGGCGCATCGCGTGTATCATCACGCCCATGGCGTTGACAATCGCATCGCTCGTTTGTCTGCTCATCGTCATGATCGGGCAGCTGGGCAACAACGGCAAGGCTCCCTCGACATCGCTGGGACGCGACCTGTACTTCTTCAAGGCACGGCAACCACCTCTGTTCACAACTACCGTCCTCTAACAACATCCACAGGCAGACACAAGTAACTTCACAGGCAACTCGCAAACCATCCTCAACAAAGTCGAGGGCGCTTCTTCCAAGGAATTGAAGGACTTCTACCAAGTCGGTCTGTGGTCGTACTGCGAGGGCGAAAGGACCGATGGCGTTGAGAAGATCACATATTGCTCGTCCTCCAAGACTCAGTTCTGGTTCGATCCTATCGAAGTTTGGGGGCTCAAGAACACTACTGTGCAGAACGTGCTTCGCGATGACTTGCAGAAGGGACTCAACACGTACAAGAAGGTTGCTGGCTGGATGAACTGGGCTTTCATTATTGCGACGGTTTTGACTGCTGCCGAGTTCGTTGTTGGGTTCTTTGCGATTTTCTCGAGATGGGGAAGTCTGGTTACCACTATCCTCTCAACCGTTAGTGTTTCCAAATTCTGGCCTTTGAATTCCAAGCTAACACACCGCAGGCCTCTTCTATCTTCGCCGTCGCCGCCGCCGCAACCGCCACCGGCGTCTACGGCGTCCTGACCGGCGTCTTCCACACCGCGCTCGAGCCCTCCAACATCGACACCTCCATGGGCAACAAGATGCTGCAAGTCATGTGGGTGGGCGTTGCGTTCAGCATCGCGTCTGGTCTCTTCTGGACATTGAGCGTGTGCTGCTGTTCTGGTAAGAGCGGAAGCAAGAAGATGGCGGTTGAGAAGACGCCGTACACGTATGAGCGTGTTGCCAGCCCAGCGTTTGGTCAGCAGGGTCATCAGTTGCAGACTGCGCCTGCGTTTAAGCCTAGTGGGCATGGGCAGAGTGGGACTGCGTATGAGCCGTACCGTGGTCAGGTGTAAGACATGATGGTTGGAGTAGAGGGCGACTTCGAGGGAGAAAGAAGAAGGTGATGCATTTCACGACATCCACGACATGATTGTGCGATTCTTGTTCATATACCATGGCGTTTGGGAAGCGGAGCTACCTCACTGCTTCATGTAGTTGAGACGCGGACTACGTTTTGAGTAAATTAAATTTCATGCTTCTATTTGTCAACAATATTTCAGTCGCTATGTTGCTTCACGTCCATCATTCAGATCATTTCAACCTTCATCAGTACTGTCGTTATCGTAAAAGAGCCACTAGCAGACTCCCTCAATGTCCATCGACACCATTCTTCAAATCAGGGTTCACGAGTACCTCCATAGAGCTTGAGCGACGGGTCCTGCGGCCTAAGCTCATGGGAATATCGAAAGAACCTGGAAGACATGAGCTCGATCAAGTCAAGAATGCGCCAAGGCATGTGTACCATTACAGGCGATCAAGGTAACGTATGGTCTGTTGACCCTATCATAAGCCGTCTTTGGCTGCAAGGTATCAGTGCCCGTCGTGTTGAGGAAGCTGAACTGGAGCAGGGTTCTGGGGCTTGGTGGACGATATCTTGCCCATGTTGACAAGTAGTGTATGGAACAGTGCCAAGACTCAAGTTGCTTAAGAGATCGGAACCAAATTGCATTGAATTGAAGGCACTTTGATAGACGAGAGAACCTGGCTTCTTATAAGATCTTGACGCTTATCCTGCCTCCGAACGTTTTCATCGACCTTTTTTTACTTGCGGCTTGGAAAGTAGATCTTTCCTTCCGCCGTGGTGCAAGGGCGGACACGGAGGGAAGGAACCACAGCCGTGTTTGAACTGGGGTATGATAGTGCGTCAGGCTGAGACGTCATTTTGGTGCGTTTATACATCCTCGTGGCTATCATAACGCGGCCACGTGCTGCCCATGTCTTTTGGAACTGCAGGACGCTGGTGCAGCGAGCATGCACCCACTCACGTACTCTGACGCTCCGAGATTGACCGCCTTTCGGCACTGGGCCTTCCACATATAGTTTGTATAGATTCAGTGTAGCGTGCGTGTGCGTTGAGAAGATAGCTGAAGGTCTTTCCTATTGCCCTCGACTTCATCAACGAGGCTTGTCTACCCCCATAGCAATCAGAGGTATCAAAGCAGCACACACAGCCACCATATATGCGGAGATCCCGAATGCGCCTTGGATATCGAACTTGAATACCGACCAAAGGGCTCCAAAGAGCGCGCTCGCTACCAGAAACACCGTGAAGATCATGACAGAGATAAGATCTCGATCCCAACCCTCTTGGTAGTATACGCCCCAGCCTTCAGCTGGCTGTCCGACCTGTCCCTGTAGCTTGCCACAAATGCGCTTTGGAAGTTGCTGTAGGATCCAGTCGTCTGTTTCGTCCGCCTCCTCGGGATTCGAGAGCATCAACAAGAGATGCTCAGATGGAACAGGCGGATATATCGCTGGAGGACCAGGTTTACATCGGTACTGTGCGTTCACTGCTGGCTCGACCATTGCTGCCGGCGGGATACATTCACAGCCCACTGACCCTGTTACATTCGCGAAGCAGTACGAGCTGTGATCTCGTACGATGACTGTACTACCAATTGGCAGTTTGAACTTGATGAAGAAGATACCTTGTATGCTCTTTAGGGATAGCATATTGCGGAAGCGGCCACGATGTCGTATGTATTGCTTGCGCATAAATCTGAACAGCTCGCGATCAGTTTGGATATCCTCCAAGACATCCTGCTGAAGGACTTTGCGCGAACGATTGCGGTGCATACAGGCCATCAAATGTAGGATAGACCGGGGAGCAGGTGGGTTGGTGGATGCTGCAGTTGCTGCCGCTGATCCAGGGACGTTGTGCAGGGGTATACACGGCTCTGCCCTTGAAGACGTACTGACATTAGTTGACAGTTTCGCAAATCCGTTTCGAAGCCACTGGACTGGGCGTGGAGTGATGTACTGTTGGTTACCCGTTTGGCGATTGTAAGTAGCTGTCGTCACTTTGGTGCCGCTGGAACGCTCCAGACGAGGCAGGAGCTGAACGACACCATCGTTGCGATATTCGACAATGTCACTGAAGATGCGATCGCCGAATTTCTGGATGGAAATAAGCATCGTAAATGGCTTCAAAAGCGGCTGCAGCAAGGAGAATATACTTACACTTTTCCAGCGAAGCCGTGCTGCGTTCTGGGCAAGTGGGGGTTCCAAAAGTCCAAAACGAATGGAAAGCGCATCTGTTGTCAAGTAGAAAGCATCGATGAACAGAAAAAGGGTGCGCTTGATAAGCAGGGTATCCTTGGGGTCAAGAAAGATAGCATCCACCGTACGTCTTACATCTTCAAGCCAGGTTTCCCATTTTCGAACCTTCATTGTGTCATGATCGGCTTTGCGCTGATTCCGTGGTTTTGTTTTGGTTTCGAGATAAAACGATGCGACTTTGGGCAGGACAAAGGACTGTACCTGCACCCGAAGCGTACTGAAAGCTGCACTCCCAGCGAGGAATTCACCAAAAACCTTAAGGTCGTGAAACATGTCATCGTTCACTATGCTCACCTTTTCTTCGTCATCGGAACTTTCATCCTGCTGTTCACGACGGTTAACTTGCTGCTTTGACAGACGAGGCTGAAGCTTCTCAACGATATACTCTGCGAGATACCGCGCTTTATTTGCCACTAGCCGTGATGCCAGAAACTCAAGTCGCAATCGGTCAGGACCTATGTCTGGGTTGTCGATTGCACTATGATAAAGTGGTACCAGCAGATCATCTTCAGAAACGATCATAACTAGTCTCCTTGTGGCGGTCGCAATCTGTTCCGCAGAGTATCCACCTCTGTCAGAAAGCGCTGACGCGGAAGAAGCCAATGATTCAACAGTAAAGACTGAGGCCGCATACGATGGTATACTCGATTCGTCGTCTACAGAATCATCGACATCAACCTCTATAACTTCCGCTTGCGTCAAGGTGGCGCTGATATGCTTATGTGGATCGTGTGCGATTGTCCGAGTACCAGCAACGTTGTAGCCAGTATTGCTCGGTGGTCCCTGGGGAATGTAAAGCGGCTGTTTTGGCTCGCCGTCATTTGAGAAGCCTTGCTCTGCCCCTTCTGAGCTAGAAGGCGCGTTTCCGTGGAACGGTGACGACGGAGAGCCAGGCTTTGGAAGAGGGCGCACATCATCCGCGTCCCAACTGTCGCCAAACCAAAGCCTTTTGTTCAAATGTAGGATACTCGATGCAAATCGTGACGGATATTTGAGTCTTCCATCCTGCTGGTCCTTGTCCACGTTTTCGAAGGGTACACCCCCATCAGATCCAGAAAGAGTGGTGCGAATCTCTTCGGTGTCGGGATGTACATGCTTAAGCACCTGCTGTACAGAGTTGTCTCTTTGTAAGCTCTCACTGATTTGCTTGACGAATGTGTCCTTATCGGTGGCAATCATGATCGAGGGATCAATCCCTTGATCTTCGAGTTCCAAGTGGCGCATCTTAGCAGGATCCAATCCTATCAAGGGCTGATTTAGTGAAGTGAAGTTGACACCAGAGTCATTGTTGACGATATCGGCGAGAGTCTTTGTCGGCTCAGTACGAGGAGTTTCCGCCTGCAACTTGACAGAATCATGAGTTGAATCACGCTCTCCACTTTCTAGAGCTGAGCCAGTTGGTAGCGATGATGTCCTCTCAGAGAATTCTTCGGTATCTCGTTGCGCTTGAGTAGCGGGAAGCGGAACTCTTTGGTCGCCACTCAGTGCTCCTCGCTCACTGCGCAAACGTCGGTAAAGGACTCGTCGCGGTTCATCTTGCACATTTCGTGGTCCTTGCCTCCTATGGCTGCTCCTGGAGCTGCGTTCTGTCATCTTCTCGGCATCCCTTCGTGCCTGACTAGCAGACATTATAACTTTCCTGCTGGCTCCCACGCTACCTCGCTCACTTCGGTAGGTACTTTCGATCCCACGAGAACTGCTGATAACTAACTCATTCTCGCCATTCTCAAAGGAAACAAGCTGCAATGTTCGGCCCTCCATGTCTCCGTTCAACGATAGAGTCACGGGAGCGTCGTTACTTATACGAAGTCGAACTTCGCCATTTTGATTCTCTTTGAAAGTAACATTGTCCGAACGATCGCTTTTATCTTCCCGTATGGTACCCACATACTGCTCAGCAGCATCAGCCTTCTTCTTCAATTCAACAAAACGTGTGGATCGTTGACAATACTCCGCGTCTGAAGCATGGCGACGGAGTGGGGCACATGCAACAAGCTCAGCTTCTTCTTTTTGTTCTTGTTCTTGTTCTTCTTCATCCTCGTATTCGCTTTCATAGTCGCGAGCAACGTCGAAACCCCTTGAGGATCGATTAGGGTGCCTTTGCTCGTTGTACTCCTGCTGCCGTGCTCCGCGAGCAAGTGGCCTGTCATGAGCCTTCAATGATTGGCGACGAGATGATCTTGAACCTTCGATAATAATGCGGGCCCGCTGAGTTTCATATGCAGATTGTGATGAGATTGAGGGGACCAAGGGAGGTCTGCTTATTGATCTACGGCGGTCTGCTCGCAAAGCTGGTTCGCGTTCTTGAACAATCCGGATTGGGCGCTCGACAACGACTGTCTGTGGTCGTGGCCTTCTGTGAGAAACTTCCGGTACTGGTGTTGTTTTCGCATGGCCCATAGTGGGACGACGCCCAGGAACGGGACGCTCAGTGATACGGCGAGTGAGACGCCGGGGCGCCAGCTCATAATCTTCTTCTGAAGAGCTCTCAAATTCCGAGCTACTTTCTGAATCACTGTCTTGATCGTCATAACCAAGCCGTTCTGAGGCCTGCGAATATCCGCGCGACAATGACGGACGTGGTGCACTCTGCGTCCTCTGCGCGCTTGGAGTACTCTCGTATCGTAGGTGGAAAGGCCTAGAGGTTCTCTGCGCTATGGTAGGGGAAGGAGCTCTCGGTACAGTGTTGACAAGAGCAACAGGCTGGCCTTGTTGAGGCGATATAGAGCTACTCATACCAGCGATAGACTGGCTGGAATAACCAGAGTCGCTCTTGACATCGTACGTTGGTTCTCTGCCTGTAGCGGCCTTTCCGCTCCCCATGTCTTCAGGGTTGAAGCGTTTAGTGCGGATGTTTGCCTTGCCTGGCAAAAGGTCTGGCGTAGAAGACTCGATAGAGACAGCATTGTTGTTTTGGCTGTCGTCCGAGAAGTAATCTTCGACAGTGGGACGGTGACGCTTTGTATCGCTCGCCATGGTGGGGATAGCGTCCGAGGTGAGTTGCAGCATCGTCACCGACTGCAGATCCCGAATAGGGTACCGAACAGGAGAAACAGTTTTCTGTTGTCGTCTGAGATCTGAGTTTAGTATAGGCGGGGATTAGAGCCTGACGATGTCGGTACGTCCGCCTTCGCGGTAACTCCAAAGCTCCTTCTTTTCGCTCACGGTCAGCCCGGTGAATGATGGAATGCTTAAAGAATTGTGGTCGACCGCTTTCGGAAGCTCTGAGAGTCTCCAGACGTAGCAATGAAGTTTGATGAGATGACTTGTTGAAGATCTCATTAGGCTAAAGGAGGGTGCCATACAACGAATCCTGCAGCATCAGCCACGGCAGCGCTTAGCACGAAGCGAGCCCATCAGGCTGGCTGGGGTTATCTCGGCCTTTCATGCACCTGCGTTGACGATAGGCTGATTCATAAGAGGGGCTATGCAGAATCGATGTACAAGATCGGCTTCTGTCCCCCACATACGGCTACCCATTCAGCAGTTGGCCCTCGAGACGTGGCATAACCTTGGAAGGCAGAAAACGCATGCTGAGGCCATTGTAGTGATCATACACTTGCCGTGAGAGTGCGGACAGCTTCTTAGGGCAGTTGTAGCTGCATTTCCCGTGAGCTTGTGTGGTGGGAGTTCACGTCGAACATGTGCTGCGAGCGCGCCTTCAAAATAATGGGCAATGCATGCGGCCTGCATGCTCAGATAGCATGTTGGTAACATCAAGTGGAGTCGAACGCAAGAAAGCATCGTCGAGTCTTATTTCAAGGCAGAATTCCATGTTAGTGTGTATGCTCTTGATGACGAGTGCGGTGGTGAAGGGTTCGTGAGGGTCTCGTCAGGTGCTTCCGCGTTCGAACTGTGCATCATTACGTCATCATCGACGCGCTCACTTCACTGCGGCCTGCTCGACGCACACAACGTCGACACGCCCATTTGGATGGAGACCACGCCCAGAGTACCGCCATGGGTGTCACCGGCCTTTGGACTGTTTTGCAGCCTTGCGCACGGCCCATTAAGATCGAGACGCTGAACAAGAGGCGCATCGCCGTCGATGCCTCGATCTGGATCTACCAGTTCCTCAAGGCCGTGCGCGACAAGGAAGGCAACGCGCTGCGCAACAGTCATATTGTCGGGTTTTTCCGCCGGGTGTGCAAACTCCTCTTCATAGGCATTAAACCTGTCTTCGTATTCGATGGAGGCGCACCTGCGCTCAAGCGACAGACCATCAGCCACCGCAAATCCCGCCGCGAGGGCAAACGAGACGATGCAGTCCGGACCGCGGGAAAGCTGCTGGCGATACAGATGCAGAAGGCGGCCGAGGAGGAAGAGCGCAAGAGGAAGGAGGCTGCCAGGCACCCGCGCGAGGAGCAGGAAGAAGAGCTGCCGGAGAATCTAGTCTACGCGGAGGAGATTCTGCAGACGCAGCAGGAGCGCACACAGAACAGAAAGTTCAAGAAGAAGGATCAGTATCATCTGCCCGATCTGGGTGTTCCGATGTCGGAGCTGGGTGGTGATGACCCTCGTATCATGTCGCTCGCAGAGCTCGAGGACTACGCGAGGCAATTCGACCGAGGCGAGGACATCAACGTCTATGACTTCTCCAAGATTGATTTCGATGGTATCTTCTTCCAGAGCTTGCCGCCTGCCGATCGCTACAATATCTTGAATGCAGCTAGGCTGAGAAGCAGGCTGAGGATGGGCTACTCGAAGGACCAGCTCGATGCTATGTTCCCAGACCGAATGGCTTTCTCCAAATTTCAGATCGAGCGCGTTCGCGAGCGCAGTGATCTCACCCAGCGACTCATGAACCTCAACGGCATGAACGATGACACGACGTTTGGCACGAATCGTATCGCTGGCGACAAGAACAGAGAGTACGTACTGGTGAAGAACGAAGGTGTCGAGGGAGGATGGGCGCTTGGCGTTGTGACGAACAAGGACGAGGGCAAAGCACACAAGCCCATCGACGTTGACCTACCTTCACGCGCTGCAAAGGTCGAAGAAGATTGGGAGAGCGAGGATGAGTTCGAGGACGTGCCTATCGAAGGTCTGAACAGGCTGCCGAAAGCAAAGCCTGGCCCCAGTCGTGAGACGGTTGAAGGTCGCGAGTTCATCTCGAACGAGTTGCGCAGACGACGCCAGAACTTCTACAAGTCGACGAAGAGCAAACCAACCCAGTCAAGACCTCGGAGGGCAGCTGCTGTCCGGGAAGATTCGGACTCGTTGTTCTTGGCCGAGGGGAATGAGGAAGAGCAATGGGAGAATGTACCAGCAGATGGTGAAGATGATCTGTTCGAAGCTGCTGGTGACAATGCGGAAGAAGAGCAGTTGCAACAAGCCATAGCTCTCTCAATGCAGCAGAATGGGAAAGAGGCAGCTGAAGAAGAGCCTGAGGAGCGCCCAGCGCTCGAGGAGTACCAACAGCAGCGTGCTAAGGAAACGAACCCTTTCAAAGCTGCGAAGGGGTACAGAGGGCTAGCAATTGGGCGACTAGCGAACCAGCGCGCTAACAAACTTGCTCTCGAAGGACCGTTCGAGGGCAGCGACAGCGAAGGGGACGATATGGACCTGCAGGCTGCTCTGGTCGAGTCTCGCCAGTCCAAACGACCTACTAAGCCACAGAGATCACCTGCTCCACCCTCTAAGGCGTCCGTAGCCTCATCAGCAGCCAAGCCAGAAAGCAGTGCGATCAATACTCATGGTTTCGATGGGCCGTTGCCTTTCGAGAAGCTCAATCTCGGAACATCGCTACTCGGCAAGAAAAAGATGGAGAAAATTGAGCAAGAGACCGCAGGTGGTTTCGAGAAAGACACTGAAGAGAAGAAGAAGTCCGTGCCACTGCCACCTTGGTTCAAGGGCGAGCGAGACATTGGAAAGGAGTTAGATGAGTACCGCAACGAGGAGAAGCGGGTGTGGGAAGAGGATCGCAAGGAAGAAGATGAGCAGTTCCAATTCCAGCAATTACCTCGATTACGGAAGCATGAGACTAGAGAAGTCATTGACTTGGACGTCGACCCCAGTCAGAGCCAAAAAGAGAAGCAAGTTATCGCTTTGGACTCGGGCGACGAGGATGATGTCGAGATGGAGGATGTACCCATCAACAATGGTCAAGCGGAGAGGCCAGTCGAGGATGATCAGCTCAAGATGGGCGACCTGGCGGACAAGGTCCGAGCAGAGCCGCCAAAGCCACTCGCTGACGACCAGCGAGCACCACCAACACAAGATCCCAAACTGGTCAAGAAAATACCGTTTGCAGATGACTCCGACGAGGAACTGGTCGATTGGTCGGAAAGCGAGCCTGAAGATGAGAGACGTGCCCCCGCACAGACAGCGCAAGCTGAGACAGCACAGAGAGACCCTTCACCGTCTAAATCTCCTTCGCCCGAGTTTGAAGATGTCCCCATGACCACCGAGTCAGTACCAGCACCAGTTGCAGATGCCCCGAAATCATCCTCTCCCGAATTTGAAGACGTGCCGATGTATGCCGAGCCAACGGAGGCTACAAAGTCACCATCGCCAGATTTTGAGGACGTTCCAATCGCTGTACCCACTCGCAGGCCTCGTCGCGAGCGGTCTCCTGCCCTCCTCCAAGGTCCTGATGACCTTGAGATTCCCGTCGTTCCGCATGGCGGGCTCGCGGACGAAAATGCTCCTCTCGATTTACCTGGCAATGACTCTGATCAATACTCTGACCCTGAAGATGAAGAGTTGTTCGCATCTTTGGCTGCCGAAGCCGAAGAACACAATCGCTTCACCCAAGAGATCAACAACGCCGCGTCCCGTGTCGACTTCGAAACCGAGCTCAAGCAACTGCGCGCTCAGCAGAAGAAAGACCGTCGTGACGCTGACGAAGTAACACAAACTATGATTTCCGAATGCCAACACCTCCTCTCCCTCTTCGGGCTCCCCTACATCACCGCACCCATGGAAGCTGAAGCGCAATGCGCCGAACTCGTCCACCTCGGTCTCGTCGATGGCATCGTAACCGACGACTCGGACACATTTCTTTTTGGTGGCACACGCGTCTACAAAAATATGTTCAACGCAGCCAAATTCGTAGAATGCTACCTTGCCAACGACCTCACTTCAGAGTTCAGTCTGACTCGCGAGAAGCTCATCGCCATAGCCCAACTTCTAGGCTCCGACTACACAACCGGCATCCCAGGTATTGGTCCCGTCACTGCGCTTGAGATTATCTCCGAGTTCCCAAAGCTAGAGGACTTCAAAGAGTGGTGGACAGGCGTACAGAACAACACCATCCCCAAGGAAGCAGATGCGTCAAATACCTTCCGCCGCCGCTTTCGCAAAAGTCAGGCTACGAAGCTGTTCCTGCCTCCAGGCTTCCCTGATCCACGTGTTGCTGATGCGTATCTGAATCCGGAAGTCGATTCGGATCCGCAGCCGTTCCAGTGGGGTGTGCCTGACCTTGCCGCCTTACGCTCCTTCCTCAGCGCTCAGATTGGATGGAGTAGTGAGAGGACGGATGAAGTCCTGGTCCCGGTCATCAAGGATATGAATAGGAGGGAGAAGGAGGGTACGCAAGCGAATATTACACAGTTTTTCGAAGGCGGAGTTGGCGCAGGTGCATTCGCGCCGCGTGTCCGAGGCAATGCTACGGGCAACGGGCCAAGTGGAAAGAAGAAGGGCAAGGCGGCCGCAGGGAAGAGACTTGGTGCTGCGTTGTCGAGGCTGGCTGAGAGGGAAGGAGCGAGAGGTGGTGTAGACGATGAAGGTGAAGATGAGGTAGACGAGGCCTTGGGTGCCGCTGAAGGTGATACTGAGCTAGCAGAGACTGGCAAGGCGAAGCGGACGAAGAAAAGGGCACCCGTCTCTTTGGCAGCCATGGAGGATGAGCCGGAAAATGAGGACGATAATGAGGATGCGGCATATCAAGAGCCAAAGAAGAAGAAAGCGAAGAGGACAAGGAAGGAAAGAGCGTAAATGTCTCTTTACATTATTTGAATTTAAATCACCTATGAGCCGAACGACGTCGATCACTTTGAGAGCTCTCAAGTCTGAGCACTCGGCACTATCATGTCTAACATATCGATACAATGGGGTTTGAGGCACGTAAATTGAGGTTTGCACGTTCTCGGATACCTCAGCCTTATCTTGAAGACCTTGCGTAGGCAAGGCATCCGTAGAACAATCGCTCGGTAGCTCCACGGAAAAGGTTTGGGCCATGACAGCCAGTAATCTTCGACGGTGACATGTCGTTAAATGCATGCCAAGACAAAGACGAGCAAGCTGCGGAGCCTCTTTCGGACAGGCGAGCTGCACGTCGCAGCACGGCTGTCGCTGAATCATGCTCGCGCTCGCTCCTCGTGCTTGTATCACTCAAATCAGATTTCTCCACCCGGTGTGGCCTCCCTCTCTATCAAACTCTATCAGCGTGTCTGACGGCGCCCTGCAATGCCGGCAATCGCGTGAGCTACGGCCAGCGATGGAGTGACTGATACACTTCACTAGCCTCTCCCGTCACGCCGTCTCTACCGGCTGCCACACAAACCCCCTTCCGCCGCTGGTGGCGTCACTGCTATTTGTGTGGACGCTATCGTTCTCTAACCGGTGATTGGATCCGTTTTGACTCTGATGGAGCCGATACGATATGCAAGTGAAAACTCGTACTAGCCACAATCGTCACAGAAACCCTAGCCAATCATCACAGTAGCACTACCCAATGAGCGCCCGTGTCGTGCTGGTTTGGTTTGTAGCCAATGAGGAGGCACCTTGAGCATTCTGTTTGACACAGCCGTACGTCGTCAAACGGGAAAGACGAGGAAAAGGCGCAAGAAGGCATCTGGTCAGTGGTGGAGGAGCGGGTGTATAAGAGGAGGCGTACCTTTGCCTCAGATTTGCATGTAATTCATTGGGCTCCAAATCCAATCCATACGTTTCCATGCCATACAAGCTCCGCCAGTCTTCTTGTACACTACCAGTATGAGCAACCCTCAAACTAGACCTCAGGGTCCTACACCAGTTCGGCCTCAGACCAACCCCACAAGGGCGAACAATATATCCCATGAAATTCATGTTCATACGCGGAGTAATGACAGGCCGTACACCAACATGATAGCATGCAATGGTACACACCCACCATGCGCTTCTGAGACTCTACTTGATACTTCACAGGCTCGTTCGACGTATTCGTGAGCTCAGGTGCAAGAGCTCGCCGTTCAAGCTCAATGGAAGTTCTTGTCGGTTCTGATAGTAAGGATCAAGTCAATGGGTAGTGAATGGAAGGAACAAAGGGTTTCAGATTTGAGAAGATAGTATGCATGAATTAAAAGATGGGATATTTCCTGACTACGACATGTGCACCTTGATTGTAGCCTACTTGATTGTAAATCATGTTGGATATAGCTGCAGAAACTACCAACAGCTTTGGAAGCCTATGAACGTCCTCTCATATGAAACCGGGCTTCCGCATCCGCGTTATGGACTCTGCTTGCGAGAGCTGATGGTCAGACTGTCAGTGCTCCTAGACGACATACAAGGATGGGACCCGAAAACACCTAACAAGACTAAACTCAAGCACAATAACGTGGACTCTGCGAGAAAGCACAGAGCTGAGTGCGCCGCAGTTCGGCTGAGGCATAGCTCACGCGGGCGCGGTAGTACAGGGTCGACAAAGTCTGCCTAGCCTCATAACGGCCTGACCCGGAGCTACACACAAAAGCTGCATGGAACATATGAGCGGACCGCCGAAGCCACCAAGGATGACCGGCCGACGAAGTAGCCATTTACAGTGGAGCTCGTGCCTAGCTCACAAACTAGCGAAGCCAATGGGAAGCATTTGTGAAAGCTACTCCGTCGCAGATGAATACAGTGTAAGAGCTTGAGCGGAATACGCGAGGATGCATCAAAAAGGTTAGCATAAGTGTACTTTGCCATATGCTTAATACACCTCTAAATCTGACAGCAATAATACTTTAGTTGAGTGTTGTGATGTTGCGCGCAAGTAGTGTACTGAGAGCCAGTGTCGAAAACAACGAGCTCCTTCGTATAAGCGCACAAGACCAGGGTCGTTGGGAGCCTCGTCGGAAAGTGGGTCATTCTCATGCGCACTTGACAGTTGTCAGAGGGTGAAGTCTGCCTTGGCTTTGCGCTTTCTTGATGCGCTTTGATCGCCAGGTACTTTTGATCGGCTTGAGGACACGGATGTGTAGACTGTGACTAGGGAGCAACCGCGGGCGGTAACCAGTTCATTTGTTGGTGGGGGTTGACGCTCGCTACTCACGGAAGCTAAATGGAAGGTAATTTCAAGGATGACCTTTATGTACAGTGATGGTTGGGGAAAACCTGAAAACATTGACGATGACCAAGGCAATTGAAGAACGTTATGGAAGATGTCGAGGTGGACTGGACTTGGGAAACGAGTCTGTTGAGATACGCAGCAACGTATCTGATGGAACGAGATGTCCAGAAGCCAAATGACAGGACTTACGACAACCACAGCATCTAGAGCTTCACTCCGCCACCTTCAATCTTCTTCAGCTCCTTGGCCGTGAAAGGTACATACATCCCGTCGCTGAGCCAGTACAGTGCATCGCCGGCTTGTTCGACCGCCTGCAGGTCGATTCCATCCTTCTGTAACAGGTGCTTCTGCTGCTTGTTCGTCCCTGTGGTCTGCAATTGCTTGGTGATCCTGATCCATATGGGTCTCGCAAACGCCGGCAACTCTTTCGTCACATGTGTAGCGAGTGACTCCAACACATCGCCTTTGACTGCTATACCTTTCTCAGTGTTGGCAGACGTGGACAATGCAGATGCGTTCAGCACAACAGCGGCACACCCAGCCCGCCCATCGTGGCCTGGGACTTGGACACCGTAGACAGCTGCTTCATCAACCTCGGCATGTCGACCGATTGCATCCGCGACTTCTGCTGTGCTGACGTTCTCGGATTTCCAGCGAAATGTGTCGCCGATGCGGTCTACGAACCACCATCTCCCTTCTTTGTCACATCGCACGAGGTCTCCGGAGCGGAAGTATGCGTCGCCCAACTTCTTCACATTCCTGACAATCTTGCTGGTCGTCGCCTTGTCGTTCGCAAAGTAGCCTTGAAACTTCAGTTCGATGTTCGCAGGATCCAGTTTGTACAGCAACTCGCCAGCCTCGTTCCAGTCGCACACTTGGCAGAATTCGGTGTCTTTGCTGCGCAGCGGCTGTGCACCATCGGCGTCAGGGTCGGTACGTACGACGCACATGCCTGGGGAGAACAGAAGTGAAGCAAGTGTTCCGTTTCGTCCAATGGCGCCGGAGGAGAAAGGGTTGTCGCTGCGGTTCCACATTCCACCTGGTGCTTCTGTGGCTGCATAGAATTCGAAAATGGTATTGATGCCAAACCGTTCCTTGAACGGCTCCCAGACATCAGGGCGTAGACCATTGCCAAAGGCCGCGCGGACATGGTGCGCTTTGTCGAGGGCAGAAGGAGGGGCGGAGAGCAGGTAGCGGCAGGTCTCGCCAACGTAGTGGATGATTGTTGATTTGCTGGATCTTATCTCGGGCCAGAAGGTTTTGTGACTGAATTTGGAAGAAAGACAGATGGTGCTGCCGGCACGGAGCACGGCGCATACGCCCAAGATGGAGGCAGAGGAGTGGTAGAGTGGCATGGAGGTGTACATTATGTCGTTCTTGATGTCGAGCCAGCTAGAGACGAACTTTGCACCGCCATTGCACTTGGCCCACGTCACGACGGCAGGCTTGGGCAATCCGGTAGTACCACTTGTGTAGATGAGCATTGCCATGGTGTTGCGCTTCTGGTCGGCGCGGCAGGAGTTGGGTTGACGGATCGGCTGGAGCATGAGGATCGAGTCCTGCAGCTGCTTATCGAAGAAGACGACTTCGAGCTGTCTCTTTTGTGGAGTTGCAGTAATGCCCTGCTGTTGCACTTGTGCTAATGCCTGGCTCTTGACGGAGCGTGGCACTTCACTTTGGTCCATCTCAAAGCCGTAGTTCGCCTGTTGCCCGTCTGCTATCGTCGCAGGTGCAGGGACGAAGCCATGCTCTGCCATGACGTGTTCCGCGAAGTTAGCCTTGCTCTCTTCGTCAACGAGCACCAGGCGCGCTGTTGACATCTTGATTGTGTCTATGAGCGACTTGCCCGTCAAGTTGTAGTTGATGAAGGCTGGCTTTGCGCCGATACTCCACAGACCGAACCAGATCCAGATAAACGTCTCTGAGTTGACAAAGTCCATGGCGACAATCTCGCCCTGCTGAACGCCCTTGCTTTTCAGCCATGTGCCGTATCTCAGGACAATGTCGTACGCCTGATGGTATGTCCATGTCCGTCCGTGAAAGATAATCCATGGGTGGTCTGCTCGAGGACCCTGAGCGAGCGCTTCCAGTTCGTAGAAGACGTTGAGCTGATCGCGGCGTTCTGCGCGTATCATGCGAACGGTCGCTGAGATGAAGGAAGAGAGCATCGGCCAGTCGTAGCTAATACCATGGCGGGCGTTGAGATAAGCCAGGCCTGCAGCTGCGGCGGGAACAGCGAGGGGAAGAGCTGGTGCATGTCAGTCTGGCTCCTTCTTGATAATGGAGCTCTTCACCTACCTGTCATCGCGGAAAGTCAATGAAGGTTGCTAATTGCGAAAGAACAAGAAGACTGGGTTTTCACAGGAGAGAAACGAATATGAAGTACGAGGAAGCAGCTGTCAGCATCGAAACAGGAAGGCCAGCCTGTGCGTTGATGTCGATTCGAGCGTTGAGCGATGTGACATGCGCTTGACGTTGCTGCATGAGCCGAGGCATGTCAAGCGCGACCCTCTGCACCCCAGCTTCTTCACCCTGGTCGACTTTCCCTCGTCCACACTTCCCCTCCTAGCGTAAGCCTGGGCACAGAAGAAACCGACCCGGAAGACAGGCGGCATACGAGCAACGGTATCTTGCCTCAAAATCGCAGCAAGCGAGGGTTGACGTACGACGCACCAGCAGATTGACTCGGGCCTCAGGCTTCCTCCCCTCGGCCTTTGGCAACGGCATTCAAGAGCCGACTGGGCGACATATGGTCACGAACTGTAAGCATGGGGTGGCACTAGTATTGGGTCTCATGTATGAGTGTATCGTTCTGTGTATGTACAAGTGTGTGATCTGAGCTCGAAAGTAGTCAGACGCATTAGTCATGCCTGCAGGGCAGTCATGTGGTGTGGTCCTAGGCTTACACGAACTCACTACACAATTGTAGCTGTGAGAGAGTGATACGTATTGGCACTGGCTATGAGAGAGATGCCTTGACTTTTCATCAGCCCCTGACCCTTCAGCTCCAGTCTTCCGATATGAGTGCGTTGCTTTCCATTGTTTCAGCCCTAGCGTAGGTGTCGTGCTACACTACATCTAAGTTGTCTATCCAACGGTATTGGAAGCCCCCAAAAGACCGTGGGTCCGATAGCACAACGACCCTCAACTGCATGGCGGTCATGCAAGGTCTAATCGTGAAACACGATAATGGTGACATCCGTGCGATAATCGAGCGCACGACCGCGATTGACGTGCTTTGCTGAGTACAAAAAGAGGATTTGTCGCTTCAGTGCAAAGGCACGCTGCAAGGAGGCATCCGCATCTGGAATACACCATGGCGTTCTATTGTGGTGGCTTTGTTCGACTTGACAACAGAGAAGTCGTTAATAGACAAGCTGCTTGCTTCAACAGGAGGGCTCTCGCATGTTCTGTCTGTCTTTGTTATCACTTCCTGCTTCACCGGTTGCTAGGTCTGTTTGCTAGGCCTGCAACTCCATACGCTTATACCCGCGAGCGCGCAACACAACTCAGGACATACAGACTCAACAACTACGACATGGCAGCCAGACATCAACTTCGCGCGCTCACCCAAACCCCTGAGCTCGGTCTTTCTGATGCAGAAGATTCGTATTCTTCCAGCGAAGAGGAGATGCCAGAACGCGATGAGACCGATCACCTGCTGAGACAAGCCCACCATTACGTTATCACAGAGGGAGGTAACGATCCACCTACAACCTACATGGAACGCATTCAGCGCATAAACCAAAGTCTGATACACGAGATATCGAGACATGGCTACGACTGCGATTCCAAGCTGTATCGCCGTGTCAAACAAAAGGTCGACCACGTACTGCGTGAGTTCGAGGATGCTGTAGACGCAGACTCTAGCGTTTACGACTACGAGGAGATGCCTGAGTACTACACTGCAGCGACAGAGGGGGCTCTGTACCTTATGGACTCTAGTCCTCTGACGCCTGACGGCCCACCTGGTCGACGCACAACGAAGCTCAACGGAAAGGACGATATAGAGAGGACCTACCGCTACGGTGATCCTGGAAACCACCCAGAGAACTGGTACAAGAACGCTGCAGAATCTCTACCGTTTCCAGAAACTATTCACATGGCCGACGGGGAGAGCATGCGGATTCATTGGGACTTTGCTACTACAGGTAACGTGGAGAAGATTGAGCCCGTTATCTCTAACGGTGTATCGTTCAACGATCCTCGCCTTGTCCACCACAACAGTCAGGCTCAGTATGAGTCTGGGTCACGGTTCAAGCTACCTGCGATCGACCCGGCGGATATGGCGAAGGTCAACGAGTTCGGAACTGTTGATGAGCTTCACAAGGCTGTTGATGCGTTCAACCAGAGCGACGACACAACGAAGGAAAACGGAGACTACAAATACGCCCCACGTGTTTTCCTAGATCGATTGGACGTTGGCCAGCAAGACAGTCCTCAGGCTCGTAGGTCACTCCACGAATCTCATCATAAGAGATGTGCTAACCTTATCACAGTAATCGACGTAGTCCGCAGCGCTGTCAACACTACGCCCACTAGGCCTCGCACAAGTAGCACCGGCAGCAGCAAGATCAGCTCCGCACCATCAGCAACTGAGACCTTGTTCAACAAGCAGCAGCAGCAACCTTTGCCATCCGGACCAGGCGATGACGCCTCCTCCCATACCGTCGAGGCTGACCACCACTACGACAACCTCCCTGTCGCCTTCTCCTCACCTTCCAGCAACCCATCTCCCCCTCAAGCCACTATTCCTGAACCATCATCACGCAACGACCACGACGTCTCCCCGGCAATCCGGCGCATCAAAGCCGCCACCGAAGCGTCCATCCGCTCTTCATCCCTCCCACCAAGCCCACCCGCACAACCCGAGGCAGCTACCCAGGTAGCTACCCATGTCTCAATCTCTGCAAAGAGGCCCCGCGGCCGCCCACGCAAGCACCCACTTCCCGAAGCTACGGAGCTAACAGTGCCGGCGTACCAGACGACTGCAACGAGGAAGCGCAAGCATCTGAGCATAGATGCGACTGTTGAGGCACAGGCCGAGGAGAGAGTTAAGATAGTTGAGGAGGTGCCGGCGAAGCGCAAGAAGATTACTCAGACCTACGGATGGTACAAGAGCAACAGCGAGCTTCGTCGGGAGCCTAGTCAAACTAGACCCTGCACACCCACCACCGCCACAGAGCCAGAGACTCTGCACACGCCGGCCATGACCCTTGCGGAGACGCCTGCTCTAACGCCCGCTTCGTCGGCGGTGTCGACGCCGCCTGTGGCTAAGGCGAGGACTGCTGGGAAGCAGAGGAAGGTTAGAACGAAGAGGGGCTCTGAGGAGCGCGTTAGCCCAGAAAGGTCCGCTGAGATCATGACGGAGAGGAGTAGGGGCGGTGCTGCGGTGGGGCACGAAAGTATTCAGCGACGAAGTACGAGGAGCGTTAAGCTTCGCGCGACATAGAATGTACACTTAGACCACTAGACTTCCATTCCTTTGCGTGTCTCATCTGTACTGTTTATTGTAGATGTAGAATATCGAGCTAGGTTCCCTTCCTGTCCTTCAGCTTTCGAGGTGCGCTTCAGTCCTCGATGCCCTTCCACCCCCTCCGACCAATGTACCCCTCGCATCCTTCGTCGCTCTCAACCTCGCTTGCTAAGCGGCCGGTGACTACGCTCCTTTCGTGGTCTCTACCTGTGACCAAAAACGGGTCAAAACCGCCTAGCTCACCGTTCGGCAACAGACGTCTCATCCACCGCCCGTTCTCAAGAGAGAAGCCGCTGCTCTGTCGATCGAGGAGCACGAACCACCGCCGTTGGTGGATCGAACCGATGCTGTTTGTTGAGCCTGGGTAGGCGTTTCGGGTGCATGTGAGCGCATCTTCCTCGGAGTCCGTGTCTAGGTCGTCAACCTCTACCTCGTCTTGATCGATGTTGACAGTCGTGAGCGGTGCGATGTCGGAGTCGGATGTGTGGCTGGGCCGTCTGCTCCTTGCGACCGGTCTGTTTTGTCTGCGTCGCACGGCTGATTTTTGGGAGATTTCGTTGTTGGAGGGCAGACGTAGGGTGATGGTGTAGTTCTTTGAGAGTCGGGTGCCGTGGAGGCGGAGGCGGATGTGGCGGGATTTGAAGGCTTCGATAAGTCTCTCGTTCTCGTGCTTACCATCTCTGAGCCTTCCAGATGTCCTCTCATCCACATCGGACTCGTTGTCGGTGAGTTGTGGACTTGGCATCTCTTTCTCGTCTTTCTTACGCGAGAGTACAGTATATGTCCCGGTGTCCCAGATGAGCAGTGACCCTGTCTTCATAGATGCAGATTCGATCAAATTGTTCCACAAATTGTGGATACGTGTTTCAATGGCTATTCGTCCTAGTTGTCTGGAGTTCGGATTCCCGGGGAGCCCTTTCGGAAAAGCCCAGGATACGGAGCTTGTCGCAGAGAACTGGAGACGGAGGTCATAATGCACACCTGCCTTAGGGTGGTTGTGCTGATGAATGACGAAGTGGTGGCCATGTTGATGTTGATTGCTCTTGTACAAAGAAGCAAAACCATTGATTGACAATCGTGCCCCATCTAAGGGTGTAATTCTTGAAGCTTTTGCCAGGTGGTGCTTGAAGCACGTCAGGTGGTCTTCGATCTTTGCCCTGCCGGCCTCCACAGCTGCGAGTGTGGGGTCGTTTCTGGCATCGTAGCGAGGCTCAGCACGTGGTAAAGGAGAGGGAGCTTCGGAAGTTTTTCTCCGTTTGGGCGCCCGTGGTGGAGATATGTCTCTAGACAAGCTAGATGGTAAGTCCATGGAGGTGGGTATGGTGGCAAATGCACTGTCGGCCTTAGGCGCAAGGATGAGATCCTTGTGGCAGCATTGAAAGGTGGTTGTTGTCTTCAGAAGCGGGGTCGCAAAGCGCTTCACTAAGGCTGAGAGCTATGAGATCTGGATCATCGTAATGGTGGTGAAGTAGAAGATGCAAGTGGGTCCAGGTCTGGGTGCGCTAACTTGGTGCGAGTCATCCGGGCAAGAACCGCGGAAGTTTTTGTACCTTCACTCTTTCTATTCCCCAACACCATCTTTTGTTCATGGCGCAATGACCTCTCTGGCTGTCTTCCTAGGCCTAGGAATGTATCCTTCTGCATCACGTTGGTTCGTAAGACGCCTTGCAAAATGGAAGGTGCGTTGCGGTGTGGGTGCACAACTCCGGTACTGGTACGGCCGGTCCGAAGCTGCACATAATGTGTCTGCATGTCTGGACGGGCTACCATCTAAGGCAAATATAGCTCCTTGGCTTCTACCTCTGGCTGCCTGAGAAGGCTGTCTTTCAAGAAGAAGATTGAAGGCCCTCAGGCGCTACGCAACTGACAGTCAAAAATGCTGCGCAGGAAGCACATCTGTTTGAGTGCTGGATACAAAGTGTCGAGGTCATTTCGCACTCGTTGCCAACGGTGTGCACATCCCTAATCTTGTATACGAGCTGTGCCGCGACCTGAAGTTATTTCCACCGCGTTCAGCCTTACGCCTCTCACCAACAGCTGCATGAGCGTAGGGCAGTCCGGCCCCCAGCCACAAGCTGTCCCAGACGACCAATCTTCGACTACAGGCCTCTCGGGTGCAGTCAAGCTGCCGATGATCGAATGGTCTCTGAGACATTGCCACAAGCCGATGTAATCTTATGTTGTCTTCTCCGCACAAGAGTACGTCCGCAAGGTACCCAGCACAACTCACGAAAGGCAGCAATTTCTTGCCGAATGTAACTTGGAGGTCCTCACCGACACAGTCGATTAATACTCCACAACAACAAAGGGTGTTTTCGAGGCGTCCTTAACCTACTGCTATGGCCGCAATCCGACATGAGCTGAAGTCGGGGCGTGCGGCGCATGCATATACCAAACCATATTTGGCAATCAGTCGACTTAATGCTCACTTCCGCTTACCCCAAGTGAAATAAGCTTCTCACGCAACACCAAAATTGCAGCAAACAACTCAGCCGACCTGCGGAACGGCATGTGGCTACACCGTGTTCGGAATCGTTGACCTCTCCAGTGGAGGCTCTGTGGAGGCTGGACTTATGCGCGCAATGGCGGTGCGCAAACGTCTAAGGTGCTACGTTCATTGAGGCATTTGTGCAGGGTGTATAACCCTTCCTGTTGGCACCTCAGGCCGTGCCTTCATTGTTGATCCTAGATCAGTATTGCTGTGCCACTTGGTTATCACATCAGCAGTCATCATGGCCCACTTCCTTCGCTGTTCAGTTCCTCTTTCCCCCGTCATTCTGTTGATTGTCTTTCTTTTGCCTTTTTGTCAGTCAAAGAATACTTCCGCGTACTCTCAACTTGATACCACAATGGCCGACGACTTTACATGCCCATCTGGTGGTAAATGGTACGTCTTACCTAACTAGCGCCAGACGATGGACTGCTTCATGTTGAGCTCACCTTCTGACCTTCACAGGTATGCCTGCCCGTCGACTTCTACATCAAAATTCGTAGGATGTTGTGCGTCCGAGACCGACCCATGCTCGACTGGATGTGCACTAGGAAGCATTCGCACTGTAGCCTTTAATGAGTCGAACTATGAGAAGTTCCCCGACGCGAGTTGTGGTGTCAACAGCAACTTCTACACATGCTCTCCTGGTGGCCAAAAGACCTTCTGGGGATGTTGCAAATCAGTGCCATGTGGGCCGAACCCTGCATGTCCCGATGGTAGTCTGACACCTGCCTTTGTGGATCAACCTGCGCAGATCGCCTTCTACATCGCTTCCCAAACTGTGTCAGGCACATCGTCGACCTCAAGTGCGACTTCTTCCGCAACATCCAGCAGCAGTGAAAGAGACAGCAAGTCCAATGGTGCTGCCATCGGTGGTGCGGTCGGTGGAGCACTAGGTGGTGTCCTGATCATTAGTCTCATTGTCTTCTTCCTCCTCCGCAGGAGACGCAGCCAGCAGACCGCACGTGGTGAGACCGTAGAGGTCGTCAGCCCTATGATGGAAGGTGGAAAAGCTTTTGATCCGAACTCACCCAACTTCGCTGCCCAGTCACGTGAGTTCTCCTGAAAAGCTTGATATGCGTCCTCGGCTAACTCAAGTGAAAGCACCACCAACATATTCCGCCACCAACGGAGGCTACTACCAGAGCATAGCGCCAACAGGCAAAGGCAACCCTTACACCCAAAGCCCTTACTCACAAGGGCAGTGGGCTCACACCGCAGACGGTCCTCAGGAGATGGAAGCAGATGTCGGCCCGTCAAACAGATACTCCGAACTTCCTGCTGAGGCTTCGAGACCTGGCACGCATCACAGGTACTCTGAGCTGTCTACTGGTCCGAGCTGTCGGGTATCGCCTCATCACTCGCCGAAGGCGTCGCAGACAGAGAACACCGTTGAGCCTAAGCCGCAAGGGTTGGGTGTGGTGACCGAGGATACGAGGCCATGAGTCTGTCAGGGAGGTCGCTGTTACTTTTCGCTGCCTGAGAGCGCTTTGCTTCTGGCATGCGAACTTCACTTCTTGTATCTATGTTTGGCGAACTTACATGGACATATCAGTCCTTCATTTAGCGGATATAGCCTCTACCATCATAATGCACTAGGAACATATCAAAGGCTGTCCCTGTTTGAATGTGCGTAGCTAACCGGCAAGTAGACTTGAGCTGTTTGTTCGGACAGTTGAAGATAGATCCTACGCACCCCAACTGTTCCGACTCTCCTGCAAGTGCATTACCAAAAAGTATCGGAACGAGATAATGAAACTTGCCGGCTCATTCGTCGTCTCGCGTGACTCTTTCGGGGCGTATGGCAGGCAGCAAGGCAATACAACAGGACGGTAAACATGTCGATTGGCGGGTTTCCCTCATTGCATGACCTCCACGGGCGTTGAGACAGGAGCCACTACATTTTTCACGGGCTTCCGTATGATTGGTTCCTCTTCTTCACAGACTTCTTCCACAGGTACATTCGGATACGCGGTCCTCAGTGCTGCGGCCATGAACCGTATGCCCCATTCTTCAGTCGTCTTGTGTCCGACGCAGGCAACGGTCAGACCCAGCGCAGTCGCAGCCAACATTCCACTCTCACGAGGTTGGCCTGTAATATACAATACATGCCGCCCTCGGGCCTCGAAACTTGCGTCTGGTACCCATGTGCGCTCCTGCGCCATATCCAGCACGCGCATCAATTCCTCTTCGTTGAATGCGTTCATGATGGCCACGACGCGTATTTCGTCAGACTGGCCCTCCTGTATCATCTCTGTTTGCCCAAACTCGCCCTGTATGCGTTCGAGGATCGTGTATCGCGGTATGGAAACGGAGCCCACAATGCCTATCTTCCTTGTCGCGTCTCCCTTGTATCCTTGTACACAGAACCAATTCTCCTCAGTCATCCCAAGTCGTGTTGCTAACGGTGGGTTCCATCCGACTGTCAGGTTCTCGTCGAAGGACGTATGGCTCGAGAGCACGAGCGTGTCTCCACGTACTGCGCGCCGGTCAAGTTGCCAGGGCCGATGAAGGAAGCATAGCGTGCGCGGTGGATGGTAAGTTTCGGTATGCCCAATGAAGTCATATACCCCTGGTGTAGGCGTTATCGAGAGGACGATGCGGTCGATGAGGGCAAGCTCTGCGTCATATCGGTGTCTTCGCGGTACGTGGTAGAGGAGCGGAACATCGTTTTCCTTGAATGGCAAAAGTGAGGCCACGAAGCGGGTCACTGCAGCATGAGTCGGCAATGGCATGTCTTGCAGTACTGGGATGAAAAATGTTTCAGAGCCGAAATGCATGCACTGGCACATCAGCCTCTTGGAACAGGCTACGTCATTGATATTTTTCCCGTCATGATGTGAATTGAATTCAAGTCGTAGTAGATTCCATCGAAGAGGTGCTGATGATGAGTAATCGAATCCAAGTGACTTCTGGAGTTTCACGACGACTTCCAGAACCTTGGTGGTGGTGTTTCTGCATGTTCGAAATGACGCAGGTGGATCCTATACGAGCGGAATCGCACACTGCACTTTTGCTATTGGCGGATGTGTCCCGGATCTAGGCCCATCTAGTCTCAGCTATTCACTATTTGGAGGTATGGCATTTATACATCGCAGCGCATTTGGATTGATCCCCTCGATTGGGGTATTCAGAGATCGTGTTGGGGACGCGTCGCTTCATGGATGGAGAACATTGTCAAACTAATACGCTTACTAAGATTACCTTCTCACGCAACTTCTACCTTCGTACAACCTGCGTGAGTCAACTTTCATTGCAAGAAGTCACAACCTCCGCAATCCCTACACCTCACTCGTATCTTCTGGCGCGCAAATATGGCGATAGCTGTTGTTACACCGAGCATTGTTGGCGCTTTGTCATGTCAGAAAGACTCTTATCTGCAGACACTGGAGACGGAGGTTGTCGCGTGCGACGAATACATCCCACCAAAAGGCAACCCGCAGAATGGCAAAGCGAAATCGAAGAAATCTACAGATCCTTCGAAAGTGAATGGCAATGCGGAATCAGCAACACAACGAACATGGATGATTGAATTTGCAGACTCTGTGCTCTTCCCGGAGGGCGGAGGGCAACCTACCGACTATGGCTTCATCACACCACTCGGCGTTAAAGGGATGAGCGCAATACCAATCGAGAACATTCAACGGCATGGGCTACGGTGTGTACATTTCTCGCCGGCACCTTTGGAAATCGGAATGAAAGTCAAGCAGACGGTGTATTACGCACGAAGATGGGATTTCATGCAGCAGCACACAGGTCAGCACTTGCTCTCTGCGATCATGGACGGCATGGACCTGCCAACCTTAGGCTGGAGCATGGGGCAATCTGGAGAGACGAACTACGTTGAGCTACCACGAAAACCCACAGATGCGGAGATCGTCAGGATCCAACAAGAGTGCAACGCGGTAATACGCGAGAATCTGCCTGTGACAGTCGAAACACCGGAAGGCAAAGGATCGTCGAGCCTGCCGGCTGATTACGATGGAGAGAAGGGTGTAGTAAGATTCATCAAGATTGGTGATTTGGATTACAATGCCTGCTGCGGTACACATCTCAAGCAGACATCACACATCGGTCTGATCCTGCTGCACCATACGCAATCGATACGAGGAACCAACTGCCGACTCTTCTTCACCGCTGGAGACCGCGCTATCAATATGGCCACTGAGTCGATCAATGGTCTCCGTAACATCGCTATATCTCTCTCATCAAGCGCTGCACCCGAAGAGGTTGCAGCGAAGGTACAGGGTCTTAGTGAACAACTGTCAGAAGCAAGGAAAAGGGAAAAGAGGATGCTCTCAGGGATTGCGAAGTTCGAGGCCCAGCAGATCAAGGAGACGTTGCAATGCGCTGTAGGCGCGTTCTCGCACCGTGCCGATGATGGGCTAGACTTTCTCAACCTCGTTCTCATTGAACTCAGAGATGTGCTCAAGGGCAAGGGTGTCGTAGTGCTGTGTACTGGCGACACGAAAACACCTGGCTCGTTGGTAATCACTGGAAAGACAGAATTGGTGGAGGGCTTATCAGCCAAAGTCAAAGACATAGTGAAAGCAGCGAAGGGAGGTGGCAGGGGAGAAAAATGGCAAGGCAAGGTTACTGAGTGGCAGAAGGGCGAAATTGAGGCGTTGAAGACAGCAGTGGAGGAATTGTGATATGCATGAGCAGAATGATGTCCAACAATCAAACGACTCACGTGCAAGAACGAAATGCGTGCCAAAAGACCCATACTCACACACTATACACCTTAACTGAGTTGATCATCCAGTAGCTCTGTCTCTGTGTCAGCACGCAATTCGCAGAGCAACGGTACAGAAGGTAACTCACATCAGCAAACGACTGCGGCTGACTCGCCACATACGCATTACAGCTTGGATTGACCTGCGCACAGGACGTCTGACCCCAGGTACCACCAGCCCAATCTCCACAGAATGTGATGTCAAACACAATATTCAAATCCCTGAACTTCGTCCCGTAGTCGCACCCTGGTCCAAAGTTTGCAGCCGGTGTACCCCACAAGCTAGGGTCAGGATTGCCATTCCTGATATTTGCGGGTACATCTCTAGACGCGAAGTACCAAATCTTGATGCCCGAGTTCGTCCATAGCGCGGCATACACACCGCCACCGTTCGCGTTGAATGCTGTGCCGTAGGAGGTCGGATTGTTGGACTCGACGCCGCAGCCGTTGAAACCGCCGCCAGTACCGCAGTCTGCGTTTGCGACACGGCGTCCTGTTTCGCCACCAGGACCAACAGAAGGTACGCAGCCGGGCGAGGTGTGAAGCGTAGCTTGGTTGTAGGTGTTCAGGTGCACGCCTTCGTAGATATCGATCTCGCCTTGGTTGGGCCAGTTGGGTCCGACCATCCAGCTAGGTTCATGTCAGTGACTGCCTCTAAACAGATGGAGGGAGGTGAGCATACAATGCCGGCCAGGAGCCACAATTGCTTCCTGGAACGTGAGCAAAGTCGGCGATAACGAGGGCTTGGTTGTAGGCTCGCTTGCTTTGGATACGAACACTCTTTCGCCCAGGACCGTTAGGATTCAGCACAGATGTAGTATCTACTCCCATGTAGACCTGACTCCCTTGTGCTCGAAGGAGACCCAACTGTTGGGCTTGCTGTACGTTGACATACTCGACGAAGCCATCTGTTGTGGGCTGTCAGTACATATGACAAAGTAGCTTCTGTGGAACGCACGTGTAGGATCAGTTATCTGTCTGATATCAGTTGGTGTTTGTTCACATTAAGTAGCCACTCACAGCTTGCACATCGAACATGTTCAGCCAGTTAGTGCCATCGTATGTATCGATCAGACCATACGCTGCAGTATTAAAGTCGCCTCCGACAATATCTGATGATGTACCGTTCGGCCACCAGCCAGATCCAGCTGGGATAGCTGTAGCACAAAGCCAGAGCAGCGGAAGAGTCGCGATTGATCTCTTCAGAGACATGGCTGCAGTATGTATTGAGAAAGATAATCTTGTGGTCGTACAGCAAGGTGCAACCTGGACCGCACCGCATATCTTATATGCAAGTCGTTATCCCCTGAAGTCAAACCTACCACATGCCGACCTCGCCTTCGAACCATGCCAGCTTTCAGTCGGCATGTCATAAAAATGAGCTGCACTCCTGAGTATGCTCACCTCCTCGGCATGGTGGTACAGTATGCTATTGGACGATTCCGGAAAAACAACCTGGTACTGTTGCAATGTGTTTCAAGATTAGAGTGAAGAGTCTTCGGTGTGACAGAAATACAGCGGAAGACAAGCCCAAAGAGGAACCTAGAAGAGCTCGCATAGTAGGCGTGAATATGCCTCCTGATGGAAAGCTAGCGCTCGTGCTATAGAGGCTGACAGTAGCCCTGTGTAGCCTCGCACGGGAGATTGAGACGTTCCGGGGTGCTTTTGGAGAGTCTTGAACGGTTATATGTGAGTGGTCAACGGCCCTTAGCGCTTCATCAAACCAGACTTTGGCTCCGCGGATATAACAGCGCGTGTGAGCTTAGGTCGTAGCGCTTTTGGGAAAGAAATTAGGTGTCAAGTTGAGGTACATGCTGGCCAACTCATATGTGGTCTGGTCGTAGTCTCTCGCCTTCGAGGATGGGGCTGGAAGTCCTTAGAGGTGCCGAGCAGTGTAAATGAACGTTCGATTTGAACAAAGTCGTGCAACAGCCGCCAGGTGGATTGCATATGAACTGGAATCGTGCTGCAGTCTAGAAACGCTTGTTTGGTTGATGTCCCCGAAGATAGAAATTCACCATACACTTTCGGCCTTTGACCTACCAGAGGACAGCGTTTCGAGGTGAACTAGTCACAATTCGAGTACGCGTAGTAAACCGAAGTAAAGCTTTGCCGACCCCGCATTTTCGTTCATCTGATCTTGGGGTCACATCGCACAGCGCACGCGAGCTCTCGGAGATGATCTGCTCAGCCGGTGATAATACTCGAAGTGGGTGAACGCTCGCACGTGGGGCACTCGCGTGGGCCTGCAGCGCTTTGCTCGTGCGCAGGCGGATCACGCTTGGGTTCGGGAACACGTAAATCGGTGGGAGAGACTCTTGCTCTGCGAAAAGGACGACCCGTGCGAAAAGCTCGAGACGGGAAGTTGATGGTTGGGAGCGCTGCGGGAGTCGAAGCAGGGAAAGTTACTAGGTCCATCTGGGAACTAGCGCATGACCTTGAGGGAAGCATCCTGCCCGGATAACCTCCTGTGCTCCTTCAACCTTCTTACAGACTTCTCAATCGCGAAGAATCGTATTGCATGAAGCATTGACGAAGAAAGAATAGATGGATGGAATCGAAAATTGGGTGCATTGCCAGACTAACGTTCAAGATGAGTAAACAGCTGTCGCTTGTGCGAGCAACCTAGCATTGTAGCTTCCCTAGCTATTGAGCGCTAAACCAGCTGGATTGAACGACTTCGGGCGCACATCATGCATCAAATGTCACAGGATGAACATAACATCAAAAAAGCACTTTGACGAGCAGTATCCACCATATCTCTAATGCAAACAACACTAAACCACCACTAAGTACCGTCAAGATCATTCAGGATGGAACATCAAAACGAGACCGCACAAGTCAATCCCCAAGACGAATCATCGACTACCACGCCCCAACCCTTCAGAACCCTCACTTTCCTGCTGCTCACCCGACACTCAACCCGCTCCTTCCTCCCACACCCGTTCCCCACTATGCGAAGCCCTATCACTCGCCCAAAACACCCCCAGCAACTCCAATCTGCAGTCTCAGCGCGTCAAAGTCGTCACAGGCGACGCCCTACACCGTCTTTTCACTGCCCTGGTCGACGCAGTCAAGTCCGGCCTTGAACCCACCACTGCGTGTGTACTCTCATTGAACTCAACCTCCTGTAACTAAATCTTTGCATTACCAGAGGAGCTACTGCTCCTCTCGTCCTCCTAGTCTCAGACTCACATAGGACGTTAAACCAATCAATTAATCAACGAACCAACCCACCACTGCGCCCATCTCAGAATCCTATCGCCACTACCGCTCTGCGCTTGGTAAGCAATTGTATGGCCCGGATGGGTATGATGTCGCAAGGGACCAAGAAGAGGGGATGGAGAAGGCGCGGATGAGAAATTATACATTCTTCGATGCGCCAGTTGGTATGATCATCTGTATGGATAAGAGTTTGGCAGAAGGTGATGTGATGTGTGTAGGAATGTATGTGCAGACTTTGTATTTGTTCTTGGCGGAGCGCGGGGTAGCGAGTTGTGTGCAAGTTAGTGTGGCTAGATATCCTGAAGTCATCAAAGAGGTGTCGGGAATTGGTGAGGATATGCTGATCCTAAGCGGTGTGGCGGTTGGGTTTGAGGTTGCAGCGGCGAAGCTGAATGAGTTGAGAATAGGAAGAGATGCGTGGAGGGAGTGTGACAAGTTCATTGAGTAGGCAACTCGAACCTCCTCAAGGATGCTTGTCTGGTAGACTATATATTTTGTTTCTACCTCTACGGTCCAAAGACCAAAAACTCTAATGCAAAACATACCCGTCTACCATGCAATCTTCGCAAGCAATCCCTGCGGCCATCTTCTAACACAGTATTTCCTTGTCTCATCCAGTATCAACAAGCCAAACCCAAATGCAGCCGGCAAGAACCAATGCTCAACCGGCACTTGCCTGGTATCAATGGTGTTCTGCAAGCTAGGAATGTAACAGAAAATGAAAACAACTACAATCGCAAACAGCATACTAGGAAACAGCAGCCAGTTCTGCGTGTCCTTGTTGAACAACGGCGGTTGCTGAAAGATAGATAAGCGACGAGTACGCGTGGCAAGCAGGTTGAAAAGCTGCATAACCACCAGCGTGACGAAGTATATACTGCTTGCGACGTTGACTTTCTCGTTGATGTAGTCTGTGTCGTACTGCGGGTCGTACTCGCCGTACTTCAGCCACATGGCGGTGAACGGGATGCCTTGGGTTTCGAGGTACCAGAACGCCATAGTGAAGGAGAGGAAGCACTGGAGCAGGCCGACGACGAAGTATGCGTGGAAGATGAGGCGGGTGTTGACGAGGCGGTCTTTGCGCGGGTTGCGGGGTGGGCGGAGCATTACGTCTGCTTCAGGTTTCTCATAGGCGAGGGTTATGGCGGCGGCGCAGTCGGTGAGGCAGCAGATGATGATCTGTGGGCGTTAGCCAGAGTAGAAAAGCTTGGATGATGTAGAGAGAACGTACCATAAGGAAGGATGATAGGATCTGAGGAATACCGAATGCGACGTTGGTGATGACGGGCCAAAGCTCGGAGAAACTACCTGCAGGGAGCAGGTACACGATCGTCTTCTTCAGGTTGTCGTACACGAGACGGCCGTATTGAACTGCTTCGACGATTGCGGCGAAAGAGTCAAGGAGGACCATGTCAGCAGCTTCGATGGCGATGTCCGAACCGCTGCCCATTGCGATACCAATATCGGCAGCCTTGAGGGAAGGTGCATCGTTGACACCGTCACCGGTCATTCCGACAATGTTCTCGCGAGACTGGAACTCCTTCACGATGCGGAGCTTCTGCTCAGGTGTTGTGCGTGCGAAGACGATTTCCTGGTACTGGCAGAGCTGGTCCCATTGTGCATCGTTGAGGGTGATGAGTTCCGGTCCGCTCAAGACGATAGACTGCTTTGTTGTTCCGATCTTGCCGTCGCGGCTAAGAGCGCTGATATCGTCGACGAGTGCGGAGTTGGAGATGATGCCGCACTCTTCTGCAATAGCCTGTGCAGTAAGCTTAAAGTCACCAGTGACCATGAAGATCCGAATGGAGGCACCACGGAGGATGCGAACGACATCGGGAATCTCATCACGGGGAGGGTCGACGATGCCGACCATACCGACGAAGGTAAGACTTTGACGAGCGGATACAAGGACCTCCTTCTCGTGGTTGGCCGAGAATGGAGCGACGGTAGGCTTTTGAGCTAGCAGAATGACACGCTTGCCTTGACGGGACCAGTCGTCCTTGATACGCTCGATGCGGGCAAGTTGACCTGTGGTGAGAGGCACGGCCTCGCCTTTATCGTCGAGCAGGGTGTCGCAGCGGCCGAGCAGAATATCAGGTGCACCCTTGATCATCAGTGTTCTGTTGTGGTCAGCTAGAAACTCATGTATCAAATCGTGTGGCACATACGTGTTGTTACCGGTCGCGTTCTGGCCAGCCGAGCTCATGAGTCTGACCATGAACTTGTTCTTGCTATTGAAAGCAATCTCAAAGATCTTCTTGTAATCACGACGAAGCTCAGCCACTGAACCAAGGCTTTCTGACAGACGTAGCAGAGCCTGATCCGTTGCGTCGCCGTTGATCTTGCGTTCTGCGATAGGAAGGTGCATTGTGGCGGCATCGAACTCTCCAGAATTGCAAAGACCGGCGAGCATGCGCACTCGATCAATGACGTCTTCTTTCTTCTTCGAAAGAGCGGCCAGGTTGTTCTCAGATCGTAGGACAGCCATGAGGTCGCGGGCTGCTTCAGGTGTGTACTCTTCGCCCGCAGCGTAGATGTCGGTGACAACCATGCTGTTCTTCGCAATGGTCAGCAGCATTCTGATGATAGTTAGTAGAAAGGTGCTCACCTTAGTCAATGTGCCAGTCTTGTCCGAGCAGATGACTGAGACCGAACCGAGAGTCTCGACTGTTTTCAGTGACTTGCACAGAATCTTGTTCTTCCTCATGATGTTGGCAACGATAGTCAAACTCGTCGTAAGCGCGATGGGGAGACCTTCGGGGATGAAAGCAACCGCAGCCGATACACAACTGACAATCAGGAGAGGGACATTGATCCAGCCCGGGTGATCTTTGCGCAGCCATGCTGCCCTGCATCATTGTTAGCAGGACTAATATCCGTAACGACCAGCCGGCATACCAGAGGACGACAATGACAATGACTACCACTGTAATGAACGTCGAGATGATGAGCACGAAGCGGAAGATTTCCTTCTGCAGAGGGGTCATGCCAGTCTTGGGGTCTGATGTGAGCTTTGCAATACGTCCGAAGACGGTGCTGTCACCGGTCGCGACGCAGACACCTAAGCAGCTACCAGAGATACAGTGCGTGCCTTGCATGCCGATGTTATTTGTCTCAAGGTAGTTGTCTTCGGTAGAATCGACTGTTGCGTGTACTGGTTCCGATTCACCTGGATACTGTCAGTTGTGCGAACGAGTCGTATGAGTTGCAAACATACCAGTGAGGATAGCACGATCGAACATAGCATCGCTGGACACTTCGACAAAGCGAACGTCGGCAGGCAGCTTGTTACCCTGTTTGATGACGATGATGTCTCCAGGAACTAGGTCCAGAGCAGATACACTGGCCTGCGAACCGTTGCGGATGACGATGCACTGGTCAGGAAGCATAGTGCCAATAGAAGCCATTACACGGCTGGTAGACCAGTCCTGCCATGCGTTGAAAGCAGCCTGGATGAGCCAGACAGCAATCAAAACACAAGCAAGTGCCAGGTTAGCCTCTGCTGGAGGATCACCAAGAGGCTTCCATGCGATGAAGACGAGGACGCCGGCGCCGAGCAGGATACTACCGAAGCCGCCGAAGAAGTAGCCTGTGATTTTGCCGACGAGACCTGATGGGGGAGGTGAAATCTTGTTCCTGCCATACTCGCCGACGCGTCGCTTGATTTGATCTTCAGAAAGACCTTGGTTGGTATCAACAGATAGACGGCGACATAATTCTTCTACATCGAGAGTGTGCCTGGAGGTTATCAGAAAGCTGTCAGAAAAGATCAAATCTCTGTTCGTTCAACGTACCATTCAAGACCGGCAAGATCAACAGCGCCCTTCTCCTCTGCGCGCTTGACCTCGGACTGCTTCTTCTGCTTCTCCTCGTCGACTTCGATCGAAAGTGTACGGTACGTGATAGGTAGCGCAGTTCCAGGGTCTACATTTCTTGTGCCACCACCTGCGCTGTGAATGGAGAGACTGCCGACACTGCTCTGACGCGAGAGACGGCGATGGCGCTGCAGCGCGCGCTCATGCGCTCCATGACCTGCTTCCTCATCTGCAGCATCGAAACGAATCCGCTGGACTGGTTTGTCCTCTTTGTCCATGGTTGGCGAAGGGAAGGGGGAGAAGTCGCACTGGGAAGCTGGCTGTTATACAGCAGACCCGTGGAGTTGAGAGAGAGAGGTAGAGCAGAGAATGTGGGACCGAAGAGAAGAGAAGAGGTAAGAGGGAATTCGAATGCAGTGAGGATGAGCGATTTATATAACTCTCTCAAACGAGGAATGATATTCCTACGTACCAGTGAACCATTCCAGACAGGCTGCGCAGCCGTGTCAAACACGTGCATCCCACGCTTCACCCAACATTGCCTGCTCCCCGATGTAACACTTGAGCGGGTACATCGCCGTCGAGAGATTTCACCGACGCCATGGTACAAAGCGATGTCCAGCCTTTGTCGTGGGATTTGACGTTAAATCGCTCATATAACACGAATCAGGCAGATGCAATGTGTCAATCGTGCTCACATCAGGAATACCGCCGCGTCGCTGCACGTGAAGCGCAATTTCCTTGTGTCGTTGTCATGTTCGTAGCTGTTGCTGGTTAGCGATGAGCGATTTATGATATCTGAACGTGATGCACAGCCACGCTAAATGTGCGAAGCGCTTAAGCTTTCTCGGTTGCGCCAATCACAGGGTTTTCCGCTTGACGACAAACTCCTGTACGACGCTTGTAATTCTTGGATACCGCGTTTCAAAATCAAATATTGTGGCTACTGAGCGTTGCATTCCGGCTGTCGATAGCTGCCGCGTTCAGATCCAGTATTCTGGATTTCGAGGTGCGTTTTCACACGCGCCCTGGCACTGCAGGTTGCAGATCGACCCAGCTTCTCGTGTTCACATCGCCCGAGATGGATGCATACTGGATTTGATTCTTTAGCGACTCGCTAAGAGCTACGGAAAGAGGCTTGTGCAAAGCATATGCTGACGTCCGTGATGCATTGATGCATCGTGTGAGCGTCACTGCGGAGCCCACTGAAGCGAGGTCGACATGTTGGTTCAGACACTGAGCAACTACCGTCTTGTAGCTCTTTCGCATTTGAGGAACCCGCATACATACCACGCTCTTCATTCGATCCGTTGGTGCAGCGTGGGGTGTCGTATTGCCATGCCAGATCGACCGGTGAGCAGGGTGGAGGGCAGGTAGTCGCCGTTGGTGTTTTCCCACGGGAAGCACTGGTGCAGCCCCGTGCCAATCCTCTTTGTAAGTGAGGCCTAAAGTTTCTGCTTGTGCTAGATTACATCAAGACTGTCCAGCCGACCCTGGCCCACTGACCTGTTGTGGGCAGGATTACTGCCGAGAAGCATGCAAGAGGAACATCTTGACCGGGCTTTTATTTACGACCCAGTATGATTCGACGGGCGAAAACACCAGATTGGCTTCAAAAGTATTGCAAGAAGCTTACTATACCGCAGGTTAGCGAACGGTGAGAGCTCGACGCACACTTAGCATGGTGACGCCTCATGCAACAAGTCCGTGATGACGAGAACATCTGGGAAAGACGTTGAGCTTGTCTACCATCTGGTACGTAACTCACAGGCAAGATCATGGCAGAGTGAGATTTGATCACTTCAATTGTTGACATTCGTAGTTGCTTCGTTGTGTTCCTCCAAGTCATGGTAAATCTTCCAGATTCCCGACATTTTGTTTCTGGTGACCTCGCCGGGTACACTTCAGTCCAATATCGTAAATTACATCGCTTCATCGAGCCGTTTAAACGTCGATCGCATCGACCGTAACGCCCTTGACCCACGAGTACTGCATAACGCGAGCAACCTCGAGAGCCGAATCGTGAGAGGCCAAGGTACCAACCAGATAGAGGCTGGCATCGAGGCCTGCAGTGACACCACCCGTGGTGATGACACGCATACCGCCCAGCGGCATGGAGGCACGCCTGGCAATGGACTCGCGGCGGCGTGAATCGCGCCAAGCGTTGCTGCCCTTACGAGCAATGGACATCCTGCGTCCATTCTGAGTCGTGGTGCCGTCAGGAATAGCACCTGAGCGGTCCTTCTTGATGATGTATCTGTTCGTGTGAGCAAGTCTCTCTTGACGCGTGCGAGGGAATGCTTACGGGTTGTCGTCGGGGTTTTCACCCAAGTCAAAGCGGGCGTTGTTGACGACGTAACGCTCCTCCATAACGTCGGTACGCATGGACATGTCACGCTTCGCAGCGTCTTGACAGAGAGTCTCCAGACGTACGTAGTAGTCTGGGTGTGTTGTAGCTGCCAGACCCTCAAGCATACCCTGCTGGGCAAGCAAGAGGGAGCCGACGTCGATAGCGAGGACGGTTCGCTCCTTAGCAGGGTTCTTCTCCTGCAACTCGACGTACTTGGTGAGGAGGTTGAGGGGCTCGGTCTTGCTCTTGAGGACCTCGAAGATACCCTCACCACCGGGCACGATGATGACATCAAAGTCCTCGAGCTCGTCGTTGGCGTCATCGTAGTCCATATCGGCCTTGATGGTGAGGCCCTGGACAGAGGTCATGGCGGCTGCGGGGCCAACAAACTGGCACTCGAAGGCCTTGCTGGCTGGCGTACGTGTCAGTAAGGGCTCAGTTGGGGCTGTAGTTAACAAAGAACGTTTTGCAAGCTCAATTGACTGGGAACCTTACACTTGTCCTTGGGGTTTTGAAGAGAACGGCTCAAGACCTCGAGTGGACCAGCCACGTCGAGGGTGTTGTAGCCAGGGAAGAGGGCGAACAGCACCTTGACCTTCTCAACGGAGCCATCGGTGCCGTCAGCGATTGCACTCATCTTGAATGATTTGGGGTGGGATTTGGATAACGAGAATTGGGGTGAAGAGTGGAATGGTGGATGATTGAGACTAAAAGTGTCGTGTGAGGAAGATGGATTCGAGCAGCAGAGCGAGGGGTATTGTATGGTCAGCTGAGGGTCACCTGCCCCTCGTGCCATGCCAGTCGCGTCACCGTGAAGCTTCCCCAGGAAACGAGCGACGCACCCCGCGCGGCAGGAGCCACCCAAAGCTCAAAGCGTTGCAGTTCAGTGGGGCGGCACGCCGCTTATCTTAGCGCGTTGATGAAACCGTTCGGCCCACGCAGCCTGAGGCAACATCACCGAGCACTGACGACGTGAGAGACGGCAGTCGAGCGTTCCCAAACAATTGCTTCAATAGAGCAGGGAGTATCGTGTTCACTGCATTTCGCTCCCCTGAATCTTCCTTTTTCTCAAAAGCTCAGCAGCATTTGAAGCTTGGAGGGTCTTCACGCCACGGTCTGGCTGCAGTCTGTGCACACATTCTTTCATGTCAATGCCCACCCATACGTTGCTGTGCGACAACGGTATACTCGCATATGTATGCATCGCAAGTTGGGCGATGAGCTGGTGCTGGCTGAATCCGGCAATGGAGCCTGTGCTGTGGCCTATCAATTGGCTTATCTTGCCCATTCAACTTTCATCTAACTCGCACAACCAGATTTTGAAATACTGCTGTGATACAAGGGGGTTTTTTTTTAATGGAAACAACACATATCGTGTCGTGAGTCACTCTCCTATATATGGATGAGCGTTGTGGAATCTCAGTCGAACGATGGGTGGGATGACCGAACTGCGTCTGTGCATCGTCTCTAGCGTGCATCTTCCAAAGCCCTGGAGTTGACAGTGAACACCCGCAACATGGCACCACCGAACGCGGCCGACGCGTCATCCGCGTCTGAATCGACTAAAGAGTCTTTTGGGACTACTCCAAAACCTACGAAAGCACAGACATTACCCCCACTCGAGTCAAAAGAGGGCATATGGCTTCGACGCGCAGCCATCCTCTCCTTTTGGGCTGTCGTCGTCCTCATTGGACTGCCAGTATGGTGGAAGACGACAGCCATCTACAGAGCGGAGCTTCCGCTGCAGGATATGACGGATTGGGCTGAAGGGAAGGTATGTACATAGGATCACAACCTCTCTGTAGTATGTATGCTAACACTAACCAGATATGCAAGCCCCTGTTCCCTCTACGCATTGCTGTCGAAGCCTCAATTCCTTCTCAGGACGCCCTTCAATTGGTCCGTTTGACACAGCATGCTATCGACGACCTCAACGAGTTCTCTGCGCACCATCTTCGCCTCATGCCCGCCGCCACCTCCTATACTGCGAACGCTTCCCAAGAAGTGATTATCGATGGAACGAGTGTCAGGATTGACGATACAGATATCGCTCTGGTCATTCGCATGATCCAAGTGGAGACTGGGGAGACGCCTCGATCGCAGCTACAGCCGTATTTGCCTACACTCGATGTGTACTACTCTGCAAGTCAGCTCCCTGCGCAATCCTCGAACAGCTCGCCGCTCGCAACTTTCATAGCACAGGAGCTGCACACAGTGTTCGCTGAAGAGCAAGCTCAACTAGCGTATTCGTTGGCTGCCCACCCCGGAGCACCAGCTGCCAGGACCAAGGCATTTTCTCCCGAGAAGCATGCCGAGCTGGACCGCCAGTCGACGAGGGCCCTGAAGTACGCCCCGACCTACCATCTCACTTTTTCGTTGTTCAGCCCGTCATACGCACCATCTGCCTGGAACATTGACGCCGCTCTTCAAACCTATCTGACACCATTGCTTGAGTCCTTTTCTGGTATCAGCAACTTCACTGTTGATTCTCAAGTCCAGTTGTATGCCACATTCTCACCCTCTATCCACCAACCCGAGTACGACGAGGGCTTGAAGGCATGGACGCTTCGTAGAGAAGATCTCAGTGGCTTCGTCAATGCTGCTGAATGGCCGCTGAGCCCGAGCATCGGCGAAGGACCTACCGTAAACTTCATTCTTTACGTTCCAGACGCCAGCCAGTCCCCTCTGTTGGTCAAGGAGAATGCAGGAAACAACTGGTTGATTCCTCAATGGGGTGGTGTTCACATCTTGAACCTCCCGGGTGGCTCGGTGACACCCAACATCTTGACCACTGAAGACCTTGCCCCGGCCATGCACACTTTCTCAGACCAGCTGACCTCGTTGTTCGGATTGCCACAAGCTCCTGCCTCGCTGCCTTTACGTATTTCGACCCTCGAACGTGTACGAGCCGCATCACTCATCTTCTCAGCTTCCTCGACTTTGGGTGCATTGGCTCAAGTCTACCAGAAACTACCTTCTATCCCAGTGCCCGACAACGTGGCTCAGTCTGCCGACTCGACCATCGCTCAGCTACAAAAAGCATGCGACTATCTTCGGGAAGGTCGGTTCCAAAGCGCTCTGGAACACGCGCGAGCCGCAGAAGTAGAAGCAGAGAAGGCCTTCTTCGAACGCTCCATGGTCGGCCAGGTCTACTTCCCTGATGAGCACAAAGTGGCTGTTTACCTGCCATTGTTGGGTCCCGTTGCCGTGCCTCTGGTCATGGCTGCGCTTAAGGAGCTGAAGGGCGCAATTGCAACACTTCGGGGAAGGTAAACCATTTACAGCACACTGCATCATCATTATACACGCATAAGTAGCAAGCTGCGGTCGATCCCCTTCCAGCCTTAGCTTATGCCTGAAAGCAGTTGCTACAACGGAAGGCTCTCTTTGTGCGTGCCTGACCTCGGGTGCAGGTGAACCATCCCCTCTCTTAGCCCAGGTCCATCAGTGGATCATCGTAGCGACTTGGCCATAAATTGACAGCTCCAAGACCCCATTTGGCGTGCACTAAGCCCCACTGCGGGGTACACGTGCGGAAGCTGAAGCTGTAAGGGACTCTCCACTTCATATAGCCGCGTCAAAGATGTAGCAATTCAAGTGCGGATTACGCAAGAAAGCTACCCACTTCCCTGTTTCGTTGGCTCACTGAGCTGCCTTGGTCGTTTCGCATCAATTACTTTGCTGTAAGGAACGTGTGGCGTTCTGACTGCTTGAGCTGCACGACAAAAGTAGTTAATGGTACAGTAAGAAAGTGGTACCCAACTAGGCTTCACGGACGGGTTACACTCGACGTCTGACCAGCCCTGTCAGGAGCCGTTCCGTGGTCATGTATAAGTAGACCCCTTATTACCGGCAGCTGCTACGCAGCAGTCCATAGACAGTCAAACGACTTGCAATACCCCAATCTTACTCTTCAATATGCCTCTCTCTGACCAGGGTGTCCAGGACATCAAGTCCCTCCTTGACTCGGCGACCAGCGAAGGACCAACCGGCTCACCCGGTCTAGCGTTCCACGCCGTCGACAGGTCCGGAAAGACTCTTGTCGAGTATCAGGCAGGAAACCTCAGCATCGACAGCAAGCAAGCCGTCAACGAAGACACCCTCTTCTGGATCGCCTCTTGTACGAAGCTGGTTACCGCCATTGCCTTACTCCAGCTTGTCGAGCAAGGCAAGATCGGTCTCGACGATGCCGAGGCTGTCAAGAAGTATGCTCCTGAGATCAGCAAGAAGCAGGTGTACGCAGACGGCGTCAATGGCGCAGACCAGCAGAATCAAGTCACTTTGAGGCAGCTGCTCGCCCATACAGCGGGCTTTGGATACTCGTTCATTGACCCTAGATTGCAAACTCCCGGAGACATCGAAGGCCAAAAGGGCGACGTGAACGATATCCTCAACTCGCGACTCGTCAACCAGCCTGGTTCTACATGGGAGTACGGCGTGCGTCCATCCTTCCACTGCCTCCCACTACTCACGGTTGTACTGACAAATGCTAGATTAGTATCGATTGGGCCGGCATAATCCTCGAACGCATCACCGGCCAACGCCTAGGCGACTACTTCAAAGAGCACATCTTCGCACCTCTCGAGGTCGACACGAAGGGCGCGACCATGTTCCCTCCCTTTTCCGCACAGTCCAATCTTGCAGAGATCCATCAGCGCGACCCTCAGTCAAGCGAGCTCCGCGTGCGCGACCACTTCTACGGAAATGCACTCAAGCAAGATAGCCCAGAGAAGCAGGATGCATACTTCCAGTCCGGCGGCGCGGGCCTCTTCACGAAGCCAAAAGAATACGTCAAGATTCTCGCGGCGATTCTGAACGAGGGAACAAGTCCGACGACGGGGAAGCAAATCCTGAAACCTTCCTCTGTCGAGCTGTTCTGGGAGAACCAGATCCCGAACCAGTACGTCCCTTCCTTCTGTTTCGCTACACCGCAGTCCATGAGCATCTCTCTCAGCCCTTTCCCCCGATATTGCTCTCTCCGGTCTTACTCCAGCACACGATCCTCCTTCCCGCCGCAACACATCAGCACCCGACCCCTCCTTTCCCATGTAAATGCACCTTGCCGACACAACTTACTAACGCCTCCCCAGGCCCGATTTCGCCCGCGGCGGCCCACCCCCCGCAAACCCAGAGCTCATCGCCGCAGTTCCCGAGTTCTACCCACAGCCGGGCAACCCGCCGCAAGGCTGGACATACGCGGGTTTCCTGACCATCGAAGCCGGACCCTCTGGACGCGGCCGAAACACGATCTGGTGGATGGGGCTGGCGAACTGTTTCTGGTGGATTGACCGTGAGAAGGGTGTTGCTGGGTTCATTGCGGGCCAGGTAAGCGATGAACACTTTGACAAGATAGTTTTGGACTGACGATGACTAGGTGCTACCCAACGGTGACCCGAAGGTTATTTCGGCGTGGTTCATGTGCGAGAAGACGATTTATGATAACCTGGAGTAACCATAGTCTCCTGTGTCGAAGGACGGGCGAACAGTGTACAAGACCTTGCATTTCTCAGTTGCTCTCTTATGCTGCCTTTCCATTCCGTTCTTTCAGATGCCCTCCCAGCTTCCCAACCACCCCCTCCGCCTCACCCAACCCACCCGTTCCCTGCCACTCAACCAAGTCTGCTAGGCCCTGATAGACATCTGCGATTTCTCGGAACACTTTCGCCTGCTCCCCAAATCCTCCTTGCGCACTAAATGTCTGCCCGATCTGATGCATTTCCTCGACCCACCTATACGCCTTGCCCGTGCAGCCCACAATACTCTTCTCCGCCTTGTCTCTCGCGCTGGGGTTATATTCATCGAGGTAGTGTCTGAGATCCGGGAGGACGTCGAGGTTGCTCGCGGTGGTGTAGGATTGGATGGCGAGGGCGGTGAAGCCTTTTGATAGCGCGGCGAAGCAGGCTTTCAGGCCGCTCGCCTTGCCGATGTCTTTGCCGAGATGGCGTGTATTCAGCACGTGTGCGAGCCTCTCCCCATCGATCGGCGCATCCGCCAGCTTATTCGGTCCAGACAGCGGGATGCCCGGGCGGAACCACGTCCCGTCCTCGTTCCTGCTCGGCGGCGCCCCAATAATGCCTCCGTCCACAAACCGCACTCCCTCCGCTTCCCGCCCAAACAACTCATACAGCTGCGTAACTCCATCCGGGCTCCCCGCATTCAGGTCCAGAAACCACAGCGCTTCTCGCTTACCTCTCCTCACACAGCTGTCTTTCAAGGCGGTGATGATGCGCTGCGCGGTAGCTGGTGCGTCCTTGGGCGGCACGATGCTAAGAACGTAGTCTGCTTGCGCAACGAGATCTGCGTCTGCGTCCCGCTGCTCGATTCCCGCAGATCTTGCTCGCGACTGCGTGGCGGTGCTGCGGTCTGAGACGTTTGTTATGACGCGGAAGGAGTGCGCGAGCAGGAGGGACGCGATGCCGAAGCCCATTTGGCCGATGGAGAGGATGGCTATTGTGGCGCGTGGAGATGTCATGGTGGACGGTGAATTTGATGTTTTTGGATGCTTGAGGCGTGAAGAGACATGTTGGAGGGGGAGACTTGACAAGGGGGTATGTCGGGGTGTACGTGCTATCTTATGTGCTTGCGGGGGGGTGGGGCGGTGACTTTAACAAGAAGAGGTTAGTAGGGGTGGGATGGTGTTAGGATGGATCGACTTGCCTGTTCCTCTATTGGACAATGCTCTTCAAATTCATGTATCCCGTCAGGACAAGAGCAGACATCTTTGCTTCACAGTGAGATTCTGGTGTGGAACAGGTTAAGCATTGCTGAACCCGATCCAAAACAACATTATCGAAAATGATGCATTTCCCTACCTCATGTCTGATCGTAAGCTGACTGAAAGTCCTACTCCGTAATACATATCAGCCGCATCTTCAGCAGACTGTTTGCCGTGCCCGTACCCATTAGTGGATGCATACCAGCAATCCAATTCGTACCCAAGAAAGAAAGTAGAAGTCCTATCCATAGTCCATAGCTCTCCTTGGACAATCTTCTTCTCCAGGGTGAGTCAAATTATCGAACTCTGTCGTGTCGAACTGTCGCCAGTGAGACTGTTCTGCTATATCAAGTTTCTGCCCAAAGTGTTCGCCGTATGGAGGCTTGGAGGGTTTCAGACCTGCGATCTGCGGAGGAAACCACCACGCCTATATCTGTCAGCCTTCATGCCTACAAACCGCAACGTGCAACTCACCTAGCAGGCGCACCATCTGTAGCTACACGACTGCGTTCCCTACTCCAAGCCAAAATCCCAACAATAAAACTCGCAAACCAAAACACCGCCGCCAAAAAGCTGAACGCCTGCGCCGCATTCCATTGCCCACAGTAATTATTTGTCACATCGATGTTGTCCCAGGCCCAGATGCTGCCACATTTAATCTGGTCATCGTAGTAGTCCTGCAGGAGACCGAAGACCGCGAACCAGGCAGCGCAGAAGAGCAGGTCGGTGATGAAGTGGGTGATGGTGGCGCTGGGGAGTGCCATCCAGAGCAGCGCGAGCCACACGGAGATGGCAGAGATGACGGTGCTGTAGATGAGGCGCGAGAAGGGGCCGATGTGGTGCGCTTCGTACTGGTGCAGGAAGTGGGCGCTCAGGCCGAGGACGATAGCTGCGGAGACGAATTGTAAGAAGCGCAGGGCGATGGGGATGATGCGTGAGAATGGCATGTTGGGTGAGATGTCGTTGGTATAGCTGTTGGCGTTGAGGTGTTCGCTTATGTGGATGAGTAGACGAGGTGTGATATTTGGTGTTGAAGTGATCGAGGTAATGGCAGGTGAGATTGATTGTAGTTTTGGTGAAGGCAGCTTCCAATCGATTGCTGGAGCCTAGAGGTGATCACCTGCTTGGGCTTTGCAAACGGAAGTCGCAGTCCTGCCAATGGCAAGAGTGAAGGTGAAGACACGGCCTGCTCTTAAGCTGCGGCGACTGACGTGGGGCTTACCGTGAAGGCTGGTGAACGAAGTACAAACGATGACTTCCTGGACGGAGCAACATGTGATTAACTTAGACACATGATGCCGTAACCCGGTTTGCTGGTGTCGCTGCCAATATGCGACTGTAGTACAGCGCCGTTCTCGTAACACCTTTTGCATCGCTCTTGCCCTGCGGCCACAAGTTCAAGATTGGTATTCAACCTGATCGCAAGAGACCTTTACCATGGTATCGTAGCATTCGACTTTGGGACGCAAGTGAGCAACTCCCTATCCAGACATTCCGGGGCGGCATTGATAAGTTTCGTACGTTGTGAGTCGGTGCTGCGCTGCGTGACAAACAGGCTCGCGCAGAGGTTGAACGTGATACTGTACAAGGTAGTCTTGTCACTCGTGACATCGTGACATGACTGTCATATCCCGTTCTGGCAATGCTAGAGCGGGGTAGTTGAGGAAGTGGAGAAGAAAGGGAGCTGCGCGGCTGTGGGAAAAAGCATTTGACCTGCACTACCTCCCACATGTTGCTTCGTCGCCCTTGCTCTGTCAGCGAACAGGATTGTAGAACACCAACTTCAATCTACAACAAGGTGTGCTTATTCGCTATGTGTGTGTGTGTGTGTGTGTGTGTGTGTGTGTGTGTGTGTGTGTGTGTGTGTATAGCTATGCGGTCCAGACCAGATGATGCCGCTCGAGAACAGGAAAACGCCGTGCACCCGCGCTATGCTCTAAGGACAGTCCTACTTTATCTTCCTCGCCTCCGCCCTCGAAATCTCATCTCCCATGTTCTTCACACCCTCCAACATGCCCCTCTGTGTCAGGCTGCCTCCTCTACTGTGTCCACCGCTCCCATCGCCGCCAATAGTACTTCCACTGCTGACGTTCCTCCTGTGCCCCTCCCCACCCGCACTTGTGTCCTCAAGGACCAACCTCCTGCGATCACCACCAGCCGCCATGCGCCCAGCGAACTGGTGCCAGCAATTCGGAGCTTGAAGAATGTACTTCTCCATTGCGATCCTGAACCGATTGCGGTAGTCTTTAGGGGATGTGATGGTCGGCTTGTTCTTCCCGCGATCTTTGATCCAAGACTCGAGTTTCTTGTCCCACGTATATGTGCGAATGCAATCGATGATACCAACGATGATCTCGCGTTCAGCATCATCGAACCCAGCCATGAGCGAGTAATCCATGACATTGTTCTGTGAAAGGAAGAGCGTGTCGTTCCACACACTGGCTTTGAGCAACTTCTTCGTGTGTTCACGGACGAAGATAGGTGTCTCGGAGTAGATGATGTCGACAAGGTTCTCGTCAAGCAGAACTTCGTCGCGCTCACCCGTGGATTGAATCTTGCGGTTGCGCATGCTGCCTTTGAGATCGTACCGTCGATTAGGTTCGCGGTCGTAGAACAAGTTTTCCATGACCAGCATAAACCAGTCGAAGTCGCGGCCTGTAGGTGTTTTGATTTGGACTTGGAAGAGGCCGAACATCTTAGCGATGACGGAGGGTAGCTGCCTGAATAGATTCTGGTGCGTGAAGGCGAAGTAGTTGGGAGCGAAGCGGAAAAAGGCTTGAACCTCGATCGGCGACAGGGATTTGAGGATGAAGCGGTCATCAAGGGTCTTGAGGAAGATGGATTTGGATTTTCCACCTTTCGACTCGAATTTGGAGCAACGCGAAAGCGACTCGACGAAGCGGTCGGCGACCCCACATTTTCGACGGAGCGCGTCGAAAGACTGCGCATAGAAGATTTTGCACTGCGCCTTGACTCCGCGATTGGTGAAGCCATACCGGATATTGGTGTTCTTGTCGTGGAGGAGGTTGCGCTCGATTGAACCTTCCATGGACTCCATGTCTAGGCCAGATGGATCGTCACGGAAAGATTGGAGTTTAGCCAGGTAGTCAGGGCTGGACAAGGCCAGCGCGATGATTGAGCTGGGCTCATCTTCGCGAACGATGATATCCGAGTCCTCCCAAACGTGCTCAATCTGCGCGAAGGGGTAGTCGAGGGGTGCCCATCCGCTTGCAGAGCGCTCTGACCAGAAGTTGGTCAGCATCTTTAGCAGTGTCGTCTTCTCATGCTTTGGGAGTTCCAATGAAGCCTCGAGCTGGGAATCGCTCATGTTAAGAAGCTGCGAGCTTGAGATGCTGTCTGGTAATGGAACGTCTTCTGGAGCCATTTCAACATCGCTCGTGTCGTTCTCAGCATCAGATGCGGGATGACTGTCGGCCTGGGGTGACTCTTCGCTGTCAGTGTGAGTATCCACCATATCCCTGCCCTGACGCTCGTCGACCGGCGATTGGGGGGCTGTCGTGACGTCCGTCGTCTCTGTGACCGCACTGTCGTCAAGAGTACTATTGTCGACGCTTGTACGGGGAGGAGGCTCAACCTGCACATCCTCATCAGATGCAGTGTTCTCTTGGACTGCTTCGTGAACGTCCTTGTAGACCTCGACAATGGGCTTGGATGACGCAAGCGGATATGCGCGCACTTGTCTGTCCCTTGCACGATAACGCTCACGTGTGCGCTCCTTTTGGAACTCGCGTGACAGCTGTTCAAAGTGTTCAGCGAGCTTTGACACTTTGGTCGACTGACTCTTGAAAGGCACAGAGCGTGGAATCCTCGACGTAGACCTTGACTGCTTTGAGATACCAAGACGTAATCGCTCGGTCATGCGTTCCAGAGCTTTCTGCGATTCGTTGAACGTTGGTCGGAGGACGTCTGACTTGTATGGTCCCACTGGCGGGAGGGTCGATGGGTGCTTTGGAATGTTGCCAGGTTGTGATTGAGTGCGTGCCAATGCGGCGGGTCTTGCTGGGGTCTCGCGCCGAATGGTGTCTACCAGTCGTGGAATCTTGCTTTCCAATGTCATGTGAGGCGTTGGTGATGGCGAAGGCGAAGGCGAACCCTGCATATTTTCGATGGCATCCGCCAAAGACTTGTCAATCGGGTTGATCTTTGGATGGCTCGTGGGTGTAGGTGATCCTGGATCAAGCTGATTCCCATCAGGGGACAATGTTGGCGTCTGCGGAGGCTGGTCGTCTTTGATTGGGAAATCTGACGATACTGCAAGGTCGAGGTGTCGCACATCTTCTCGCTCCACAGCTTCGCGTGGTGTCTGGATAGGCAAGTCGGAGATCGCTTTGATGGGTGTGGATGGTCGTTCCGCTAAAGGCGTAACATCCGCATCGGCGGCGGGTGCATCTCCGTCCTCTTTAACCACCAAGGTCAACATGTCAGTGGCCTTTTCTGAGGACATGTTCGATGGCATCGGCGTCGACGCTAACGAATCATCTTTATCATCATATCCAGGCTCTTCCTCACCAGACTCTACGCCTTCATCAACTGAGGTCAGCGATGTACTGGATTCGTCGCGTTCAAGGAAAAGCTTCTTCAATTGCAAAGTGGCGAGCCTTCGAATGTCCTTCTCAGACGGGAAGAACATTCGTTCAAAGTCCATGAACGTCTCGTCCCAGGCGATGGCTTTCTCCTGTATCGCACGAATGGCGCGATTGAGTGGGATTATCTCGTAGTACTTCGAGTTCATGTACTTGTCCTGCAGTTTGTGCCGCAGGAACTCGTGCTCGTCATTCACGCGCTTGATGAGATGCTCGACCTCTGCCCTACATGCTTCGACCTTTTCGGCAATCACGCTCTCGACGTGAATGCTCCTGATGCGAGCGCGCACTGAAGCCATGAAACAGTCCAACCGTTCTTCGATCTTCAGGAACTGCTCGTTTTTGAGCCTCAGATCACTGTCCACTTTCCAGGTGATGTTTGGTCTCGGCACTATGACCTCGTACATTGGTACGGCGTCGTACTGGATGCGAAGTGCGACATTGTTGTAGCCAAAGTAACGTACGTGGTCCTTGTGGATGTCGTGGGGACACACGCCCGCCCGAGGATGCAGCTGCGTGCTCCAGAAAGTCAACTCGAGGTACTTGGCAAAGGAGTACTTCCAGGTCCACTCGGACATGGGAATTGGCTGCGTTTCTTGCCCGCATTTCCTGCACACGCTCCACATCAGGATTGCTTGATACAGGCCCTTCAGTTTCGGGGGATGCTTCTGAACGACAACCGTCATTTGTCCTTCGCCATGCACGTACTGACGCGAATGGTCTACCATTCGTCGGTTGCATCCATCCACTTCGCAGACGACGCCTGCTGACGTGCAGAGATCCTCGACATACTGGCCAAGTGTGCAGTCAGGGGTGAAGCCATCGTCGTAGTCGTGTTCTTGATAGAAACCAAGTGCGATGATTTCCGGTCCAATGCAGGGCGTCGAAGTGGTGGTGTTAACCACACTGTACAAGACTGCGATCCTTTGATGGTTGAATGGGTCGTACAAATCCGCGTTTCCCAATAGATACGCTTCCCACTGTCGTTTCTGTGTTTCGTAGTTGTGGAGGGCTTTGTCGTATTCAGATGCGTGCACGGCAGAGAGGAACTCACGAACCTGTTTCGAAGCTTGTTCAACAACAGTGTGAACCATCTCCGGCTGTACGAGTTCAAAATTCTGGTGAGTCGCCCTTTCCTCTTCTCCTCCTCCTCCTCCTCCTCCTTCTTCTTCTTCTTCTTCTTCTTGATCATCAGACTCAGGGGTGTACTGATTCTTGAAGTTCCGGAGGCGATCAAGCTTCCTCTCGTATTGGCGAGCCTGTTCTAGGAGGTACGGCTGCATGAACTTGACGAATGGTGACGAGGATAACACTTTTGTACGGTGGTTCTCCACCAGATCGCTGTAGTATGAGGGCGCGGCGTCTCCAGCTGATAGCTTGTCGTCAGAGTGAGTTTCCACACCAGCTGCGTTGGCTATCGCATCGTTGATATTCTCCGTATGCTCACCATCGCCGAAGGCATGAGGGTCGACGACCGACTCTGTTGGTGTGTCCACGAACTCGTCTCGCATGAGGCAGGTCTCGAGGCGGAGATTGTACACCACGTAACTCATGAACTCCGTGACACGCTTCAGTTTGACCAAGTCATGGTTCTCAGCGCCTCGTAAGATGATGGTGCATCCCAAATCTTTCTGACATCCAGACAGATAGATGTACGTCTTCTTGACGTTCTTGTGTACATATGTCCGGACGTCAAAGCTGCCACAACGTCCTAGGTGAGACGGATCTATGGCGAGCTTGTCAACAGATGAGATCATCCGCGATTGCGTACATCTGGCAACAGCGTTCAGTACAGTAGGCTTGACATTGTAGACCACGGCAATGCCCTCTTGGTCGAGCAACTCGAGGGCCAGGCCGGACACGTTACGCTGAACCAGTAGAACGTGTGGCCGAAGCGCTGCAATGCGGCTGACCAAGTTGCGCAAATACTCTCGCTCTTGAGCAATGACAGGTTCCAAGCTCATAAAGTGCGTCTGATGTCGTGCGTACTCGATCGCAAATGTAATGATGATGATCCTCGGATTCGGTATATTGCGTGGCATGCTTCGAAGGGCGACGTTCTTCGTAAACACTACTCCTGACACGTATGCTGTGTCGCGCGGTTTTCCGCCAGGGATCTTCTTCAGCTTGATGTAGTTTCGCACATCTATGTCATCGCCTCTGTCCACATCCGGGTTGACGTCATCTGTGCATTGGCGCAAGATCGGAATGAGAGCTTTCTCCCAGCTGGACACGTGCGCAACGCCTGCATCCCGCAGCATTTGCGTAAGCAGCTTGCGGGCATGATCGAGACTGGCTTTGTTGAGCTCGACTTTGGGGAATATTCCACCCTGCATCGAAGCACTGCGTGTGATCTTCGTGCCCGGTGGCGTCGGCGAGGGAGAAGGGCGAAGCTGTGGAGTCCCGGACTGCGACCCTAGTCCGCCTGCACCGAACCCTGCGGTGAAGGGTCTTAGCAAGGTGCTGCTCTTGGCTCGTCGAGGTGAGGGACGATTTGTGATGCTGCTGACACTCAAATTCCGTCTTCTCGTTGGTCGCGCGCCATGTCGACTTGCGATGCTGATGTTGTCGCTGTCTCGAGCAGGTCCGCTTTTGTCTCCCGCACGCGACTTGCCCTTCTTCAACGACGCCAGAAGACCGCCAAACCCACCTTTATCGCCCTCGAGGCCCGTGCCGGTGGAAGTGTCTGCGTTCAAGGCGGCAAAGATGCTTGGATGCTCCTCCTCGCTCGAGCCATCGTCGGACATGAAAGGCGCCAGGTCAGGGTCGATGATGTTATCGTGGTGGAAAGCAGGCAAGTTCGGCTGGCTTCGAGGGTTCTCGTGGAGATACTGGTGGAATGGCGCACGGTCGTCGTGTTTGACATGGCGCATGTGTTGGTGTTTCGAGTGATGGCGTTTGTGGCTGGAAGAGCGCGGTCGCCCACTGAGCGAGCGCAACGACCGTGATGAACTTGGTCTGGCAAGAGTCTGAGCACCAACCTCGATGACATGAGATCGGCGCTTCTTCTCGCTTCCACTCTTCCGCGACATGGGTATGCTGATGGTAGGCGTGCCGATCTTCGTGTGGTCGTGTTGCGGATGAGTGTCATCGTCATCGTCATCGTCGAAAACCTCGGCTTGGTTGCTGTGGTCATAGATGGATGCCTGGTCTCCTTCATCCGTGTAGTCGGAAGAGTCGTCGTCATGGCCGTATATGATGTTCTCGCAAGGCTTGCATACTCGGAGATTGCCCGGCTGTCCAAAAAGCTTGCCCGACACGATAGAGGTGCACTTGGAGTCGAAGATCTGCCCACACGTACGACAGTGGTGTTTTCTTCGGAAGGTCGTGAATGCATCTCCGCAGTTGAAGCAGTCCTTCGCGTTCTCGTCTCTCATCCAAAACTCCCTGTCCAATATCTTCCTGCGCATCTGCGTGAAGGCGCTTCGAGGCATGCTGTTGACTGCAGGGCTTGCATGGGCCTGACGTTGGATCTCTTTGATGGGAGGCACTGTGGGGGCGCGCATTGTGGAGGTCGTGATGACAGAGCTAATGCCATCAGAGGACGATGTCCTCGAAGTCTGGAAGCCTGGCAGGTGTGAAGGGCCAACCTTCAACAGCGGTGGGCGCTGTGGCTCGGGCGCAGCCACGGGCGGTGGAGCGCTGGCGCTGGCCTGCGGCTTCTCGGTGTCTTCAGAGCCGTTGTCAGACTGGTCTTTGGGGTTGCTCGCTGGTGGGCGAGTGCTGTCTGATCGAAGGCTGGGGCTGTCGCGGACAGCGTCTGGCGGAAACTTGAAGCCGGCCGTGTCCACGGGCTTGTCGCCATCGACAACGACCATGTCGTCCTCCGTATCGTCGCTGTCTTGGGCTCCGTACTCCCTGTTGCTTCGTTTCCGGCGCAGACCGTCATCCCGAGCGGGCGCGAATCGCGGTGAGCGAGAGCTTCCTGCGCCTGGCGCGAAGTCCTTCACCGAGCCAGTCTTGGGCAGGTCGAATGCAGATCCCTTGGGCAGGTCGAATGCGGATCCACTGTGCACGCGCGAGTGTGTGCTCACAGGGCTGTGCGCGAAGGATTCATCTTCCCTGAGTGATCTGCTAGGCTCGGTGCTTGGCGCTACCGACGGTCGGGAGCGCGTAGTCTGGAGCGAGGACTTGGAGCCGTTGAGCGAGAGCTTGCTTGTTATCGTAGCGTTCGACACCGTCGAGTCTCGAGAGGGCGGAGGAGCGACGTCTGGGAAGGCGGCGGACGAGGGCGACTGCAGCCTGGACGAGGGCACCGAGACGACGACGGGGGACGATACCGCGGTTCCGCCGGGGCTGCGTGCTCTCACGCTGGGTCTGGAGCTTGTGCGCTTCCTAGAGCCCGAGGAGAGGCTGTCGGCGCCATCGCTGCCCGCCTCCTTCGCGCCCCCGACCGACGCTCTTATGCGGCTGTAGAGGCCACTCAGGCCGCCCTGCACCAGCTCTATGCCCTTGGGTTCGCCCGCGGCTGCGGGCGCTGGCGGCGCAGTGAGGTCGTCGAAGGTGGTGAGGGAGTCGGAGTGCGATGCGGCAAGGTGCAGCTGGTGCAGCTGGTGCAGCGCGTCGTGCGGCGCGTCGTGCAGCGAGTCCCGCGAGTCTCTGGCCATGGCGGCGGCGGTGTGTGTGCAGCAAGTGCTAGAGGGACGGGGACGGGGACGGGTGCAAGGTGCGGGGCGCGGTGGAGGGCATCCGGCGGGGCTCAGTAGCAGCCAGCATCAGGCTTCACCGGCGCGCCGATGGCTGGCTGGGTCGGGTCTGGTAGTGAGGGCTGGGTCGAGTTTGGCAGGTAGTGAAGGTCGCTGTCGATATCGTCACCGGCGCGGTGAGGGGCTTAGCGAGGGAGCAGCTGGGTGCTGGCCATCTCATGAGCCTCGACACGCAGGCCAGGGCTAGGCGGTTGGGCTAGGCGACCGCTGCGGCAGATCGAATGGCGCGCCGGGCGGGTGAATGGTCCAGGCACATGATCCGTCCGCGATGACGCGCGAGCCGGGTGCATAGTGGTGGAGTCGCCAAGCTGCCTGGCCGAGTTCACTTCCGCCCCCGCGTGCCTTCAGCCTCGCCCAACGCGCAGGGAACGTCGAGCCAAGGCAGTCGGCAGGCGCGTCTCTGGGGCTCTGTCGCATGGTGTTGGAGGGGTCTGCCGCGCAGTCCATGGCCCCTGCCCGGCTCCCATGGCCCCTGCATGCCTCCCATGGCCCGCCTGCAAAGCCCCGCTCTCTTCCAGATCTTTGCGCTCCCCGCCGCCGAGCCGTGATTCTCTAAGCTAGGCGCGTCCTAGACGCGTCGATGCATGGCTCTGCGCCCAAAGCCCTGGCTCCACGATGAGGTCAAGACTCAACTCGACCTCGGACACAGCTGGTTGGAGGAGAAGAACAAGGCCAAGGCAGAGCGCGACAGACCGTCGGCCCATCTCGACGGAAAGTGGGAAGGCCTCTATCACGACAACGGCTCCTGCATCGACATCGTCGGGCCGTTCGGCTCAGACGTGCAAGTGCTCGTCCTCAGCGTGCGATTCCACTGCTCTGTCCCTGTGCATCTCTGACCCTGGTTTCGTGTAGGTCAATCCCCTGGTCGTCACAGACGGCCGCCACTACACCGAAACTTCTCTCGCCAGCGCCTGTCGCAACCATCTGCGCGCGCGATTCCCCGCCCGCCATACTGCCGTGGGCACGGTTTGGGCCGTCAAGAAGTACACCTTACGATACACCTCCTACGGCCCTCCGCGCAACAAGCTCCAATTCATACTGGACGCTGTCGACTGGGTTGGCGAGGGCCATAGAAGCAGAATTCGGGTGGACTCTGTAGTGCGTCTGAACTACTCTGACGGCATAGCCTCAACGCTGCAACAGCTTCATAATACCCGCGTGCAAGAAGACCACCGATGCTTGCGGCCACAGCCACGGGAAGAGAACCTGGACGACGGAACACGCACAATGGCAGGTGCAGATGAGCCGCGTGACGAAGATGCTTCGATGAACACCCAAATGCCATTTGGAACGCAGCTTCAGCATCCAATCAGGTCGCGGAGGAATGGGAATGATGATGATGATGGTGGTGGTGGTGGTGGTGGTGGTGGTGGTGGTGGTGGTGGTGGTGATGATGGTGATGATGACGACGTTTCGTTCGTGGGCGTCAACAGACTAGAACCCGTGCTGGCTGGCAACACACAGAGGGCAGAGCTGAAACCTCGATCAGGCAATGCATCCTCAGAGGCCCAAAAGCAAAAGCAACTTCTATCGCTCTTGGGAAGAGCCCAGCCGCCAGTGGCTCCCCAGGCTCGAGTTCGCGATCGCGCAAGCACGAGACCACAGCCAAGAAGGTCTGCAGAACATGCTGCCGCAACTTCGCCCCGACCCAGAGAAATTCAGAGCAAACGAGCAGATCGAGAGAGAACTGAGGAGCTGGTGGCGAGCTCGACTCAGGCTCCGCCAGACAAGGGCAAGAAGCGCACGCGAGAAGTCGAGAACGAATCGCCGTCATCTCACCATCCGGCGAACACCTCTTTCTCAGAGAAGGAGCCCAGGAAGAGCAACGCCAGTCAAATGGACAGATTTGCAGCCGAATGTCCATGGATGAAGGGACTCAGGTTCAATCGGGCGTCTGCAACCGTACCTGACGATCAGGCTTACATCCTCCAGAAACCTGAAAGCTGGTACAAACCGCAGGTTGGCCAGCGCTTCCCCGGTGCCAACATACCCGTTCAGACTCTCATGGTTCTCAGCAGAATGGCGGACGAGAGGGCTGCGCTTGAAGGTGCGGATAGCTCAGGCTCATTCCACGATACGGATCCATCATCTGGATCATATCCACCCAATTCTGCGCCTCAGCCGGCGGACGAGCAGGACAGCGAGTCAGAGGACGAGGCTCTTACGAGTCCAGTCTCCTGGAATACCTCGCCCACCCCTGAGCCTCCGCAACGACCTCCCTGGCGTCATCAAGGGCTTCCTCCTGATTCGAGCATCGAAGTGCCGCAGGGTGTCGCGGAGTCTGCAGTACGACGAGATCATTCGCCGCATCCCACCCTGCCTGCCTCATCACACGAGAACGAGGTAGATCTTCCGCCATCGTCGCCTCCCGCTCATCAGGCAGCCGATGATAGCGATGACGGAATGGAACTGGAAATCTCGGTCCCTCAGGCACTGGGAGAAGATTTGGAGATACAGCCAGCGTCTCGCTATGTTCACACCCACATCCCGCGTACCGAGCCACGCTCAAGATCAATCGTGCAGGTAAAGGAAACGCCTCATGTCAAAGGCAAGAACGGCCAACAACCTGTCGTTACAATCTCTCCACCAACGCAAGAGTCGAACAGGCACTTGGAGAACTCGTCATCTGCGTCCATAGTGCGAGCGACGTATCAAGACTTGAGTTCTTCGGCGGTGAAAGAGACCAGGCTGGATGCGCTTCACGAGAGCCACAGTAACAATCAGCAAGACGGTGTTGGTACCGACCTCCCTACCCAGCCAAACGCAGCTCAAGGCTCAATCCCCGACAATGACGCTCAAGATGTGTCCATGTTCGATGTGTTTGTACACGAAGAGCCTCCTCTAGACCCGACTCGACAAGATGACATGCAGAAGCAAACAAACAATCTGCAGACAGAGACCTTACAGGAAGGCGGTCCAGCGCAACCGGAACCGACACCAATGTCTGCTCAACTTCCACCTAAGGATTCAAGCTCAGGTGAACAGGCTGCACCAGCACCAAACAGAAGCGTGCCCGCAATATCGGTGCAACCAGAAAGGGAGCCATCGAGGCCGCCCTCGGCCACACCAAGTCTCACCAAACGTAAGCTCGAGACAACTTCTACCAGAGAGCGCAGGCGACCTGCGAAGCACAAGCGTCTCAAGATTGTAAGCTTCGGCGGTGGAGACTCAGAAGCTCTACGCCAGCAGCGCGCAGAGTCCTTACGAAGGTCCGAGATTGAGAGGCAAAAGTCAAGTGCAAGTGCCGAGAGCAGGCAAGGCTCGGTCAGCAATGTATCGGTACAGCAGGATGCAGCTCCAAAGATGGGAGACTTGGATGACAAAGAGCCGAGAAAGCCCCCAGTCGAACAGGCGAATGCTGCCGTGGAAGGTAACATGTCTCCTCGTCATCAGAGTCTCTACGCTTCACCCAGTCCAGTACTGCGTCCCGCAGCGGCACCTCGTACTGCTGCATCGATAACTGAAAGCATCAATCTTGATCAGCCGGAGCAGGATACGTCTGGAAAGCATACCATACCCCAGGCGGCTTCAGAGGAACTAGTCGCAGCACAACAGATGCAAACGCAGCCTCGGCCCAAAAGCCCGCCAGAACACCAGTCGGAGCCCCAGTTGGGGCCAGCGCCCGTATCTGCACCAGTGCCTGTACCAACTCGACCAAGCCCACAGGTTCCAGCACGCACAGAGCAGGCGCCACCAGCTGCACCAGTTGATGTTTCAACATCATTGACGGTTTTTGAAAGGTTCAAAGCTGCATACTCTGAGTACACAGGCACCGTCGAGCACTTCACAAACCAGTGCACGCGAACGGAAGAGCTCGATCGAGAAGACAAAATGGTACCGAAGTGGATGTGGGACGACTTCATCATCCGTAATCAGACCGACTACAGAGATTATGCATCCAAATGCATCGATTCAGGAGACGAGCCGATGCCGTACATTCGTTTCTACAAGGACAATATTCGAGACGCGATTTACAAGAACGGTGTCATCGAGTCAAGAGCTGTGCTGCTCAAGGCGCTCCAGGAGCTCGGCGTTCAGCCTCGTATGATTGTGACTCCAACGCCGCAGCCACCTGTCAAGCAAGCGGTTCGACAGCCGAGTCCCCAGTCTCCTCCACCACCCGTGCGACACTCCACACACAGTCGTCCATCTCATCAGCAGTCAGTGCAGCCACCCCCTCAGCAACCCATCCAGGCGTCACCTCGACAGTCTGCTCAACGACAGACTCAATCTCCAACGCCACCGCCAAAGAAGAAGTCATCACGGAAGTCTCTGCCCTTCACACTACCCAGCAATCCAATGTTAGACCGCGTCAACGGCACACCTCGCATTCGTCATTCGCTCCCCGCAAACTCATCTCGTGCCGCTCCATCATCCACTCCCGCTCCGACACCTTCGGCACCGCCAGCCCCTGGCGCTCGTTCGAAACGCAAGTCCAACTTGCCTGAGCTTCTCAAACAGTACAGAGCCAACGATGCGCCCCCCAAGCTGACCAGCGATCGATTCCGTGAATTTTCGAGGGCACAGCAGGTAATGACGAGCATCACTGGGAGTACCAGGGTAAGCTCGACCTCAGACCTAAGGAAGGACAAGAGGGACAAGCGCAAGAGCTAAGAAAGCATAGGTTGATTCAAGCAAACCGTGGCCGAGCAATCTTGAGGTCAGACCGTCTGTGAGGGATTTGCCGAAGAGGAAAATTGATGTTCTGAGTTGGAAAGATGAGCTATGATGGCGATTCGTCTGGAGGCCACTCCATATGTTTAGTATTGTACACTTCGAAAAGTTGGAACGCGCATTTGGGGATTTCAGAGGCGTCCATATACCCCGGGTTACGGTGCGAAGCATTGGGTACGTAGTATTGGATATTCAGTTTACAGTTCAGGTAATGGTAAGGTCTTGATGGACCTCGCATACAATTGCATCGTTCGTATTATGTTTTCTGATATCCAACTCAAATCTCGCCCATATAAACACATCCAGTGACATGCAAGGGTTCTGCCTCCAATCTCAACAGCATGGTAAACAACGTCCGTGCAGCAGCGAACTACGAGTGAGCAAACCTTAACCGCCAGCTCCGTGCCTGAACATGAACCTCACTCGAGACTGCGAACCACAGCACCCATGATATTACTCCCACGCGGCACGACAACGTCGAGTGTGTGGATAAAACAGTGAAATGCAGTTCATGGGCCTAGGGGCGTGTCTACAACGCGCTCTCACCCTATATTGATGCCGATATAAGCACCTCCGCCTCGTTTGATCTGATTGCACATCGACCATTGGTCGTAGCCTCGATCAACGGCTCACCCATCGCCCGTCGAGACGACAGACCCAAATACATGCCAGGCAAGTAAATACCTCGTCCCGTTCGCAACACACCATGACAGCGTACGCCGGCTCGCTCGCCGCAACGACGCACACGAACCCATCGAGCACACACTCAGTATCGGAAACTTGAATGTGTGCGCTTGGTAGGCTTGGCCAAATAAGCCACTGCCGATGTTTTGAGCCTCGATGAGATCCTGAGCGGTTGTGCCAGACGAGGACGTCTGTCTCGAGCAAACAGACTTCCCGGAGCGTAGGGCGGGAATGCGGATGATTGCAGTGTTGTGATTGCCTTTGATCTCCTAGACGAACAGCTTGAGAACGACATGTTAATCTCACACCTCGAATGATCATGTTACTCGTATCTCTGTATTGATATTGTGCACCCCCATCGCCTATGCAAACGGGAATGTCCCATGTCCAGCCTCGTTGTCAGCCTTGTTTGACTGTAAACTTGAACCTCGAGATACTCTGCCCATAACCTTGTCCTCGCCTGCACTCTTCTTATCATCGCCGAGCTGCTTGCTCACTCCCACCGCCGGGCTCGGCGGCGCACTGACCTCCGCCAGCGGCGCCTCCACTACGAACACCTCTCCGCCCGCTCCATCGTGGTATGCACTGTGTCGGATTGATGAGTTCAAGTGTTGACTTGCGCTGGACTGTCTCTGTCTTCGTTTCGGCAGCGATGGAGGGTGCTGGCTCGTTGTGCTCCCCGTAGAGGATTTTCGGCGCGGTGCGGCCCTATCCTGCTGCGCGCTTGCGGACGCTGAATGAGATTCATGGTCATCATGCTGTTGCAGCTGGTGCAGACTATCATTTGAAGACGACTTCGATGAGCCCGGGCGTTCAGTAGCTGTCTTCTCTGGCGCTGCTGTGCTGGTAGCAGGCCCGCTACTAATAGGCTTCCGCTTTGCCAAATTTGCTAACGCTGATGCTGCTTGTATCGGGACACCCCATGTCTTCTGTTTTCCAGGTGGTAGAGGCAGAGGCGTTCCGGGAGGTGGCAAGGGCTGGCCGCGGCCCATGGGCTCTGTGTGAGATTTCGTGACAGGCTGCGGTGATGGAGCTTCGGCGGGTGCGTCACCATCGTGGAACTGTCCATTGCGGATATGTACGCCGATTGGCAAGTGGGTGCTGTCTACACTACTCTTCTTGCGGTGAGGCTGCCCAGGAGTCTGCTTTGCAGCAAGCCAGTTCCGAGCAGCGCCAGCGGCGGCATTGAAAGACTGGTTGAGAGTCTGCTTCTTTGTCGTGGTTGTGTGAGCACTGTGTGCTGCTGCTGCGGCGGCGGCGATTTGCTCCGGAGTCAAATCCTCCTTCGATTTTGATCGGGCGTGAATGGGCTCAGTCGGCAGATTTGGTGTCAAGTGCGAGGATTCTGACCAGAGCGTTGGTACTGCAACTTCTTTTGTGGCTTTATCGGGAGGTGTTGACGCAAAATCCGAGGTGTTGGATCGCAGTGGAGAGCCCAGGGGTGTGATGTGTGGTGTCGATTTGGAGCTTGGCTCGAGAGTTTCGGTAGATGCGTTGTTCGATGGTAGTTTTACCGAGGGGGTAGATCGTAATGAGCGTGCCTTCGTAGGCGTTGGCCTCCAGTCGGTTGCAGAAGTAACCCCCAGCCCGATCTCTTCTGAGTCGATGCTCGAAGGTACAGACAGGTGAGAGTGTATCGAGTCGGTATCGAGCTGCTCGATCTCTACAGACGCAGAGTCCAGACCGGAACTATCCTCAACTTTCACATCGAGCTCTTCCTTGCCCTTCCCTGCGCCCTCCCATATTCCACCTCTGATGGTCTGCGCAATCGTGTCCATGAAAGGCATATCATCCCAGTTTGGTGATACCAGTGTTTCGATCAATACCTCCTTGATACGGCTCTCGATAGCTCTGAGTATGGGGCCATATGTGATCTGTCGTGAGCTGACAATTGGTTCCACTGACAGCTCCACACGTGGTGGTGTTTCAAAGGTCATCCACAGGCGATTGCTTGGGGGAGGTTTGATCCGGAGAAGTAGGTGTCCATCCAATCGCTTCAGGTAACACCCCAGGACTAGCGTAACCTCACGAGCCTTGAACCGCTGGCCTAGATCAATCCTAGCAGTGGCTTGGATCTCGATTCGAAAATTCCCTTTGTAGCTTACGTCGGCTTCAACAACGAGATCGCCGTCGACGGTGAGCTCCTTCAGCTTGGGATTCGTGACGAAAGGCGGTAGGGTACCCATGTCAATCTTGCGTAGCTGGACATTGCTGATTAAAGCAGGCTTCGGTACACGTGCGATCTTCTTCGTGATTTTCGTCGCTATGAAGTTCTTGATCTCAGGTGTCTTGTAGAGTGCAAGGAAGACTCGACCAATAAGCGCATTTATCCACCGTGTATGTAGGTTTTCTTCGTTTGCGTGTAGTTGCTGCACAAGCTTGACAAGGTCTGGCGTGTCGAACTTGAGTGGGACCGGAGATGGGTGGCGAGCTGTGTGGTCCTGATGATGTTCCTGAGCTTGGAGCATTGCGTGGTAGAAGTCTTCCTTCTCCGAGCAATTGTCAGAGAACAGGTAGAAGGCCTTCGCTTCGGCGCCAGGGTCGCTCTCGAGCTTCTGATTCAGACGAATACCTGCAAGCGTAAGTTGGATGGTGCCATTCGGATAGGCAAAGGTTACGTACAATTACGCTTGATCCATAGCTCCCCCTCTGGTATCCGTTCGCCTCCAGCGTATATATCCACTTCGTAGCGTGCGAGCGAAATCACGTGGCGCACATCGAGCTGATCTTCGTTATCGTACAGCATGAGATGTCCGAGTCTGGTACGCGGTCAGCCTCTACGTCAGCCATGCCACTGCATAGGGCAGCCTACCTCAAGACGACATAGAAGACGTTCCGGGCCTTCTTCGTCTTCGTATTTGGTGCGTCCAGCGACGGGCTCATTGTCTTGTTCCTGTTGAAGATGTTGCTGTACATCGACTGGTATATGCTAGGACTCTCCATGGCCACCACAGCACCAGCAGGAGTTGTGCGCTCTGGGGGTTTGCCATTCACGCCGCCAGGCACATACTCGCGGCAGACCGCGAAGTAGCCAGCGAACACATCTGCCTCATGGGTCCTGCCCTTCAAGCCTTCGAGTATGTGTTCATCCAAGCCTACCCCAAGATTCTTGAGGTATTCATCCTTTCCCTCTTGGACAGATCGATTCGACTTCCTGCGCCGTTCCTGATCTGCGAGGTCGTTTGGGGGTTCTTCCAGGGGCTTCGTGTCGGTCTGGGCTGTAATCCAGTACCAAGCAAAGACAGCGACAGCCGGCAGCAGTGTCAGTCCTCCTATCAGATACCCCCATATGAACGTCTGCAACAACGTCCCATACCCCCAGGATCCAGCCCCACTCATCTTGCCTGTTGTCTTACGTTCTTTGTCCGCTCATCATTTGTGTGTATCGCGTTTCAAGGGCTCGACTCTATACTGTAGATTGTGGACTGTGGACTGTAGTACTCTGCTCAGAGTGGATGGGACGAGAGCTTCAGGGTTCGATCACGCGGATGGGCTTGATACGGTTCGAATACGGTCGTAGCGGGCGACGCTAGTGAAGAGATGCAGGTCCTGACGGGCATTGAGCGGATCAAAGGTAGTCTGGGCACGGCATGGGTATTATTGCTTTGAGTAAAACGACAGCAACACGATTCTTAGGTTTGTTGCGGTGAGGAATGTGAGCAGTCGCGTTGGAGCTGCGGGGCGGACATCGGAGCTTCCACGTGTGGAGACGCATGCGTGGATCAAGGATCACTAGCGTGAGGTGACCTCATCTTCGAGATCCACCACCGAAGCTTGATTTAACATTCGCAGATTGTGACCATTGAGGTTCCGTGTTGTTACATTGTCGCGCGCAGCGACGTATATTGCACGTCTAGAAGACGAAGGTTCTCGCATACTTGCGATCTATCTCTGCGTACTCATCTCTGAGCATCTTGCTTCTGAGCTTGTTCAGCCTCATCACTACGCCTTCTTCCTCGCCCTCAAAGTTCTCAACGTCCTTCTCGAGCTTCTGAGTGCCACGAATCTTCCAGATCAGCCCTGTCAGACCACCGCTAGTCGCGGAATCTTGCTTGTCTCGAGCTTCAGCTGCAAGATATGTCATGATCTTGCCCCATGATTCGAGGCCAACCTCTTCGCACTTTTCGCATTTCTTGCGAAGCTCGTCATCAGCGCTGATCGGATCCAGGCTTTGCGCGATCTTCGAAGTGGAGACGCCGTCGCGCACCCAGGACAATCCTTGCTGGCGCTGCTCAGAAGAAGAGCCAGCAGTAGCAAAGAGGATCTCCCCAATGTAGTTCTTCAATGCAGCCTCCTCACAACGATCTTTCTCACCGCGAAGAAGAGGCTCATCTCCAGATGGTGGTACTGGAGGGTAGTCTGGCTCTTTCAGCAAGCTCAGTATTGTGCCCATCAAACTCGAATCCTGTGCATTGCTGTTCGACAAAGGTGGTGCGTCGTCCGCAGAGAGACGTGCGCGAAGAAGTGAGACGAGGATAGGCAAGGATGCGGCCATTCTTCCTTGTTCTGCAAAGAAAGTGGCTAAGTTCGTAGCGGCGTAGACGATGTTAGGTGTGATGAGTTCCTTCGGGGCGGCCGCAGACAGCACGGCAGACTGGCGATCAATGACCGTCGAGGGGTCAGCGGTCGGCAGGCCTGCAATGGCGATGTCGAGCGCCCAGCGATACATCTCCTCAGCGGAATCGGGTAGCTTCTTGAAGCTAAGCCAATCAGCGTAGCCAAGCGCTGCTGTGACACGTTGGTGTGTGGTGAATCCCTTCGTTGTGATGATCTTCAGGTAAAAAGTCTCTGGAGTATCGCTGGCAGGTACACGGTTGTCCTCATCCGGCACTTCTGGCATGCCTGGCAGCACGGCTTTCGGTCGCGGGTTCGATTTCGACTCGACGAACTCGGGTGCCCATACGTTTCTTCTCCATTTGTCTGTGACCCATCCCTCCAAACGCTCCGCTGCTGCAGCCATGCCAATCAGCACTTCATAGTAGCCCTGCCTCCATTCCTCGCTCTTTGCAGTAATGTCCAATCCTGCCTTGCCAACGCCAGGGACCAGGATTCCTCCTTCTTCTTGTTCAGCCAGGCCTGCTCCATCTGTATTCGGGTCCTCTAATCGACTGAGCGCATGGTCAAGCTCATCGTAGACCCGCGCCCAATTAGGAAAACCTTCCTCTTCATTGTTCTCAGGCACCTGCCACCACTTTCCTCTCCTGAAACGGAACCTCGTAATCAGACTCCATTCATGTGGCGACGGGAAGGCGCGCTCCTGCTGCTCGCTCAGAATGCCCATTCCAGCGATACTGACGCATGACGAAACCAAGAATATGAGGATCGAATATCGCACACTCAATTTCGCTGTCTCCTTGATGAACTTCTTATGGTTTGCGCTTATCGAGAACAATCGAGCGATCTGGCCGCTAGAAAGGTGTTGGCCTGAGGGGTAGAGGAAGGGGAGCTGCGGCCGCGATAAGCCTGGGTGGGCTACGAGGAATTGGCGCGGGTGCTTGTACGAGAACTGGCGAGGACATGTGATTTCGGTCGATCGTGCATTGGATGACCGCAGTGCCTGCTGAGGCAGCTGCGTTCGACGAACCGGAGGCGGCATTGTTTCTTCGCTGCGACGCGAGTGGTGAATCTTGCGGAGAAGGTGAGCTTTCGGAGGTGCCACTAACGCGCCGCTACCGCCTACTGGTGACGGTTAGCGCCCGGCAGAAAAGTTGGGATTTCGCGTTTCCATGTTCGCGCCCGACTCTCCACAGTCAGTACAACACCATTTTTACGAGCCCATTATGTCTAAGTCCGAGCTTCAAGAAGAGAAGAAGAGCCGCAAGAGGCAGGCGGAAGAGACCGCAGAGGCGCCAGTAAAGTCCAAGAAATCCAAGAAATCCAAGGACGTCGAAGCCGCCGATGCGCCCGTAGAAGAGGTGAAAAAAGAGAAGAAGGATAAGAAGGATAAGAAGTCAAAAGACTCGAAAAAGTCCAAGAAGTCCAAGGACGTCGCAGAGGATGTTACAGAGGGGGCTGCTGTGGAAGCTGCGCCTGCTGAGGAGAAATCTGAGAAGAAGTCCAAAAAGTCGAAGAAGTCGAAGAAGCCCGAGGACAGCGCCGAACCTACTAAAGTCGATGGAGATGTCGCTATGACCGATGCGACCGCCGCGGTCGACGACTCAGCCTCGAAAGACGAAAAGAAAAAGTCTAAGAAGGATAAAAAAGACAAAAAGGAGAAAAAGTCTAAAAAGTCCAAGACTGAGGCTGAGAGCGTGCCCATAGAGGAGGCTGCTACAACGAATGGCGCAACTGAGGACGTCGCTATGGAGGACGGCGCCGATGCAGAAGTGAAGAGCGAGAAGAAGTCCAAGAAGGAAAAGAAGGATAAATCTGACAAGAAAGAAAAGAAGGAGAAGAAAGAGAAGAAAGAGAAGAAGTCTAAGAAGGCAGCGGAACCTGATGCCAATGGCAGTGCTACAGCGACAGAAGAGCCTGCTGCTGAGACCAATGGCAATGCCGCGACAGAGGAGGCTGACGCCGGTGCTGAGGACGAGACTGAAGAGGCAGCGGGCAAGAAGGGCCGCTTCATTGTCTTCGTCGGTATGTTTAATGCATCTATCCAATGTCAATTTCCGGCTAATCATATCAGGCAACCTTCCCTACACAGCTACCAAGGAGCAGATCGAGGAGCACTTCGCCAAAATCAAGCCAACCGAGATCCGTCTGCGCACATACAAGGGCACAAACAAATTCATGGGCACCTGCTTCGTCGAGTTCGACCGTTTCGACCGCATGGAGACAGCTCTGAAGAAGTACCACCACTCCGTCTTCCCTGACGGCAAGAAGAAGGAAGGCCGTAAGATCAACGTCGAGTTGAGGTGAGCAAGACCACATCCCCAAGCTCCTTCCCAGGGGTCAATACATCTCTATCTCGGCTAACAATATCCCAGTGCTGGCGGCGGCGGTAACAGCGAAGCAAGACGCGAGAAGATTACAGCCAAGAACAACAAGCTGCACGACGAGCGTGCAAACGACCGCGAGAAGCGCGCTGAGCTCGAGATGAAGCAGGCCGACCGCGCAGCTAAGAAGGGCAAGAAGGACGCGAATGGCGAGGAGGAGGCTGCTGCTGAGCCTGACAACGGCGGTATCCATCCCGCTCGTCTTGCCATGATGGCTGGGAACGACCGCCCATCGCGTCCGTCGTACCCTACGCACAGGCAGCGATACTAGATCTTTTTATGAGAAGGATTGAGGACTCGAATACGCGAACCCCCATCTCGCTATAACTGCTTGGGTTGAGCACACGACGAGCTCTGCATTGCATGCCTATCTGGATAGAACGGAGCGTTTCCTTGTTGTTTGTTAGGACTTATGGCCTTAGAATACCATAGCATAGTACTAGACCTCAGCCAATGCTGCTATGACATCACGCATCACAAAGTTGACCATCTCGGCTCTTCGAAGCGACTTTAGGAACTGACCAATTAGACTTGCGTATAGTGAGCCCCACGCATTCTTAGTCACCATTACATCTTCAGCGATCCTGGAGTTCCGCCCTTACAACAACAAATACATCGTAGATTCAACAGCGGTAAGTAAGTGTCGCTCATGCGTGTAGTGTATCTTGTCTCTTAGTCGTTCTTACATACCATTCTCTTTGCGTTTCTGGACCAATATATGGTCTTGGGACGTATTCATCATCCTGTTCTCTCTTATCAAGCTGTTTTCCGAGCGCTCGGCATGTGACCTCTACACCACTATCCAAAAGTTTCAACATATCAAAAGAGTAAAGGAACAGTAGTGGAACACTATCACCACACGAGCCTATACTGACGAAGACAAGGTCACTTCTCCCCAGCATATTTTCAACACCATCCTATCGACTACACTTCACATCATCGTTGCCAGTGCATAATAAAACCCAAGCCTATCCCAGTCTACAACCCAATATGGCATCAGGCCCCTCAACAACAGAAGGCTCAACCTTCACCCCCGACATCCCCTCTGAAGCCGTCGTCAAAGCCACAGACGACATCTACATCGAATTGACGCCCCACGACCTCGACTCGCGTGCCCTAACAACCTTCGTCCGCTCTCCCAACGCGGGCGCAACCGTCCTCTTCATCGGCACAACGCGCGACTCCTTCAACAACCTACCCGTCTCCGGCCTAGCATACACATCCTACACACCCCTAGCCAAAAACACGTTGTTCAAGATCGCAACCACGATCCTGGAGAAACACAAGTGCACCAAGATCGCTATCAGTCACAAGCTGGGCGAGTGTCCGATCGGCGAGGAGAGCATTGTGATCGCGGTGAGCGCGCCGCACAGAAAGGCGGCATGGTTGGCGGGCGAAGAGGCGTTAGAGATGACCAAGGACAGGGCTGAGATTTGGAAGTTGGAGAGATTTGAGGGGGGGGAGGGGGTGTGGAGGGCGAATAGGGATGGAGTTATGGGGAACAAGGTACCGAAGGAGGAAGAGAAGGGGTTGCCGAAAGTGTAGAAGGACCTGGAGTCGTGGAATGGAGCTAGGGGAACCGGACTGTGGCAGATGAATTAGGCAAACAGTACTTGGGCGGGTGCGGGGGAGGTTAGTGAGGTAGAGGGCCTCAAAATGATGGGGTGCATGATGTTGATGTTGAGGCAGGCGGAGAGAAGGACAGTAAGGCTGGCAGAATGGTAACTCTAGATCTGGCACTGCCAAGCAGATCGCGTTGGTTTAGAGGATGTGCTAGTTTGGACAATGCCTTTGTCTGGAAAGAGCTGAAGTTGCTTAGCAATTGAGGCTTTCGAAGATCGCACGGGTTTGGCGAGGGATGGCTGAAGAAGCATTACGGGAGGATAGATCCACGGAGCGGGAGCTATACTAGTGACTACAAAACGATGTCAACTTCCAACCGATCAGCAGCTGAAAAGACATATTACACGGATGCACATCGATCGATGACGGGAATTAAGCGAGATGTGGCTGCGAAGCAGATCCTCGCAAGTCATGTCGAGTTTCCGTTGGCTCATCCATTATGCAATGACATGGTTCGAGCTGAAACGACTGCATCGCAGGAAATAGTATGTAATGCGGAACATGCTATTCACGAATAGATTCAAGGTGTGGCAAACAGTGCTGATGCGGCCTCGACGGCTCCTCAGCCAGCGAGATTCCATAAGTCAATGGCTACAGAACAGCCTTCTGAAAGACACATGGTGTATGTTGTATACAAATGGTCGAGCCTGACTCCTCAGGGTGAGCCTCCGGGTAACGTTTAGGACTTGTAAAGTACCTTATCTTGTACAGTAGTACTTCAGTCACGCCGAAGTCATGTGTAGATTGACTTTGGATCGCATTGTCAAGATACAAACATCGTGGTCGAAACAAGCACTGGTCGAGGCATCAGGGTTCAGCACCATGTTGCTGTCACTCGCCATCGGAAAGTTTGAGGCCCACGCTGACGTGACAATGGAAGGCTGAGGACTTTGTTGTTGGTACCGGAAATGGTTGAAAAGTGTTGGTTACACCACTTCATGCTGTGGGGTAACACGCCGGCAGGTGAATAAGCTCGACGCCTGGGTCTAGTAAGGGCGAATACTGGCTTGAAAGTCTCGCCAAGGGTTGCGCTTGTGTATGTTCCGGCTCCGAGAAGGGCAATTCCGTTGCTTTATTAAGATCCGTGGACAGAACTTACACACATACATGTCAAGTGTCGTACAGTGTTCGGACTTTGTAAATTGCCGGCGCACGTGGTAGTCACATCCAAGTCCATCTTCCGACCTGCAAAATGTCAATTAATCTTGAGAGGTTGTGGTCTTAACAATGCTGATCCTTTGACACCAGGAGTGCCAAGATGCTGCGCTTGATTTGATATGCTTAGATGCAGCCATCGAGTCTCGCTGGAGACTGGCATGCTCGCGCGAGACGCTTCCCAGCAGTGGATCGACCTGCCCGCTCGGTACGCAGCTCAGCCGGGGCTGACTTGTACACTATTCTTACATTCTTAGTCTTACACTACGGCTTGTAGTCACTGAGGCTTTGCGTCGTTGCCGTCCCCGTCTTCCTCCACTATTCTTGTCTCCCCCGCTCTGAGCAGGGTCTCGCCAAGGCCATTCGGCACGTCATCTTCTGATCGGTATATCGAGTCGTAGTTCAACCGCCTTCGCAGAATGGACCGTGCTTCTTTTAGGTTCGCGATGTCTAACGTCCACATGGTTCCGCCTATAGCCATGAGGCCAACACTGAAGCAGTTCATTGTGGCCATGTTTAGTGCTTGCAGGGCATCAGACATGGGACTGAAGAACTCGTGCGGATTCGTATTCGGTGCGTAGAACGATGGCTGGGCGCGAAGCTGCCGCCGCCAGACGGCCTTGCGTGTTATCGCCGTCGATGCTACAAGGCATGCAGAGCCAAGCAAGAAGACTGACAGTTGGCGCAATGAGCGTGGTGATGTGACAGGCGTGCGTTCAAAGGTGGCCTCAGGTGGTGACTGCAGCCGCGGGCTGTTTTGCGGTGGGCTGCTCTGCGGGCTGTTCTGCGGCGGCGAGTTGTTGACCGGCGGAGGGGAAGACCGTGTCATCATGCGAATGATTGGAAGTTTCTGTATGGCTTCCATGAGCCCGTGTAGTGATTATGCAGGTAATCCGGGGTAGTTCTGTTAGAAAGTTGCGGGATCAGCTTCCCCTGCTGCAGGTCGTGCGGACCCCCGAGATGATATGCGACGGCGGTCAGGCCGTTCTACCGGTCGCCAGACGTCGCACAAATATTTCGGGATATGATGAGTCGTATGATGATTACAACAAGACGATAAACGGTGGTTCTTGGAGGGCAATGGCGTGTTGTGAGAGGCTGTTGTTTTCGTTCACGAAAAAAGTTGAAGGTGCTACTCAATTGACCGCGGTTCTGCCAGGGATGGCTGCCCTTTGTCGTGACTGCAGATGAACAACAACTCCAACAACATCGCCAAGATCTTCAATGTACTGCAGCTACATGCCGCCACTGCTCGCAACCACTGCTTCAAACCGATGGGTACTTTTGACTAAGCTGTCTGCACGCAGCTCGGACTACTGCGTCATATTTGGACAGACTCGATGATTCCGAACGTTGCTCAAGGACACAGCATCTGACTGTACACAAGCAACGTGCAGGACCCTCATCCCGGGCCCCATAGGGCACCATCAATGTGCTCCCTAGTGTTCGCTCTCGCAGGATCGCTCTTCTCTTTGTCTCGAGGTCCCAAATCTGCTCGGCGACCCCGTCTGCTAGCGATTCCTTCTGCAGCAACTACTAAATCAGTGGCAGGCTGTGCTTTACGTTTGCCAAATATGCTGGCTGCGATGGCGGTAGCTTCAAGGCTACTGTAAGCTTCTCAATAGTGTGTGATACCAATGATCTGAAGAGGCCAAGGATATTCCTAGAGCGCAGTGTGTGTGCATGCTCGTGCCTGGGCTACTTCAGCCCTGTTCGTAGTCGCGAGCAACACCATATCTATCCTGGCTGTCCCTTTTTGCCAATCGGAATAGGCAATGGCTCCTAGTTGCATCCAATGTCACCAATTGAACTTTGTCTTACCATGACCGCACGCTCACAGACGCAGGACCGCGAGAATAGCTTCACCATCGCGCATGTACGCGAGCCTCCGACCAGGTACAACTCACCATGCGGTACGATCTTTGGTGAGAGGGAACCTGACTATTGGTTTCGGCTGATAGTGTTGCGCAAGGCATTGACTATGTGGCATCCTCGATTCGAGTCGATCATCACGAAGCATGAAATCTCGAAGAAAACAATGCACATGGGGTGAGAGTGTTGTATAAAGTCAGTCATACCTCCACTCGAAGGGAACCACCAGCATCAGCAGATCTTCAGCGCCAACAAACATTCTCATTGCACTTCATTCGTTGACCTTTCCTCACTTTCCACAACAACATTCAATATGCTCTTCCAAAACACCATCTTCGCTATTCTGGCTTCGGCCTCCTTCGTTGTCGGTGTAGCCTTCCCCAACAACGACAAGCAAACAACCACATGCTCTGCTGGTAAGACTGGTGATTCATAGATCCATCACTGGACTGATTACTGACCATTTCACAGTCTACTCAACCAAGACCAAGACATATGAGACGAAGAGCACCTACTACGAGACCAAGACTGACACCAAGCCCTATCCCGCCACCAGCACGAAGCTCACTACCTCTACCTCGACGTATCCCTACACCACTACTGTCTACAAGCCGACGGCAAGTTCCATCATCCAAACTCTCAGCATATGTATTGACAGTCTCAGACCAAAACATACTACGAGACCAAGACCTACACTGACAAGGTTCCCGTCACCACTTACACTTACAAGACCAAGTACGAGACCAAGACCAGCACAAAGGTTGAGACGGACAAGAGCACGTAAGTCCACCCTCGCTCAATCTGACCCTCCAACCATTTTCTTCGACTCGCAATGTAGTCAATCTTCGAGTAAATGCTGACTTCGACCAAAAGCTCCACCGGCTACTCCTACAAGCCCGTCACAGGCACCGTCTATGTCACTTACACCTCCTACAAGACCACGTATGAGACCAAGACCAAGGAAACCAATGTCCCAACCACGAAGTATGAGACCGAGACTAAGACTGTCTGCACGACCAAGAAGGGCGGCTACTAAGCGACTCGCAATCATGCGAAGCGAACAGATTGTTGCTTTGATGTCCTGCAGTGACAAATAGCATGCTGAAGCGTGGGGTTCAGGGTTTTGGCCAACTGGGATCACTCCTTATGACTGGATGAGTAACGATGCGATGAGATTTGCACAGCCACTCTTTAGCAATGAGACTTTATTATGCCTGATATATCCATCTTCCAGCCAGCCAAGTGTAAACCTCACACCTGAACGTCTTTTCCCTAGATACGCTCACTGCGTAGGTGCACTCGACCCCGCTACATTGTGCACATTGCGTACCATCTGTTGAAGCATCGCGTTCTCATACACGGATGCAGCCCTAGGTGACCATCGTGGCAGTCCTTCGTTCAAGTGCTTCCACTCCAAGTAACCCGGGCCACCTTCTTCCAGTCTTGGTGGGGCGACCTCACTCTACGGCTGTGTTCTTTGGCTGTACGTTCGATGCCATTGTAGCGATGTGTGGCTATGTGCAGTGTAGTGAGGGTGATGTATGCGTGTATTGTCTGAAGCGACGGCGGTTGGTCCAGACTTGTATCTTGTGCAGGCAAGGAATCGGACGGGCTCAGTTCGTCCTTGCTGCCGCTGCCACTTGTCAACTTTCTTCCTTCCCATCCCCACGCAACTGCTGCACGATAAAACCCATATTGTCAGGTGCATTGCTGCAAAATCCATCCACACGGTCGCGACCTCCCCATCCACCTCAAGCTCTTTCGCAGTCTGCATCAGCTGGAGGCGACGATACCTCCGCGCTGCACTTCAAGGTCCAGACCAAGAGTCGTCTAACATTGGGTATCATTCTGCAATTCATAGCCTTGTTGTCCTCTCTACATGTTTTGCACTGCACTCATCCCATCTTGACGTTCGAAAAGTCCATCTCGGGGTGCTGCGACTTGAACTGCTCCAGGATGTCCAGCTTCTTCTGCTCGTCGCTTGTCGGCTTGCCCATCTCCTTCTGCCTCTGGTCAAACATCATCTTCTCTACCATGCCCCGTGTCTCGCCGTCCAGGTCGCCAAGCTTGCTGTTCTCGGGCTGGATCTTGCTGGTATCGATCTTTGGGGCTGAAGTGATGACATGCGCCCACCACTCCATCTGGTTGACCTTATCAAGGTGGATCTCGATATCCTTGCCTGTGGCTGAGGTGCTCAGGGTCCAGGTAGAATCGTCGACACGGATGGGGTGGGGGAGCTCGCCCTGGTACATATCAGAAGGACCCTGGACAGATTATATAGGGAACGCACGTCGATGATGGGCTCCTGGCCCTTGATGCCGACCTTGAGCGCGTTCCTGGCGATCTTGATATCCAGATCCTTGCCCTTGTACTTTGACTCGATCGAAACGGTAATGTCGAGGTCCTTGATCGTCTGGTCCCACTTGTAGGGCAGAGCGGCCTGCTCGGCCTGCTCCGTAGCCTTTGCCTCGGCATCGAGCTTCTTCTGCTCCTCGGGTGAAGGGTCGCTTGGCATGTTGTGCGGTTGGTGCGGTGTTTTGATTTGTTTGGTGGGGAAGGTGTTTGGCAGTTGATCCCCTCCAAACATTTGGCGGCGGCGCTCGGCAGGTGCAGCGTCATCGCCTAGCTGGCAGCTCGTTGTAGTGGGTCCATCCTCATTATACGTACAAGCACCCCGGCTACACTAACCACGTATCTGTGCTGCCGCTGCCCGAAAGCCGTATCCCTTTGCCCATTGATAAACACGACCCTGGTATTCTTTCTACATAGCTGCGCCAGCATGTCGCGATAGAAACAGCGGAGCCACCGCCGCAACAACCCCTACCGCTCGCGACCCAACAAACATCGACACAACTGCGGACCCCCGGTACACCCCGGCTGTAGCATCTTCCAGGCCTCATGGCAAGCTCCTTCGAGAAGAGTGTGAAGGGCGGGACGAAGATAAAGGTACCGTTCGGTCCTCTGAGCGCTGGAGCTGCTATCCGGGCTCATCTATCAATTGCGACACGCTAAAGCGTACACACAGCTTGCGGCCCCAAAGTCGAAGTATGTCGAACATATTCTCGTCGCGACACATGCAGGCGAAGCAGGCGTTGCTGAGATCTTCCGCGCCCTTACGAACCGGTTGCGCGATTCGACATGGACGATCGTATTCAAGAGCTTGATCATCGTGCATCTTATGATACGAGAGGGCGAACCTGAGGTCACCTTGAAATACCTGGCGCAGAATCCGCAGAGGAAGCTCGCTATCAATTCTTTCACAGAGGGTACGTGCTTCAGATTGGACTGGAGAGGAGAATGGCAGCATGGCCTATAGCTCGAAACGTCACACCTCCGCAAATCGATGAGCCATGCCGGTTGAAGGGCGAATGGTTTGCTCAGCAAGCTTGTGCTGACGTATGTGTAACAGTGCAGACTCAGGGTCACAACATCAGAACATACACCGAGTATCTACTCCGTCGAGCAATTGAGTATGGCGTAACGAAAGTCGACTACGTACGTGGCGGCGAAGGCCGTCTCAAGCGGTTGACGGTCGAGAAAGGCTTACTTCGAGAGGCAGAGAGTGTTCAGGAGCAGATCAGATACCTGCTGAAGTGCCAGGTACGCTAGATTGTGGTTGCGTGAGAACTCGGTACTGACGAGCTGGTAGCCGTTCGACGATGAGCCGGAGAACGAGATCACGTTGACTGCATTCCGACTGCTTACCATGGATTTGTTGGTGCTGTTCCATGTCATGAACGAGGGTACGATCAACGTTCTAGGTAAGATGACCACCAATGCAGCTGCTCTGTGACCGTGCTAATCAAGCAGAACATTACTTCGAGATGTCGAAACCTGATGCAACACGCGCCCTGGCTATTTATCGAACCTTCGCAAGACAGACTGAAGCAGTCGTTCAATACCTCAGCTTGGCTCGCTCGCATGAACATTCAACGAGACTAGAGATACCCAAGATCAAGCATGCCCCGACAAGTCTAGCGGCGTCCTTGGAGGAGTACTTGCACGACAAAGATTTTGAGATAAATCGTCGCCAGTACATCGCAGAGAAAGAGGCCAAGAAGAATGGAGGGAAATCCACGAACGGAGCGAGCAATGGAGCCAGCAAAGCATCAGAACCACGACCAACACCATCAAGCCAGCCAGCTAGCCAGCCCAGCACTCAATCACAGACAGCACCAAAGGTCAACACCAACGCACCTCTCATTGACTTATTTGCCTCTTTGGAAGATAATCAGCAAACCATGGCTACGCAAGCCCCCATGCAACAGCAATACCCGCAACAGACAGGGTTTGACCAAGCGTTCCAGCAGCAAAGCTTCCAGCAGCCAGCCTTCCAGGTGCCTCAACAGACCGCGAATGATGTGGCTTTCGGCCAACAGCAGCAGCCCTTCATGCCACAAAACACACAAAGTACCAATCCTTTCCAAATGCAGCAACAGCAGCAACCGCAGCAACAACAAATACAGCCGCAATTTACGGGTGCAGGTTTTGGAGGGTACACGCCTCAACCATTCAGCCCTCAAAACAGTCTTGCACCAATACCCCAGAATGGCGTGCCAGACTTTTCTCAGCAACAGCAAATGCAGCTTCCCATTATTGCTGAGCCAATACAACAACAACAACAGCCAACATCCACCAATCCTTTCCGTCAGTCTATGTTACCAAGTATGACAGGCGCGGCTGAGCCAAAGCTACTCAACAATCCCACCGGTGCAAGCTCACTGGGTCGCTCTGCAACAAACCCATTCGCGAAACAGACTACTGGCTTTCAACAGCAATCGCCCCCACCTATGGGCTCGTCGCCGTTCGGTGCCCAGTCGTTCCAGCCATCGCCCTTCGCACCACAACAGGCACAAGCACTCCAACCTACGCCTACAGGCACAAACCCTTTTGCCAGGAACGCATCTCCACAAAATGCCACATCTCCGCCAGGTGGTCTCTCAGTACACGCAACTGGAAGCACGAATCCTTTTAGGCAAAGCGCATTCGTCAACCAGCAGCACGGCTGGCAAAACACTGGCAGCGGCACAATTGGCGGCATGAATATGGATCAAGTGCCTACACAGAGCGTGTTCCCACGACCTGGGCAACAACAGCAACAACAGAATTTTCTTGGCTAGTCACCGAACAAGGTCTGGTGGTGGGGTGAGGGCGATGTAGTCGTTCTGCACAGGGGAAGTAATGCGGTCATGTGATTGAGATCACTCTGGCTACGGGTATTGCCATGCTATGGCAGGTATGGCGTTGGGCTTGGTCACTTTTCGTAGTTGCCTGCTTTTGTTACTGGAAGATACACCTGCATGGAGCCGCAATAGCGTGCGGCACACCAGGCAAGAGAAGGACTCAAGAGCTCTTGTGGGTAGACGAGCTAAGGACACTGGGAGGGCCCCTTTGTAAGTTTAGTTGATTATGCAGCCACAAGCCGGTAAAGGGCATGCACCGGTGAATATAGGTATTGATACTGCGGCACCTCATCCAGTCACCAACGCTCAGAGGTGACTGACAAACCATGCGGCTCTGCGCGGCCATTTAGGCGACGGCGACCGGACGAACACCAAGATCATCAGGCACCACACTGCACACGCGTTCTTTGCCCCAAACGACCGTTTTGGACACCACAGTTCGCACCTAGCACCTTCAAACTCAGACGGCCCCCAACCCTCCCAAATTCACTGCCACCCATGGCAACAAGTCACGCACTCGTGCAAACAGTCCTCAGCACACCGAACGCCATTTCCAAACCACACGTCATCGTGACCAGTGTTTGGAAGGTTGGTCAGGCACCCAACCTGTTCGCATGGGCGGGTGAAGATGTTCATGTGCTCTGACCAACACGCGCATATGAGCCAATCAGAACGCGACAAAAGAGCCTCAGCCACTCGCTGAGCCACTGCGGCGCAAAGGCGGTGCTAAAATGTGGGTGTAGGGATGATGCGTGAACGCATGGCTAGGCAAGTAAGACATGGAGGAATATGGATATACAAGGTGAATGAATGACTCTGAGAGTTTGCTTGTTACTTTGTCCTTCAACGCAGCAGAGAGTATAAGTAACACCATTTCATACTTGATCTCACATCACACTACGCTGCGCAACAACACTTCTTTCAAACTTCCATCAAGCTTACAACCATATTGAATACATCTTACGGCATCTCACTGGCGCCGCAAGCCATCCACAATGTCAGCCTTCACATACCACCACACACGCACGCGCTCTCGCTCGCGCGAGCGCACTTCCCCGCCACCTCTTCCACGGCGTACATCCTTCAAGCGGCAGCGTCTCTTCCTCTCAGACGATGAAGATGACGGCTACGACGATTACCCCTACGCTGGAAACCACCGACCCTCCCGCGCACTAGTCAGGCGGGACCAGCCCAGCCAACTTGAGCGCTGGAACATCTGGTCTGACTCGCGAGCGGAAGAGCGCTGCGACTCAGGCAACGAGGAGTCAGAAAGGGAGCGACGTCGGAGACATCGACGCGTATCTTTTGCTGACGAACACAATGAGGACGAAGAGCGTGGGTTTCGCTTGAGGATCGCGAGACTGACGTCTGAGCGCCCGAGACATCTATCCCCGCCTCCAAGGAGGTATCAGACTGAGTCCGATGATGAGAGGGCGCGGGCGCATGTCTGGTCCGCTGAGTTGCTCCACAGGAGGGAGAGGTGTGTTAGTGAAGACTACGAGGCACGGGAGCGTGCGAGGTCAAGGTTGACGGAGCGGAGACGCAGAGAGAGGTCGTGGGGTGGCGACGATGAGGACGAGGAGATTGAAAGGGAGTTTGATGGAGAGAGGGTGGTGCGGTGGAGGAGGATCAAAAGGACGCGGACGGATGAATGGAGACCTTTGGCTGGGTGGCGGAGGGTATAATGGAGTGTCGCATTGTTTCGATCTTTTCGGTCTGGACTAATAACATGGCTGGTTTGTCTGGTAGAAGGTTGGTGTTTGGGATAGATGGATGGTAACTGGTTTCCTTTACCCCCTGTCCTTGTTCTTTCAATCTTCGACGGCGTTACGGTGTTTTGGCTCTGCGATACGTTTTGTCTCTACGATACCCATAACCATATAGCAAGTAAAGCGGATTACGACGTAAACAAGAATGAGATTATCGGTGGACTATCTGGCATCTGCTGTACGTGAGACTCGTAGCTTTCAAAGTTTGTCCTCAAAATTTGTGAATGAAAGAGAGCATGTAGCATTTGCTTTACGTTCCAGATCTCGATAGAAGCGGAAAAGGAATGATTGGCATTGCGTTTCAAGTGTTGTTCTTTCGCTGTTCCGTTAAGAAGAAGAAGGTAGAATGCCTTGCGACTTCAAATGTATACAACGATGATTGGGAAAAGGTCCTTCCAGGGCCTATGAGTGCGCACTCCCCAAGGTTCAGTCTCGATCCACATCACTGCACGAAGGTCGCTCGTAAAATCCTGTTGTATTGATATCTTGGTGGTAATGTACATGGCCCATCCGATTCGTCGTTCGATATCGATTGTGATCGCGCCGCGCAGAGGCGGAAAGACACCGTCCAGTTTGATAATCAGAGATGCCGTAAAGCGTCCGTTCTTGTAACAAGAAGGGTGTGCCGAACGCGGTTGTCATGCACCCCTCCACAACTACCAGCGTACCACTTAAGCCCGGTAAAGGGAGAGTTCGAAGGCAGGTGAGGAGGGCTGCTCAAATTAAACACGCTGAGCTTTCATCATCTGCGCATTGCGTTAGTTGGCGTGGTAGGGAATATATGGCTGGGGTGACTTACAGTAGTTAAACTGGAAGGATGAAGAAGAAAACGAGGTGTGGGAGCGCGGAAAGTTTTGTGCAGGCGCGAGGCGCGCTTGGGCCAGGTCTTGGCACCATGCGTAAATCTCAAGATCAGTCGAGGAATCATCGTCATGAACATCAGACTTGAGCTATAAGCCATTGTGTTATTTCGTACCTGGAGATGAGTCTGGTGCATGCTTCGCGGCATGCTGTAGGTCGCGGCGCATGTCTGCGGAGCTCCTACGCTGAGATATCTCGATTTGTTCGAACACGCCATCACGGGATCACGCTCAGTCGCTCCCCATTATGTTCGAGGAACGCGGTCCGCTCGTTTGTGAGCATGCAGCCCGGTGCACCCGCCTTGTCACCAGAGCAGAAGCTTCGTAAGACATTAGATGCTTTCAAAGAATCCAGTATGCTCATTATCACTTTTACATCCTCTTACTCATCTATTTACAGCGCGAATCCGCTCTTGGAAGCATCTTGATGACGACTGGACACAATTGCGAGCCGCAAACTTGGTCCACAACAGAGCAGGTCGAGATGTTGAGATAGTCGGTTATCTGAGCACACGGAGAGATGTGAACGCCAAGCTGTCTTTCGCCATGCTTCGCAGCAAAAACCAAACGTGGTGCATCCAGGTCGTCTCGACTGGCAACATTGAGGGTGAGGAAGCAGAAGCACACGTCCGTCTCAGGACACTGAGAGAGTGGACTCCTGTTATGATTCGAGGCAAGCTTCTAGAGAGGAGGCAAGCCAAAAACGACACCTATCTTGGAATGAACTTGATCACAGATCGGGAGATTTCGCTGACGAGCATCACACCCTTGAATGAGATTCCCAACGATATCATCATCAAGCAAGACACCGTTTTTGGTCCTGAGCAGCGGCATCTACAGCTGCGCACTGATCCTGAGCTGCGCAACAACATCATCAAGCGGCAAAAGGCTATGCAAAGGGCGCGACTGGAACTGGCCGACAATGGATGGAAGGAGATTGAAACCCCTGTTCTTTTCAAGTCAACGCCTGAAGGCGCACGAGAGTTTCTCGTGCCAACACGAACCAAGGGTTTGGCATACGCACTTCCTCAGAGTCCGCAACAGTACAAGCAGATTCTTATGGCCTCAGGTTTCACTAGGTACTACCAGTTTGCACGCTGCTTCCGCGACGAAGACTTAAGAGCCGACCGACAGCCAGAGTTCACTCAGCTGGATATGGAAATGTCCTTTGCAGCAGAGGAAGATATCATGGCTGAAATCGAGAGGTTACTGAGAGCTCTTTGGTACAGAATCTTGAAGCAGAAGGTACCAGAAACATTTCCGCGCATGACCTACGAAGAAGCCATGGCTTCGTACGGATCGGACAAGCCTGATCTGCGGTATACCTCGAAGATACACAACATCACCCAGCATCTGCCCGCAGATCTAATCGGCAAGATCACACCCCTCCAGGGCCCCACGGTGGAGGCCTTCAAGGTTTCAATCTCCTCCGACCCCAAGGTCACACGAAAGTTCATCTCCAAGTTCTTGGATAGTCCAGACGGCCGACCGTTTCTTGAAAATGCAGACGGCCAACCAGGCGTCTTTGTGGGCGACCACTCAGCACCCATGCAAGGCCTAGGACCCCTCGGCTACCAGTACGTGATGGAGGGACCCGAAGCCCTTGCAATCGAGCACGGCGACCTTCTTATTTTGCAAGCACGCCCAACCGCCCCCTTCACGGGCGGCTCGACCGTGCTTGGTAACCTGCGCCTCGCTCTGCACAAAGCCGCCATTGCCCAAGGTTTGGTCGATCCACCAGACCAACACGACTACAGGTTCGTCTGGATCCACGACTTTCCCCTCTTCTCTCCTTCAGTCGACTCCGAACCCGGTCAGGGCGGTACTGCCGGCCTCGCATCGACACATCACCCCTTCACCGCGCCGAAGACGCCCGAAGACGTCGACCTCCTACTCACCGCGCCCGAGAAGGCTGTCGCGGCACACTACGACATCGTAGTCAACGGCGTTGAGCTCGGCGGAGGCAGTCGCCGTATCCACAACGCCGAGGTACAGGAGTTTATCTTCCGAGACGTACTGAAGATGAAGCCCGAGCGCGTCGAAGACTTCAGGCACTTGCTTGATGTGCTAAGATCTGGGTGCCCACCGCACACAGGGATTGCGTTAGGGTGGGATAGGTTGATGGCCATTATGTGCCATAAAGAGAGTGTGAGGGATGTCATCGCTTTCCCGAAGAGCGGGAAGGGCGAGGATCTTATGGTCAAGAGTCCGAACAGACCTACTACGGAGCAGTGGGATACCTATGGCTTGCAAGTGAAGCAGTAGGAGAGTTTGTAGAAAGTGTTTGTATGATATGGTTTGTGGCTATTGTACATTATATTGCAGGTCCAAGGTAGTTGTATTTCCGGCGTTCTCATTTTGTACCTATGTAGCAATTGTAGTCTAACTGTTCAATGTGCGAGCTAGATGGCATCAACACTGCAGTGCCGCGAGGCAAGCCTCATACAATGCGTGACTCCCTACGCTCTCCGTGGAATATGGTCTCACTACTCGGATTCTGCGTTCTGTCACGTTGGTTTATGTGGTTTCTGTGATTCCACCAAGCCTTGCGAAGGCCTTTTGACTTTCTGTGCTTCCAGTCTCAGAGACAACGTCTGGCTTCAAGCTTTCATTTGCTCCAACAATAGTCTTCATATGCACGTCGGCACTTCCATACGCCTCATTGTGAGGTGCGGAATAGGCTCGTTTTCGCTTGCTCATTCGGATGCTCCAAAGCATAGGAATACCGACTGCCACAAGAACCCTTCAGCTCAGGTCTTCATGTACATTCAGATGCGTTTCAATACACCTACAACGTTGTGCCTGTTAGCTGCCAGCTTCGCTAATGCATTCCCTGCGCCACAAGAAGATGCTTCGGTCTCAGCTACGGTCACGCTACCAACCGTCGCTCCGAAAGAGACCAGTGTCGCTCTTGATCAACTTTCAGAATCAGCCAAGCTTGCTTTGGATAACACCCAGACTCTCTTTATACCAGCAGCAAGTAGAAGTGTAGTGTTTGCACCCCCTCTAATTTTTCGATTCAAAGAGAATGGTACATCAACTTCGCATCATATGGCCGCGTTGTTGTGCTGACAGAACTTGCAGGAGAACCCTGTTGAAGAACGAAAGGCCTACATCAACCGTACAGTGTTTCCAGAAAAAGAAGCCCAAGACACCTTCGAACCTGGTACCATAAGCGGTCTCGAGATTTGATGAGAGTGTCGGCACACACATCAATCAGATACTCGGTATCCACTACACAGGCATGTTCTTGGTTTGGGTAAGGCACTATAGAATACTGAAGAAGAAAGAAGACCTAACATGTTATAGCACCGATTAATAACATCTAATAAATTGCAACTGCAAACTCATTCACATTGCTGCAGTCAACATCCACACTGGTCGTTGTATCCTGGAGACATTCAATATCATTCGACTCGGTACCATCAAAGCGAAAATCGACTGACAATCTGCTCAACCACAGTTCGACTACCGTGTGAACCACAGTTTGACATCCAATGCCCACTGTTTTATGATTATCTCTCTACTACAAATCCACTCTCCAGAAATTGCTGCCACACAAAAAAATCGACCACCAAGCGTATCTACTCTCACACACAAGTTCACCCTAAAAGAGGTTCCACCGTGTCCGCACATAACGACCAAGCCTCAAGGCTAGTGTACTTCCACCATAAAGAGCCCAACACTACTCGTAAGTCATTGAAGACCTCTAGCCTCCATTATGCCATGCTTTAAATCACTATACCTATCCCGCAAGCCCCCAGCCCACAGTTTTCAATTCTCAACCACGATTCTGGAAGCTGCTGTGTACCTCCACCCTATATGATAAACTGACATTCTGACGTTCTGACATACTTGTAGCCATCACAAGATCTGCTCGCATGGGTTCAGGAGCGCAAAGTATCCCTGAGGACCTCCAGCCCTGGAATTTTCACCTAAGTACCTGGCGAATCATCCGCAGGTGTACGAGTATATCAGACTGAACAGGTTCTCGCACAACAGTGCTGAGGGCCTCCAGCCTCAGCCCAAAGAGGTGAAATTGCCGAGATTGGGGCCGAAGGAATTGTCTATCAGCGCAGGGGTAGAGATCACGGAGGATCTCCAGCCGGCGGGTTGGGATATTCGTCTCGCTGACAGTCCTGCCTGTAAGTTCGCTGAATATTTCCGGGTTTACCATTATTTGAGTTGCCTGCTGACTGTTTGTAGGGACCTTGGGGCCCCTTGAGCCAGAGAGCGAGGAGACATATTCAGAAGTGGACTGTTGGTCAGAAGCAATGGCCAGCACAAGATCAGAGGGCGCTGGGGACCTCCAGGCTGGAGACGCACAGGTTGAGGACGAACGGTTGTATCTTTACACTAGGAAGACTGCGACACTCGGTTCACCCCGGTCGAATGGCTGAGTAGCGGTCCTGCTTGTAAGTTCGCTAAATACCTCCAGGGTTCGACGTTGTTTGAGTTAGAGGTACTGACGCTATATAGGGATTTAGAACCCCTTGAGCCGGAGGGCTGATAGTTGCCTAGCGACCTCCAGGCTGTTGAAAGAGAGAATTGAGGAGACAGAATCCAGTGAGGTAAGGAATAACAAGCTTTTTATTTCAGCCACTTGAGATAGATTCTGTGGGTCCTGCAATTTAGATAAAGTAATAGCAAAAATAACAACAAGACAAGGAAATGGCCGAGTAGCAGTACTTCCTCACCTGATGTGTACGGCAGATCCTTAGTCTCGACATAGCGAGCGAACAAAGCTTCTTGCGAATGTACGCAATGCCATCCGAAGGCTTTGTGGAATGTATTAAATGCAGAGACCAGCGAACGCTTGACGCTCTTCGTCATTTCTGAATACCTCGGTGAACATTCCCCATAGCACTGCGCCGAAGAGCTGACACGTGCAAGCTGCGTGGGTCTATGCCAATTTCGAGCCCTGCCTCTGTGGTCGACCTTGGGTGCGATCTCGACGGTATGACCGTTAGTAGAGCATGGAAAATTGTGTGTGTGAACCAGGCTGTCATCCTTGACGCCTTGTCCGAGACGTCTAGTTCGGCTCCCATAGCTTTCGTCCACTTCCACCACGTGCCGGGCTTGCTCGAGGGACAGGGCGAGCGAATGAGTTCGGATCAATTGGGGCATTCGGGTCGTGACGAGGAGCAGGCGGTGCGCGGGCTGGCGGTCCTGGTGGAACGTAAGCCCCACGAGGGACAAATGCACCACGACCTCGAGGGGATGGCATACCACGACCTCGAGGTGCAACATGTCCTCCGCGACCTCCACGTAGTGACTGCTGCTGGTTGGCACGGCCAAAGTCGTTGGGGTCCCAAACACGCTGGTTATTCGTAATCGCCGCTGGACCACGGGGCGCACGTTGGAAGAGAACGACATCTTCATCGTCAGATCCTTCCTCCACCTTATCTTGGTTCGAATGGCTGGATTTGGGGCGCTCTGCCGCCTTGGGTGTCACTGCCGTGTTCTTCTTTGCGATGCTGGACTCTGACTCGATCTTGTGCAGAGTCAAATGGTTCTTGTACTCTCGATCCTCGCGGGCAACAGTATCACGAAGCTGCTCGAGGCGCTTTGCGCGGATGCCGAACTTTGAAGCAATTATCTGCTTGGTGGGGTCATTCGTAAGGAGAATGTAGGAGGCAAGCGCTGCATCTGGGTTCGACTCTTTGTTGATGCGCCAGAGGACGTGGTTGAACAATGGCTTTAGATAGGCGGGTACAGCACGCTTGGGCGACCTTTCCTCACGGGATAGTTCTGCGCTGTTGCGTGCGGTGCGATCTGGTGACTCCAAGGAGATAGCGTTTGTATCCTCTTTGCATGTTGCCGCTTCGTGACTGGCAGTCTTGCTCTTGCTTAAGGACGATCGCGGCGACTCTGGCGTTCTTGGTGCAGCATCCTCTAGACTATGCGTAGAGCTCATGGAAGTTTCGTCAGACATGTCGAGCGCATTGAACGAGCTCTCCAAATCCTCGTGGTAGTCATCTTCATCAGATTCACTGTCGTCCATAGAAAGCAGTGTTTCGGGCAGCATGAACTTCTCTACCTCGTTCCAGGTGCTGTATGCTTCGTCGACGCCTTCGAGTAGAACACGGTCGGCTGCATCGCCAGAAGACAGGGATGTGATCTCGTCCAACCACTTAACAGCCTCACGGGCGTCTGCGTTGATACGCTCATTGCCGTTCTTGAGGCGGTGAAGTGCAGTGAGTGCTAGTATTATGTTAGTGAGGGTAAGAGCGGGAGCGCTCTTCAAGGCATACTGTGCAGTGGAACAAAGAGACAAATGGCGCCCTGCGAGATCCACTTGCGGATTCCGTCGCGAGTGCTCTTCTTAACGCCAGCGATCAAGGCGGTGTCGTCGACTATGCAGTTGAATACCTTGCGCTTGGGCGGTTCGGGTGCGCGCATGGCGGCAGTGTTGGCACTGGCCCGGGGCGGGTACGGGCCGCCGCGCATGGTGGTTGGGGTATGCAGGGCACAAGTGAGTGTTGCAAACGTGTTGCGGTGGTGGTGAGGGAGTAATGTATGTGTCGAGTGTCGAGGTTTGCAGGATTATGGGGTTTGGGAACCGTGGTTGGCACACTCGAGGAGGGAAAGTGCGGGTTGATGGGCGGCTGAACAAGCATCTGTGTTCGCACAAAGTCTCAGGGCGCATGCATTGTGTGCGCGCGGGTTTGTCGCGGCGCAGCGAGTGAGTCAGTTGTAGGCAGGACGCTGGCGCTCATGTTTGGGGACGTGAGTGAGTGGGCGACAAGTGAATGTCGAAAGCCGACACCCACATCATTTGGGCTGAAGTGCTCAGACCAGGACGAAGTGGGATGACGCGAGATCGCCGAGCTCACCAGCCACTTTCTTACAGTTCGTTGCCTAATCAACAGCCTTGAATTTGTAGACCATTGATTGAAATAAAACATATCAGCAAATAGAGGCCATCTCCTCGCAAAAACTCGAAAACGCCCTCATCAGTATCGGTATTCGGTGTGCTTAGTCATATACAAAATCCCAAAGCTCAAGCTACTCTTCTCTCACGCATCGTTCACGTCTACAACACCGCCCAAACCACGTGAACTCGCCGACGCCTAATTCTCCCTACCATATTTCCTCGACTTCGCCTACCCAGAAATTACGCGACAACGTTAATTATGGCTGCGCCAGGAAAAGGCGCTGGGCGTGTGCCTACTGGATTCGCAGCGGAAACGTACATCAGCGACCACACTTTTCGCCAAGGACACCGAGCGATAGAAGGAGGGCAAAACTCGAAAAAGAGAAAGAGAGAAGGCAAAGGCGACTCGAGCGTGGTGACCGGAGCTGGCGCATACAAAGGACCGTGGGCACGATACGAGGAAGAGAGACCAGACGCAGCTTCAGACGACGAGTTTGGCAGTGACGAAGAGGTGGAGATAATATACGAGGAGGATGAGATTGAGGAGAACCCAGAAGCTGCGCCGAAGAAGCTTGCCGGCACCGATTACCACGACACCGAGGCCGAGGGTGAAACGACCGAGTTCAAGGGCAGCGAGCAGTACGACTACCAAGGGCGAACGTACATGCATGTGCCTACCGACCTCGACATCAAGCTCACTGGAGAGTACGAACCGAAAAACTTCATACCGAAGAAGCTCGTGCACACCTACAAATACCACACCAAGTCCATCACCCAAGTACGGTTTATTCCGGACAGCGGTCATCTGCTGCTATCCGCTTCTGCAGACTCTAAGATCGCCATCTGGGATACGTACCACCAGCGAGAGCTGCTACGAACCTACTCAGGCCACACGAAGTCTGTCAACGATATTGACTTTAACCCCGATGGATCGCAATTTATCTCTGCCAGTTACGATCGTTACATGAAGCTCTGGGATACGGAGACCGGAAAGTGTTTGAACAAATTCACAACTGGAAAGACACCCCACGTCGTGCGCATCAATCCCAGTACACCACACGAGTTCCTGGCTGGTATGAGCGATAAGAAGATCCTGCAGTACGACACAAGGAGCGGAGAGATGGTACAGGAGTACGACCACCACCTGGGACCCGTCAACACTATCACGTTCTGCGACGAGAACCGCCGCTTCGTCACGACATCAGACGACAAGTCGCTCCGAGCTTGGGAATACGGTATTCCAGTACCCATCAAGTTCATCGCTGAACCGTACATGTTCTCCATGGTCCGCTCAGCTCCTCATCCTTCCGGCAAATACGTCGCCTTTCAGTCGTCGGACAACCAAATCACCGTCTACTCTTCAACCGACCGGTTCCGTCAAAATCGCAAGAAGAGCTACCGCGGTCACAACGTGGCTGGCTACGCACCTGACGTGGCTATCAGCCCTGATGGACAGTTCGTCACCTCTGGAGACAGTGGCGGCTATGTCTGCTTCTGGGACTGGAAGACTTGCAAGATGTGGCACAAGATCCAAGCAAGTGATGCGCCGGTACTGGCGGTACAATGGCATCCGCGCGAGACCTCGAAGCTGGTCACTGGTGATTTGAACGGTGTGCTGAAGTACTGGGACTAGAGCGTTGATGGATGTGCAAGAATACAACATAGAGACTGTAGCATAGTTGGAGACTGATCATAATGATACCCCAAACTAGCGATCATATGCATCCTCCAAATTGACTGCCCAACGTGACCGTGATGCACACCCACACCACAACCCGTCCGTGCACCCCTGGCTTGGCAACATTTTCCACGCCGAACATCCTCAACTCAGACCATCAAGGTCAACGCGCCGCAACTGTAAACCCAGCCCGCCGTTCCCTCACCAAACGCTCCAGCCTCCTTCCAGCACCGTCAAAATGCTCCCCCGAGCGCTCCTCCTGCCCCTCCGGCGCACCATCTTCGCGCTCCGCACTTCCACCCGCTCCATCCACACATGCACCTCCGCGTCGCGGCCCACACTTTCGCAATGCCAATCGCCCATGCACAGCCTCCTCACACGATTCTCTGGTCTCAGGATAGGAGCGCAGACAGAGTCAAGAGTGGGTGGACTGGGCTCGCAGGTGCTCGCGCAGACACGGGGCATGAAAGTGCGCAGCTCGGTCAAGAAGCTGTGTGATGGGTGCAAGAGCGTGAGGAGGAAGAAGGGAAGATATGTGTATATTATTTGCTCGAAGAACCCGAAGCATAAGCAGAGGTGAGTAACTCCAGATTGGAGGAACGGGTTGAGGGAGACAGGGTGGTGGGCTAACGGGTGTGTAGGCAAGGATAGACGATCGACGAACGACAACAGTACCGCTATCGAGTTGTTATAACAGGAAGAAGCGCGAACGATTTGTACGTCACATGAAGGCAGTGCAGAGAAGACTCAATAGCAGAGGTCAGGCATCGGCATAGAAGAGGAGGAATCACTGTATCATATGTATACATACCAGGCAGAAGAGGGCATCACGTTTGAGCATTGTACAAGAAATTGCAACTTCATCACACTACCCTGGTGCTTTCCATCATACTCTCATTGCGTCATTGTGCTTCCCATACTTATTCGGGGCTTCCAGCGCGTCTCAGTTCAAGACCGATTTCAGCCCATACTCCCACCACTCCTACTTTCATTCCCCACCAACCCCGCCAACTTCAACAACTCATAATCCTGCTCCTTATCTCCACTCCCCAAATTAATCCTCCGTCTCGCCTCCGCCTCCCTCTCCTGAAACGCCCACTCCTTCCTCTGCGCCTCAGCAACATCATCACCACCGCATCCCCACACCTCCATACTATCAATCTCAAACCTGTCTTGCCAGTCCTTGCCCTTCCTTCCCGGCAGTTTGCTCGGGTAGAAACTCCCACCGCCTTCAGCCAGGTGCGTGAAGATGCCGAATTCGAGCGCATCGTCGAGATGGAGCGAGACGGGTGCTGGGCGGAACACGCCGTAGGAGTGGCTGGTTGCCTGGGATTGGGTGGGGACTGGGGTGCCGAAACCGACGCCGGCGGGGTATGTGGGCGATTTGTTGAAGTAGGCGTAGTCGCTGCTGAAGCTCGAGGCGGAGAAGACGTCGTGGGTGGGCGAGAGTTGGAACAGTTTTGCAGAGGAGTCGCCGAAGCATGTCTTGCCTGTGTGTTTCCATTGTGTGGGGATGTAGGCGCCGTAGGTGATTGTTTGGTTTTGCGAGGATTCGCAGACGCTGCTCGAGTAGCGTTTGGGTGGAAGCATGTCTTGCAGAGTGCGTTCGCGGGTACTTGAAGGTGCCGAAGGGAGAAGGCGTCCGGAGACGAGAAGGATGGTCGGCGCTCGCCAATTGAAGACTTGCTTTTCAAACGACCCCATGGAGAAGCCATGTGCGTTGCCGCTGTAGAGAGGTCGCAGGCGCCTGAAGAGGTTGCTTCCTTTGATGAAAAACGACAATTGACTGAGGGTGGTGAGGTTGAGTATTTCGCCTGGGTTGCGCAGGATCGGTTCTGGATCAAGTACAGTCTTGGGGGGTGGTATCACCGGATGTGACTCTTGCGTAGGTGATGTGGAGTCTGACTTGCGTTTGGAGAGGTCGAAATCTTTTGCGAAGAGGAAGTGCTCGAACAGGGGGTTTAGTCCGTCGAATAAGAACGGTAGACTTGTAGATAAGACAGTGTCGAAGGTACGATATGTAACACCGGGATGCTTGTCGGTAATGAAAGACGACAGCACTACTTTTGCAGTTCGCCGCAGATTCTGAATGCGCGTTTCAGAGAGCTCAGGCGCCAGTGTTGACAGGCTCTGCTGTGCATCGATCGGTGCTATGAGCAGTAGTAGCTCGATGAGCTTTAGGAAGTTGTCTGTGGGGATAATCGAGTGGTGTACATTGGTCTGTTCGCCATGTTTGAAGACCTCTAAAGAGTCCATCAAGTCGAGTGCCGCCAAAACGAGCTCATCGTCCTCGTCATCTTCGTCACCTCCTTCATCACCTCTCGGCGTGTCGATTGCGAAGCCCATCTTCTCAGTCACTTGGTCCTTTTCGTGCTTTTGCTCTTCAGCTTTTGATCGTATGCCATTGTCATGTACAGCCAGACTCCTGTATATCTCTCGTAACCAGATCTCGCGCCCTCTCTTCTTTAGCACAGCCCCATATCTTTCAGTAAGGATAGTGACGACCTTCAGCAATGCCTCGTTCGTAAGGATAGCCGGTGCTTGTGAAGCGAATGGGAATGCGCCGAGGTAATTAGCCATCTGGAAGATGACTGACCCTACACCCAGCGCATCTGGCAGCTCCAGGAACCGACATAGCGTTGCCTCGCTCCAGTATTGTACCCCGGATTCGGTATCGGCCAGCGACCAGAAGACGGATTTGAAACAGTATAGTTCGAGGGGAGTGTAACTCTTCTTTGCGAACGCTTGCGCGAGGTTGTGACTGAGCTGCTCTGCCTGGTGTTAGTAAACGCTCTCTTTCCAGGTCGTGATCCTTCTCTTCGTATCCTAGGTACTTAGTATATCACGTACCTAGTGTCGGGTGCTGAGCCTCATGTGAAGCTCCCTGGCCCATTTTGGCGAGTTTATAGCAATCTAGCCATGAGTTACGGGTGGTGTCGCGTTGTATGCCTAGCAAGCGATGACGGCATGTGGGGTTATCGATAAGGTGGATGTGGATGGTGTGACGGCACCATCACAGCTTCAACATAACATAAAATGAAGTCGAAAAGTCCGAAAGAATGAATAGGATCGAGCTGGTTGAGCCTTGCACACCTGCTTGATTGGTAATGGAACGGCGACGCGACTGCATTCATACATCACGTACACGGATACATAAGACATCGGAGGGGAAGAAGAAGAGTTGAAGTTCCATCGGTTATGCCATCATACTATGGACCTACCTGACCGTGATCTTGGAAGCTGCTAAGTGGTGGTAGTGACAGCCAAGAGGCAGACTGTCAAACCACCGTAAACGCAATGCCATCATCTCGTAGGCCGTGAATCGTTAATCATAATGTCGTAGTCAAGCCTGCTGCGACTCGAAGTGAGGCCTACTCTCGAGGCTTGGTCGCGATGAGTCGCGTAGGTCGTATATCGAAGCACTTTTGGGGTTGTGTTGTCGTAGACAGGACGTGAACCAGTCAGCTACTAAGAGGCAACCCTGTCCTCAGCTCCAGCAGAGAAGCCGCTGTCATCACCGCCGAAGCCACCAGCATCTCCACCAAAACCTCAAGTGTCACCGCCGAAGCCTCCAGCATCCTCACCACCAAAGCCAGCACCAGCGTCAAAACCACCGGCATCAGCACCGAAGCCGCCACCGAGACCATCGTCGGACTCGTCGTCGGTACCATCACGCCACTCGATCGTGTCAGGGTCTTCGGGCTTGAACTGCTCGAGGAAGTCAGGCACCTCCTGCTTGGACTCGAGAAGGATCTTGACAAGGTCTTCGCCAATATCCTCGTTGCGGTCGTTGTAGAACGATGTGGCCTTGCCCTCATTGCCGATACGAGCGGTACGACCGATACGATGAACGTACTCAGTGATACCTTCATGCTGTGTGGAGGGCAAGTCATAGTTGATGACATGCTTGACGTTGGCGACATCAAGACCACGAGCAGTAACACCGGTAGCAACGAGGATGGGGCAGCGAGCGGTGCGGAAGGAACGCCTGGTTCATGGTTAACGACATGTTACTCGGAGCTGGGCCGAAAGACTTACAGAGCATCCTCACGCTCACGCTGTGTACGGTCGGAATGGATGGAAGTACACGGCAAACCCTTGTTGTAAAGGAAATCATCGACCATATCACATTTTCGCTTGCTGTTCACGAAGATGAGCGTACGCTGGGGCTCACTGGAGAAGATCAGGTCGAACAGAGCCTGGTCCTTTTCGCGCTCATCGACGTAGACGATGGTTTGGGTGATATTCTGGTGAGTACTGCCGACACGACCAACCTTAATACGAAGGTAATCCTGGTCCATATACTCCTTTGCAAGGCGGCGAGCGGACTTGGGGAACGTAGCAGAGAACATGAGATACGTATGGTCTGCATCCGAGCTGACATCTGCCGGAAGGTCAGCAAACGCTTGTGAGCATGGGGTGAGCTACGAACCGGAGCCAGAAAACAGCTTCGCCATGGCCTCTTCCCAGCCAGAGGAGAGAAGCTCATCAGCCTCATCGATGACTGTGAACCTGCGTACATGTCAGTGAAGATGACTTCGTACATGGTGAATCTGACTTACTTTAGTCGACGGAAGGACAGCAGGTTCAGGTTCTGCATAAAGTCCATAAGGCGACCGGGGGTAGCGATGAGAATGTCACAGCCCATCTCGAGCTGCTCGCGCTGGTTGCGCGTAGGAGCACCTCCGTAGACGACGCACGGGCGCAGCATAGTGCGATAGCAGAGGCGACGAGCCTCATCGAAGATTTGGCAAGCCAGCTCTCGGGTGGGGCAGACGACAAGCACAAGAGGCTCAGCGCGGACGCGGTCTGTAAGAGGGTTGTAGCGAGCAGGGTTAGGACGTGGAGCCGCAAGCTGACGAGCCTTGCCCATAAGCTTAGACAAGATGGGGAGCAGGAAGGCCGCGGTCTTTCCAGAACCTAAGGAGAGTCAGTCAGAGGCAATTAGCTGTTGTCAATGTAATAAAATACCAGTCTGAGCAATGGCGACGACATCGTGACCGGTCAAGACTGCAGGAATGCAGTAGGACTGTATGGGCGTAGGGGCTGAGTACTGGCAAAGCTTGACGTTCTCGAGCATGACCGGATGAAGCCCAGCATCGTCGAACTGTAATGTGGTAAGCACAAAAGTTGGGTGAGCTGAAGGTCAGGTAACTCACCTCGCGGACTGGGTGAACTTTCTCAGGGCCCTCGACCGTCACCTCGTATGAAAGAGCCTTGATAGCACCACCAGCACGCTGGAGGTTCTCGTCCTGGAAGAGCATCTTCTCCAACTCGGGATTGGGCTCGCCGACGTCGCCGAACTCATCATCCCACTGGTAGATGGCAGCATCGGACAGCCACTGAGCGTCCTTACGAGTCTCATCGCGCTCAACGTCACCGCCAACGACTGTCTCATAGTTGAACGGAATGGGGTTGTTCCTATGCGTGTCAGTATCTGCTCTGTTGCGTCTCCATTGTGCAAACCAACCAGCCGGCATTCTTCGCACGAGCGAGATCTTGAGCAAGCTGTTCCTTGCGGGCAGCTGCAGCCTCCTCGCTCATAGGAGGAGGGGCGGGGCGAGCGTGAGGGGTCTCGCCTGCGTCAGACATGACGAATGGAAGTAGACAAGGAAAGAGTGGTGCTGCTATAGTAGAAGGTGAGAGTGAGTGAGCTCGAGGAAAGGTGTGGAGGTGAGTGGGGAAAAGGCCGTGCTGTTGTTTATGTACAGGCTGAGGACGAGCTATGACCCGGAGCCAGCCCTTGGCGGCAGCGACGACGATGGGGCAAATTGCGAAGCAGAAAGGGCGCTTGCCGCGGAGAATGCCAATGAAGGTGAGAGATTTTGCGCGTAACCTGAAGTTGTTGCTCAAGATGAACGCCTGAGATGCTAAGATCGAGAAATTGAGAGTGAGAAGACACTGTGAAGGAGCGCTTAGGAACTTAAAATCTAGCAAGGAAGCCGAAGTACTTAGGCAAGGGTACTGGGTGCAACTTTACGTACCCCGCTTGCAGCAGGCTCACGGTGAGGAGCACAAGAAGGACGAGCGGTGTGGCTGCGCACTCACCAGATCCACGAAAACGGGTTATTGTCTGAAGCATTCTGAATGCTGAGGAAGCGAGACAAAATTGTTTACAGGAGCAGTGCGGTGTTCGTTTACACAACGGTACGAGCCTACCTCCATGTGGTACAGCGGCCTCACGAAATGTAAACCCAGCAGCTGAAGTAGATTTAACAAGACAACAGTTTATAAATCCAGAGGTGTGAGGTCGTCATGAGAGCTCAGCCACTAGGCTTTCTCTCTCAAATGCTGGATGTTTGGCCTGTCCTAGGAGGGGGAAAGAGTGCTGGTTGACCTGTATTGATTCTGAAGAATGAAGCACAGAAAGAACTTGAAGTGACGAAAAGAGCCTCAAGCTTCCACAGAGTCAAGGTAATCGCAGGGCCTGAAGCGACATCATGTATAGCTGTAGCTGCTCACAGAAAGGTGGAAAGCTTACCTACCTTTCTTATACTGTTGTCAACACAACAACACTTAGAGTTGTGCGCGCAAACATGAGCTCATGTTGCGATTTGCGTTGTACATAAGATGTTCTCCAGAGCGCCTGTGATTGCCGCCTGGGCTGGGCTGGGTGGATATATCAATGTAGGCTCAGAACAGTCCCCCGTATCATCAAGAATGCGCAAAGATGAAAGAACAGTTGTCGTCATATTTGAGCTAGGATGATGCCATCCCTGAAAGAGCTGTTCCATATTTCAGCATTGTACGAAGAGGCTCGTTTTGGGTGACGCACCAACGAAGAGGAGGTCAACCCCAGTGGAATGCAACACTACCACACAAGCCTAGAACCCGTCTATGATCTACTGAATACCTCCTCGCCGTGCAGAGATAAACAGAGGTAGCAATCAAAGCCGAGAACCCACATGCTATTGCGCCGTGACGATCTATGCAAGAATCTTGCTAGGGTGTTGGTGTGTCTTCATAAACGAACCTCTTCGTACTCCTCTTTGTACGTATGCCTATGGTGTGGTGTTGAATGCAGGAAGTCGATGGCAGACTTCAGAAGTCAGTTGTGTTCAACAGGGGAATTGAGTCCTCCAGCTCCGCACTTCCAATTGACTTCGAGACTAGACTGAAGACAGCTAGACCCCAAATCTGCGAGATGAAGTCGATCGGTTCGGCGGTATAACGGACTACCGATTGGCTAGAGGGTCGATAATGCCGACCATAGCAACTAAAATTTTGGAACGCGGCGAAAAGTAAACACTGCAACATCCCCTCGTTCTCGAGTAATTAGGTTGTGGCGTTTGTGTGATAGAATCGCGAGGCTCAATTGACTTTGCTCTCTCCTTTTCGCCTCTCCTTGAACGCTTTGCTGCGTTTCTCGAGCCTTTGTATTTTTTGCCCCAGTCCCTACCCCTAAAATCAGGAACGCGTCGCCACAACCGCAGCCATGTCGCAACGAGTTACGCGGTCGCAGGCAGGCTACACGCCCAAGTGAGTCCAGTTGATCCACTCAGCAGTGGAAGGATTGGACGATCGGCAACGGCGGCTGACATGCATGCGCAGGAAACCAGAAAACCCCGGTTTCGTCGAGACACCTGGTCGCAGAAGATCGCAACGTCGCAAATCGATTTCCACAGAAGACACCGAGTCCAATGGCTTTGTCAAGCGTAGCGAAATCAGCTCCACTCCCGAGAAGTCTAGGAGCAACGGACATGCCAACGGAAATGGGCACACAACTGGTTACGCCAACGGACAGACGAATGGCAATGGTCACGCCAACGGCTTCGCGAACGGTCATGTGGAAGAGGGGAATGCATTGAACGGATTGCAAATTGAGGCAGCCAAGAACTTTCCTCCCAAGGACAAGGGCGGTCTGCACGAGTTTGGAGGCGCTCTCGGTATGAGCGCCATGATGACCGGTTTCCCAGCATTGATGTTCTACATGTGGATTGGAGCGACATTCTACGATGGGAAGTTTCCCAAGCCAGCTGAAGGCCAGAGCTACTCAGACTTCTTTGGACACATGTGGAACCTGGTCAAGACAGAGGCCTACCCAACCAACCAGGCCTGGCAGATCTACTGGTTCTTCGGGCTTGCCCAGATGGCATTCTACATGCTCATGCCCGGTGTCTACCGCAAGGGCAAGGCTCTTCCTCACCTTGGTGGAAAGCAGCTCGACTACTACTGCTCTGCAATGTGGTCATTCTACTCCAGCATTGTCATCATGCTGGCTCTCCACTTCACGGGCATCTTCAAGCTCTACACTCTGATCGACGAGTTCGGCCACATCATGACTGTCGCTATCCTCTCGGGTTTCCTGTGCTCAACAATTGCTTACATCTCAGCCCGTGTTCGTGGAGCTACTGTTCGTATGACCGACAATGTCATTGTTGACTTCTTCCTCGGATCTGAGCTGAACCCCAGGCTCTTCGGTATATTGGACTTCAAGATGTTCCTCGAAGTTCGCATTCCGTGGTTTATCCTCTTCTTCCTTTCTCTCGGCACTTGCCTTAAGCAATACGAGAAATACGGATATGTCTCTATGGAAGCCATCTTCCTCCTCTTCGCGCACTGGCTGTATGCTAATGCTTGCGCAAAGGGCGAGCACTTGATCATCACCACCTGGTGGGTTACCTTAACTAATGCGAGTAAATGTCCGCAAACTAACACATATACAGGGATATGTACTACGAGAAGCTCGGCTTCATGCTCATCTTCTGGAACATGGCTGGTGTACCCCTCTCTTACTGCCACTGCACTCTCTACGTCGCCAACCACCACCCTTCGGAATACACATGGCCAACGTGGTTCGTCGTTCTCCTGACGGCCGCCTACCTCGGCATGTATTACATCTGGGACACCACCAACAGCCAGAAGAACCAGTTCCGTCAAGAAGAGCGTGGCGTAGTCGACGAGCGTACCACCTTTCCCTACTTTAAGTACGGCCGCATCGCCAACCCTAAGACCATCACAACCAAGCACGGAAACAAGATCCTGGCTGATGGATGGTACGGCAAAGCACGCAAGATTCACTACACATGCGATCTGTTTTTCGCCATTTCGTGGGGTCTGATAACCGGCTTCAACTCGCCGTTCCCATGGTTCTACTCCGTCTTCTTCGCCGGTATGATCATCCACCGCGCGCTGCGTGATATTGCAAGGTGTCGCGAGGTATATGGTGAGGCATGGACCGAGTACGAGAGGCAGGTGCCTTACCTTTTCATTCCCGGTGTCTTCTAGATATTGCAAAAGCAAGCTCTTCTTTGTCGAGTCTTTCGTCAGGCTTCGGCTTCGGCTACTTTCGTGGGCGCTCTTGGTCGCCATTACATGTTCTGTTCGCATTCCTGGATCACCTTGTTACACACTATGTACTATAATATTCCTTTCTTTCTCGCTCGATGTACGATAGACAGGACCACATGATGATAATAGCAGTAGTAATGCATGTTGTATGAGACGATTGAAGAATCAGAACAATTTCTACAGTTTCCGCTGACATTCTGACATGTGGATCTTGAAAGCCATATAGCCGTTTCCGCGCTAAAATAATGCCAGACCTTCATCCCCTGCCAAACCATTTCATCACTCATCACAACACCCCGCAATCACCAAACACCAAACACCAAACATCAAATATCACCACCATGGATGCAGTTGGCTCCGCAATTCGCCCCATGCTTTCGCCCATCACTCGCAACCTTCCCAAGCCCATCGCGGACTTGGGCGAGTCACTCCTCGGGTCCGTCTGCTACCAGACCCTCTTGCACGACATCGATCTCACCAAGACCGAATGCGTCAAGCTCGCCATCTCGAAGGGTCTAGGAATCGGCATTATCGGCGCATCATCGGTCGTTAAGATTCCACAGCTGCTCAAGGTGCTCAACTCGCAGTCCGCTGAGGGTCTCTCCTTCCTCTCTTACGTGCTCGAATCTGGCGCCTACCTCATCTCGTTGAGCTACAACGTCCGCCATGGATTTCCATTCAGCACGTACGGCGAGACGGTGCTCATCCTGATCCAGAACATCGCGATCGCGTCCCTGGTGCTGAACTACAGCGGAAGGCAGCCTGCGATCGCGGCGTGGATTGCAGGGTTGGCTGGTGCTGGATGGCTTCTTTTCAACGAGAACCAGGTCAACGAGGCGAACCTCAGCTTGGCCATGAGTGCCGCAGGTGTTTTGGGCGTAGCGGCCAAGGTCCCTCAGATCTTGACGATCTGGTCTGAGGGCGGTACTGGCCAGTTGAGCGCATTCGCTGTAAGTTACCCCACGACCAGCATGTCGTGACCAGCAATTACTAACTCACACATAGGTCATCAACTATCTCCTCGGCTCCGCCTCGCGCATCTTCACCACCTTCCAAGAAGTCGACGACCCGCTCATCCTCTACGGCTTCGTTGCCGGCTTCGCGCTCAATCTCGTCTTGTTCCTGCAGGTTCTGTACTACTGGAATGCACCCGCGTCGAAGAACACCGAGAGCAAGAAGCTCAACAAGCCCGTCGCACCAGCTGTCGCGGCAAACCAGGAGGAGATGAAGCGCGCTGTGTCGAGCGGCGCTGCGCCCTCTTACTCAAGCGTCGCTGGCAAGAGCCCTAGCACCAGGCGCAGGGGATAGATACAGTCACATTTGGTGAACTGGAGATATCAGGTAGACAGTTCATTGCTGCTTCTTTGCACTGTCTCATCCAACCTAAACTTTCCCTTCTCATACCCTCCTCCCACCATAAGTATGAACATCCTCCGGCCTTGCCAACACATACACATACGGCGGCGGCGCATCAAACCTATCCTCATACTGTGGCAATTCCAACCCCACATCCCCCTCATATCTGTCCTTCCTCCGCCATATCGCCCTTGCCTCCTTCCTCTGTAGTTTTTGCGGGTGCACTAAGCCGGCCTTGAACCGACTAGGTCCGGGATGAACTGAGGTTCTCTTGCGTAGGTAGTAGAAGAGGAGGATTGAGGTCGTGAGGAAGCCGATCGCGACTATTATGATGAGGATTGCGGTCCGGTGGGGGGTGCAGGGGTTGTCGTAGGTGCCGCATGTTGAGGAACGTTTTAGTAGGTTGTGGAAGGTGGTGGTGGGTGCCATTGTAGGCTTGTGGAGGCAAGGTTGATTGGGGAGCTTTTGGTGTCGTTGCTCCTTCCTGGTAACCTTCGTTTAACGCTCGTTTACTTGATCTCTGACTCCAGAATTGACTTGATGTTTGAATGTGCAACTAAGTTTGTGAGACTACAAATATTGAGAGACATGGGGCATGGAGGCCTACATAAGCACACTTCGCTTCGTGCGCCCCTCGCACGATCTTTGTCCAGCCTCTCCAACAAAGCCTTACAATCCACCTTGTGATCGCTGAGCCTTTGCGGGCCTTCGCGCCAGGCAAAGCCAGGCGCTGTTGGCCATTCTCGTGCGTCGGTGTGAGCCGTTTGTGCCCCTGCACTGCCTCGCAGGTTGCCTTGCACAAGGCGCTTGCGTGCCGTAGGCAGCGCCACAGGCTTAGACCCAGCGCGCCTAACATTATCTTCATGTAGATAACTGGTCGACAGTCAAAAGGACTCGTGAGAAGGAGTCGTCTGCGGGATTTGATGGTTCCATGGAGATGTGGGAGGTGCACGATGAGGCAAAGACGTTGACGTTGTACTTGCAAAGGCTTGTAATTCCCGTCACTATAGCGGTGCTGGCTCGCCTTGCGGATGGCTTTAGTGATGCGGTTCGAACTTGAGACTGAGTATATGTTGCTGGTTGATGGTCTGAAGAATTTGCGCAGAGTGCCTTCCTACTGCACTTGACGTCGTGCGCCTTTGTGATGAATAACGAGGTATCTTTACTGTCAACTTTGATGCAGTTTAGACCTTTCTTAAAGCACATCTAGAGTAGTAGACTGGCTCATCAAGCGAGGTTTATTGTTTATCACGGTTTGGGCTGTAGAGTCTTCGTCGCCTGTAATGCAAGACATGCTCAGAACCTCGTGGCGATGCTCATCAGGCGTCCAGCATCGCGGAACAAAGCCGTCAGCTTCTTGCAATGTATGTATCGACAGTGTCGCGCCTTATACACGTTATACACGGCCTGTACCTTAGGTGACCAAGGCTCATTCCGGTGAGCACTGTCAATGCTTTCATCTGTGGAAACAAAAGCGGATGCTTTGAGACCTTCATAACGGCGACTTCGGCACCGTACCGAGCTTGCTGTACCCACCATTGTTACGCCATGCCTGTCATGCCCGCCCATTTATGTCAAGATACCTCCTTCCGGTAAGATCGTTCAGCTGTAACCTGTAAGTCGCCTCAACTGGTACCCTTTGACTTCCGTGATGCGCATTCCATGAACCATTTACTTCCGCTCTTGTCGCCAAAACGCGATGGATTTGGCCCGGCATCGTGCTCTTTGGCTTCACTAACGATGCGCCTCAGGTACCGCGATTCGTTTGAAAGGAGGAGACAGTTCGATACCTCGAAGTGGATGCTTCACTGACGCCAGGAGAATGGTGTCTGCTGAGCTCACCGTCGTCGCGCTTCATACTTGTTGCAGTGATCCGTGCCGCAACGTAGGTACGCGGGTGTTACGATTAAAAGGCTCAGCTGTTCAACCATTCGAGTGGAGTATTGTAGACAGGCAGTAAAGGTCGGCTTCGAACACTGAGCTGAGAGTGGATGGTCTGCTTCTGTACCTTGCTGGTCAGGTACAGCATATAACCCTAAGCTGCTGTGTTTGCTGCGTAAATTGATCCGCTGGTGGCAGTACTGCTTGAATGTTTCGAAAGTCGGTACCTGCTCGAGCAATGCCGAAACAGAAATTCGATCGTCAACGTTGCGCCTGTAACGGGCCTTCACGACTCAGAACCTGCGATACCCTGCGCAGGTCATCAGTAGACATATAAACCTTGTAGACGTCCGGATATACATCCTCAAAAGACATGTACTGTCGTCACAACGCTCTCGACCAAAACTGCACATCCGCGGGATAGGCGCTGGGACGGCTCGTAGAGGTTAATGCAAGATTGCATGCAGTAGCCGCATTAACATCCTCATCGTGGAGTTGCGATAACAAGACCAAAAGCACCCTTCGTACAACAGCCCAGAAGAGCAATGACATGTCGCAGATTCGGCAGTTGATCCTGAGGCATTCACCACTTCATAGATACGATGCACGTTGTGCCTTCTATCGTCCTCCAAGCTGAGGAGGCTGGCCGCGGGTGATTCGGATTACGATGTTCACCCGTTCCAGGTACCCGTCCCAGAGATTGGCTTTGCCTGTGAGGTGTAAATGAAGCCTCGCCGGAGCACTGCTTCTAAGGAGCGTAGTTCGGGCGGGTACTCTTACGTTAAAGAGAGCTTTTTGGGAAGACGGATGTAGACAGCCGTTATCCTCTCCAAGTTGGGAAGAATGAACGTCGTAGGCTGGTGGTCATGGCTGCTTCCTCCGCCGATTTAGAGTTTGACGAAGAGTTGGTGCTCTTACCAACCCGAAGTTGAGATGGCGCAAGGATGGCGCTAGCACTGGCTCTAGATCGACGCTACTCTGCACTAGATCTGTGGCGCAACCTTAATCCCTGACCTCTGACCTCGAGTCAACGCAGACTCGCAGAGACGCGCCCTCCAACACACGATAGCATATCGTGTCCGGCGTCGCAGCTGTTGTAGAACACCAGCCTCACCCATGCCAGTCAAAATGCACACGGGCTGACCACTCGGGTGACTGCGTGTCTGTAAGTGACACAGTCTTCGGCATACTTGCACGACTCGCGCGAGAACTTCGAAACTTTAGCAGGTGCCGTTCAGCAAGGGACTACCGGTACGTACCTTTGGTCGAGCAGTCCAAGTCCAACCCAACGGCGGAAAATCGTCATCCTCCGCCGGCCGAGCATTGGACCATCTCTCTTGCCTTGATGATGGCAAATTCGACAACTGTGAGTTGATGACACACAGTCGCGTCAAGACCACAATCCAGTTGTCCAACATGTTTTTGTTGTTGGGATCTATGCAGCTATTAACGTTCACTACTGCGGCGTCACCTCACGTGGCATCACACGGATCTATCGGTCCTGCTGCAGCTCTTCCCGCTAAACTCGAGAACTGGCAAGATTACTATCTTCCCAAAACGGTCTGTGTGCTCAGCACTTCCACTGGGCTTAGTGATGTGCCACCAGCATGCCAGCCATTGTGGCACCAATTCGTAACGCATGTCAGAAACTTTATTGGACAGGGCTGAGGAGCACACCTTCTGGATGCCCCGCAGACGCCAAACGTATCAAGAAGCTTGCGATCTAGCGCCGGAGGCTTACCACTTCCACACCCTCCCTCATCTCGTGGGGATTTCTCCGACCGTGCAGCTGTCTACTCTTTACTTCTGCATGTCTTTTATTCGATTTGGGGCAGGGTGTTCACCATTAACGCCAGGATGAAATTGCCTCCTTTCGAAGTAAGTAGTCCTTATCTTGAAGTGCTCTCATCAAGCTCACGTTGGCTAGGTAATCCTCACATGGCCCAAGCCAAACTACGCCAACCCTGTGACACGCGGCGATGCACTCCTCATCGTCAACTCCATACTCATCGCGCTGGTAGTGATAACTGTTGGGCTGCGCATGTACACGCGTATAATCATCAAAAGGTGGTTTGGGCTCGATGATGTTTTCATCCTACTTGCGTTGGTACGCATGTTTCACGCCCATATTGACTTTCCTTCTAACGTTCGATAGGTCTTTGCCGTTGGGTTGACTGCTGTCGTTTTGTTGGCAAATCAGCGGTATGGCTGGGACAGACACCTCTACGACATACCTCTCAACAATCTTACGCCAACCTTGAAGATCGCTATGGCTGCCAAAGTGGTGTTCACGGGAGCCGCAACATTTACCAGGTTGTCTCTCCATTGCTTCTACTATCGCTTGGTCGCCGACACAGGGAAAACTTGGTTCAAGTGGTGTATCCACCTTAATGTTGCCTACACCCTTGGGATCTTCATATCATTCCCGTACGTCTGCTCCACTGTCAACTGCTTGAAGGACGAACATTCATTGGCTAACACTTGTCAGGTTCATTGCGGTCTTCCTATGCACACCGGTCTCGGATTATTGGGTGATAGGCTCGCCGGCTGACAGCTGTATGAACGAAGGCACTGTAACTCTCATCTGTGGAATCATCAACTGTGTCGCCGACTTCGCGACCACAGTGACCCCGATCCCACTCATCCTGGGTGTAAGTACTCATCTCGTCTATAGCTGCACATCGCTCATCGACCTAGCTCCACATGCCCCGCCGCCAACGCCTCGCTGTCGCTTGTCTCTTTGCTATGGGAATCATCGTTACTGTTGCAGGTATTGTCCGGACTTGGTACATTTACAAGTCATTGGTCACGACTTACGATAACACTTGGTAAGCCTCTTAACCCTAAAGCAACTCGATTCAACAACAGCTGATGACGTTGCAGGTATGCGTACCCTCTCTGGATCGCTGCTGCAGTGGAAATAGACCTCGGCGTTATCTGCGCATCAGTCCCAGTCCTAAAGCCGCTGCTTTCGAAGATCCCCTTCAGTCTGTCCGGAACGTTCTCAGGCGGCATCTCGCTAAAGAAGAGGTTCACCAGCTCCGGCTACAACTCGAAGGCATCCAAGACGTCGACCACAACTGCTGAAGGCTCACGAAGCAACCCGAGCGCATCGAACCTCTCATCGAAGCGAAGATCAGAAGCGATTCGGGCTGCGCCAGACCTCGACCAAGACCAAGGCAGAAGCTACGAGCTGAAGAACTGGGACGAAGAACGCGCCATCTCAAGTCCCGAGCCTCTCGATCAGACAAGAAGGAGTCAAAGCCAGGAAGCTATACTCAGGCCAGAAACCAACGAAGAAACATCAAAAGGAGGAGGGTTCCAGAAGATCTGGCAAAAGATGCGATCCGGGGAATCGGAATCGTCAGGATCGAACGAGGACATGACGATCAAAATGACTTCAGAAGTCGAGCTCTCGAATGAGCCAGCAAGCGCATATAACTCAAAACGCCACTCTCGGCACAAGGACGTCTTCAAGCAGCATCGCGCCACAAAAGACCACACGTCACCGTCACCGACTCCCAAGGACAGATGGATCTGAGATCCGGCGATTGAAGTAGTAATATCCGTTGTACAGCATTGACGATTCATGATTTGCATTTCCCGGCGTTGGATCAGGCTATCTGTCAGGGCGGCTCTCTTCTGCCGCACTGAAAACTGCATGATACCATTTCTTACTGTTGGATAAGACGCCGGCCTCTGGTGGTTGGCTAGACCACAATTGACGATTTCGGCTGGACTGAGAAAACCACAGCCAAATAGTGCTGCTCTAGATACATAGAAGGACGACATATAAATCATTGTGAAACACACATTCGAGCATGGACGAACATGGCTTTGTTCGGGGTGCGAGAGGTGAGACTGGGGGGCGCTTTGTCTTGGTGCCACCAACGTGCGCTCAACTGAACACTTACTTACATTTGCTATGAGTAGACACACCGCGTAGAATGACGATCGTACTACTGTATCACAACTTGCGAACTGCACATAAAAGGCCTACTCCTCTCGAGTCATTGAGACCTGCACAGCAACAATATCAATACCATGGTATCATCACGATTCATATCGCGTTACACGTACCACCAGCATGAAGGTACCCTTCCATCAAGCTCTGCTTGCCATCTGCACCTTCACTCTAACAGCCGCAACTCCACTCCTTCGCCTCTACCACTTCGAGAAACCAAGACAAACAACTTCAATCCCTCCACGCCACGAAACCATCCAAGTACGCGACGACCTCGAAGAACACGGCAAGATAGGTGGTATGTACATGTGCACCGGCATCAACTTCACCGGCACCTGTAAATACATCCAGCCAGCAATGGGTACATGCTACACCTTGCCCGCACCCTTCAAATCCAGTATCGCCTCTTTTGGTCCAGATCAAGCTTTTAGCGGATCGATTCCAGCATTCGCATTTGGATGCAGACTGTATGAGGATGAGACGTGCAGCGCAGGAAAAGTGAGGTTCGAGTATCCTAGAGTCAGCAGTGGGAAGTTATGGGTCGATCCCAAGAGTGTCCAGTGCAAGTTCTACAATCAGGCTGCGATGAACTTGTACAAGTGGTTGCTGGAGTCTTGATTAGATCATGGCACGCAAGATCTAGAGGTAGACGTTGAATTTGGTTGTTCACTATATGAATACACATCAAAGAACAGAATTTTATCTCCTTCGGCCTGAAGTACACTTTGATGTATTTGTTGGAAATCCATAGCATCCGACAAGTGAGTGACTACAGTCACTTCTTATCAGGTCCCACATAACCTGGCTGACCGGGGCGCTTGCCGTGCCTGCGTGACAACGAATTATGAAGGACGAGTTTCCTCTGGCACTTGTTGCAGACCAGCAGGGCGCATAGAATACAAGGTAGCCTAAACCTAGACCTGCCTGTGTTAGTTTAGTGTAAAGAAGGCTGGGCACGATCGATCACTTGCAGAAGCCACGACCGACTGAGCGCCAATACATTCTGTGATGACAGTCTTGCAAGACACCATGGGAATAGGCTTACTAAAATAGCCTCAGACCGACAGTGGGAGTGGGCGAACCCACATAAGGGGCTCGTGCTGAAATGGTTCATGTGGCTGGGTGCTGGACACGCATCGATTATAACCAGCCTGGACACTAGAAACATGACGATCGTTGGTTTTTGGTGTTCGACCGGAGGTGGAAACGGGCATACCCGTACGAGGCAGCCATGGTGAAGTTGCTTGCAAGATGGGTGCGGTACGCTTCACCATCGACCTGGTGGCAGATGCTTGAACAGCGTTGGCGATGTTAGCATTTTGGTTCGACTAGCGAACGTCAGTGATGTGTGAAAATCATTAACTCAAGAAGGGCTTTCTGGGGCTGGACCTTGCTTGCGGGCAGTCTTCGTGCTCACTGCTTCACGTCAGGCTTTGATCACTGACCGATGGGTAGGATTCGACTGGCACAAAAGAGCGGCAGCACCAGCGGCAGCCATGATTGCCGTCGGTTGAGTGTGTTGAAACTGATGGGCGTGCGGATGGCGTGCCAAATCGAGCAACTGAGAATGTTGTAGTTTCCATGTGTGACCTAAGGAGAGCAGTGGTGAGTTGAAACGGGGGTAGAAGAAGTCGAGAGACTGAGTTGATGGCGGATGAAGTAAAACCCAGTGCCAAGCCGGCGACGGGGCAGGAAGGAGCATGATGAGGTCGCGAGTTCGCAGAAGTGAAGGCGCAGATGGCCCACACGGAACCTTATGGAAATGAATTGGAAAGTACATACGAAGTGACTAAACGAGTTAAGAGTAGTAAGCGATTCACTCCTTTCTTATGTCTTTCTCGCACGCAAAGACGCGTGCGGATGACTAGAAGTCAAGCAAGCATCTGACAGCTTAAGCAATCACAGCTTAGGAAAACCATACCGCGACACGGCCAATCCTGTAACTAATGCACTGACGCCAGCATATACCAGCCACGGTGTGCTCGAGGCCTTCTCTTCTTCCTTCGCCAGCAGCCACCCTGGTGCATTCTCGTCTATGGTTTGCACTGGCACATAGTCCAACTTTGGCGCCTTTGCCCAAGCCGTGGCAAGTTTGGTGATATGCGCCTCGTATAGATAGGGCGCTATGTAGGTTGCAAATACTCTGCCGAAGAGAGTGTCGTATGAGTTCATCCTCGTAGCCTTTCCGGAAAGGTCGGTAAATGCCTTTGCTCGGTCCCATCGCTCTTTCTGGTACTCGACGAATATGGAGGTGATCTCAGACTTGGTGGGATGGCGATTGCGGTCGGCCTTCAGCTCACGATGCAAGATGTTGCAAAGCGCGACGGCATCTTCAATCGCAATGTTCGCGCCGATGCCTAGGTCTGCTGTCATCTGGTAGGTAGGGGTTAGCTAATCTATCCAGTGAATCCCATGATCGACAGCTCTCATCGACTTCAGCCTTGTCTTGCCGCGCCTCCTGAGTTCACCTCAGACTTACCTTGTGTGCGGAATCTCCCACCAAGACAATCCTGCCCGCATGCCACTGTGATAGCACGCCCTCCTCAATTGTGAGGAGACCAACTCTTGTTCTCGACTCCCACAGATCACTGAACTTGATATTCTCGTTCAGAGCAACATCAGCGAAGCGTCTAGCGACCTCTTCCATGTTTTCATTGGTAGCCTTGAACCTCTTGGGTGGCTGGTTGTATTTGTCCTTGAAGACGAGCGCCCACATCTGTTGGCCTTGCTGCTGGAAGAATAACTTCGTCACACCCTGCCCAAAGACAATATTCGTCTCAGCGGCCGCCAAACCGTAGTCCTCGGGTTCGCCCTTCATTTTGCTGACCCCGAACATGGCATCGTACTCGCTGAAAAGTACTGACTTGTCCGATTCCGGGACTGTGTTCGGTTCAAACTTGCTTGCGTAGTCCCACATTTGAGATCTGACAGTACTGTGGACGCCATCTGCGCCAATGACTATGTCACCTTCTTCGACTGTTCCGTCGGTGAGGACTACGCGGATGCCGGTCTCGGTGTGTTCGATGCGTTCAACACGCTTGTTCAACTTGACTGTTGACTGATCTGGCAAGTTATCGTACAAATGAGCCACGCAAGACTGTCGGTCGAACAAAACAGGTGGCACCCCAAAGCTGTTGCTGAATCAGTGATGCTCATCAGGTGCTTTGCGCTCGCGAACATTGACATACAGCTCGTGGAACCTGTTCATAGTACTGCGGTTCCCATTGATGGTTCCATCTGGCCAGCGACGATACTCTGTGGTAACAGGTGTGATGGTGCTCAAGATCTTGGGCAGGAAGCCGAATTGATCAAAGATCCGCTCCGCATTTGGCCAGATGATCAACGCTGCTCCTTTGACAGATTTGACCCTATCGTATTTCTCCAAGACGACATGGTCTATCTTGGCAAGCTGAAGGGCATGCGATAAACTGAGTCCCACAATGCCAGCGCCGACAATAACAACCCGAAACGGCTTCGGTGGCGTTATATCTGTTTGCATCATATCGTCATTTGTTCGCAGGGTGTGTTGCGGTGTAGGAAGATGAGTAAGTCGTTCGTCGTGAGTGGTGAGGTGAGCGAGCGTCAAGTTATGGCGAAGGAGAGAAAGTGTGGGTGGTTGGAGAATGCAGCAGCATGTATGCGTTAGCTGAGCCTAAAGTACGTTTTGTAGACGCCGACCTGGTTAGCAGATGATGCTTTGACGCGAAACCCGACTGCTTCCTGAGCCAAGGTCTGACTGGTGACCTAATCGGTCAATCGCACGTCGACCTACCGTTGGCAGGGCTAGCTAGTGCTTATATGGCAAGAACTTGGGATGGGTTGACAGTGCATGTCAACACGGCACATGTTGCCAAACAACGTGTCACAAGCGCTGTGCCGAGGCAGTGGCTTCTTACGTTGCGACTGACCAAAGCCATAAGACGTAAGAAGGGCGCGTCTGAGCGAGCTGAAATTCATTGGTGGAGTCGCAGCTAAGGCGTGAATACCGGTTTGGGAGTATGTTGCGGTGGACGCCAGGGTCTAGGATCATCAACGACTGAACGCTGCTGACCTGGCTGAGTTGCTCCTGAGGCATGGGAACCCATCCTTAGATATATTTTCGCTTTACCTAGGTGCGAAGCGAGCATGCGGATCGTATGCAGCATTTGACTCCCATGGAATTCGTCATAAGGCGCCTTGTAGGGGTTTGCAGTCCAGATGCTGGGGACAACTCACCTACAGAACTTAATTTCTTTGAAAACAACAGACCCACGCGAGATGTTGACGTCGATCTGTGACTCTGAGATTCGTTCAAGTCTGGATCATCAATCTTTCTTGCCTTGGGGTACAATTATCTGGGTGGATGTTCAGAAGATCTATGCCAGCGCACGAAAAGAGTGCGCCGAATGTCTCCAAAGAGATACAGGCACAGGAGCACTTCATAGAGTGCTGGTGATCAGAGTTGTCAACAATCAAGCGATCTCCAGATTGATTGCCCAACTAAGTGTCAAAAGACCATAGCGAGGCCCGTGTCAGGCCTGATCCAATAATCAATCTGCCTATCGCTTGATTGTTGACAACTCTGCTGGTGATGGTCCGTTTACTTGTGGATACATGGAAAGGTCATTCAGTAATGAATTTTCGATAGGCGAGAGAGCATGGGAGTCGCAAGCGTGCCCAATACGAGACCGTCCTACCAGATCCACGCGACTGCCGGCATCAAAGCACCAAGAGAGTGGGTGGGTTGCGGAATTCACTTGCCTTGAGCGTTCGGCTAAGAGTGGAGCGCGGGAACGAGAGGTATATGGGGTTAAGCGGCTCGGCAATCACGCTAGGCCTGATCAGGCACCCTTGCCTTCGCACCTGCTAAAGGACGCAACCTCACCTGGGGAAAGAGGAGGCGCATTTCGACAACGCGCACGTCTCGACGCCTGCGCATTCTTCGAAACTCCGCCTGCCGCTCTGCTATCGATGACCATACCGCCCTCAGCGTGTCTGGTGGACTTGCGCTCGCGGTAGCCCCACCGGCAGATAACACCAGTGCCGGCGGCGCGTCTTTTGCGACTCACCCTAGCTGGCTCTCTCAACATTCCTCAGCCCTCTACATGGCGCCTGTACCTGATACACCCAATACGCGCATACGAAGCTCCGAAAGGCCACGCAGACGACACATCTCCGACTCGGTGCCTGCCAGCAAGAAGCGCAAATACGTGCCAGGTGGACCAGGAGGCGGGGGACGCTACGTGGATGACGAGGGTGTAGAGACACCCGTTGGAGGAACAGGACCAGGCGGCTACGCGTACATAGGGCCCCGCGGTCGCATCGGACGCCTCAACGCTGAACGACAAGGCGTGACCCTTCCCGATCTCGCGCCGTCGCCCTCATATTCACGACCGCGACGCGAAAGGCCGCCTGCTGGACCGCGTTCCAGCTCGGCTGCTGCAGTCGCCGCCGCCGTGGCGCAAAACGATGGATACAAGCCGAGGGAGGAGCGGAGTTGGGATGAGTTCCACCCAGATCTTGACATCGATACGGAGTTCCCTGTCTACAGCGCAGACCAGATCGACGGCGTAAGCCCTGCAGAATCGGTGCCAGGGACACCTGGACAAGCATCGTCAACTGGCCAGTATGCGGTGGACAGCGGTATCTCTGCCATGCTCGATGGGCTGCGCGCACAACAGACTCAAGACGAGGAGATGGAGGGTGGGTACAATGGCTCGGCCAGCATCTTGGCTACTCCCAAGAGGCGGCCAGGGCGCCCGCCTCGCAACAGAGACTCGATGCTTGCTGGGCTTGGGTCGCCTCCTCGACCGCGGATCAACCCCCTTCCGACTATGAATCCGAGGGAGAAGCTGAATCTACCGAAGCCATGTGTACGCCAGGTCGACCCCTTCAAGGCGCATGAAGAGAGCGAAGGAGTCAAAGTCAACTATGTCGATAGGACAATGGCAAACATCGGTTACCAAGAAAGCGAGGTCTTTGCTAGGGCTGAGAACAACTTGATTCGACTTCCGGAGGGCTCGATCGAGGAGGACCTGGATCTCACGTTACAGAACGAGGCTGAGGGATCCATAACAGCGGTCGCGGTTGGACGGGTAGAGTACGATATGGACGAGCAGGACGACATGTGGTTAGATGCACTCAACGTGCAGCGAAAGGCTGAAGACGTTGAAGCCATCAAGCCCGCGATATTCGAGGTTACCATAACTCAGATCGAGAAGGAGTGGCACGCGCTGGAGAAACGTGAGTGTTGCTTATCTATCTTCTACTCAAGCCAAGTTTACTGACAACACACAGGCATTCCTAAACCAAACCCCAAGCCACCGCAAACACACCGGCCACGATCTAGTAGTGCAGCCGCTGTCAACGGAGAGCCTGCTGGACAAGGGGAGGAACAAGATACAAAATGCGCGATCTGTGATGATGGCGATTGTGAGAACACCAACGCCATAGTATTCTGCGATGGTTGTGACTTGGCGGTTCATCAAGAGTGCTACGGTGTGCCGTTCATTCCAGAAGGACAATGGCTTTGTAGACGTTGTCAACTGGTGGGTCGTGGCACACCTGCTAGTGAGCTTCCGGTACGTCCTTGCCTCCATACGTCCAGCGGACCTTACTGACCTGGAACAGGGCTGCATATTCTGTCCAAATGGAGACGGCGCTTTCAAACAAACGACAGCTATGAAATGGGCACATCTCCTGTGTGCCATGTGGATACCCGAAGTATCACTTGGCAACGTGACATTTCAAGAGCCAGTACAAGATGTCGAAAAGGTCCCCAAGACACGCTGGAAGCTGGTAAGTCCATCGTCATCGAGAAATTTGTGTCACAACTAACTGGAACTGCAGTCTTGCTATATCTGCAAGCAAAAGATGGGAGCATGCATACAATGCGGCCACAAGTCCTGCTTCGAAGCCTTCCACGTCACCTGTGCACGCAAGGCACGCTTGTGCTTGCGGATGAAGTCTTCTCAATCCTCAAATCCACTCGATTCTACAGTACTTAAGGCATACTGTGATCGACATACCCCTTCTGATTGGCGGCGCGAGAACGACGTTGAGGGAGCCATTGCAGACGCAAAGGCCTTCTACCGACACACCATGCGTCACGTTCGCTGGCCGGACAGCCAAGTTTACGCTTTATCGATTGGCTCGACTCATGCAGCGCATGCAATCGACGACGAAGACGACGGCGTCCCTGGCAGTAACAAGCGTAAGCGTGGGCAACCGGCTAAGTCCTGGAGGCTGCCATCTGGAGCACCGGTGGTACCCCAAGCCATCTACCACAATGTCGAGAACGCTCTGATCAAGTTCAATGTTCGCAAACGTAAGGAGTTTGTGCAAGAAGCTTGCAAGTACTGGACGCTGAAGCGTGAGGCACGCCGCGGTGCCGCCTTACTCAAGCGCCTTCAACTACAAATGGAGGCTTTCTCATCCATGGAGATCACTCGCCGTAATTTTGCGGGAATGGGCGCTGCCGGACGGCCTCGTTTGCAGCGACGTATCGAGTTCGCTGAACGTCTTGAGGATGACATGGAACAGATTCGTGTCCTTTGCGAGAACGTTAAGGAACGCGAGGCTGAGAAGCTTAAAGACGTCATGATCCTCAAGGATATCCTGGATTGCGTCTACTTTCCTATTCCTTTCATCCTCAGTCCCATCCTGGATAGGGCGATCAAGTAAGTGAAATCCCTTGTCAACCCTATATTCTCGACTAATCAATTTTGCAGTCATGATAGCAAAGGTGTCTTTGCGGAAGGCTTCGGCGAGCTTAGGACCAAACTTGACGAGAAGGCCTACACGTCTGTCCAGGCGTTCAACGATGACTTGCTTGTGGTGTTGAGCGCTCAGATCGACTTTGCACCTGTCACCAATGTCGGAGATGCTGATAACGAGTTGAGTAAGGTCGCGCATCACAATCTAACAGCTGAGCAGAAGGAGACGAAGAAACTGGTCAAGCGCATCATCAAGAGTGTGCAGCCGCAGATCGAAGATGCTTTGCGCAAAGAAGCTGACATGGCCAAAGCCCCAGTTGAGAAGCTTGTCGATCTCGAAACGGTTCTCGAACAGAAGCTGCAGGGCAGACACATTGCTACTTCTGTCGAAGACGCTCCTCACTACACAACCGAAACCGAGCAAACAAACCATGACGAAGCCACTGAGCTAATGACCAACGGCACTGCCCATGAGGAAGCCGTTCAAAAGGCAGACGATATCCAGCTCGCACCCACGCCCGACGATAACGCCGCTGACAACAATCACTCCATAAACGATGAGGCTGCAGACGAGGCTGCCATCGCGGCTCAACTTGGGCAAGATACCTTGCATGCCTCCAATGGAAATGGGGAGCCTCAGGGCGATGCGATGGAGCTTGACGCCAAGAAGATCAATGGGCGTACGGAGCCTCTTACGCCACCAAGGTCCGAGAAGAACTTACTCAACCCACTTCACAACGGAGGCATTCCATGGTATCTCGAGCCATTCGACATTCATGGTACTACGGTCTACGAACCAATCTGGGCTGGCCGTGAAGTTCTCAAAGCCATGAGCGAAGATCTTAGCGAGCTTGACGACGACGAGCTTGATGGACTCGCAGACTCTGACCCAGTACAGCCAGACGAAGAAGCGGCTGACGCTCAGGCCATGGAATTGCGCAAAGCAGCTGCACGCAAGAGGCAAAGACGTTCGCGAGCGTATAGATGATTCATTTCTTTCTTCTCACACATTGTTTCACCCCGGCATGTCCTTTTCGGTCATGTTATGTATTACCTTTCTCTTTGCATCACATCCTCTGGCTTGATAGATGAGGCGCAACCGGTGTTTAGTTCTCACTTTATGGCAAGACGCCGCGGAACTACCCTTGTGGGATCTTGGAGTTGATCTTTGCGAAGCATTTCAGCAGGGAGTAATGGGATGACGATTGCTGCGGACCGAGACTGGCAGTTCTAGTAATTCAGCTACGATACAGACACGCATATTCCAACTTGACGTCTCTTTCACCATAGCTTGCTGAAACCAAGGGCAAACCCATGTTCTGGCGAAATGTACCAGTATTTCCGAGAAGACGCACGATGGTGGACTAGTGACGCCATAAAGATACGTAGAGTTGCTGCGACAGGTCGCTCTAACAGGGCGTTGGTAGCTGCCCCCTGACTTCGCAATTGCCTCACTCCTCTGAACGCCAAGGGGCGCGCCTGCCTTTATTCGATCTGTCCGCCGCGCACGTCTCGCCCATAAAGACGCGCTCACCTGCTATCCATTCCTCTCTCACCAAGACATCTGTCTATCGTTTATCGCTGTCCCCACTCACCTACAAGGTTGCAACGTCTCTTGCGGCAGCCTGACTAGCGTGAACGCTTACTAAATAAAGGCGCGGCTCTGTCGATCAGCCCTGCTAGAGCTGCCAAAAAATCCAGACCTTCTTGCCGACAAACAACACCTCACCTTCGTCATCTCCCATCACCACTGCCACCCACACCGCAGCACAAGATGGAATACGAGAACGACCAACGCGGCTACGACGGTTTGTCTCAACGCTCCTGTGCCACTGCGCCATTCGCTAACACCGACGGGTAGACGAGCCTCGCGGCTATGAGCGCGACCGCAGCAGGTCACCGCGCCGTGACGGCCGTGACAACGACAACGCCCGCGCCCGCAGCGCCTCTCCCAACGGCCGTGACAGCCGGTACGTATGCTTCAGGTATATACCGATGAGCTATTTGGCTAATACATGTTCAGTGGCCCGCCGCCGCAGCCTCGCGACCGTGAGGCAGACGAGAGCCGCAACGAGGGCTCCAACCTCTTCGTCACTGGCATCCATCCCAGCTTGACCGAGGACGAGGTCACACGTCTCTTCGAGAAGTATGGTGAAGTCGAGCAGTGTAACATCATGCGCGACCCTCACACCAAGGAGTCTCGTGGCTTCGGTTTCGTCAAGATGGTCACCTCTGAGCAGGCAGACGCCGCCAAGGAGGGTCTGCAGGGCGAGGTCCACCAAGGCAGGACTCTGAGCATCGAGAAGGCTCGCCGTGCGCGCCCCCGTACTCCCACCCCGGGCAAGTACTACGGTCCCCCCAAGCGTGGTGAGTATGACTGTTCTCGTTTGGCTTTTGCACACTGACACCAGCACAGAGTTCGGTGGCAGGGGCGGAGGTCGCGGAGGCCCTCGCTATGGCGACCGCTACTCTGACGACCGTCGCGGTGGAGGTGGCTACGGCCGTCGCGACGACTATGGCTCTCGCCGCTACGACGACCGTGGCTATGGTGGCGGCCGACGAGACGACTACGGCCCTCGTGGTGTAGACCGCTACGCTTCCGACCGCGGGTACGGTGGCAGGGACGGTGGCCGTGACGACCGTCGCGGTGGTAGCGGCGGCTACTATGACCGACCCCCTCCCCCAGCTGGTGGTGGTTCTGGAGGCGGCTACGACGCCCCTCCTCCTCGCGAATCGTACGGTGGAGGCCGCTCGTACGAGGGTGGTGACTACGACCGTTCTTACCGCTAGCTCCCCTGCTAATCAAGGTAGAACCCAAGCGGTACTAAGCTAGGTTTCGCAGGGCTACTCTGATCAAAGCAAGCTACTCTTTCAGCACTTCACGCATGTAACCCCATGGGTACGCCAATGGGCTCGCTTTATAATACGGCTTCACATCACAGGGAATGGTCGGCAAAAGTTCTTCGATATAATTCGCAGCAGCGCACGGTAGCACACTTCGATAGTTTGCCATCTTGCAGCTCGACAATTCCCACACATCTTCGGCTCGGTAGTTTTCCTTGGAGAATCGGTTATCAGCACTCGGTAAAGGCTTCTGGGGCATCACTCACAGCCCTTTGGAGCATCAGTCGTCTTGAACATCTACGTCGACACAAATTGTACTTCTATAACTTCCCTTACGATGCAACCTGGACGTCAAATAATTCATCCGCAACACCTGCCGCGCCACCACCACTGTCTAGATATTGTCAATATCACCTGTCATAACCGCGCCCGTGTCAACAGCCTGCGACAAACCCAGATAAAGCGGTCAGCAGTCATCGCCATCCGATCACAAAAGCAAAGACCACCAGATAATTGCGCAATACCCTGTCTCGCCTAGGACGCAGCGATAAGAAACAGATCCACCTTGTACTACGCCATATAAAACAGTCTGCATTGTGCTGCGCGCAAGCAGATTCCAGGCTCAAAAGTTCTGCCTTGTTTCATGCCAGTGCCCGTGACAACAGCATGCAAACGATTGCTGAGGTTTGCACCAACGCAAACTGACGCTGCGATGCCTTGCGCGTCGCGAACACTGGCCGACGGGCAGCTGCAGATGAAGGTGCGTGTCCCAGCTTCCGTTTGTGTACTTCCTCCTTTAGTCTTGCAAATATTTCACCTTGCTTCGCTGCTATCGCGCAACTTTTTGTCTACACGATCACCAACCTGGTAAGAACTCAAGGTCACAGTCCGCCCTGATGTTAGACATAGCTGGTCAGGCTACACAGCAGCGTCTGCGCCAAATTTGGCTATAGCCAGAAGCTTGTTCAGGTAGGCGATACATTCTGCAGGGCCTGCAGCTGCAGCATCTCATCTCATCAATGGTTGCTTTTTGCATCGTCTAAAGCGAGCCATCGATTGTCGACCAGAGTTACTGTCAGTCGTATGGCTGAGGCTTGCCTTCGTAGCTGCTCGTTGAGGTTGTCCAATTTTTGACATCCCCACACGTGCGCGACGGTGACCCTCTCATGGGACGTTTTGGTACCTGGATGCCGTCCGCCATGTTTGACAAGCTTAGACCGGCGCCCGCGAAAGCTTACGTAAACGCGTGGAGAAACCGTAGACCCCGTAGTGTAATTAAATGATCCACCCTTGGAGCTGATCTAAAGCTGGTTCGCATGTCAAAGCTCTCGTCCTGTAAATATAATGATCTCTCAACATTGCAAAAGCAGCTGGAATGCTGCAGGAGAAACAGCGCCACCATAGATGGTGCCCGAGTGCAGCTCGTCTCAGGACTAGCGTTGCACCAAATCGAACACGAACCCCTAAGTCCGGGTTCTGGGCAACGGCTAGGTCCATCGCATCCGGCACCATTGTGATGAGCTGACGTTGCTCGGGCTTGCATATGATGAGCGCAAATACGAGTCGGTCCCTCTTGGGGACCTCGAGGTGACTCTCTGTCCTCTATGCAGCCTCGTGCGCTCCCTTCTTGCTTTTGCATTGTTTGCCATTGTGTTGATAGCCTCATGTGAGGGAGGCTTCCATTATTCACCTGCGATTGAATGCGACAGCGCGCCGCGCGGCTACTCCACTGTAAGCGCATGCCATCTGGTACAGTCTGTGATCTCGTCATGCTAACAACGTGGTATAGAAAGGAACCGTAGTGTCTCTCTCCTGTGTGAGGGCTACCATTCGCTCTTCCTCGCCGCATACCCCACACACTCCTCCCTTCGGCGCAATACAATGACGAAGCGGAAGGTCATTCCTTTCCTCGCCTTTGCCGCGACTGTGTCCATTTTCCTCTTCTTCTTCTTTGGCGAAACAGTGCACAAGACATGGGAAGGGTTACCACAGCACATAGGGCTTGGAGAGCACATAGGGAACAGCCATGCGCACGATGCGACTGGTGGAAGCCAACAGGAACCAGATTATGCGAACTGGAACCCAAGACCAGACTTCAAAGCTGGCTCAACGCTACCAGCAGGGCATAATTACACATCTACCCTCGTGATTGCGAGGACAAAAGAGGAGGATATGGAATGGTTACAACGCGAGATTCCAGGTCAACAAACCGCTATCTACGTCGTCGACGATCCTTCCGCTCCGCTCCACCCTCCCAAGAACAAAGGACACGAGGTCATGGTATATCTCACATATATAATCGACCACTACGACGAGCTCGCCGACGTAACGATGTTCATGCACGCGCACCAACTCGCCTGGCACAACGACGAAATCCTCGGCAACGACGCCGCAAAAATGATATCCCGTCTCTCTCGCCCGCGCGTCTGGCGCGAAGGTTTCGTCAACATGCGCTGCTCCTGGTACCCTGGCTGTCCGGACTGGATGCATCCCGGCGAGACGGCCCAGAACGACTTCAAGCAAGAGGAAGTCCTGCTTGCCAAGTCGTGGTCGGAATTATTTCCTCTCGACGAGATCCCGAGTATGTTGGCGCAGCCGTGTTGTGCGCAATTTGCGCTGAGTCGGGAGAGGATTCAGGCGAAGAGTCATGCGCAGTATGTGTGGTATCGCGAGTGGTTGTTCCAGACCAAGATTCCGGATCATCTCTCTGGGAGAATCTGGGAGTATGTGTGGCAGTTTGTGTTCACGGGTGAGGCTGTGTTTTGTCCGAAAGAACATGTTTGCTTCTGTGATCAGTATGGGACGTGTTTTGGTGGGGAAGAGGAATTCGATGGTTTTGTGAGCTTGAAGAATGAGCTTGCCGACCGCGAGCGTGACCTCAGGGATTGGGAAGACAAATGGAATAAAGTTGAGGAGGCGAAGGAGAAGGGTGATCAAGAGAAGTTGAAGGGACTAGAAAAGCCTGAGCTGGGGAAGGATCAGGAGTTCCACAGGGACATTGATCGGTTGAGGCCGGTTGTGGATCGTTTGAGGGATGAGGCGGAGGTGAGAGGGAAGGATCCAAAGAATAGAGCGAAAGAAGCGGGGAGGGTGTGGCACGAGGACGATGGCTTCTAGTTGAAGTCAATTCTGAATCTGATGTTCTGGTACAGGAAGGGATTTTACAGGTCTCTGGCGTTATATGGGAGGATACCCATCTACAGACTTAGACTCTTGAAGCAGTAGAGCGCAGCCAGCGAGCTGTCATTGTTGTCACGTAAGTCAGTATCGCATTACTCAGGCGGAGCATGTCTACTTCTGCTACATATTGCTAGCCAAACAAATCTTACCGTGTTGGCTCCTACCATCCACTCAACTCACGCTGGATTATGCCATGTAGAACGTGGAAGTCCTCAAGGAATACCACCAATAGACAGGTCTCGATATACTTTGCGCCCCAACGACTCGAGCGCTCGCGCCGGATTTAGCGATAAAGAATGTGCCAAGGGAGTTTGCACAACCACCATGTGGTCTGCTAAATCACCTTCAAAAGGTATAACAACAGGGCTCATACCATTACTGCCATTGAATCTCCAGCACACGTCTCTCAAGCACAATTATTGTTTCTTTTCTTGATGTACAACATTGGCATTGCATCTCTTCCTCACGCACTTGAAAGACCTGCTGTTATGTAAGCAAAGTGTGCAAACACAGACTTGACACGCAATGCAAACAACACAAACGCCATCCCTTCGCCCCCACGAACGCGCCGCCGCTGGTCGGTCGCTGTCTCCTGCTTGTCAATCATACACGACAACGACAAGCATGACGCAGCAAGCAACCAGCACCACAATAGGTGCGCAAACAGCTGCTGCAACGCCATTGCCGTCTTTGATTGTAGCAAACTTCGCCTGCATGTATCGAATGTCACATTACCATCTCTCAAACACCATATTCCTGCCTTCTCGCATCTCGCATCTGCTGTCAAACCATCTCATCGCAAATCAGACTTTATGTTGCTTCGAACAAACCAAGCCATGTATCCGCACCTGACCAAACCACAACTGCTGGGATCTTGCATTCAAAAGAGCGGTGTCTCTCGAGAGCCTGGCTTGCATCGAGTCCATTCGTTCTTCCCTGCCTTGCTTTCTCTTGAGTCTTTGATCAAGTACTTACATTCGAAGTTTGACAGTCTTGCTTCTACAGCCCATCAATCCAGACCTACTTGTTTGACCACGCCCTTCCGATCTGATCTAGTGATTGGCAGCAATGGCAACAAACGCTCCCTACTACCAGATGCGTGCCGGCCAGCTGTCCACGGGTACCAACAGCTCAACCGCTGCCGCGCAGACCGACACACCTCAAGACGGAGACTATGGCCTCGCGCCTATTATAGCCATCAAGCATGCGACTGAGAACCAGCATCTCCCCCTGTACTCCGAACACGCTGCCCGTCAACACGGAGCAGACAGGCAACAAAACGATTTCGAAGAGAATCACAACCTGGTGGAACTTTTGGAAGCTGCAACGACAGCTGCAGACCAAGATCCCGTGGCCATGCATCCTACCGAGACAGCAATTCCGAACCCACAGAGCAAAGGCAAGAGGAAGAGAGGCTCCAGCCCTCTGATCGACGCACCTACTTCTAGCGGATCCCAATCGCAAGACCATGATAGCTCCACCGTGAAACGCCATCGCATCGACACATCATCCACCCATCCCAGTCTCCAAGCCAACAGCAACGACACCACTATGCGCTCCCCTGCCTCCAACACCAGCCCTTCACCATCCCGCGACAGCCTCCTCATCGACGCCCGCGCAGCAGGCGTCCACTCAGCCGCCGCTCTCTTCCGCCGCACATCATCCAATCCAACACGCAAGTACACGCGCCCACCCATGTCCAAGCTCTTCATGTCCCTCAACATAACGCCTGAGAATTTCATTGCCCTGCAAGCACTCGCAAAGGCTTACATGCTCTCGCCTGCGCACCCCGAACGTCAATCCTGCGTCGGCAACCGCGGAAAGGGTGATACTGACATGGTCAAGCTCCGCCTCTTCAACTGTGTGCGAGACTTTCTTGCTGATGGTTTGGGCGAGAAATTCTTCGGTGAGCACGTTGAGAAGCCTGGCGAGAGGGAGAACAGTGAGGCAGCAGCAGCATTGGGCGAAAAAGAAGGTGGAGGGGAGAAGTTGGTGTGGCCGCGAGACGGGAACAAGATCATCAGCCTTGTCACGCCGTTGATGAGGAGGATGGTGACGAACGAGCGACAGAGGCTGTACGCCATCGATACTCGGAAGGGCGGGAAGAAGGCAGAGAAAGACTCTAGCGTCGAGGCTCCCATTCACCAAACCTCACCTGCCACGCCGGTGCACGATGTTGACCAGCATCTCCAGACAGCGCTTGACCCCACACTCCAGCGCCCCGCCGTCCAGAGGCATTCACCTTCCACCCCGACTACGACGACTGTGCAGACACAAGCACCCAATACAACCGCACCTCCTGCCTCCAATCCCCCAGCCCTCTCATTGCCAACAGCTCCCTTTGCACTATTTTCCACCGACACCGTCGAGCCACACCTCACAAACATCAACATCTTCCTGACCTACACCTCCAGCACCTCCAAAAGCATCAAGCTCTACGAGAAGCGCATCTCAACGACCCGTCCCGCACACTTGACCTTCTACAATTACACCGCCTTCCTGGAAGTCATCAGCTCCATGGTCCATCGCGCTGAGCTACTTCACCCATCCGTGAAGACTCCTCAGGACAACTCCACTTCAGAGACTACCTCGGCAGACGCTCGCTCGAGTGAGAGTCTAGTCGGACTCGCTGCGGCTGCGAACGCTTTGCAGCCCGACAAGGACGAGCAGCAGCCTCAGTCGGCAATGGGTGTGGAGGCATCGGGCGCGAAGTACACGGTTAAGACAGTTGGAACGAATGGCTGGCAGGTTATCGATAGCGCGGAGAGTTGGTACCATGTACTCACTGAGCGAGCGTTTGCGACGTGGGCGGATGGCGTGTGTAATGTCATTGTTGAGCTTGGAGGTGCTCACGTGCAGACGGTGGCGAGGGAAGTGGATGGTGTGGCTGATACGACGGAGGGGGAGGTGCAGATGGAAGGCGCGTGAGGACCGGGAGTAATATGTGTGAGGTGCATGGGCTGGCGTTATGTTTGTTGCGTTTTCGGTGTTAGTAGCATCTATATGGTTGTAGGTGGAGGCATTTTGTAGATAGATTCAACTTCTGCATACGCCTCATGTCGTTTCTAAAAACGTGGGCTTATTCGTATCGCAATTATGCAGGTTTTCATGATGCGTCCATATAGGAAGAATTGGGTATATGTTGCTTTTCAATCTTTATGTCTATAACTTCACACCATCCTTCGTCCTCAAGTGTTCATAATCTCACTCGCAAACTTACTCCTTGCCCTGATCCTCGGGCCATAAAAAACAAGAATCCACGGCACGACCGTCAGCAGCGTGCCAATACCACCCAGCAAACTACTCGCTGGACCGTACCCGAGCTTATTGTACATCTGTGTTGTGACGAGGGGAAAGATACCGCCTGTAATGTCGTATTAGTAGTCGTTTGAGGTCACTGACCATTGAGTGTTGACGTACCAAGAATATTTCTGCAGAAAGACTGCGCCGCAAGTGCAGAACTGGCGTATCGATGGTATGTATCCGCTAGGTAGTTGAACACACTGAGATATATGGTGAAGATACCGATTGTAGCGATAGAGACCGCGATCGTGGGTACTTGTGGTGTCAGCGGGGTGTTTACATCACATTGCATTCTTCAACATACCGATCCAATGTATGCTTGACGCGCTCGTCCAGCCGAACATGAACAAGCCAATTGGCATACAAGCACTCTCCACGCATGCAAAGTACAATCGTCCTTCGGGGCTGTTGATGAGCTTGCCGTGCTTCCGGGCAAATTTTTCCTGGTAGATGGATAGCACACTTGCGATCAGAGCGCCCACACACATTGCTGCAAAGACAGCGTTGGCTTGTTGCAGGGAGAAGCCGTGGTTGTTTTGGAAGACGAGGGGGATGGCGGCGAGGGTTAGGTATAGGACCGCCCAAGAGAAAGCCACCCAGAGTGAGAACCAAAAAACGACAGGCTCAGTAAAAAGAAGGTGGAAAGGTCGATAGAGCGAGACGCCGATCATGGTTTTGAGTGAGGCGCGCTCCTCATCGGACTTGACTTTCCACCGTATACGTTGTGAGATGGTGACTGAAGGTTCCTCGGGATCGGGTACGTTGAAGCCGTAGTAGCCTGCTGCTTCGCGGGCATCGTACCACTTGTTGAGTGCTTTGGCTTTCCTTGAGAGGAGGACAGAGCCTCGTGTCTCCTTGAAGATGACGCAGATGAAAGCGACCATGACGGCGGCCATGATGGTCTGCAAGTAGAAAATCCATCTCCACGACAAGTTCTGCGCAATGAATCCAGAAACCAAAGGACCCCAACCTGTTCCGAAAAGTGCAGCTCCAGAGAAGAGGGCCATTGGTTTGTTGCGGTCGTCGGTATGATAGATGTCAGACACAACACCCCCCACCATCGTCGAGAACGTAGAGCCGCCTACTCCGACCAGAAACCGGACGACTAGCATGCCCGCGTACGATTGTGTGAAGCCAGTGCATAGTTGGCAAATGACGAATAGAATGCCTGAAGCGAGAAACACTGGACGACGGCCGTTGATCTCGGAGAATGGAGCCAGGACCATAGGTGCCACAGCAAAGCCTAGACTGATCGTCAGATCTCAGGTCAACTCGGCTTCTCTCTCGGATACATACCGGTTGTGAAAGTTGTGATGCCGACTAGAACAGCAACGTTGCTGACGCCCCATTCAGCCGACATTTGCGCAACACCAGGAGTGTATGACCCTGCAGCATAGGCCGTCAGAGCCGTGATGGCACATGCGACCCATATTGTAAAGTTCTTTCTCTTCTCGGACCAATCGAATGGGTTTGTGTACTTCACGGAGTTTGGCGGCTCTGGAGGTGGTCCGTGGTCGCTGCCCGTCGTCGGATGTATTGACGGAAGCAGACTTGTCGGATGTGGAAGCTTCGTCTCGAAGGTTAGATACCTCCAAACAATTTCTTCATTGCTGGAATCGACAGGAAGGTTGTTGTCGGTCAATTCCTCCTCTTGCTCTTCGTACTTCCCATTCTCCAGGTCTTTGGTGCTGCTGAAGGCGGGGTCAGAACTTCTTCGGGAGTCGACCACGGGGAATGTTCTTATTTCCGGACTGTGGGTTGGATTCTCGACTCCTGATTCTGAATTCCTCGGCAAGTCGATTTCTGGGCTAACTGACATATTGCCATCTGTGTGCCCAAGGCGTCTCCTTCTTGCGAGTTTGGTTGAGGGTCGAAGGAGTTGGTGAAAGTCGATACAAGCAGGAATTGGGGATGATGAAATTAAAATCTAGAGCTTCATAGTCCTAAACGGCCCGGAAGAGACCATACGTGTGGGCAGCTAGGCATCCGTAAGCCAATTAAAGAGGTTGAGCTTTGTCCGGGTTTATTGCTGGTTCCAACAGAATCCGGGGCGCTGGGAAAGCGTTTGATAGTTGTCGGGAATAACATTAGCTAGCTGTGTTGGTAAGCTCGATGGATGGAGGAGCAGCAACACGGTCTTGCCTTGGCTGTGCCAAATTAGAGCCTTCCTTGCGACGGAACTGCTGTAGAATTACCGCCAAAAGAGCGATGGGCTACCTACAGCTTGCGTGCGCGAGACAGGGAGGATGAGATTTGCTGCAGGTTCCTGGAGATCGCTCGGGCTTCACGGACCAGCGCTGTGGGGACGCAGGGATGTCGTAGTGGTCATCCCCGCTCGCTGCTAACGCGTTATTTCCGTATGTAGGCGCGTATTATTAACAGGGCTTGCGATTCAAGAAAGAGTTTACAAAGAGATGATGAAGAGTCGCGCTGGAGTGTGCCCAGATGAAGGTCAAACGTCGAAGATGTCACATTTGTTACAACTCTGGAGGAAGCCACGACCTCGGAGCTCAGCCAACCGTCCGCTGTGTGACACTTGAAGACCCTCAACACCAAAGCAACAATTAGTGAGCAACTTTTGTACGCTTAGAGTTGAAAGCTCCATAAGATTGTCATTGACTGCTCTATGTTACACGCATATAAACAACCTTAGCATCTTACAAATGTATGATATGGGATCGGTGTGCATTGACTGCGGATACTGCCGCGTACCCTGCCGAAGGCTGCATGTAGACACCCTCGCGACATGAGGAGTGTGAGGCGCCAGTGTTCAGGCCTAGCCTTCTTCTTTACCCTCTACTTTCTTGATGAGGAAGCCCAGCTAGGATGAACGGCGTGATATATTTGGTAGGTGACGGCATTCAGGTCTGCCTGAGTGACTCCTCGAGGCATTAACGATTCACAACGTGGAGGAAGCCAAGACTGACCAAATTTGGGACTTTACAGCCGCTGTGTCCTATCAGCTGCGTCCAGTTCGAGCTTTCACCACTCAAATATTTCTCGCCTCTCAAATGGACGAGCCACCATGTCATTTTGGTGGTGGTCGCTTCTGGTATGAGTTGCTCTAAACTCAAGTTTCAGGACAATTACACTCGTCCAAAACGTCAAGACGCGAACCTCCGCCCAGTGTTAACCACGAAGCCAGCGGACGAACGATACTACAGACACTTTGGCTTCCTATTCCGCAGAAGCTGAAGGCACCATGATGGCTCAAGATCGCGCAAGTTCTGTCTGCCGTTCCAACGTGTCCTCACCCTCTCACTGCTCTGGGCGTGAGGGGCATATCATTGGCGCTCCGATACCGCCCCGTATGTGGAGTGTGAGATTGGTCTAAACCACTCTGACGTGGGATGTATGATGGCAGAAATCTTTTTGTATGGCCAACACGTGAGTATTGCGCAATGCCCGCTAGCTGCGTTCGGTCCTCGAGCTTCGTTGTGGAGGGACTTAGAAAAGCATGAGAGCGCCTCACTGCCCCTCCAAATTCTTCTTGCTGTTTTCATCGCAACAATCGCACTCCAGATACCCGTCTTCAAGACAACTCCAAATTTTCTGTAAAGAATTCTCCCTTGCGTGCTCGTTTGGAGCTCAAACGTTACCCCGCGCTACCCCGCCACCCCTCATGTTTGTGATGTTTGAACAATTCTAACGAGGCTGAACAGAAAACACAATGTCTAACGAGACTCTCCGTCTGGGCAGCACTGCCCCCAACTTCAAGGCCGAGACCACTCAGGGCCCCATCGACTTCCACGAGTTCATCGGCGACAACTGGGTCATCCTCTTCTCCCACCCCGAGGACTACACACCCGTGTGCACCACCGAGCTCGGTGCTTTCGCTAAGCTCGAGCCTGAGTTCACCAAGCGCGGCGCAAAGCTCATTGGTCTCTCTGCCAACACCATTGACAGCCATGAGGGCTGGATCAAGGATATCGATGAGATCTCCGGCTCCCAGCTGAAGTTCCCCATCATTGGCGACAAGGAGCGCAAGGTCGCTCTTGCCTACGACATGATCGACCACCAGGATGCCACCAACGTTGACTCCAAGGGTATTGCGTTCACCATCCGCTCGGTCTTCATCATCGACCCCAAGAAGACCATTCGTCTGATCCTTGCTTACCCCGCCTCCACTGGCCGCAACACTGCTGAGGTCCTCCGCGTCCTCGACAGCCTGCAGACCGGCGACAAGCACAGGGTCACCACCCCTATTAACTGGGTCCCCGGTGACGATGTCATTGTCCACCCTGGTGTCAAGAACGAGGAGGCCAAGACACTCTTCCCTGACTTCAGGATCGTCAAGCCCTACTTGCGATTCACTCCTCTCCCCAAGGAGAAGACCTCTGCCGCATAAACGCCTCAATCAACCGTTGGGCACAGTGAGAGCTGCATGACGCACTCGGAGTAGATACAGCGGATACAAGCGTTGGGCATCGTAGATGATGAGCTGTAATCTTAGGCTGTCACCTGGAAGGGCTGGTCTCAACAACCTGGTCCTCATGCTTCTCGAATGGAGTGGGATGTTCTCGGGCATCTGATTCGATGGATGTTTGTAGACTCGATTTACTTCATAGGTCTGAAACGCTCTGCATAATGAAAGAATGACAACCCCTGCTGGTTTCAATGCATGTTTGTTGAATTCCCTATCGATTATTCGGCATTGACGCGTAGGATTTGACGTGTGGTGGTTTGTTCCAGGATTGCTGCCCACATGTTTCTTGTGAGGATCTGTGTCAGTTCTTACACGCTGATAGGCCTTGAGTCCATTCTGCTAGCACTTGATTCGCCACGGCACTCATCAAGTACCTGCAGAGCGGTGGTAGTTGACTGAGCTTGAGGCAGGTACCAAGTCAGATTGGACAGTTCGGTCTGCAATCACGTCGTTGACTCATGCGGCTGCCTGCGCCTGCCAAGGAAACAGGCTCAACTAAGCCCAGTTAGAGGAGAAACAAAACACATCTAGTTCATGTCTTTTGCTGTAACAAACCAATAGCGACGTGCGTGCGCCATCCTCCACAGTAACCGATCTTGAGAGTTGTCAGTCGCGGTCTGCCTACTGGACATGCGGAATAGGACTAGCCGATTTTAGTGCAGGCCAGACCACGCGACGGCGCACACCAGCAGGTCGACGCGGGGCCTAAATCAAGACCCGCATTGCACTTGCTCCGCTTACTGTCATACCGCTCAACCATTGCCGGTATACCTTTGGTACCTTGGAGCACGTTTTGTCGACATCTCAGCCTCTTCTGCTCAGCTGGACCTTGGTGCAAGGAGTAACAGGCCTGAAGGACAACAGCTCACGCCGAGGGCGTCCTTGCCGCATCTGGATTGGTCCCAAAGCCTCTGCGCTCACCTCATCCTCGCTGCCCAGGTGTGCTGCCTCCACAGTGCCAGTTCGCAACACGTCTTCTTTTCTGTCCGCCGCGTCGACCGCCGTTCGGCTGTCGCTTTTTCCGCACCCGTTACTCGTGCAGGGCAAGGTTCTTGAGGTAAGGCCAGTGATCTCATTCCCAACCCCTCGATTCCTTCTCACCACCTTTCTTTCTTTCGATCAGGCTACCACACGTGCCTTTCTTTTTGTCTTGGAGGTTTTACCAATCTCGGCCCTTCAGCTGAGATATTCATTGTTTGAACAATTTGGAACTGCAAGAATCGATTTTACCCTCCACCAGCCTCTGTAACACCTGAGGGCGCTTAGTGCTGCAAGCTGGATCCTGGTACACCACCGAAGAGTTGCACAACAGATGTGTATCATTTCCCAATCTGCAAACATGGCTTCCAAGCCTGCTGCAAATTGTTTCGTTAGTGGTCAACCACCTTGCGGCAAGGCCTGCAATAGATATTTGCTGCAGCTGGCAACGCCTGAGGTACTTGAAAACCAGGGCACTCTCCTCTTTCTGTGTTTCTCTGCATCCCCATGCCATTCTTCGATTTTTTGGTTACTCCAGTAGACCTGACACTGACAATGGCCGTCCCACTAGGTGTTTTTGCTTTCTCCGCAGCAGCCAGTACCCAGCCTCTAGACGACCATCCTTCTTTCTGGAAGAAACCCAAAGCGTTAAAGCTCAAACGAGCTTTGTCGACTCAGAGACGGACTTCTCACGAGTCTACTGCAGGTTCCCTTATCCGTTCTTACCGTTGGACCCATTCGGCCAGGAAGCCCAGCCAATCTGACTCGTCGTCTCCTGTTGAAAGTTGCGCTTCGTCGCATCGATCGCGGTCAAAGCACGTTCCCGTTGTCGTGCCAGATTATGATCTCTCCATAGCACCTGAAAGCCCTTGTATTTCTGTTGGACTCAGCTCTTCGCGTTCTTCGACTATCGAATCGAGTCGCCACCCCAGCCTCTCCAGTTTTCCATCTCCGAATCGAGGTTCAATTGGCGACTCCTCCAGCTTGAGGTCTCGGCATGTCAAGATCGTGATACCAGATTGGGTTCTGCCTACACACCGATATTCTACGTCACCTATCAAGCCCCCTTTCGATCCTGACCGGGTCGAGGTCCCTGTTTTTTCTTATCGGCCGAAGAGTCCGGTTAGGATGGCTCGACAGACGCCCAACACAAGTCGAACCAGCACCATTGATTCACAGACATCGGCGCCGTCACCATCGCAGTTGTATCCCGATGGATTTCGAAGCGGGAGTGGAAACTACAACTCAAGCGTGAATAGTAGCCAGACTAGCTTGCATCAACAAGATGATCAGGATGGGGCGCCAGAACGGCCACCAATATCTTCTGCACGCACACCAGGGTCAGGTATGACCCCTTCCCCCGCGATGGCGCAAACAGCAGGCCTCGCAACACCCTCAAGTTCGACTTCAGGTTTATCTGGACTAGTTTGTAACGTACACCGGACTACCGGTCGCGAACCACATCCTCTAGTAGGTGCGACCACCACGATCCTCGGCGACAAGCTCTACGTCTTTGGCGGAAGGAGACTATCACGGACAAGACCGCAGCTCACCTCAGACTTGTATGAGTTAGATCTTGTCAAGCGTCACTGGACGAAGATCGAGACAAAAGGGGACATACCACCTCCGCGGTATTTCCACAGTGTATGTGCGCTCGGCGACACAAAGCTCGTCTGCTATGGCGGTATGTCGCCAGCAACATCACCAGCAAACCAATCGACCCAGGTACTGCAGGGTACCCCGGCAGATGCGCAACCTGAGGTAGTAGTGATGTCTGATGTTCACATTTACGATGCTGCTACACGGACATGGATGCACGTTGGAACGAACGATGCACCTCAGGGCCGATATGCTCACTGCGCAACAATACTGCCGTCTTCCGCTGTCTTCAGTTCGACTAGCGCTGCCATGACAGCCATAAGACATAATCCGTCATCAGGCAACCCCAATCAGGGGTCAATAGGGATCAATCTCGAGGGCGACGGAGGCGCTGAGATGGTCGTTGTCGGTGGTCAAGATAGTGCAAACCACTACATCGAGCAGATCAGTGTGTTCAACTTGAGGAGTCTTAAGTGGACAACAACAAGTACGCTAGGGAGAAGTTGCGGCGCGTACCGTAGCGTTGTGGCACCCTTGACGAGCACACCTGCCAACGAGATAGGTGCAGGAGCACGTGGAGAGCCTAGATCACCAGACGAACCAACATCGAACCCCACTGGCGAATCATCAATGCTCATATACTCGAACTACAACTTCCTGGATGTCAAGCTCGAACTACAAGTAAGACATCCCGACGGATCGTTATCCGAGAAGCCAATGAACGGCAACTTCTCACCACCTGGACTACGCTTCCCCAACGGTGGAGTTATCAACAACCACTTCGTTGTCAGCGGGACATTCCTGACATCCTCAAAACAAGAGTACGCATTATGGGCACTAGATCTGCGGACATTAAGTTGGGGGCGGATAGAAGCTGGCGGCAACATCTTCAGTCAAGGGAGTTGGAACAGAGGCGTGCTCTGGACACGGCGAAACAGCTTCGTCATCCTGGGTAATCGCAAACGAAGTCTTGTTGAAGACTATAACCACCGACGGATAAACTTTTCAAACATGTGCGTTGTCGAACTTGAGGCATTCGGTTTATACGACAATCCTCGTAAAGTAACGCCAAGCTCAGCATTTGGATCCGTCAGTGCCCCACCGCAGAACGATGGCCTCGACATGTTGGCAGGTGGAAGAGCACTATCACCGTCAGCTATCGAACTTGGTCAGATCGCCCTCGGTATGCGCGAGCTCGCTGACATGGACTTCCTCGCCATACACGGTGAACGAATACCCGTCAATTCGCGCCTTATTGCACGGCGCTGGGGTCCTTACTTCAACCAACTGCTGCGAGAAAGCACACACAGTGCCGAAAAAGACAGCGCCGATGCAGCCACCTTGCGTCCAGCAACTGGTGGTCACCCCTCCCGCATGTCCAGCATAACCATTACGCCCTCAATTCGCACCACCTACTCGGCCGCTACAACCCTCACGGCCAATACTATCACCCTTTCAGAAACAACAGCCGTCTCAAGCACATCATACACCTCCCTCTCGCCACCAGACCCCACAACGCAGCCCCCCTCCCAACGCCCAAGAACACTATACTTGCCACATACGCACCTCACCCTGCAAGCGCTGATCCACTACCTCTACACCTCCTCCCTCCCTCCGCAAAGCAGCCAGCTCTGCACCCCGCAGATCCTGTGCTCGCTCCTGCAACTCGCGCGCCCGTACCACATCGACGGGCTGCTCGAAGCCATCATCGAGCGCCTGCACGCCCTGCTCGACAATCGCAACACAGCCGCTGTGTTCAACGCCGCGGCCATGGCGGCGGGCGGCGGCAGCGGCGTGGCGTTTATGGGCGTGAATAATCTATTCAGCAAGAACCTTAATGGCACGAATGGGGGGTCGCCCAGTACTGGTGCGGAGGGCAAGAGCAGTATGGCTGCCGGCCTAAGGGCGCTGAAGATCGATACGGCTGTGCCGCCAAGCGATGATGAGGTTAGTTCTGCCGTGAGCGAGGGGACGAGCGCAAGTGCGAGCGATTCGGGGGAGTATGGGAGTAGTGGGATTGATGAAAGGGAGGTGTGGAATGGGGTTGTCAGTGCGGTTGTGGGGTTGCAGAAGAGGGGTCTTAGGGGGTTGATGGAGGGCAGAAGGATTAGGGAGATGGGGAGGGGTGGGCGGGAGAGGAGGGATGTTAGTGAGAGCGGATTGAATGGGGAGGGGGTGGGATTGGGGCTGACATGAGTAGTGAGAGATGGAGAGGAGCGGACGAGTTGAGACTGTTATGGGCAAGATATTGAGCATGTATGGGAGTTGGTAGGCATTGTGACTTTTGAGATAGGATAGATTTCCTTTCTGTAGATAGCTTGAAGCAGGGTCGTGCAAGACTAAAAGAATTTGATATATCCAGATATCGTCGCCATATCCGATCCGTATCCCAGAAAGCAGATAACGCCAGATTTGCCAGTCGCGCAGCCACCAACCCGTGGAGGCAGTCGAGGATTTTTTTTGCCGGAAGTTCAGACCACTAAATCCCTCCAGCCTGCCCCTAGACCTCCTCCTCGACCTCATCTCCACCCGCACCCCATCCAAACCCATCTCCTCAGGCTCGCTCTTGACCTTCTCTCCACTCGCTGCACCATTACCGCCACCAAGATTCATCATCTTATCGGCCTCCTCGCCATTCAGATCGCCAGCCTTAACCGCCTTCTTGCCGCGCTTCTTGGGTTTGGAGGCATTCGCCTCATCATCGCCGCCGTGCTCAGCAGCGCGCTTCTTCCTCTACCCACCCTTCTGCTTGAGTGGCATCGGACGAGAGGGTATGGACGAGTACTTACCGCCAGTGAGAGCTGCGAGCTTGTTGATGTCGACCCGATGTCAGCCAGCATGGCCCTCGATGCCAGCTGGGCTGCTGAGAGCTCGCCTTAGGCTCGCTCTGGAAACACTGCCACACGAGCGCGAGGACTTCATTCGCGCGGGAGGTGAGGATGAGCTTGTTGCTACTCACGATGATTGAGGGTGGTGCGGTGGTGGTGTTGTATGACGCAGCTGTGTTATTAGAACCTTGGTGCGCGATGTGCCGGCGATTATGCTAGCAGCGGTGCGAGAAGAGTGGTGGAGAGTGATGGAGCAAGGAGCTTGAGGAAGGAGAGGTGAAGCAGCCCTTACATGAGGACGCTGTGCGCCCAGAATCTGCGTGAGGAAAAAGGAAATTACGTTACAGCCCAGATTTGCAGTCACGGTGAGAAATGGGCAGAGACAAGTAAAGGAAGATTTATAGTCAATGTTCGTTGCAATCCTCGATCAGGTGGTCTTGCATGTCGAACTGATCAATGTACGTCAAGGCCCTCCCATGTCAAGTTGGTACTGCAGACTCAAGTACAGGCCACAAGTAGAGTATGCTGAAGGCCTCCACGCTGAAACCTAGCCCAACACCTGACGACTGCTCTGCTCCAAAGCTCCCGCTCAAGCAAACCTAAACCTGGTCGTTATCGGTCGGAGCGTAAGCATTAGCCTCCTGGAAGAACGCGTCCGTGCCGTTGCTGATGTCCACGACCTCCTCCTTCTTGATGTTGAAGTTGCCAAACTCTTCGTCGTCTTCGTCGTTGTTTGCTGGGTTGCTAACCTTCTTGCCCTTCTTGCTGGGAGTGCCGGCAGCAGCATCCTCGGTAGCGCTGCGCTTGCCAGACTTGGGGGTCTTGGGCCTGCCTACAGCGTTGCCAGACTTCTTTGGTGTGGCAGGGACTTTGGAAGAGCCAGTGGCTTTGGCCTTGAGCTTGCGCTTGATCTTTCCAAAGGTAACGCCAGCGGAAGCGGTTGTGTACTGCAGGATGTTAGTAGGTTGAAGGGACGAAGTGACAACCGTGAATGGTGGTAACATACACCGGTGAGCTCGGCGAGCTTGATATAGTCGACCTACAGTCGGATGTTAGCACGTGTGACTATGTACAGAAAACCGCCAGGGCGGATAGACAAAACACATACCTTAGGGTCACTGTCCATGCATTGCCACGCAAGGGCCAGCACTTCCATCTCCCTAGGCGTAAGGTCGGTCGGGTCAGACATGTTGGCTGACAATGGTGTTGATGGGTGTGTGGAGACTGGACTGGGCGCGCTGAGTATGACTGGAGAATGAGACGTGGTAATGAAGTGACTAAGACAACAACCAAGGAGGGGCAGATGCGCTCTTTTTATGCTGCCACAAGAGCGGCTAAAGCGGGCAAAAACTTTCAATAAAGTGGCTGCTGCTGGGCCTTTGGGATCACGGTGAGAGGCGGTAAGGTGAGGTGAAGGAAACTCTGACAGGCTCCTCTGATCAGCTCGCTGGAACTTGCAACCCTATTGCGGGGCTGCAAGGCAACAGTTGCTCTTATTGTTCTCTGACGGTATGCGGTCGGTCGACTTCAGATACTGACAGATCCAAGAGGTGTTCAATAACAAACCCAACCAGCAGTGATACTTTCGTGTAGACGGTAGTGGGCAATAATCCATTCGTGTACGCCCGCTCATGCAGATGCAGTGGCGACTTCTATATCCGTCGGACTTCCTTGCCCTTAAGCTCAGGTCTCTCCACATCCAACTCATCCCGTAATGCAGCAAACAGTGAATCTCCAACGATGACTGAAAGACCCAGACTCCAGACCAGGGTGATGGCGTAGAAGAAGTTGGCGTTGCCAGAGCCGGCATAGATCCAGAGATGGTAGAACGCCGGTCCCAAGAAGGATGCGTATAATACAGCCGCAGATGCCAGGAAGGTGTAGCGCATTACTGCGAACGAGTCAGTGTTGGTCTAGTGTGTGAGGGGAAGGGCCTTACGAGGGAAGAGGTGACGGAACAACGGCACCAGTGATAAGTACAACGCCGCATCTGCAATGCTGGGGTATGGTATGAAGACCGCAAAGATACCAGTCAAGGTACAGGCAACGAAGAGTGGCTGCTTGTGCAGTCGAATAGTAAGGCCAGGCATGTAGGATGCTGCGTGCAGCCAGAATACGCCAAGGAAGAACTCGCGGAACGAGTCAAACATCTCAATGAAGAAGTACCACCACAGCCCCACGTTCGGTGTAAGGTCTGACAGTAGAAGACGTACACCGTATGTGGCAGCCAAGAAGTCCCAAGACCCTGTCAAGAGAGCAGATGCAACGAGCAGCCCGCCGCTCACAGCAGTCAAGCCCAGTGTATGTGTGATTGTGAACGACCAGGCACTCGGCGCAGTCTTTGACTTTGCTGCGCGAGCGTCGTACAGGAGGATGAGAAGCGGCGGGAAGAGGAGGATGGGGTGCATGCCGAGGTATGCAGCGAACGAGAGGGCGAGTGTGAAGGTGATGCTGGCTCCCTGGGACGCCTTAGCCATGGCTGTGAGGATGAACAAGTTGGTGAGGGCTGAAGTCGAGCGCGCAAGGCAGGTCAGGACAGTGAACGGGTTGTAGAGGAAGCTGGCATATATCAGCATACAGTCGGCATGTGTGTAGGCTATGTCGTACCCTGCTGCAATCGCTGCACTGCTCCATCGTAGGTCCCTCCGCGAGGATGAGAACAGCCTGGAGACAGCAGCTGTCCCACTCTGAGCCACCTGAGCCAAGGCATACGCGCTCAGAAGATCGACCACAACGAAGACGAGGTTCGTGGCGAATGGATGGTGCGATGGATTCGGTAGCAGTGAGAACAATGGGAGAAGGAGGGGTGCCTGGTGGTAGAGGCCGCCGTCATATGGCGAGACATTGTGGGTGTAGAGGAACAGTCCCTCTTGTACTACGAGTCGTGTCAGATTGCTGTTGTCTTCCTCGCCTCAATTGGTACTGAATACAACATACACCTCTTGAAGCTTGTCACGGGAGTGGACACCTCGACGCGGCCAGCAAGGAGACTGGGAAGGCCGGGAAAGACGGTGAACAACAAAAGCCGCAGTGCAGCCGCCCCCCCAAAGAGGAGTGCTTTCTGCTTGTCGACAGCCATCTCCGCGGTGTTACGAGGAAAGACGGGCCATGACGAGCATGTCAGGCATGTCAAGCGTCGCAGAGCTCTGGTGGTGTTCTGGCGGCTCCGTGGACCCCTGCTTCTTTAGCGCGGCGGGTCATCCTCGGAAGTCTCAAAAAAAGTAGGAACGACTCTAGTCCCGCCTTCCCAAAGTTCGCGACCTCGACAATCCCGTAAAGTGTACCAGAACTCACACAATGGCCGGTCGCTCCAAGAAGAAGGGTACGCTTGAATGCTGCACCCGTACACTTTCATATACTAACACCTGCAGGCACCTCTGGTGCGGCGAAAAACTACATCACCCGTACTCGCGCCGTGAAGAAGCTGCAGATTTCGCTCCCCGACTTCAGAAGATTATGTATCTTCAAGGGAATCTACCCCCGCGAGCCGCGCAACAAGAAGAAGGTCTCCAAGGGCTCTACCGCTGCCACCACCTTCTACTACACCAAGGACATCCAGTACCTGCTGCATGAGCCGCTGCTGGCCAAGTTCCGCGAGCACAAGGCGGTTGCAAAGAAGATTGGACGCGCGCTCGGTCGCGGCGAGTCTGGAGATGCGGCGCGCCTCGAGAAGAACCTGATGCCCAAGGTCAAGCTCGACCACATCATCAAGGAACGCTACCCGACCTTCGTCGACGCCCTCCGCGACCTCGACGATGCCCTCTCCATGCTCTTCCTGTTCGCCAACCTGCCCTCCAGCGAGCACATCCCTGCGAAGACGATTGCCCTCTGCCAGCGCCTGACCCGCGAGTTCGAGCACTATGTTATCACCTCCCACGCCCTGCGCAAGTCGTTCCTGTCGATCAAGGGCATCTACTACCAGGCTACAATTCAGGGCCAGGACATCCTGTGGCTCGTGCCATACCGTTTCGTGCAGCGCACGGGTGGAGACATCGACTTCAGGATCATGGGCACGTTCGTCGAGTTCTACACAACACTGCTTGGCTTCGTCAACTACCGCCTCTACACCTCCGTCGGTCTCGTATACCCTCCCAAGTTCAACGCCAAGAGCGACGAGCAGGGCGGTGAGCTTGCGGCTTTCCAGCTTGAGGGCAAGGGTGTCGACGCAAACGGTGGCGCAAACGGCGAGGACGAGAACGCAGAGATCAACCCCGAGGCGCAGGCTATCGCAGACAGGATCGCAGCTGAGGGGGATGTCGAAGAGGAGGTCGCCGAAGCAATTGTCGCCGCTGCCGGGGACGCCGAGGACGACGACGAAGAGCAGGCGACTGAAGGCATCGACAAGTTCGAGCCAACCGCTCAGGACGGCGACGTCCTGCCCCAGCCCCAGGCCAGCCGCGCCGAAGCCGGCTCCCTCTTCGCACCCTTCACATTCTACCTCTCCCGCGAGACTCCCCGTGCATCCCTCGAGTTCATCCTCCGAGCCTTCGGCTGCAAGCGCGTAGGCTGGGACTCGATCCTCGGCGACGGCGCCTTCACAACCAACGAATCCGACCCCTCCATCACCCACCAGATCATCGATCGCCCCTCGCTCGCCAACGGCGCCGCCATCCCCGTCTCCAACGACTCCGAAGACGGCGCACCGAAGGCGCAATGGCCGCGCTCCATGATGCCCGGCCGCACATACGTCCAGCCCCAGTGGGTATGGGATTCCATCAACCAGGGCAAGCTTCTGCGCCCCGACCTCTACGGCCCTGGCGCCGAGCTCCCACCCCATCTGAGCCCCTGGGTCAAGCCCAAGAAGGGTGAGTACGATCCTAACCTACCCCTTGCGGCCCAGCAGCCCGAGGGCGAGGCCGAAGCGTTCGAGGACGAGGCCGACGAGGATGCATTCGACCCCAAGGACGACGACGCGGACATGGACGCCATCGTCGACCGCGCCGGCTCCGTCGAAGTCGGCGAGGGCATGGACGTCGACGGGTCCTCCGACTCCGACTCCGACTCCGATGCTTCCTCTGCCGACGATGCAGCACCAGCCGCCGAAGACGACGACGAGTCCGACGCCGAATCTGACATCTCCGAGGGCGAAGCCGCACGCCTACAACACCAGGCCGAGCTCGAGGCTGAGGCAACAGGCAAAACACTCAAGAAGGCTGCACCCACCAAGAAGGAGCAGAACGCCGCTATCCGCAAGAAAGCCGACAAGGCGCGGAAAACAGAAGAGGAGGAGCGCGAGAGGCAGAAGATGATGCTGAGCAACAAGAAGAGGAAGCTGCTCAAGCGCATCGAGTACGGCGCTAATAAGCGCGATACAGAGTCTGAGGGCCTGAGGAGAAAGAGGGCGAAGTTGGAGAAGGCGAAGGCGGCTGCTGATGCGTTGTAGAGCTGCATAAACAAAATGGGATGGCTAAGGCGTTGAGGTGTTCAAGATGCTGACGGCCATGAGCATCTGTTGTAGTTTTGTTAAATGTATAAGCATTTTCATTTCTGACTATCTGCTGTTCTGACTATCTTCTATTTTGAGTGGAACGTGTGCGTGAACATATCCTTCCCTACAAACGATGACATTAAGAACGTAAAATGAGCAGTCTTCAAGGATTATCGATCCTATTCAAGAAGACCATACTGTAACTTCAGAGAAAGACACGACGATTGCATATGCAGGATAGGCGAGACCATGACGTTTGCGGATGGTATTGAAAGACTCGATGTGAGGAGTGTACATGCGAACTCGATCCAGCCGTTCCAACCCATATCTTGACCAGACCCGACCCACACGCCCATGGCCCATGCCAACGCTAATATATCATACAAAAGAGAGACAACACCACCAGATGGTGTGCCGTAAATCTATCATCATTTTGCAGAAGATGTGACATAAAAAAACCTACTCCGTCTCCTGAGTAGCGGCCTGCTGCTCACTGGCAGGCTTCGCCTCGTTCACTTCACGCTCGATGCTCTGCTCCTTCTTCTGGTCCTCAACAGCCTCGACTGTGGGAGGGACATCGCTAGCCTCAGCGGCCTCGACAGCCTCCTGAGTCTCGGGGTTGCGGCCCTCTGCATCAGGGTGAGGGGGTGCGACACCGTGCTCCTTGGCAGGCTCGTGAGAATCGACAAGGCCTTCGTAGATCTCGTTGCCTTGGGCATCGACGATCCGTGTCCGTGTCTCGTAGCGGGTCTTGAAGCTGACCTTATCAGCGAGAGCCTTGACTTCCTCCTCGTTAAGGATGCGGCCGTTTTCATCACGGTACTCCACGCGCTCCTCCTTGGAGACGACGGGAAGGTCAGCCGGGACAGATGGGGCACCCTCAGGTGGTGGCGAGACGACTGCCTCTCCCTCAGCCTTCTTCTCCTGTTGGATCGGCTGCTGCTGCTCGTTTGACACGGCGACAGGAGGTGCAGGCGGTGGAGGTGCCGCAGACGAGGGCACAGCAGAGAGTGAGGGCACAGCGGTCGATTGGCCACTGTAGGCATCATACTATATCAAATCAGTCAATGTCGCGTGTGAGAAAAGGATCGCAGCTTACCGAGTTAAGGAAGTTGTTGCAGTCCCAGTCCCATGTGGTGAACAGCTTGACGTTGTTGCACTGGCTCTTGGTCCATGCATTACCGTATGCGAGAGGTGCGTAAATGGTGAAAACGGTGATAGCAATGGCAAGGATACCAACAGCTGCCGCTTGGCCAATGGCGGGAGTCTTCTTAAGACGGAAGATGTCGAAACGGTAGCTCACGAAATCGTAAATCTGGCAGAAAGCCATGATGGCGAAGTAGAGCGCTGGAAGGTAGTGGTGCAAGAACAGTTGACGTGCCATGAGGTAGAATGGGAAGTAGTGGAAAGCCCATCCGAGAATGGACATACCTACTTCGTAATCGAAGCGCTTGAAGGTGACATTGTTGTAGTCACGGAAACCCCGCTGCCATCGAATAACGGCAAAACCCTTGATAGCGGCGTACAGGACGATGAGGGCAGAGGAAGTCCACCAAATAAAAGGGTTTCCGATCAAATAGATTTGACGCTGCGCTCGGTCAGTAAAACATCTCTCAGCGAACCCAGGAGGTACTCAGGTACGTTTCAGAGACACTTACGTTGTTCTTGCCCCAGAAGTTAATTCCGCGCTGAAGAGTGGGCCACGATGGAGGGCGAGAGTCCCAAGCGTGCGACTCAGTGAGGCCAGCGTTGGTCTTCCACATAACCTTCTGCAGCTCCCAGAACTTGCCGAAGAAACCAGGATTACGGTAGTTGACGCGCTCAGCTGTCTCGTCCATCTTGGGATGAACATTGCCTTCAATGTACCAGATGCTGTTGGGTAGAGTACCTCCGCGCGCACATGTAACCTCTTGCTGCTCGAAACCCCACTCAGGCAACTTGACTTTGTGCGAGAAAAGAACGCAGCCAGTCATAACGTGGACAAGCCTGAACTTGGTCTGAATAGTTCGGAGACGCTTCTTCGCTTCCGCTCCGTCGGACTGCTTCTTAACAATCTCAACGCGGAACAAGTCGTTAGCATCACCCTCAAATCCATCGTAACCGTAGGCGGAGACTTCGTTCTGCCAGTCAGCCTCGGTGACGGGAGCACGGACATCGTGAGAGTGCAGACGGCGGTCGGTGGTGATGTGGTAGAGCCTGATGACACCGCCATCCTCGATGTTGTACGGCCCAAGGTCATCCCACGCCTTCGGGCTGGTCAGGTTAGGACCAGTGTAATCTTCTGGCATGATCGGCAGAGTCTGGTTCTCCATGATCCAGATATTGTTCTCATCCTTGTGGGGGTAGAGAGTGATCTGCTGCTGCTTGCTACCAGTAGGGTACATGTGGCTGTGGGAGTGGAGGTAACCACCCTGTGTGTTCCAGTGGCGGAGCGAGACACGACTTCCGTACGCGACATCGGCCGGGACATCCTGCATACCCTTGGAATTTAGGGTAGCCTGGAACTCAGAGGACATGAAACCATCACCGTCACCGGGGTTGACCAGGCAAACGAAGTGAATAGCGAACATGGCCATATAGAACGAGATGGGAATGACGACCAGACAGAACAGACGGGCGAAGAAGTGCTTGAACCACAATCGAGGGGTGACGGTCCTTGTGTCGCCGAGCAGAACCCAGAGCTGCAGAAGCGTCAAGCTGCCGACCCATGCGATTGTGAAGAGTCCAACCCACTTCACACTGGCTGTAGCTCCCAGACCGAGACCAGTGGCTGCCAGCCAGAACCACCATGTTGGCTGGAAAGCCTTCTTTGGTCCTTGTTCGTGCTGGTTTGTGAAGGCTGTCCAGGCGAGCGCGGTGAATGCAGTGAAAATGATGAGGGGCGAGTCGAGGAGGATAAGACGGGACTGGGTGACAAGCGCATTGTCTGTTCAACATTAGTATATGTCCAGATCCAGTGAAGTGCCATAGTCCTACCGAAGATGACGAGACCTGCTCCCAAGGCTGCGGTGGTAGTACGGCAGCCGGCAGCCTTGAGAGTCAGGAACATGGTGGGAATGGTCAAGATACCGCAGATCGCGGGGAAAAGACGCATTGTCACGTATGGCACACCCGGCTCCAAGTAGTCCTTGCCAATGTCCTTGAAGTCGAAATCGCCGTTGAATCCACCCAACCAGCCCGTAAGGGCAATGAGCATCTTTGCCAGCGGCGGGTGAACGTCCATGAAGAACTTGCCCTTGATGTACTTGCTCGCGAATCCACCAAAGCTGAAGGCACAATGTTAGCTAGCATTCACATGCCAATTGGGGTGACATACTGGACTTCGTCGAAGACAACGCTGCTGGGCTGAGCTATCCTGAACAGACGCACAACACTTGCAATGACCGTCAGGAGACCTAGGAGCTGCCAATCGGAGCCCGGCAGGTTGAAGATGTCATGGTCTTGCACGCCCTCAGACTGATAGCCCAGGACTGCCTGTGCTTTCTGCTGTTGCTTTCGTCCATTTGGCGCAGGTGATCGTGCTGGGGAGCGCGCAGGGGAGCGCGACGGTGATTTACCTGAGCGGCGCGATTGCGGCTTTTCGCTCAGGTACTGGTTCGATGCCGTGCGGTTCGCCATGGCGGCGGGCCCTCCCAAGAAATTGTGGTTTCGACTAGGTGGTGGGCTGAAGCTACCGTGGACAGCTCCAGGAAAGTGGTGGGAGAACACCTGTCAGCTCTCAGCAAGAACAACGAGTCTTAATGAGAGTACGAAGGGACAGCAAGTCAATGCCGAAAGGTGGGCAGCGCAATGGTTATGAGCAGCGCCAGGGGGGCCACAGAAGATCAAGTACCCTGTCCTTGCTTAGTACTGGGGGGTTCGGGGAGAAAGTACAGCTGGCTCTCCCGTGAAGCGCTATCTCTCGAAAGGGAAACGAGAACTATTTCGAGGAGCAGCCGCGTATTCAGCGTCATCAATGTGAGCAACTGAAGAGAAATCACTGTAACATATAGATTCACTCGACGCGACTACTGACACGTCTACACTGTAGTATAGAAAATTGTACGCAACGGCTAAGTGTTATCATTTTCCTTTGACAACGCGCCAAGTACTTCGCGATGTGAACGTGGACGGGACCGTGCGCGCCTGCCTGCTGATCTGCCAAGCGTGGAACGCGCCTGCCGTTCAGAAGTTCTGTTCGGCGGTGCAGCTCCACCTCCGCCGCTCTATCGCGATACATATCCCACCATGGCGGTCACAAATGGAGACAGCGCTGCTGCAGCTGCAGATCTCGACGTCAAGCCTCCTGAGAATATCGTCATTCCTCCAGCGAGTGTCCGTGGCAGTGCCGCCAAAACCGCAGATTTCGTTCATCGTAGAGGCGATGCCGCACTCGCCGGCCTCAAGCAGCGCATTGCCAACGACCCCAAAAGCCAGATTACCTTCATTCTAGACGACGACCCATACAACCCGTACTTCCTGTGGTATCTAGAGCAATTGAAGGCCGGCCATGGCCCCGCTGCAAAGGGCGCTGCCCAGCCTGTACCAGAGAAGCCAAAAGGACCTCCAGAGCCAGCCAAGTTTCGCTTCTCTGCGCGCATGCCAAATATCAGCGCTAAGGATCTTGAGGTGCTGAAGCTGACAGCTCTGTACACAGCACGCGTCGGCGAGAACTGGCTAAAGGAGCTACGGAACCGCGAGTCTGGCCACTTCCAGTTCGACTTCCTTCGACCGAACCACAGCTTTTTCCAGTTCTTCAGATCGCTTGTCGACCAATACAAGATACTACTCGAGGAGGAGCAGACAGTAGAGGCGCGCATCGAGGAGCTGCAGCAGAATATCAAGAACCGCTTCCATGTTCTAGAGCGAGCGAAGGGCCGTGCTGAGTACGTCAAGTACGTCTCGGCGCAAAAGGAGAAGGAAGAGAAGAAGGCCGAGGACGAGAAGAGGGAGTATGCCACGATCGATTGGCATGATTTCACCGTTATTGCAACAGTGCTGTTCGATGAGGCCGACGATGCTGCAGATCTCCCTCCGCCCGCGCTGCTCAACGATCTACAGTCGCAGTCGCTCGAACAGAAAGCCGCCGTTTCCCTGTCGACAAGACGTCTCGAGGAAGCCATGCCTGACGAGTCCACATACTACAATGCCACGCAACAGAATGTGGCACCACAGCAGGCCTACCCGGTGGCACCACCCGTACCCACGGTTCCTGTCGCCTACCCACAATACGCACCACCGCCCCAGGACTACTCATACATGGCAGCCCAAAGGCAGCGCGAGGAAGAGCAGGCGCGTGCTCAGGCAGAGGCTGATGCGAGGGCGCGCCAGCAGGCTGCAACAAGAGGAGCGCCTGGTCGCATTGTCACAGACTATGTTCCCCGCGCGGCGAAGAAAGCCAATGTTGCGCCGGTCGTGTGCCCTAACTGCAAGCAGAACATCCCTGCGAACGAGATCGATGAGCACATTCGAAGTAAGCCACCCCACCCTTTTGTACTTGTGGACTCGATGCTAACAACCCTCTCAGTCGAGCTGCTTGACCCGCGCTGGAAAGAACAACGAGACAAGGCCGAGCAACGCTACTCGACCACGATCAATACGGCAGATGTTGCGAACAACCTCAAGCGTTTTGCCAGCCAACGTGACGACATTTACGACGGTGCTACCGGTCAGCCCGTATCCGCCGAAGAAGAAGCCCGCAGAAAGAAGGCAGCTGTTTCATATGATGGACAGCCAGATCCTGCTAAGGACGCTGCGCGTATCCAGCAAATGCAGTCAATGAACGTACAAGAGCAACTGCGAAGGATCCAGGAAAAGCACCGTCATTAAGAGGATACGGTAAGGTAAATTCATATTTTCGAAAAGCGCTTCGTAGCCACTGCTTAGCAAGCCATAAGCGGTCTGCGTGCACGTGCTCACATCTACTGCATTGGGTTGGAGTTTAGGCGTTTCGACGCATGTACGAAGTATACCCAGGGCGGGTGGAGATCGAGATGAAGATCTTGTATAACGTCTTCTGGCAGCTCAACTGCCCATCAAAATACCATGAAGCAATTCTATTCATACAAATACCCAGTACAGTCATCCACATGGAGTGCATTAAATCGCGTTCGAGCCCGAGGACGCATCTCCGCGTTCGCCGGCCGGGCTCAAAGCTTTCGCCGCAACCCCAGACCTATGACCTAATCAGCAACATTATTTCCATGCGCGTGCCGCTGCTGTAGCTCGACAACAACGCCGTAATCCACACAAATCAGCATGTCTTTAGCACAAGCAACGAAGGGCGATATGCCCTACCAAGTGCGCTCACTTGTACGTGCCCGAGCGCCCCTCAATCGCCGCCGCGTATGCAATGCTGCACTTTCGCAATGTGACGCGACATCGAGCAGTCGCCTCCTGCTCTAGCCGTCCGAAGAGAAGCACAATTGACGCGCGATTGCAAAACTACGATTGAAAGCTATCAGAGAGCTAACATCATCTGTACAGTATCGCTCACTGCTGCGACAAAGCGGTCAATTCGCCGCCTACAACTTCCGCGAGTACGCCAAGCGGAGAACACGCGATGCCTTCCGGGAACACCAGAAAGAGGGAGAGGAGAGGAGAGTACAAGAGCTTATGCAGAAGGGGCTGAAGGAGTTGCAAATGCTGAAGGTACGTTGAGGCTACGCTGAGGCGAGAGCAATGTGGACAATGGGAGCGTAGGGTCATTGTGTGAATGAACGCAGGGCGAGCGGATATCTAGAGGGCTTGACAAGTGTTAAGAATCTCAGCTAACATACTGCTGCAGAGGCAAACAGTCATAAGTCAGTTCTACCAGATCGACCGATTAGTCGTCGAGGGCGGCAAGGAGGGCAAGCAGACAGGCGACAGGAACGACATTGTCAGACAGAAGGACCAAGGGTGAGCCGACTGATCTCCTGCCATGCACGAGACGATGCTAACGCAGATACAGGTGGGATTGAGCCCATTCATATGCTACATTCAAGAAGAGGTCAATGTTGGACCATGTAACAACACCATACACTCCCCTTCAAGCAAGCAGATGGGCCATAGACTCGGCAGATGTTTGAGACGATTTTGGGGTCTTGTGCAACCCTGAACGCACGCTTCTGTGCTGCCATGAATGTATAATAGGGCGGTCGCTGTGGGCCAAACAGCGTTGCTAGTATTTGCGTATAGACACGAACATCAGCCCCAAGAAATACTCTTATGCATGTTCTCGAATTCTGAATGTGCATCTGTCTGCAATGACTGCCTTGACTCACTGACTGAGGCCTGATCCTCACACATCTGTGGCACTGCAGACCATGGATGAGCTCGCTCGATTTGGCGCTAGTCGCGCACGGTTGCAGCAACCGCAACGCGACTTCGAGGTCACGTCCAACGCGCCTGCCTTACCCTTCACCGCCCCATCGCAACCAAACGCGGCAAACACCTGACGCCTGCACGACCCCGCTGCTGTAGCAGCTGCTTTCCAAAATGTCTCGAGTACGTCATTCTCAATTCGCCAACCTTGACTTCACTCGTCGATTGCATTCACCGCTGCATTCACGTCTGGCGCTTCCATCTTTATGACCTTACTATATTTCATCATCAATCGCATATCATGACGGTCATGGCGATCGCGAAGGGAGGCGGGGCCAGAATACCCAAGAGCGTTGCGAATATTCGCAGAGCCCGTGAAGCTCTACGTTACAAGCACCTGGCTGGAATTGATCTAACAGATGTTGCTTGCCCTCTCTCCGTCAATTTCTAGCCATACAGGGCCCCCCTCCAATTTTGCTTCGAGGGTTCGCAACATGCAGATTGTCGATACCTGGCTAACATCATGTGGTTAGTTTCGAAACCGAGACAGGTCCAATAGACCTGGCCGCGGTCAGATTGAGCATAATGTGCTGGAAGGACTTCCCATCAACCAGTATAGGGAGATCGAGGTTACTATTGGTCCAAACGCTGCCGACAGCAAGCCTGTGGATGTCAACGCGTGGCCTGAACTACCTATGCCACGAGATTCACATATGTTACCGGAGCACTCACAACAGTTGCTTCGTGCTGCGCGTTCTGGACGCACTATCAAACCACCAGCCCCACCCGAGGATGATGATAACGAGATGAAAGATGAGGAGACAGAGCACAAAGAAGTGCCAGTAGGGTTTACCATCAAGAAGTATGTTAAGGTTGCGCGGCACAACGAAGCGCCGGAACTCGAGTATCTTGCAAAGAGACGGAAAGGTCTGCCATCACAGTACATCAACGGTCAGGTACAAGCTCCGTTGAGGGAAACCAAAGTCAAGAAACTCGACGCCGAAGGCAACGTGGCGGTTTACAAAGTCCTGGCACCAGAAGGGCAAGCTGTCGAGGGCGAGGTCGCCCCTACAGATGCTGCTATCGAGGTTGCACCAGTCATCGCAGCGCCTGGCACAGTTGTTGAAGGAGTTGGTGTGGTGAACGCAGAGGGTATAGTGGTAGCAAATGATATCCTACAGCAAACACCACCGCGGAGAAGGCCGCCACCTCCCAAGAAGAAGAAACAGAAGCACATCCCTCGTGCAGGGCCAGGCAGAGGTAGAAAGAGGGTTGACTTTGTCGAAGGTGCTGAGGGGCAAGGAACTCCAGCACCAGTCGCAGGCGGCGACATACCTGCAATCCGCGACTTGAAACAAGGAGAAGGGGGATCGGTGGAGCCGTCTGATCGTGATACACCGATGGGTGAGGCTGGAGAGGACGATGAGTCTGGTGAGGATGGATCGGAAGACGAAGAGCAAGACCAGGAGGATGGAACTCCTGCAACGCCGTCAAAGGCACCAATTGCGCCTACCAGCGCTCCGGTTGTGGAGATGACGGATGCGCCTGAAATCGCTGCTCCTATAGAGTCGGCAATCGTTACAGAAGCATCTACGACTATTCCGCTTGAGAATCTCCAGCCTCCAGTAGAAGTGGAGCAACCCGCACCTACATCGATACCTGAGCCCACAGAGCCCACAGAGCCGACCGCTGTACGAGACCGATCCAGTTCGCCAGACTTCCCACTATCTGCAGTTAACCACAGCAGGCAAAACTCGATAACCCGGCTGCCCACCTCAGCAACATCGGTCGAACCGATCGCGTCAGAGCCAGTAGCTTCTGAACCGATTCCAGCCCCAGTCCCATCTACAGAGACTGAATCTGTACCTGCAAGTGTAGATATACCTGCAGGGGAACCTGCGGAAGCGTTTGTATCCGTACCGGTACCAGAACCTACAAAGGCGCCATCTCAAAAACAACCTTCTATTCCGCCGTCAGAATCTGAGCCCGATCTGCTGGGCAGCTTGGAGGCAGAGCTGGACAAGGAGGCATAGGATTTCGTAAAGAGAATGAGAAATGAGCGCACTTTCTCGTTGATAGGCAGCGGAAGTCTAAGCACGGACACACGGTCAAGTCGGAGTACGAGGATAGGTTCCTGTGCGGCAAGCGAAGGAAGCCAGAGCATGGACACGGGTTCAAGTCAAAGCACGACGGACATGGACTTGGAGCTTTCGTCAGCGTTTTATCGCTGGGCCAAGGATACCTCCTTGGAATGGAGTCTTGGAGTATTGGATGCACCGGAGGGCTTCTTGTATATTTCTGTACGAGTAGGCAATTGTCTAGATACAGCCATCAATAAGGTTACTGTTAGCCGGAAGGCCATGGGTTAGCTCCAACGGTGCGAATTGCGTTTAGTTGTCCGCCATGGCCAGTCGAGGGCCTTCAGGCGGGGCGCGTCCAGGAACGAACACGCGGATTAGTCTCCATTCTGCGCGATTTGGAGTTCACCAGCACAGGGTCCAGAATCTCCAACAACCCTGCAACGGCGATCAGCCGTGTCAGAAAACAAGATTCCCCACAGCCTCGCAAGTTGCACGACAGGGATCCAGGCGAAGAATGACGTATGAGGTTATGATGTCTTGAACTCCACCGCGTGTAACTTTATGATGTGAGCTCCATATTACCGTTGATCTTTCCAGCGATCGTTGTTCATCATTTCCATCTCGTTTGCTTTGAAGAGTATAATCTCAAACTTCATAATGACAGACAATGTTGGCGACCTCAAGAAGCAGACTGGCGCGCTGCAATGTAAGCAGTGAACCCACGGCTTGAAAGCCAATGGCTAACACAATTCTCTAGCAAGCGTCAACAGTGTAGCGAAATCAGCAGGCAGTACACCAGCATCGAAGAAGACAGTCGGTTCTACTCCAGCCAAGGCCACACAATCCGCTGCATCGAAGACGACACCCGTTTCTTCTGTGAAGAAGGCCGCTGGCACAGCTACCCCGGCTGCTAAGCCGAGGACACCATTAGGTACACAAAAGAAGCTACCTATTCAAAGGACTCCTGCGGCAGCCGCAGAGACGAAGCCTGCTGCCACTACATCGGCTACGCCAACCAAATCTGCTGCAACACCTATCAAGAAGACCGCAGCTACCACCACCTCCACAGGAAAGGCGGTAGTTAGCAATGTCTCGAAGCCTGCAGCTACCAGCGCCGCAGACACAACTACCACACCAGTAAAGAAAGTCCCTAGGAAACTCAACGCTGCTGGTGCTTCCAAGCCCGCCAGCGCAGTAAAGACCGGCACCGGACCAACGCCCACCAAGACGACAGCGAACCCGTCAAAATCAGCGGCAAACCCAGCGACTAAGACTGCTTCCACCCCGGCGAAGGCTACTCCCGTGAAGAAGAACATCGATGGTACGTGGCCAACCCCTCTCTCCGTGATTCGTGCTCACCCGGCCCCAGGCCAAGCTGCCTCTGCGCCCAAGAAGAACGTCGTGTCCCGCGGCGTCGGCGCAGCCTCGAGCGCTGCCAATACAACAGTTAGCGCTACGACAGGCCTCGTGAATACAGTCGGCGACTCTGCGACATCGGGTCTAAACTCCGGTGTAAATGCCGCAACGGGCGCCCTGGGCAATGGCCTTGACAGAGTCCCCGGGGGCGTCGGCAAGCCTGTCAAGCATGTAACGGATAATGTTGGCAAGACTGTTACGGGTGCTTCGGATAACCTGTATTACACTGCTGGCGCGACGACAAAGGGCGTGCAAGGCACAGTGTCCAAGACTACTGGCGCGCTGAGCAAAGGCGATGTGCGAGGTACTGTTGCAGGCGCTACATCTGGCGTCGGCAACACTGTCAAGGGCGCTGGGAAGGGGTTGGGGAATACAGTTGGTGACGGACTTGGTGGTGTGGGCAAGACCGTCGGTGGCCCTGTGGGTGGCGTGGTTGGGAACGTAGGAAAAGGCGCATCGAACGCCGTCAGCGGCATAACCGGCGGACTCGGCGATGGCGTAGGCAAGCTCGGAAAAGGCGATGTGATCGGGGGCCTCGGCAGCACACTCGGTGGCGTAGGGAAGGGCGTAGGCGGTCTCCTCTCAGGCGTGACTGGGTATGGTCAGAACGAGGGCGAGAAGGTGGATGCGCCGGAAAGCAAGAAGGAAGGGCAGTTCTTCTGATGGTTAGGACATGGGGATTGGGAGAATATGGATGAGAGGACGAAGAAAAGGATGAGGAAGGCAAAGGCTTGGGTACAGGATTTGCAGTCCGAGTGTGGGACGGAGGACCAGGAGTATATTGCTGCTTGGATACATGAGCTGGAGACTGTGCCGGAATGAGGTATACGAACATATGTAATATGGATCATAAAATTCGGTTCTCAGTGCGAGAGTCTGCGGTGAGGAACGTGACTACGAGCATATTGTGTCACAGCCAGTTTTCTGGGTCTGTTCGGTTTCGGTCGAAAGAGCACAAGGGAGTCCGGTATTGAAAGGACAGGGTTTTGAGATCTCATATCATATCCAAGGGGAATCCTGGAGAGAGTCCAGGTGGAAAGACAGCAGGATCAAACTGCTGTGAAGTACCCAGGAGGTAGCCAATACCCCGGGCATTGGTGCCTGCAGTACTTGAACAAGGGAATGTTGAGATTCCAACATTTGAGTCAGGAGGTATCCAGCATGCTGAGGCCGGCACTGGGGAGCAGATATTGGCTCGTTAGTGTAATTTGAACAGAGAATCCTTCATTGCAGCCCAAGACTAAATCAGAGTGTGAGCAGAGATTACAGGTCGATCAAAGAAATAGAGAAACACCCACATTGTGTTTGTGACCACAGACAAGCTGCCTCCGAGCCGCAAGGCAGTTTCCTGACAATGAGATCAACGGCGAATGGAAAGGAGGAAACAATCGGGAAGCTCTAAGACATGTGCAGTGATACAACGCGGCAGTTGCCACTCGGTGGTACCAAGCAGTGACTTCACTCAACCACAAGCAGCGGAGGGGATGCATGCGTGAATCAATACTGGAACTGGCAGATCTCGACGGATTGAGCGATGAGGGAGCTGTGTCTAAATTGTTAGCCCATAATCAGGTGCTGCAAAAAGGCCGAAGGGTGAAATAAGGGACGCATGCAGCAGAGAGATCCACGCATGGAAGTGTCATTTGGGGCACACCGTATCTGAGCCGAGAAGTAACAAATCACTGCCGCGGTCTAGTACAGCCGAAAGATGAACGGAAGATGTAGGGCAAGCGCCAGTGTCTGCAACGAAATGAGCAAGTTTCATCAGAACTGCAAGGCAAATTCCAAAATAACAAGATCGAGAGGTGAGCGGAAATAGGAACTTAAGAGAAGAACCAAAGTTGCCGTGGACGGAAGGTTCAATCTGAGCGAGCCACTTCTGGGCTGAAAGCATCCTCTGTGGCAATGAGAAAAAGGAACGAGAGCCATAAGGAGAGCCTTCAACACGTGCAACATGGAAGTGCCGCTGGAGCTACTCAGTGTGACCGAGCTATGACTTAGACCGGTCATAGCGAGCTAAAGAGTCGCCAATGCACAGCTGTAATGAAGCCGGCAGATCTTAAAACGTCAAACAGACGAAGGAGACAGTCGTTTCCCAGTTACAAGCCAATGCTCCAATGATGTAACAAGGCCGGAGGGCAAAAGGAGAGCAACAATTAATAGCAAGATCGAAGCTCTATTCACAAAAGTATCCGTTTGAACGATCCATCCTCCGACTGGATGCCTCCCTGCTGCCATAAGACCGAAGAAGAAAAGTTGCTAGGAGAACTTTAGACACGCGCAATATGAAGGTACTGAGTCTGCTACTCGGTTCTATCAAGTCCTATTTCGCATGGCAGCAGCCGAAGGGGATACCTTCTGGAGGCATCCAGCGTCGTTTTTGTAAGCATAATGTCCAGATCCCTCCAGGCTAAAATATATGAATTACTTCTTTTGGGTGGTAGTTGATGAGGTTGTTCCGGAATAGGAATAGGTTGCTCTTCGTCAAAACAAGGCCGAAGGGTAAAAGGAGAGAGAGACCAAGAAGGAGATGGCCACATGCAACATCTTACAACTCGGTGCTGCCAAGCAGCTCATTCATGTGCTTCGATCAGAACAAAGCAAATACAGCAACGTGTGCGACTGCGGTCATTTTGCTGTAGATCTGAAGCAGTAGGCTGTGATGCTTGGCGAAATGTTGGAAGGATGTTTCAAGTAAGCAGATCGTCCAGACCATCAAGAAGACGGTCCCAATTTGGACAGCAAGCCTTCCTGAAACGTTCTCTCTGTACGCTTGACATCTTCTGGGCGCGTCGTGCACTATGGTCTTGGAGCTCGCAACGCCTTCTGCTGGGTTTCTTCCTCACACGTGTAAAGGACCGAATAGGCGGGACAGGCCACGAGGTATCAAGATAGCAGGAGGAAGCATTGTGCGTATAAGACCGAATGCCAAGCGCGCAGCTTTGTGGATGCCCACGTGCTACATTTGTAGTATCTTCAGATACTCGGCATGGCGTTGAGATTGAGTGCCAACAGCTTGGAAGCCGGTAAAGCACCGAGATCTGAACGGCGGTCCCAGGGATTGAGTTTAAGTGCGACTGTGTGATGGTGACAAGCACAGCCCTGCCAAGCAATATATCGTGAAAGAGTTGTGGTATTGAACAAACCCCAAGCTTTGGACCGCCGTTGCCACTTGAGTGGAAGTGGCTAGCGGCACGTTTCTGCTTGGAAGCGCAAGATCGAACGGCCCGAATTCTGACAGCTGGCTAATGTAACAACGGTGAACTGCGATCGTCAGCAACGATTTTCCTTTCGAAAAGTCATCGCCAACGGTCTTCCGCGACGATGCATGCGCGGGCGGGAAACTATCGTCGACTTGCGTCTTTTACTGACCCGGGCTTTCGAGGCCGGGCGCTGCACAGCGGACTTCGAGCCGCACGCCTCACCCGCCCTGCACTTGGCACCGGCTGGCCAGGTCATCTTCACCGCTTGGCCCTACGCTGCTTCTTCGTCGCCTGTGCCACGATGCCTCAGTCGTGAGTACAGTAGCGAGGTGCCAGCGCTATGAGAAACGCAGCCAAAACGTGGCTTCGATTGCTTGCTTGAACGCTTATCCTAGTATTCCTCTCTTCAATTGCTGCGTTTCACAAGTGGGCTGATTCCCAGGAGTCTCCACGTTTGAACAGCTGGGTAGGCGAACGCCTCAGGCAGAGTTCGTCTGGGGAAGCATAACAGGCGCGGTGTTGGAAGACAAAAAAAGACTCGGATTCGTCACCGGCAATACAAGGGTGCGCATGCTTGTCATGTTGTCGCAATGCCCCGATTTATCAACTTGAAGCGGAATTGACAGGCGTGCGCTGAGAGCTCGCCAAGCAACAACGACAAGACCGAGGTGGAGTTTCAGAACCGGGGGAGGTTGTTGATGATCATATGGAGGCCAAGATCGTACCGTTTGCGCCTGCAAAGTTGCATCAGCATGCAGATTCCTGGTGGGGCCCTTACAAGGTAACAGTCACGATGGGGTGGGCATGGCCCTGTACAAATGCCGCCCGTCTCAGGGAACATCAGCAAGTCCGACGATGGCTACGACGATGTTGTTGGAGTGTGGCATTGCGCTTTGCAATCGTCTTACCCGAGCCACATCTGTCAGCGTCCTATCGCCCTCGCTTACACAAACTTGACACTTTGCGGAGGCGCAGGGGCACCCAAGCAACTGTCAGAAGTCTTAACATGGATTTTAACTAGGCTTGGGAGGGATATACGCTGGGCAGCTCTTCGACACTACTTAGCCTTGGCAACGTCCTGTCTCTGGGGAATCGTACGACATCCTTTGGATCCTCACCCACTCCCGTATACCGCCTTCTAAAAGCGTCTTTTGTTGGCGTCCCGGAGCTTTGAGTGTATGACTTGGCTCCGCCAGTTCTCCTTGGCCAGCGCCTGCGGACTGGAGGCTGGTCAGCATGGGTGAGATGGTAAGCCCTCGGCCTCCAAGCTGAGGTTATGTCTTGCGTATATCTTAGGGCTTGGTCCCTTGCTCAGGATGGTATCTCAAGTTGGTTCAGTCAATCTTTCTTTGCGGGCCTTCTCTTCTCAGCATTCATCTATTTCAAGTTTGGCGTTGACCTGCGGGCTTATTGCTCCTACAGTATCTACTTGCAGTATTGTCTTAGCACTTCTTGTGTAGTTCCACGGCCGTATTGCTGGACCAGCTAGATCCTGCGACTACTCTACTTCCTTGTTGGACCATCCGTGGACGTTGATCGTCGGCACTTCTTCCCCACAACCACTCCTTTGCCTGTGGATCTTCCTGCTACCTACATAAAGTACCCGGGCTTCCTCGGATCATCGTCAACAGCAGCATCTTCTCGTAGCGCATTCACATCTCTCTGGTTTTCCGGCATCGTAGCATACAGTCTTTCCAACATGCTTTTCAAGTCCCTCATCTTCGCCTCCACGGCATCCGCAACATGTCTTCACGGACTCTCGATGTTCAAGCGCGCCGCTGGCAGTGAGAACGGTACCGTCGAGGTCAACACCTTCGGATACGGTCCTCAAGACGGACCTTTCAACTGGGCCTCCCTCGCTCCTGAAAACGAAGCCTGCAAGGCCGGCACAAACCAGTCTCCCATTAACATTGGTACGGAAGATCTTCCGGGCAATCTGACAAGACGGAATGTCATAATCCACAAGCGGGCTTGTGTTAACGAAACAACCTCAGATGCCACCATTGGCGCCGCTGCAGACCGACCCGTCGTGGATATCCCCGAGCAGGCGGTAGAGTTCGAGAACCTAGGAACCACCATTGAAGTCGTCGTCAACGGCACGACGTCCTTCGATGGAACAGACTTCCGTCTCGTGCAGTTCCACATGCACACCCCATCTGAGCATCACATCAATGACGAGTACTTCCCGCTCGAAGTCCACATGGTGCACCAGGGCGTCCGTACGTATCCCTCATCTCACTGCCCCTATTGGTACGCAGCTAACACAACGCAGTCGACAACACCCAACTCGCTGTCATCGCCCTAATGTTTCAAGTCTCAGCCTCCAACAGCGACCCCATCATCTCCGGGCTCAGCTCGAGCCTCGACGCCATCGCCACCCCCGGCACCAAGACTTCCATCGAAGATGGTCTTGACTTCAGCAGCGTGCTGTCCAAGATCGAGACCTCCGATATCCTGCAGTACAGCGGGTCTCTGACTACACCGCCGTGCGCCGAGGGCGTTACGTTCTTGGTGGTTAAGGACCCGCTCGATGTCGGTGTGGAGGATTTCAATAAGATTAAGAGCATTGTTAAGTTCAACTCGAGGTTTATCCAGAACACGCTTGGTGGGGATAACATGTTGGCAATTGGTGCAAATAGTGGTGCGGTAGCTGCGAACGCTACTGAATAAGTGGATGGTTTGACGACGGTGTTTGGCGTAAATGGTGTTGTTGCACGATGCATAGCGCGGCGTGGGTGAGGAGCTGAGCGTAGAAGTGAATGGCAGGAGTAGACTTCTTTAGATCGTACCAATTTTGCTTTGTTGAATATATACACTGAGATCAATAATCCGCGAGAATTCTGCTGCTACAAATGTAACCGAGGAGATATCTCCTGTGCAACAATATCTCGTTAGCTATGCTCATCGCCGGTTCTGTGCGCTTCTGCTTATATGAGCGGGTTGTAGGAAGCCGAGCATATCCTACGTGTTATAGGGAGCGGTATTTGAGCTACTAACAGGTGTGCGAGCAAGGCTGAACACTAGGCCGGTCGCATGCTATTCGCCATGGGCCTTCGACCGACATATCTGTGCAACTCAGGTACGGAGTGTTGAAAATCAGTCGGATTCGAAAACTTCTTCACCGGTTGAGATAGACAAAAACTGGCCAAATGTCTATGGAGACATTGTTCTGTGGCCACCCCTGAGGGTTACACGGAGACATCTTGTGTTTGTACAAATGTATGCGCAGAATCTTTGGAGAGTAGGGTACGTGCATTGAGTGGTATCTATCGCTTCCACATATGAAATCTACCGTCTATCTTTCTAAAACATGACCATACAACTGGACTTTTGCAATCATTCTTCAAACCCTCACGGCAACCTTCCATCCCGCAACGTAGAATCTCGTAAGCGTGAACAAACTTGCGCCAGCAGTAAGCAACACACCAGCGAAAACGTTCAAGCCCCAGTACTTCCCGTGGTTGTGCGTTACGATTGCGCCCGCAACGGGGTTTCCTATGAGACCTGCGAACGAGACGACCGCGAACGTGACGCCGATCCTGACACCGATTTGCTGCACCTCCGAAATCTGCGCCATCTGCGCAGGAAGCAGAGACACATAAGCGCCCGACGCGAACCCGTACAGCGCCGCGAAGGTAATGTACGCCGCATTACCCGACGCCGGCAGACCGAGCGCAAGCACAATGATACCCGCCACAATGCACCACAGGGACTGCATATTGAACTTGCCTACTTTATCCGCAAGCGCACCAGGAATGATACGGCCGAAGATACTCGCCGCGTTGAGCACAGCGAGGAGGTATCCCGCGAGCCTCACGCTCATACCGTCCGCGATGGCCTGGACCTCGATGAAATTGATTGGTATGAAGAGGCCCATGAAGAACAGGAATGAGGAAGCTGTGAGCAGCACGAACCGCGCGTCAGTGAAGGGCTCGAGGAAGACTTTGAAGCGCAGCGGTCGCGGGCGCGGTGGAAGGCGCGATTTGATCGTTAGCGACGCGATGATGAGCAAGCCGAACAGCATGAAGGCGATTGCCCGCATAGTCCAGCCGAATCCGATTTGCGGGATCAGGTGCGAGGCCATGATGGGGATGATGATGCCGCCCAGGCCGCTGCCGGCGGCCATGATGCCGTATGCTGCGCCGCGCTTTGCGAGGAACCAGGTTGGGATTGTGCTTGTTGCGGCGTTGAATATGCAGTTGAGACCAAGGGGACTGCAGATAGCCTGTGCGAGGATGAATTGGTAGTACTTTGTGCAGAGGGAGGTCATCATCAGGCCGAAGACGTGGAAGATGGTGCCGAAGACGAGGAGGTATTTGGGGCCGTAGTTGTCAAAGGCCCAGCCGACGATGGGGCCGGGGAAGAACATCATGAAGATCTCGATACTGGCGATCCAGGCGATGGACGAAGGTGAGTAGTCCCGCAGTTGATTGGTTTGGTAGTAGTTTTGGAATACTCCAAGACAGTTGATCCAGCCGAAGGAGCAGAAGAGACAGCAAAAGCCTCCCAGTAGACACAGCCATGCATCTTTGCCGCCATCGGGGAACTGACTTGGGTGGAATGGATTCACTGGTTCAGAAGTGGGGACCGGTGGTTCTGTTTCTGTTGGCTTCTCGTCCAATTCGAGAGGTGGTTGCTCGACATCGGTCCTTGGCTGATAAGGCTTCTCGAGGTCTTCGACCGAATTAGCCAGACTTGTGCCTTGCGACATCGTTATTGTTGCTGTGGTCTTTTTGTTGTCGTATATGGCTCGTGGCTAGGGATGTGGGAACTGCTCCTCGGAGGCACACTTGGTCTGATCCTTCTCGTCTCAGGAGGTCAAACTGTGGAGGGACTCAACGATAGCTTGGCGTAGAAACCTAGTAATTAAGATGTCAACTGAGTAGTAATTATCGTAGGGCAGAAGGGTCGGTATAAGAACAAGGTGCTGGTTCGTACATTCCATTATTTTGTGGCGTTCTTTGAGGCCGTGTTTGGCAAGCGTTCGAGATGCTCGGTCTTCCATGAGCGCGAGAGGGCCGGCTCCGAGCCAGACCAAAGCACAGTCCGTACAACGTCACTGCACGCAATCCTTAACGTCGAAACCCTTTTTGTTTCTTGAGTGTAATTGGTCGTCAACTGTTAAAGAGATTAGGCTCGAAAAACTTTTGGGTCATAAGTTTCAAGCGCAGCATATAGAAGTCGGACTTGGGACGGATCGCCGTCGATGTCCGACTGCAGCCTGGAGATCGCAATCCCGCGACTCTCGTGACGCGCATTGCACCCTTTCGTCCTGATCGTGCAATAGCTGACCGAGCATACAACCCTACTGTTAGTTGACGTTGTTTTGTTCAAGATTATATAAGCGAGTATCTCTATCTTTCTCGTGGTAAACGCCTGAAGCCACCGATATCATCAGGGCGTGTCACAATCGGGAGGTGTGTGCTGTACATCATTCTTCTCACCTACCTGCCTAACACTGTTTGCATCTATCGCAACAGATGAGGTTGTCAGATCTTAAGGTGGCACATGATGACGTTGATTGAGACCAGGTAAGAGCTCGCCCAACACCGTTTGAGCTTCCCAGCACTGCGCCTTTTGGTGGAAATCCAGCAGCCAGTAGACTTGAAAGGCTTCAAGATGTTCGTGTTTCTTCCGAGGTAATCTTGAAGGGCTCATTGAGGTACAGTTGAGCTTGAGCGTGGATGCACTCAGTGCATTAAAGACAGGGCTGGCCGCTCACTTGGCAAAGAGGATGCAGACATATAGTGCATGAAACTGCTGACGATGATTTTCGACTCGTTCTTTCGATATTATGATGTACCTCCACGGTGAGTTGATAGGTGAGGTGAACGAGCCCTATGCAGCGAAGCGGTTCGGTCATTGCCTTGGCAAGCACAGACATCACCGAGGCGAAGACGAATTGAGCTCGAGCCTCATCCGTCCCGCTCTGGTCTTTTTCCACCCTCACGCGCACAACAGCTCTGCCCCATTCTCCATCACTCTCTCAGAAGCTACCGCACTCACCTCATCGATTTTGCGCAGCCGCCGATTTCATACCTCGCCGCAATTTGCAACAAACTCCCATACCCACGGTTTTCCTTCCGTCATCTACACCTGGCCAGGTAGGTGCAGGCAACACGCGCATCATCTCTATATCAGCTTCTGACTTTGTTTGCAAAGCTCGGACGTACGCACAGCTTCCTTGCGCCTCCAATTTCAACCACTGCCCGCCAATATTAGTTTTACCTTCTAAATACACATTGTCAACATGGCAACCACCGAGTCATCCGTGCCTACCAACGGCACCTACGCGCAAGGCTACGACAGCTACTCCTCCCAGCAACAGACCGCCAGCCAGCCCGCACAACAAGCATCCGCATCCGAAATTCCTAAGGATGAGGTTGGCTGGTACTTCGTCGAGCAGTACTACACCACCTTGAGCAAGAGCCCAGATCGTCTCTACGTACGTTGACGTGGTCTATGTCATGAGCATTGAAGGGTATTCAGCTAACGCAACTCCAGCTCTTCTACAACAAGCGCTCGCAGTACGTTTCTGGTGTTGAGGAGGAGAAGGTCAACGTTTGCGTCGGCCAGAAGGTATGTGGAAGCCAATCCGTATCTGCAGACAACGCACAGCTAATAGCGAGACAGCCCATCAACGAGCGCATCAAGGAGCTTGACTTCAAGGACACCAAAGTCCGCGTCACCAACGTCGACTCCCAGGGCTCCGACGCCAACATCGTCATTCAGGTCATTGGTGAGATCTCTAACCAGGGCCAGCCCCACAAGCGTTTCGTCCAAACCTTTGTCCTTGCCGAGCAGACCAACGGATACTTCGTCCTGAACGACATCTTCCGCTACCTTGCTGAGGAGCCCGAGGAGGAGGAGGAGCTTCAGCAGGAGCCTGCTGCGAACGGTATCGAGGAGCCTGCTCCCACCGCTGCCGTTCCTGCGGACGAGGATGCTACTCAGGGCGAGCAGGTCGCCAGCAGCGAGGAGGACATGACCAAAGTCGACCAGAAGCTCGAGGAGGTTGCAAAGGAGGAGCCCTCCACTGAAGAGATCACTGCTACTGGCCCCACTGAGGAGGCTGTTGAGACCGAGAAGGCTCCTGAGGTTGAGGAGGCTCCAACTGCTGCTACTGAGGAGACTCCCAAGGAGGCCGAAGCTCCTGCTGAGCAGGCTGTCGAGGAGGAGAAGCCCAAGGACCCTTCTCCTACTCCCGCTCCTGCTGCTAAGCAGGCCGCCCCTGTCGCTATGCCTTCCGGCCCCCCTAAGCCTGCTGCTCCTCGCACATGGGCCAGCCTCGCTGCCTCCGCCCACAAGGTTGCTACCCCCGTCGTCGCCGCACCCGCCGCTCAGCAGGTCCCCAAGGAGGCCAAGGCTGCTGCCCCCGCTCAGCCCGCCGCTGCTGCTCCCGCCCAGACCTCTGCTTCCGCTCGTGAGCAGTCTCCGGCCGCGAGCCAGGGTGAGGCTGCTGGCTGGCAATCCGTCACTGGTCACAAGAAGGAGCAGTCTCGCGCACAGAACCAGGCGCCCGCTGCTGATGCCGACCAGAAGCGCGCATACATCAAGAACGTCTACAGCCAGGTCCAGGAGGGCTCCCTGAGGGCCGCCCTCTCCAAGTTCGGCGAAGTTGAGTACCTTGATCTCAGCCGTGGCAAGGTCAGTAAACACCACACTACGATCGCAAACTCAAGCTAACCAATCGTTACAGAACTGCGCTTTCGTCGACTTCAAGACCCCTGCTGGATACCAGGCCGCCGTTGCCGCCAACCCCCACACCGTTGACGGTGTTGAGCTCAAGGTCGAGGAGCGCCGCACTCGTCCTCAGCAGTTTCCCGCCTTTCCTCGTGGTGGTGGCTCTCAGCGCGGTCGTGGAGGCCCTGGAGGCCCTCGCGGCGGTTTCGTTTCCCGTGGCCGCGGTGGTGCCGCTCGTGGCCGTGGTGCTCCTCAAGAGTCCTGAACGTGGTAGCTTGAAAGACTGCCTTGCTTCAGCTCTAGTTCATCTCCCTTTTCGTTTGTCGAGTCTTTAGCGACTTTTACCGTTCCATAACGATTCACGGCTTCTGTTATGTGTACTGTATCCGACTCTTTTCAGCGCTTGTATAAAAGTCACCATCTCCTGCGGAAAAGTCTGGGCGTCCGCATCTCTCAGTGGGATATTTGAGCCCTTGCATAGCGAGTCGGTTCATCTTTGCATTTCCCCTTCTGTACTCGTATGTACTCGTTTCTTCCACTTCTTTTACATGTTTCTTCGCCCATTTCTTCGATTACCTAATGTGTGTGAATGGGTATCTGAGTACATGCGGACATGGGAGGCGGAAAAGGATCTGGAGTAATGGGTATGGGCACGGGTACAATATCGGGCTCGCCTGTACATTTTGTCTTTGGTCTTGCACAGCATCATTCGAAAACAGGCTACAGGTGGAAGAGCGCGATGGATACAAGAACGTTAAGCATGAGTATGACACAATGGGAACATTGTACACGCTTGGATCATGTCGACGTTGGGCTGCAAAGTCGTGAATACACTTGTAACTGATAACGTCACGCTGCACCACCGCAGCTGACGCCTGATTCGCCAGGTATGATTGACCACCTGCCAGCTTGTCAGCAAGTCACAAGTCACGAGTCACGCCGCGAAGTCGCGGCAACCCTCCACTGCTTTTACGCGACCTCGAAGATACTTTGACACGTACTGAACTTGCATGTTCGCTCTGCTCTCTCCCACCGATTGTCCAGCGCCTTTATCGCGAAACCCAAAAGGGTCGACCTTAGCTCCAGCGGGGTCTCATTACGCGGGGTGTAGCAACGACGATCACATCACCTGCCTGCTCCGGCGCTCGCAAGTCCTCCTTGACTTATTGCCAAGCTTACGTCCATCTTGAGGTGACTTCTTGATCCCACGACAGCCTCCTCGAGACCCGGAAGTATGCGACCGCTTCCTGGTGGCAGCGACGCGCTGCCTGCACCTGTCAGGCCTCGGTCCCGCAAGTCGAGCATGGATCACGCCGCAGCGCCGTCGAACAATGGCCCCACTACGTTCTTCATGAGGAGCGAGCAAGAGATGGAACAGTCTCTGGCTGCTTCTCAGAGTACGCATTCGATAAGAAGACAGCGGGACAGTACATATGGTGTGCAGAGTCTAGCTGATACTTTAGAAGCTGCATTTGGTGCTGAGAGCACTACTGCTGGCAAGAAGGCGGATAAGCGCAACAATGCAGGCAGCCATGCCAAACACACTGCGAGATCAGGGTCGCATAGCTCGTCTGCCGATTCAGCAAAATCGCCAGAAAGTCCTTTGGCCTCGCCACTACAGAAGCTGAAAAAGAAGCTCTCTAGCCGCACCACGTCCACGCCCCTCACGCCCCTCACGCCCCTCAATGTCGATGCGCCGTCTCCACTACCCACTTCAGCCATACCCAGCACACCAACATCAGCGTCGCTGCAATCTCTAAAGCTTTCAGATGAGGGCTCTGTAATCGATGAGACTGGAAGCCAAGTCATCACGTCAAGTGGTGAAGAGGAAGATGGTGACGAGACACACCAAGGCGCACCGAACAGCTTCCCACAGCTTGTGATGCCGAGCATACAGATGCCGACGAGAAGGCCGTTCACTACAAAGGGCAAAAACATGGGCAAGCTGAAGGTCTTAGTTGCAGGGCAAGCTGGTCAGTATATCCTGGTTCGAGATGCAGCATTGCTACTGTGCAGTAAGCCATGAGTACTGACATGTTCTTTCGTAGACATCGGCAAGACCTCGCTCATTCGATCAATCGTACAAAGCTGCGAAGACATCGTACACGTAGACCCGCTGTCTCCTTCACAGTCGCTCACACAACCACTGCCCAGAAGACCAAAGTCTCGCAGACGGCAGGCAGACCAAGGGGCGACGATGAGGGTGACAGAGGTACATGCTAGCACCAAACCTTATCCATACTGGTGGACCGACATGGAAGCGACAAGAGTACTGCGGAGGAGAAAGAGTAGTACTGATACAATCCTAGAGAGAAATATCTGCTTTGTGGACACGCCGGGCTTCATGGAGGGCAATTCCGAACAAGAGGATATGAATCTTGTGGTTGAGTATCTGGAGTCACTGCTTCACCAGACAGCTTCCGTGACCACAATGGAAGACGGAGACATGGTTGGAGTCATCAGTGGCAGTGGTGGGATCCTGGTGGACGTCGTCCTCTATCTGTTACCTCCAAGTGAGTTTCCCATGAACACTTTCAAGACCCTTACTGACAACATCCAAGGCAAGGAAATAACCAAGGACGTTGAGTTCATGCAGCGACTGTCTGCATTCACCAATGTCGTACCCGTCATTGCAAAGTCAGAGACGCTGACCGCCCAAGAACTGATATCACTCAAGGCGTCTGTGCTTGCTCGTCTCCAGGCCTCAACCATCAAGCCCTTCCTGTTTGGAAAGCCATTGGACGATGCATTACTCGCAGTCCAAGGTCTGGACATCATCTATCCACTGGCGACTCCGACCCCAGAAATTCATACGACTGAGCCAAGGGAACCTAACCAGCTCCCCTTTCCTACCCCAACACACCCGTACGCGGTATCATTAGTCTATGGGTCAGACAACGATACTATGGACGCATCCTTACTCATGTCCCCTGACTACGTTCGACCTCTAATGCCCTCCGAGCTCTCCAACTTGATCGAGCAGGTCTTCGACCCTGAATCAATCGCATGGCTAAGGCATGCAGCAGCAAAGAAGTTCCTCGCATGGCGGAGGAGGACACAATTACCAGGAGATTCATTCATCTTCCATGGTCTACAGCAACCACGCAGCCCTACTACAGCATCTGTAGGGCTGGCTGGAACTATGATGAATCGTGAGCCTATCCTTATTACCAAGCTTAACTAGTTCACATGCTAACACGACCCAGCATCCGCAACATCCTCTGTCTTCTCCGCCGCCTCACCCTCAGGCGTCCTCGTCCCCCGCTCCATGTCGCCCTTCTACTCAAACCTCCAATCGCCCCTCCTATCCTCCGTCGCCGGCTCCCCTACAGACCCCACCGCCTTCTCCCTCACAAACTACATCAACAACGCCACGCAAGCGAGCGACATCCGCGTCGCAAAATGGGCCACCGACTTACACAAATCTCTACGCAACGAACGCGACCGCTTCGAGGACCTCCAGCGCAACGAGCGCGCCAAGTGGCTCCTCGACCGCGTGGGCGAGGAAGTCGCAGCCGGCACCATCATCACCAGCGACGGTGCGCCGAGGGCCCAGTGGGCGGTCGTCAGACACGGGAATGAGAAGCAGGGTAGTGGGCAGCGGTATGGGGTCGCGGGGTGGGACTCGAAGGATCCACTGGGCTTGTGTGATTTTGGTGACGAAGTGAAGAGGAGGGGTGTTGTGCTTGTGCAGATCCTCGGCGGGATAAGTCTGCTGGGGGCTGTAGGGTTGGCGGTTGTAAGGGTTGCTGGGTGGGAGATACCGGAGGGTGGGGGTTGGGGATGGTTGGGTGGTGGGTTGGAGTAGCGAGGTGGTACGCAGAGGAGATACCCGGATGAGAGTTGTGTAAATCTGTAGATGACAACTTGACTCTGTGTGTAGTTATAGATAATTCTACTCAACATGATGCAAATCCAAGAAGCTCGGATCGTGGGCACGGAGGAAGCCAAATGAAGCAACAAGTGCTCATGTGTACTAAACATGCATTGGAGTCGTCAGCCCTGAGGCTATGGCTAATGCCCAGCTCGCGCTGCATTCTATCATCTATGTCTATAACTTTCGTAACTCGTACCTTCACCACGCATACTGCGATTGAAGTACGCCCCATCCGCCGAGCTATCTCTCGACCGCCTGTCCACCAGCGGCTGTCTGCTGTGACTCGCTCTTAGCATCTCCTCTGCGTCTAGCGGCGTAGCCGGGATGTCCACGTCCACCATATCCTGCTCCTGGAACGTGTCCGTGGTCGGCGTGTGCTGGTATCCCTTCGCATAACTGTGGCCCTCACCCTCATCCTCATCATGAAGATCACCAAGCCGTGTGCGGCTGCTCCCCCGCGACCCCGCGAGCGAAGCCGACTGCCGCTTCCCGTGGGGACTTCCGTAGGGCGAGTTCTCCACAAAGGTAGTGAACGTTGAGGGTGTGCCGGGCCGAGAAATTAGGTCCTCGGGCCGTCCATACAGCTCCCCATCGCCACCGAATTCTTCTCTGAATTCGGCGCGCCGCTTGAAGTTCTCGAAATCGAGATCGGCTTCCTCGACAACTTCGACGTTGGGCATTGCCGCGCCCTCGATGGAGGAGCACCGGCCTGGCGCGCTGTGGTCCATATCTGTCAGGTACATGTCGCCGTAGCCCAGGTTCGCGGGGGTTGCGCGGTCTGTGGAGCGGCGGTGGGGCGCAGCGAAGATTTCGTTGTCGGCGTTGGAGCGGTGGCCGTAGATTTCCTTGAGCAGGTGTTGCGATTTGGCGTGCACCATGGGCGTTATGAGTTTCTTGTAGATGGCGGGGTTGCCGAAGCGGACGCCGACTTTGTCGCCCTTTCGCGCCTTAGGGTGGTTCGTATTGTGGGTGTTTTCGATGTCGGAGAAGGGGAGGGTAGAGTAGTAGAGGAGCTTGTCGTCGTAGGACTTCTTGCAGTACCATTTGAATCCGAAGAGGAAGAAGGGAAGTGGCACCATTGCGTAGAGCACCTTGCCATTCTCGAAGACGTTTTGGTCAGTAACACCTTTGGCACCGACGACGAGGGCAATGACAGCATTCCCAAGGAGGATAGCGAAGAGCAGGCGGTTCACGAGAAGACGCCAGAAGCGGCCTCCAGATTCAGTCTTGGTGATGAAGACGTATTGCAGGAGATATTTCTTGAAAATAACGTCCATGCCGACGTAGAAAGCAGTAACCGGCAAAACAATAGGCTGCAGTGAGCCCATGCAAAGGCCGACGGTGGTAACAAAGAGGTAGTTGTTGTAGTACTCCGCGTATGCGAATGGTGGAGGGGCACTGAGTTCGATCATTTCTCGCGGTGTGGGAGAAAAAAAGGTTCGCTGAATCCAGGACCAAGCAAAGGTCCACGCTTGCGACAGATCAATCGCAGCACCAAGGTTTCTTTGCATCTGCCAGGTAAGCCAGAAAGTGGAAACATTGCACAACCCAGTCACCAGCTGCGTAAAGGGCTGGCCTTTCTTCATAGCCTCCCACACACCTATGTTCTGTGCTCCAACTACAGCTGCCACAAAGCGCCATACGGAACCGAAGACGGAGAAGACTACGAGGTTGTTGAACACGTAGAAGGCGTAAAGGCGAGATGCAACATGACGCTCCCGGGAGGTCTTCGAAACGTCACCCGAGTGAGTGAACAATCGACGAAAAACGATTGGGATGCCCATATACATGAGTGTCTGTACCAGAGGGGCCAAGATACCCTGTGCGATAGCCCATCCGGTTGGGTGAGCATTTAGATTGGTTTGAAAGTCCTTCCAGACAAGACCTAGATTCGCGAAGTTGGACAAGAAGGCCGAGGTTAAGATGTTAGGTACGATGAAAGCGATTGTCAGGAGCACCATCCACAGACCATCCCAAAATGCTCTCGCGCGGCGTGTCTTCCGGCTCATGGAAAGGTTTTGCCATAGAAGATCGTGGGGCTTTGGCGCAAGATATACGTCGCAGCCTTTGGGGCCCTTCTTCTTTGTGGCGTATGCAACGGCATGTGCGTCTTCGATGCGGGCGTAGGAGGCAAAACCATAGGACATGGGGTTCCGCATGTCTACGCTCTCTCGCACTTCTTTGATGGATACCTCCAGCCTTGCTATTCGGTCCGTAAGATAGTCGATCGCGTCCACTCTTCCTTTTCCGTGTGCTGTGGTGTCATCCTTCTTGGCCTTGCAGGTAGGGCGTTTCGCTGGTAGGTGGTTCGGGTTTTTGAGATATTTGGCGAGGCACTGTTCGAGCTCGCGTACAGCCTCGTCGTGCTTTTCGATCAGTTCGGGCAAGTCCTTGACGTTGCGCCCAACCACTGTTCGGGGAACATCGTCTGTTTGTTTATCTGATTCGATCAATTCGGCAATTCCAGTGTCGGTTCGCGAGGAATTGGGAATGTGGGTAAGCTAGAGTATGGTCAATTGCAAGTTCGATACGAACAGGTTAGTTAACTCACCAGTAATGTCCGTGAATGCAGGCTGGCTTTGTACTCTGCGCTTTCGAAGTATGTGCGCCTGAGCCTGAAAACCGCGCTATAGTTCCACCAGATGAAGCCGCAAATGGTACCTTGGAAAAGGTACGCTACAATGACAAAGGCCCAGAACTTGTTTCCGCCATAGATGTATTGTGGCGTGAACTTCATGAGCGTTGCTACGTCGCCATAGTTGTCGTATATGTTCGACCCCCCAACGACGTTGACAGGGATCAGGATACCGCAGCCGATGACGCTGAGCACAATAAAAATGTTCCTGACCATCCGGAGGAACCTCATGAAGAGAACGGCATCTAGGCCGATTTTGTCCACGAGGTCTTGCTCTTTTGTGTTCGTGATGGCTTTTATCCAATCGAATGGACCTTTGTCCAGCGGCAGCGGTCGGTGCTTCTCGTCAGCATGTTTCGCTCGTGGCGCATAGACGCGGTTGTTTCGTGGACGCAGAAAGCAGAACGAGAGGAAGAGGAGACCGGTGATGACGAAGGAATAAACGATAGCGGCGTAGATGGAGCTTTGTTGGATCTAAAGGCGATGGATCAGTGCTCATGTGAGCAAACAAGGGAGGTAGTCAACATACCGAAGAAGAGAATGGATCAGCAATCAGATCCAAGAACTCATCTGTAGAGCTTGGCTGCTCCTGCCGCGTAAAAAGACCCATGGTCGCGTGAGGGTGCGGCGGAACCGCTGTGCAAGAGGAAACGACAGGCAGGAGAACAATTGTATAAGATGCTCAAATTACAACAAATAGCCTCACTCAAATGACAGATCTGAAAATGAAGAAGAATGAGAGGACAGAAATGCCAGAGAGACTCAAAATTACGAGCCCCTCTGTTACACGCGATACCGCCGGGATGACATCTGAAGGTTGCTTTGTTGAGTTCGTTCTCGAACACGACCCGCGGATCGCCGCTAGCTACGTCACATGTGGATTTGGTATGAGGACCAGCACTCCCCGGCAATAGACAAAGGGAGTCTGTGAAGCTTGTGTGGCAGCGCTTGTCCGTGTCGAGGTATAGAGACGAACGTTCGCAGCTAACGGTGGCCAAATTTAGAGTGCTGACCTGAAAAGCTTGTTGCAAAGGTTGGGTCAGGGTCTGCTTGGAGCAAGTCTTTCCAGTCCTTGCCACCAATCATTGTCCACACACTTGTTAAAATTCAACGAATGGGCTGTGCAACTGACCTGCAGTTGAACAGGACTGGATGGGTCGACGTAGAGGGGCCAGTCACCCACATGGGATGATGGTCGCTGCGAACCAGTTGGTGGAGAGACCAATTTTCAACTTTAGGAAGCTGACGTCACACCTCTCGATTCGACAAGCATGATCGTGTGGGGTTTTGCATCGTAAAACTAGGGTTTGGACTACGACGAGTACGCAGCCCTGACGCAGATCGTGTGGAGGATCGCTTGGTTGTTTCTGCAAAACTGCGTTGTTTTCTGGGCATAAATGTTGTTCTTTTGCTGGGGTTGAACTATTTGGTGAAGACATAAAAATTTGGATGCCTGCCAGATTTAGACAAGTAACCTTGATTGTTTCAAACTCTTCAGCATAATGGTGTGAGAATATATGTTTTTGTGTTGTCTTTCGAGCTGCAGATATCTTGTGATATAGGTCAAAGTGGCCCCAGAACGCCCCAAGTTGCTTGTTGAAGATAGTAATCCTTAAACCCCCAAAAGTATGCTCGAAGCACATACCGTTCTCGTCATTCGTACACTGCGTTGCTCATCGTATAAGCATCCGCTCTAAATGATCACTTTGAGTTTGATATCGTCATCACAACTTGACGCCCCAAACGCCTCTCCCTCCAGCAACACCAACCCAATCACCTCCTTGCCCTGTCAGAGCGCTTTGCGGTGCCCAACTGATGTTGCCGACCTCATAGTCACATTGCCAGCTGGCGTATGGGCCCTTTTGTCCTACTGGAACATTTTGGGCGCCTGTACCGTTGTTGGTCGGTTGTGCGGTCGCTGGAGCAGGAGGTGCGGAAGCAGCGTGCTCGCTGCTGATTGCAGCGCCAGTATTCGCATGCAGGAGATCCCAGACAAGTACGAGAGAGTCATCTCCGCCAGAAGCAAGCATGCCTCTTCGGGATGGATTCCACTCAATGCTGTTAAGTGCTGCAGAGTGTCCACGAAGCTCAAGAAGCGCTTGCCCTGGCTGCCGTACGTCGAGAATGCGGACGACGTTCGAGTCTTGTGCGAAGGTGGCGAGGAGGTGCGAATCGTGTGGAGAGGCAGCAAGACGAAGAAGAGGAGGCGCGTAAGACATGGTCTGTTGAGCTTTTGTTGGGGACATACGGCCCGTTGGTGAGCCTGAGGATATATCAGTAAGTTGTATGCGCTGATCGATAGGTGTCGACTCACCTTTGTCTTTGTCGTTGTTCTTATCAGACGGCTCATAAATGATGGTGCTGTGCTCTAGACTTCGAAGGTCAAACATGCGAACACTACCGTCAGCGCCGCAGCTCACGAAAACGTCGACACTTCCTGCGCAAAAGCGGACGTCAAACACCTCCTTGTCGTGTGCAATCAGCTGTGTTTTGGCCGTGAGCGTTGGAATATCCCATATTGTGCAGGTTGTGTCTATACTGGAGGTGATAATGAGCTTAGGCGACATGGTGTTCCAATCAAGAGACGTCAGTGGTGCGGTATGCTCGGGGGTCTTGGAGTTGGACAGAAGAGCAAGCGGCGTGAGCTTTGGCAGCTGAGGTTCTCTGGTATTCACTGACGACGTCCGTGATATCGTGTTGCTCAAATTGTTGCCTGACGGCTGAGGAAGTGACCATAGCCGCAGATGGTCGCCAGAAGTCGCGAGAAGATCGGTCGACTGCTTTTGTGACGATGGAGGCTCCCACAGTATACGAGTGACGGGAAAGGAGCAGGTGGCCTCGGCGATCGCATTGTACTCGAGACCATACGGTGATGTGCCAGGGGCAGAATCGTGTTGAGGTGTTATTTGGGTGTCCAAGATACGTATGAAGTTGTGGTTATCTTCGATGTAGCTTCCGACGGCCATCTTTCCAGCGCTGTTACCGCCTGGTATGTTCCATTTACACCAGTCGTAGGCGTATATACTCCAGGGCGCAAGATAGTTGCTGTTCGAGGGAGTCTTGTTCTGCTCGCTGACGAAGGCGTTGTTTGGTCCTAGGCCTTCTGGGTCCATGCTCGAGTTTGCGCGCGGCCTGATGTCAGCCAGCCCTAGTGGTGAATGCGATGCATTGGTGGTAGGGGTCGAGGGGTAGTACTTCTGCGAAGGTGTAGATACTGTGTACTTGGACTGCTCAGGGGTGTTCGAGAAAGGAATGTATTTCTGGTCAGGGCCCATGCCAGCTGGGCTCGAGCGCGAGTAGGTATGCGAGGAGGAGTGCTGCGACTGGCTTATGGTGTTGGAGCGCGTGGGTAGTGTGTACGAGTTGGCGTTGCTGACGATGTTCTGGGTGGGCACGGTCGGCGCAGTGTTCGCGGAGGAAGGTCCTGGACGTTGCGCAGGCTGGAGGCTGCCAGGTAAAGTGGCAGGCGTACTGTAGTGAGAGCCCTGGGGGGTGGCTTGCTCAAGGCTGATATTGGGCGCCGAGCCCGCGTACTGGTCAGACTGATTGTACATCTGCTGCTGCTGCTGTTGCGGCGGCTGCTGGGCAGATGCTGGCGTCGATACGTGCAACTCGTCCTGGTTCCCGCCTGCGCTGGAAGGCGCGAACGCATCTGTACCTGCTGCTGTTGTGCCGGCCGTGGCCGTTCTCAAGTTGCCCCTACGCCGAGGTTTAGCTTATGCACCTTCTTGGGTCGTGGTGTGAATTGCCCATACATCGGTGACCCAATCGAGCCCAATTGCGCGGCCTGCCCCAGCCCAGCCGCCAGGTTGAACTGCTGCGGATTGTTGTGGTGGAACGGCATGGCGCCGCTAGAAGAACAGCTTCGAGCTGTCGGTGGGAGAAGTGAGCAGTCGTGCGTCGTCAGAAGGCTGAGCGCTCCAGGGTCATGGATGGTCGACGCCTTGGGTAGCGTGTCTCGGTCCAACCCCTCCCCCACCACCTGCACCGAACTACCATGACATCGTAGCTTCACATCTGACGACTCCAGTTACCCTCGCAGCCATTGTAGACGTCACATGACCCTGTTCACAGCAGCACGCCGTCTCAGCTCTACTTTCGTCTCGCCTGCCGTGTCCCGTGTGCACCTATTCCAGCGACATCTGACGACCATGCCTCCACTTCACAAAGACCCGCACCGTGCCTTACTGTTGCTACCGCCCGCACCAACGTCTTCCACGTATGCATCGTTGAAGGCCGCATACAGTGCCCCACTTTCAACTGTGCTGAGAGAGCTTCGACAAGCTCAGGAACCTGCACTGCTCGAAATTGCACTGCCATGTCCACATCTGTACGGACATCTCAACGGTGCAAGGGGGCCGCTGTACGATACCACACAACAGCTGGTTGCCGACCTATACAAGTTGATATGTATCGTCGCAGCTAAGGACGCAATTGATACAGAGGATGCTGAAGGCATTAACGCCCGTATCCTATTGGTAGCACATCCAGGGGATGGCAAGCTTCACAACACCTCTGAAGACTCTACGCCAGAGCAAGAGCTACAAGGCCCTGCGATTGACCTACACACACTTGCAAAGAGTTCCAGGAAGTGGAAAGTTGTATACTCGGTGGAGAGCGAGGAGGGCGAGCGTTTCTTGAAGAGCTTCTTTGCCATCTCCAAAGACACCAAAGTGTCCAAGGTACGGGGTGGCATGGTCCTCAACGCTGGAGCCTCAGCTATGACTACTACCACTGCCTTCGAGAGTTCTACGAAGCACCTCTCCGTTGCTGTGGGTGGAACGTTCGATCACCTTCACATTGGTCACAAGCTACTACTCACTATGTTCGCTTTCGTGCTGGGTCGACGACAGCAGTCAGACAGTCCCAGCGTTCTTACCGTGGGAATCACCGGCGATGCTCTCCTCGTGAACAAGAAGTTCGCTGACCAGCTCGAGAGCTGGAAAGCTCGTCAAGAGGCAACGCACGACTTTCTACATTCCATCATCTACTTTGGTCAACCTGATGACAATCGAATTCAGGTACAAGAAGTCAACGAGCCAGGTCCAAACGGACACGCCGTCCATGTCAGCTACCCATTCGGCCTGACCATCAAGTATGTTGAGATCTGGGATCCCTTTGGGCCTACTATCACCGACAAGGAAATCACAGCACTGGCTCTCTCGCTTGAGACCAGAGGTGGAGGCGCTGCTGTTAATGAAAAGCGAAAGGAACAGGGCTGGGACCCACTCGAGGTCTACGAAGTGGCTGTCCTTGATGCCAGCGAAGAAGGCAGCGTCGGCGAGACGTTTCAGAGCAAATTGAGCAGCACGGAGATCCGTCGAAAACGAAGTGAGCTCGTCAAGCCAAGGGCGAAAGCGTGACGGCGGACCGGGGATGTACGGACAACATGATGCATATGCCACGTTGATGTTTGTCTTGATTGTGAAAGTGGCAGGCCAAGGCAAGGAGTTGAGTTGTTGTTTGTGGTCGATTCGATAGCTCGACGGATGCGCAGGAAGTTGACTAGTACATATCCTGTGCGACGGTACACAGCCTCGTGTACCTCTGGACCACACGACAGCGTGGACTAGCATATGCAGCTGCTGTAAATTTCGTGTCAAGGTACGATTGTACCAAGCAGGTGGCGTCTCCCAAAATGGCGACGAGCAGCACGCCGGCATTCGGTTTGCGTCAGAGAACTCATCGTGTGTACATTGACTTGCGAGCGGCGCTGCAAACTTTTGCTTCTGCGACAAATGTCATCGAGGCGGGACAAGGGTTGCGGGACCGGTGATCGGGCGACGACATGGAATATTATATGCAAGCAATCGGTGACAACGCAGCGCTCTCCCCATTTCGCGTGCACGGGAGCAGAGACTGCTGCGTGGAGCCGCGTTTAGTAACGCCGAATATTACACAGAGACACGCCATGCTACACGTTTCAGCCTTCTAAGGCTATGGAAGCTACTTATGGCTATCTTTCCGTCAGTGTCGTCACCAGCGCGCCTTCCTTCGAATGATGTGTTTGATGCGAATCCAAGTGCACGGCAGTGGTATGACCCAATTCAAGCCATACAGGGCGGTCATAGGCGTCCGCAAGCGCTTCTGCTGCATGCTTCGTTGGCAACGCATTAGGCTCTGATTCGAAGGCCTTGGTCGTATGTAGTGGGGAGCAAGAACGCCTCGAATCACATTGCCGCAGCCTGATCCACCCCTGGACGGCGTGCGACCGTGTCAAGCAACGAATCGACGTGTTTCGCTCGCGGGTCCTCCCTTAGATCCGCCTTTCTACCAGGACGCCCGCATCAATTCTCAGACACGTGACGCTCTAAACCATGTCTAGTATGGGCCGCACCTCATTATTGGGCAGACACACTGCCTGCATCGTTAGGGCAAGCTTGGTTTCGTATGGGTGCAGGTTTTGTGTCCAGTCGTCCTCTGCGACCTTCAGCAACGCTTAGCTGACCGCTGGAGAGCCTGGAGAGGTCATGCTTCCTTTATTTTCCCGAGTGTGCCCCTCCGGCTGGATTGCGCCCACAGACTGACAGAGCACCGTCCCTAGACATCAACACGTAGGTCGCTGAAACGAACTCTGGACTCTGCCGCTGCATCCTCACACTACTTTCCGCCACGTCTGCACTTCACGCCGTGTCGGCCCGAACCTTCGTTTACTTCTGTTTTGGAGTATATATCCGCTGCTAGGTTCGGTTCTTGCGCCCGTGCACTCTGGGAGCTCTTACCTCACATCTTGAGACCTGGATGGTCTACGTACGGTCGCCATGGGTATCCTCGATCTTGCCGACGAACTTTTACGAATTATCCTCGAACATGTCGCCTCAGAACCAGAAAAACTCATTAGCTTGGAACGTCGCGCATATCTGTCACAAGAGAGCTTCAAACCACCTCCACCAATCGAACCGGACCAGGCCCAAACAATCGCGAACCTGAGACTCACATGCAGGAAGTTTGCAGACCTCGGCGCCATCCACCAATTCTCCAGAGTGACGACACGATTCTCAAGGAGAGGCCTGAAGCGCCTGGAAAATATTGCAAGCCAACGGCATCTGGCTGAGCGGGTGAAGAAATTTAGCTACATGGTGCCCTTCTTCTACGTAGAAGGTTGTATGCATTGTCCACTAAGCTAACAGTATCACTAACTATGCTGCAGGACGAGAACGTGTGCAGGACCTCCTTCCAACATTACCAGGCAACCTCGGACTCCTTGACGCTAGTCACTTTGTGCAGAAAGTGAAGGAACAAAAGGATATTGTCCGCACACAAGAGGACGCCCGAGTCTTGACGCTGGCCATATCGGCTTTTACATCGCTTCAGCACGTCCAAATACTAAGACTACAGGATCAAGAGGACGGCATGCTCATGCAGTACATCCGGACACATGACGAAGTCAGCCAGATGGTGGAACTGAAATGGCCGCCAGCTTGTCTACATTCAACAAGGACAATAGGTGAGGCACTGATTGCATCAAAATCGCAATGTTCCAGGTTTTCATCACCTATGCTCAGTCCAGTGAGCGTATTGGGCGCTGCAAACAATCCGCCTACCGCAATGAGACTCCTCGCAGAACGACTTACGTGTCTCGAACTCCACTTCGACGACGGGATAGATCTGGACCAACGGATGAGGGACCTTTCATCACTGTCAAAGGCTGTATTTACATCCGCGAAAAACATAGAAGCCGTACACATTGGATTCCCTTCGCACAGACCACTCACTTTAAAGCTCGAAGAGATCTTCCACAACGTCAAGTGGGATAAACTACAGGCTTTTGGTATACAGGCGTGGCGACTCGATGCCGAGGAGATTATTGCACTGGCCGGGAGACATAGAGAAACGTTACGCGGCCTGAGGTTACGAGACGTGCTGTTGAAGGAGGGGAGCCGGTGGAGGGATGTACTTTCGTTTCTTCGAGAGGATATGTCTAGGCTGGACTGGGTCAGTCTCCGGCGGATAGACTATGAAAAGCATTTCGACGACGCATGGATAATGGGTGCAGAGGTACCAGACGACCCTCTAGGGAGCGACAGCAGCGATGAGAGTGACGATTGGGATCTACACGAAGACGAACTCGATCACGTCGACGCACAAGACGAAGCGTACGTCAGCGACGGCTCGGTGGACGACTCCGATTCGGATGCAGGTACGGACGAGCCCGAACAAGGAGGCAACTTGCATTTCCCACCGTTGTCTCCGGATACACCCGCCTCAGTACCATGGTGCAATTGCAACGGTCACATGGATAGCGTAGAAGTACTGGGCGACGACGGGATACTAGTGACTTACCAGCAGCGGAAGTTCTGGGAGAAGTGGGTCGTCAGAAAGATGTGCACCGAGCAGCATGGCCACAAATGAGGCCGTGATCGCCAAAAGGACCCGAAATGGAAGCTGTGGGTGGTAGAACTTCGTATTGCGCGTCAATTTCGGCAGAGCGTAGCGATCTAAGAGAAGCGGAGTCTGGCCCGCCGCTGCATGAGAAGTCACGCTGTGAAAAGTGTATGCGGGCTATATTGTTTTTATACCTCGCATACTATCCTTGCAGCAGTGCGTTACGACCTTCCTTTGCGCCCGGCGCTTATGCAGCTCCACCAATGTTTTCACACCACCGTTCGGACGACGCCATCGTATCCGAACAGTCACCAACAACAATCGGACCGCGAGTCGTTCGCGCAGGACTCGTAGCTTGGGGTCAACAGCGAACCAAAATTCTAGCGTCGCCATCTTCTCTGACCTCAAGGTACTTCGACCACCTCCTCGCTCCGGCTCCACCACGTATGGTCATAGCTACCACATTCGCTCACGTCCGCTTTTCGGATGCACCCTTTGGCACAAATCGACTCCAGGCACCCCGTCTACATTCTATAGTTGCATATCATGAGAAGGATTCCGGCGCAAAGTGGCTGCATCTGGTTTACATGCTTTTACCTCCTTAGTCCAATCACGAAAATCACGAATGTAACGTAGCGTGGGAGGAAGTATTGTCATCTGCTTTGCTATAGATATTCGGTTTACGACAGCATTGCAATTGCGTAGCATGTTGTTTATGACGCAGAGCTTTACTGCGTTTGATCTTCCCTAGCACAGCAACATTGAAGCATGAGGTACTTACATCGCTCACCGTCTTTTCCCTTCACTTCTGATGCATCTTTACTGGTCATGCATACCGTTTGTATGTGTGTTGCAACTGGACGTCAGTGCTCAGGCAATCGCACACCACAGTTCTTTCCATTTTACTGCTGTCTACCCTCGTACCGACGATCTCAGAACAACCTAGAGCAGCTGGTATGACATCAAGCAGTACAGTGCAGTAATGACACTGCAGGACAACACAGTCAAGTGTAAGCATACCATATACCATTGGGATACTCAACAGCTAACGACTCCTCAATGCCTAGCGAGCGACCTACAGCATCACTCACCACTTCAACTATTCCGGGTTGATGTTACAGATAGACGATATGTAGACAGACCAGTCTCTGTCAGAACTTGCTGACACTTCGTCCCTGTCTTACGCTCGGCATGTCCATACTTCGAGCACCGAGCCTCCAGTGGCAAGCTTCACTCTCACTCTCACCACGCGTGACACGGCCGCGACGCCAATATGGCCCGCTGCCGCACATTCAGCCCAACAGCGCGTCTTACTGAATGCGTCGCAGTTTCCGTGCTGTTTACGCTCGTCTAGCGCAGACTTTTCTTTGTAGTGTCACCACATCACCGCAGCACACACGTTCGCTTGTCCTTCTTCGCAGACACACTCCTTGCATTCGTTTCTTCTCTAGGTTGTTGTACGAAACAGTTCCTTCAGTTGTCTAAGTATGAGAGCGAAAGCAGGCTGGCAACCTGCGCAGCCGGGCGTCCTGCTCTACATGCCGGCCACACGTGTCGGTGTGGAGGAGACGGAGCACCCAATGTCCCAACTCAGTGTGACAGACGACGCAATCCCAGGTCAGACCATCATACCATGAAAGGACAAGGAAATGAATAGCCATCAATTGGGAACAGGTGCCCGGAGTCAGATCTCGAAGATAAGTGACACAGTTGTGCCTTCATGCGAACATGACTTCAACGTTCGAGTCAAATTCGAGCCAACTGAAGGCAACATCTTCGACTTCTTGAGGGACGACTCGCCAGATATCCTGATTTGCGAGACCGATGACGAGATTCTTGTGGATGCCGTCTCTGTTGCAATGTCGACTCCAGAATCCTCCACAGGCTCGGAATTACTTGCTCAGCTAATAGCCGCAGCGGAGAGCATCTCATCTGAAGCCACCACGCCCTGCGTACAAATCCCATCCTCTCATGATGCATCATCAGTTACTGAAGACTTTATCAACGTCTAAGAGGATCATGAAACGCACTATCGGAGCTACGAGTCGTCACTTCAGGAGGAAGACACAGTTAGACAAAGGTAGCCTGCGGTTCGACGCCTCAACTTTGGTGGCAGGCTCAAGAAATAGGCCGTCAAAGAAACCAAGAAAAGCGCTAACGCGCTCTTCCTCAAGCATCTTCGGAACATTGAGCAGACCCCCTCACACAACTGGGGCAATGATGAACGAGAGCTACTATGTGTGTTGAACCGCTGGTACTGTGCCGCAGATCCTGCGACAGAACTCACGGTCTTCTTTAAGACCTTCAACTCGATCACAGGTCTGGATCTGAGACCTCATATTATACGCAACTAGTTCGAAGGCTACTTGCGCTTGTATGGAGGGGAAGCCTATCCGGTGTATGGTCGAGTCTTCACGATACCATTCGATGATGCCGAGGGTCGCTACACGGAGATTCGTACATTGATCAAAGTGGAGGCCGAAGGTCTTGGGCTAAATCTACAAAGGCGCCAGTCTGAAGCAAAGCTCCCGTCGGGTATGGCCAAATTCGTCGAGTCTCTCAGAACCAGGAGCACCTGCAGGTCCCTAGTCCGGAGGGCGTCTCAGGAAGCGAAGTGGGACGCAGCTCAAGTGTCAGTAATGGAGGACGCTCGAGCAACTTTACAACCCATCGCGACAGTGTCCAGGGCTGTCTGAATGCCTCCAAGAGATGATTGGGAGATCATTACCGATGTCGAGCTTAGCCCGGCACCCGTGATCCGTAGCGTGGAGGTTCCCAGGCCTACATCAAGCAAGCCACATCTTATATTCAACGATAAGCTCGCTCATAGCTATCTTTGCGATCGCTTTTGGGTCCTCATGCTGGCGGGTATACCCTTCAAGAAGTTATGGGGGCGTTCATCGAAGGCATGGACAATGGTACACGTTGCATCGCCCACTGGTCACGAAGCAGGAGCGGCTCTCGTCGTCAACGTTTCCGCACTGCGTAGAGCATACCCTCATGCAGCGTGCTAGAGTTCACCTCAGTCAGAGAGATGTTGTTTTCAAAGAGAGAGCCGTTGAATAATTACCTGTCACGAGTATGAGGAAAACCGATGGTCTGGATGTTGTCAGTCGAAACGATCGTAGGTCTACTCGAGTGAATAGAGGCACAGCCGATGTATTCTATCAAGATTTTACTGTCATTGACTCTAAAATCTTACTCTCTTGATCACCATTTACCTAGCGCCCTTCCAACAACAGTCAGAATCTCACCCGCCCTCTCGATAGCAACTTCATGCCCTGCCCCCTTCACAACCTCAAACTCTACATTCTCGTTTCCCAAGCACCCTCTCGCATCCTCCATAATTTCATCTTTGACGATGATAGGGTCCATCTCTCCCAAAACCACAAATACCTTCTTCAACCCGCCTTTCCCCTCTTCAATGTTCCGCCCCAGGATCCTCCAACGCTCATGCTCCCCATGCACCGGTGCATAGCGAATGGACGAGATGAACGCCTTCACAAACCCCTCATGCTGCTCAATCTGCCAGTCCACCACCGCACCTACAGTGCTATACGGGGTTCCTTGCAGGAGAGCGTAGTGTGAGGATGAGTACACTGCATCTCCTCGAGAAGTAGTTTTGGTTTCGGCGTTCTCAACACCATCACCCTCCGGCTCAATACTCCTCGCCTCCTCCGGCCCTGTGTACAACCGTCTCGCCACCAATCTCTCCACCCAACTCTCCGGTAAGATACCAGACGTGCTGTACAAGACGCGACTTTTCCAGGTCGTGTGGGTTCGCCGAATGAGGCCGCCGGGCGCGATCAGGATTAGGGAGTGTATGAGGGTGGGGAAGTAGGATGTGAAGTCTGCGGCTAGCGCGCCACCGAGCGAGTAGCCGAGGAGCGTGAAGGACGACCAGTGAAGGGGAGAGGAGAGGAGACAGATGTGGATTTGGGTGGTGTAGAGAGGTGAGTCGTAGTGGTAAGTGTGGGGGGAGGGACCGGAGGAGTAGCCGCGGGAGAAGAGGTCTGGTGGTGATCAGTCAAGATTCGTTTGAGCTGTAGTTCGACCTGGGCGTTCAGGAGAGAGATGCAATCAAGCAAAAAACAATGTGATGCGGACTAGTGCAGACTTTGACGGTACACGGAGCCACGGATCTGTTACTACAAGAGAAGTCCCCCTACCAAATAACATCACTCGACAGCCTTTCTGAACCAGCTTATAAGCCAGATCAGTCAACGCAATGCTAGGTGTCGATATGCCATGGATGAGCAGCAACTTCTCTCCATCCTCAGGACCCCACTCATATACTCGAATGCTGCCGTACGGCGAGTCTACGTCTCGTGCTCCTGGTAACGCATCTGGAGGATATGGCAACTTCTTGACCTCATCCCCTGAAAGTTCGAGCAGGGTCGTCTCTCTTGGCGATAGGAGAGTCCTGAACTTGTCAGCCCGCAAAGAGCTTGACACATGTCGCAGAAACAGCAGACCGCCAAGGGATGCCCCTGCAATCAGGTACACATGTGGGACAGGAAGTCTGAAACGACCCAAGATAGACGTCATAACTGAATTGAGCCTCTTGTTCAAGGCAAGAAGGATGTGAAGTGTTACAATGTAAAGGGCTGACTAATGAGAAGTTTGTACAGCACAGAGAATAGAAAACGCTTGGAGAACCCTGTGATGTAAGAGGAAACGGTAAGCTGATCGCCCAGCTGCAGCACTAGCTGCTCTCCGTCGATGCGGCAGGCGCCACCGGCACCGCGCACAGCAACTGCGTCTGAGTGAGCGCCAACCCTCTCATGTCTTGCACAGCGATGTTTGACCGACACTCTCACGGCGAGTCAAATTGCAGACGCGCAAGACAGAGGCGCTAACGGAACGCGAGAGCGGAAATCACGGGAGAGCCAAGCACATCAGGGTTTGGATGATCAACAAGCCGACAGGGTTTGCCTGACAGCTTGCGCTTGTGTCCATCAGCTCCTGCCTGCGCCTCACAGCCATGCTCACAGCCCACTTTGCTGAGCACACTGCGCCTTGAGCAACTACTCGGTCCTTATACTCATCAGACGCCCTGCCAATAGTTGCTTCTGCTCTCTTTCCGCTGCACGGCGTCTCTCCGGGCGAGGGCGCTTGTTTGAACAATTGAAACCGCGAGACCTGCGCCAAAACATTCGACGCCTGTTTTACAGCTGCACCCTCTCGTCATCTATCGTACTTTGTCCTAAAAGCATCGCAATTGCGCGCCAGAACAGCCGGAGATTTTTGGGAGTGTTCGAATGCAGTAGTGCACCATGGACGAGTGGACATCGAAACAGCTCCCTGAGCGGCTGCCCTTCTCCAAGAAGCGGCTGCCCAAGCGTGTCGTTTTCTCGTGCGTAGAAGTACTCCAAAGAGATACCGTGGACGTTGACTGACATATATGCAGATACATTATCGACTACCTCATCATAGTGTAAGAGCTCCAGCGCTCCTTCCGCAAGCACACGACCACCTTCCACAAGCTCCCCCAGCTAACCACAACCATCTGCAGGGTCCTCATCGGCGTCTTCACTATCATCGATAAAGTCCCACCTTTCCACCAACACTTCTCGCTGCAGAACTACACCCTCCACTACCCGTTCGCCGTCAAGGAGCGCGTGCCCGTCCCGCTACTATGCATCATCGTCGTTGGTGGCCCTGCCATCATAATCGCCTTCTACACACTCGTTGTTGATGGACTGTTTTCACACCAGACTCCCATGCCTTCTAGCAGGGCTGGAGCTAAGCGCCTGAGTGGCAGATACAGGTTCAAAGACCGCCTGTGGGAGCTGAATTGCGGTATCCTCGGTCTGGGCTTGAGTGTTGGCGCAGCCTTTACAATCACTGGAGCGCTGAAGAATGCAATTGGAAAGCCACGACCGGACCTCATTGACCGGTATGCTAGACAAGCTATAGGAGCTCGTTTGGTGAGCTGACAGAACACAGATGCAAGGTCCGAGAGGGTGTGAAGATTGACCTAGAGAGCCTGACACTCGTTACCATCGATATCTGCACGCAGACCGACGACTACATCTTACAAGACGGGTTTAAGAGCTTTCCTTCGGGGCACAGCAGTGGTATGTTGAGGTGTAAGCTAGCTGATATAATAAGCTAATGCGTGGCAGTCTCATTTGCTGGATTGTTCTACCTCTCTCTCTACCTTGCAGCAAAGCTGCACGTTCTGGATGCTAAAGGCGAGGTTTGGAGGACGTTCGTCGTTATGGTCCCAACCCTCGGCGCTGCTCTCATCACTGGTACGCGCATCATGGACGCTCGCCACCATCCTTTCGATGTCCTCTCAGGCGCTAGTCTCGGGATCCTCGTGGCATGGGCCGCCTACCGACAATACTTCCCACCAGTTTCAGAGACCTGGAAGAAGGGACGTGCCTACCCAATTCGCGCCTGGGGACGTGGACCTGCTCCCCCACCGGCTCCTCAGATCATGATCGACGAAGACGTGCAGCCGCTTCGACAAATGGGCAAGCCATTAGGACCGATTGACGAAGAGCGTGGGGAGACATCTGGCATTGCGGTGACTGGAGAGAACGAGCATGGCGGCAACGTCTTTCGACAACAGATCTCGAACTCACAGCGCAGACGCCAGGCGGACGCACCATATGGAGTAGATCGCAGCGACACACTAGCATCGAGCAACTACCGCTCTGACACATTGGGCTCAACCTACCGATCTAACACCATAGACTCCTCGTTGTCTACCAAGGTCAACAGGTACCAAAACGAAATGCCGACCTCGAATCCTTTCGCTACGAACGCCCCACGCCAACGTCAGATGGAGTCATACGACTACTCATCCTCCGAGGATGACGAGCCCTACGAGCTTCAGCCAACAGGCGGAGCCTACAATCCGGTGTCAGGACGGCTGACAGACACCGGCTACCACCCTCCGCAAGGAATCTCGCCGAACCCTACACCTCCACCTCCACCCGTGAATACCTTCGTTCCGCCACATCTGAACACAATGTCACCGACTGGAGATTTGAGCGATAGAAGAGACGTCGGACCACCTCCACCACCACATGCTGCAGGAACAACGCCTCAGCAGATATGAGACAGCAGAAGCAGCAGATGACAGAAGTCCAATCGTCGAATCAAATATACCCGCATGGTCTGCTTCCAGGAAAGCAGTAACGGGGACTATCACGGCTGTAACGAAATCGCACTGGGACGCTCCCAATGAGCAAGGAGCATGGCGTTCTTGTAAATTGACATACAGTTATGCCGTGACAGGCTTCACCACGAAAATTGGCGACGTGGAACGGATAGTACGATGTATCAAATTATGTGTAATATCTCAAGTCAATCTCTGGTGAAGTTCGCTGACAACAGCTACACTGACTTTAAATCAGCAGGCGCAACGATGCGTACCTTCTCTCACCTCGAGTTTTGACGAACGCGCCTTCACCTCATCTCAGAATCTCGCGACCTTGACCTATAAAGCTCGCCCTCTCAATGCAACACACTTCACACACTACAATGATGGACATCTCCAGCATCTCTACGGAGGTGCTCAGGCACGAGCTACGACTGCGTCAAGCTCACCCTCTCACACCCATGAAACAGCAGCAATTTGATCATCCAGCCTTTCCTGAACTCGAAACAGAAAGCAACGACGACTCTTTGTTCGTGCCTGAACGGCGTTCCGGCTGCACCAGATCTGATATATCACAATCACTCGAACGGTCGACGCAGCGATCAAGCGATCTATTTCCAAGTACGACTGGAAGGAAGGGGCAACGAAATCGAGGCTGCGAGATTACCGAAGGAGCAGCTAATGTCAAGCCTGCTCGTCCTACAGCAATAGCGATCGAACGTGACAGAACGGATTCCAATAGAAGAACAGATGCTAAGAGAAGGAAGACGGCCGCCCTGCAAGAAGAGGACCGGCGATTTGCCGAGCGCTTGCAGGAGGATCTGCTCATGCCGAAGGACAGTGGGCAAACAACCGCCTTGGCACGAAAGGTCGTCCTATCGATCTGGACCGCAGCACGTCGTTCTCGAAAGCTCCGCGAAGGGCTCGCGATTCTTTCGGGCCATGGTCGTGCCGGCAAACCAACCTTGAAGCCGAAATCTCACCAGAAAGAGACCTTCGATGCAGCCATAGCCCGCCAACTCCAGAATGAAGAAACACAAGCCCAAGAAGAAAGACTTCGTGAAGCAGCTTCACGCACCCGCGACTGCGCAGTCTGTGGGTAATGTGCTTGTCCTTGTAGAGTGCCATGCGAGGTTCTGCACTGTGGATGAGGGATCCTACCATGATGATGAGACTCGTGAGAAGTATGAGTACCGCACCGGCAGGCAGAAGGAGAGGGATGAGGTGGAAGGAAGATGAGGCTAGTGAGGAGGCAGTTGGGAAGTTGATGAAGAGAATGTCCAGGAAAGGATTGTGCGTGGGCGATCGAAAAGAGCGGCGGTTGCAGCCACATGCAGTGTAAGTGCAGAATTATACTGACTATGAAGTGTAAGTGGCTAACAAGATGTAGGCCTCAAGTGCAACCACGAGTTTTGTTGGGTGTGTGTGAGTGTCTGGTACACATGCAGAGGACACTGATGATGGTGAGAATACACGAGTCAGGATGTAGAACCCACTTTCACGGTAAGGCAGGTCAGGCGCAAACAGAGATAGCAATATTGACATAGTTGTGTTAAGCTGCTGTTTTGGTTCTGCCGCTGTAGGTAGAGCCTATCTTCACTATTCGGACATAGCGTCGACCGTCCTCAGGTCCAATATGCGCTATATATCAAATACCCGCCGGGGGAGAGTGGTGGGATGTGAACGAGGGCACCACAATGCGGCTCCATCTGAAAGCACATACACGACAGACAGGTACCCTGTATCAGGTGTCCAGGCAGCGATGTCTCCGGTGTCTCCACAATACTCGGAATCATCGCATAACGCTCAGCCGCATCATTCAGGCGGAGGGCACCAAGCGGAGTTGCCAGCTAGTATGCCAGCGCCATTGCAGTAGAAGAGCTGGCAGGTCGGTGTGGTAAAGTTTCTGGAACAAATGCGATGGAGCTGAGGTAGCAGGTAGATATAATCAAACACAGGACTTCAGCTGTCAAAAAAGACTCATGGGGTATCATTACTTTATAACCGTCGACAGGCTCTGGTCAGCCCGTTCGCGTCGAGAAAAACGCTCGTCTCTTCTCTCTTGCCTGCTCCTCCGAAGGCTGCGACTCGTTCTTCGGACGCGCTCTCTTACCCTTCCTCTGCACCGGCTTCGAGACACTAGGCTGTCTGTCAAATGATGGCAGCGGTGGAGGAGGAGGAGGAGGTGGTGCTGTGGACTTGACTGCTTCCTTGATCGTATCGCGAGACAGACAGAAGTCGATGTGCGCGTTGAAGGTGCTGTCATCAGGCGGCTGCAGAAGAGTGCAGATAGGACACGTCCATTGCTCGTCTGCGACCGGTTCTGTCGGAGGTGTAATCGCTGTTCCGGTGTCCTCCTTGATCTGGGCTCTTGCGTATTCTTGCGATAGTTGCTCCAGCTCATTCATCTCGTCATTACGCTCTTGCGCTGCCGCCTCTTCGAAGTCCTGCTCAGGCCATATCTCCCACTCTCCGCCAGTTCGGTTGATCCTTTTCTTTGTGGGTGTGTTGCCGTTCAGTCTGTTGCGCCCAAAGAAGTCGATCCCAGGCTTCTTGGTGCTGATGATGTGCGTAACTCTCAAGCCCATAAGTCGCAGCTTCATATTCGGGATCTCCTTCATCAGCTTTTCGAGCATCGGTAAGCTGTACTTGTACAGATCGTCCGCGTGCTGTACTGCGAACGGCGGCGTGGTTTGGCGCGTGTGGACTTCGTAGGTGGCTAGCTTGATCTTGATGCAAAGCGTCCTGCCCTTGTATTTGGTGCGCTTCAGATCACCTTCAAGTTCGTCAGCGACCCACCGCAACTTCTCGCGCAGAGCATCAGGTGACCCAAGTTCCCTGAACGTCGTTTCGGTGCCCACGCTTTTGCGATGAGATTCTTCGGCTTGCTGGATCTTGGTGCGTCCCAGGCCCAAGTAGCATTGCATCAGAAACTGGAACCCCTTCTGGCCGAAGAGCTGGGCTAGGTAGCCACGTTGCGCGTAGATGTCGCCGCAGGTCTTGACACCGATCGCATCGAGCTCGCGCTCGAAGACACGCCCAATGCCGTTGACCTTTCGCGTCGGCATCGTCTTCATGAACTCGATGATGGTCTGTCTGTCGCTCGGTAGGAAGAACTGGCCGTTGGGCTTGTTAATGTTCGAACCAATCTTCGCCAACTTTGCGTTAGCGGCAATTCCAGCAGACACAGTGATCTTAGTCTTCTCGAACACCTCAGCTCGTAGTTGACTGACGACCTCTTCCGGGCCCATGTGGTGATCCTCGCAGTACTGTGTAATGTTGAGGTAAGCTTCGTCGCAGCTAGCGCTTTCGAAGTTGGGATCGTACAAAGCCAACACTTCACGAACCTCCTGCGCTTTCGCCATGTACTTGGAGAAGTTCAGCGGCACACAAACGAGCTGCGGGCACAGCTTCATAGCGACAAAGCCAGCCATGCCCGAGCGACACCCGAACTTCCTGGCATAGTAGTTGCACGTGGTCAGCACGCCTTTCCCCACAGCCATGGGAACCGCTTTCAGCTCAGGTCTGTCCAGCTCCTCCACCGCGGCGTAAAAGGCATCGCAGTCGAGATGCACCACCGTCTGGCTCAGGTCTCGAGTGAGCTCCAGCGCTGCGACATAGTCATCTGCACGACGTAGATCTGCAGAGAGGTCGAGCATTTCCAGCCGGGCCTTCTTTGCCAAGATCTTTGCAATCTTCTCCGTGAGGTTCTTGTCCTTGGCTTCCTCGTTGTTGAAGAACTTGGAGCCTTTTGACGCGTTGTATATGATCTCCGAGACCTTCTGCTGGTCGACCGTGTCCTGGCCGGCTTTGGTGAGCGAAGGGCCCAGCAGATGGTACTTGAGGGAGTCGTGCTCGTTCGAGCCGACGTTCGGCGGCTGTGGAGGCACTGGACGTTGGGCTGGTGCCCGCATGGCTCTGGTGCTCTGGCGCCGGTCTGGCCGCGACGCAGGGACGCCGGTGGACGCGTTCATGGTGGGAGGCGCCGCTCTGCCGGACGCCTCCGCTTCCTCTGCGGAGACATGCTGGACGGGGGGCGCGGCCGAGGTGGAGGAGTGAGGCTGCGGGGGCGAGTGCGGCGGTAGAAGGGAAGACCCTGGCGCACTGCTGGTCATGTTCGATGCATCGACATGGTGATGGCGGCCGTGGTGGTGGAGTTGCCTATGGCGAGATGATGGCTTGACATTCCGGGACGCGCTACACGGCGCTAGCTATGCAGGGTCAAGCGGCCGAGGATTCACCAGGGATCAACGATGGCCTTTAGATCTGCTTAATCACACCACAACAGACACACTGCCCGTCCAAAAGCCCCTCGCTGACTCCCAGGGGAGAGGGACACGACTGCGACTGCGGGAAACACACCACCACTGTCGTTGTAGCGCGGGGTTACCACTCGCACGCTCCCCACCGCCACTGGAGCCTGCGTCCACCGCCTCCGCTCGGAGAAACACCAAGCCAAACAACCGATCATCACAATCACCAACCCCCCAGCAACCCCCAGCAACCCTCAGCAAACCACCCCATTGCCCCCTCCTACGGCCATGATCTGTCTCTGCACAGGCGCCCTCCTCCTCACCTAACCTCACTCGACCACCTGGAGGATGCCCATCGACCGAAGCACCCCCAACAACTCGCGGCCTCTGATGCCCACGCTCGCTAGCAACCGGACCGCCGCAAACGGGAAGACACCCGTCACCCCACGCCTCGCCCTCGCGCCCTCTGCGCCTGCCAGCAGCTCCTCGCAGACAGGCCGCACTGTGCGCAGCGCCAATGGAGTCGCTCCTCGGCTCGCCGCCCCCATCAAGGACGACACCACGCCCGCCAAGTCGCTCCTCAGCACCAACATCACACCGCGCACCACCACACGGAAGTCGCGGGTAGGAGTGGGCAGCAGCTCGTCCACGCCCAACGCCTCACCTGCGACTACCCCTATCAGCTCGCGCCCCTCGTCCACGGTCGGTTTTGCGCACAGGGAGCACGGTTCTGCTCAAAGTGGGCCGGTAATAAATGCGAACCACAGTGCACCGACCGGCCCTCGACCGCGGAGCACTGTGGGGAGCAACAGCCACAATGTCACACCGACACCACGCTTGCCGCTGTCGAGCGTGTACAATCACACGCCGCCTGAGACTAGCCAGGCGAAAGATGGCTCGCCCATGTTCTTCCATGCGAACAGCATCAAGTCGCCCAAGGAGCAAGCCCCGCCACAGAGACCTCCGCAGAAGAAGCCCGCTGTCTTCTTCCACGCGAATGGTGACGAGGCCAACAGTCCGCGCGGGCCTGCCGTCCCGTCGCCGCCATCTTCGGCAGTAAGCCGGCCATCCTCAGCTGTCGGCAGGGCATCGTCGAATGTAGGAAAGGCTTCGTCAGCCGTGGGCAGGCCGCAGCTTGGAAGCAAGTTCCTTCATGCCGACTCCACCCCAGAAGTGCGATCTCCGCCAATGCTGAGTCCACCAATAGTCGCAGCTATACCGGACCTGCCACCCAACCCAGCTGCTCCTCAGGGACCTGCGGTTCGGGCGCCTTCGCCAACCAAGGATTGGGGCCACCTGTCCTATCGAAAGGGTGCCTCACAAATAATGCGTCCGAACTTGCACACCCGCAACTCGGCTCTGTCCGTGTTATCTGGCATCAGCGTGACAGAAGAGCTGGACAGCTCGCGAAGACGGTCCAGCGTTACGTCGTCACTCAGCAGGCCGGGGCACTATAAAAGCGCCAGTCTCTCATCGATCGACTCGGTCGCCGACTTGAGAAGAGTACCTTCTCACGAAGCCCACGCCACTACACCAAGCCCCACATACCACGGCAGCCGCGTCGTCAGCAACAGCTCATCCGTAGCCGACAACATCGCGCCTACGCCGTCACCACTGGCCATCAGCCAGAACGCTCTACCCTCGCCTGGGCTGGCAAGCCCAACGAAAGCTGCCGGAGGCCAAAGTGCGCTCGAGATGATGAACGAGCTAGCGGCAAATGCTCGACGAGAGCGAAAAGTCCTCGACCTCGAGATCAGCAACTCATCCCTTCTCGCCATCAACCGCTCACTGGAGAAGGAGATGCGCAAACAGAAGGCTGAGCTGAAACGCTTCCGTCGAATGAGCCGCGCGGGTCGCTTCTCAATCGACGCTATCACTTCGACCCTGGACACCTTTCCCGCAAAGCGTACCAGTGATCTCTCGGACATGTCTGAAGTCGAAGAGGACGAAGGAGAGGAGGTACCTTCAGAGGAAGAGTTGGAGAGTAGCGAGTCTTCCTTCGACGAGAGCGTCCTGGAGAACGGCGACCAAGCAGAGCGCGACGAAGCCTACCGCCTCAAGGACGAGAAGCGTCTTCAGCTGGACCTGGCAAAACACCGTGGCCTGCTCATGGACAGTCAGAAGATGAATGAGAGTCTCAAGCGATGTCTAGGCTGGACAGACCAGCTCATCAAGGACGCACAAAAGGCCCTCGACTACAAAGTCAACGTCAGCGATGTCAGGCTCGGTGGTCGAGTGCTTGTTACCGGAGACGATGAAGAGGAGGACACCAGCGATCACGAGGAGGCAAGAGGGCTTCTCAGCCCCTGGAGCCCTCCGCAACGTGCGGCCGACACCCTCGACCCACCAGTACCCGACTTTGCTCGAGCAGAAAACCGCGACAGCGGTGTGGACGTCGGCCGCGTAAAGCACAATGGCCGCGATTTACCTGACGAATTCTCACCACTCGACCCACCCTTCGGGGACAAACTATCTTACCTTCACGCCGCTATTGACGCCCTCGAGGCATCCTAAGCACGCAATACTTTCAACACCTCGACTTTGTTTCCTTTGTCATCTCTCGCATATACCACGGCGCTCGTTACCCGGCTCGGCGTTTTCTACACAGCGTTTCCTTGGATTTGTGCTTTCGGCGCACTCGGCACACACCACACTCTGCAACGACGACGAATTCCATTGGTCCTCTCGTACTTGCACACTTTCTGCTTAGATCTCTCGCCTTTTGACTGTCAATGTATTATGGGCGAGTCACTGGGATGCATGTTGGCACAACGCTATCAACCTGCGCGTTTGGCTTGAGCGTTTGGCTTGAGCGTTTGGCTTCAATACTGGCTGCGCTGGCTTGGCTGCGGCATTTACCCGTGCGGTAGATTACTACTACTTCATTGTGTGTTTTCATGAGATACCCCCCGATCGATAAGAACCCCTTCCGCAGTCTGGAATGCAATCAAAATTAGCTCCTCATCTTCACCTGTCCGTTGTCTTGAATGATACCACTCGTCTGCAAGGAGAAATCTTGGTATCACAGTGTGAGTGTGAAAAGGGTACGTGTGAAGATGGTATGTATACATTCCTGGCCGCCTAGAAGCAGCCCTCCTCTATGGATATGCTCACAAAAGGTCACGTCCCGTTACGTATCCCAGATACGAAGTCCCGTCCGAAGAAATGTACTGCAACCTCAACCGCCACAATCTAGGGTATCGGCATCTATAAACACGCGCAGAAACAAAAAGATCATTATCCCCAAAGTACCGTCTAACTTTTTGCCTAAGCCCAGTAACCGAGCAGAGCCATCAACCCAGCACCCAGGATCATGAGCCCGAAAGCGTACAATGTCCTGCTGACGGGACCCTTCTGCATGTACGGGCTGAACATGAACTCGTGCGCCATCAACTCGACCAAACCAGTGTAAATCAGGATGCCCGCACTGATGGAGTCGAAGATACCGTTCACGATGAGAGTAGTCTGCGACTCGGGCGAAAAAGTGGTCCTAATACCAAGACCAATCGCAATAGCAATGGGCGTCGAGATACCGTATCCAAGACCCAGAAGGTACGGTGTCCAGCGCTTGCTCCTCGGCCAGGGGACCTCAGCGAGACGCGCGCCCAGACCGAGACCCTCGAAAGTCTGGTGAAAGACGAGGACGATGTAGAGCGTAATGAACTCATCGCCTGCGACGGCGAGGGTCAGTCCGACGAAGATGGAGTGGAAGATGACACCGAATTCGAGGATGAAGACGGCAGTCAGCTGCGCGGCGTACGTCTCGGGGATGATGCCCTGCGCTTCCCAGTTAGGGCCGAGAGTTGAGTTGTCCATGTGGTCGCGCTGGTGGCCGAGGTGGTCCTCGCCGCGGACGTGGGAGGGCCGGGGTGGTGCTTCTTGCGGGGAAGCCCGCTTGTCTTCGAGACTGTGCTCGTCGTCATGGCTGTGGGAGTGGCCGTGAGAGTGGCTGTCGCCGTGGTCGTGGTCATGGCCGCCTCCGAACTTGGCGTAACGCATGGTCATCAGCTCCAGGAAGAACATGACGAAGGCAGTCATGAGAGCAATCGCCTCGGGCCATGGGTACGTGTCTGAGGAAATGGTTTCGCCTACGAGACATGGGTTGCCGAGTGCCTCGTTTGCTGGGGCGAGCAAGTGGATGAATGCTGTTGCAATGATGACTCCGGAACCGAAGTACTTGGCAACGAAGAAGGTCCAGGCAGGTACCAGCTTAGTCCTTGCACGTTTGGCAAAGATTGGGAATATAGCACCTTTCAGGCATTAGTATGTGATGTACAACGTAGAAGGTGAGAGCGTGCGCTCATCTAAAGTGAAGTTACAGAGCGCCGGATGTATGCCGACGAATATATAGATGTGTGAAGGACAGGGCAGATGATGTACAGCAAATAGATGTGACTTACCCCATACCGAACCCACAAGGATCACAAAGATTGACGATATGCGAACGCCCATGCGTCCATCGTAGTCATTCGAGCTGGCGCAGGTAGGCGTTGTGTCCGACTCGGAACCTGGGTCCTGACGTAGCACGAGTCGTGCAACTTCCATAGCTGCGGCGTCCATGATCAAGGTAACCGGGTGTTACTTGAGTCAAAGTAGGACCACGTCGACTTGGGAAGATGAGGGTCCAGCGGGATCGCCTTATAGTACTGTATACAAATGGCGCACTTGTTTAGCCTCCGACCTAAAATCAAGACGGTCGTCGAGATCCAGATGCGTGGGTTGACAGTTCAGTAACGCTTGGCTTAGTCGATCCCAGCTTGGTGGTTCTTGTCCTGCGAGTAAAAAAGCTTGGAGTGCAGGTCCTCTTATTGCGCCGAGGGAGATAAGCAATTCAGCACCTTGATGGACGTACGGAAGGGATTGCTGAGGCGGCTTGGTGCAGCTTGAAAAATGGGCAGGCTCGACAGCGGACGTGGAGCACCTTGATGTCTGCGCTAAGCGACAAATCCACCGCTTCCGTCACAGTGTGGGCAAATGAACATCGATGGCGCAAAGCCCGGATGCTGCCTATCTGCCGTTCGGAACTTTTGCTCAATTGCAAATGGACAAACGCCGTCGCGATCGTGCTCGTTGGGAGGCCTCATCGTATCGTAAAGTGCTTGCTCGTGTGGTGTTGTTGCAGCTACGTTCCTGTGAGCTGCAGGGAAACTGAGCGACAAATCAGCGTGGGCGTACTACCACTAAGCGAGCCGCAATCCCGAAGCTCTCAGAATATCAGCCATTCCCAGGTCCTGTTGCATGATGGATTCGTATGTCTTCAACTGCAATCTTTTGTGTGAGTGGAGCGGACATCGAGTACTCAATATTCCAACGAGAACCTGCAATCCCATTGTCCTGCGACTCAGGCCCCCTCGGCTGCTATGCCGAACGCTCGAGAGAACGATGGGTCTGTCTCGGTTTAGTCCGATGCTATCGCAGAAAGTTCGTAGTTCGGTGAGGAAGCGGTGTTATTTCGATCTCAACCACCGAACATCTTCAACCACGGACAGTACGGTCGAGGAGGTCAGTGGTAGGGAATCTGTAGCATCACACTACGTATCAGCACTACCAGACATTCGCCAGGCGACACCACATTGTGCACCGTCTTTGAGGCTGGAGATATCTAAGTGTTGTTGGGCTGCTTGATTCGAATTGGAGTCCATTTCGGTACTTGGCTTGTTGCCGGGCTCACGAGTTGTATGAGGGAACAGGTGCATTTGATAGCCGTACCGACAACGATGACATCGGCAACAACATGATGAAGGCACATACTGGTGTTGTTGGTTTCCCCAACGGTTCACGCGCGCCAGGGTGATTGAAGGCTATCCATGGTGCGTAGACCAAGGTGTTTGACACTCCAACCTGCACGTGCTGGCGGATCGACCGAGCTCCTTATGGTGGCAATCGTTCACATTGTAAGGTGTGTGAGCAATGAAACTTCGGAAGCCTCAGGTAAACTACGCACCTCGAGGCACAGTGGCTTTGCCGCAACAATGTCGCGCGTGTTTGCAGATGTCATACGTCTTGGCACTGGCCCTCGACGCCCGTTGGCTCAAAAACCTTGTTTTGGCAGTTTTGCAAGGCGGACGAAACGCCCCACCCTGGAGGAACAGAGATTGAAAATTGGTTGAGCTGATGTCACGTGGCTGTCATACGAGACATCCAGATTGCAATCCTTGACATTTGCGTGCTTGGTATGTGGGGTACACCGACGATGGAATCGATGATGGCATTTGTGGTTTTCATGGCTGTGCACATCGCGAATCCTCCACCCGTAAGCACAGCAGCGCTGCAATTGCAGATCTCCATCGCAAATCAACTATTAACACAAATCAACGAGTGCCTCGATACAAAGGCACTACCGGCTGGGTCTTGTACCTCTGCATCGTGTTGTTTGACGGCGCTTGGACCGCGATCCAGCTCCAACAGTCCCATCACCACAGCCAATGGTGTCTGCATGCAGTGAGGGGAGATGACGTCGTGACTTCCTACCTGGTACAGCTCCTGCAACAACTTGGGGCAGGTGACAGCATAACGCCCTCCGAGCTGTTGCCTGCAGCTCCTCTTTAAAACCTCAGCCGCTGCTGGTCCCTTTCCGACTCTTCATCCTTCAATCGAAGTATCGTCGCTGTTACTCATTCACAGCCTCACCACTGCCATTATGATTGTCGACCAATTCGAAGAGGTTCTCATGAAGACCTCGCTTATTCCTCTCCCCACCGCCTCACCCACTGGCGTCACTCCCATCCCCTCAGTCATTCCCGACTCGCCCGAGCACCAATTCGTTGGTGAGACCGGCACAAAGACACTATGGGTTGTCTTCATCATCATGCTGATCTCCTCCGGTGTCTTCTCTGGCCTTGCCTGGAGGGTCCCAGTGGTACGTAGTATGCGGAGTTGAAGCCCCAAACGGCTCACTGACAGCCTTATAGCAAAAGCGTCTCTTCTATGTCATCACAACTCTGATCACCATCACTGCTGCGATCTCCTACTTTGCCATGGCTACCGGCCAGGGTGTCTCCGTTCACCACATCCATATCCGCGAGCAGCACGACCACGTTCCTGACACCCACCATGAGATCCAGCGCCAGGTCTTCTGGGCTCGCTACGTTGACTGGGCCATCACCACTCCTCTTCTGCTCCTCGACCTTGGTCTTCTGGCCGGCATGAGCGGTGCTCACCTCACCCTAGCCATCGTCGCCGACCTGATCATGGTTCTCACTGGCCTGTTCGCTGCTTTCGGCTCTGAGGGTACCCCTGCCAAGTGGGGATGGTACACTATTGGTTGCCTCGCCTACCTCATTGTTGTCTGGCACCTCGCTGTCAACGGCCGTGCTGCTGTCCAGGCCAAGGGCCAGAACGTCTCTTCGTTCTTCCTTGCCATTGCTACATACACTCTCGTCCTGTGGACTGCCTACCCCATGTAAGCCTAAGCCTACCCCAAATGAATAACGACCACTAACAACATCTAGTGTCTGGGGCTTCGCTGACGGTGCCCGCCGTGTCGGTGTGGACGGCGAGATCATCGCCTATGCCATCCTCGATGTTCTTGCTAAGCCTGTCTTCGGTACTTGGTTGATTATCACCCACGCTAAGCTCCGCGAGACCGATGTTGACCTTGGTGGCTTCTGGGCGAACGGTCTCAACCGCGAGGGCACCCTCCGCCTCGGTGATGATGACGGTGCTTAAATGCATCGACATTACCCAACTTCATCGATTCAAACATTGAATCAAATTGCAAAGCGGGACAAGCTACTCTCAATAACGTCCCCGGTGGAAAAGTGCTGACGACAGATTGGTGGCTGAAAATGCTCATCCTTCCTACCGTCTTCGATCGTTTCTTTACGAACCTCAAGTACTCATGTATGGAGTACAGGCATCCTGTATATTATTGCGGGATATCTGCAACCAGTTTTGGTATATGGCTAATGTGGTAATGATATGACCTCTCACATACACTTTGCCTTCATCGCTTTAGTGACGCGTCCTCAGGAATGTACACTTGTGTACCTTTCCACGCATCCCTTCTTCCACATTGGTGGCTGTCGAACCCGTCGCCTTCTTCATGCATTGGTCACGTCTGTTTATCCGTAAATTGACCATAGTGCAGAGTCCCACGAGCCCGTCGAGGGATACAGCATTGCTTAATGGCAATAAGCATTTATATGTCCGCGAAATTATTGCAGATGTGAAACTCTCCAGTGTTCAAGTATCAATAGTATCTGAAGATTCAAGATGCGTTCAGCCATCATCAGCATCGTCCTGGCCGTATTGTCAGTCCAAGCGTAGGTCTCTTGTTAGCCTCCCTCCCCTGCAATTGTGCTCACCACATCATCATGCTATCATCGCCGCTCGAGCAAGCCGTTGCATCGCCACCATCACTATCAGCGGCACCGATATGTACTCACACCATCCTGAAGCAACCCTCTTTCGCGAGAATTTGCACGAACTACGGCAAAACTTTGACCTACACATCTTACACTGATTGTGGTGTCGGCTGCACCTTGGTCGCGAAGAGGCTTGGACTTGGACTAGCAAGTGACGAGCTCGTATCTGGGATCAGAGGCTGTACTGACATTTTGTAGCCATGCCAGACTGTCAGATACAACCCGGGTAATGCTGGGACAACTGTGACAAGCTGCAGGCCGCCTAAGATGTCGGCGACGAGGACTATCACGAATTACACCAGGCCTACGGGCGAGTCTCTTCTGACCTTCTCAGAAATCATGTACTGACACGGCTACAGTAACTTCGAGCTTGTAGCTGCTCGGTGGACTTCTGGGTAGATGTTGACATTAGCTGAAGGACCGGGTTCATAGAGCCCGCCAATTAAGCATGATAGTTGTAAGGAAAACAAATAGTCTTACTTCACACCTGCCTATTTGTGACGGTTTGTTGTAGTCCTTGGTCGTGGTGTTGTGTCTATGGATAAGGCCGTGCGAGCGATACGTCATGCTAGGCTCGAGCTAGCAACGAGCTCGATCACAACCAGTGAACGCGCTATCAACAGCGAAAGTGGTAACATCGCATCATGATGAACAACGCAATGATCTTTCCGTTGCTCGTGAGTCCCGTGCCTGACCAACAGTGACTGCACATGACGGAGGCCGTTGCCATATGCAGGGATCTGGTTGCCCCGCTTGTCCAAGGTTCCTGGCAGCACCTGGCAGCCGCAGCAGCTTTGTTTCGACGCATCCAGCCGCCGCGTCCCCTCTCATCTCACCTCGGCGAGCTCCTATAAGTACACACAACCTGCACGAGCTTCAGCTACATCTACAACTAATTTTACCCTGAACCCACTGACCACCACTCAACATGGCTTCTGAAGACACTAACATCGTCGACGCTACCCCCATCTCGCCTGTCCGCAGCAACGAGAGGCGCAACAGCTTGGAGAAGCACCTGCAGCACCGCCCGGAAGCTCAGGACTTGAAGAACAGGCACATTCTGCTCGACACTACCACGGCTCCGTATGTTCCTCAGCTTCCAACAGCTCCTTATCCTTGCCAACAGCTCCGTCTTTACTTCATGCTGCGTGCACCCTCAGCTGACCATGCCCCAGTGCCCTCCAAGCCAAAGCTCTCGAGCTCGAACGCCAGCGTGCAACCGACAACCTTAAGAAGGGCCTCAATGCTCGCCCTGACCGCGATGACCTCGTTCAGCGAAACATCCTCCCACAATCGAATGCCGCACCTGCCCTGCAAGAGAAGCAGAGGGAGCTCGAACACCACATGAGGGCTGACAGCCTCGAAAAGGGGTTGCAGAGCCGGCCAAACCCAGAGGATCTTGTCAAAAAGGGTATCCTTGAGGCCGACGAGAACCCGCTGAAGGACGTTTAGGACTATGAAAGTCTCGAATAGACGGAGCACAGGCATATGACAGACCTGCAATGACAGGCTGCATGCTTTTCCTGTTTTCCTAGGGCGATCGATCACTTTACAATCGTTGAACGGAGTTTGTAAGGATAACGTGGACACGACTATGCACTATACTTTGCGACTTAAAGCTCTTTCGCTGCTGTCCTTGTCACCTCTACTTTGCCGAACTTCACAGACGCTTCACTGGTGTGATCAACGTATGGCACACAAATGCAAAGAGCGACACGAAGTCGCGACTTCATTACTAATCATGCTATGATGCATCGCCGTGCATGACCAAAGACAAGCAACAGCCAGGGTCTACCCTACTAGCGAATACGACCGAACAACTCAATCATCGTCTAGTGCGAGTTGGGTGCGACCTCCTTACGCTCCTCACGAACCACATCCTTACCATCGAGACCGACTTCGCCAATGGAGGCGCGGGCCTCACGGTCAGCCTCGATGTTCTTGATGAGCTCGGTGATACCGAAGAGGTCATCCATCTTCTCGAGGGAGAGACCCTTGGTCTCGGGAACGAGGAACCACACGAATATGAACATGAGGAAACAGAAGGTTCCGTAGATGAGGAAGGTACTAATCAATATCAGCGAGCGGTCGATTTGAGGTACGAAGGATGAAGGAACTTACCCATAACCGTTGAATCCAACTGTGGTCATCATGTTGGGCGTAGCACGAGCGACAACGAAGTTAAAGAGCCACTGGGTGGCAGCAGCAATAGCAACGTTGAGCGATCGAAGACGCGCAGCAGGGATCTCAGAGACGTAGATCCAGCAGACGGGACCCCAGCCGAACTGGAAGAAACCGGCGAAGAGGAAGACGCAGACGAGAGCAAAGTAACCAGCAGGAGGGACATTGCCGGTGCCCTTGGGAGGATCAAAGCGCATATAGAAACCGATGTAGAACATGGCAAGAGCCTGGGCAATAGAGGTCCAGAGAAGCGAACGGCGGCGACCAAGGGAGTCCGCAGCGAAGATCAGGAAGGCGAGACAAGCAATCATCTTCACGATACCGTAGATACCGGTGGCGAAAAGCTTGACATCATTGCCCTTCAGACCGAGCGCTGTAAAGATTTGGGGTGCGTAGTAGTTGATGGCGTTAGTTCCGGTCATCTGCTGGCAGATCATGAGTCCGATGGAGAGAAGAGCGCGCTTGCGGTTGCCAGGGATGGTGAACATCTCCTTGAGAAGATCCTTGACGGAAGCACCGGCAATGAGCATGCGCTCGTGCTCGAGCTGGTCGGCAATGTCCTTCAACTCAGCGGCGACATACTCGTGGGATGCGGGCAGGTTGCGCACACGAGCGAGGACAGCAGTGGCCTCCTCCCAGCGGTCCTGCTTGGCGAGGAAACGAGGAGACTCCTTGTTCAGTGCCATGCAGCTGCAGAGAAGAACAGCTGGAAGAGCCTGAAGAGCAAGGGGGACAATGTAGACTGACTGGCTGCCGGACATGTGCATGAGCGAACCGTAGTTGACCCAGAAAGCCAGGCACGTTCCAGTGGCAATGAACAGTTGATATAGACCAGTGAGACCACCACGAATGGCACGGGGAGCATTTTCGGAGATGTAGAGAGGAACGACCATGGAGGCCTCACCAACACCGACACCAGCGACGAGACGACCGACGTACATAGCTCCAATGCTACCCGAGGCAGCGGCCTGAATAACACAACCAACGATGGTGATAAGACCGGCAACCTGAAGAGTCAACTTGCGGCCGTACTTGTCGGCCATCCAAGAACCAAGGAAACATCCAAGGAAACAACCAGCTTGTAGGGTCGAGGCGATGTTGGCGTTGAGGTCGGCTCGTTGTTGCTTAGTCTTTTGCGCGAGATCGTACTTCCTGCAGTGCAAGTCAGTCATCTGCCAGTGACAATTCGCTAGAGGAAACATACTCCTGAAACTCCTTCAACTCGAGAACACCTCCGATGGTACCGATATCGAAACCGAAAAGCATGCCTCCGAAACAGGCGGAGCCAGCCATGGCGAAGGCACGCCATCCGTAGATCTCTGGGGGATCTGTCTTGACAGCATCGTTCTTGACGATGGACCTGATGATACGAGCACCGGCACTGATACGTTGGCTCATGATTGCGATTGGTATGTTACGAGGGCTTTGATGTTCTTGAAGTGAGTCGACTGTTTACCCTCGTCCAACGCTGGTCGACGATGCCAGTGAATGTGAGGAAAGAGAGAGAAGCCTCCACAGATTGGATGATCTTCGACAGCGGAACCACGATATCTATATAACTGCACGTACAGCGGCCCAAGCTTCCTGTCAAGACGGGGTAACCAACGCCGCGGTCCTTGCCCCAGTATCTCCCCCGGACTCCAGACTACATTGAACCCTCCACACGCACGTTGAACAGGCCATCTACATCCCGAAGGAGCTTCGCTTGAAGATCCAGATAGCGTTTCTGTTTGTTCTGTCCAGTGAGATGCTGCTCACATTCGACGTCTTGGTTCCCGCTGGCAGACAAATTGCTTGGCTCGGCGCAATTCACCACTCGCTATTTGTGGAAGAGGGAATGTGCGTCTTGGACGAGCCAAGCACAGCGTGAACTTCCGCCAACAAGGGGAGGACGTGGCGTCCCCTCCTCATCAGCGAAAGCATGCGAAGCAAGTCCCGGGTCTTGGCTCTCCATGGGGCCCTTAGGCCTCGCCCCCCACACTGCACAATACTGACCTCGAGGTCGGTGCACCGGCAGGTCTGGGGTAGTGCGAGTGGAACCGGCGCGCTAGTCTGCTCCAAGTTACAGAGGCCATCTCCCACGCATTTATCCGTGAATGAAACTCGTTGTGAACACCCCTCACAGCCGGGCCATCCGTGAATGTAAGATTTATGGATTCATTGCAAGATATTGTGGAGTGTAGCGCAGTTGGTTGAATCGACTTCGCCAAAAATCATGATTACGCGGTGGTTAGCATGCAGAGATGGGGCATGGAGGGGCTCACAGTCGGTGGGAACAGCGATCAGCGACGCTTCTGCCATCAATAACCCGAGACCCGACGGTTAAAGGACAATATAAAGAAAGCGCCAATGTCAATCGCACGCACACTCCTAAAGCAGCGAGTGACATTGAAACCTCGTCGTTCCATCAAGGCCACGCGATTCCCGGCTCAAGTCAAGCATTTTGGCACCGCTCAATTCGGCACCCGCCCTTACGCCTCAAACTCTTGGGACCTCTGGGTTCCGGCATTGCGCTGCACGATCTCACGCCAGCGATTATCGATCCTGCACCAAGCCACAAATACAAGTGTGTCGCTTGTTGGGGTTTGCGACCGCGGACCGGACGTGACGGAAACTCAACGCAATAATTCTTGAGTCTTGACGCCTCGCGATACACGCCTAGAAAGAGTAGTGAAGGTTTTACTGAGTCCGCGAATCATGAGTGCCGCCACGGCAAACGCCAACCGCGCGTTTCCCCTCCACGCTTTCTCCACGAATCCGCTGCGCGATCGAGATGATGTCGTCAAGGCTGTGGCTTCGCTGCTGGATCCGCTCTTGGCGGGTTTCTCAGAGCACAGTTCCATGGTCAAAGTTGGATCCACGGGAACTCGTTTTGACGAAACTGCTGCTCAGGTCGAGGGCTTTGCGAGACCGTTGTGGGGTCTTGCGGCTCTGTTGGCTGGAGGCAGTGAATATGCTGGCACCGATAAGTTCGTCCAGGGTCTGGTGAATGGCACAGATCCTGAAAGCCCTGGATTTTGGGGCTACATGGAGGATATCGATCAGAGGATGGTGGAGGCGTGTCCGATTGGGTTCACACTTACTGTTGCAAACAAGCAGTTTTGGGATCCATTGACAGATAAGCAGAAGAAGAATGTTGAGACATGGCTGGGTAGTATGAACGGCAAGGAGATGCCCAACACCAATTGGTATGCCACATAGGTATTTTACCCCAAGTATTCCTTAATACTAACGCTTGTACAGGCTATGGTTTCGTGTCTTCGCCAATCTCGGTCTTGCAAAGAACGGAGCAAACTGGAACAGAGAGCTCGTCAAGTCAGACATCAAGCAATTGAACACCTTCTATCGTGGTGATGGTTGGAGCAACGATGGCCCTGAGCACTACCGTCAAATGGACTACTACTCCGGCTCCTTCGCCATCCAGTACCTTCAGCTCCTCTATGCCAAACTCGCCGCCGACATCGACCCTGAACAAGCTTCAGAGTACAAAGAGCGCGCACGACTGTACGCTCAGGACTTCGTCCACTACTTCGACCCCGAAGGCCGCGCTATCACTTTCGGACGCTCACTCACCTACCGCTGGGCCATGGCTGCATTCTGGGGCTCTCTACCATTTGCCGATGTCGACCTCCCTTCCCCCTTATCCTGGGGTGTCGTAAAAGGCATCTGGCTCCGCAATCTACGCTGGTGGACCACACAAACCGACATCTTCCAGTCCAACGGTATGCTCACATTAGGTTACTCTTACCCCAACACCTACCTCGCCGAGAACTACAACTCCCCCGGTTCGCCATACTGGTGCATGCTCGCCTTCGCCCCACTGGCAGCTTCAAAAGACCACCCCTTCTGGACCGCGAAAGAAGAACCCCATCCATACGCCAACGAGCGCATTGCCAGACCGCTAAAACACCCCCGCCACATCGTCGTGCGCAGTGGAGGCCACTCCTTCCTCCTCAGCAGCGGGCAGTCGTGCCACTACGCGATCAAGAACTCGAACGCCAAGTACGGCAAATTTGCATACAGCTCTGCATTCGGATACTCTGTCTCCACCGGATACCAGGAGCTCGAACAATTCGTTCCAGAGTCCTCACTAGCTCTATCTGATGATGGCGGCGAGCTGTGGAAGATGCGCAGAGCGCATAATGGCGACTCGAGCATCGAGACTTTCGATGGTGTGCCGGTGCTGGTGAGTAGCATGAAGCCCTGGCCTGATGTTGAGGTACAAACATTCTTGGTTCCACCGGCTGAGGAGAGTCCGAATTGGCATCTGAGGGTTCATAAGATCACGACTGGACGCGACGTGTTGACTGCCGAGGGCGCGTTTGCAGTGCATGGAGCTAAGGAGGCCGATGGACGAGCGTTCAACGGCTTCGATGAGTCGCTTCCTGAGGGAGGCAAGGAAGATAAGCAGAGTTCGCTTGCTGCGTCTAGATCGGGAGCTGTTGGTATTGTAGAGTTGTTGTCGACTAGTCGCGCTGGACACGTTTTGCAGGCAGATGCGAACAGCAACTTGGTTGAGGCGAGGAGCGTGGTGCCACTGCTTAAGAACGAACTCAAGGCAGGTTCGACGACATGGTTTGTTACTGCTGTATTTGCACTGCCGGGTAGTGTCGATGGGTGGAAGAGGAGCTGGAAGGAGGAATGGGAGAAGAAGCCCACCATACCGAAGTGGATACAGGAGAAGATTGATGCAGGAAAGTAGACAAGTAGCGAACGTGATGATAGACCCGAATCAAAGACTAGACGTACAGTGATCTATTTTATGGCAAAAGTGCATAGCCGTATGTCTGCAAAGCTTCAACGTTTCACACTCCAGAGGTAGATTCATCAGATCGATCTATAATACAATTGCCTCGCGGCGGGGTATCTACGCTGCTCGTGTACTTTTGAATCCTCTCATATAGGAGACAAGTTCTTCATACTCTTCGTCTCCTCGCTCCACTGACTAAGCGGGGTCCTCGGCCGTATCCTCCTAGCACCTGCCTCCATCTCCTCAAACTCCTCATCATTCGCAGGTTCACTAGTGACATGTGTCGTCATGACCAGCTTGATGTCTTTACTTCCCACCGGAAATAGATCGTCTAAGCTACCTCTTCCAGACGGTAGCGCGCTCTTGCTTGCATTGCGTCTGCTCTTCTTCGAATGCAAGGCTTCGATGGTGGTCTCGCCTCCGAAGCGTGTAGGCTTGTTGTGCCAGAACGTAGAGAAGGTGTCGAATCCGTTGTCGTCAGACGGCGGCTCGTCGCTGAAGATCATTATACGGCGGGTGCAGGTGTACAGTAGGACGTCAAGCCAGCCGTTTGAGGTGATCATCGCACCAGACAGACAGAGGCGGGCAAGTGATGGAGGTTCCCCGGTCATGGCTGCCATACGGGCGGAGGCGAGAGGGAGTGTGCATATCACGTAGACAACGGGATAGACGACCATAAGGTTCGATATCGCTCGGACTCGTTTCGATTCTTCGGGAGTATAGTAGCCGGTGTGAATACGGTGGAGCAGGACTGTGTAGGTGATGGCGTAGATTAGTACATTCCCGAACTCACTGCTGCTGTCAGATTCAGAATGTCGGGTATGGGTATGGCTGCAGACTTACAATATGAAGATCCAAATGTAATGAGTCCATAACCGAAGATCTTTCAGATCATGGTGAATCCAGCACCACACTCCAGACCTCACATACAGGTTCGTTCCATGCAGACCAATGCCAATTGAAGAAACACCAATGATGAATATCCATGCTGCAGCAATAGCCGCATGGAAGGCTTTTGGCTTCAGTCGACAATCAAGAATGACCGATGCAAAAGTATGCAATCCAATCGCAAAGCACCATACTCCACTGCCCAAGTCACCAGTCGAGACCAGCAATCCTTGTGCAAAGCATATCGGATTTGCGACTTGTAACGAACCCAGTCGTAACCACTCGACATTCAGAGAGAAAGCCAGTGCTTGTTGTATGTCGGCCCAAAGAAGGTTGAAGATGAGAATGACGAATTGGTTGCTCCGTTTCGATTTGATGTGCCAGGATATGAGCTTGTATATGAGGATGAAGAAGAGGGTAACCGATGCGGCAAAGGAGATGAAACCGAGTGCGACGACTGCCCGTAGCCACGGATGGATGTGTGGTGGTAATACAAAGCTGTCCGAGGCTTCGTCCAGGACTTCAAAGTTGGCCATCTTTTCAATTTTCTAAGCGTAGATACCTTCGAAGGCTGGTTGCGATAAGTTACGATCCGGGACAGATCGTCTATCGGTTCCTTGCTGGGATCATATCGAAGTAGAGGCCGAAGGTCGAAGAGAAGTCAGGGCAATGCCCAACGAAGAGCACAATGAAGCGAACAAGAGGAAAAGCTCGTACTACTCCGGGGTCAGAGTAATAATATACGCCTCTAGCGGCTGCAGCAGGGTCCAAGCGCGTGCTGAGTGGTGCTCAGGGCTGACAACACCATGCAAACAGTAATCTGGGGACCCACGATCGCATGTAAACCGAAACTTAGCCTCGGACTAGAGGGGTAAACCCGGCCGTTACACTCGTGCTCGCGTGGCATCGAGGGCGGCAAAATGTAACCTAGACCGATCTCGGCGGACTCTAGGACAATGCGAGTAGAGTGCAATGCGTTCCAGCATCTAATGGAAACTGAACAAGGCCGGTGGAAGGATGGGTTCCAAGATGTTTGACTTGGCGGCATCGCGATTGTACGTGTTTCTGCATGTCATGCTCACGGTGATTGGGTGATACAGAGCATCATCTGACGACGTCTTTGCTTGCATACGCTTACAGACCGTATAAGCCCTGTACTCCGTCATGAGAGGGCTAGGGTGAACCGTGAAGAAGGATTGGTGGCGTTTCTGGACCACATGGCATGTGTTCGTTCGGGCAAGGTGCCATTTTCTCGTTGGTTGATGGCGGCTTGATGCAGAACTGCACGCCGGGTAAGTACATAGCGAATGCCAACGATGCAGGAGGTAGAAGGCGTTGCTGTATGACGCTGCACATTACAGATGAGCCACGAGGAAGTTCGGCAAGCGCTGCCCCGGACTCCAGAGTGGTTGGAATCAAGGCAAACTCTCGTTATCGAACGTCTGCCTGTCCTCCCGGTCAAGGCCATTGCGCTTCGAGTCGCTACATTCGGCTAATACAGTAGGGGTGCGCGTTTAGCCGGATGTTTGAGTCGAATATCCTCAAACATTCGTTGAGCCCACACTCTGTCAGCTGCATGCCGTCCATTGTTAGCAAACTGCCGTGCAGCGCTCAAGGCGTTGATGGGATGCAATGTTGATGACGGTGAAGGCATCAGTATTGAATTGGCTTAAGGTCGACTGAGCATGCTGGCCTCAACAAAACCTTGATGGCGTAATCGTGCAATTTTGGTGAGGGTGTCGAAGGACGTTGTCTCGTGATAGGATAGGATCGATAAACCCCGAGTGGGGGCCATGCTAGCGCCCATCCCCCAGAAACTTAGAAAAGGGGTCCGCAGGTGAGCGATCAATGCTCCCCATGGCAATCTTGAGGAAGCGAAAGGACCGTGCCCAAGCTTTGAAAACGGCACGAGCACGTTCGGTGTCTCCGACCAACGGGCCGTTCTGGTGACTTGCTGCAAGCCACGCAATCAAAGCAAGCAGGAACGCGCCAAGGGAAGGCAGGCACTCCTCCAACGTGCAGTCTGTTGATATTGCGTATCAAACTCTTCGAGATTTCGACGCCTCGGCGTCATATGTTGAGCATGTCTTTCCTCCTCTCCTTTTGTTCCAGCTTTGGTACCAACATCGCGACTATGTAGAGCCTAAGACATCCACGTCTATAATACTTCTATTCGCCTACCGTTTCTTTGACATGTCGACTTAAACCCCAATCGAGATATGAAGATCTCCACAATGAGGCTCTGCTTACTCGATACCTGATCGTCCCGCACCATCCTTGAAGTCCCAGCAACCACACCTTTGGCACTTCGCAAAAGGCGCTCCTTACAAAGCCGTTAGCGCTCCAATAACGACGCGACTGAAGGATACGAAGCTATTGTGCTATTGTGCTATTGTGACAGTCACCGACTTCGAAGGAGCAGGAGCAGTAGCAGGCGCAGGAGTGGACCGTTCTTGCGACCGCGGGCGTGTAACCGGAGAAGTATAGTAAACCATGCATTTAGGATTCAGGAGTGTGGTACCCGCAGTGTAAAAGGCCGAAGCGAGTACATGATGGGGTGAAACATGTCCTCTTGAGTCAACGTCGATTGATTTTGCTATCTACGTGAATGAAACAAAAGCACCACTCCAATGGGTACAAATCAGGGGAGGTGTCAACCAAGTTGCAAGTGCAAGGAACGCCAATCGTGCAAACGATAATAAAAAAGATAAGAAACCGTGCAACGTAGTAGTCAAGCTCCAAAATCGCGAGCCTCTACAACACTCCATTTGTGAACTCCAATAGCTTCCGCAACCCTCATATCTGCGTAGCCATCTGCGTCCGGCTGTAATAATCGCTCCTCGGCACTTGCGTATAAGCCCCAGCCTGACTCGCGTCAAACTCGTACTGGATCTGCTGCTGCTCAACTTCTTCCTCCTGACTCTGATTGAGGATCTTCTGCATGGTGTCAATGTCCTCAATGATGACATTGAACGCATCCGCAACAGCATTGATGACCTTGTTGCGATTGTACTCTCGGCGGTGCTGCCAAATGGTGTCCATGAGCGCAGCGTTGACTTGCTCGAGTTGCTCGAGCGAGCAGCCTGATGATGCAGTAACGAGCTTGCTGTGGAGTTGACTGAGGGATGACTCTTCGAGGATAAGCTGAGGCTCCGGTTGTGGCTCAGCGAGGATGTCGGCGATGTTCGATTTGTGGGCCGGCGGAGCGGGCGCAGGCATTTGAGATGATTGGGAAGGCTGGGAAGTTTGTGATGGCGGTGATCCGGAGTGTTGGCTGAGGAATTGCTGTTCTGCATCGAAACTCGAGTTAGCTGAGTATTCGGGGGAAAGAGGAGGGTCGAGTTCAAACCGACGGTAGAAGGACTCTAGCGCACCTTGTGTGTCTGGAAGCTGCGACCCGCCGGCTGGGGCAATGAACTCTGGCAAGCCAACATGGCTGACTCCGTTGCTACTCTGGGTACCAAACTTGTTGTCTGAAGAACGCTTTGAGGTCTGGTTGCCGGATGTTGTGGTACTGGCACTGTTGTGGTAGTCGTGAGGAAGCATATTCGGGTTGACGAATGTGCGAGCTGAAACCTGCGACTTTTGTGTCATCTGCGTATTGGGTCTACTAGGCGTTTGGAATTGAAGATCGGCCTGTGTACTGGCAGTGACGTCTTGCTGACTGTCCGGCATAAGTGAGTCCTCGTCTGCCACACGGGAAGGCACCGTCGATCCGTTCTGGTGCGAATGCTCCCCACTGTCTCCCGCACTCGTACCGTTCGATAGCGATGCATCGTGAGGTGCACGTAAAGGCGTGACAGGGGGAAATCGAGGTATGGGCTCGCCCAACACAATGGGACCCGAGGCCTCAGTCGTTCCGAGCGACTGCTCAGGCGGCACTGGCGCAACCTCGGGAGGCACTTGCTCGCCCTCTGCGATCGCTTTCTTGCGCTTCTCCTGCGCCTTCTTCGCACGTTGCAGCTCACGTTCGTACAACGCGTCACACTCCTTTGTCAACCAAAGATATTGAGCATCATTGCCGGTGAACCAGGAGTCAACGTCCACCTCCACGTTTGCAATCATTTCGTTGGCCTTGAGTGTTCGCTCTGCATCTTGGTATGTTTTGGAGTCTTTGGCAAGGGTCTTGACGTCGAACAAGAAGTCTTTCGGGCGTTTGTAGTATCCGTTCGAAAGACGCTGCTCGATCTGTGACAGGTCAAGATTGTAGTACTTGTTCCCGCTCTCGACGTGCAGCAACACGCCTACGCCCTTGTTGTCTGTTGACATCTCCCAAGGCCGAGTCATGCCTTCCGCCTCTTGCTGTTCTCGATCCAAATCGCTCGTGACACGATTTGGATTCTGCTCGTCAATAAGATATGCGTACCAGCTTGGATCCAGAACCGGCTTGAAGAATCTTCTGTGCTTCTTCTTCAAGTTGTCCATAATTGGTTGGATGAGGCTCTTCAACTTGTTGAGCGTCAGTTGGTCTTGCTTCCTTTGCGCCTTCTCCCGGGCGGCGATTTCTTTTGTATCCAAAACTGGCTCAATAATAGGCGCAGGTTCAAGGACAGGAAGGACGCGCTTCTTCCTGTTGTCAAGATCCGGGAAATCAGCAGGCGACATGCGAATGTACTGACTGATAGAGTTGAAGAACTCAGCGCGACCTTCTTGATCCGGACGGTGCAGCTCAAATTGATTGCTGAGAGAGAAGCCGAAGAGATCGACCAGCATTTGCCGATCAGGTTTGGCTTCTACGTTCTCAAGCTCCATGACACCCAAGAGCATGATAGGCTCGTTGGCACCAATGCTGCGCAGAAGCAACTTGAAGGTCTTCGTGGCTGCTGGAGGCAGTGTATTATACCATACGTCCACAGCTGGGATGTAGATCACACTAGGCTTGTGACGTCGTACTTCGGTGAACAGCTGGGTAATGGCAGCTTCTGGCGATCGCGCCGAGTCCTCCAGGATGGTTGGAAGATCGAAGGACTGAACGTGAAGGCCCTCAATCTTGCTGAGCAATGCAGCTCCCAAGTATTGCTGACCCATGCCCTGCAAACCGGTGATGAGGAGACGAGGCCTGAAGATCCTGCTGCTCTCGAAATTACGCATTGTCGTTTCGCGTTCGAAACCCTTCTCGTCCTCACGATCGTCGTACTCTGCCTCCTCAAGCGCAGTGAGCGGCTTCCTCCGGGGAATGAGCTCATCAATACGCTTGAGGATGCCGGCCAGTGGCCTCCGCAGTAGAGGTTCTATGCTTTTGGGTAGCGGATTGGCAGCAGCTATGGCTGTCCTCTGTGACGAAGGTACCATCTTGTTCACTGACACCATGAAATCCTTGGCGAGTACCTTGATCTCGCTAGGATGAATGAGCAGCTTCTTCTCAGATTGGTAGATCTGTGGGTAAGTGCCTTGCACCGCGTTCAAAGCAGCTTCTGTACATAAAGCACGGAGATCTGCACCACCGTAACCCTTTGTCAGCTCTGCAAGTTGATCCTTCATCTTAGGTTCAAGTGGAGGATCCCAGTTCTTGGTGTGGATGTCAAGGATAGCACGTCGTCCTACAACGTTGGGTAGCGGGAAGTAGAACTCGCGATCAAATCGACCAGGGCGTCGCAGAGCATTGTCAACCGAGTCAGGACGATTGGTTGCGCCTATGACAACAACCTGTCCACGACCATCCATACCGTCCATAAGCGCAAGAAGTGTCGCGACAATGGAGGCGTGAATCTGCTCCTGCTTACTGGATCGGACAGGAGCCAAACCATCAATCTCATCAAAGAAGATGATACTGGGTTGCGTCTTGCGTGCCTCTTCAAAAAGGGTTCGGAGCTGCTTCTCAGCTTCACCAACCCATTTGCTGAGAGCGTCGGCTCCCTTGCGCATGTAGAAGGTGACTTTCTGGCCATGCGAACTGACACTGGAGGCCAACGCACGAGCAAGCAGTGTTTTACCAGTACCAGGAGGTCCATGGAACAGCACGCCTCGAGGTGGAGTGATCTTGAAGCGTTGGAAGACCTCTGGGTAGAGTAGTGGAAGCATGATCATCTCCTTGAGCTTGTTGATGTGATCGTCCAAGCCACCAACGCCGTCGAAATTGACGTTGGGATCAACTCCAAGTGGATCGGCATCAGCCAGAGCCTTCTTGTCCTTGATCTTGCCGAAATTTGCAGGTCCACCGCCAGAGCCCTTCTCTTGCTGTGCCGAGTTGTTGTGAGCCTGTGGGAATGCACCAAAACCGGGTGCTGTCGCTGCTGTGGGCGTCATGCCAACTATGCTACCGAAGTGTCTGGGCATCTTTTGAACCTCGTCATCACTACTATCGGAGTCATCGTCTTGTCCGAAGCCAACCTGACCTCCACCAAACGGACCCTGATTGCTGAACAATGTACCGTATCCTCCACCACCAGCCTTGGAACGCGATTTGTTTATTGAAGGTGCCGGCCCGTCGTCATCGTCGTTCTCGAAAACCGCGTTAAGCTCAGGACGAACGACCCTGTAGTCGACAGTTCTGCGTTCTCGCCTCCTCGGACCAGTGTCGTACGATAAATCCTTGTCCGGAATGCGCCTGCTTAGGCGGCGGCGCTTGTTTGAGCTCAGCTCCTGCAGCTCATCTTGTAGCTCTTCGTCGTCTAGCGCAGACTCTTCGTCAGATGAGTTGCGCCTGCTTCGTTGGGACTGTCGCGTCCGACCCCTAGGCTTGCGCGCAGAGCCTGAGGCACTATCAGAAGCTGTGCTCTTGCCCTTGCCGTTGTCGGAGTCTGACATCTCTTCTTCCTCTCCTTCGGCATCCACGTCGCCGGGCTCGAAATCACTACTCTCGTCTGCACCCCTTTTGCGCCTTTGCGAAGTCGCTCGTGATCGCAGGTTGCGACCACCACGTGTAATGGGGCCTTCTTCCTCGTCAGAATCTTCAGCAGCGCGGTCGTGTTGTGACTCCTGGATCACATCCTCCATGCCTTCCTCATCATCATGCTCTCCTTTAGCCCCTCGGACTTCTTGTTCCGGTGATCCCCGCGCGCTGGATTCCACTTGCATCTGGGCGTCTACAAGGAGCTTGTCGAGTGGGCCTGGACTATCCTCTTCACCTTCGTCGCGGATCATTGAAACTTCCTGGGAGGCTTCTTCGATGGTGCTTGGTGCCTGCACTCTGGGGCCCTTGCCACCTCTAGTAGCACGGGCAACAAATGGCTCGGGTGTTCGCGTGCCTTCTCGAACAACATTGACGTGTCTGCCGGAATCTGAAAGAGCCACAATAGGCGCTTCTACATCGTGCGAGAGACGGCTACTACGCCGTGTGATACCAACTTCTGGTGTCCTCCCACGTGCAGGAGCGGTAGACTTACTACCTGTGCGTGTGCGCAAGTTGCGACCAAAAGCGTGTTCAGGCATCTTGAGCTTGACGATGAGCGATGGCTTCTCGACCTCTTCGATCGACGGCTTAGCTACACGTCGCCGCCCTGTAGTTCGAGGCCTATCGTCCTCGCTCTCCGAAGGCGTGTCTTCTATCTCGTCTTCGTCGCTCTCTTCGTACGTGACTTGCTTCTTGGTCGCGCGGCGCACGCTGCGGCCTGTTGCAGGGTTGACCTCAGGCTCTTCAGAATCTGAGCGGTCGGTGAAGGAGTCGTCTTCGATGATATCGTCGTCGTCGTCGTCGACTTCAGAGCCGTTGTAGACGCGACGCTGGCGCTTGTTGCCTTTCTTCTTTGCTCCCGGCGTTCGGTTGGCGCGGCGACGTTGTGGTGGCGCGCGTTCGACGTCGTCGTAGTCGTCGTCCTCCGGATCGGAAGCAGTAGGGTCGATGTCGAACTTGCGTTTCGTGCGGTTAGACATGGGGGTGGGTGCGGTGAGGCGTTCTTAGGCAGCTGTGTAAGTGAACGAGCGCGCAGTGCGATCACGGTGAATGCGCTTACACCGCTATGACGATGTTTCCAATTTCAGATTGACATCAGAAGCGCATGAAGCTGCTCCTGCATTCGCGACGGCAAAACAAGGCGTGCGCGCAATGCTCGTCTGTGCTTGTGATGCCGTGTGGATGCAGCTCAGCGATCGAGTGCTGAGACGACGATGCACGACTAGATGTGGGGTATCAGATAGCAAAAAGCGACTGCGAGATGCAACAGACTCCTGATGAATGCAGCGAGAGACAGAGAGGGCAAGATCAGACAGATGACTCTGGAGGACGGGGAAGGTCTTGTTGTTCTGCTGGAGCGAATCTCGTCCAAGCGCCAAAAGCTCGGCGAATCATCTGCAACCCTGACATATTGTCGCCAGGGAAAGCCATCGCAACTTCAATGCACAACCACAACGACATGCTCAATAACTTGACCTATTTGCATCGTAGAGAATGTCTGAAAATTATAGACAGCTGCAGATATAGTCGGCGCCGACTTTCCGCAAATTTTCGGGAGTCTCCTGGCACTCCGCAGGCACTTATTCGAGCTCTCTTTCTTGCTGTACTTCTCATCGCTGCCGGCGATCAGCTGCAGGAACAGATGCGGCTCAAAAGCTTAACTGTGTTTGACAAGTTCATGTCATGGTCGACTGTGGGGAGACCAGGTCGAACGATGCACGTGCGCCACGTGGAGTTCCCACCAAACTGAACAGCGCACACAAGGGTTGAGCTTGAGGGTGATTGTGTTTCTTTCCATTTGTTTCAAATGCGATGTTCTCATATCGTTGTGTGTTTGTCGTCTAACAGATATCACCGTTCCCATCCTCGTCAACACCTAGAGGCAACGCAGCCAGTTACCTGAAAGAACATAGTTCATCTCTTGGAAGTTGCCAGGTAGCACGATTCCAGAAACGTTTGCTTCAGTCGTCAACAAGGTTTTTTGTAGGTGGTGTGAGTGCATGACTAAGCAGTGCTTTGGTGTTGGGTGCTGCGCAGTAGCAGGCCGAGCCATCACCAACCCCTGAGGCCGCATTGATTTGGGCACAATTGAATTTTCATACAGGACAGTCACCTCAACATGTTGGAATCAGCATCAGGGCTTGGGATCTTAGTTCTGTCTTTGGTATTCGGGGAAAGTAGACAACCAAATGCTTTGTCATATATTCGTAGAGCCCTCACAGGTGCTTGATAATAGGAGTAGGCAGAGGTAGCGAATGTGGGCCGTTGGCGCACAACAACGCCGAGCCGATATGGTAGTCCGTTGGGGTATCGGGTCCTCAAGATATTATACAATTGATTTGTACATGTATTGCCAACAGTGTATGGCATCGCAGCCTGCTGCGGCACAGACAATCCTCCTAGGGTAGCGGTGCAAGATGCGCGCCCATTTCTTCGCCAAAGGACCTTCACTCTTCCGGTAAGATACGATCGACAGCTGTACAGTGTCAGTCTTGTTATCCTCGTCCTGCATCTGAGTGGTAGATGACATACCTTTGCCGTTCTCCAGCAGATACCCTGAGCAGTCGATCTTCCACTTCTCACCCTGCACCTCGACCTTCGCAATACCGAATCTCAGCACAGCGAACTTGAACTTCAAGAAGAAGTTTGTCCACTTCTGATGTACCCAGCGCGCTGAACCTTCCCAAGCCTTCGACACAATGTTCATGTCGCCCAGGTCCTGCCACACGCTCTGCCGTTTCGCTCGTTCAGCTTCCTGTAGTTCCAACACCATAGGCTGGCACTTTTCACTAATTGTTGCGCCTCCAAGATTTGTATAGATGATGCGCTCCTTCGCCCACGGCACTGGCCTGACTGCCATGCGCAACTGCATTGGTCCGCCCATCATACTCGGCACTACCTCCAGCGAACGCATGCGATTTGTAGGCGCACTACAGATGTAGCAACCAATTGCGATGAAGCCCAATCCGACTACAACGTATGTCGGCCGTACGAAGAAAGCTAAATCTGGGATGTCCTTCACGTCTTCCTGGAACTTGATCGAGTATGCCCCTGTGCCAATCCATATCGCTGCAAGTCCGTACACTTTCCAGTAATACCATTTGCTCTTTGGTGCTTCATATAGAACAACAGGTTGCCGTGTCTGCACCACTTGTCGCAATACTGGGTCGCTGCTAACGAATGTGGAGGGTTTGTTTAGTGGCGTCTTGGGGTATTGATATCTGCGCAGTATCGACGAAGAGAAATTTCGTGATTCGCGAATCGCGTTTGGCTGGAAGAACTGTTCTCGAGGACCCAACAGCGCGGTGCGGAGGGACGAGGGGAGGCGGAATGATGCGTGCTGCTTGAAGGCGGCGAAGCCTCGCGAAGGGGCGGACATTCTGCGACTCCTATCAGTCTCAAAAGGCAGTGATTATTGATAACAAAGTGACTTACATGCAGGCCCAATTGTTGTCGCAAACAATTGGCGGAGGCGTGCTAGTAGTCTGATCCCAGAAATGTCAATGTCAAGACATCGGAGAACGCTTTGACCCGCCGAAGCTTTCCGCGATCCCAACATTCAACAACTCGACCGTCCACTCCCCTCACACCCCGCCAACCTCAGCCGCCGTTATCTCCCTCCTGCCAATTGGTCTCCCATGGCTTCTCTCGCTGCGGCATGTAGGGTGTCGGCACGCGCTGCATCGCAGCAGCTGCGCAACCATGGCGCGAGGAGAGGTGAGCATTTCACCGATCGGACACGGAAATGTCGCTGATAGCATTGGTGTAGCACTGCACGCTGGACAACCCTCGCTGGCTGCTCAGAACTTCAACATGCCTGCGCTTTCTCCGACGATGACCGAGGGCAACATCGCGACCTGGAAGATCAAGGAAGGTACGACCAACCCAACCCATCACACCTGAAGAGACGGACATGGAGCATGGGGTAGACTTCGCTGCAACAAGGGCACGAACGAGATGTTTTGGAGTGTATTAGGCTACGAGCAGCAACGATGCTGACCTACCCAGGCGATTCGTTCTCCGCCGGCGATGTCCTCCTCGAAATCGAAACCGACAAGGCTCAGATGGACGTTGAAGCGCAGGACGACGGCATTCTGGCAAAGATCATCCACGGCGATAACTCCAAGCAGGTCCAGGTTGGCACCAGGATCGCCGTGACCGTAGAGACTGGCGACGACCTCAGCTCGCTCGAAATCACCGAGGAGGATGCTGCGCCGAAGAAGGCAGAGGCCCCCAAGGAACAGCCCAAGGAAGAGTCAAAGTCAGTGCCCAAGGAGGAGCGAACCTCGACACCACTCCCACAGAAGTCCGAGAAGAAAGTCTCCAACGGCAAGGCTACCAAGCAGACATACCCACTCTACCCCTCCGTTGAGCACCTGCTGAAGACCCACGGGCTGTCTAAGGCAGATGCGGACAAGATTCCAGCAAGTGGACCGGGTGGAAGGCTACTGAAGGGCGATGTGTTGGCGTACGTTGGCAAGATCCAGGAATCATACCCCTCAGAGCTGGCAGACCGCTTCAAGAAGCTCTCCCACCTTGACCTTTCGAACATCAAGGTCATGCCTAAGAAGGAGGCACCTGCCAAGAAGCCTGCCATAGCGGCCGAAGCTCCCAAGGTCGTTGAGGATCTTCCCGTCGAGATCGCCCTTCCCATCTCTCTCACTGCTGTCACAGAGTGCCAGAAGCGCGTCAAGGACTCCATTGGCGTCTTCCTACCTTTGACCACATTCATTGCCCGTGCCACAGAGCTAGCAAATGAGGACCTGCCCAGGTCGAAGACCGCCAAGCCTACCGCCGATGAGCTGTTCAACGCTGTTCTTGGATTGGACAAGGTCGCTGGAAAGAACTTCTCGCGCGGTCACTTTGTACCTCAAGTGACCTCGCTTCCTCCCACAACCGTAAGCACGCGACCATCGAGCTTTAAGAAGCCGGATGTCCTTGAGATCCTTGCAGGCAGGAAGACAGTAGCTCGCGGAGCGAAGGCAGTCGGTGGAGCGGAAAGGGTCATTGGACCCCTGAACGTGTTTAGCGTCAGTGTGCCCAAGGGCGATGAGAAGAGAGGGCGCGTTTTCCTCGAGCGCGTCAAGGCTGTTTTGGAGGCTGAGCCTGGCAGGCTGGTCGTCTAATTACCCTTGCACTCGATTGTATAGCGTTGTATCATACTGCACCTTACTACCATTTAGACTGGTACGAGCCGATACAAGGCACGCCTTGATATGTATCCATTTCTAGTAATTGTACAGTCCGTCTATTTTGGGTAATTATTCCCACTGCATCGCGCTAGCCATGCTGCTCCGATCGCGCCCGCAAGGTCGAGACAAGCCAACATGAGCTTGGATTAACGGTGAGTTGGCCCACAGTCGGTGTGTCATATGCTTGTGGTAATCGCCGTTCTGCCGTGAGATATCAAGATGAATGTCGAAGATCGAGATGGATCAGATCTTCAGGTACTTGCGACAGTGACAGCTGTATAATGTATCAGGTACCAGTCGAAGAGCTCCCCTTGTTCCTGGGCGAGCGGCGGCGCTAGAGCTTGACAGCTCAGGGCTGGGAAACCTTCTGTGGCCCGGTACGCACAGAGCCTCACGGACGCTGGCAGCTGAAGCACGTAAGCTGCTGATCGAGTCCAGAGATACCCGGATTTTATGGCTCAACACGCTTGGAGTGGCTTATGCTCAATCTTGAATCTGCCACGACCGGGACCATGTCCGATCATTCGATGGTGGACAGTGGGCAGGCGGTGAGGCCCGCTGTGTGTCGCCATGTCAGCCCTGAATGACAAACACCTTGCGCGACTCTCGTGCAAGCAGCTGCAGTAAAGAAGCAGTTCACTAAGCAAGGAGGGTCTTAGATAGCTTTCATCAAGTGATACCGAAATGACAGCCACTGCCCGGTGTTGACTTTACTCCGCCCGCGCCTTCCCCACGTTTCCGCCATCCGCCGAGCTAAAAACCTTGAATAAAATGCTCTGTGCTCATTCTTAGCTCCGAGCTCGCTGTGAGCTCCATTCAGGACGGCGCGTTGGCCGACTCACCTCTTCCGCCCTTCCCTTTCTCCTGCCATTTCTACACCTTCGTCGACGACTACCATCGAAGCCAATTGCACGCTATTAACGCGGTGTAGCTCTCTCTCCACTCACTATGGCTGCCCTCAAGGAGCAAGTGGGCGAAGTGTTGCTGGGCACTACCGATGAGCCCCAGCTGTCGCAGCTCACGCGCGCTGCGTTCTTAAAACACGCCCAGAAGGACGAGGCGACAGGCGAATACTTTCTTAGTGAGGACGCTTTCATCGAGGCTGTTGCGCCTGAGAGCGAAGACTACGTAAGCAATTGCGCCTGCAATGTGACAGGGTCGAAAACAGGGCGAAGCTAACGGCGCGCCTGCCACCAGCACAAAATCAAGCGCTACCAGTACGGCATCCTGTTCCAGGTTGCAGACCGCGAAAGGAAGGGCAAGGTCAACATCCACGACTGGGGTGTCTTCCAGAACCTGCTTGCGAAACCAGATGCCGAGTACGAGGTCATTTTCCGCTTCTTCGACAAGAAGGGCACCGGCTACATCAACTTCGACGAATTCTACGACACATGGAAGGCACACAAGACAGAGGACAGCTTGCCCTTCAACTGGGAAGCCGAGTGGGCGACTCTGTACATTGGGTCCAAGAAGAACAGGCATGCCATGACGTACCCCCAATTTGCGCAGATGTTGCGAGGACTGCAGGGTGAGCGCGTCCGACAGGCCTTCTTGCATTTCGATGGCAACAAGGATGGGTACATTGAGCCCACAGATTTCCAGCGCATCATTCGTGAGACTGCGAGTCACAAGCTCTCGGACTACCTCCTTGAGAACCTCACAACGCTCTGCAACATCTCTGTAGGAAGCAAGATCTCGTACGCCAACGTGCGCGCTTTCCAGAATATGATCCAGCAAATGGACATGGTCGAGTTGATTGTTCGCAACGCGACTCAGAAGAGCAGCGACGGCAAGATCACCCGCACAGATTTCCTGAACGAGGCTGCCAGAATAAGTAGATTCAACCTATACACTCCCATGGAGGCAGACATCCTCTTCCACTTTGCTGGGTTGGACGACCCGTCAGGAAGGCTTAGTCTGAAGGACTTTGCTCGTGTGCTCGACCCCTCATGGCACACTGTTTCGACTCTTGGTGCCACTGCGATCGCCGATGCTGGCCAAAAGGTCTTTGCTACTACCAAGTCGATATGGCACGACATTCTCGAGTCTGTTCACCACTTCGCGCTCGGTTCCTTGGCTGGAGCTTTCGGTGCCTTCATGGTCTACCCCATTGATCTGGTCAAGACAAGAATGCAGAACCAGAGGAGCACAGGTGTTGGAAATGTTCTGTACAAGAACTCGATCGACTGTGCCCAGAAGGTCATCAAGAACGAGGGCTTCAGGGGACTGTACTCTGGTGTACTGCCTCAGCTCGTTGGTGTAGCTCCCGAGAAGGCCATCAAGCTGACGGTGAACGACTTAGTGCGAGGAAAGATGACAGACAAAGACACTGGTGCCATCAAATTGCCTGCTGAGATTATGGCTGGTGGTATGGCTGGTGCATGCCAAGTGGTATGTTTTCGTTAGTTGGAGCGTCGGGGAGTACACGCTAACATGTTTGGACAGGTCTTCACAAATCCCCTTGAGATTGTTAAGATTCGCCTGCAGATCCAGGGTGAACTTGCAAAGAACGTTGATGGCGTTCCCAGGCGATCTGCCATGTGGATCGTCAGGAATCTGGGTCTTGTTGGCTTGTACAAGGGAGCCAGTGCCTGTCTTCTTCGTGACGGTGAGTGCACCCGTCGCTTTTGAATGAACACCACTGACATGACTTAGTTCCTTTCTCTGCCATTTACTTCCCAGCTTATAGCCATTTGAAGAAGGACTTCTTCGGCGAGAGTGCACAGAAGAAGCTGGGTGTTGTTCAGATGTTGACTGCCGGTGCCATCGCCGGTATGCCCGCAGCTTACCTCACCACACCATGCGACGTCATCAAGACACGTCTGCAAGTCGAGGCGCGAAAGGGAGACGCTACATATAACGGTCTCCGTGACTGTGCGAAGAAGATCTGGCAGCAGGAAGGCTTGAAGGCCTTCTTCAAGGGTGGGCCAGCACGTATCATGCGATCATCACCTCAGTTCGGTTTCACTCTGGCCGGTTACGAGGTCCTGCAGCGATGTAAGTTGTTCGCGCGTTGTTCGTGTCTCTGGTTAATACTAACGCATTCGCAGCCTTCCCTATGCCTGGAGGTGCTGAATCAGACGCCAGTCTGGAGCCCTCAGTCGGTCTCGAGGAAGCCACAGCGCCGTTGCCCTACCTGCGAAGCCGTAACGCCCTGAAGGTTATCCTCGACCTCGACGAGAACTTCGGTCGCCCAAGAGTGCCGTCAGGGCAAACATTCCGCGGCATCCCAGGCTTCGGCGGCAAGCAAGCATAAAAGCACGGACCATGAGTGTATGCGGCTGATGAATATCACGAAAAATGGAATGGCACCAGCCGGTTCTTAATGTGGAATACCTTATTTGGCGCAGCATTGCTTCAGCGGCGTGTTTCTTGCTTTCTGGCGTTGGTTCTTCTTCCAGTACGACGTTTTACTCGTCCTTCCAGCGACGACATGTAGGGTCGGTGAGCGTGCGCTAGCGAGCATGGAGATCTCGTACATCAAAGTAACGCAGTTGGAGGCATCTTCTGCGCAGCGATAGACGGAAGCATACACAGTGAAGACTGTACGATAGGTCGAAGTGATGGTGGGAGAGGCGGCGAGGTGTGCAGTGGTCGATGTGCGAGTGGAGATACGCGTAGCCTGCAGCATCAAGCACATACAAAAGAGAGCATTGGTACGCAGTTTGGCTTTTTGCATAAGAACCTCATATCCTTCGTTCAGGGGAGCGCCTGCTATGCGCTTGACGGCCCGGCGCAACCACGAAACATCAGCACATGCTTACAGGCGGATAAATGATGCAGGCCGAGGTCATCTCCGTCATTTTCACACTGGTACCGAGAAAAGCTCATAGTCCCGTTTTTATTTCCCACGATAAACCCCACATAGGGCAATTCTGGGGCCTGGGGCGGGGGTGGACCAATGCGGTTAGCCTCAGAGCGCACCCTGCGCTCCAGGTCTGGCTCCCTAGAGAGGGGAAACTGAGCCTCATAATTGGATTGTCAGCCGCAGCGGCCTGTCAGGCTGCGCCCCCAGGAAACGGACGCGGAGCTCGTGTAGAGGGGAGCTCTTCGGCCCTCCAGAATGGCGAGCACACGTTACCCTCTCTCTTCTTCCCCACACTGAGCGCTTCCGCAGCCTCGCAGTGTTACGTACTGGATTGCGCCCTCCGGAAAGAACTCTGGCGAAGACCACGCGCGACCAGATCCCCGCATCAGCCTCTCACCGCGCCCGCCCGGGAAGCTCCTTCGTCTCGAACGGCCAGAGGGTAAACAGCACCCGCTCGTCAAGTAGCACACAGCCTCGCGACTCTCGATCAAACGCCCAAACGAAACACCAGCATCACTGGCTTCCAGCGCCGTGGATGAGGGTTGATCGGCGCGCTTTCTCCACCGCCTTGAGGCTGAAAAGTAGTCGTCACACTGGCACTCGGGTACGTTTCCACCGTGCAGAGCCGCCTCTTGTCCGCGGCTCTGAGCCCACTTCCAAGTTTCTCCACGCACTTTCTCCACAACCCAAATCTTATGTTGTCATTTTCTCCGCTCTTTTTTGGAGCCGCCTCAACACACGAAACGTTGTAACCCTCTTTTTGCACACATGTTTGTCTGCCCAGGTTGCATGGACAGCGTTTGTCACGAGCGGCAGCCTTGGACGATTCTGTCGGCATTTGATGAGCCTCCATCTTTTGTTTTCTCCTCCTGACCACCTCGGAGTTTTTCCGAACCCTTTTACACTAATTAGCGCCTGAGGATCTGGCCTTTGTCCACAGAGGATGCGACGCTCGGTCATGCTGACCGTCTTCCAGAGCCCCATCAACCACTGGTCTCGCTGTCACGCTTCGTCTCTCAACCGCGGTCCAGGTTTGTTTCTGGGGGCCTTTGAGGAGGTGTGCTTGGGATAGACACCGCATTTTCCTAGCACCACACCTTTCCTTATTTTCCAGTGATCGCGGCTGGACCCTGCCAGCCTCAAGCCCGGTCGCACCTGCCAATGCCTGGAGAGTACTACACGGAGGAAGACGCCTTTGGTTCACGATCGCCCGGCCTGGAACCAGTCACTGTCAACGCAAAGCCTGAAGAAGAACCACCGCCTATTGTTACCCAAATCTTCGTCAGTCCCCCCACCTCCCGCAATCGCAAGAAGTCTAAACCTCGAAAGCATCGCCCAACGCAAGGGGACTGGGTTCTTATTCGGGAAATGGACCCGAATCGTCCTGACATCGCACACGCAGTCAGCCAGGAAGCCTTGAACTCTGGATCCGAAACGGAATCATCCGACGAAGAAATGCCAGACCAACCTGCCGCCGCGGTCAAAGGGATGGCTGTCCCTTCTATCAGGTCAGACTCATTGGCAGATGCAAATAGCCATTTTGATCACAATGCGCTCGCCGCAGAGAGGCGAGAATCGCATGCGTCGCACGCATCATCTACCGGGTCAATTTTGCACAGCGTAACGTCCAACTCAAGCTCTGTCAACGGCTCAACTCTGAACAACACCTCATCTCACCCTTCAACAAACGGCGATCACCTTGCAGACTCATCAGCAATATCACCACATCTTCGTGGCCTTAGACTTTCGCCTTCAAGAGGACAGTCAGGCGAGAAGCTACCATCAATCCAGACCCTCCAGCCACCACCGGCATCAGTGACCTTGCCGGAATCAGCAGCTTCACCAAGCCAACAGCTACCATCAATCGCACAATTTGATGATCTTGTCCGCTCTGCGACTAACGAATCTGATGCGTCCGGCATCTTCGCACACCGACAATCGATTTCCTCCTCAGGGCAGTCGCCGTCCGCCATCATCCGGTCACTGTCTATCAGCTCACATCACTCGCCAGCTTCACCATTTCCACCCCTCAATGCTTCATCGCCAGTCAGTGCCGGTAGTGATGCATCACGCGCAGGAGATGTTTTCCTTCGATCGAAAGAGCATCTCACCCTCTTTGGACCAGGAGGAGCAAGACGACCATCGCAGATAGCAGATGGGACGTATCCTCGCTCAGCCTCCATCTCGGTTGACAGCTACAACAGTCCGGTGGGGCACAGTACGGACATGCTGCACACACCAATTGAAGGTGGTCGGCAACGCGTGCTTAGCATTGACGGCGCGTTGGCATCGAGACATCTGCCACCTCCTATTGGATCTGGTATCTCAAATATACCAGAAAATATTACTGGCAGCTACAAGTGCGATCAGCCAGGCTGCACAGCTGCACCATTTCAGACGCAGTACCTTTTGAAGTAGGTCAATGCGCCTCAAATTGCCATGTTATCTACTAACTCGCTATCCAGTTCACACGCCAATGTCCACTCACAAACGCGACCACACTTCTGTCCAGTCAAAGGGTGTCCACGAAGTGAAGGTGGAAAGGGTTTCAAGCGCAAGAACGAGATGATCAGGCATGGTCTTGTGCATCAATCACCCGGCTACGTGTGCCCGTTCTGTCCAGATCGAGAGCACAAGTACCCAAGACCTGATAACCTGCAAAGGTAAGTCGCTCATGACCCCTGGATGTATACATCTGCTGATATCTCACTCTTAGGCACGTTCGCGTTCACCACGTCGACAAAGATAAGGACGACCCACAACTACGCGATGTACTTGCACAACGACCAGAGGGCGGCAGTCGCGGGCGAAGAAGACGGGTAAGCTCATCTGTACACTTTGCTGATCTCTCATCTAATGTTCATAGATATCCGCTTGCTAACGACTGATCTCCATCACTCCTCTCGTTCGTTATAATAAGCTTCTTGCAGCGAGCGGCTTTGCACCAAATTGGCACACAGTACTTCCATTTCTTATGTTATCTTGCCAAATTTTAGCGAAGGGGATTTCTATCGGCTGGGTGAGTGCCGAAGGGGCAGGCGTATCGGGGTGTCTACGAACCGGCATATCCACGGGGACTCAGTCCAAGCAGGACTCGAGCACAGGAACGGCTCGAGCGGCGTCTGTTGTTGTGTCACTTTGCTTCCTCTACATCACTATCCCCTCTTTGCCCACTGCTAGGCGGACATCATATCTTACAGTTTTTCCTGTTTAAACTCACTCCACCCTCTCACATCTATCTTATGTGGTTGTATTGGCAAGCCAATTACATGCAACGGCCAAACATTACACGTTACCACCAACCTTGCGAGAGCGCTGCGAAGGATATGATCAGGCATCTCTACACCTAAGGTTGACGGCTATGAAGAACAGTACGGCTGTGTGATAGATTCCTCGCCACCTGCCGCAGAAATAACGTCAACCCCTCAGCACTATCATCCACACCTGTTATGGGTAGACACAATATAAATCAACCAGGCGAACATCTCTGAGCGGAACGAGCAAGTTCAGCTTATGAGAAAAGTTTATTTAAAAGCTGAAAGAGTCGTGGTCTAGTTGGGAGATAAAGCAGCCAACGACGAAGGCGTGTCAAAGATGGCGACTGCAATTCAGCCCGTCGCTTCCAGACTGACCACCATGGGCATGCAACCATTTTTTGACAGTATTGAAGACGCACTCGACAGCTTTACATTGCAGGAGTTGTGTTCTATGATGTGCCATCCCGGTTGGTCAAACGTTGGTCTTCCGCTCAATACGATTTTCTCTAGCGATTGGTACGATCGCGTATGGTGTGTTCAGGAGGTTATGCTCGCTCGCAAATCGACTTTGCTATACAGACACACAGAAATTGGTGGCACGGAAATGGGTATTTTCTGCTTTTCGGCCCAAGTATAGATTGTCGATCGTTCTATCCGATGTGATGACGACGGTGTTATGGGAAGAATGCCCCATGCATTCGCAAGATTCACTGCATGGCATCTTGTACACCGCGATCCAACCTCAAATCCTGCTTAGTGCGAGGAATCTCGCAGCGAAGGATCCCAGAGGCAAATTCTATGGTCTCACCGGTCTCTTCGAACCCGTTTCGATCGAAGTCGATTACAACATGTGACAGTTTATGGAACAAGGAGGTCATGTGTGCCACGTGTTTTGGTGCAGTGCTCTTAATACTGTCTGGAGTGTTTCTAACCATAGACGCTACTATACAGTTGCCTAACTTAGCAACCGCGCTTTGAAGAGTGCTAGTCTTTAGCGTCCTCACCAAACACGACGTCTCCATCGTCCTTTCCCCCCCCCCCCCCAAAAATCTACTATCCGTGGAATGTCTGTTCCTAAGAACCATTTCATCGAGACCGCATAAAAACGGGGCTCCAGCGGTCGGCCAGCAACGCTCCTCCACCCATGGCAGACCTCCTCACTCTTTCCAATGAGCTCAGAATCCTCATCATTGAGCATATCGGTCGTACATCAACTGACTCGGCGCCTGAAACAGAAGAGTTGTATACACAGCAAGCAAAGACTAACGTTAATCTGCTCAACCTCTCAGGGTGGCGCTTCTGTAGCCCTCACCGGAAACAGCGTTTGTGCGAAGTTCGTTAAGAGATTGGACTTTGTAGGAACTAGCACATTCGCGCTACGCGATGGACACGGGCCAGCTACGAGCGAGGATGTGCTGCAAGATGTTGGTCTGCCAGTAGGTATCGAGCACATTCTTTCGAACCTTGACCTTTCCCCTACTCTGGAAGAAATAAGCGTACAGTTCGCGCTCAGAGAAGATTCCAAGTTCGGTCCTAAGAGACTACACAAACGACTACCTCAAGACCATAATTCGGAAAAAGAAAATGGGACTACTCTTGAATTTTCTGGCGTACGAGGGTTTCATGGGGATCGTTGAAGGCGATAGAAAGAGACTTGGTGATGTATAAAAGATGGAATTACTGTTGTGTCGCGCTTTGCGGAACTTTTCCTCCTGTTGCGCCGCTGGATGCGACCGGGGTATCATGTATACAAGCGCCTTGAAGCATGGAAAGAACTCAGGAGAATAAACACGACCCAAAACTGTGCTGTGACCGAAGTCAACACCCCACACTTTCCCTCGCCAAAACAACAACATCGAACTCCTCATCGACACTCTCTCCGCTCCCATCGCTCAGCTCCTGCATCTCATCGCTGTACCGCCCACCGATGAAGGCCCAGCCGTCGCCCTCAAGGCGAGCACGGTGTCTCTCACGATTGGAGGAAGCCGCGCCTTGCAGGAGGCGCGACCATCGGTTCTCGGTCTTGGCGGAAGTTTTGGTGGTCGGAGTCTTCAGCGAGGATTCGTCGTCGTCGTCGAAGCCGGGGAGGGTCCAGAGGCCGGACTCACTCATGAAGGAGGAGTTGGCGTGGAGATTGGTGCTGTGGTGGACGAACCTGTGCAGGTCGAAGTGCACTCTGGAGGGTGTCCGTCCCTTGTGGGCTGGTGTGCGCAACGACATCTTCGAGTGAGGTGGAGTACTTGGCGGCGTGGGAAGGATTTGAGATTGTTTCATTGTGGTCTGAGGGCAGTGTGGTGATGAGTTGAAGCTGTCGCAGCGCGGCTTTTTGTCCGTGCGGCCATCTGGGTTGTGGCTGTCGTCCATGGCTGTAGACGTGAGGAAGGTTGGACTTTGGAGTGTGGAAGGTTGGAGGACCACTTCAAGATTGTAGAGGAGAGACTTTGGGAAAATGCGTGCGATGGATACAGCTGCGCGGCGAAGTAAATGGGCCTGCGGAAAGAGCCCATGGGAATACGAGTTCGAGTGAACAGTTTGCGCATCTGGGGTTCTCCAGAACCTGTCAAGGGGAAGTAAAGTGTGGCTCGACGTGCAAATGTGGCTGCCTATTCGGGTAGCAACAGAGTCACGAAATGACGTCGCACAACTTGCAAGCGGGCGGACACTCAGACGAATAGAAGAAAGGCGAAAGAAGGAAGAAAACCTGGTTGTGAGCTGACTATAAGGAGATTCTGCCACACGCCGGGAATGTAGGGGCCGCGGTGCTCACAGCGAGCGCAGCTGCTGACTCCGCATCCGGATGACATTGCGAGACCTGAACGCGACGTGGAGCGTATGGAGCGCATGGAGCGCAGACAGGTGTTGCATGGGTGTTAGTCAGATGGTCAGAACCACACACACTGCAGATGCTGGTGTGGCTGAATATAGCTCTATCATTCATGTGAAGCACGTGAAGGGAGGAGAGGCCGTGCTCGCGTGGTGTTGCGGGAGAACCAGCGATTCCGCCCGACAGCGCTTGGGCCACCGTTGACGTTCGTGTGTTCAAGCTCTGTTGCTTCAGAAGCTATCAACACCTCCGCCGCCCTCATCTCCCCCATCCCCGCCATCCGGAGGCAGTCCAGCATGCTGCGCGCTTCGATTCTCGCGGCCCGTCCTGCTGTCCGGCCATTGGCACGCGCCGCCCGCCCGCAATGGCGCGTTGCCCAGCGCTGGTACGCCGACGACAAAAAGCTGGACCAGACCGCCGTCCCCAACCCGGCCCCCGTCGTCGAGCCCACGGTTGACGCGCAGAGCCCGTCGAAGGCCCAGCAAGCGACCATCCCGCCGTCCGAGGTGCCCAGAGCCCCGCCTGCGCCCGAGACGAGCATCGTTGCCAACGCTGCCGACTCTGCCGACGCTGCCAACGCTGCCAACGCTGCCAACGCTGCATCGCGCTCTGCGCCCGTCATCCAGCCCGCCACCACTCCCCCGACCGGCCCTGGCAGTGCGAGCGTCGCCCCCGACCCAATCAAGCCGAAGCCCAAGAAGCGCAGGTTCCGCCGCTTCCTGCTGTGGCTCACCATCCTCTCTGGCCTGAGCTACGCGGGCGGCGTCTACTACTCGCTCGTCTCGGACAACTTCCACGACTTCTTCACCGAGTTCATCCCCTTCGGAGAGGATGCCGTCGCGTACTTCGAGGAGCGCGAGTTCAAGCGCCGCTTCCCTGCCCGCAGCGACCAGCCCAGGCTCCACCAGCAGATCAAGGGCGAGAACAAGGTCACCATCCCCGGCAAGAGCGGACTGAGCGCCCGCGTCGCTGAGGACCCCCACACAAGCGCCGTCAGCGACAACAACCCCAAGGCCAAGCCAGATGAGCAGCCCAGGGTTGGCTCGAACCAGCACACCACCCCAAAGAGTGTCCAGGAGTCGAAGAAGGAGCTGGAACAGAGGGAGACGCCCCGGTCGGCAGCACCCAAGACTGAGACCGTTGTGCTCGATGCGCCGTCCAAGCCCATCTCCCAGATAGACCACCTGAGCGTACCCTCCGCGAGCGAGCCTGTCGTCCAGGACGTCGTCAAGATCGTCAACGACCTCATCACAGTAGTCAATGCCGACAAGACACACGATGGAAAATACAACTCTGCTCTGGACAAGGCCAAGTCGGATCTTGCCAAGGTTGTCTCTGACATCACCCTGCTGAAGGCCAACCTGCACAAGGAGTCCGAGGACAAGGTCAGGGCTGCCCACGCTGAGTTCGACGAGGCCGCAAAGGAGCTCGTCAAGCGCCTCGACCACCAGATGCAGGAGCAGGAGACGCACTGGAAGGAGGAGTACGAGAACGAGCGCGAGCGCCTCCAGCAGGCCTACAAGAGCAAGGTCAAGTCTGAACTCGAGGCTGCCCACAAGGTCTACGAGCAGAAGCTCAAGAACGAGCTCCTCGAGCAGAGCATCCACCTCCAGAAGAACTTCACCCAGAACGTCCGCGACCGCGTCGAGGCCGAGCGCGAGGGCCGTCTTGGCAAGCTGAACGACCTCTCCAACTCCGTCCATGAGCTCGAGAAGCTCACAGCTGAGTGGAACTCCGTTATCGATGCCAACCTCAAGACCCAGCACCTCGTCGTCGCCGTTGAGGCCGTCAAGTCCGCCCTCGAGACACAAGTCGTTCCTAAGCCTTTCGTCACCGAGCTTGCCGCCCTCAAGGAGATCGCCGCCGATGACCCCGTTGTCAGCGCAGCTATCTCCAGCATCAACCCCGCCGCTTACCAGCGCGGTATCCCCAGCTCCGCTCTCCTGATCGACCGCTTCCGCCGCGTTGCATCTGAAGTCAGGAAAGCTGCGCTCCTCCCCGAAGACGCCGGTGTCGCATCCCACATCGCCTCCCTCGCCATGTCCAAAGTCCTCTTCAAGAAGTCTGGGCTAGCAGTTGGTGGTGACGTCGAGGCTGTACTTGCGCGCACTGAGATCCTGCTCGAGGAGGGCGATCTTGATGCCGCCGCACGTGAGATGAACGGTCTGCACGGGTGGGCCAAGGTTCTGAGTAAGGACTGGTTGAGCGAGTGCAGGAGAGTGCTTGAGGTCAGGCAGGCGCTGGATGTCATTGCTACAGAAGCGAGACTGCAGAGCTTGCTGATCGACTAAGCGAGTGTGTATGGTGAGCGCTTTTTGTAATGTAGTCATAGAGCTGTGAATGTATCCTTTTCGTTTGTGTGTAAGTCCTGTTTTGTACTGTTTCAACAACTTCCAAGTGCATCCTTTCCGTATGCATATTCAGAACGCACCGCCTTGTTGTATCGGAACTTGTTCACTTTCCAAGCTGCAAAGTAGTTGCCAACGCCAAAGGAGAACTTGGCACCACGTCTGAAGCCCACTCGTCAGTCCAACATGCAACCTCCCTCCGAACCCCCACCCTTCAGCGACTCCGCCGCACTCGTCGAACTTCTCAATGCGACGAGATCTGCATTCAAATAGGTCGCACATGCATGACGCTTCAAGATAAGCATTCATCCAGCCATTCTGGCCCCCCAAAGCACAGCAACCTCAGCTGCGCCCCCACCCGCCGGACCGTACGTGCACGACACGAAACCGACAGCAACCCATACACCCGATTACACTCACGCAACCTGCCGTAGATGAACATAGACGACATCCAACCCAAAGCTGTCAGCGGCCACTTCGATCGTAGAGATGCCTGCCAGCAAACCCCGGGTCGGTAATGAACATAGCATACTATCAACATGCAACTGGTGCTAATTCTAGCGGGGGTTGTGGCTGCACAGCCTTTGAAGGCGTTGAGGCTTGCAGGTCCCCGCCGACCTCAAGATCTTTTTCCAGTTTAGCCTGGTGTGAACCAAGAAAGCCTTATAACCAGCCGCACAACTCCGTAAAGATCCAAGAACCGTCTCAGGATTCGGCAAAATGTCGAACCAAACGTCCACAGACGCTGGAGACTCATCTTCACTCCTCATCACCAAGGTGGAGTCTTCTGGGAACCCCATCAACGCCCACAGCTACCAACAAATCCCGAACAACACCACAGAGCATAGCGCAGGACAAGCCTCGCAACACGGAGCATCGTCTTTCAACCCCTCTGAGCCCGACAAACCTCACCTCATCTCACATCAGAAAGACTTCTTCTTGGACTGGACCTTAAAGATCCTCGGCGTAGCATGCGCCATCCTCTTCGGCATCTGGGCACCAATATCCTTCAAACTCGCATCCGACGGCAACAAGGAGAACGATGCATCGCAAAAAGCCGTCTTCTCTCAACTAGGCGATATGCGACAGCAAGCAGCGACCGCCGCACAGATGCAGAACGCCGCCGCCACTGCAATGGCCAATGTTCAGTTCGCTGCTGCGAACGTCATGGCCGAAGTGCAACATCAACTGGATCGCATGGGGAAGCTCAGAGCATGGGAGTTCTGTGAGGGAAGGGCAGAGCAGATCCGATATTGTAGAGAATTGAGCTCCTCGGGTGATGTTGGTACTTTGGTGTACCAATTGGGCGGCCTGGGACCTACCAAATCCCTTTCAATTACGACCTCCAGCGTGATCCCGGTCGCGTCGATCAGCAACAGTGTACCTGTAAGCCAATCTAACGAGCCTTCTGCTGGCTCTTCTGGTGCAGGAGTGCCAAAAGACGTCTTAGCTGTAGTATTGGGTTCGGTGTTTTCTGTGATTGTGGTGGTTGGACTCGTTGTCGGCCTGCTGGCAAGAAGGAGGCGGTGGAAGAAGATGAACGAGGGAGTTTCATAGCTGAGCACCAGAAGTGCTTGCGACGAGCGCGTGGATGATACTCCTTCGCCGTCCATGAAACCGTGCACATATGCTTCACCACCTAGCTGCCAGTGACCGCTTTGGCTTTCCTCGCCTATTCTCCAAAGGACTACTGGGGACACTATATCCATACAGAATACACAGCCTGTCGCCTACTCTAGCATTTCTAGGGACCAGGCCCACCATCGTATCTGTGAAGCTACCTTTCCTTTCTCCCTATAAAAGTCCGGAGATTCCATACGACTTGTCGAACGACTTTGAGGTGTTCTTTGAGATCTTGCGCTGGGGATCTTCCGATGATCTCTTCGATGTCGGTGCCGTTGCCAGACGGCTCTTCCCCATTACTTGAGTATTTGTCGTACACGACTTTCGCATACAGATCATCAGCTGCACCACAAGTGTCTTTCTCGTCTCGCCGGCTCAGAAGGTCTGCACACAACATCCTCGACGTAATCGCTGCTTGATCCGTAGGTGCAGTCACTGAGAACGGAAAGGCTCTCTGGAGTAGAGGCAGGCAATCTCTTATGATGATAGCGTTGGCCAATCTCATCGATCTGTGAGTCACCTTCCCGATGGCAATTCCCTTGGCAACGAGTGACAGACCACGTTTGCCATTTTCAACGAATCTCTGAACGCCTACTTGCGGGTATGTGCTGTAGTGAGCGTTATACACTCGTGCGCGACACTGCTCTACAAGCGACTGCTCTACAAGCGGTTTGGGGTGTAAACGGTGACTAGATCTCCTCGGAGGGTCTCCAAGAGGCAACTTGTCGCGTTCTTGGATCCAGGATGGAGGTTCCGTTGCATTTGCTTGGTGATGAATTGTGGTGTAAACATCGCTTGGTTCAACTGGCGCCCAGGGCCGACAGATGATGTCCAGTGACTGCGATACATGGCTGCAATGTAAGATGAGATCAGCAAAGACATCTAACGTATCTTTGTGATAGTCCGGAGCTATGACGCCATTCATATGTGGCAGGAGGGCAGTCAAGGTAAGGTTCAGGTTGCTAAAGATTATCTCGCTCTTGTTCACTCGCAATAGATGAAGTGCTAGTTCCTAGCTCCAAACGTAGCTCAAAGCTTGACAATCAAGAGCGCCAGATTGATCACCCGTTTCGAGCTCAACCAAGGGATCATCATCCTGTTCTGCTGGACGAAGGACCAGAACTCGGACCTCATGTTTTACCGAGAAGATGATACAAGAGTTAATTGCGAGTTTGAAATTCGTGTTCCCGTGCATATCTCCCCAAAGACCACTCAACTGCTTTGCGGAGTCGTGAGAACACTTTTCGCCGCGCTTCACCGTAAATAATTGGCACGAGGACATTAGATATACCTAGCAGAGAGTAAGCTAGATATTCTTCTTGGGTAGTCTGGCGCTTTTGTGTCTAGGAAAACCGCTCCTCGACACTGAATTCATCTAGAGGAACTCCTTGAAAGGCAGTGATCATAATCCTCGTGATTCCGCAAGCAGATCTTGCAGAGTCCAGCTTCTGGTGAATCGTGGGCTCTGTCGGAAGGTTGGTATCCAGGCAACTTCAACCTTCCCACTCAAAGAGGATCCAGGTTCTTTACTGCTTGTTCCAGAATTCCTGGTTGACACATCTGATAAAAAGACGTAGCATTTTGCTGCATTTTGCTGCATTTTGCTGTATTTTGCTACCAGCGAAACATCGAATTGATCGCCTCCTAGAGTGCGGTTTGGTCGTCATCCCTAATACAGCAAGTGTCCATCTAGAAGTATTCCAGACCATCACATTGAGCTTGTTGTGCACAGAATTTTTTGGTAGCCGCTCTTGTCGGGTCCGTTGTTGTTCATCAAGTCGTGGAAGTTGACCTCATCTTGATGCCTGGTGTGCGAAAGAATAGCGTAAGGAGGCAGAACGTTGGATCCGATAAGTTCTGGCGTGAGTGTTAAGTTGTCATCTTGGCCGATTCGCACAAGACGCATTGCTTCCAAGGTTCATGAGAAGGCTTCAGCCTTGCGTTGTGCCGGACCGGAGAGCATATGGGAGTACGTGATAGCCGTCTGGATTAATGTGGAGGCTTTACTGCAGTCTGTAATTGCGCTGCGTTGCGCATACAAAAATTGTAAAGCCTGCGTACCCTTTCTTGAGGAGGTGAAGGAGGGTGTGGGGCCGTGTCAGGAAAGCCTTCAGCAGGCGAGGTAGGGGTCAGCGTGAGGTGGAAGCTGCGCAACATGCAGAAAGCGCAAAGTGCAGTTTCGAACAACTTAAACAGTAAAAGCTCGCTCTCGAGCACGTTGATTCTGAAACCAGTACGCCGCATCATCATCAGAATCGCGGGGTTTAAACGATAGCAGATAGATCAAACTTCGTGGAATATCAATATCTTACAAAACAGTATTGCATTAGCTTACATACTCTGCTGAATCAATTGTTGGAACTCTGCGGTGTCCGAATCTAGACTATATCAAATGTAGCTTTCCTCAAGGTACACGCTATGCGTCATGGAGTAGCACGACCAACGAAACTTGGGCGGCAATACCTAGCTGTTCCCGCAGCGAACACAAACGTTGTCCCCGAAACTGTTACATGGACCAAGAATTGAACAACGAGAACAAGGACTGAGCAGCATGCAAGAGAGGCAGTACCAAAAACAGCAGTTGAGGAGGTGGTCAGCAGTACAGCAGGGAAATCATACTCACTCCCACAAAGACACAACCCCAATATTTCCACAAGCCCAATTCCCCACGTCAAAACTGCTCCAATACCCCAGATCCGCAATCGGTTCATAATACACATCGACGCTCACCTTCTCCCCATTCGTCCCATTAAACCCAGCCGCAGCCGGACAGCTCTCCACATCATCCTTCCAGATCTCACAGCCATCGTCCCAGCCCGACCACCTCCACAAAATCGTCTTGAGATCCACGACGGCGCGTACACAGCACTTATCAGCTGAGTTGACTGGCTCAGGGTTCCAGGACCAGATTTGCTGTTCTGTGTAGTTGGCGTCGCAGAACCAGGATGGCGGCTCACGGAGCCAGTAGCCGTTGTAGGGGTGGGTTACGTTGGCGGTGTTGCAGGCAGCTAGGACAGATGTTGTGGGGGGGGGGGGGGGTAGACTGTTTCTGTTGCCTGCAAGGGGTTAGTAGGGATGTTTGTATTGAGGAGGTGGTATAGCAGGGGGCTGGTACTTACGGTTTCGACTGCTGTGACAGTCCCTGAGGTGTAAGTCGTATCGACCGACCAGTACGTGTCTTCCCAAGTATATCGTAGAGTGGCCTTGGTAGTACAGGAACAAGGGATGTACAACCTAGAAAGGTCGAGATGCAGGGTCCCTGTTCCCCGTACCAGCTGATGCCAAGTATGTGCTCGTATGTTAAGCTGTCGAACTGTACCGATGACTGTCAAGAATAGTGCTTCGGTGGACTTGTTGAAAGCCTGTCCTGCTGCCAAGATGGCACACAGCACCCCTACATGGCAGATCTCCTTGCTCGAATGCGCATACTAGGAATGCAGCGTCTTCGAGTCAATGCCATGAGACTGTTGTTGTTCTGACTGTACAACTGCGACCTAAAGAGCCATTCGAGCCTAACATCTGAATCGTGGCCGTATAAGAGCTGTTGCAGTTTGTCACGCAAATAGGCGTTGAGACTGGAAATTGCATCCAGGAGAGGATCAGTGCTGTTTCTCGCTCATGCCTTGTCAACTGCGGTCCAGCTTGTGCCACTACTAACATGTAGGTGAGTCCGTGTTAGGTAGGAAGGAAGTGCCCGCGATGCTGCCGAACAGGGCCTATCGTGTACGTGGTCAAATATAGTCTTGGAATGTACGGTAAGCATATGTCCATGCGAGCGAGAATTGAGGGGTCCGCTCATACCGTAAACTTTCATTTCGTGAGCTGCCCCTCCTGACGGTGCTAGGGATATGCACCATCATTGCAATTGACCTTCGGCTACGATCAACTCCACTTATTGCATGCGTACGCCTCGAGATCTGGGGGTTTTGAGTACTGGAGAGGGCTCACAACGTCAGCACCCTGCGAATTGGATACCAGGCCAGTGCCTCCACAAGGCTTTGCTATGGAGTATGTGAATAGTGATGATTTTTCCTACCATGACCCTAGCTCATCCTCGAATGGTCGTCTTACAGTGTCAAATATGTACAACAAACATGCCTGATATCCACAAAACGCCCCAGCGTCAACTTTAGTTCGTGTTCCAACCATGCTCAGTCTCTTTCGGCGCGTTTTCTTCCTCAGGTTCAGCCAACTCTCTTGGCCCCTCGGTCTTACTTTCCAACCACCTGGTCCTTCAACTCCTTTGTCTTATCCGCGACTTGCTGTGTAACACCCTTGACCTCCTCCTTCACCCCCCTCGTCCTCTTCGCCAACCTGTCCTTCCACTCCTTCTCTTCCTCATCACGCATCTCCAGCTCCCTCAGCCACCTCTCCCTCTTTTCGATTCTTTCTTTTTCGGCCACCTGCTTCTCATAGTCCTTCCTCTTCACACGATCCTTTTGCCAATATAGGTTACCCGCAACGAGGACCGCAATGGTGAAACCTTGGGCGTATAAACGGCGGCGGAAATACATATTCGTCATTTTGTGGTCGCCCTTGCGCATTGAACGTGTTGCGCCTACAATGGCCCAGACTGTGAGGCCGCAGCCGAGGGGGATGAGGGGTTCTTCGCGCAAGCGGCGCCACATCTTGTCGAGGGTGTTTTCATTATAGAAGTCGCTGGTTGACATTAGTCATATTGAGCGATATTCTACAAGCAACAATGAATTGTCGTTGCTTGAATTAGGGTAAACATACGCATTCTCGTCGAATGAGGATGGGAGCGGCGCGCTGTTGCGTGGGCCCGCCATGGTGAAAGGTATATGCGGAGGTGGCGGAGGTGTCGCGTGAGGAGAGCCAAGCTGTTGAGCTACTTGGAGTGGATGTCTTATAGTCCTCTGATTTTGAAACTGCAATTGAAGCTATTTGGAACCCTGAATTAGCGTGGTGAAGCTGTCACCGAGGTGTTGCGGCGATTTGCGCGTGTTTGAGATGCGGAGCTCATTCCATTATCTCACCACTTCCATCATCGGCCCGTTTTAGCTCCGATCGCAACTTCCATATCGCCGAGCTCTGACATACAACAAACAGCAGCCTGGAGGTCGAACAACAAGCACAACGCTGCCGCATCACAGCGTCGCCTCCATGAGTGATACACCGACATTCGATAATCTTCTGCGGCGCCATGAACGATGAGGCCGAGTCGTCCCGAGCTGCACTGCGCCATGATGACAGCTCTCCTGACCACCTCGAAAGCGTAGTGGACATCAACCTGGAAGAAGTTGCACGTGAGCGCGCGAAAGATGCAAAGGAACGGCGGCTAGATGTCAAAAGGAAACGCATCCGGATGCTGGGCGATCTTCTGCGCGAGCTAGATCTCGTGGTATACATGGAGCTGCTCGCCCTCTACCACCTCGAGTACGCCTTACCTTCACGCTCTCACATGACCTTGGAGCTAATGTGGTGCATAGCTGCTCGTTTTTCTGGTTTGCACTGCGAGCACTAGCTCATGGTAGTCTACTCACGCCAGTCTCGGACCCAACAATGCAACGACCGCCTGACGAACCTCGACCGTTCCTACCCGTAGTGGCAGGACTATTCGCTATGAACTTCCTGCTGCATATTCTATATCCTGCGCCATCAGCTGGTGAGGACACCAGAGGCTATCTGCACGGCGGCTTGATGATAGACTTCATCGGGCAGCAAGGGCCAACCAGCAAGTGGAAGCTCGCAGGATTGGATATGTGCATCTTGGTCTTGCAACTGATCATGGTATCGGCGCACGTCAAGCGCCGCGATCTGAAGAAACAGTTGGCACAGATAACCGCAGGTGAGGCACCGTCAGGCAGCGCCGCAGACACAGCCACGTCAGACGCTGCGGGCGACAACACAATACCGGCGACCTCAAATCAGAACGCGGCCCGAGGGCAGGATGCCGACGATGAAGAGCGCGGTGTCTTACGCCGGACCGATACCATGTCAGACATAGGAGCCGATGCCGAAGAGGAGGATTCACTACTGCCGTCTGCGTCCGAGTCAGGTCACGTCGATGCGCTTGGCATTCTAACCTCGGGACAGTGCGTCATTTTGTCTACTGGGGTTGTCGATACGATATGGCGCGAGAACGAGAATTATCGGGCGTTCCGCCGGACGCGCACAGAAAGCAGTCTTAGCGGTGACATGCCAGAGACACTGCGCCGTCTCAACACGCTGCGCGCTCGCTTTGGTGTCGGTGGAGGGTGAAAAAACGGCAGTTGGTAATCTGATCATCAATTTGATCATCACCTCCGTTCCGTCCAAACATACCAAACATGTTATCGCAACCTGAATACATTCAGGGTCCAAACCTCCTGCTTGTTAAGCCGCGGCAGCCGAGCTGTGATGGATTCGGACAGTTAGCCATGTCAGGCTAAATGCCTCCACATAGGATAAGCCGCGAAAACTAGCCACGTGCGATCGCGTGGGGCCACGACGACACCCACCAACAGGGCTTCCATGACCAACAGGAAAGCTTGTCGATAGCAGATCACCCGACCCAGGAGATCCTAGGAAAAGAACATTGATCGGACAATTCCCGCATAAGAAGTTTCCAAGTTCGAAACAACTTCAGAATTGATCGAGCTGTAATGTCAAAGTATCAGCAAGTCACACCGATAATAATGACGCTGACGGGCTGGGACGCGCCGTCCGCACCGATGCGCTTGCACAACGGCATCCCGTCCCCCCTTCCGCACCCGCGCTGATGTCATCAATCACCTTCATGAATCAAGGAAATGCGCATCACATCACTTCGCGCACACACTAGCCACAGTGCTATTCGCAAAACAAGGGTTTTGATCGGTGAGCCTTCGAATGTAGAATCCTTGCATCTGCCACAACAACCCCAGCTGGCGCATCCCACCCCGGGTACGCAGACCTGGTGACATTCACTGGAGGGGAGTCGCTGGACCTGCGTGCCGATCGACACTGCTATACCGACAGACGGCAAGCAAGCGATCTGGTTCCAGAACGGCCACGGTCCGCTCGCTACCACTCTTGCTCCCGGTGGCTGCACACAATTACCGTGCGAGGCGTGCGTGCGTCTTCACCATTCGTGGCGGTTGATCAACAAGGAACGCACGGAGGGTCACTCCGTGGACGTTTCAACCCTGGTGCCTTCATGAAAAACGGAGATTGTGCATCCGATGATCAAAGGTTGAGCTTACAGCTATTAGACTGTTGAGGGCTTCCTTGCTTCAGATGCATGGTCAGTGGGGTATAGTTGCCGACTAGGAAGGCGACTCTTGATAGCTCGAATCGACTTTGATCATGTTGACAGGGCAACCCCTTCTTACCGTTATGTACTCTGTTCCTATTCTGTGAGGCACGCATATACGACATGAGGACGAAGCCACGTTTGCTGCAAAGGAGTGAGGCGCATTCGATGATACATCGAGATGTACCGTGAAGCACAATGAGGCGAGCAGGCTGCATTTAAGAGAGGGTGATGTACTCGCCGCGTTTGTAGCCGGCTGCACGTTCCACTGTCTCCTTACCAGCGTTTGCCGTTCTGGTGAAGGATGCTGATGTTGAGAATGACATGCCGAAGGTACATAAAGGTACATGTTCAGATGTACTGAGGCACACCTTATGAGGCGTTCTATACAACGCCAAATGAGGGGCGAAGAGGGTGTGCTGCGTAACATTGTTGTGTACACAGCAGTCCTTCCTCCAACTGTTGGTGGCTGACCAGCCGTAGTCGAAACAATGGAATAACGAACGGAGGAAAGCGCAACATTGCCCTGTGGTCGCAGTCGTGGCACGTTGCGAAGCGTCTATTGAGGCGTAAAGGCTGCGAATTCTGCAAGAGTCATGTATGCGCAGAGCAGCAGTCGTTCCTTGACTGGCTCAAATCCGCCTGAGGATTACAGAAATGCAATGCGAGGAGCGAATGAGCGTTGCGGGTGCATAGCATGTGCGCAATATCACAAAGGATTTCATGCCATCTCTTCGATTGGCCAGTACTGGTTCGTCCTGCACTTAGAGAAGGATCATTTAGGGCGCATTTGTGGCGCCCTCTATTCCAGAAAGAAAACGCCTGCTTGAAATAGGCGTACGCGGCACTGCCCATTGCAGCCCGGTCTTGCAAAGGCGTCGTGATGTGAAGTGGTCTGGATGCGCGAGATGCACGGGTCGGGCGCAAGCTGTCAGTTGTTGTTGTTATTGTTGTTGTCTGGCGTTGCATGAGGTACTCACGTTGTGCGTGGGTCTGCGGGGGTTGTTCGAAGTGGAAAGAGCGTCCCAGTCATTCTGTATGCTTTCAATGCAACCGCCCGTTCTTGTACATGAGGGAAAGAACGGGGATGCTATCTGGGCGGTTCGTTTTCTGATGCCGTCTCTGATGCCCAGTTCTAGTGTGGTCGTGTCTCAGGCCCATGCTTGTGTTGCAGTTCCATGGGGGCCACGCTGATCTGCCGTTGTACTCGGAGTGACTTACTCTTACTCTTCAACTGTCATTGGTAGAGAGACCAGACGATGGCATGGTTGCTTTTCTTTGCGTTGCTTCGTCTTATCTTGCTGTGCAATTCACATGACTGTGTTCCACCTGCGGCTTTAGTGCTTCCCCGTCCCCTCACTTTGACAATCAGCAATTGCTATTTCCGCTGACTTGCATAAGTCATGTCGTCTGCAATCTGCGGAGCTGCGGGACCGGTGTAGTGGGAAGTGGATTATGTGGATCCTTGTCTGTGTGGGGCTTCCAGGTCCTTGTTACATACCGCTGTGGCTGACCTATCGTGCAGAATAAATGTACGTAGACGTGCATCAGTGGAGATTTGTACTCGACGATCGAGAATGTCGAGTATTTGAGGCGACGAGGAGCTCTATTTGTCGCGCAAGCTCGCTCCTCATTGGCTTCAAGGAGTAAATCTAGTGTTCAGGCCGGTGCACGCAGACTCATGTTCCTTGTAGATGCCTGTCAGGCCCGGTGTCACCTGCAGATGTCGGCAGTGCGCATTTTCGAGTCTCGGTCTGTATTGCGTGCCTGACTTACACCGGAATCTTGTAGGTACAGTTACCTGCCTGAAGAAATCAAAGACGGCCTCGAGTCAAGCATGTACCACGCCATGGAGTCTAGAGGTAGACCCGGGTTTGCCAGATGCTGGATGCAATCGATCTTGAGGCCATGATCTCTGTCAATAGCCAGCCCAACTAATGCTCGTGTATGTTCGCTTGAGCGAGGCGCACTGGCGGCATTGTCGATACTCGCGATGCGCTGGTCGTAGATGTGTCCGCGGCAGGTACAGGAAGTACTCGTGACATCTCTCAACAAACGCCCAAAATCAGCCTTCAAGCTGCTATGTAACATTTGGCTACAATGCTGGTCAGCTCTTCAGCATGACGGCTTGCGTAAGGCCCGGCCGGCTCATATTGCGCAAGCCCGCAGCCCATCATCACATGCATAAGCGCTGACCAGGGCACCGCTGTTGCCTCGCGCTCAATCAGACAACCAGATCCATCTTAATTCTCGAGTCCTCTTTCGTGTCGCGTCACACAAGGACTCGAATCTTGCCCTGTAACACGTAAGAGTCCTATTTTAGTGGCATCAAGTCTTACTTCGGGGTTGGGCAGCGCATGTGCTGGATTGAGGCTGTGGCGCCGATGTTGTACTACGTGCGCTGTGTGAAGTGCCGGTCGTGGGGCTATCAAATATGCCGGTTTGGGTCAAATGAATGGATCTGGGAGGGCTGTGTGTGGATGTCGCAGCGCCAACGAACCATTTCGTGCAGACGGAGAAAGGCGCGGGTGCATGACGTTGCAGTAGCGAAGAGACAACATCAAACTGATTGCGGACAATGAATCTCGTCTGACGATCACTATGCATCGACAAAGTGAACATGCGGTGAGATGAAACTACACGTGTTGAGATGGACCGGACATGGAGAGTTCACTGTCCGTACGAACACTCGCTGTTGCTTTTATGAACACAGAAGAGAAGGAGCCTGCTCCATGGGGTGTGATTGGAGCCTCAGGCAATGTCGCAGTCTGCGAAGGCGTTGAAGGCGCCGGATGTTTAACGGTTTGAACAAAACTCCGTGCATGGCGTAACCGACTACTATACAACGTTGACCGGGCCGAAGCAGTAGTCGAAGCGACGAACACTCTGACCTCGTGCTCCAAGGATACCGATTCGTAGTCAGCTGGACTTGGAGATTTTGAATATGCATGCCCGTCCCGAGAATAGGGAAATCGGTGAGATCCTGCTCCGCCTGAGAATCCTATTCATTGGATTCAATGTGCGATCTTGCCGTTCCGCACGTACAATGCGATCAGCAAGGGCCCTTGACACTTGCGAACGAGTGGCTGGCTGGAATTTTGAGTGTCACAGTCTCTATTTTTGAAGTGCGAGTTCAGTGCCCCACCTCTCGAGAATGCCTTCTCCAATAGGACAGAAATTGCGCACCATTCCAGGTCACAGATAACGACGACGATGACGCTCGGTGTAGCTTGTACGGACAAAGATACCCTGGTCCAGTGCAAGTGTAAGATCAGAAGAAGCGGTGAAGGCCCACTCCGGGGAAGCGGCAATATTGATGAGTGAACAAGGGCTGCGGGGCACAATCGTATCCTTGTCGCGACATCTAAGCAATTACACTCGAGGTGAGTGGTTGCAGGAGAGAGCTCCGCTGCTCCAGTACTGTAGCTCAGCCGTCGCTTCCGATATAATGCGCCGACGAAAGTCGATGCATAAGAACACCTGCAATATGGATCTGTGATATTGAGTACGCGATGCACGTCAGTGTAGAAACCCTGTCTCCCTCGCAGATCTGGTGGTAATCATAGCATCACGGAGGCTTACGATCAACTTCATAATCTGACCACGGCACTCGTCATGGGACTTTCGTGGACTGCGAGTCACATCAACGCGCAGCTGTCCAAGCTCCAAATTTTTTTGCTCAAGTCGAGGCTCTTCTCGACAGACCGAAAAGATTTGAAACGTTGTGGTCACTCGCCCAATTGGGAGAGTGGAGAAAAGCTTCTTGACGATGCTCGGGGAACAGGTACCGGCTCCCACACAGGGTATCGCAGTCTGTATTCGGTCATCAAGCACAAACAGACCACGGCCCGTGGAAACGCGCGCCGAACTTGAATGCTACACTTAAATCAGTTGATATGAGCAAGGGTCGATGAATCTGACGCACACTCGTATGGTGCTAACATTCGGACCGTTTGTGATGAAAAAATACACTTTGCTATTTCGCAGATTTGAGATCGAGGCCAATAGAGTGAAAGCCAAAATGGCGACGGTTACGATTGCCCTAAAGTGGCTTCATCAACGACCAGGCGACATGGCATGGTAATGGTAGGCGATGGTGTCTTACAGATGAGAGACAGACTGAAGCCACTATCGAGAACGGGGCGATGTGCGGAGTTTATAGTTTGAGCTTAAGCATTGACAAAGTTTAGGTTCAGCCCGTTCTTGACAGCTTGTTCCAGCGGTCCGCACTGGAGAGAATTCCGGATATACGAGATGCACAACACGCTTTCAGGGGCCCAGCACAGAGGTTCCGTGGCTTCAAGAGTCGTGATCCACGACTAGTGACTCTGCTGTTGGGAACGGAATCCACTGGAGGCGTGCGTCATGTTAAGCGTCGTGGGCGTGTTCACGAGGTCGAAGCCTGATTCGGACATTGCGTTGAGAGCGATTTCTGTGAAATAAGGCCATTTCCAAGACTGAGGGGTATTTAAGGCTGCAAGACTAAAGCCACAATTTGCAGAAAGTTACTCGGACCAGTGCAAAACGGCTGAGAACTTTCGCAATTGTTCGGTGTGCCGTGACTCGTGCGAGCTGTCGACATGCTAGAATATGCACACGATTGAAGCCGCTCTCCACGGATTATGGTGTATATGGCAGCTGCCCTTGGCCATGACCCGAAGTTAGCCTCAACCTGAAGTGTCTGTGAGAGGGCTGAGACGTACTCATAGAGTTTTGCAGCCCACATGGGTCCCCTTAGCTTTAGCTCCCACTTCCGCGCACCAGATTCGTGATTTCGCTAGGGGGGAATAAGAAAACAAATGATTGGTGATCAGTTCGTTTCTTAAGACATGTCGCACATACTTCCCTTGATGGACAGTGATCGAAGATCAGATACCTAGGTACACAGCGACAAGTCTGTACCGTGGCCTGGAATAGGAAAGAACAATAGATCGACTCATCGGCGAAGTCGTTCTTCAGCTGACGGTCGTCCTTTCACTCGTCGGGGATGTCTTTACGTGATCCGTGGTTCTTCAGATCCGTGCCGTTGCGTATGATTGCGACTTGATGGAGGCATGAGCACATCCGTCCCGTGTGCTTTACAGTGGCCTGAGAGCTATTGTTGGATGTACGTTCGTATTGAGCGAGATCTAGATGACTTTAATGTTAGTTTGGATGCTCAAAGTGGCCTGCGAGCTTACTGCAAATGACGATGTGTGATGTTTGGGTTTGGCACAACCAGTGATAGCGTACTGCTAGCTGTCTTGCAAGGAGGGGCTTCTGATGATTAGGCGGCGAAGCCATATTATTGATACATTTTTCTGGTTGTAGTGTACATATTGAGACAGGACGGTGAACGCACGTACGTTGCCGTGGTGTACAGGTCGATTAGATGAAGAACGGCAGGGTCCGTAAAGACCTGAATTTCTAGAATGCAATTTCTATGTTTGATATGAGATGGAACGCTGAGAGCGACTCGTAAAACTGAAGCGGCTAGCGCTCGACAAGGGTATATAGCAGGTGTTGCTCGGTTGCTGATAACCGCTGCAGAAAAGCAAAATGACAGTGTCTTGGTTAGGTGATTGAAGTAGAAGTCAGCCGCCAGTATTTTATAGATGACATGGCTGATTTAGAGATGGAAAAAGGGGAAGCTTGTATGAGGCTACACCGACACTGGTGTATAGCTCAGGTCCGCGCAAAGTAACCCTTCAAGGAAAGGAATCACGATATGAGGGCCGCTACATCATAGTTTGCTGCAAAGCTGGCAAATGCCCTTGATCATTTGGAGCATATCGTTGACCGCGGGGAGAGGGGCCATGTGATGACGCGTAGCCATGAGGAGCGAAAGACGATACGTTCGTGTCTATCGGCGGGGGTCCAGGAATCGGCTGGTAGCTGCTAGTGCGTCGTCGCACATTGCGGTCTGTGTCACGGTCTTCCTCGTAATCACCGTAAGACCCGTCAGACCCGTTGTCGTTCATCGGAGAAGGTGCATGCGAGGGTGTGGACGATAGACGTCGTACAACCGGTGACCTGGGTCTTTGGTAATCTCTGTCGGTGCCCAGCTGCTGGAATACGATAGACCTGAAAAAATCCCTTTCAGATCGGTAAAACTCAGCCCTCTCCATGGCCTCATGAACTTGCTGTTCCAGTCTCGATATGCTCATAGATGCCTCACGCTCCTTCTCTTTGCGGCGAGCACGGAAACGAGCAGATGCGCCTGCGTTACGCTTCCTCTTCTCATCCGCAACTTTTGAGGCAGCCTGGACGTCTACTGGAATCTGCACATTGTGGCCCTGTTGGCTTTTGATGGTCATAATTTGAATGCTGCTCTGACCACTTGGGGCAACAGGTATCATGTTACGCTCCAGCTCCAATGGTGGACCAGATTGGCGAGCTTCATGTGAGGCGGATGTATAGTGGCCTTGCCCGCCATGGCTGTCGTATCCGGAGGCAGTTGATGCAGACTGGCTATAAGGAGAGTACTGTCGCAATGGGCTTGCGCTACCGGATGGCAGGAATTGCGCACTTGATCGACGCCCTTCAGTACGCAACATGTTTGATGTTGGTGTTGACGTGGTCAGTGGCGGGAAGTAACCTGTTCTGCTCCCGGCAGGAGGGGTAGGCGGAGCTGGATGAGAGGTTGCTGGCTCAGAAGGACGCACACTTGCAGTCAAGAAGGGTGACTGGTGAGCATCAATTGTGCCTGTGGGACGGTTGAGGCCACCGAGGCTCTGTGTCCTGTGTAGGTTGGGCGACTTGGGAGTTACCACATGCCTAGCAGAGGGCCGGCCTGGTGGCTGGAATAGCCTTTGCGGCCTTTGTTCATCCTGCATAGAATCCACACTAGTTGGTCGACTGATGGAGGGAAGACTGTGTGAGTGCTGAGTGTCCACAGGAGACGGAGTCTTCAGCTGGAGCCCGCTATGTCGTAAGTCCCGCTGCTGTTCGATCAATTCAGCTTGAGGATTCAAGATGGACGGAACACCTAATGGATTGTCATGTCGGCGACTGGAGGGAGTGGGCGGTGTACTGGAAAGTTGGCGTAGAGGTGGAAGCGAGAGTGTCAGGTGACCGGGGGTTTGTGGTGGATGCATAGGAGGCTGAGACTGAATAGGTGACAGTTGAGGTGTGTTCTGCTCTGAACGAGCTCCTGCGGACCGGTACGACATAGGGTAGAAGTCGTCAGGACCCCGTTGATAACGACCAGCCATCCATGAGCGATCTGGTTTAGATTCGTCGTGGTAGGGTGGAGTTAGACGGTTGGAGTAATGAGTGTGAGGGGCATGAATAGCCGGAAGCGCTTGGGTAGCCAGGATGACAATGTTATATGGGTCGCCTGAAAGACAACCCTAACTATTTTGAGATGAAGATTACAGGTGTTGTGAGAGGTTTCGGAATGTTGGGAACAACACCTGCAAAATAATCGAGGTGGAGGAACGTGGTGACTGCTGAACTCTAGGCCTAGGTCTAGGATGTCTTGGGCCAGAAATGTCGGTATGGTGTGCTTGGCGTATCAATTCGTACGAGGGCAACAAAGGTTCAAGATGAGGCTGTAGGGCCACGGGAACTGGAGGAGGATTGTCGAGTATATGTTAGGCCGTCACCGGCAGGAGGCGCAAGGACCCGGTATGATATAAGAATGTGCGGTGTAGTGTCCAAGTCGGAGGATCGCTGGCCGGGCACGAAATCATAAATTCTGCAGCCACCCCTGCCCCCTAGCTCGATGTCCCGCGAGGAGAAGAGGACAAGTACATGAGGCCCTGTCGCTTTTCGGCGCCTTTGACGACAACGCTAGGCGGTGCTTCTGGGCTTACCGGGATACGCTGGCATGCAGCGCACGTACGACTTGGACGCTACTGCACGCTTGACCATGACCACGCGCGGAAACGGAATCCGCCCAAACCGACACAAGCGCATGGACCGTGGCTGACGAACCCTGCGGCTTCTGCACAGACCAACGGAAGTATGTCCGGCTGTCATTTCTGCATCTTGCCGCGCCGTGGTTCGCTCCATGAGCCCGCTGCTCAGCTACCGAACCCGTTGGCCCTGGTCATTGGCGGGGCATGTGTGTGATGTGCACGAGCATGTCTCATGTGTCCAAGCACACTTTTGCTTGCCATTGTGCAGGAAATGGATATTTGGCTCGTTGAGCGTCGCCATGGTAGTGATTTATCGTATTGGTAAACCCTGAGCCTCTGCCCTGCGTGCATGCATTGCACAAGTGCATAGAGTATTTTAGTTCAGATTGTTTGGGAAGTTTCACTTCTTCGAATGAATGGAACAACAAACCCAGATTGAGTCTTTTGAAAGCATGGCCAAGTTTCTCAGCATGTATGATCCGGTTGCTCCGTTCATTGGAGCTCAGTGTTGCTAGCAAATACGCAAATTAGCGCAAGGAGCAACAACATTTCCAGGAATGCAATCAGCGCTGCTGTGAAGCGCTGCAACGATGCACAGCCCGAGGCTCATTGCACGCCTGTATCGTTTCGAAGACGATACTCGGAGAAAATCTTCTGAGAGCGACAGTAAACTCCTTTCGGGGCGTGCATTGGAGTTGAGAAAGTGTTTGTAGTAGATCCTGTTTGAAGAATGACTTTTTTACGGCTATGTGTCTCACATACCCTGAGTCAACATGATGAAGCGGGCAACGGCACGATTCATTTTCAGCTGTGGTCGCAAGTCAAGTACGGGCCGATGTTATAGAGCTCTGACCTTCTGACAAGTTTCCCGTGATTCTGCAGGGTGCTGAAAGCCGATACCTCACACTTTGTCCAATCTGTGTACTGAACGGTTGGGCGCCTCGGGCCTCTGTCCTAGTGCTTGCGTCGTCATGCGGTGTGCACTTTGGCCCCCCGATCTGTAGCGCCGTTTACATGTATGCGCGAAGAACGTTAAGCTACCATTGGGCATAATAAAGGAATGGGCGAGTCCTGTAATCGTTCCATGCCTCGCACTATATTGTAGCACGTGCAAAAGATTCGGCATATGCCCCCACTTCCTGATTGCGCATCGATCTTGCTGTCGAGGAGGCACCGTGACCGTTCCCTTCAGTATCGAGTGGGTGCCGCAGAGGGGCACTATGTCGGTCTGTAAATACCGTCATTTGAGGTCCCCTCGACGCGTTCAAGGTTTGTCCTCCAGAATCAGTAAGCAAATGAGTTTAATCGAGTTTTAGGCTGCCAACCGTTCAGTCACAACAAAGCGTTGCCCGTCGTCGCCAGGGGTAGGGTCCCAGAACGTCATAGTGTGCATCCAACGCCGCGGTCAGCGCAGCGCCGTCGATTGATCCGAGCTGATCAGTGGCTGGTCTCCTCCACCACTTCCCGGCTCCACGCTGTCGGTCGTGAGGTCACTTCACGTGTGCCAGGATGATGACGCTGGTCGCCGAAAGCAGTGCTGCCCCTGTCCCGGTGGGACGGGATGGCATCTAATCTCAAAGCAGCAAGCTGTTTCAAAAGACCTATCGTGGGCTGACTCGCAGGCATCGTCAGATTTTGTGCTGTCGATTTCGGATCTTTTCGTTCGTTCTGGTCAGTGCTTTGTTTCTTTTTCATCCCATTCGGTGCCTCGTAGCGGAATGTTGCAGAACCTTGAGATACCTGGTCGATATTGGTGATGTTGATCAGAATGCTGAAGATACCAGGGCAGGCCTGGAAAGCGCGGTCCAGCTGGAAAAGAACCCATTGTGCTATTTACCCCACCTCCAGATCGTATCAGCATGCACCCAGAGTCATAAGTAGTTACTGCGGCGAGACTCATGGGCGTGGCGAACATGCTGATGTGCATCGTTGACTGTGATGGAAGATATCGGCATGTCGGTGCGCCAAAAACGAAGCGAAAGAAGGTAGCTTGGCACAAAAAGGGAGAGATGAAGTGTGATTGCGGCATCCACACCATGATCACGGACCTGCCATGCCTTGACGGGCTTTCCGCTGCCCAAGGTGGACTAGACCACAGCAGCTCGGTCGCATTTGGTGACCAAAGAAAACAGCCCTTCGTGCCTCTTCATGTCCACCACAGTCTGTCGTTTTTAACCTGATGCTCACAACTACATGTCACATGTAGATAGCTGCTGAAGGGCACCCACCCGAGGGATTTCTTGAAGAGTATGCTTTCTTTTTGCACACGTACTAATAGCTACTAGCTTCCTCAAATGTAACACCGACGACGGCCCTGATTGCGGCCTGCGCTGTTGACAGGACGGTGAGTGTCCCACGCTCGGCTCAACTGTCAGCAACACTCATATGACCAACGTCTACACCCGTGTTACAAGATCCAATAGCAATCATGCCATGCTTCGACCTGGATCGATACGGTTTTCCCACCGATTTGCTTTACGACATACACGCTCAGCATCTTTAGAGTATGAGCTCTCTCGGATTGAACCCACAGCTTTGGTAGTTACGTATACGTGAACTTGACTCACTCCGTGCCACGCCTCAGCTGCGCAAGCATACAGTACCGATGGTTGATATTGGGGGATGGCCGCTGGAGCTCCGCAACAGCCTGCGTTCAGGTACTACCCATGAATATCGGTCGTAAAGTACGAGACCGGCAGCCGCGCAATTCGGCCTTTTGCTCAAGACACAAAGGCACGTACATATGTAATCTACTCCCTTCGGACAGTGATCAGCGTGCGGAAATAGACGCAGTCATGGCCTTGGACTCGAAATGGGGTTGAAGCTGCACTGCGCCAGTACGCAAAGCTTCTAGCTTGGACCTCCGACCTTATTCTGGCCCTTCAGTCACGCAATTATTGCAAAATATTTCCTGACGATCCTTGCCGTCACACCATACCCTGGAAGACACTGATCGTATTGCACCGATGGATCGCCGTCTATATTTCAGGGACCTGACGAATGGGTTTCGAACCGTTGCTGTGCTGCGTGGATTCAATAGTGATCAAGTCACTCCTCAAAAGTGCCGACACTGGCTTCGCCGTTGATCGCCATCCCGGAGCATTTGCGGTCCAATGCCTTTATTGGGCATCAAGAATCCGCTTTAGTTCGAGGTCGCCTTGGTGTAGAGTCTAAACCCACGGCATTCTCACGATGGTAGGAAAACCATAGACCTTGCGTCCTTTTTGTACCGCCAAAGTCGCCGTAGACGAGAGGGGAGCTGACCTTACCTTTCGTGTAAGGTACGGCTTCGCAATGGATCGACGTGATAAAAGAGTAAGGGCTGATGTGCCTGCTCTGAGCAGGATATGCTGGTGTTGTGTACTCAGCCTTAATGCTCGTCAATGCACGTTTAACCTTCAGTCCAGACGAACCCAATGTTCTCACACTCCTGCTATTCACGACCGGTTACATTTCCCCACACTAGGCAAGTTCGCGCCTCACTTTTTCCTGACTTTGACCTACCTGTCACCTAAAGCGGCAGAAACTCCAAGAGCGAGGCATCGCTTTGTTCCTGTTTGTTGATCCTAGAATCCTTTCTTTCTCTTCAAGCTGAACATGTCGGGATCCCTGTCTGATCTACATAGCGTTGCCGCATAAGTTACTCCGCGGACAACCCCTGAAGATTCCTACCGTGCCACCCCTTGCGATGGGATCTTCATCCTCGTTGCACCATTAATGTACACCATTCGTTTCGTCATTCTCCTTGCATATCGCTATAGTTGCCTCTTCCATTTCCAGCAGCCTCGTCATTATCAAACGGGCGTGTGAACGATTCACGACCCATCGAAGATGCAACTCATAAGCGCAGGTTCAAATGAAACCCCTCAACAACACCAATAGCGCAACCAAATCGGCCACTCACACTCTTGACGTCCAGAGCGTCTGTCGTCAAGTAAATCCCACCCTGGATCAAGAACACTGGGACAGATGATGTACTCGCGAATTTGCCGACATAGCCGCGCGCTTACTGTATTTGCGCGCTTCTCGAAATTCCTTACAGCGGAGAACAATATCGTCCACTAACTACACACATGACCGTCGCATAGCTAAAGGGCACACGTGGCCATCTATTCACCCCGGAATACGAGTCCAAGTGCGACCTGCAAAGCTCTCTATCCAACGGCGCACGTATAGCTCTTCATTTAGGCCTCAATGCGACCAAGTAAAGGGTGGTCGTACACATACACTTCCTTCAGTTCACCACACCGATCAGCGCACTGGCTACCAAATGGTCGTCAACATGTGCCACACATTACGGTTGCACTAATGAATACACCGGGCATCCTTGACCAGGGTTGCGGTACCGAGCTCGCACACAACATCGCTTAACCTTTCAACTCGACGGAAACATGTCACTACCGCAATGTGATTCGTCCAGTACTTATCTTCTGTCCTAAAACGGCCCGCAGATTAGTACTCTTACGTGTCCCGCGACAGCAGCTTATACTTGAGATGCGTCGGAACTAGAGCTTTGACAGCTCTAGCCAGCAGTGCCAGTCGCGTTTCGAGGCTGATATGGGCACTGTACGATGTGAGGCGCAAAGGGAGACCCTTCGGATCTTCAAACAAACCCCAGGAGAGCACTGTTGATGCCCAAATGATGTTGAACGCGGGTTCGAGATGCTCTCCGTCGAGTGTCCGGGCCAAGAATATCGCAGGATTGGGCATATATGATTCCTTTGGGGCGTTGCAGATGAGTGGTGAAGGTGGGTGTGATGGAAGGGAGACTCTTGTTGTTTGCATTGCATTGCTTGCCGATCGTTTTTGAATGGATGACCTGATGGAGGTCAAGTCAACCAGAGCCTGCATAACCAATTCTCGACATAGCCTGATCCGGTTCTTCGTTACGAGATCTTCCACTACGAAGGTGCTTTTTCCGAACGCTATCTCGACAATATCCCACTCTTGGAAATTGCGAGTAGCTTTAGCGAAATCCACAAAGACTATTAAAACAGTAGGTAGGTAGGGACTGCCATTCTTCTGGCTTACGAGGTTTTTTTTTTTCAATGGTGTGGATTGTGCTGTTCACGGGTGGTGCCAAAGAAATGAGCTCCTTCGTGTGCTGTCACCTTGTCGCGTGTGGTTTTATTCGAACGCTTACATCGAGGCGCAGGCTATCTCAGCCCAATAGAGACGATAGGAATTTTTCAACGATATCGGTGATTCAAGAAATCCTACCTGGAATGGGCGGCCGGCCAGCTATATATCTGAACATATAAGACTAGATCAATTTCAACTCAATCAGAACAAAATGAACACCAATCCGAGAGCAGTAAGAATGCAGGATGGTTGGAGGTATACAATGTGCGATCTGTTGATGATGTGATAACGTAGATGATCGATAGATGACTACGAAGGAGCTCCTTGAACGGATAGTAAGGCATTGCTTGCTCAGCTCTTCACCGGCCAAAGATCTTCTCGGTTATATGCTTCATCGCTACCAATACCTTATTCCCACCCGTAGCCAAGCCAGAACCAAGTGAAGGGTTTGACACTCATCCTTCACGTTCTCAAATTTGACTGATCCAGAGCAGTCCTTAGTCCACACTCGGTTTCATACATCACAAACGCCTCTGCGATCCGCATCTGCATTTTTGCAATCTGAATGCTATCGACGGAATTCTGTCAAGAACTCACATAGATCTATACAATATGTATTTCTTCGTGTCAAGCGCATCAATGTTTCCTGTAGCAGCCAACAGTACTTTAAAAATGCTGAATTTTCAGGGGCAGCAATGCAAACTCTTTAAATACTGCATTCAAGTTGTATAAGACAAGAAGTATTTCTTAGGGATGTAATTTTAGCGTTGCGGTGAAGTATTAGTGTTGAAAGAGCAGCCTTGAGGTAGTCAGACTACTGACACCTTGAACGTACAGCGATTCTCGACTCGAACATCTAAACGTGCACACCTATTGACGCAGTCTCTAACCCAGGGTGTTTCTAAAATGCAAGTGCTTCTTGGGCTTGTCGGATCAGACACTGTCATTAATGAGTGTACTACACATTTACCTTGCATGCATTATAACTAAGCTATGGTGAACTACTGGCCTGGCAAATCTAACCGAACAGTACTTGAGGTTGAGCTAAGTCAGTCGACGATATTTAACATACTGTACGCTTTATGCTCGACTGCTTTCTTCACCGCCGTAAGTGGATCAATCTTCTCCACCCTCTTGACTTCCACCATGCCGTTCTCGCCCTCGACAGCCTGCTTAACATTCTCCTCCACATCGTCTAGCGCCCCAGTTTCGAGGAACGCTTTGAGCATACCCTGCGAGTAACCTGACACAAGCGCTGTGTTCTGGTCATCGACGGTCACTGGCTTGCTAGTCGCGCCGGCCAAGTTCCAGAAGACGAGCTTCGGCATGTCATATCCAGCATCGGCGTAGGCGGTCTTGATGCGGTCGAAAAAGGACGCCCAGACTGCTTGATCCATACCTTGATAGAATTGCATGTCGCTGAAGACGAAGACCTGCTTGACCATTTCATCTTGCGATACACTGATGGCCTTCGCAATTTCGAGCAGATGCTCGAAGACAGCAACAATATTGGTATTCATGCCCCAGCCCATGCGTCGTACATACTCCACTGTATGGCACAAGCCATTCAGTTTATGACCCGCATCTCTGAGATCGTGCACTTGCGGATTTTCTGAGAACGTGATGATATATCCCCCAAATGGACCGCTCGTGACCTCGGAGATGAGAAGTGAAAGTCCAATGGACGAGTGTAACGGTGTCGAACCATCGTTGAACTTTGGGCCGAACATACTGCCGCTCACGTCACAGACAGCTACGGATGATTGAAGCACTCCAGCGTTGCGGACACTTTCGACCAGAGTCCGCCACTGACCATCAATGACCTTGCGTTGGATCCCTTTCTGCATTGCGTCCACTTGAGCCCTGCATATTGTGCCCTGGCGAGTGTCCCAGGAGGGAGCGGTTTCGCAAGCCTTGCGAACAAGCGTCGATGGCAACAGCGTTACACCAGAGATTGTGGAGGCCCCCAGTAAGACATCATCAACATACTTCGCGAAGCGCTCATTATCCTTACGGATAAATAGACTGGTGTAGCGATCCACCGCGATCGAAGGTACATGGTTGTAGTCGATGTTGTTGAAGGTTTCGGCGGCAATGTCTCGCTCCACGACTCCAAGGGCTTTTCGCAGCGGCGGCGAGTATTGTTTCCGGAAAAGCTCACGGACGTGGCGGAGGTAGAGCTCTCTGTTACTGGCATCTGGGCAGTGTTGCGCTGGATCTGAAAATAAGACTTCGGCGATTGAGGAAAGGACGAACGTGTGCTTATCATGAAACTCTCCAAAAGTAGGAGCCTACTTGGCGGCAAGAGACAGCTTGCGCAAGTTTGCCCGCTTGCCAGAGCCTAGCAAGGCTTTGTCGACCTTCAACTGCTCAGCGAAGAGCTGTGTGACTTTGACATGGAGTGCCCGGTAGAATGGATCGCAGTTTAGCTTTTTCTGCACTCGCTTGTTTTGGTCCTTTCTCTTCTCTCGTCGCAGCTCCCGCGCGACTTCCTAGTCTTGGTCCCTAGCTTTTCCTTCTGGATAGGAAAGGGCGACACGGAAGGTGTGACGGTTTATGGAGTAAAGCGGTCATGTCTGCCACGTGTGCTGGTGCAGTGCTCTTGCCTGTTCCAATAGCACTTTCTGTCTGAACGACAGATACGTCATGTAAACAGACCCCGCTGGGGGTCGAGTGAGAGACAGAACACTGAACAACAACACAACAGAATATACTGATTTTACTGCTTCGCGCGGTTACCCCTGACTTACTGCCCTGCGCGGTTACACCTTCACTTATTGCATTTACTGCAACAGAAGGGCGCACCGCAAACAGAAAACCCCAGGACCCAGGCAGTGGTTGATCACGTGTCTCTACATCTCTGCAATGAGCTACAATAATCCCATGTGAAGTCCATACGTCAGTCTTTCTGGAAAGCTGTGAAAACAGTTTCTAGTGTCGTCTGCATCAGTTGATGCCTAGTATATGGTGTAGACCACCTTTGAAACCAATTGCTTGCTATTCTGGATAACGATATTGGCACTGTAGCATGACTCGTTTACGATGACGTGCACAGTTTACGGTACATTTATGCGTCGATGGTGGTGATGCTGAGTGAAGGGCTGCAGACGCGAAAGACAGTGAAGCTGTTTGGCTTGGCATGACGCCGCCCCGCGCCCCACTCGCTGCCTGGAGCTCCCACCTCCAATCAACTCCGCAACGCCGCCGAAGACAACCTCACCACCACAACTATGGCGTCCAATATTGAGCAGTCACTGTTCTTCCAGCAGCGGAGATCCAAGGACGAATTGATTGTGAAGGGTTCGTGAGGTATCTTCAGTGCAGTCAACCTCCGCTAACTCTGAGAGACCCTCCCAAGTTCGATCTCGAATCATACATCGCCAACTATGCTGGTATGGCTTCCTTTCCCAGAGGCTCTCATACGATCAGTTGCTGAGAAATTCTCAGGCCACACACGAATCGACCGACTCCATCACATTGGCTCCCACTCGCCGTACCTCGCTCTCGATGCATACCGCCTGGCGATCACGGAGGCGAAGAAAGGCAAGAACGTCAACCTCTACTTGCAACTGGTGGAGGAGCTGAGTGGGGTTGCGCCTCAAGACCCTGCAGCGATGACGGACACAACATGGGCAGAGAAGAAGGCACAGGAGACGCAGCGCGAGCAGGACAGGCTGGAACACGAGCTGAAATCGTACAAGAACAACTTGATCAAGGAGTCCATTAGGGTATGAGTGCGCCAAAGTCTGCATCCTTGTGAACTGCAAGCTGACAAGGGTACAGATGGGCAACGAAGATCTTGGCCACTTCTTCTACGATATCGGCGACTACAGCAACTCGCACAAGTCCTACATGAAGATGCGCGAAAGCTGCACCTCGAACAAGCACCTTGCCGATATGACCCTCCGTCTCGTATACGTCAGCGTCGCGCAGAAGTCATGGTTGACCGTACAGTCCAACTTGGCCAAGGTGGACGCAGCACAACTGAAGGGCGAGGATAAGACCAAGCTCGAACCCATCGTGTCAGCTTGCACAGGTCTCGCTCACATGTGCATTGGCAACTTTAAGGAAGCTGCAACAAACTTTCTGGGCACATCACCTGCCTTCTTGACGACCGAACCTGCTGCTGGCATCACATGGCAGAAGGAGGTGCTCTCTGGCAACGACGTGGCAGTCTACGGCGGTCTTTGTGCGCTCGCATCGATGGACCGTAGCGAATTGCAGGCGAAAGTGCTCGGCAACAGCGAATTCAGGAATTTCCTCGAGCTTGAACCCCACATCCGCCAGGCCATCAGCCTCTTCTGCAACTCCAAGTACAGCGCATGTCTTGACGTGCTCGAAGGCTACCGCAGCGACTATCTCCTTGATGTGTACCTGTCAAAGGTGCTGGGTACCATCTACGGTCGCATCCGAACTAAGAGCATTGTCCAGTACTTCATCCCCTTCAGCTGCGTCACACTCGACGAGATGTCGTCCAAGTTCCCCGCTGCAGCAGGCATTACGATCAAGGAAGAGCTGGAGCAGATGATCAACGATAAGACTCTTGAAGCACGGCTAGACCTCGTCGACCGACTCCTCATCTCGCCACCAACAAACCCGCGTCACGATGTCCACGCCGATGCCCTCAAGATGGCCGAGACATACGACCACACGCTCAGACTGCGCCTGACGCGCCTGAACATGCAGGCAGCTGGTATGGAGATCAAGGCAGAGAAGGGTTCGAGCGAGAAGATGAACGCTGGCATGAGCGAGCGTATCGGCGAAGGTCTGAAGGGACTGGGCTCAAAGATGAGTTTCTCATAGGGAGGAGGACCATCTACCGGGTACAGGAAGGCGTCCTTCTAAGTCAGGCCATCGGACAAGTTGAGGGCAACGATCGAGGAGAGGCTGTATGATCATCCATAGAGGATTTTGACGATCAACAAGCATTACAGGCGTTCAAGGACACGGCGTAGAAGGCGAACATTAGCGATGGGCATTACGAGCATGGAGTATAAAGGGATGAAGCACGAATGAAACGATGCAAGCATGACGGGGGCAACTTCCAACTGTTTGATGTGTGTTGTCAGATCGTTCCTTGAGAGGAGTGTCAAGAGCAACCAGCGAGCGTTGATATTGCGAGCAGCCGAGAGGTGAGTTTGTCGGTATAGGCGGGGCTCTACGATTCTTCGATAGTATTTTGGTACCTTAGACATGGCACTGAGTTCTCTACAGTGGAGGTAGTCAAGAAGTCGCTCGTCGCGCCCGGTAGGTAGTGCTTTGAGAGACATGGTGGCAACGGAAGAATGGCAGGTCGCTGTCTGTGAGGTGGATGTGAGCAGAAGATATGGGAAGAAAGAAGTGAGGAATTGTCACGGTTTAGGGTGACTCCTCCCTGTCGTACCTCACCTGTCATACCTCACCTGACGTGAGGGTGACTGCTTCATTGCACTAGCGTTATTTACTGTTGCCCACCTATACATAACGTTCGTAGTTCATACAATACAACCCCAGTTTAATCCTTCAATTTTCCCTGTTTGCAAACTATCCACAAACCGCAACAGGAACTCGGGTGAGAGTTAATGTTTATGTCGGGATAGGTACATTAGCAAGTCACTGTTCGTGAGACGTTCTTTCACTGCACAGCCCCAAGGTCAATGATCAGTGCCGCTTTCACCCCGACTACAAGAAAGCGTGGAGGTAATCAACAAGGTGAGAACCTTTCCTTGCCGACTACTGGCTCTCAGACATCTCCGAGAATGCCATGTCATCATACCAGCCGTCACGATCCACAAGTAACTTCGGCTCCATCTCGCTGCCTCGTGCTGGTCTGTATGTCTTGAACGAGGCTTCCTCCATTGACCACAGGTTAAGTGCAATGCCATTGGGTAGAGTCCTCATGAAATCAAAATCGATATCTGAGCAATCGCTGAAATAGACAGTAATGGGGACGTCTTTGAGTGAACAGAGTGATTCAAATCGGGGTAATCGTGACGAGCTGGATCCAGGAACGGTCCCAGGAGATCTTCAAACCCAAACCCGTTAATCCCTGTGACGTGCAAAGCTTTGATATTCGGCGGTAGCAACTTGTTCAGATCGACAAGAGCATTTCTGTCGTCGCAATTGGTAAGGACGTCCAAATCGATTCGTAGCGTACTAAGATTCGTAAGACCAGTGAGGTTTTTCACAGGCTTGTAAAGACCGTTATCATCATATGCTTCAAGCAGATCGAGTTGGAGGTATTCGGGCTTATGACAGTCGCTGATCAACGTGTCAACAAGAAGCTGACAAGAGTAATCTGGCACGGGGCAGAATTTGTGAAGGACCATTCTCCTCAGATCTGTGGCACGGCCGTCGCTGAAGATGGATCTTATGCTGTTGGGTGAGTCATATGTGTCGATGACTTCCAGTGTTCGAAGTTGATGTGAAGCATGGGATGGAATTGGATGTGGTACCGAGAACTCATCACAGCCTTGGATGCGGAGCGTGTGAAGGTGAGGTAGTGTAATTGTTTGTACTGGCGATCGCGTCATGAGTTCCAGATATTGTAAATTCGAGAGTTGGCACCCTTTCGGTGTTGAAATTGCAGACTAAACAGATTGCGGCGGCTGTGGCAGGACTGACGGAATACCTCCCACATCACAGATGTGGAAAGCTCTCCATGATAACCTGTGGTACTCCCTGGAAGTGTGCGATCCGTGATGGTGAGGGACTCGATGTTGAAAGCGAGACAGACGATCAGCGTAAGGGAACTTTCCACGTGGTCATCAGCCAAGATGGCACCCATTCAGAAATACAATTTTGTACAAGCTCTGGACTGGAACCAAGCGCGTCAGAGGTTATCTTGTGAAGTATTCCAAAGGCTTGCTTGAGGAGTTGATATGGATGGCGCGTCCGTTGAGGAGAGACAGTGACCTCGTCTGATGTCCGGGCTCTCTCGATCAGCTTCACTGTCTTGATGTGCGCCGCTAGCTCAGATCGACAGAGAAGAGTGACGACAAGCCAGCGTAGACCTACGTCATGGCTCGTTGTGAGCTCGATATGGCAGTATAACAAAGGCTCAACGACTGCGATACGTCCTCGAGACTTTCGACATTGTATTCAACGCATCGTGATCGAGAAAGGTGAGTATACGATTGTCGAGCTCTGTGGGCAACGCTTCGAACGACATTGTAGCAGTGAGGCAGCCAGTAATACAGACTGCTGTCGTCGTCTGAGCCGTCAGTGGTGGCGTGGTGAGGCGAAGGAACGCTGGAAGGTGAGGCGTGTCGTTCGCCGGCGTCGCGCCTGCCTCGCGCGCCCACATGGCAAGGCCGTTCGAACGCGAACGCAATAGCAATTGGGTGCTCAAGACAACGAGGGAATGATCCAAGCTCTTATACAGGAAACTGAAGTACTAGCCTGTCTTTTGGTGTGAAATTACGCATGATTTACCTCCTTCTTACTCTGCAAACCCACTGACAGACTCCACACTGTCTCAATCATTACCCCAATGACCATGGTAGCCCACATCAACAAGTAGCTCATCCTCCGACTCATCCTCCTGCGCCCATCTATACACTCAAAATTCGACGCCCGTCCTCTTCCAGAGTTTCATCGCAACGGAGAACAGCAGAAACTTGCACTCCCGATGATTTCCGCAAGTACCGTCCTAGTTGGTAGTGAGAGACATGTCCGTGATCGAAGTTGAAGATATGAGCCATTTCAGATGCTCGTAATCGAACAGCCCATGGTTGACAGGATCAATGGGTGTTGTCATCGCGTTTTGAGCTGTAAGTATTGCAGCTTCGTAAGTTTCTGTCGTGCCCACGTCTTCCATCAAGGCATCATCACGTGAGATCAGTGTCAGGCTCAAACCCTTGAGAGCACTCTCTTGAACAAGATACAGTAACAACCCCATTACGCTGCGAAGCTCAGACGGTACATGATCGTACCTAGCGAAAGCCCCAGCCAGTTCTTGTTGATGTTATCGCCGAAGCCGATGTCCTCGATGGTATACGTGAACGGAGAGTCGTCTTCATTCAACAAGCAGACGCAAGGAGCAAGCACATGGAAGACTTCACCGTAGTCGGTTTGCGTGATGTGGAGCGCTGACAGATTTGGCGGAAGGAATGAAGCTGCCGAGAGGAGATCGTTTCTGTCCTCTGTGGCGACTAAGAGGTCGAGGTCGATGCGTAGCTCATTGAGACTTCGAGCTTCGGCAAGTTTTGTAGCGCTCTTATTGTGTCGCCATTGTCATGAAGCTCGTGGTAGTCGAGGTCGGCAGATTCAAAGACCTCGAGCATGGGACAGTTCTGCATGATCTTGTCGATTACCAATTGGTATTTCCCCATGATGTCGTAGAACATTTCGCGTACTGCGAGGTTTGTTAGGTTTGGAGCACGACCCTTTTCGAAGGACCTGTATATCATGCGAGGATAGACCACAGTGTTGATGAGTTCCAAGGTCCTGCAGCTGTTCAAGGATCCAGAAAGGCCCGTGTACTCGTACTTGGCTGCAATCTTGGATCATGATGGTCTCCAGCGAAAGTGGCAGGAAGATATGCATGACTGCTGTAGTGCAGATACGTAGATTTCGTACGCTACAAGTGAAGTCCGGATGATCCTGACCGTTGCAGTCTTCAGACTAATGCCTTAAAGAGCTTGCCAAAAAGCACCACATATGTCATACCCGCAGATCCATAGCTGATAGATTCAACGTTGGCGGTAAGGAAGATGATAAGGACCAGAGCGGCTAATAAGCTGTCATCTGATAGAAACGATGGTTCGGGCAACGAAGGTCAAAAGTAGACAGAGCGTGGTGAGTTCGTGGTGTGCTTTGAGGGTGATGTGTCGGTACAGCAAGGGCTCAGCTTGCTCGTGGTAGTATTTGACATACGACAAACTGTGACCAAACCTGCTTGGTCAAAGAAGCTGAGGATGCGAGTGTCGAGCTCAGTGGGTAGCGCCTCGAGTGACATGGTTGGACAGGAGGTAGATGTGATTGTGGAGGTAGCCAAGATGCAGTTTTGAGGGGCGAGAAAGCGAATGTAGGCGAACGAACCGTTTGACTAAAATACAAGTATGGGGCTCGTAGCGCTAGCAGCTTGTTGTCTGGGAAGCCGCGTCTCGCACCTTCAATTCGTCACTTTTGAACAGACTCGCCTTCACCTTCAATATTCTGCCTTCTCATCCCTTCACCCTCCCCTAATCGTGAAGTCCCGCACTCGAAACCAGCAACCTCGATCCACCTCTGTCTCCATCATAAACTTCAAATTGCACATCAATCTTCCTGTGCAAGGATTCTGCCGCCTTGACAAGCGGGTTCATTGTCGTAGTGAAGGGTCGTCCCAGGGAACGTCATCCATCCAATCGATAGTGAGGGGTAAAGTGTTCGCAGAAAGCTTTGAGGCAAGATGTAGCAAGCCTGTGACCAGATTCATGTTAGCGGCAAGGTATCCCTTGATGAGTTCTTCGAGCTCGTGGTAGACGATCGAGGTGATTTGCAGCTCTGAGAGGTGCACCGGAAGAAACTCTTGGGAACGGATCAGAAGCGGACTCCTGTCAGTGTCGACTAATAAGTCAAGATCGATGCATAGAAACTTGAGGGTCTTGAGCTTCAGCAAATTCTCTACTGCGTCCAGACCCTCCCAATGATCGGCGACTAGATCGTACAATTCGAAATGCTCGAGCTTGGGACAAGACTTCATCAGGGTATCGATGAAGTGTTGGTGATTGTCTTCGGAATCGTCCACGTCTAATCTCCGCAAGATCAAACGCGTTACATTCGGATCATTGCTGACAGCATCTGCGAAGCAGGAGGGAGCCACAAGCGTATTTTTAATGAGCACCGTTTGTAGCACGGAAGTTGCTTCTTAGCTAAGACTGTCGCGAAAAGCGAAGGAATCCGAGCCTTGGATAGAGAGAATTTCAAGAGGACGCAGTTCGGGGAGCTCCACGTCACCCCAGGTCCGAAAAACCGAGAGCAGCATCTTGGTCAGACGATGTGGTGCCCCGAAAGACCATCTCCATTGCAAGTCTGCCAGCAGGCTGCCAAGGAGAAAACCAACCTCAGCCCGACCTGGTGCGAACACGATTGATTCGATGTTGACAGCAAGGCAGATGATCAAAGCTGGCGATCATTCTAGAAAGTCGTCTGAGAATAGAGCACCGAACCATGCAACGCGCAAAGCAGCGGCAACAGGCACCGATCCGAGTGCGTGCTGGATGATGCTGTGTATCGCGCTGATGGCTTGCTCCAGACGCTGCCCTGTTACCTGATCATAACAAAGCCCGAATTTTCACTCTGGCTGCGGTTTTACAAGCGATATCGTTTCAATGTGCTCCGCAAGATCAGGTCGGTCGATAAGTGTCAAGAAAAGCCGACAGAGATCTTGGAGCTGGTGTTGCACTCAAGATGACGGTAGAGGAACGGTTCCGTGATCTTGCAGTAGTATTTCGAAACCCATGAGAAACGCTCAAGATCCTTGTGATCAAGAAAAGCAAGGATTCGCTGATCCAGTTCGGTTGGTAGGGTATCCAGCGCCATGCTTGCGAACCCTTGGTTGCGGCGAATTGTGTCCCGAAGCAGAGGTGGTTGTGACTTGTAGGAAAGAAGGCATCGGCTCGGCGTCAGTCGTAAGGTCGGGCCACGCTAGCAGAGCCTCCACCTTAGAGGTACTCACGCAATTCTGGTGAGACAAACCGACGATAGTCCCTTGCGAGTGCGAGAGCCTGGTTCAGGCCATAGAAGGAAATAATACTCAGGGTTCCAAGAAAAGAATACATTGTTGGGTATAATATGCTGTTGCTCAACACCGGTCATGTTTTCAGCTCAATTCACCGAAAAACGTTCGACCCCCTCGCTGCCCCCCACTGATCCTGCTGCTGCTGCTGCTGCGCACTCTGGTACCCATAGTACGCCGCCGGCGGCCAATTGAGATCGTTCCTACCGACACTTCCATACAAACTACTAGCATCCACAGACCCGCCACTCGCAAGGCTGCCGCTGTTATGCAACTGGCCCTGCTGTTGCGTTTGTCTAAGCCCAGTGGACGACGACAATGAGCTCTGAGAAGATAGTGCATTTTGGGCAGACTGCGAGGATAAGGATCCCTGTGTCATGGAGCGGTTCAGTGTGCCGTATGGTGTGTGATTCGCGGCTGTGAAGTAGGTTTGTTGGGCCTGGAGAGGCATTGCCTGCGCAGCGGTCTGGAGTTGTTGTTGTTGTTGTTGTTGTGCTGTTTGCAAGGGCTGTTGTGGGCTTTGTAGGCGCTGCTGCTGCTGCTGCTGCTGCTGCACTGGCTGTCCGTCCAGGTTATAAGCAATCTGCTGAGGGCTGTTGCGGCGTTGGGCAACTTGGTTGAGTTGTTGAAGTTGTTGACGATGATTCTGGGCCACCTGCTGGCGCTGCTGTGCTTGTTGTTGCTGCTGCTGCTGTGCATGTACTTGTGTTTGCGCATGAGGTATCGGATTGCGCTGTTGAGGTTGGATATGTGGCTGCTGTTGCGGCTGCGGTTGCGATTGCGGTCGTGTGGCTGTCTGCGGTGTCTGCACGGGTGTCGTAGATGCTCCTTTCTCTTGCTCCAGTTGCTGAATCCGAGCCTTTGCTTCCTCGAGCTCCTTCTTCATCTTCTCCAGCTCGGACAGCTCGCTGCTAGGTGCTGGGACTTGTCGTACCGGCTCACTGACCGCCATTGACTGACGACGATCATGGCCCAGAGGTGGCTCTGAATAGAAGCACTGCCGCTTCTTGTCAACACAAGTTTGGCAGATAGGTCGTACACCGTCACACTATGTAGTCTGTCAGTTACCTGCGGTTGCCCTGTAACACTGTCCCTACGTACCTTGGTCTTCTTGGCCTTACAAACATCACAGCTGTTCCTAGGCCGCTTTCGCTGTTGCTGCTGGGCAAGCTGGTTCTGAGGCGGTTGAATCGGCGACTGCAGTACGGTTACAGGCTGCTGAATAGCTGACTCTGGCTCTGGGGGAGGAGGTAGTTCCGGCGGTGCAGACGCATCATCTCTAATCAGCAACAACAACGACTGCAGACTCTGTGCCCTCAAATCACTCTCCAGAGAGGTATTCGATGGCCTGGGTGGCTCTGGTCTCGACGGCTTTTTCTTCTTTAGTCTGGGCGTGGGCTCAGCACTATCGTCCTTCGGTCGATTCACTATCCTCGCAAGCGCCTCCGGATCGTTCTCCTCCAAAAACTTCCGCCTCTTCGAATCTTTCCGTGGAGGCGGCGCTCGCTCTTCGTACGTCTTATGCACTGGAACGTGCTTGTAGAAGACGTCCAGGGCCTCTTTGGTTGCCGAGAACTTGATCGACAGGACACCCTTGCAGTCATATACCGGCTTCGTCGCGCGCTTCCCCAGCTTCGCGCCCTTGCCGTTCGCAGCGCGGTCCTTGTTGAGCAGCGAGTCGTTGCAGTAGTACGAGAAGCGGAAGCTGTCGTCCTCTCTGCTGTTCCAGCAATTGTGGAAGCTGTACCGGTAGCCGTCGATCCTCTGGATGGCATCGACGCAGCACTTGGCGATGGCGCGCTGCTTGCGCATCCTGTCCTTGGGGTCGGCCGTGTGCTGCAGCGCCTCCATGATGCTCAGGCTGACCTTCTGCTCCGGCTTCTTGCCCGCAGCGATGTTGTTCGCGCCATTCGGTATGGGTGGCTGCTGGAAGTTGGGCGGCAGTGTCAGGGCAATGGCGGGGTCTGACACAGACTGGTACGCGTGCGAGGGTCCGCCGTACTGTGCTTGGAAGCCACTCACAGGCTGGTAACCCGGGAGCGCGTGCGGGCTCTGCTGGGCGAGGTGCCGCGGGGGCTGCTGCTGCTGCTGCTGCTGCTGCTGCTGCGACGATTGCTGCTGCGGGTTGGGATGGGCAGGCGCCGACACCATGAAGCTGGTGCCGATCCAGAAGGAGAGCTGGGCCTCAGTGTGCTCAGGCTGCTCGGGCGGGGCATTCAGATATTCGCGCAGAGCCGCCTCGAACTCGTCCATGGACGAGACACTGTACGGGATGATCTTGGCCAGTGCGTCGCGTGGTTGACGTCCTCGAGCAAGCTGCACCGGTGCCTGCGGCCAGAGGGCAGCGCTGTCGTCGCCCGCTGCATTGCTGAAGGCCTCCCCCGTGCTGTTGCTGGTTCCGTACGCGTTCACATTCGTCGTCTGCGCGTGAGGATCGCTGGAGTCCATAGCAAGTGGGGACTAACCCAAATCCCAGGCTCCGAATAGAGAGGATGAGGGAGGCTGCGGAGCGATATCGTTTAGCGGTAACGATACCTAGCTTTTGCGACAACAGCCTCGGCGCCTGCGCCAAACCTCCCCCACAGCCCATGGTCATCCCGCCTGTCACCACCAGCGTTGTGGGTCAAACACCTGCGAGTACGGCCAAAATACATGAAGCTAAAAGAAGTCTGGAATTCGGTGAAGATTTACAATTATCGCCACTCATTTTCCCCTGACGCGCGGCAGTTGCTAATGGCCTCCTGCGACGTGAAGAAAAACGTTTCATTCCAACCACCAAATATTTGCATTTTTGTCGGACTGTCAATGCATCAAAGCCTCCATAAGGCCCTGAGTTCGTTCGTTGCAAGGGGATCACGATCATTGCACGCGCCAATATTGACTGCACCGTCAGGATGATTAACCTCTCATACCTGTGCCTGTCTGCTGCAGGGGCTACATGTAACATCAAAGTGTTGTGTCCCCAATACCATCTTGCAGGATGATTAACAGCTAATATTAGCCCTTCCGTGTGCTCAGTCAGATCAACACTAGGATATTTGCGTCGTACCATGCACACCCTGTACCTCGAGTTGGTGTTGCGGTGCTCGGAATGTTGACGATTTCAAGGCTGTGGGGCCCCTGTCGATCAGGTACGTGCGAGTGATCAGCGACTTCTGATGTCACTGCTCCGGTCTGCCAGCTAATCCTGTTGATCGTCGGCGACTCCTGATGTCACTGCTCCGATGTGCGACTTAATCATGTTGATCGTCGGCGACTTCATGTCTTGGCTGTTTTATCGTGATTGATGATGTGATGATGTTGTGAGTACGTGCTTTGCAGACTAGCGTCAGCCGAAGGGCGGGTGATAGAGCCATAGCCGTGGTGCTGGGAGACCCACTGTGCAGGTGACTTTGCGGGCACTGCAGTTGGCGGCCTGACGAACTTCAAGTATGGAATGGAGAGTGCAGTGAGCAGTGTGGTTTGTCACCATGAGTAAGATAAGCAGATGTGGTGATAGTAATCAACTTTAGATTGTAGTATGTGCACAGCACTATTACCAATCCTTCAACAAAGCAAGCAATCGCAAGCATGCTCAAACGCCATAGCAACCCGGACCATAGGTAGTGGTATCGATCCAACGAACAAACAAACCCTAATCGCCAACAAGAAGTGATGATACAACTTGTACAGTGTCGTAATCGTTTCTGTGTACGGGTCGCCAGCCGGCGACCATGATTCTTAAATCCTCTTTTTACCGTGTCCATGATTAAGAAAGGAAACTCGTGACGCTAAACAGTGCAATCAAAAGACATATTCGCCCATATTTCTCATGTTATCTGGGACCCAGTGTCCCTTCTCCTCGGGTGTTGCATTGTGAAGTGCGTCAGCGCGCTTCATAGTCTGTACATCGAGGTCGGTCACATAGCTCTTGCCATCAGGCATCTTCATGCGGACCTCGAACTCGGAGTCGAGCATCATGTCGTCTTTCCAGAGTCGCCTTGGGCCGTCGTAGACACACATGACGCGCTTCTTCATCTTCATCCGCTCTGTAGGACAGCCCCACGCAAGAGGATAGTTCTTGCGCTTCTTGCGGCCCGAGGAGGTGGCTGCGACACCGCCCTTGGAGAAGGTGAGACCTGCTCGTGGACCACGAACAGGCTTTGTGACTTTGGAGGGGTTACCACCCCCGACGTGTTGCGATGTGCTGACACCTCGGGGATGTGTTAATTGTCAATTCGAGTTGGACTTCTTGATGCTGCCCTTGCCGGAGCGCGCGCGGCGGCTGCCGTAGGTAGCATCATCCTGGTCGTCGTTGTCGATCTCCTCCTCAAAGTCTTCCTCTTCCTCGTCATCGTTGTAGTTGGGGATGGTATACTCGATGCTCTTGGAGAGGCCGTTGCGGTCCAGTGTGTCAGTGACGTCCTTGTCCTCGGCAACGGAAGTCAACAGACGCTGGTTGGTGGCCTCGCAGGGGTCAGCTTGTTGCACGACGCGTAGCACGCAGTCGTCCAAGTGCTCGTAGAACTCCTGGGCGTTGGCGAAAGTGACCGAGCAAGTCGAGCAGGTACCAGCAATCTGTGGGCAGTATGCCTTGCGTGCACCACCGGGGCTCTTCTTTCGGCTGTTGGGAGGGCTCTGCTCAACACCGTGAACGGATGTGAGATGCCTCTTGAAGACATCGGCGCGGTTGAAGCTCTTCTCCGCTGCCGACCCACTGCCGGGGCAGAATCCACACACCATGGTACCCTTGTAGTGAGTAAGTGTGTGCCTGTTCTTGTCGTACTTTCTTGCGAAGCCTTTGACGTGGTACTCGCAGGTGGCGATTGGGCACTTCTCCGGGCGTTCGTTCTGGTGCGTAAGCATGTGGGCCTTCAAGTCCTTGAACACGCGTCCACACTCTGGCAGTGGGCACATGCCCTTCTGCATTGTCTCATCATCCAGTTCAAAGCTGCTTCTGCTGCCGCTACGTCGGCTTGTGTTTGAGTGGTGCGAGTGCAGCGATGCTACTGAGCCACGCCTTTGGTAAGGGTGGAAATGTGTTTGGAGGAAGGGCGAAGCGCTACCCTGCTTAATGCATGGGCGCGGGCTCTGCGCTGAGAGCTGAGACAGAGCTGGCGACGCAGGCTGCTCAACGATGGAGAAATAATCCGAGGATGTTGTTCGGATTTCGGGGAAGGGGCTATGGGGAGCAAATGCGAATGGCTGAATGACGTTCGGGTCTGCAATTGTCATGTTAGCTTTTTGCATTGGTCGAGTAAGTTGACAACACTGGGAGGAGACCAACAAAATTCTTGCGAAATTGGCACCAAGCTAGAAGAAGTTCTTAAGAGAGGTGGAGAAGAAGTGACTGAAGAAGAAGTGGATGAAACAGGAATGTCGTATGGGTGGATCTCATTGGAAAGCGTAGAGTTTCTGCGCAAACTCGACCTTAAGGAAGACCAGCTTGCTGAAGCAGGAGTGGTCGGTGTCTTGAAGGCATAGTTCGAGACATTGGGTGTAGAAGAAAATATGAAAGATGTCGTTGTTGTAGAAGGAATCATTGACTCACCAACGAATGACTTTTCGGCTGCAACAATGGTTGGGTACTCGAGGCCCGAGGTCATCATGACCATTGGGTTCCAGGACTCCATTTCGAACTGGGGAGTGATCGAAGGTGAGCCCAGAGCAGAGGACGATGCTGAAGCACCAGATTCAGAAGAGGCAGAGAGAACTGGAGGCTGATCTTGAAACGAGTTCAAGGTTGAGTGTGGGGATCCAGAAGGGCTGTGGTAGTTGTACTGTTGTGCAAGCTTGTGTCCATGAGCAATGTGATCGTAGTGATATTGCGGTCTTGGTGCTTCAACCAGGGGTAGCATGTGCTCGTATGGTGCGCTAAATGACTGCTCCATGCTATATGTTGATGAGGAGAGGAAGGGCTGTGTGGTGGGGAGGTACTGCAACTGCTGCTCTTGCTCGTGAGAGTAGAGCTCAAAGTCGTGGAGCATTGTGGGGGGATATGCGTTGTCGACCATGGTGGCTGATGTGTGTGAGGAAGTTGCAGAGCAAGAGGATGTATCGTCAAGAGCCGCTCGGGTCTTATTCTCACATTCCAAGTCAGTAAAGGTTGATCAACGAGAGCGGGCCGGGGCCGATCGATGGATAAGCAGTGTTTGGTTCACTAGCGCATCTGTAAGACAGCCCCGGACAGGGGAAGCTTACCAGCTCTGAGATGAGGGACGACAGGCAGCCACAAAAGCCTGGTTCGGGTGAGCGACAATCCAATCGCTGATTGTTGCAGATCAGTTGCTGGATCGGGGTGATATGTCGACGGCGCGTTGCGGTTCCGAGATGCAGTCCTTTGAGAGACTAGATTGTAAGGGACAAGTCACAAGCGAGAATGCCTCGATGCTGGATTGTAGACCAAGGCTGTCAGAAAGGCCTAGAAGAGGTCGTGTTCGTGCTGATCGAGAGGCCTGGAACTGAAGACGGTGCCTGGGGGGCGAAGTGTGGTTTATACAGAAGGCCTCAGACACGGTCATCGATGGCCCCCGTGCAGACAGTGCACAAAGCCACCGCGAACCCCTGTCCTCTGCCCTACAGAAGCGGGTCCGTGGCATGAGGTGGCAGATTGGGAACGGTAAGTCAAGCTAGGAGAAATAAGTAAGCATACCGTTCGCCATTAACCACGTCCCCGCCTCGATCGCGCGCCCCGACCGCTTCGTGGGACGACAAGCCTCTATAGATTGCGGTGAAGCCGGGTGGCCCAAGACACCCCTGTACGGCGCCAAGGAGCCGTTCCATGCCCAATGCAAGCACCACAAGCGCACGCCGGCGAGTGAGAGCGCAGCCGTCAGGAGTGCCCATGCTCGTTCTAGCGAAGGTAAGCGGATTAGAGAGTGCATTCAGACGATGCGCACGCTAGACCACCGCTTTTGTCGGGGAGCCATCAGAGGATGCATGTCCTCCCCGCGGGCTGGGATCCGCCAGGCATCTGATTCGCGATGCTTTCGCTTTCGCCGGACCGCAATGCGGGACCTTGTGGCTGGTGAGCGGCTGTGCAGGTCCAAATGATGTCTCATTGGACATGGGATGAGTCTAAAATTAAGACCATTGCCCGAATGCAGTCTGGTTCGTCTGGTAAGCGAAGCACCCTCGTGGGGCATCAGGGCGCAGTCACCGCAGTACTGCTGCTCAGCGAAGAGCCTCACCGCCGTGGTGTCCATCGTCATCATCACTATACAACGTCAGAGTTGAGATGATATTGTTGTAGCGAACAAGCGAGTCCACATTCCATCATACTCATGAGTTCACCGCCGGCCTCCTCAGGCTGCACTGCAACGCTTCATAGCTGCAAATGAAGCATATGCCTCCTGCATGCACTCCGTTTGTGGAAATGGCCGCGCTCTAAGATGGCGTATGCGGGAAAGCTTCGCTTATTCCAATCGCTTCAAGCCGCAATAATCTTTGGCTGCACCTGCAAGCTTTCGACCCTCATTATCGAAACGACTTATCTAGAGCGCAACCACATGTTTAAGAGTCGCACACAGCAAGAGCCGTGTTGCATGTACTTCTCGCCATTCATGTGTCATCGATGGCTCATCATTATGATGTGAAGACATGGCACTTCGTATCCGTGTTGCTGTCATGCCCATGATGCTCTGTGCTCCCCTCGTGGTCCCTGAATTCATCTGGCCCGAAGTCATGGATAAGGTTGAGGGGCAGGCGTGAACTGCAGGTTGGAGCGCGGTGCTGGGTCGCATGGACCTATCGCCTTGTTTGCCTAGTCTTAATCGAGCATACAGACCTGCAGTGTGTCACTGCTCTGCCGCATCGATATTGACTGCGTTACAGTCCCTCCGAAGGAGTGTAACTGTTTCCCCTAGTCGTAACTCGGGATAGGTCGACGCCGTCTGATCGGGTTCCATGGTCCACCATCCTGTGTTACCCATAGACGTAACGGTCATCCGTTCACGTGGTGGGTATGAGGAAGCATCCATCGCTATGGCATTTGCGGGGTGATCGCTGATCCCCAAGATGAACTATATTAGGCGCAGAGGCCTACAGTAGGCTTTGCTGCTGTCATCGGTCCCACGACCGGGTTGCGAACGCGAGCCTCATGGATACTAGATCGAAATGTTCGAGAGGTCCTAATCTGGCCGGCCTCTTGATAGCGACTTGCGCTGGATGTGGAGATGCGACAATGCAGACTATTCCTAGTCGTCTAATAGCAATCATGAGTCTTGACATTAGTGCCGTCCGTACACAATCGATATCCGTTGCATGCACACCTGCAGTGTACCCCACCCAACCTGTGGACGCAGGAACTGAAACCGCAATACAGCGCCTACAGCACGGATACTTGATGCCACAAGGATACAAGCAACTTGTGGCTAGGCACCGCCACATGTGTTGTCCAAGCGCTATATTTGGATAGCACCTGGCCTCGTTTTCCAGCGAATCATATAGTATCAATGGCTTACTCATGAACATGCTTGACTGTTGCAGCCAACAGTTGGAGCGAGTTGTCTGGCAAGGCCACATGGTCAATAAGACCAGCCTGGACTTCTTGGTTACTGGCATGACCCTGTCGATCTTGGTCTCGCTTTGCGGGACACCATCACAGAAACGTCCGACAGAGTGCACTATCCCAAAATGAGCCTGTTTTGCGAACATCCTGGGCATGTATGCTGCACTGTGTAATCGTTTCCAACCATCAATGTGTAACGATGTATTCACCGGACCGAGATTGTGTTGAAGGATCCAAATAGATGTACATCCCGTATGGAGGTTACTTTCATCTTCGATGGTGGCATCTGACATCGTACGCGATGCGAACATTGAAGGGCTTTGTTCGACAGGCAATCTCACTGGTAAGCGTGGATAGGGTTCCCGCCGACATTGATTAACACCTCCATGCTCAGGCTGCCCACTAAGCGGCGAGAACCCTTTGACTTGAACAGACTAAAGGTGTGACCAAAACTGCATCTGAGACATGCTCATGGTCGGCTCATGAGATAGCGCCAGGTGGACCACGAGTATCTCCTACATCTTCTCACAAGCCCAAGCGCAAGTGCTTTGATGCCGCCTGTGCTAGACTTGTCGCCAGACCGTGTATGAGGTTTCGTGCAATTCTCTTGTGTAGGGCCATCTGACGAAAAAGGATGATAGCAGGTTTGTGGTCGCTTCTGGAAGGCCACACAAATGAGGGGTGCAACACCAAATGGTGTGCAGTGTGCAGACGTATGGGGCCCCGAAAGCCACACCGACGGGTGATCAGCACAGGCGGCTTTCCTGGGATGCACCAGTGAGCTGGGTCCCCCCAATTTCGTGTTGCAGCAGCTCAATGGAATGCAAGTATCTGACGTTCCATGCCAATCAGTCGGTAGAGCAGTATGACCTGTCGCTGTTCGCTGTTCGTCGCGAAACGAAACCGATAGCGCTGTACTCCCGTGACACGGCAAATCTTGTGCGAGCGTGGTGAGCCTCCGAATGTCGCAACACCGAGCTTTCTGCCCCACGCTTTAGGCTCTCGATAACCTCATGGGCGAGCAGACTGCTCACTTGCAGCAGAGCGACCGTTTCGAGTCAACGTGCGCTATGAAGGACATTCCAGCGTTGACTTCGGGTTGACCGCGTGGGAACACGAGATAAAAGGTAGCTTGCATTTTGGCGTTGACGCCTCGGTCTCGCCTGTGCAAAATCACCCCACAAGCCGACGCCATGGGTCAAAGCGCACACCGACCCAGTGGATTTAGCGTTCCCAAGGACATCCTTCCTGGAGCTGCGAAACAGCACTTTCCCATGTTTGGACGGAGACAAGCGGGCCGAGTTTGCAGATGTGGACAGCGACTGAAAGCAGCATGTTCGATCTTGTCAGCCAGGATGTCTTGATGACCCATGCAGACCTCAGACGAGGAATGGACTGATCTTCGCTAGCAGAGCCTCATGCTTATAGCACTTGGGCGGTCAAGCGCAATCGGTAGAGTCAGCATGGCTGGCGTAGTTCTCTCCGTTGAGTTGAATTCGTAGCACAATCAAACAAGGTCCGAATGGAAGGCTTGCGTATGGTGACAATACTCTTCCAATCACCCTCGTCGTAGTGAGGCCTGCTAGACGAGAGACGTGTGCTGGCAGCCTTGACCCCTCCCTCCCAAGCCGCAGATCTCCCTCACGCAAGCGGACCAATTTCCAACACCGACCGTCCACAACAAGGTGGATGTTGGGTGCAATCTTGGATTTGACCGGGAACACGATCCTTTCGTTCGCTTGTGGACCGTGGAACATATGCGATGGACTGCAGCGGTAACTTCCGGTGATGGATCTCCAACACAGAGGAGATGGCTTCAGGCTCGAGACCCTGTTAGCATAAGCAACTCGTAATCGGGAACATCCCGAAGGATTTGCAAGCCTTGTGATAACCAGACGGTTCAATATTTTGACGAGTTGTGTTCCATAACGAGTTTGGTCATGTTGGTTTGATTGGCATGTGCTGTCCGTGAGGGGGCGGGCATCTCGCCTGGATCGAGACCTTTCCTCGCTAACCCCAGTCCTGCAGGACAAGTCGAACCAGACGTCGACATGACTTATCCGTTTGCGTGCACGAGGTCATGAGCCTTGATGCCCTGAGGGGGGTGAAGGCGCTGGAGGGAGATGCAATGCATACTGTCCCGTGTCATTACATCCCACGGTTGAGATCATTGGCTTATTGGTCGGCGACGCATGCCTGACAGGATGATCTTGTCTGTGCGCTGTTTCGATGCGCAGCGAGTTTGTCCTGTCCTGGTTGCGAATGGCGCCTGCTTTGCCTAGAACTGCGAGTTTGGGGGCCACAGGCAGGCCTGGCTGGCATGCCGCGATTGTTGCCGCACCGTCTCCGACCGTGTGCGGCATGCTGCATCTTGCACAGAGTAATTACTGTGCGACAAGTGAAATGAAATGAACCGGAGTTGTAGTTGAAGTAGAGTTGTGTGGTGAAAATGGTCAACCAGAAAGTCGGGTGCGTCCGCGCCTTCAGCCTCCGGAGATCGTGACAAAAGAGGAAGGATCTCCACGGCGCCTTCACCCGGAGTTTTCAGCTCACATCTTTATCTCGACGACATTTTCAATCTATAATCTCTATGAGAAGGTACTTTAAGACCAGAATTAATCAGCATTGAGATAGGAAACCATTGAGGTCGTTTGATCAGCATGGTAGCGTAAGTCCTTACGCAATGAACTTGTTTACTATTGCTACAGAGCTGACTTACCTGTCGGCTTTCCAGGCCGACCACACGATTTTGCATCATTATTCAACATACGAGGTTCGTGGGTATTGGGGGATAAGGCGTATGCGCAAGACCAGCGAAGCAACAAATAACTTTAGAGTACCATTTGGATGATCAATGTGATGTACGCACTCAAAAGTCCTTCATGGATTGCAAATTCCTAGAGGACACTCGCCAAGCTTGCCTTGAAACCCCGTTAAGGGACATAGTATTCAGATGGTCAAGGCACTAAGTCTAGAAGAAGGCGATGCAGTTTGGGGGAGTACTGACACCATCCCGCATGTTCAGAGGGGGCACTTGACAGGAAGAAATCCCATCTGCCCTTTTCTTTGCAAAATCTGCTGAGTTCTTCCAAGCTTCCCAATGGGCATTCCCCATCCTGCTAGGAGCACTTCGTGCATGAACAGTCCTAGCACCTTTTCTAAAGTGCCATTTCCTCCATACTCTTTCCGAGGTAGATAGATCTCAAAAGATAAGCTGTCACCGCCAACGGCTGCAAACGCTGTGTCCCAAATCCAGTGTAGCATCTCCACCGTACCTTCAACCCCAGCATGTTGCGGAAATTTGGTTATGCACTTGTAGTTCGCTCAGCCACACCCATCTCTTTTTCCCATTCGCGCACTAGGCCAATGCTGGCGACGGTGCAGCACAAGCGTCGCCCATGTCGGAGATCAGTCATTTGAGAAGTGAGGCAGCTCTCGCTGCATCAGCGCAGGCTTCACTACAGAGGCAGATGGATAACATCAGATTGATTTAGGCGTAGAGCTTCTACGATAGAAGAGCATATGAATTAAATGCTTGTAGGCAACTGAGCTCGACAGCACGTATCAACAGTGCAATGTCGAGCTTAGGCAGTCTTACAAATACGCAAACCCGTTCAATGAACGGGACAGGGCCAGGGTCAACTACGCGTACGTCCGATAGTAACGGGGCGGAGCCAACCCCAACCATACATCCGGGTCATGGATCAGGTAGCTCGCCTGGTGGACCAGCCACTACAAGGGATGTTTTGGCGATCATTTTAAGCTCAGTATTCGGTGTCATAGTCCTCATTGGATTGGTTGTTAGTATACTGGTAAGAAGAAGACATCGACAGCTGAGAGGTGGTGTTCAAATTTGAAGAGAGAACAGACCTTGGAAGTATTCACTGGCGAAGAGAAGGCGCCGAAAGCTGAGTGAAGAACTTCGAAGATGAAGGGAGGACAGGCCTGATAAAAGTATAACAGCACGATCCCTTGCAGTACAATGCGCAAGAGTCGAGCTGATTGCGTAACATGAGTGTAGAAATTACAGGTCGAGATGACAATCGATGCTTTGCTGCACTCACTAACAAGTAGCTGTGAGATGTTATTCGTCAATGGAAAATACATTATGAAAACTCGTTTGATAAACAGCTATCGTGATTTGGAAACGTCAGAGCATGAGCCAGGCCTTCAAGATGGAGCATCCTCGGCATTCGATCAGTCCGTCCGTTGTTCCTCAGTGATATCCTGTTTCCTTACTCCACGACGCTGCCACCATTTCACTAAGCCCGAAACAACGTTAAGGAACAAGAAACCTATGCCCAATACCAAAGCTATGCTTGCCTCCTTCGACATTCCTCTGCCAGACGTGCTGGGGATACTTGGAAATGTGGGTTCAACCACTGTGACTGGGCTCGTGGACGTGCGGATGGCTGTCGACATCCAAATGTCGGAAGTTTTTTTCGTTCTTGAAGTTGGCACTGTGTGCGGAGGAACTGATGTGACGATTTTGACCAGAATTGACACTAAGCGGGTGATGTTGACCGACGAAGACAGGTCCACACAAGCAGTCACTTGTTGTGCTCGGCTGTCACAAAACTCCCAAGCTCTCGGTACCCCTTGACTGTCTAGGTGTGTCTGCATGCTTTCCAATTCATGGTTTTGTCTTGCCATAGTCGCCTCCATATCGCTCAGTTGCGAACTCTAGGATGCCGCCGCCGATTGGGCTTGGGTAGCTGCCAATATTGTTCGCGCACGCATGTCTTTTAGAATGAATGCAAGAGCTTTTTGGGATGCATCATTCTCATCGTTCCCCTCTGATGTAAGCTTGTAAGAGATTGGAGCACAGATGCCGAATAAATAGCTGTAGCTACTCCTAAAACTTTCAAACCCCAATCCAAAAGATATTCTTTTTGCTCTGATAGGACCTGAGGCTTCCTGGACCTCGTCGAGGCAATCGATGGCAACTGAGAGGATTCTTCCTTTGAAACTTGCGTCTATGGTTGTGGGTCAGTTGGCTCATCCGTAGTTTGAGAAGTGACGGCATCCGTTTGAGAATCGTGGTCTTCGACTATGTCTATCGGTATCGGCATGTTTGTAGAAGCATAAAATTCAGGCCCGCGGCCGCTCTTTTGGTCTAGGCATATACGTAGATCTGTCAGGCGTAAAGATCTTGGTGGTGTATGCGCTGATAATGCTTCTGCAGGAAAGTATCACAGATTGTTTGTACGCAGACGCAACCTTCCTCATCTACTCTCTCTCGCATCCCTCCCTTTATTGTACCTGCAGTTGTTGTTATCCTTGTTCTATTGCACTTCTGCGTGTGCTGTGATGTTCTTGTTCTTGTTACTCCTTGCGCGTCGTGCGCCACCATCCTCACTTCCACGCTGCCTTGCCGCTCTCTCCTCTGCAGCTGCTCCCACGCTCTTACTAGCAAAGTCTGCTTATGTAAAATTCCACAACAATCTTGGCCAATTACAGCAACCTTTCATTATAGCCAATCAGAGGTTTCCCCTGGTGCACCACTACCAACGGTTTTAGATGCTTCCTTCCGAAGCAATTATGACATAGTGGGTAGAGCTGAATTTATGGCTAGAGTGAGCAAGGCTGAAGCGTCCGCTCAGCTTTCCAGGCTGTGCAAACATTGTTGTAGACTCATTGGTGGAGTGCGCCTGCTCTTGAAGTGGCTTACGCCTCAAACCTTGTGCGCCTGTGCATAACCTTTAACAAGGGCATCATTACGCCAATCTCCTAACACATAGGCGTCTTCTTGGCTTTTGAGGGGTAAGGCTGAAGCAGGCTTAGATTGAAGAAAATCACGAGGCTTCCGAGGCCTGCAAAAAGCAAGTGTCGAACTCGAATTTCGGTAGAAACTAGGTCGTTTATGTTTATCTCTGTAGTATAGCCATAGTTGTGATGTCGAAAGCCATACCAGACTCGTCTCCTGGCGATCCAAACAGTGCTTTCTTGACCGCCACTTTGGGAGTGACCCTCGGCTTGGTCGGGGTTGTTGGGTTTGTTGTGAGTGTCCTTGCTTTAAGGAGGAGGCAACAGGAGGGGCGTACGCAAGGTCAGGATGAGAAGATACTTCCTAGATCATCATTTGGTAAACGGACTAATGATTTGTAGCAACATATATGTACTGGAGTATGTCTGAACCGCTTCTTCGTCAAATACACCCTCATATGTCGGTAACTCACAAGTTGCTGACCCCCCTTGATAATTGGAACGATGATGAGATATGTCTTTTTGGCCCAAAGAACAACTTCGTGGGTAGATGACATCATAGTTTTCAGACAGAGGGGGGTCAGCAACTTGTGAAAGTCATTATATGTGATATCTTGCGGACTGTAACGCTTTCTTGAGACACATACTCTGTCTATGTGACCATAAGCTGTGAGCGATGTGAACTTCTAGAAAGAGGCTGTGAAACTTTCACCACTTCTTCCGCAAATTCTTGTCGTGTAGCAGGCGGCTGCCGAGCATGAACAGCGATGCAATGGTAATTGTGGTACACTAGTTTTCGTTAGTAGGTTACCAAGTCTTCATATCAACTGTACTTACCGAGAAGACTATCAGCCACCAGTACCCCTCTTTCGTATCATCGCTCGTGATCAAAGCACTACCAATCGGTGTTCCAACCAGACGAACAACAGCAACAACACTGTAGAATGCGCCTACTCGTGTCCCCAGGTTCTCATCTGGTGTGATCTGTTCTACAATCGATGGTAATAGTGCGGTGAAGTTGCCAGTACCAAAGCCATAGAGGCAAGCGAAGAGCACAGTCACAGCGAGAGAGTTGATAAGCTGCCAGATGAAGATGTAGATGCATCCCGTGAACATCACCATAGGCCAGAGTAGGTTGAGGCGGCCTATGCGATCGCCTAAAAGACCTCCACTGAAAGCTTCAGCTAGACATGATGGTATCAAATACGGCACGCGCCCAAGATCCTGCACCCGTTCATCATGGACAGGAAGTACTCGCTGACATTGTTGCCAGGGTATGCTGCATTTGTGTACATCTCTGATCTACGTGAGTACAGAAAACGACGTTCTATAAGGCCGGGAGCCTACTGATGTAGTATAAAGGGATCCACTGTCCCAACTGAGCGAAGAAACCTCTGATGCAAAGGACCGCATAACGTAGGTCGAGGAAGCCGCGAAACTCGATGAGCGAGCCGCAGTTCCTTGGCTGGTTCTTTCCAATAGGCTTGCTGGTCGATATGGCCAGCGAGATTGAGTAGAGAACGCTTTAATAGTCAATGACTTGTCATCTGTAATGGCGACGTTGACCACTTACGCGACCTTCAGCGCTGCCACGCGCAGCATCCACTGAAATCCCAGAATGGACAATAGACGCTCAAATATGAGAGGGAATTTGATACCTCCCAGAGCAGAGCCAGCGGTAACAAAGCCCATAGCTACTTCCCGTTGTTGCTGGAAGTGTTGACCAACAACGGTAAGTGCAGGCTGAGCGCCAAAGGCAGCAGCGAAGCCCATGAGTAGGCCTTGAACTAGGAAGACCTGCCAAAATCGACCAGCCTGTGCAAAGGACATAGCAAGCAAGCCAACTGCTGTGCCGCTACCTGCACCAATGCGCAGCTACTATGCACCGTTAGCTGTTGCTCATGTGGATTTTGGAGCGCCAACACCAAATCTTATGCCGTAGTAATCACATAGTGCCCCAGACACCGCTGCTAGCGAGTTCGTCAACGCTATCTGCAGCGTCCTGATGAAGGCGATCACCGACGTTGGGGTATTCTTGAGGAAGTCATGGCTGTAGTAGTTGTGGAAGAAGCCGAAGCTATTCAGAACACCCATGGAACAATAGTAGACCAAGATGGAGCCAACCACGGTCATCCATGTAGCCACACCGCCTTCACGTTCTTCTTTGATGATGCATGTTTCGGAATCAGTCGTGCTGTCTGAGGCTCGATGCTCGACGCTGTTGTGGAACTTTTCGGACATCGTGCAGGCGATATGACGAATGTCGCGTTGGAGTGGAGGATACAGCCCGCATTCCGGAAAGCGTCTTCCCTGTACATATGCATGCCACTCAACTTCTCAGAACAGGATGTGTACATCCAACACAACAGCGCTTGCTCAAGGTCCGTTGACAATGTGATGCCGCTATGTTATCTGAGGTACGTCGGGAGGAAAGGAAGGAGTCGGTATCTTGCATTGGACATGGTTGGTCCCTACCACGTCCGTGGATGTCATCCTTCGTCCTGACAACGGCCGAAATGCAATCCAACAGGGAAAAGGTCGGCGTGATTGCAGCGAGATATGTGGGTTTGTGAATCCTGGAATGCAGACATGTTCGTATAGGGCTCTGTCGTCCATAGGTGGGAAGGCTATACTTCAAGCGGCTTAACGCTCAGCTGTGACACAGCTTCGGGAAGCGCGTATATGTGGAAGGGTTGAGATGTTGATTGATCCTAAGAGCTATGGGCTAGAATCGATCGAGACTATATAGTAGAAGGGGATAGCAATGAAGGGTTAGGGAAGCAAACTGAGCTAACCGAATGAGCTGGACAATCAGTGCAGCGGACCGTTAACAAACACTGCAACGGACCGCTAGCAGCAAACAGATGGCGATCGGTGGATACCTTCACTCCCTCCGACAGTATATCTGTAAGCGGGTGTCTCCCGAGACCAGGTCGATAGACTCTCCGGCGGTCGCTCTGAGCAAACTGTTTTAGTGGGAAGCTCGTAATGTACGTTACTGTTGTATGATGCACGAGCATTGGATGACGTCCGATGGAGGGAAATTTGGCCTCTCTGTTCTTTTTGTGTTACACGGGTCGTAGTAATAGGCCAACAGGTGTTGGAAGAAAGAGGAAACTTTGTCGTAGCTCCCTACACCCCCAGACCGAATAGACAATAGCCGGTCATTCCTACACGTCATTTGCCAGTGACCTGGCGTTGGTGGACATCGAGGTCGGATGTTGGAGATCATGCATTCCAAATGTAGCAGTCGATCCGGGGAAACGGCCAACAGGTTCCAAGTTACACATGAGCCTTTCTGATACGCTCGGTCAATTGATCTGACGAGCGGTGCGGTAAGGATTCCTGGTCGACATATCTGCACGTCCCGTACATTCACAGGGTGTTTGATCGTTCGTAACTGGACTTTCTACCATCTTATCAGCACAAATACGCTGCGATCTGGTCCCCTTAGGTTTCATGCCTTCCACGATTTTCCTCACATGCCCTCCAATGTTCCCATGACTACGCCGGCTTTCGGAACGGTTCGTACGTGACGACTGTTGTTGACTTGACGTGTATGCGCTTCGAGAATTGATATCTGTTGCGGTATCGGTCGGTCTGTACAAGGTTTGACTATACCCCTGACAGCCTACCCTAGTCTAGTGTGTGACAGGTCACTGGCCTGAGGTCAGGTATATAGTCGTCATTTCCCAGCTAGATAGCAATTCAGTACAGTATTCCATTGACCCGATAGTCCTACGTTGTCATTTACCGTAGCTATCGGTATTCTACAGTGGCACACACCGCAACAATATCTTAGCCTGCCATCGAGGAAGGCTCCTATCTTCCCTGAGATGTTGGAAGGAGATATGTTGTCTTCGCCCACTGTTATCGTAGTCGTGAGCGCATCTCTACCGCCCATAATACTTCTCCAGAGTCTGGTCTCGTCATAAATAGGACTCTCTTCGAGGTTGTCGTCGTACTAGTCTTGATAATACGAGCTATTGCCAGAGCAAGCTGTTTCGTCGTCGGAGATGAGAGCACAGTCGACTTGAGTTCCTCAATCAGCCAAGCATCTCGGTAGTCGCAGTGGAGTGGAAGATTTGGAAGGCCAGGAAGAGCGTGTGAACAGTGTTTTTTTCAGGGCAGGGGCTGTGGAAGGGTTGAGATGATTGGTTTGACTGGTCTGTCTGTGAGCTATGGCAAGGATCGATCGGGACTATATAGTAGAAGGAAATAGCAGTGAAGGGATGGGGAAGCAAACTGAGCTAACTGAATGAGCTGGACAATCAGTGCAGCGGACCGCTGGCAAACACTGCAACGGACCGCTGGCGAACAGGGGCGGATGCACACGCTATTGCTAAGTTGACTTCGGCAAAATACCATTTGAACTGTTCGACTGCGTCCCAGGTATAATCTGTCGAAGCCATCAGGGGAGCCAGCATAGCCGTACGCCGGATAAGGACCGCGTAAACACTGAAAAGTCGGTATCTGTAAGGGACGTATATAAGCTGCCGGTAGCGAAGACCAAAGAAATAGAGATTTTCTGCCTCATAGGCATCTGAAGTGGTAGCACTACAGGAATTGGCAGGATCAGAACCAACAAATCGATGACAATGTCCAGGACTGAAAGAGCCATGTATTTTGTGTACTGATCGAGGCAGCTGGCTTCATGTGCAAGCCTCAGATCCCAGCTCGCAGCGATCGGCTTGCATCCAAAGACACTCACTGTGACGTAGGCTGTTGCGTAGGCGACTACAACGGTAAGGAGAATCCACACCAGTGAGCGATACCATCTATGTGGTGCTAGTCGAAGGTAGAAGAACAGAATCGAGACTTCCGTAAAAGCCAGACTGGTCGCGTACAAGATGGTTCCCGCAAGTGTCCACTGTATGTCCGGATTAGGCAAACCAGAGCAACGTCAACGATCTAATGCAAACCTTTTGAAAAGTTGACTGAAGTCCTCGACTTTGACATCCCAAAGGTGGTACCCAAGGCCAGCGCTCATATCTGCGGTCTGCTTAGTGGTACAACATTTCCTGAAAGTGGAGCTTACGTACGTGGGAAACTGAAGCCAAGGAGAACGAAACTGCATATTAGTGCGCACATAACCATATCTGATGGCAACGCGTCAATTCTGAAGGTACTATAAAGGTGATCTTGAGGGAATAAACTCATAGTCGTCAAGTTGGATACCATTCTTCGTCACGTGCACTCGCATGAAGAGCCATAAAGCCACTGCGACAAGGGCAAATATTGTCGTTGATATGTCAACGACCTTGAGACCTTGGTGAAGGTTGGTGGGATCTGTTATATGTCGAGTGTAGCCCGGTGATGGATCGACCATGTGTTCGAAGTAAGTCTTCACGATGGAATTGCTGGTAACTTCGGCCTGCGTCAATTGCGTTTATGAAAGGAGCGTAGGAGTGAGACGGTGGTTGACCGAGGCGTTTCCCGAACATTTCCTCGCGGGAACAATGGCCTTGTATACCAACACCGTGCCTCACTCCAAGAAGCTGACGACGCGATCCGATAGTGACTCGTTCATAAATGCTTGGATTATTCCTTGCCGGATGATATGATCTTCCCGTTTCCTCTTCCCGTCGCCGTTTCGGCTCAAATGGCACGTTCTTGACAGGCCGAGATTCATTTGCCCCACAAAAGGCCCGGCGCCCTGACGCTACTACACGGGCGTGGCACGGTCGCTATTGAATGCACAACTCCGCTTCCTGTAGGATCGTAATTCTCAGGAGACATTGATAGTAGCTGTACCTCGCCGTGGCATTAAACGGGTACATGTGCCGGCTTTGAATATGCTGCATCTGAAACTCCACTTGGCAGAACACGAGAACAAGCTTTCGACGAGCTCGTCAACGTTCTTTGTAGCACATAATTGGAATTACTATTTCACTTTTTCAACGCGAGCGAACGAGCGTGGAAAGTATTGTAATCCTGGTTTACTGTTCCGTGTCTGAATCCTTCAGCGGTCCCAGAGGGCTGATCGAAAGAACTTCAGGTGCAACATGTTCCATTCATTTACCATGATAAGACATTGACTCGAATGCCTTGTATCCAGGAAAGAAGTCTTGTTTGCTCGCAAAGAGCAAGGTTGACCTCCACCCACCGAAACGGAATCCTGGAGCGGGTAAGAGATCGGAATTAAGGGAAAGGGAAGAGGAAGGACAATTGAGAAGAAGAGACATTTCCTGATCTGCAAACTGACGAGACAGGACGAACCATGTCTGTGTGATGCGACTTGATCGTCTGAGTTCAGTGCGACTGCGGAGAAAATTGCAGCAGATCTATAACGCTCATTACGAACAGGTATCGATGAAAGTCAACAGTGAAGAGACTGCGATCAGCAGTAGGTATACCAGCCAAGACGCGAGGAAGACCGTTAAGCATGGTAGATCGCACGCACACATTACGAAGGCGTCGTAGTCTGTCGATAGGGGTTGGGTCGAGAGCAACTGCTAGACTGGAAGGTGCATTCACTCCAGATCCTAAGGCGCCCAGAACGAGGCTGTGAGGCTGTAAGATAAGGCGAAGGAGCTGCACACCAACGTCCAGCCTGCATATACAATACTGTCGTCCCTTCAACGCAGGTTTTGTTTCTCGGTACTGTAAGGGTCGCTCCCTCGAATCTAAGCGTTGTCAAGCTTTGCGCATTGACCAAGAAGCGTGTCCAGTCTCCAGTGACCAGGTGGTTGGCATGCAGTCCAATGGTTCTATTCTCAGCTGCAACTGCTTAGCTCGGTCCGAATGCCTGTCGGCTGCAGGTGGAAGATTACATGCAAACAGTAAAGGACTTAGGTCCCAACAACGACAGTCCCTGCTTGCGAGGGGCGAGTCGTCAAAGGCAGCCGAGATGACACGACGCTAACTAATGTAAGGGTTACACAGCAGTAGGCGGCCGAATGCAGCAAGAAAGGGAGCACGACACCGCCAAGTGGCTAGAGCAATAATCTATACGAGTCGCAATTTTGTATGTGTGGGCGCCGGAGTGTTGCCTGTCTTGGTGTTGTATGCGGGCAGGCGTGCTGTGGTTATGTGAAGAGATGCTGAAGTTATGATAGACATTATTGGGGCAGAGGTTGCTACGGGAGCGTCGTCGTGTTCTCAGTGTTCGATGATGAAAGCTCTTGCGGCGCCATGCGGCTTCTGTGCAACACCAGGCGCTGGCCGCTCTTAGCATGGTGTTCGCTCGTATTCAGCGTTATTCTTGGCAATCACGGTATCGCAATGAAGGTCCTCACCAATCAAACTCTATCGTTTGCTCAGTCACCTCCTAACGCTTCTTTCTTTACCTGCGGCGAACTCGGCCTAATAGCCTAAATCTGCATGGCTCAGCCCTGCCCGCCCGCGCCGCCCCAGCGCCGTTCATCTCAGCTGTAGATAGGCTCCCGGAAAAGGGTGCGCGCATTTCTTGTCATTTCCTTGCGCATGTCCCTCACAGATCCTGTTCTCTCGCGCCCTCATAACTGTCACCTGTCACCACTGCCAGATGTTGCAATCTCTACCGAACATACTCGCGAGCAATCCAAAGATGAACGCCCTATTAAGTGCTCCTAGGAAGTAAGGATCAGCATGTGCGGTCATGGCCCGCCCACGGTTTCATGATCTGCGTTCACCGAACCTTTGCTGACCAGCACTCTCCAGACCCATAATAGCTGCGATTTCGATAATCACAGCATTGATAGTCCTCTTCAGATTCTACGGCGATGTACCAGTCGACGTTTACAGAAACTATGCGCCTGGAGAGTCGATACTACCTGCGACAACACAGAATGATAAGCCACAGCCCGGTTACTTCAAGGCGCAGCCAGAGTGGGATTGGAAGGTGCCAGACTTTGCTGGCTGGAAAGGCTATGCCCGGAACCCGCGGAACCGCGACATTATTGTCTTGACGGCGAGTGACGGTGGAGGCCACAACAGCGCTATTCCCAACGTCCTCGAGCGAGTGCTGGACGACCGTGAGAAGTACTGCGCAAGGCATGGCTACACAAACCTGTGGCTCAACACCAGCCGTTACGATATTGGCGAGGCGCATAGGGTAAGTTGCAGGATTCAAAAACTACTCCATCAGGCTGCATGCTTACACGGATTTACAGACTTGGTCCAAGATCCCTGCTGTCGCCGAAGCCTTCTCCCTCTACCCAAGCGCCGAATGGGTCTGGCTCATTGATACCGACATTATCATGATGGAGCCAGACTACGACCTGGTCAAGGAGATTGTTGGCCCCGACGCCATCAAGCGCGGCCTGATGCGCGACACGCCCATTCTCGACGGCCAGCTCAAGAAGAACCCCACCAACATCAACACCCCCAAGAACTTCCGCGTCGAGGACATCGACATTCTGATCACCCAAGATCACCAGAGTGTCAACACCGGCAGCACCTTCTTCCGCCGCTCCGCCTTCACCCGCTGGACCCTCGAAATGATGACCGACTACACCATGCTCATGGGCCAGGACCACGTCGGCGCAGAGCAGGATGCGATCAAGCACCTCATGCTCGAGCACCAGCTTGTGCGCAACCACGTGGGCATCTACCCCCAGCGCAAGTTCAACGCCTACGTACAAGGCGGCGACAACATGGGCTACCGTGACGGCGACCTTCTCGTACACTTTGCAGGCTGTTGGGTTGGCGGCAAGTGCCAGGAGTGGTTCGAGGAGTTCTGGGGCAAGAAGGGGCACAAGGACGTCTGGAGGCCTGAGACCGGCAACGCATGAAAACACAACAGATGAACGATTGCGATCATTTCAGCGAGCACATGAGCGAACGACTTCTTCCGATCGACACGCGAGCATACCTACGACCCTTCACTTCTTCCCTATACTGTGTGTTCCGGCTTCCTACGAGTGAGCGAGCATACGTTTAATTCCCTGTGAATATACCCTGTAACGGACATATCTGAGCGAGCGCGCAAGAGCAGGATCCGGCGTTTCTGGCGCAATGCAAGGCTGCACAAGCTTTGGTTGCAACGATGCATTTCTAGCCGGCGTTTACCATTCACAATTCACCAAATTCCCTGAGCATGCTTATCTTTCTCTTCCTGGCGGCTGAGTCCTATCGCCCTTGCTTCCCTTCGGCACACGGCAGCCTCAACGGTTTTGAAGGCGCGCACAGGCGTGCTCATCTGCAAGGACGTTTGGAACCACGCATCCGGGTGAACCCTTACCCTTGTGCAGATCAGGTTCGGCCGCCGTTTGAGGCTGGATATACCGTTTGGGGCGTGCGCTGAACATGTACTATGAGAACTGTCATGGATGAGTCGGTCGACCGTTGGGTTGTGGCTTGATCAAGATCTCCATCGCGTGGTTGCCGACGTGTCAGCGGCTCGACACTGACAAATCTAGGCCAGCAAGCGCGTTCTTGCTTCAAGTACACTTTTGACAGGTACAGAGTAGAACACAGCAGAACACACTCAGCGAACAAAGACACAAAAGAGCATGCATGCCTCGGGGCTTTTGATTTGAACAAACTATTCAAACAAGCAACCATACGCGGAAGGTTTCACTGTTCACTCCCGCATCCCAACTCCTACTCCCCGAACAACTTATCCGTCCCATCCAGAACACACAACGCCTCCACATAATCCACCAAATCCAATATCTCCTCCCTCGTCCTAAACTTCCTACTCGCAGCCACAACCTCCAGCACCTTCGCCTCACTCACCGCCTCTATCTGTCTTCCCAAAGCCCTCGTATCCTTCGATCACCGCGGCACATCGTCCACAGTCTCATACGGCAGCGCCGTGCAGCGCCTACAGCCCGCGGTCTTGAAACCCTCTTAGGTAGCAGCGAACCGACTCCGTCCGACCGTTCTGCCTATGATCTGGTGGGGCTGCAATTGCACGTTCTCGTTGTAGGCTGTGGAGCGAAATGTCTCCAGTTCGCGCTCCCACGGAGCTAGACTTGGGGGTTTGAGCTCTGCTTTTCACTCATGATACGGGTATATCGCGTCTAAAAACTTGGCGTAGTCTTTCCAGTCTGCTAGCACGGCAACTTCGAGATCCTCTTGCTTGCTCAGCAAAGTTCGCAAGAATTCCCCGGTGCGCGGCCTGGAGATCCCTGCTTCAGTGGGGAGGACGAGATGCAGCATAGCACGGTCTTGCGTGCGTACCCACGGTCCGTTTGGCGCGGGGAGGCCGTTGTGGACAGAGCCCGAGTCGAACTCGGCTTGTGCGTAGCGGACGAGGAAGCCGTAAGATTGGAGGTCGAGTGTGGCCAGTTTGATAGCATCACAAAGCTGTAGTCCGTAAGGGTCAGGGTAGGAAGCTATGGGGTCTTCACTGCGTATGAAGCGCGCGTTGGGGTGGAGGAGTTCGCGCCAGTTCTGCGCATTCGTCCATTTTGCGACGATGGCGGCATTGAAGCCTTCTGCGACCTGCATGACTCGCCGCTTTCTGGGTAGTGCTCTGGGAAATAAGATTTGCATTGCTTAAACGGATTTGAAAGTTTGCTTCTCCTATACACATGCGACAGGAGTGCCCTTTGCCAGGCAGATGACCTTGGCACCTGAGCCCGAATGTCTTGGAGCAAATTACCTATATTCTCACATCCCATTTCAACACAACGGTGCTGGCTCCAATGAGGCACTTCGAACAGAGTTTCTATTCTGCAACCACTTTGCCATCGACCTTTCCACCCTCAACCTTTTCACCGCCCTTGAACTTGAATCTCTTCAATCCCCGAACACCAACATCGACCAAGAAGCAGCTTCCTGCAAACTTGTCGACCGGCTTGCCGTCATCCCCACTTGGTCCACCACCGCCTGAGCTCGTGATGAAGAGCTGTGTGCCTACAAAGCAGGGGCAGGTGATCTGACTTGTAGGCAGCTTGATCTCCGCAACGACCTCGCCCTGAGGCGATATTCTCAGCACACGACCTCCGTCGTGCAGAGCGGTCCACATGTATCCCTCTTCGTCGATGCAGTGACCGTCTGGCACCGCGTTCTCGCCGTACTTGTTGTCCTTGGGCATGGTGAAGAAGGGGCGCTTGTTTGTGACTGAGCCAGTCTTGGGGTCGAAATTGAATTGGTAGATGATCTTGTCGGGACTGTCGGCGAAGAACATGGTGTCATCGGTCTTGTTCCATGTTGTGCCGTTAGGGATGCAGATGTCGCTGAGTGGGCGGTCGAGGGACGAGTCGGGGTTGAGGCGGAAGACGGCGCCTGTATTGGCATTAGCATCGACGTATGCAGACAAGTTGTAAGGTTGACTGAGACGTACCGTCAGACCTCATCTCCTCAACCAGCGGATCGAACATGAAGCCAGCCCAGAAGCGGCCCTGCGAGTCTACAGCACCATCGTTGCCGCGGAACTTCTCGTGCTTCTTTGCCTTGATCTCATCCTCTGACCAGACCTTCTTGACCCATCGGTAGTCGCCGGTCTTCTTGTTTGCGATGCCATAGCCGTACTTGCCGCCAAAGATGAACTCCTCATCGTTGCCTTCAATGTCTGCTGTGCAGCTGTACGCTGTTAGCTATGGTTGCTATACAATCACCTCATAGACTGGAAGTTCCTCAATTCAATGATTGATGGACCTACCCTATCGAAATGTCGAGCTTCTTGATGAGCTTGTGACTTGAGGGTCCCTCATCGATGTTCACGCGGTGCAGCTCCTGCTTCTCAACGTCGAGGAAGCGCACTGTGTTGGTCTCCTCTTCCCAGAAAGGCCCCTCACCGAGAGAGCAGTACGTCTCAATGTACGGCTATCCGTGTGTCAGTCCCCCAGTTTTTCAGCTTTGCAGGCAATTGCGACATTGTTTGTTGTTGACCTCAGCGGGGTAGAACGGAGCTACCCCTCCACGATCCACTCCAGATGTTTAGACAGAAGTTTGGGCGTACCTTTGTAACTTCGTACAGCTTGACTTCAGGCATTGTGGATGATCGATTCGAAATTGGTGATGTGTAGGAATGTATGAGTGGATGGTGATGTGTTTAGGTCATAGGTCTCCGTAGCTGCAGCTCTTTCCTCGAGGAAGGACGTTCCACCTTTTTGTTGATGGCGCCTGCTCCCACTTTCCGAATGACATCCCGATGAGCCGCCATTTGATGCTCGGCATCGTAACGTTGACAGTGAACTCGAGAGAGATTCAGGACACTTTGCGTCGAGCTCGGAAATTTCGGGACGTTCAGATCGCCAGCTCGGGCATTCAAGTAGCATTGCAATCTAATTGGCGCACAGTAAGTGCACGTGCAAGCATTAATGCGTATTCACGGCGCAGGAGTTCTGGTACATCGTTTCTTTTGAAACACATCAAGTTATTTGTGGGCAAATCTACCCTTCGAAGAAACACCTGGCGGAAGTCGTCGGCTGGGCGGTCCGAATCAGCCGCGCTCGATTTGTTGAATGGAGCAAATGTGATGTCCTCGGTGTCATGAACAGATTGTAGGGCATTGTACTGTTGGTATTGGCGATGCTAAAATGCGCGCTGATATACGATATGAAACATGGGTATCTCTCAAAGCTCGATCATCCGCTCATGCGGCGACCTCTTTCTGCCTTCGTGCCTCCTCCTCTTCTGGCGTCCGAGTAGTGAGTTGAAGTGCGTGGATGCCACCTTCTTTTGCCAGCTCGTCCTTCATGAGAGAGTTGACCATGCGGTGGCGTGCTAGTTGAGGCTTGCCCTTGAAGTCTGTGGATGTGATGACGAGACTGAAGGATGTTAGTTGCTAGAGTGATCTCGTCTTGGCGCTCGAGTTGGCAGGCATACCGGAAGTGCGTCTGTGAGAACAAGTCAGTTATGGATAAAAGTTGGGGTTTAGCTAGTTCAAGAACGTACCTCTCTACTTGTAACACCCTGCATGGCTTTGTGATGTGCGTGCTTGTGGGAGTCGTTGTAGATTTCAAGAGTAATCGGCTTCAATGCTCCCCCAATCTGCTTGCCAGTTAGTCTTGATATACACAAAATCTGGTGAATCTGGAGTAGCCGACTCCAGTCCGAGGTCGTGACTTCCCTTGGCCCGCAGGGCATCTTCCATCGGAGTCATGGACTGGGCCATGGCTGACATAAACCGAGTGCCGGTGTGGACTGATCGTCGAAGGAACATCAAAGCTTATCTCTGCGTCAGATGAGGCTCAACTACACAGCCAATAAGAGAGACGATGTTGGTGATGCAGATTTGGTGTTGAGTCGAAGGATTCGGGTGCCAGATCTAAGGGCCGATGCTGCCGCCAAGCTGCGGACTGGGGGAAGCTCGCGAAAAGCGCGTCACCGGTGTTGAAGCTTGGGGGCCGCAGCTGCAGAGCAACGGAGGGGGTATACGGCGTCAGAACGACCGAAGGGAGCAAGCATAAGCTACAGACTGCTATCTCAAGGCTCCAGGCGGTCAATTGACACCAAGAACCCGGTCAATGGGCGGATGAACGCTCTCCAGACAGCCTCACCAGCCCGGCAATAACCCCAGCACTGTGCCCCCCACACAACTGCCGCTGTCCGAGGCCTTGCAACTGGAGTCGAATGCGCTGATCTGGGCGCTGCCGTTGCCATGTGGGCGCGCAATTTCCTCTCTCGCACGCTTGCCAGGCACACGACATCCTCCTCTATCAAGTGCTGTCGTCCCGCCGTCTCTATCAGAATGGCGTCCACCCTCCCCCGCCTGCCCATCTTCGAGGCCATCAAGAAGCACGATGCCCAGAGCACTGCCGTCATCCACTCGCTGTCCGGGCGGCGGTTCACGTACGGCGAGCTGGTGAACGATGTCGCCGCGGCAAAGGACAAGCTGCAGCGCAACACAGGCGGGAAGAGCGCAGAGGGCGAGCGCATATCGTTCCTCGTGGAGAACGGATATGACTATGTAGGTGCGCATCCCATTGGCCCCTTCTTCGTATACTACAGTCGAGCCAGCCATTGACCATTGCACAGTGACTCTGCTGTCTATCCTGGCCGCCCATGCCATCGCCGTACCGCTGTCGCCCACCTTCCCCGCCCACGAGCTGCGTTACATCATCGACCAGAGCGAGTCGCTGATGCTCCTCTCGTCAGAGAAGTTCCAGGACAAGGCAGATGAAATCTTGAAGGAGGATATGCAGACAAGCCCCATCAACTGGAAGCGGGAGAAGATCATGATGGGCAAGACAGACGACTATGTCACCCTCGAAGAGCCAACAAGCACCAAGGGCGGCATGATGCTGTACACATCGGGCACCACCAGCCGGCCGAAAGGCGTTCTGCTGCCCCAGGATGTGCTGACAGCTCAGTCAATGTCGCTGCTGAAGGCCTGGAACTACACAGTTGCGGACGTGCTGCTACACGTGCTTCCACTACACCACATTCACGGCACAGTCAACGCACTGCTGACACCACTCTTTGCGGGCAGTGTCATCGAATTCCAGTTCCCGTTCAACGCACAAGCTGCCTGGGAGCGACTCGCTGCGCCCTTCTTGCCGAATCCAGACCCAGCGAAGAGACCCATCACCTTCCTCACAGTGGTACCCACCATCTACACACGCTTCCTCTCTTCACATGCCAGCTTAACACCCGAACTCCAAGCCGCGACAAAGACGGCCCTACATCCCTCGAATCTGCGATTGAACATATCTGGCTCCGCTGCCCTTCCCACACCGGTCAAGTCAGCATGGTCAGAACTGAGCGGCGGCAACGTCCTACTCGAGCGGTATGGAATGACAGAGGTTGGCATGGCACTCTCGTGTGGTCTCGATTTTTCCGACCGAGTAGACGGCTCAGTAGGTTGGCCACTGCCTTCGGTGCAGGCACGTCTCGTGGATACAGAAACAGGAGAAGTCATCAAAGAAGGCGAGGAGGTCGACCCGTCAACTGGCCGCGAACGACATGGGGAGATCCAACTCCGCGGTCCCACCATCTTCCGCGAGTACTGGAAGAACGCCGAAGCCACTACGAAAGAATTCGTAGAAGATGCAGACGGCCAAGGCAAGTGGTTCAAGACCGGCGACGTAGCGATCCGCAAGACCGTTGACGGCGCAGGAAAAAGTTCACAAGAGTGGGCCAAAGGACCGCTCTACTTCATCCAAGGCCGCAAATCTGCCGACATCATCAAAACTGGTGGCGAGAAAGTCTCCGCCCTCGAAATCGAGCGCGAAATGCTCTCCCTCCCCTACATCTCCGAAGCCGCCGTCGTCGGTCTTCCAAGCGAAGCTTGGGGCCAGAAAGTCGCTGCTGTCGTCGTGCTCTCTGAACAAGGCAAGACAGCGGGGAGGGGTGGGAAGGCGTGGGGCGCGCTGGATATGAGGAGGGCGCTGAAGGATGTTCTTGCTAATTACAAGATACCTCAGGAGATGAAGGTCGTGGATACTATTCCGAGGAATGCGATGGGTAAGATTAATAAGAAACAGTTAGTTATTCAGATCTGGGGCGAGCCGCTGGAGGGTGGGAAGGAGAATGGCGCCGTGCAGGTGCCGAATGGGATTGTATGAATCTTGTAACGGAAAGGAATATGTACATACATCCTGAGCATGCGAGCGGTGAAAGGAGATACGTTAAACATCATAAACACATGGTCTTGAAGCTCAAGCATCTCAACCGAGGCAGCACACAGAGCCATAATCGCAACACTCCGCCTGCGATGCTCAAGAGGTCCCTCCCGACCCTCTATCAGCCTCACACGCATCACCATCCCCAACTTCACCATCTTGGCACAAGCCACCCGCCCTATCCCTCATCTTAGCGCCATATGCGCGATTGACGTGGGCCACGGCGCTAGATCACCACCAAGCTTTCGCCCAGACAATGGCTACACACCCCGCAGCCAGGGTCTTGGGGAACGTCAGAGGCCTGAACATCGGTGGTTCGACGTGCAATGTTTGGGTGGTGACGTATGCAGGGTTGCGGGGTCTGGAGACGTCAGTTGATGCGGAGGTCCCTAAAGGTGGAGTTATGCGGTGAGGCGGGCCGATGTATTGATGGTTGTGGTGTGACGGTGTTGGTGTCGTGGTGTGACGGTTGCACGCTGAGGTAGAGAGGATGTGAGGAGACTGCGATGCGAAGAGAAGACGGCTTGACCTAGGGAGTCTTGTCTTGCTTTATGTTCTTGTGTTCTTGCGCGGGGCTTGTGGCAGCCTTGCGTGGTAGCTTACGGTAGGTTGAACCGCAATGCAGGTCAGACCAACAAGAATGTAACTCGCAGTGACAAGACTGTCGCATAGAGATCAACAGGAAGTAGTAAGCAGACTTAACGTGATGAAAGCAAGTTCACACTCAACAGCGCGAACGTTTATGTGCAAGGTGATGATGTGGAGCTTGTAGTACATGGTATTAAATAGCGTACATGGATGGTTCGTAAGAACACCCAAAATCAAGTAACATTATAGTCGATCGTTATCAGGGGTATCCAAATGATCAACTTTATCCATCAGTCGTAAACATGCGACCGACATAACAATCTGCCTTCCGAATCAATCGACGAAGGCGTAAGGTGCGCGAAATGACACGCTTAAGCGGCGCGGTGGGCAGAGTTGTCGACCTTGTCGCGGCGCTCACGGCCTTTGTCGGACCAGGGGAAGTGAGCAACAGGAATGACGAAGAAGCTGTGATATGTTAGTAAGTGCGTTCTGCTGACGTAGAGTACAGTGAACTGACCTGTTGGAACTGTCGGCGATACCGGCAAGGGCGTTGTACCAGGCGAGGAACGCAGCCATGAGACCGAAAGCACCACCAGCGATGATGCACTGCTCCTGGGGGTGGGCACCGTCGTTATGAAGGTAGCCGATACCAAGCATGAGGAAGGCCAAGTCGAGAGTGAAGAAAAGGGAGAAGAACGCAACGGTGGAGCGGAGCGTGCAAATGAGCAGCAGGAAGGTGAAGATGAACCACCCCATCAGGTACAGGCCGAAGGAGTTGAGGAAGGTAGCCTCGCTGATTGCGGCAAGACCGGACTCGATGGCGAAACCACCAGGGGTCAGGATGATGGCGAAGGACAACCAGAAGCCTCCATAAGATGAGAGAGCAGTGGCACCAAAGGTATTACCAACAGCCATTTCCCTTCATCAATGTTAGACAACGATGCAGGAGGGTGCCTAGTCAATACATACCACATACCAGCGAGAAGCTGGACAAAACCTCCATAACCGTAGGCAAGGGCAACAACAAGACTGGGCGAGCCAATGTTTCGTGTGTTGAGGTTGATCAACGACAAGACAAAGGTGGTAAGAGCGAAAGCTGAGAGACCAAGAGGAGCAGGATTGGCGAACTTGCGGTTCGGTGGGCGGTAGAGTCCGGGCTGGAATTCACCACCGAAGGCAGCAAGGCGCAGGTCAGGATCGTTGGTAGCAACGTGAGCAAGAGGGTTGCCGCCGTAGTCGTAGGGCACCCTCTGCTTGGGGAGGTTGTTGTTGCCATTCTGCGCGTAATCAATTCCGCTGGTCTCTTTGTCGACGCTGGGGCCGCGCTGAACAAAGTCAGCTATGAGTTCACGAAGAAAGGAGGTGGAGAATGAGTAGCTCCGTGGAGTGACTTACAGCGACGTTGTTGTGTTCGTGTGCGGTTGCCATTGTGACTGCTCTAGACTGTTCCTGCTGAGAAGTCGAGTCGAAGAGTAGTTGGAGGAGTCTGGGGAAGGAAATGGATCTGGGGAAGGGGGATTCATATATTTGCAAACAGACTATGCAGGGAGCTTTAGTAAAACGACGTATGCCATGGGCCGTCGAAGCCGTCTTGAATCTAGTCCGATGCTAAGGGGATGTAATTAGTCGAATCTGGTGCTAAAGCGGCCCACTCAAATCATTTCCCCATACACTTGTCTCCAGACCGGATGAAAGAGCAGCATGGGCCACTGACAGCCATCAATTGAACCGACGAACCACGGACAGCCACAGGGTAGCGGATCGTCGTGCATAGGAGAAGCTTGCCGAGGTTGGGTGAGCGCCAGATGTTAGAAATCCAAATGGAACACCAACAGCCGATCGCTCTGTAACTCCGAATGTCGATATCAGGTGAACAGCAAGCTGCGATGACGCGAAGAGATGGAAAAATCACTATTTCGATTTACCGAAGTGCTGTCCAGACTCAAGGCTGCCAGACTTACATCATCGTGACTCGCGGAAGTTTGGCCTCCGAACCTCAATGGAAGCCACGGAACATTGCACGAATACGCAGGAACAGCACTGTCAGCAATTTCCCACACACCTGCAGCGCGCTTTTTACATTCATTGCTGCAAGTGAAGTCGCACAGATTTATGTTGCGATCGCAACATTGCCTTGCAAGGGCTAGCCGCGAATCCTTGCAAAATTGTTAGGCGTAGCAGAGTGCGAGGTGGACCTTGACCCTCAAGATGAGCATCGTGAAAATTTGCCTCTTCAGGGCGCGACTCCACTGGGATGCTGAATACCACGGCCTTGGGAGATCTATTTCGGTAGATGTTTTTGAAGCCCAGCGCGCAGCGCGATGAGTTTTTGTGTGTAAGCTGTCTGCCGGCAATGTCGGAAATGTCTGAAGCCAAGCAGGTAGGCACTTCTCAAACGGGTGATTTGATGACGGCATGCATGGCTGTTGTGTGCACAAGACAGGGTGCGCGGGCGGCTAAGCTTTGTGCAAGACTCTCGGCATCAGCCACGAACGTCGAACCGAAAGCATGACATGACATCTAGTGTCGATTTGCGCAGTTTGCGCTGTGGCAGAGTCGACACAATGAATTCGAAATCGATTGCAAATCTCGAATCTCGCGCTGTAGTTAGCGTAGAATCTCAAGGCTAGTGGAACGAAGTGGGAACAAGATGTTCTGCTTCCGTAGGTATCCTGGGGCACCTGGGGCTCCACATGCTCCACCTGCAGAGGGTCTCAAAATCTCACCACTCACGCGGCCGAGCAGCATGTTGGCTGCGGCACCGTGTTCCTTGCTCGGGCCAGCGGGAGCAGCTGTCAGAGCGTTTCAATTTTGCCGTACCGTCGCCGTACTCTGTGAACCTCGTGCGCTGCCGTGTCAAATTGACGATGCTGTGAAGAGATGCTGTGAAGAGTCGCTGTTGATTTGCTATTTGGCTCAAGTAGACGCGACCGACTGATCTCCTTACTTTGAGCTGAGCTGTGACTCCGCCACCGGACAAAAAGGCTGGTAGACATTGCTTCGCGGGCCTTGTTGAACACCTGTAAGCATTATCGTGCTTCAGGTTGTATCTCCGCCTCTGCATGCTATTGTTGCATCGGTTAAATGGCCGTGCCTTTTAACCCAAGACTGTCAAGCCGTGTCGAAATTGCGGTGGCATTGCTTGGACAACTCTGTTCAATCCAAAACATCGTTGCAACTTGCAATATCCTAAAAGCAGCACCTTCACAACGATGGCACGCGTCTCGCCCAAAATCGGCCATGCTTCGACAAGTTCCATAGGTCCGATACTGTGGACTGTTGGTTGGTGGGAACAAAAAAGCGGGGACTCCGCGTCGACCCTGCGTGAGACCGTTTCCACGGCTCTGGAGATCAAGGCCAGCACCAGGTCTGCTGGACCACGAGGCTCGGGGATGGCTCACTTCGCCCAGTTCCGGGGGAGATGACAATTTTGGCTGCATTCCGCTCCACCCTCCACCTCGAGGATCAGATGATATCGTCTAGCAAACCTTCGAAGAGAGTCACCATCGGAAGACTGTGGCAAGCCTGAGCTAGACAGCAACAACGTGATGCGCCTCTCAAACGCTCCGTACGCCCTCGCGAGGTCTGGGATGCAGCTCGGCCGTGTATCCAGAGGTAAGCTGCCGCTCGATCGTGGTGTGGCTGGATCGTTGTAGTCTCATTTGTGACGCATGATCTGTCAACAGTCAGCTTCGACCCAGAGATGAGCACTCCCTTATCCTCTTGCAATCCTGAGCTCTTACTCACTTCGATATACTCACGATATGTCTATGGTGTTTGTCGGTAGGTACGAAGGTACACAAGTTGGAGCCCACCCAATCAGGATGCGGGGTAGCTTCCTCGGCGGCAGCTGCGCCTCGCCAGCTTCAGGCCACCCTCCCAGGCAACAACAAGGTCTTGTTGCGTTCGTTGATCACTGTAGCTTGAGATCGCACTTACCACAGCTTCTCAATTCACTCAATTCACCCAAAGCACGTTAGAACGTTCCTTGTATCTCCTAGTACCAGCCAGCATGACAGGCCATAGCTTCACCGCCGAGTCGGACCTCGCGAGCCACCGATACTTCGAACACTCGTCTGCGAAACGCGTCGACACTGACACTGTGCTTGTCGAAGCTTTACGTTCACAGTATCCCCAGCTTGAGCTGATCGTCTCGCCGTTCGGTCGCCTGAACCTCCTCGCCTATGCCTCTGCTGGCTTCGCAACTGCCACGCCACTCGAAGATAGCATCAAAGATCCAGTGTACAGTGTCAGCCTAAAATGGCGCTTATATATACCTGCTGGAAGGAGGCTCGACAACAGCGGTGGCTTCATGGCCGAGACCCTCACCTTTGGCAAGTTCATGTACAAGTGGAAGGACCAGGAGGTCATATTGTATATCGCTGAAGGTAGGGACGGCTCTGGATACTACCCAGTCGTCAAGAACCACTATATCCTCACGAGCAATGCGCACAAAGTAGATGAGCTGATTCGAGATGCTACAAACTGGGGCCAGGAGCTGCACAACGAGGTTTGGGTATTTGATCAAGGTTGGTGGCAGAAGAGCGCTCAGCTGTACGACTCCGTACAGAAAGCGAGTTGGGACGACGTGATTCTTGATGAAGATATGAAGAAGGCTCTCCAGACTGACGTTGAGGGCTTCTTTGACAGTCGCGAGACGTACCAAAAGCTGAAGGTCCCTTGGAAGCGAGGTATCATCTACTACGGCCCACCCGGCAACGGCAAAACCATCAGTATCAAAGCCATGATGCACAGCCTCTACCAGCGCGGAGCAAACGGAGATTCCAGGATGTCTGTACCGACATTGTATGTGCGGACGCTGTCTTCATATATGGGCCCGGAGTACTCGCTTGCCCAAATTTTCGGCAAGGCACGTCAAGAAGCTCCGTGCTACCTTGTATTCGAAGATCTCGACTCCATCGTCAGCGACAATGTGCGATCCTATTTCCTCAACGAAGTCGATGGTCTCAAGTCCAACGACGGCATTCTCATGGTCGGTTCTACGAACCACCTCGACAGACTTGACCCCGGTATCTCCAAGCGTCCCAGCCGCTTCGACCGCAAGTACTACTTCCCGAACCCTGACTACGCCCAACGAGTCCAGTACTGCAAGTTCTGGCAGGGCAAGCTTGCAGACAACAAGGACCTCGACTTTCCTAACAGACTTTGCGAAAAGATCGCAGAGATCACTGACAAATTCTCCTTCGCGTACATGCAGGAAGCTTTCATCGCCTCTCTACTCGCCATCGCATCCCGTGGCGGCAAGGACAAGAACGAGGCGGAAAAGAACGCGCGTCGTTGGGCAGGCCCTGAAGATCCCATGCACCCTGTTGACCTGCAGTTCCGCGTAGTTGGCGGCGGCAGCGAAGACCCGGATGTCAAGCATCTGAAGCTCTGGATTGAGATCCAGAAGCAAGTCAAGATTCTGAGGGATGAGATGGAAGAGAAGAAGCTATCTGAGCGAATGGAGACGATGTTCCCGTCGCGACCAGGTAATGGAGCGAACGTCGAGGATCGTAACGAGCTCGATCCGCGTGGACCACACGGTGGAGGGAACCTCGAGCTTTTGAAGAGGTATCGTGACCAGCTCGATGCAACACTGCAACAGCAGCTGAGGCATATTGGAGTTACTGAACCGACGAACTTGTTGGGCGATGTTGTCAAGAGGTTCATGTGAAGCTTGCGTTTTTAGTATATGTGACGTAGCACATTAGGGCATTTGGTATCTCATCTTCTATGTAGCCATGAATATTATCACAACAAGCGATTTTCAACACACCCTGTAAGCATGTCTACATCGTTGACTGAAGTTTCATCTTATCGACTCTTTCCATATAAATGTCCAATCCACAACGCCTCGCTAATAACAATGCCAGGATATCTCACGCTCATACAGATTGACAACACAAACGGCCCAGACGGCGCACACCAGTACCATCCTTTCAGTACCCATGCGTAGCACACTGCAAACAATGTCTCTTATCACCCACCACAGCACAAGTCCCACAAACGCTCCTACCACACTCACAACACACAAACACACTCGCACATCCTGCGCCATCCATATCCATATCAACATCCATGCCCCCTTCATCAACTTCCAATCGCGCATCGCAGTCCTCGCACCGCGGGCCTTGCGCTGCATCCTGCTGTTGTGTTGTGTGATACGAGAAGAGAGGTGCTTGGGCCGGCGGCGCGGAGATGTTCCAGAATGAGTGCAGTGTGGATTTTTGCGGTTTCGAGACTACGATGGCGGGTTGTGCGGGTAAGAGGTCGGAGGGGATGGGCGAGGCGTGGGGGTGTTGTCGTTGGGCGAGGAAGAGTTTGTGTACTGTGTTCTCTGTGCGTGCACCGTCAGCATACATCTCTGGCAGTATTGAAAAACATTGTTCTCCTACCGTGAATAGCGCGCTCGTCGGGGCGGTTGTCGCGGACTCGTTTGCGCGTGCGGTTTCCCCAGTCGCTGGATTTTACGCGGTGAGCGCGCATGAAATTCCAGCCGTTAGATCTTGGTGTGCTCTCTGTGTCCATTTCCATGTCCATTGTGCCGTTCAGGCCTTGTGGGAATCGTATGGGTGATTGCGCGTTTGGTGTTGAGACGGCGCCGAAGCTGGAGATTGACGTTGGAGAGGCATCATCGATGTGCTTGCGCTTGACACCCATTGCTCTGGTTGTGGGGGCTGAATAGGTGTGTTTGATTCAAGGCAACTTCGACTATGGGTTTTGGTGAGAGATTAAGGAAGAAGGCTCTGGTGTCGTGAGTTGGGATGAATGACGATGGCGCTGATCGAAGGCTGGCCGGACACGCGACAAACTACCGCGGTGCGACGCGCTCGCGTTGTGGGGTAAAGGGTGGCACCCAGATGGCCAGCGACCATCACTTCAACATCAACCTTTCTGGATCCGTATCGACTGCCTTTTGTTCAGATCCTTCTTTCGTTCCTGCCCCATTCGCAGCTGTATGTCACAGAAGTTCATTCTCAACTTTGCGCCTTAGAGGCTCAAACCCTCGGGTACCTGGCATCTTCAAGACACGTCTCAATGTCTCCATTCCAGATTGTTTGATCGATCACTGACAGCTAATGAGCCTCTCGTTGAATGATGTACATCGATTCTGTAAATAGACTTACCGTACGATGACGAATGCACGACTTACACAAGCTCTTGCCCCACACCAGCTTCCCTTACCCCACCCAGTACAACACCGAGCTTCTGACCTTGACCAACTTACCTCAACCCTTTTCAGGCCTTCAAGCTGTCGTTACGTTCGAGATTTGTCAAGATGGCTACTCGCAGAGCTACTCACGCCGGCTCGTGGTACACTGACAAAGGGCCAGTCCTTTCCCAGCAACTTGACGGCTGGCTAGCAGACGTACCAAGCTCTATGACACCTGTAGGCACAGCCTCCTCGAAGGGAGGTGATATTACCGTGCCCACACCAAGTGCTCGAGCTATCATCGGACCGTAGGATCATCCAAGGCGGTCTAGGGATCAGAAGGCTCATGGATATGCAGGCATGCTGGATACTCATACTCTGGGCCTGCCGCTGCATGGGCATACAAGACAGCTGACTGGGCGAATGCGTAAGTGCAAATTTACTGTAACTTTAGATGCCTGTTAATGTTACCAGCAAACGTGTATTCCTACTCTTCCCCTCCCACCACTACTATCTCTCTACTGCCGCGACCACCGGGTGCAGCAAATATGCCACCCCAATCGGTGACCTCAGCATAGACACTTCGGTTGTCAAACAGATACAGAAGGAATGGGGCCTCGAGGTTATGGAACGCGGGGTGGACGAGGATGAGCACAGCTCAGAGATGCACCTCCCGTACATCTACAAGATGCTATCACTGTACGGCTCTTGATCATGGCGTCTAGGCTCTACTGACAGATTGTATAGCAAGAACACAAGCTTCCAGGCAGACCCAACTTCCGTACCGCTCGTCCCAATCATGGTCGGCAACACAGACGCACGAGCCGAATCACACTACGGCTCGCTTCTCGCGCCGTACCTCTCCGACCCAAGCAACATCTTCGTCATATCCTCCGATTTCTGCCACTGGGGCTCTCGTTTCCGATACACATACTATCAACCGCCTGACAGCTCGTCTGGTACGAATCTGAAGTCAAACTCGAAGGTCGCAAGCGACTACCCGATTCACGAGAGCATTGCGGCGGTGGACAAGGAGAGCATGGATGCGGTGGAGAGTGGGTCACACAAGGAGTTCTTGCAGCAGTTGAGGGATACTGGGAATACAGTATGTGGCAGACATCCTATCGGGGTGTTCTTGGCTGCTGTCGAGAAGGCTGAGGGGCTGGGCGAGGGTAAGGGGAGGTTCAAGTTCGTGAGGTATGAGAGGAGCAGTCTGGTTGAGGATGTACGTGACAGCAGTGTCTCGTACGCGAGCGCCTTTGCGGTCTTGTGAGGCGGTGAACCTACGAGACAGTTGAAGGAGAGGCATTATGATTGAGATAGCATGAGCATAGACCGATCATATTAGACGTTCATTCCCTGTTTGCAAGTCTTCTGATCTGGACAAGACCAACATCTAAATGTATTCCCTGGAAAATATCTTTGATCCTATTGAAGCAGATAACTTCTCAAGGAAGTGTCGCATTGTGAGTAGACGAACGTTATTCAGGTGTGACAGTGTGTGGAATGGAAATTAGTCTTGTAGCAAGTAGATGTTCATCAGTCGGTTATCGCTTGATATGATTGTATAAGTTTTGGTGAGAATGTCCATGTGATGAGATACGAGATCGAGCAGACATTTCGTTTGCATGTTTGTAGACATAAATAGTGACGATAGTATTCGCAGTTCAAGATCAATTACGATGCATCGCGAAGCCGCAATCCAAGGCCTTCGCTGTGAGCCACGCAAGAGCGAAGGTCACAGTCTTGAGTTATGCGCACATCTTCAGCGAAATTATTACAGGTCAATGACAACTCAGGTCGATTGAAGTTCATCTCAGTGAGTCTCGCTGGGTACGGTATCTGCATACTTGGCTAGCTTAGAAGGTGCATGTGCATCGTACTATTGATTGTACCTTGTGCACTTGATGTCGATGCGTGCACGTATTCCTCCTAAGAAGATTGCCGGTCTGGTTTTCTTCGTAGAAGTCTTCAAAGTGGAAGGTACAAACTGGCAGTTTGCCTGTTCGACGCCACTTTTCCAACCTGTACTTCAGTTCTAATTCCCCAGGCGTTAGGTTTAGTGCTCTCTTTCAAGAGGGACTCTTGTCGAGAGCAAAAACGTGAAGAGTTCCCATTTCCTCAAGTCTACACGACAGTGGCTGATCGCTGTATAAATTTAGAATACTTGCATAATTAGGCCACGTTCGTTCTTCTTGCACTGCCATGGCATCAATTCTAGAGTCTGCTTTTCATGCTGCTTAAGGCATCACCTTCGAGTGGAAGAAAAGGTTGGACTTGAGAGACTAGTCCTAGCAGGAAGTGCAACTTGCCACTCTTCGGACATTCAGCATGTTTGAGAAACTTGGATGATGTTGGTGCATTTTAGTCGTTTGTCTGCTCTTTGATCAACAGTCGCTCGGTAAGAGGTACATTCTCAAAATCGCAAAAGTTGCATGTTCGTATCAGATTTGCTCTGCAAGAAGGAGGAGAGTCGTGATCGTGACCCAACACTTCCAAACTGCAACTATGTCGTGTCAGTATATGTGAATGCTTGTTTTTGGTTGGGCATAATATGCGATTAGCGTGTGTCAATCTGACCGCACCTTCAGTCATCAACAGGTATTGTGCAACAGATTGTCGGCCTCCAGAACAACTTTGCAGTCCCCAAAATCGGGGTTGAAAGGCCAGGCGGCGCTGCCTACCCATGTGTGTCGAACTTTCTGACCGATTTATGGCTGAAGTGCTGCTGCGTCCATCAGCTTGGGTGACTTGCAAAACCAAAGTTATCGAGAATTATCGATTGCTCGCACACGGAATTGGAAGATGCTGACCTGAAGATGCTTGTTCCAAATTCGAGCGAAATTGACCGTGGTGTTCCGGTGTTGTGAGATCTCGAGCGCAACAGGTGACATAGTAGCAAAGTGTTTCAAAATCAAAGGATCAAGCCAAGCAAATGCCGAATACGTTCAGGAGTCGTATGTTGCAATTATTTTGATGTTCCAGATGCGTTTGCAGGTTGCAAAAAGCAGGGTATCCACCAAAACTCGCCCAACACCCACACCATGCGTCTGTGGCAAAAAAGGTCGTACCCGGACTCGAACCGGGGTTTCCAGAACTTCTGAATATATCAAAATCTGAAGTGATAACCTCTACACCATACAACCATCTTTCAAGGCGTTGATGACAAGGAAAGTAAATTAAAAATTTATATTTGCAGTAAAATTAATTTCCAGCATTGACCGTGGATGTGGGAGGCCAGAACTCACAAATGGACCCTTCCTTCAGACCTTGAAGAGATCTTTCAAAGCTAGTGGCCTGCATTTGGGCCGACGCCAACCGTATGTGGGGTCCTGAGACACCGCCAGCCGAATGTATGACAGTGACATATTGACGTGAGTCGAACGCCACGAAAACATCAGGCTAGCGATAAAGAATTGAAAGAAAGTATCAGAGCTTTGACAGAACGCAGTTCGAAGGCTACGAGCTATTGAAATGGATTCAGCGTTGTTTGGTGGTCGATGTTGGAGACAGTCAATGTTCCTCACAAAGACCGGGAGAATGCGGCAAAACTCCGCAAGCCTCCCGCGTCGCTCAAAGAATGCCAGGAATCTCAACTTTGAAAGCATACTCAAGCTCTTCGAAACCAAGGTATCAAGAAAAAATTCGTTCCTGCAGCACTTTCCAAGCACTGATTGCTATATGTATGGGGTGAAATCTGAGCGGCCTACGCACCGACTTTCCGTTTTCTAGAGGAAGAAGGACAAAGAAACAAGGCTTCATCCATATTCGATGCAGAAATTTCGTTCAGTATACTACTGGGCATCTCGCGCAATATAGTCTGAACTTCATGGTCGATTCCTCACAACCCGATGTAATGCAACTGAGTTGTCGTGTTCAATCTCTTTGCGATCGAGTGCACAGTTGTTGGAGATGACTTGAGAACGTCCACGAGAGGTGAGCTATATGCACAAGAGCAATCTCTCTCTGGAAATCCGAAGAGCATTATGCTAACATCCAAAAATGTTCAGACGACTTTTCCAGGATTTCAGACAATGAGGAAATCAACAAACCCCTCGAATTCCTGGCTGCTCGTGCGACAAACAATAAAAAGGCAACTTCTCAAGCTCCCAAGTGAAATACCATGATGCGAAAATGTTAAAATTAGAAACTGCAGAACAACAAAGCATTGCAAGGTTCGAATTCTTGCGATAGTGAAGTGTCTAATGCATGCTTTAAACAATCGAAAGCCTCCGTCCATCCAAGCCAGCAGCATCCATAGATCTGTCCCGAAGCAGTTGCAGACCCCGTAAGAAATAAAATCCCCCTGTGCACATAGACTTTGTCTAAGCGCATTTGAGGAACCAAAAAGAACTGGGAAGGGTTGTAGCCTTAGCTGAGGTTCACAGCGCCTACAGCCACGAATTCAAAAAAAAAATGATGCGTACGAGCGGGGAGGATCGAACTCCCGACCTTCTGCGCTTTTCATATGACATGTAAAGCAGACATCATAACCACTAGACTACGCTCGCTGCGTGTTCTTGATGAAAAAGAAATAAAATTTGATATTTATATTGTAAAATTTATAATCTGCTCTGCATTTGCTCTGTGATCGGTAATTCGTGGAGTGGCACGATCACTTGAAATCAACCCGCGGTGGGGCAGATGCGGCTATTCGATTCTGTGCGGGGCTCGATCATCGAAACCTCAACCCGCCTTATAGGCATGGCGAATGAGCAAATCCCGTGCTCGACCACTTCAGTGGCAATGTCAAATGCTTCTGCAGACTCGGTAGTTTGTTGGAACTCTCATCAGTATAATTTAGTGTGTTCGACTGTCGATGAAGCCGTTCGTGGTGTCTTACGAATTCTTTGGACGGGTTGCTGGTCCTGAGTTGCACATGATAGGAAAGAGATGATGGTGGCAAGGCTTCGACCCGAGTAATCGAGTCACAATTTGGCCTGACGCGTTTGACGGAGTGGAACAGCTTCTGAAGCCCCGTTTGGTATGTTGTGATGTTTTGTGCGGTCGACAGTTGCGTTCATGGCTCTTTGATCTTATTTTTTTGTTAGGGTGCGTTCGCGGTGTTGAGACGAAACCAAAGCGGCGATGGTGGCAAGCTCTTGAAGTAAAGAGCAAGTCAAAACATTTTCAACCCGAAGGGTAGACTTCACAATCAATCTCCCTCCTTCGATCAACAGGGAACAGATGAGCCGAGAACTTGCGGTGGCCCAGGAACAATCGAGACTGAGCATACAATTCGTAGGATTTATAGGAGGAAGCAGGTTCATGCCTGTCCTGTGCTATCGAAAAGACTACAACTAATTTTGACTAGTACCAAATTCTCAAGATTACTCAAGTCTCGAGTGCTCTTATTGGTGCGTTGCAAAAGTCTGTGACTCCCCCTGATTTTAGACATGTACAATACCATACTTCTGACGCCTGAGTAACATGGCAATATGCATACCATTCTACTCGCATTGATAAGCTGAGTCTGACAAAGGGTAAATACTGCCCTAATTGCTGACGGTAACTAGGCTGAAGGATATTAAAGGATGTTGTGGTGGCGGTGAGGTGGTAGGAATGATGACAACAATGATGTATGTAATCCTAAGCTTGGTAGCAGCAGCGCCTCCGAGTGGTGGTGAAGGTCTGGGCCAGGATCTGGCACGTGTGAGAGCCCACATATACACCTCTAGGCTGCCCCGGACCCATCCTTCCCTATACTACCCCGCCTTAGTTCTTGTTATGACCCAAAATTAGGGGGGGAGGGACCACAGACTTTTGCAACGCATAATAAGGGATCGCGGAAGACGATCATCGGCGCAGAATGTTACCACGCTCACAAGGTGCAGACAAACAAGGACTTGGCTCTCATACTACGTAGAAAGCCGGATGCAAGCATCCAACTCCCGCAGAAAATGGGAGAAAGTCAAGTTATACTGGGCATTCTTCTGCGAGCTGATAAGTAATCAAGGAATTACAATCAATTTTTGTAACTCGAGATGTAAATTAGGGTTTCTTCGAATACCTCCAGACATAGAGATTGAATGCGAGGATTGGGAGCCGCTGTGTCCGAGCTTGTCACCTTTACTTAGCTCATCTAAGACTAAAGTTGAGTTCGTGCGGCGATGGATTGCGATATCGAATTGGCGAGCTATCGCGAGGCTTGCTCTGCACAAACTGGAATATGCCCAGGTGGCTACTGATCCATTGTCCATCACGACAGCAAGCTGATGCGCCGTGTCACTCGCATAATTTTCTCCTTTGTCCCTGGTCACGAGCTTCGTATGCAATCGCAAAGTGGTGGGGCGACACTCGTTTGCAGTTGCTTTCACTACAGCGTGACCTTCACTGCAACCCACGAACAAGCTTTCCGGAGCTTTCTCCGCTCGCCCTGACTCCCACTTAGACCCGTTCCCACCCGCGCAAGAGCTCGTTTTTCTTTTTCACTGCGGAAGCCATCTCAACTTGGTGTCAATCTCAACTGGCACCCGGTCTTACCAACTGCCCCCGGGCCGCTTCAAGCCGCGCAATGACGAGCCTGTTGATGAGAAGACATCTCCGCACCCTCGAGGAGTGAATGAAGTTCCGGACTTTTTCTCCCAGCCACTTGCAGATCAAACGGAAAAGCTTCTCAGCATGGTTAAGCGTGGCAAGTCCGACTGCAACGATGGTGTGTTCAAGTTCAGCACAGCTTCTACACACACAATGCTCCCTGAAGAGGTATTCGAGACTCTGATGCGCCTCCGGGAGGGGATCTATGCAGAGTTGTGCGATCGTTTGAGGGCTCAAGGTGTCTCACCGACGCTATTCTCAGAAAAGAACTTCGCATGGTGTCTGCCCAAGAAGTAAGTTCATCTGACATGTTCAACGAAGGCAGGACCTGACCGCATCGAACAAGAAGGTCTATGGAGGCTGCTTCTCGAAGACCCTCTTTCAGTACCCACATACCTGGTCGATACCCTGTTCACCCTCAACCCCTAACAGCCCCGATATCAGCAAAGATCAAATTACAGATGGCCGGCAAATTAGCATTGAGTACCTCTTATGAGTTCAGGATTGTGTTCAGCAACTTGTGAGAGAGGGCTCGCCAATTAAGCAAAATGCTCCTCTAGATAGTGCAAGCCCAAGTCAGCTCACAGGAACACAAAAGACTGCAAGAACCTCCAAGCATAGCAGACGAATAACTCTGCTTCATTGAAGACCTCTAAGCTCCAGGCGTTCGATGGTGTGGCTCCGACTCATGTGGGAAGTGGTTTTCTTATGTAAGGGTAATCACTGTCATCAAAGGCCACAACTTAAGAAGGATAATATCGATACCTGGATACACTGTAGTCTCGGAGCTTCTGGTTCTGTATCTGTAGGTCTTGAGAATTCAGGCTGAAGCCGCCTATGTTTCTGAGAGAGTTCAGTAGGTAGTGTCCAAAAGAAACGAGCTTCTTCGTGGATGCAGATCTGATACAGCGGTCTGACCAGCTGACATGAAACCACACCATTGTCAATCCTTCTGAATGTACCACCTGGGCCATGTCGAAGATCTTTCGCCTTTACTGGGTTCGAAGAAGTGTTGTGTCTTGCTGCCCAACTCACAGGATGCTCTCGGTACTCGGTCCTCGGCCATAGCTCCCCGACCTGCCGTGCAGCACCGCCCCAATGCATCCATGACATCTTACCCCAGATAAACCTCAGGCATCTCACTCCGCCCCCTTCACCTCCACCACCCATCCTTTCACTATGTTCGCACAAACCCCCCTCAGAGTCCGCGCCGCGGTCAGGGCCGTCGCAGCGCAAACAACACGCACCTACACCTCACGCGCCGCCGAAATGCCCACCCGCACCGCACCCATCCGCACCCTGCTGCGCACCACAACGCTCCGCGCATCCACAACAGCCGCCCAGCGCGCCTCACCCTACCTCACATCGCAAATCCACACCCAAACGCAACCCTCACTGCGCTCGCGCTCTCCATCCCCACCCCCGCGCTACGAAGTCCGGAACCACTCCCTTCTCGCCGCGCCAAACCAATGGACGCGCTTCTCCACACCCACCTCGCTCTCCAGCGTGCGCACATTCACATCTTCCCCGAAAATCCTCTGGCCCGCCGAGTCCCCCCCGAGCATCTCGCCCGAGCATCTCAAAGTGATAGAAGACCACATCGAGACGATAACGGAAATGTTCGGCACCGCCAAAGACGAATTCGAAATCGCGTCCGAGGAGACGGACAAGAACACGACGTACGCGCAGGACGACCGCGAGGCAGCAAGGGAGGAGCTGGACAAGCTGCTGGAGTACTACGGGCGCGTTGTGAGTGAGGCCGAGGAGGCGGTCGGTGCGGAGGTCAAGAGGAGGGTCGGGCATCGGATTAGGGAGTTGAAGGCGGGGGTCGAGGCGCTGGAGGAGAGGGCGTTGGAACATGACTAGATGTTGACGTTCATATCGTTTGGGTGCATAGAAGTTGCGTAGAGAGTTCGAAACGAGTTTAGGGCATGGGAGGCGTTTGGGAGCGCTTAAGAGACCGACGGACATATTGATATGCACATCGTGGGTTAGATGCTCACGTGTATCAGTACTATAGCTGTGCAAAACTTTTACATATTTGAATGTTGATGCGTATGCTATTCATGCTACGTGCTGGGGGCCAAGACGCTCATCGTCTCATGTCGAACATACAATGCTCGAGAACTATGCCCGCTATAACCATGCACCATGAACGCCATCCCAATGCAATCCCGAGCGCCTGTCATGCCTGCACCTCACTGCGGCCGCGGCTTCGGCGTGCTTGTATGCTTCACACTCCAACCCTGCATAGTCCTTCTTGCACCCAGTGTTCTACGCTGAGCTTGCTGATTCTGCACCACACTCATCGTCGTCGTGTGGAAAGTCGACGCGGGTCTGAATCCGTTGGTGGAAGTGGCTGGTGCTTTCGTTGGGCGAGCAACCTCGTTCACATCATCGCTGTCGGAAAGGGTGATAACATCCTTCTCGTCCAGCTTGGACGGTGAGCTCAGGCACAGCGCGTGTCGTGCGTTCTCTGCGTCCGAGTCATTGCCAGCTCTCCTAGGCTTTCTGGCCATGGGACGATGATGCAGGGTGCAGTTGGGGACCGAAAGTGGTTGGAACAACCGTGGGCGTGAAGCAGCTTGCTGAACGTTGGAAACATCGTTCAGCGGCGCGAGACCTGACAATGAGGATTGTGATCGTTTGAGTGAGCGTCTACCCAGCTGTGGAGTCGGTTCTGGCGTTCCAGACAGTGTCCTACCAGCGTCTTTAAAAAAGCTTGTGATCGCACCCTGATCAGCCGCTCGAGGCTTGGGCTTCCTGCCCTGGGACGGATTCTCGCCCAGTCTTCTGACCTCATTGTAGGTTGGCTTTCGGCCTCCATGGTCATCATCTTGAAACATCAGCTGTCGTGGTTCTTGGTACAAATTCTGCAAGTCTCGGGCGCTGAAGAAACCATTCGTTGATGTGAGAGTTGTTGTAGACACGATGCCGTTGTGCTTGTCTAGCGACTCGACTCTGCGCCGCTTGTTGTCCACACCCTGCCTGTCATGATTCCAGCCAGTATACTCCGTGCTGTATGATGCTGGCACACCATCTATCTCGTCGCGTGTTGCCGGATACCTGTCGTCTTCCAGACGCTCGAGCAGAGTGCGGGCGGCGGCAAGCTGTCCGAACTCCGGACAAGGCCTGCCGAGGATGCGCGCGATATCAAGTATGGTGCTTCTCTTGAATGCGAGGTCTGGGCCATGGGAACTGAAGAACTTCTCGAGATTTTTGTCGTTCACGAACCTCGACAACTTCGTCTCTTCCTGGCCGGAAGAGCGCATAGGGCAGCTGAGATACAGCAGTGCTTTGGCACGCGTCATGCCAACATACAATAGCCGTCGCTCTTCGTCATGGTCTTCCGCCCTGGAGTGTGGGAGAGACCCTTCGTAGACCGCGGGTATGAAGACGATCGGCCATTCGAGACCTTTGGCTGCATGTATCGTAGAGATTGTAACCTGGCACACTTCTTCGCCGTCTTCCCTCTCAACCTCCGTTGCAAGTGCAACATTGACGAGGAACTTGGAAAGGATGTCGGCTGGACTGTCAGGACGTTGCACAATGCTTTCTACCTCAGGCAACGCATCATCAAATCCCGTTTCACCATCGCTTATCGCTTTCGCCATTTGTGTCGCTTGTGCGATGAGTTCGTCAATGTTGGCCAGTCGGTCTTTCCAATTCTCTTTGTAGGTCTGCTTGAGATATGCTTCGAATGATGTCTGGTTGAAGACGTGCGTGATGAGATCGAGCAGGTTCCATGGCTCGCCTTGAGCCGGCTCGAGTTTCTCGCGCGCTGTGTAAACGAGCCTGAAAAACAGGGTGATGCCCTGCTTCGCGGGTGCTGATAGTTTGGTGGCGGGGTTCCTTCTGCCCTGAGCAACGTCCTGTACCAATGTCCACAGAGGCACCTTTCGAACTTCCGCTTCCTCCAGTAAAGCCTTGATTGTCTTGTCTCCAATCTTGCGAGACGGCATGTTGATGACATTAACGATGGCGTCGTTATTGTCGGGATTGTTGATGATCCGAAGATAGCTTAGAATGATCTTGATCTCGGCTCTGTCGAAGAAACGCTTGCCCCCCACCACTCTATAGGGTATGCCAGCGCGCCCAAGTTCACGCTCGATGGACAGGGATAGAGCTGCTGAGCGGAGCAGAATCGAGTAGTCGTTGTAGGTCAGTAGCCCGGCACTGAGCGTCTGAGTGCGTTTGATCTCGTCGACAATCCATTGCGCCTCAACGTTTGCGGTAGCCAAGTGTCGGAGCGTCGGTTGCTCACCGACACAGTGTGTAGCGATCAGTGCCTTCTCTGGTCGACTGTCGTCCTGCTCGATGACAGCAAGTGCAGCGTTGAGGATTGATCCCGCAGATCGATAGTTGTTCTCGAGGTTGATAACGATAGCCTCAGGGTAATCCACGCGCATTCGAAGCAGGTTCTTGACCTCGGCAGCACGGAAGCTATATATGCTCTGATCGGGATCGCCGACAATGGTAATTCGTTTCGTATTCTGTGCCATAAGTTTCATGAGTTCGTACTGGATGTTGTTGGTGTCTTGGTACTCGTCGATGAGCACTGCCTGGATGGTGGAGACGCATGATGGGTGTTGTCGTAGCAGATCCACACAGCGAATCAGCAGATCATCGTAGTCCAGCAGATTCACAGCTTTGAGATGCTCCTGATACGACGAGTAAATTTGAGAAAATTCGCTGTCCTCAGCCTTCTTCTTGGTTGCAGCAAAACCCTTAGCCGTGATGCCCTTCGCTTTCAGGCTTGAAATCCTCGAACGGGCGTATCCTGGTTCGACCATATATTGGTAGCGGTGCACGATGCGCTTGATGATTGCTTTGCTGTCGTCGGTGTCGGCAATACCAAAGTTCTTGTCAATGCCGATCTCTTGACCGTAACGAGAGAGGAAGCGGCGGGCAACTGAATGAAAGGTGCCTAGGATGAGTTTGGCTTCCAATTTCTCCCCGACGAAACCCTTGATCCTCTCCTTCATCTCACGTGCAGCCTTGATCGTGAAGGTGCAGACGATGATGTTCCATGGCTGAAGGCGTTCGTGTATAACGTGATACGCGACGCGCGCTGTCAGTGTCTTCGTTTTGCCTGATCCAGGTGGCGCCAGCACTTGGAGCACACCCGCAGGGCTCGTGACTGCATCTTTCTGTGCTTCGTTCAGGCCCTCCAAGAGGGCGTCCATCGCTGCTGGGCGGACGAGACGCGTCACATGTCAGTGTTGAAGTTGTGGAGAAACCTGGGAAGAAGCCCGACTGCGCAAACACGCTAATTGCGCTAGTCGCGTAACCACGTGACGTCCTACATCTCTCTTTCATCTCCTCTCCTCACATTGCATCACCTCACTTATCATCGCCTCGAAACATCGACGAAATAGACACTGAACCAAAAATAACCACGATCTCGCTCGTCATCAGGCTGTCTCGCAAAGAAGAAACTGTGTCTAGCTCGGTGTCACTCGACCGTTCGGGCGAGGTTTGACCAACGGGACCGGTCAACGATGGCTTCGCCTACCGGACGAGGCAGACTGAGCCCAAGAAAGAGGGCAAGGAGATTATTTCTCGATGTTGCAGCTCCATGATGCCGTGTAGCCTTCAGTCTCGCGTTCAGTTTGGGGCTGAATCTTGGGGCTGAAAGCAAGATCTCTGCTTTCGTAACTCCACACTGAGCTGATTCGTTGTAGATTCCGACACATGAGCGCCCGTGGCTTGTAATCGGACTACAACCCTACGACAAACCTCCTTTCAATGAACCTTCTGAATCTCCGAGGATGCAAATCGCCTTGTTTGCAAGATACGATGCATCGTCGAACGGATTATGTGTCATACAAACGAGCAGCTGAACCACCAACATCGAGGGACTCAGGCATGAGAGAATCGATCTTCATTTGTTAACGGAAAATGCTGCAGCAGTCTCCTGGTGTGACTAGTCTTTCCTGTTGTAAAAGGGTATATATTGTAGCTTTGTCTCAGCTCGTTCAAAATTCCAGATCACTCAACCATTCTCATCCCTCAACCACTCCAACATCCCAGAATTCGCCATGCGTTCTTCATTCTTCATCCACTTCCTAGTCTCTTTCGTTGCAGTCAATGCACTCAGCGCTCACCCTCGATCTACGGTCAATGGTCCATGTACTGGCAAAGACGGACGTGCTGGTGTCTGCATCTCCAAGTCGTCTTGTGATGGTGCTGGAGAGAGCTGGGTCAACAACGCCTGTCCAGGAACGCCCGAGGATATAAAGTGCTGCACGAAACCCTCTTGTCAGCAGGCTGGCAGGTCTGGCGACTGCCGCTGGCAGGATAAGTGTGGTGCAGATTCCGAGACGCTTACAGGTCTCTGTCCTGGACCCAGTGCGTTCAAATGCTGTGTTCCCAAAGACGACAAGCCTGGCAACGACGGAGACCTTGGGCAGAAGATTTTGAAGAAAGCGAAGGAAGCCGAAGGAACACCTTGTGAGTTGGCAATTGTATGTGCGATATAGCTACAAGCTGACGTATATGAGACCACTGGGGAGGCGGAAGCTGCAAGGGGGCTACTGGAGGCGGTTATGACTGTTCAGGTTTGGTCTCTTGGGCCGTCTGCCAGGTCACCGGAAGAGACCTTTTCTCTGAAGGTCTGCGAGTGACACGCAGTATGTACTGTGCATCCGAGAGCAAGCTGAAGTACAAGTAAGGAAGTCTCTCTGAATACCTCCAACTACTGGTCTAACGCATTGCTCAGGAAAGTCAAGTTCGCTGATAGACGAGCGGGCGACGCAGTCTTCTTCGGTGGCGCATGTGATTGCAAGAGTAACCCAAAGGGCATCCACCATGTCGGTCTCATGATGGACAGCAAGTACAATATGTGGAACGCATTCAAGACTGGAACCAATGTACGAAAGGACAACTTCGAGAACTGGGACGAGAAGGCGTGTCCTTACGTGATCCGCTTCGAGTAGTGTCCGGGTCCTGAGGCAAATGTCGCCCTTCTTATTATCTTTCACTTCGTTCTCCTACGCAATCTCTTGCGCGGCAGGAACAGCTAGCAGCAACGTCCTGGTGATTGCCTCTTTGAGGTCGCTGCTGGAGGCCTTTAGCACAATGACAAATATTGTCCCACGCTTGTAGAAATTGCTGTCGCTCCCTTATACATTATTAGCTTGCAATTGGTTTGCGAATCCGCACTCAGTGCCTCTAGAATTCTAGCGATTGGGGGCTTGTAGCCGCTTTTCTGACGCTCGAGACAAGACAGCAAGTATTTGGTGTCATTTACTTTTCACTCAGATCTCGCGAGTTTATCGTTCGAGAAACGTCGAATGTTCGTAGTCATAACGATCAAATGAAGACAGAGGTCGCCCATCTGTCTATCCAGCTTTCGTACGTTTTCCGGGTAATGAAGGTGACGTGATGAGTGGTTGAGCGGGGAAGGCGCTGGGCAGCGGGAAGATTGTGGGGAACGAACAAGCAATTCTTGATTCACAATTTCTCGACATCATGGCCTCGCTCCCATCAACTTCATCAGAGCCACCTCTTGCATATCGACTTGAATCGCGCTTGCTTGAGCATGTGTAGAATTTGCTTTGGTCTCGTGCCATGTCGGTCCTTAAGATATCCTACAGCTATAGCGCGCAACGCCCTCACTACTTACTGAGGTTAGCACAATTGGAGGAATAACCGTGGGGCCGGAATAAGGCCTTGCCTGGACATGGACTTGGTGTTCCTGAATCTTGCAGTGTGAAGGATCGACAAATAGGCTAATCTGCCATGTTGCAGGCCGTTCGGGCATCCTGTTCGTGCGGGCGATGAGGGGTCACGATGTCACATTAGCAAGGTCAATATTCCGGGACAGGATTTCCACGTCAACATAAGAAGCCTTAAAAGAATGGAAGGGTTCATCATCTGTAGAAGGCCAGGTACCTCGAAAATGGCTTTCCGTGTCCGGCTTTACGTGCTACTGGGCTTTTGCCTGCTTCAACATCTAGTTGGAGCACATGTAATACAGTCTCGCCAATACCATACAACGCCAACTGGTCGCCAACGTATTAGCATTAACAGCGGTTGGCGTTTCTGGCGGTGGGAAAGTAGTCCCGACAGCCTCATCTACGACAATCGAACAGACACACCTCAACAGGGCGCCACCTACCTTAGACCATATATCCTCCCTTCAGCCAACGATTTCATTACCGACCCATCGAAACATTATATAGCTCCTTCGGGCAACCCTGGAGGCAATGTCTCATATGTTAGGAATGCGTTCGACGACAGCGCATGGGAGAGTGTGACATTACCTCACGACTGGGCAATCAAGGGGCCGTTCTACGAGGGTGACGATGTACCAGTTACTGGTGGTATGGGCAGATTGCCAACCCAAGGCGTTGCTTGGTACAGACGGAAAATCACTGTGGCTGCCGAAGACAGAAACAAAGTGGTGTATCTCGACATCGATGGCGCCATGTCATATGCCATCGTATGGCTCAATGGCAACCTCGTTGGTGGCTGGCCGTACGGCTACAACTCGTTCCGTCTTGATCTTACGCCGTATCTGAAGCCTGGCGATGACAATCAGCTGGCTATCCGCTTGGTGAGTCTGTTGATTTGACCTGTTCGATGATTCTGCTAACACAGGCAGGATAATCCCATAGATTCGGCAAGATGGTATCCTGGAGCCGGCCTGTACCGCAATGTATGGCTCACCAAAGTTGAGAACACGCACGTTGCGCATTGGGGGACGTACATTACTACCAAAGATGTGTCCTCGAAGTCTGCGACGATAGATCTGACTGTGCAAGTCAAAGGCGTTGCTGGGCAAAAGGTCGATGTCGTTACTGAGGTCCACACCAAAGCTGGAGAAAAGGTGGCTGAGTTTCCTCGCTCTTCCGTTGACTTGTCAGCTGGTAATGGGACAATCAACACCTCAGTCTCAATCAGCAATCCTCAGCTCTGGGGCCCACCGCCTACGCAGAAACCCAATCTCTACACTGCCACGACGTACTTGTTTACCAACGGGAGCACCACACCCATTGACACGTACGAGACCTCATTCGGGATCCGCGCTATCACATACAGTGGCGATGGACTCTACGTCAATGGCGAGCGTATCCACATCCAAGGCGTGAATCAGCACTCGGACCTGGGTGCCTTGGGCACGGCCTTCAATACTCGTGCTGCCGAACGCCAATTAGAACATCTTCATGAGCTTGGTGTGAACGCTATTCGTATGTCCCACAACCCACCAGCTCCGGAGCTATTGCATTTGACGGATAGTATGGGCTTTCTGGTGATGGATGAGGTTTTCGACTCCTGGGAGCGCAAGAAGACCGACAACGATTTCCACCTGATCTTTCCGGAGTGGCACGAGGCTGATTTACGATCCATGATCAGACGTGATCGCAACCACCCTTCGGTATACGCTTGGAGTATTGGCAACGAAGTGGGTGAACAGACGTGTTGTGGCGAGCGCGGTGCTGAGATTGGACGAGAGCTCAATGCATTCGTCGTTGAAGAAGACCCCACGAGACCCTCCACAGCATCAATGAATGTGGCAAAACCGAACCAAACCTTCCCAGAGGCTCTTGGTATCCTCAGCCTCAATTATCAAGGAGAAGGCATCAGAGACACACCGGCTTACTCTCACACGAACGGCACTCGGACCCCACCTCAGTATCAGCCCTTCCACGACAAGTTTCCTAACAAGCTGCTTGCAACTAGTGAGTCTGCAGCCCAGCTCAGCTCGCGAGGAACGTACATCTTCCCAGTCACAGACTTGAGCTCAGCACCTGTGAACGACACCTCTGGCGGAAATTCGACGAGTCTGCAAGTCAGCTCTTACGAGTTGCATACTTCAAACTTCGGGTCCTCTGCAGACAAAGTGTTTGCTGCACAAGACTCACATCCCTTCATTGCTGGTGAGTTCGTGTGGGCTGGTTGGGACTACCTTGGAGAACCCGAACCCTACTATTCGGCAAGGAGTTCGTACTACGGCATCATTGATCTTGCTGGCTTCCCCAAGGATCGGTACTACTTGTACCAGTCGAGATGGCGACCAGACCTCAAGATGGCGCACATTCTGCCCCACTGGAATTGGCCGGATCGTGTGGGCGAGACCACGCCTGTGCATGTCTTCACTTCAGGCGACGAAGCAGAGCTGTTCTTGAACGGGAAGTCTCTGGGCAGGAAGAAGAAGGGGCAGTATGAGTATCGCCTCCGTTGGAACGATATCATCTACGAGCCTGGTGAGGTTCACGTCATAGCGTACCGCAACGGCACGGAGTGGGCTACAGATACTGTACGAACGACCGGTACTGCCGCAGGATTGCGACTCAAGGCAGATCGAGCTGAGATCGCAGCTGACGGCGAAGATTTGTCTTTTGTCACTCTGGAGGTTGTCGATGCAAATGGAGACGTCGTCCGCGATAACTATGATGCGGTCACGTTCTCAGTCTCCGGTCCTGGTGAGATTGTGGCTACTGACAATGGTAATCCGGCAGATCTCACGCCGTTCCCTTCTTCGGAGAGAAAAGCGTTCAGTGGTCTGGCCTTGGCTATCGTGAAGGCGAAGAAGGGAGAGTCCGGGGCAATCAATGTGACAGCCAGTGGCACTGGACTACAGACAGGGAATGTTATCGTGAAGGCAGCGTAGCGCCTCATTTTAGTATAGTATCGCTGACTCACCAGCGTGTGCGTATGAAGAAGTACAATCGATGTGGGCTTGCTTTGCCAGCACTATATTCGTGATGCTCAAACTTTCAAGCTTCCGACAATCCCAGGTTTGGACCAGATCGTATTTCGGTGACTGTGCCGAAAACCCGGCCTTCTCGACGAGTTCCTGCTCGGTCAAAGGCCGACAGCGTAACATTTGCCGGCGAAACTACCCCGCCATCTACTTTCGACATAGTGCGGGGTTTTGCAGACGAATGGCATCACGCATAAGAACCAAGAGAACCACTTTTGCCGGCAAAAGTATCCTGGGAGCATCATCGGGCCGGAACTTGTGGGGAGAGCAATGTGGAGGAAACTCGTATTGGCGTTGTACTTACAACGTGAAGTCCTCAACTTCAACCTCACGGAACACATCACACAACTGTACATACTTCCTTCGCAACCGGTATCTAGAAAGAACAGGACCACAGGTCAGCTTGCAGTTCGACCATACTGTAACAATATCGACCTTCAGTCATCCATATCAATTACACCATATCATTTGACACACAACCACCATCACAATAATGTCCAAACCAGCAATCGGCTTCTGCGGCCTCGGAGCCATGGGCCTAGGAATGGCCACGAACCTCGTCAAGCAAGGCTACTCAGTAACTGGCTTCGACGTATACCCTCCATCTCTCGAGAAATTCCAAAAAGCAGGCGGCATCCCCTCAACCTCGCTCTCCGAATCCGCAAAAGACAAGCCCTTCTACATCGTCATGGTCGCCTCCGCACTGCAAGCCCAACCCGCTCTGTTCGCTGACGACGGTATTGTGAAGGCACTGCCCAAGGGCACGACGCTGATCTTGATGTCGACCGTGCCAAGCAGTTACGCGCAGAGCGTGGAGAAGGAGCTCAAGGATATCGGTCGAGATGATATTTTCTTCATTGATGCGCCGGTTTCTGGCGGTGCGGGCAGGGCAGCGGATGGTACGCTAACGATTATGGCGGGTGCATCGGACGCAGCGTTCGAAAAGGGAAAGTGGCTGCTCGCCGAGATGAGTGCGCCCTCCAAGTTGTTTATTGTGGAAGGAGGGATTGGCCAGGGCAGCAACATGAAGATGGTGCACCAGGTGCTTGCGGCAATTCAGATTCTGGCTGTGAGCGAGGCGTACGGATTCGGTGCGAGGTTGGGGTTGAATGGACAGGATGTGAGTGAAGCCGTGATAGGGAGTGACGCGTGGAGTTGGATGTTCGAGAACAGGACGCAGAGGACTTTAAAGGAAGACTACTTCCCGGGTGCGAGTGCAGTCACCATTATTCTGAAAGACACAGTAAGTTGACACCTAGCCGGGGCTTGGACGACACTGACAATGAGATCAGAGCATCATCACACTCATGGCGCGCAAATTACAGTACCCCACTCCTCTCTGCTCTATCGCAGAGCAGGTCTACTTTGCAGCAGTCGACCGCGGTTGGGGCGCTAACGACGACGCCGGCATCGTGCGTCTCTGGACATCTGAGCCAGTTTCGAGCATCCAAGGCTCATTCTCAGCTGAGGAGAAGCAGCAGAAGCAGACACTGGTCAAGGACCTACTCAAGGGTATTCATCTCGTTGCTGCAGCGGAGGCTCTGTCTCTCGCAAGCCACGTCAACATTCCTCTAGCTCAGATCTACGAGCTGGCGAAAGATGCTGCAGGAGGCAGCAAGCAGTTCGAGGACTTTGGTCCCAAGATGTTGCCTGTTCTCGAGGGCCAGTCAGATAGCAACGGCAAGATCCTCAATACCTACATCGAGAAGCTGCACAAGGCGTTAGATGAGGCACAAGCCATTAAGTGCCCATTGTACCTGGGTAACGGTGCGCTGGCGTTGCTATTACAAACGGGGAAGAGCAGGGACCTTGCATCGCTGCTGAAGTTTTATACACAGTAGTGTGTAGTGGAGCTGAACATCAGGATGAACAGATAAAACATCAACGTTGATTACTGACCACTTGTCTTTCAATTGCCTCGCTGATTGATCACCTTCGAAGCTGTCCTCTTTGTTACAGAATGCCGGCTCTGACTGATCTGGTCGCTGTTCCATAATCAAGCTGTTATTTGCGGACATGCATGTGTGTCAGCTTAATATATAATCGAGCCATATCAATGCTTCGCTCTTTGTAGTATCTTTGGTGCTGACTGTTATGTCAGGCCCAGAACATGGCTTCTTCCCACGAATAGCTGTTCCTTGAGAGATAGTAATCTCAAGCTTCTCATGACCGTCGGAAGTGTAAAGCCGCGCGTCTAAGCACGCAATGCAGTCGATAAGCCATGATGTTATACCCTAGCTTTGCTGCCGGCAGCGAAGTCGTCAACCGAAGCACACTTGGTAGTCTCACTCACAACGCCTTCCTCCAAGCATGGAGAACTGCCGTCGCTTTTGTAGGCTCAACCCGGACCCGCGATGCTCTTATCTGGATAAAGAGACCTTGCATAACCGACATCAGTGCGAAAACAGTTCAGCTACTTGCAGAGCGGCTGACTGGAGGCGTAACGGCCGTCGAAGTGATAGGTCAACACAAGCCGCGTCGGCTCCATACGACGAACTGCCGGTCCTTTGATGCGTGTTTCAAGTTGCGATATCTGGTGGCGATAACACGCCATCACCCGCATCACCGAACCCATCGCTTTGCATCCAAAGCCTGAGGTTCTTGACTCCGAGCCTTGGTTGTTGTGAATGCGAGGCAGTGGCTCGCGTAGGGGTGGCGCCAGAGGGACCTGGTGACACGCATGGCGCTTCGACACGAGCCGTTGTTGATCTCTTTGGGCTGACTGCCTTTGTTCGTATCCTTGTACAACGTTCGCAATCTGATAGCAAGGCTGTCGCGTCAAAGGATTGTGGGCAGGTGATCAAACAGACAAATGTTAGATAAGATGAAACTGTGGGGAAGAGGAGATGAAGACGCGCAACCCTGTGGAGTATGGCCGGTGTCGTTGACACCGAAAACTGTCACAGTACACCGAATTTTAACGGCGTCATTGACACCGTACTAGCGTAGCCTAACTGCCTTCTACCTCTGCCTTCTACCTCTGCCTCTACCCCCTGTTAACACCCACGCCTTATTACTGCAAGCCGGGACTTTTGTATGTGGGAATAAACTTTGGCTGAATCGCCTGAATCTGTCACAATTAGGACTCTGGTGTAGATGGCCAGGGGGGGGAGTAGCGAGGGCTGCTAAGAGTGAAGGAGTATACTCCGGGTGGCAAGAACATCAAAGCAGGTAAATTGATTGATTGATTGGTTTAGCGTCCTATCTGAGTCTAAGACTATGGAAGACGTAAAGCAGGCGGATGTTAGCGGGAAGTTTGATAGTCAGGTGTGGTTGACGCTGTACTTTGCCGATTCGGTGTCCATCACACCAGACTTACTCCATAGGGATAGGGAAGCTGATCATAGCCGCCGGATATTGGAGCAGATTGCGAGCGGCTTTCTTGTTGGACTGTCTAAAAGCAAGGCGAACGAATGCTGACTGCGAACGTTGAAAGAAGTTGGTGGTACGCCACATTGACGCCCTGATACGAGGCGCATAGTGATCGACAGGAGAAGTCCTGAGGTGGTCAGCGAGCGGGTCAGATATGGCCTCAACCGCATGATGCAGCTTCTGTTCTGACAATGCAGTCACAATGCTTGGAAGGACTGTTCTGGAAGTCTCAATGTATTGCAGGCTGGTTGTTCGAATCGAAAAGCAAGCGGCACTTGCATCCTAACGCGGCAATCTACTGTCAAGCAAGCGGGATCCGAGAACCTGGTACATAGGCGGCAGAGGCGATCGAGATGCCACAACATCGTCCGTGTCAGTGACTGTCATTTTGGTGTCGCGCAGATCATTGACCCACATCAAGGCACGGCATGCAACAAAATGTTTGATCATCTGTTGGCGACGAAATTGGTCGGCATTCAAAGACCGATGGAGTGACGTCCACAGGTGCGAAGCTTTTCCCCTCTCCGTGTAACCGCCCTGCGAACCTGATTTGCGGAAGTGCGTAATGCCATGTGGATCTGCTGACAGGGTAAGATGGTGGCCTTGCAGGACGTTGCAGGACGATGCGGGACGGGTGCATGCGCATGTGATTGATGATGTGCCTGATCGAGATTACTACAGCATCCACAATCGCGCGAGCAGCGCATCATGCCATGTTGCCTTGGGGTTCCTATCTCCCTTCAGGATGATTAGAAGTCTGACATAAGGTATTGCGCCGAAACCCTTTTATAGCATGCCGACAAGGACCCAAGTTCGATGAGTAAGCCAATGCCGTGAAAACATCCTTGCATGTGTAGAGAAGGCTGTCTATAATTTGGGCAGCCTCGTGTATTCGCCAGCCATTGAATGTGGTGTCACGAGTGACTACTCATTGGAAAGCGCGCACCTGCATCGCCAATGCATCGATTCTGTACTCCGGTAGGCATTGGTGAGTGATATTTCCCCTGTCAATCAGGCAACGTTCGCATCAGCCTCCAAACCTTGTCGCTTGTTACAGTGCCGCGGAGGGTTGATTTTGCGACAATTGCTCGGCCTGCGATTCCGAAATTGAATTCTATCGAGATGACTGCTCAGCAACAGCAAGGCAGATGTCGTAATCAATGCGGAACCGCGGAGAGGATTGAGGGGCTGTAAACGTGGTCAGCAGCAAGCGCCAAACGCGCTCGCGAAGTGTGTCGACTATAATTACTCGAGATATGGTTTCGATAGACCGCTTGCTAGCAAGGTCCTCCAGAGCTGCGCCCCCATTAAGCGGTGAATGCTGTACCACCCCGCACCGCAGTCTTGACGGCGTGCAAAAGTGGATGGCTTGGAGCGGCCAACGTTAAGTTTGGGTGTGCTACTGTGGAGTGCAGTGACAGCTGTATGCGTTAGCAATCCCTGCAATATTCCAGAATGAAGAGCAATGGCAACCGAACAGCAAACCTGTAGGCCGTTGAGACCATCCTGGTATGATGTGAGACAACTTCAATGGATTGAGCATTTCCTTCGAACATGGGATTTCCAATCTGGAGATGAGGCCACGATCGTTGCTGCAACTGCAGGCAGCGGGCCGGCGTAGTGGGGCGAGAACCCACGCTTCCTCTTCTGACCGTGGAAGAAGCAGTCACGCGGAGCTTGCGGCCGCACATATGCAGGACCACAGCAATACGCGAAATTGAACAGTGAAGCTACTTGTAGGGATCTTGATACACTTTCGTGTTGGTTCCTATAAAGCTGTAAGCATAACGTCATACAGCAGCCTTGCGAATGGCTCAAAGGGCACGGTATCAGGCACGGTATCACACCAGGCCAATGCCATTAGGGCTGAGTACACCATCACCAGAGCCACGTTTTCTTGGGGTTGCATCGAAGTAGTGACGCGGCAGGGAACGTGGCCTCGGCTGAGGACCGGGTAAAGCTGCAGGCACAGCAATCATCCAAAACGCTTGTCCCTACTAATCGTGTCAAGCACATTCGTGTTCGTGAGGTGGTGATACTATCAATCGTGAGCGTGTTTCACATTGAGCAAGATTGGAGCAAGAAGTATTGAATGTGAAGTGATCTTTGATCGAGTGATTAATGCTGTAAGACAAATTGGGTATAGGTATCCTCCAGGCAATGAAGTTGCAAACATTAACTCCCAAGTGGTCCGTCTATAGGTAACAATGCAATAGCGCACAATCATGTGGCTCCCAAATGCGCCAACTGATGCAGTGTAGAAAACAAGGAAGGAAGTGCTCGGTATTACAAGGGCTGGTGTGCCTCTAAGCGAAAGCAGGCGTCTAAAGAGAAAAGAACAAGACGCTAAGGTCCTTTCACCCGAGCCAGCGTGTGTGGAAAACATGAGACGTCATGACCTGACGTTGAGACGTTGAGTCATAGTAGATGATGCGCAAAAGATGCAGGCGATAGGCGTAGTCGTTGGAGCCTTGTACCGCAAGGCTCGCAGGACACGAGGCTCGTTTGCTAGGCAGCAGGGCCGATACCCGATGAACACGCTAGGAGGCGCGTGGCGTGTTGATAGTTGACCGGGGTGTGATGCACGAGGTGTGTCGAACATCAGATCGTGTTGAATCCTGCAGATGCTTTGCATGACGGCGGCACGCCAGAGGATGGCAGTGTGCGTTTCGAATCGAGTGGGGCGTATAGTAAGGTGACGTGGGATGATAGTCGGATAAAGGATGAGAGGATATCGATGTTAAGAACGCCAGAGCCAATTGCAAGTCGAAAGGACAAACGTGCAGAAGTAGACCGGTTGTGAGTTTATTTGGAAGGAACCGGAGGCAGAGGGCGTGTTGGTGGTGGTCCCGGGCAAGGAGGGAGGTTGTTGTTTGCCATGTTGGACTCGTCGTAAATGGTAGCGGCCATTATGTTGATTTGTAGCTGAAGCTTGGTAGTGGTGGAAGTCGGTTGTAAGGGTTGAGCGTTGGCGAGGTAGTAGTCGAGTAGGCTGGACAGTGACTGGTAGTTGTGTAGAAGTAGTGTAGGGCTGCTGTAGATATATATCTCGAGTGGTGTCCGGCTGAGTGGTTGTTGTATGAAACTAAGGATACGAGCAGTGGGGGTCAACGGTATTTATGTACGTGCTCAAATTGCTACAGCCCCAAAATGTCGGTCAGCTACGTACTTTTGACGATGTGTGTAATTATTCTAGGCAGCGCATGGCACGGCCCAAGCGGTGAAGCAGGCGTTGGGCTGATGGACCAGGAAAGGGGTGGCTCCTGGTTTGTGCATGAGCTAAATCATGCCGAAACATCGCTCATCCTGGTCAATTAATGAGCACGGGTGGGAAGAAACACGAAGACGTGCTTCGTTTCATCGCCCTCGTGACTGCTCTGAAGATCGTGGTGATCCAATCCCGTCACAGTACTGTCGCCGTCGTGGCATGCCGTTTGCGGAGCGCATCATTTCCTGCACAGCTGAAGATGACTCTTCGGCGCGAATTGTATGCCTAACTCTGACATCACTACCTGGCTCTCACAGCTTATTCTTAGTAAGTTCGCTAGTGTGAACGGTCGTGATGATTGAAACGTAGCCCTCCTTTTCCAAGCAGATGGTTGCCAGGGCCGCCTTCCAGCGCCAAAACGCCGCTTCTGACCATGTGTGAAAGAGGGCTTTGCTTTCGAGGTATTCAGGAACAGGCAAGGCCTGCTTCAGTCTTGTGTCAGGGTTAAATTTCTGACACGGCGACAGCCACGGGCCACACAGACTTGACGAATTTTGTCACCCAATTTGCAACGTTGCTCATGCCCAGCAGAGCCAGCATCCACAGTCTCCATCGCAGCTGGAAGATCTAGCGCGTGCGGCGCCCTTCTCCCGTGCTTCTGCCATGCTTCCATCCAAGTTCCAGTCCCCCCTGGAATTTTCTTGCTCCACTTACGACTCTGCTCGTACCCGTCGGCGGTGAGTTTCGCGTGTCATTTGTCCAGCAAGCTGTTTGCCCCACGGCGAGTAGGCTGAAGATACGCGAGGGAGCAGTCAAAGGGTCCTGTCATGCGTATTTTTATCCTGGTGCTTGCCTTGTTTGCGCGACTCGTATAATCCTGGCGGACGTGCAAAAGCAGAATGATGGCGTCTCTGCCCTGATTCTTGCAGCCCTCCGGCGTCCACAAGTGGCTGGTGGTGTGCGAACTCAACCGTGGGACTATCCAAAACTAGCCCGGCAGCTCCGAAAGGAGGAGTTGTGGGTATGCAGCCATCGAGGCGTTGCGACCGCGCTGCCAACGACGTATGCCAGAGGACCGGAGGGTTGCGCCGCATCTTTCGTTTGGTGCAAGTGCAGCTGAGGCTACATTCCACGTGGACGAACAGGGATCATGTCTGAAGCACCTCGGATGAGCACTCGTTTGTGTGCAATTGCTTTTCATTCGCAATTTGTCTCCCCTTACCCCTGCTGCTCGCCAAATGAGCTGTAAACAGCTTGCTGCTTACTTGATCCATGCATCGGACGTCTCGGTAGAACAAAAATTCTTCCATCGCCGGAAGAATGTAAGACCCTTTGTCAGTTGTGCCTTGTTTGGGAAAGCGAATGGACCGATCTACAGGGGCACGCCTGGCCCTATGTCAAAGCTTGATAAGGGAAAATTGTCTGCCACACCATCGCCACCGCAATCGGTCTCAAATTTGCCACAAATCTGCTGTTTCAAAGCTGTGGAGAAGACGTTGGCTCTTGTTACAGACCAGGTTGAGAGTGGTTGTGACTCATTTCAGATTTGTGACCCGACGGTGTGAATCTGAGGGGCGTAATGAAGCTGACAACGTCCCAGCAGACTGGACGGTGCGGAGAGGAGCGAGGAAAGACCGAGCGTCCGTCTGCCGTTTACTGACAGGTCATCAGATGATTGCCAATATCACGGCAGCATGACTGGTCACTCAAAAAGGTTTGTAGCTCGTCGCCATGCCACCGTCATGGCGCCTGCGGGCTGCTGGTAATCGAGTCTTAGCGGATGGCGCACCGAGCTCGCACAGCTGAGTAACATGTTCAAATTTTCGCAGTTTGTCGGCGACTTTCAAAAGCAAGCTCAAGTTCGAGAACCACAGCAAAGTTGGTGATGAACTCTAACCTGTGAGTCTGGCCTGATGCATGCAGTCGTTCGCATAACATGTCACCCAGCAAACGCAAACCTGAGAGCTTGTTTTAGCCGTGGACGCGTCGAGCAGGAAGTCGTCATCGATGTCTTAAACTTTGGCCACGAAGTTGATCGTGAAGGGGCAGGTTTGTAAGTTCCACGCTGCTGCAGGTACGCGAACGCACATCGGCGCTACCGTGCGGCCCTTCACTTGTGGCTTGCAAGCGAAAGGAGTGGAGCGCCACAATACTGCTGAGCCCGGCGATCCCGAGGCATCATCGTCAATATTGCTTAATTGCTTTTCAAGAGCTGATCAGTGATCATATAGTAGGAAAGGCTTCACGCGCACTTGAAGACCAAGGCGCAAACGGTAGGTCGATGCGTGCTGCTTTCAAAATATACCAGAAAGCGTGGATTGCGACTATACTAGCCCTTGCGCAACGTAACTAATGACATCTGTTGCCGTACGTGGTAATGGGATGTCAGGAACACTGCACAACTGCTTGATGCAACCCAACTACATCAATAATTTGTGGGCCCCATGACTGCCGATAGCTTTCTTGCTATCATTTCCTGTGAAATCGCCAACTGTTACGCCTTCACGTATCGCCGATCGTGAAGATGGCCATGCACCGTCGTGCGTTGCATTAGGTAGTCATCGACACACGAGGTAGCAGCTGTGATCAGTCCGCCACAATATTACCATACCACCGCAAAAGCTGCGCTCCCGAAGAACGACCATGCAATGCGACATTGCGTCCAGGTAGAAGTCGAAAGGACTGCCGGCAACTACACCTCTGCGGTCGACCGCTCAGTTTTATAGGCAGATGTTGCATACCGGTTTTGTAACCGCTTGATCATTTGTACTGCTCCATCACACAGATGGCCCATTCGGTTCAGCCGTTATCTTCCTCATCGTCCACCTGCCCAGCAGCTTGAGTCGATACCCAGTTCTCCAGCATCTGCTGACTGGACACCGGTGCACTGGCTCCCCCTGCAGCATTGCTTACACCATGGCGCTTGACCACGAGACATAGTATACGACCGTATATGCTGAAGCCTTCGTAAGAAGTATTCAAGCCTAACTTTTTCTTGTCATCCTCCTCACCTTCAGAAGCCTTGGCATCCGCAGGTGCTGCGCCTGTCTTGCTCCGCTTGCTGGTCGTCTCTGGAACGAACAAGTCCATATCGTAACTATCACCTGCATGACTGTCTGCATCCTTCTTGACTTCGCTCCTGCTTCGCTTTGTACGTGTGGATCGTTTGGTCGAGGTCTCCGCCTCGGGAATGTCAGCAAGATCGATCGCATCATCATCCTCTTCTTCGATGACAATTGGATCTGTAGCGATCTCATTGATGACCATCGGCTGATCACTTGTTCCAGTCGTGAGCCAGTTGGTGAGCTTTCCGGAATTGCTTTGTATGCGAGGCTTGTCCTTAAATATCTTCTGCTTGGTCATGACCGAATGGCGAGACGACAATTCGGTCAGGAAGATTGACACTTCAAAATCATCTGGATCGTTGTCAGCTATCTAAATGACAGAGATGTTTCACCGTTGTCAGGTTTGTCTGAGATGCGTCGAGGCCGTTAATACAGGCAGGCAAGACCTACCTTCAACTACAACATCTTTGACACCCTTCTTCTTTACTTTGGTCCCAGCGCGACCCTTGACTCGCTCGTTTTCTTCTCGGAGTTTGGGAAGGACAAGGGGACGAACAGCTCGGATGACGCGTGGAAGAGCTGGGTTGTCGCGTTTCAACAGCCATGCCTCAGCATCTGCTGGGCGATCCAAGTAAATTCGTACCTCAAGAACAGAGTGCTTCGTAATGCGCAGGTAGCGTCTAAGTGGCGCCATGTTCCAACGACTTCTTTACTGCCGTGTTTGACGTTTTGATGGCTGTCTGTGTGTGAAGTAAATGAATGGGGGCGGGAGTGGCTGTCATTAGGAAGTTGATGCGTGTTCACGTGCTAGTGTCATTGCCAAGACCATTCTGCGATTGATGAAGCTTGTCACTTTCTCCCGCGGCGTGTTGACAAGATATCCTCGAAACACCACTGTTCCTGCGTCTTGTGAAAAAGATGGCGTTGGAGCTTCATGTATGGGGTCCAGCCTTTGGGCTACCCTCAATTGACCCTGAATGTATAGCTACCGTTACTTACTGCCAGCGGGTCCTTCCAGAAGGGCAATGGAGCCTCGTTGCAAGCTATGACAAGTCAGTCGGCTTGATGGGTATGTTGCAGGGATGGTTGTTCTGGCTATCTTGTAGCTTACACATTGTCAGAGAGCCTACCAATTCTTTTCGATGGTGGAATTGCAACGGCGACAGGGTTTGAGGACATTGTCTCCTATCTGCGCAACCACACTGCAGTCAGTGAAGACCTCGACGCAAATCTGAGCAGTCAGCAACAGAACGACCGAACCGCATACTCTACCTTCCTTCGATCGACAGCCACTCCCCTTATCGACCTCTCACTCTTCGTCTCAGCAGAGAACTACAACACCACTACCTCTTCTGCATACACAGCGATTCTGCCATGGTACGCCAACTATACCGTACCACCCAAACGGCGAGATCTGGCAAGGATACGGACAGCACACATGGGTCTGGATAGCTTGGACGTAGATACAAGAGCCGAGGAAGGCGCAGCCCCCGGCCGAGGCACCGCATCGGCAGAGTTCGAGGCTGCAAAACGAGCTGCAGGGCTGCCGACCGACAGTCAGCCAAGTGTAATGAGCATGGGACGTGGTAAGGGCATTGGGGGCTTCCTGGGTACACAAAAGTATGCTGCGCGGTTCAGGCTCGATGCTGTATCGAACGAGCTGCTAGAGCCATTGTCAGATCTTCTTGGAGAAAATGAGTATCTACTCGGTATAGCGCAGCCTTCCAGTCTCGATTGTCTGGCATTTGGCTACTTAGCACTGATGCTATTTCCGGCTGTACCAGAAGCATGGCTCAAGGAGACAATAACTACGAAGTTTTCAAGGCTCGCTACATACGTTAGCAAGTTGCGCAAAGATATCCTCGCCGACGAAGATGTAAGCGCAGCTCAGGTGTGGGCCATTACCGCTGGTTCAGCGCCTTCAGCAACAGAGAGGCCGCAGGGCGTGCTCCTGCCGTGGACGACCGGATCGCAAAGCTTCACATCACACACATTCACCGGCGTTCGAGAAGTCATTGGGAATATCCCAGTGCTGTCGTCACTCCTGAAACGAGAGGTCGTTTCGCCTGCAGAACCATCACCATCGTCCAGCCGCATCGTTTCCGAACTTCCTTCGCCATTATTCGTCAATACTCTGCTCGGCTTTACCGCTGCAGTTGCTGTAGGATTTGCATCCTTTGCTATCCAGCACCGCCGGTCGCCTCGGGAAGGAGACCTTATATTCTGGGCGATACGCCCAACCTTTGGACTTGGGGAAGCGGGCAACATTCTCAATGTCTTGGGCCAATTGCCCAGGGGAAGGCTCTCTCAGTTCTAACTGGCATTTTATTTTGCATTGCGACGGCGCCAAAAACACTCAGATACCCAGCCTGTACAACACAATGTATGACCTTTGACTGCGTATCTGTCAGGCATCAAAGCAGTCGCTGAAACTCAGTGCCATTGACTAGAAGAGACATGCCGCAACACTCGTAAGCACTGTGTAATGTGAGACGTGAAATTGGTGTGGTGCACTGGTGCTCAGCAAGACGTCACAGGGACCAAACACCAGCCGCAGTTGACAGCTAGTTCCTCAAAGAGTGTCAATACGCAGATACGCGGCCTGCGACTCGAAGACACTGCGGATCAGACCACCACCACGCACGTTGCCATGTAAACAAGTGTAAATAGTCTTCTCAGTGAGCTATAACGCGCCTAGCAATGATCGTAGACTGGGTTGCCTGTGCGACAACATGATGTACCGGCTAGAACCGTCCACGGGTTCTCCACGGCGATCTTGCCAGGATGTGAAAGGCGCCGTGGGCTGGCGGTACGTCATCGACCTGGGCGCTAGCGACCGCAAACACTCAAAAACAGCGATGCCCTCAGATCACTCGCATTCCCCCTGTCACGAGAAATCTCATCACTTAGGCTGTCTTGTAACTCTTTAGATCTTACGGATCTTAAATCGCAAACTTCAACTACCTTGATCTAATCCGCCACATCCGCCCAACATGCATCGCACATACAGTATGCGCCAGTCTCGCGCGCCCACGGTAGGCATCGACACTCTGCGACATGCTTCTGAAGTGTAATCCTGACTCTCGCGCAGGCGTCGCAGATCCAGAACCCCCCTCCTCCCTCGTCCTCGACGAAGAGCGGGCGCTTCTTTGGCAAGGCTAACATTGGTATGTTACATGTCAACACCAAAGGGGCCAAGACGGATACTAATCAATGAATCTCCAGGCCACACTTTCCGCCACAAGTCTGCTGGCGCTTTCGGACCCGACCTTGCGAAGAAGCTCTCACAGTTGGTGAAGATGGAGAAGAACGTCATGCGCAGCATGGAGCTCGTATCCAGGGAGCGTATGGAGGTCGCCGTAAGCTCGTGCCATTTCGGACATATCTCCGGACCGACACTAATTGATGCTGTAGCAACAACTGTCCATCTGGGGAGAGGCATGTGACGACGACGTTTCTGATGTTACAGACAAGCTCGGCGTCCTGATCTACGAGATTGGTGAGCTTGAGGACCAGTATGTCGACCGCTACGACCAGTACCGTGTCACCATCAAGAGTATCCGTAACATCGAGGCTTCTGTCCAGCCCAGCCGTGACCGTAAGTTTGATGATTCTTCTCAAAACTCCACAACTAACAATGTATAGGCAAGCAGAAGATCACCGACCAGATCGCTCAGTTGAAGTACAAGGAGCCCAACTCCCCCAAGATTGTTGTTCTTGAGCAGGAGCTTGTGCGCGCTGAGGCCGAATCCCTCGTTGCTGAGGCCCAGTTGTCCAACATTACCCGTGAGAAGCTCAAGGCTGCTTTCACCTACCAGTTTGATGCCATGCGTGAGCACTGCGAGAAGCTTGCCATCATCGCCGGCTACGGAAAGCACCTTCTCGAGCTCATCGACGACACCCCTGTCACCCCTGGTGAGACTCGCCAAGCATACGACGGATACGAGACCTCGAAGGCGTAAGTTGACATCTTCACCTACGCACGCATATCGTACTAATCATTTCCCAGCATCATCCAGGACTGCGAAGACTCACTCACCAACTGGGTTGAGCAGAACGCCTCTGTCTCCTCCAAGCTCTCCACCCGCTCCCGCACCCTCTCCCAGCGCCGCCGCAACCGCAGCCAGCACACTGGCGAGCCTGTCGACCTGTCTGGTCAGGACCAGCCCCTTGACAGCCGCGAGTCTGGCTTGTGGATCCCTGCTTCTGAACACCGAGGTAACGGCTACGATGACGAGGAGATTGATGAGGCTGGTTCCACCATCGCCAGCGAACACCGTGGTCGCGAGGAGGAGAGGATTGCCACATAAACAGTGTGCTGACGGTCTGCTTAGTAGCTTTCCGATCTCCGTCTTCTAATAGTGCGTCTACGTCTTCACGACTGCAGACGATGTATACCCCTGACGGAGCGGTCGATGTTTCTGCGGATATGCGTTCGGGCCATTGGAGCAATATGGGTTTGGCTATGTGACGTTTGTTGGATACTTAATGATTTTACGAATAGTAACATAGTATCAAATCGACGTAATTGTGTAACCGAACGCTGCAGTCTATATCCTCTCTATGATCAGATATTCGAGATTCGAGTTGCCAACCTATCACAACCTGCTTGGGCATATTTGGATGATCAGCGTTTGTTGGGAACCATGATCTGTAGGTCTACTACTCCATCGGTCTTTCTTGGTTCCTGGATTCCAATAGTCCGATTCGAGCGCTGCTGACGAATAACACTCGCCTACAGTTTTGTAGCAGGCTGGACGGACGCTCCGCATAATGAATGGCATACGTGCTCCGTCAAGCGCGAAAACACAATCGCCTTCATCGAAAAGATCGCGAGCAAAGCCTACACTGTAACAGATCGAGAAGGCCTTCATCTCTTGAACTCTATCAGGTTCTTCTTGACTTTAAGTCGCATCTGACAAGTACCGAGTGAACGTCAGCAGGTCGTGATCGTCTAGGACACCCGTATTACTCGTACCGTCGATGCCCATAGCAGCCAATGCTGCCGTGGATATGTGGTAGTTGTGGTCCTCGGGGCGCTCAAAAACTGGTAAGATACAGGGACAACATCTGTAACTCGGTTTAAAGCCTCGTTGTGTGCGACGGCGATGGGCTTTCGTGACACACGTAATACAATTGCAAGCAGTTTGCGTGAACAGTCAAATCCGCCCTATTATCATCGCTTAGGAATCAACCGTTACCATGAGTGAGAAACAGCATATCCTCTGGCGAACTGTTGCATCAACATCTTGGAAGTGATATGACACTATCAACGAAATGTGCCCGGACCTTCAGCTGTGGTAAGTGTCAATGGGTAGAAAGTGAGCATAATCTTGATGTATTAGTAGCTACCTACGTGGTGTTTATCTACACAGAAGGGAACTGTGAGCGCTAGCCAGAAAAGGGAAGGCGCAGAGCCTCTAGAAGAAGGGACGCAGTGAAGGTGCGTGGCTGACAGTAAGAATCCTCGGAGACAGTAACGCGAGTCGTTGGACGGTTTCTGAAAGACAACCTTTGACCCGGCCTTGTGGTCTTCTTCAATCCTTACTGAGGCTAGTGACGGTGATTCACCAACTGTCACTTTAAACTGCCAAGGGCCGATACAGTCGCCCCGGAAGTACAGGGCTGCTGGTAGGGACAAAGGTGTGTTGCCGTGTGTACATTTTCGGATGAGATATCGATGAGAATTTGCCTAAACTGTAGCTCATCAAGGCATCGTGCAACCGATGTATAACGTAAGACGTTGAGATCCTGTCGTGTTGTGACGATGGCAATGAAAGCGTATTGGTACACCGCTTCAAACCTGAGCGAATAATCAACGTCTTCGAGATTAATATGCAGCATTTGACAAAGGACAGGATCAGAGAATTCTCCCGGAAGTAGATCGATGAGTCGTATCTCCTGACCAAGTGTATAGTTGAGTTTGTGATATTGATACCCCGAGTCTGACGAGGCGCACTACTGAGTTGGTGTTGCGGGTTCGAAGACAGCCTCGCCGCATGCAAGGCAACAACGAACTCCGTCGAACTTGCGTATATCTGGGTGTCGACAAGGCATATCGAAGCTGTCTCAAATGTTCTGGATCTTGCGGAGAGATCGCGAAGTTGAACTTGGTGGCGACAGTGTAACCCTAAGGGCAGCTGCGGCCACGCTGTGTTCAAAGACAGCCCACAGATAATAAGAGCTCATGATCCTGTACTCTCATTGACTAGTCTCGTGCAAGATGAACAGTGTTGACACCCCATCAACAGCAAATATCCCAACACTTTCATAGAACCTTCTCCGTACGTGGCCCCTGTAGGTACATTCATCGTAGCCGCTCTCTGTATGGCCCACGCTATAGTGTGTCTCGAAAAGATGGTTATGCTTGGGAAAATGACTGAAGCTATCCACAAACTCCAGGAGATCTGGTCATTTGATCTTCAGTCTAATTCCCTCCGGAAGGCAAAGGTCATAACAAAACCCTTTTGGGCCAAAAGGCCCAATATACTCAAACTCAGAGTCTGAGCTGAAGTACTTCCAGACCCATGGCACTCTCATGTTTGAGAACTTGGCGACATAAGAGTCGATATCTGACGCAAAACATTCATGATCTCTGCGTCGTACTATAGAGTGAATGAAATGAGATCGGACGCAAAACCTCGGCATGATGTTCGCTGTCCCGTTCAGGGTGTAGGACGGAGCTGTACAAGTGGCGACAGAATCGTAACGCATATTCCAAGTAGCCTCATCTTCATGGTTCATATCGTGAAGGAGTTTCACCTTAATGCGCGAGCGCCATAGTCCAAGCCCTTTGTCGAGACTGAGGGCGTCCGTAGCTTTGGGGGTCATATTTCGACACGAAACTGTGAAAGTCGTATATGTTTAGGATAGTAGCTGGCCCTACCCGATCATCGATAGACTCTATAGCTTGGTAAGATGCAAGGAAGTTAAAGATTTCTAGGTTTCCGCGACTTGCTACTACAGCAATGATAGCATTGCAGTATACGGTTGCGGTATTGAGAGAGTAGTTTACTGGTATGAAAGATCGAGAGTAGGGCTCTATGAGGTTGAGGACTGCAAAGACCTTGTCCTTAGGATCTCTTGACTTGCACGTCATGCTGGCTTGCAAGCATGTCATGATATCGGCAGTGCGCGCTAACCTGAGGCTCCACATCAAGACAGAGGGAACTTTACGACCTTGCCGCATTCTTTCCAATACAGGGAAGAAAAGCTCAGCTTCATGTGCATGAACGTGCAAATGCAATCTCTTGGCAGTGCGACGTCCTGGATTACCCAGACCTGTTCGAAGTAGCGCAACTCTAAGAGTGTTTCGAGCGTGCTATTGAATTTGTGTTTGTGAAATGAGTAGAGGTCTTCGTTAGGCCATTGGAGCCAGGAGAACAGGGGCAGAAGACGTTCGTGCAAATACTGGGTTTCGCATACGGAATGGAGATGACGACGCTTTGGGGAGCTGAGAATATCTGATCTATTAAACCAACTTGACGATTCCTCTCGGTAACATCTGTCTGATTGATACAGATCGCGTCAATCCAGAGCCGTCGCTCCCTGCTAGGATGCCTCAGCTGAAGAAGTGCAGCCTCGCAATTTATTGTGACATGCATAATTGCACCATTGGTGAACTGAATGGTTCGTGACTTGCTGTCGTCTCCATCTTCGCCAGCCCAGGTGTACGAGACTGCTTCAAAGACTGGTTTGTCATCCAGATAGACATGTTTTATCTCACATTGTAGCGGTTCAAGGTCTCTGCCAGGCAGCAGAACTACGAGACAAATTTCTTTTCCAAGACCAAGATGAAGACGGGTGTGTTGATATTCGACAGGGATAACTGTTGGCTTCAGTCGGATCGCTGTCGGTGCAATCTGTTGTTCTTCAAATACTGCTTCACCGCAGGCTAGACAGCATCGTACGCCGTCGAATTTGCGCATATCCTGGTGTCGATAGGGCGTGATGTTGTGTTCAGAGGAAACAAACCAGTGTCATGAGAGTAATATGTATGGGAACACGCAAGAGCTGTGGTGTGATGGCCGGTAAGCGTGACGTGGGACGGCTGTGCGTGGGTTGAGGGGCCATGGTGGGACGTTCAGTGGCAGACAAAATAAACAGATCCTTGTCTTGTTGACGCTTCGGGTATCTGGACAGATGTACTGTTGATGATAAGTTGTCGTGGATGGAAAAGGATTGCAAGAAGAGGCCGATGTTGCTGGCGCTAAAATTTTAGCGTCATTTTCTACCAAAGTCGATCTGCTCCTTCTCCGACTGCCACCACTATCACACTACTGTGCGCATCTTGGAAGTCGTCAAAACTTGAAGTGTATCACACAGTATTGCCAATAGGTCGGATGTGCAGATGCGGGAGCCCCGTATCCAAACTTTGATAAGGAAACGGAACCAAGCTTTCACGTCAACATGTCCAATCAAGACGGTCTAGAATGGGTAGAAGGCAAGTTCGGTCTCGAGCCACACTGGATCAGAGAGCCTGACACCAACATTGTCTCTCAAATCGCACGCAAGAATCTGAATCTCAGCAGTGACGTCCCAGTCGATGTCACTTTCCACTCCAAAGGCGCCTTCACCAAGCTCTACAAAATCTCGACCCCGGATAAACCATACCTTCTACGCGTCTCCCTCCCCGTAGACCCACACCACAGGACAGAAAGCGCCGTGTCCACAATCGCCTTCGTGCGGCAAATCACATCCATCCCAGTGCCCCACATCATCGCCTACTCCTCCGACAACTTAAACGAACTAGGCTTCGAATGGGTCCTCATAGACAACATACCCGGCACTACTCTGCACAAAGTATGGAGAGGAATGTCCTGGGACGCCAAAGAAGCGATCGTCAAGCAGCTAGTCGAGCACCAGGCGCAACTCTTCGAACATCGGTTCCAGAAAATCGGGAATATTTTCCGCCAGGACGATGGGTTCGTGGTGGACCGTATGGTTACCACGATATTCTTCCAAGGCGATCACCTCACGCACAACGCCGTTCGCGGACCGTTTACGTCGAGCTACGAGTGGCTGAAGGCACGGTTACAGCTCGTTCTTACTGATCAGCAGCGCATCCTAAGTACGTCGTGCGATGAAGACGAGATTGAGGATGCAGAGTTTGCGCATGGGTTGGCGAAGAAGTTGGTTGAGATACTGCCGACCGTGTCCCTGCCTAACGTTAGCGCCAGTGAACCGACTGTTCTCTTCCATGATAATCTGTTGATGCATAACATCATGGTCGATGACGAGGGGAAGCTACTAGCGATCATGGACTGGGAGTGTATCTCAGCCGTGCCACTATGGCGAGCTTGCCAGTTGCCTCAGCTGTTTGATGAATGGATCCGGAGAGAGAAGCCCGAGAAAAACAACTATGCACCAGACTCCGATGAAGAAGACGAGGATGACGATGGACTCGACAACGAGGGTATCAGTGATCTGTACTGGGAACATCTGCTGGAGTACGAGATGTGGCAGTTGCGTAAGCTCTTCGTGGAGGAGATGGAGAAGTCAAGTCCAGCTTGGATCGCAGTGACACAGCAGGGCATACTGAAAGTCGACTTCGAGAGAGCGGTGCAGGACTGTGACAACGGGTGGAGGAACAGGGTTGTCAAACGATGGGTAGACTCATTGGCAGAGGGCGAGCCTAAGAGCCTAACACATATGCTATACTCCTACTCTGAGAGTAATTAAGCAAGCCAGACGAGCATGGACTTGGAGGAGGCTTGATTGGGCTCTTGAAGTCATTGCCTGCGTCCAGACTTCTGGCAGCGCAGGAGGCATGTAAATACGAGCACTACCAGATATCAATGATCTCCATCTACATGGGTCATGGCGCTACATCAAACCAACAGTGCTGGCAAAGGAACGGTCGGCCGGCTCTGTGCAGATAACAATCACCAACCAATTCATAATGCCCCCTCCCCTCTTGCAGTATGAAAGGAACGTCTGCCCCATACAACGCCCACACAGAGTCTCCTAAGTCAGCCTCCCCACGAGTGAAATCAACGGAATATTCTGTTGCAAATGCTGTCTTGCCAGCCCCGAAAGCCTCGATATTCACCATCAGATCCTTGCGTTCTTGCTTTCATGATGCCTTGAAATCAGTATTGGAAAAATCGGGAGTATTATACGTATTAGTACAGATCTGGCAGTAGGTGACTCCAAAAGCTGACCAGGTTGCTTGCGAAATAGTGATTATGCTGTGTTTTGCTATTGGACCTATGTGTCGAACAATGCTGTCGAGGCGATGAGCGCATAACTTGAGACATTGTAATTTTGGTGGCGACACAGTGGGCCCGCGGCTGGCGAGCGCTGAAGAGCGACTGGCAGGCCAGGCGTCGCGTTCCAAAATCTTGTAGGTGAATGCTGCGCTTTGTTGATGTACGATCTGCTGTGCGAGATGCTCGTCGTCTTCGGCCGAGAGAGACTATTCCGACTCGTGTATCGATTGCAGAAGCTGCCGTTGAAAGATTTGTATCTTTGCTGTAGATGTTCGAATCAGAGGCGAAGTTGGTGACGATCTGCTCGATCAGGAGCCTTTGAGGTAGCTCATGACGAAGCCATGCGCTGGGGTTCGTCTGGAGCATATACCATGATGATGCAAAGACCTGTTTCTCGACCGATGAGAATTGGGCGGGCAGCGGCGCATAGATATCCTTGAAGTCCCACTGAGGGATCCAAGTAGGTGACCGTTTAATTTCTTGTCAATCGCGATCGGAGACATGCTGGCAGTGCTGCAACATGTCGAAGCGCCCCAATTCTTCCGTGCAGTGAAGTGCCAACTTTTTGAACACTTCCGAGTGTCTAAGTGAATACTCCACAGAAAAGTGAGCAGAGAATCTCAGATTCGTCAAGCCCAGCAAAGCATAGACCCTATCACGAGAATCTCTAGTGGAGCAGTTTCGACTCTTGCACAACCTAGCTATAATATCATCTTCTTCCTCGAGGCGACTTGAAGGGGCCCAGCGAAGGACACTAGGGGGCTTAATGCCGACCGAAGAACAGATGTCGAGCGTCCTTGAAATTGTAGCCCCTGCCCAGCGAACTTCGTGCTCGCCAATGATGAGACTGACCAGCTGAGCAAGCCTGATTTCTTGCATGATCCACACTCGATCGAAATATGGTAATCCCAAAAAAGACCACAGGTTTTCTTTCCTACTAGGCTCGATGTGTATAACTTGTGTCTTATCTTGAAGGATATTGATAACTCCTCGAAGTGTGTTGGTCACCCGGTCGGGTTCGACTCAAGGTAGGCGAGCACTTGCGCGGCGTTCGTGTAGATTCTTGACATCAGCCTGACTTTGGGGTTCTTCTCCGAGGTGTCGTTTTGATTGATACAGATGGCATCAATTCACAACCGTCTATTGCGACCTTGAAGTCAGAGGCGCCGAAGTGCTGCTTACCAGACTGAATGTGAAGGCATTTGAAGGAGTGATCGATTCTCTTCAATCTAAAGCTGATTGTAAGCAAAAGCACATAGTGAACAGTTCTAGCCTAGATCGCCTCTATCTAGTGGGGACTAAGCCGCGTGGGGTAGACGCAAGTTACATCCGAGCTTCGTTGTATGACAGGCACCTCGATGAAGGGCTCACAAGGCCGTTGACGCAGAACAAGCGCAACATCCATTTGCGAAATTACAACGCGCTGTGTTGACCATTGATGGCTCCTTCAGCTTCGTGATAGAGGTGGAAATAGTGGCCGGAGATAAGCTCCATCTTCGCGGCGGCTGGAGCTACCGAATAGCCTATCGATTAAGCTATCAAAGCTCTCGTGTCCTTTCGATGGCGTCTTCGAAACGTTCCTCATGCCATCTTGACTTTCTGGATACGAAAGACCTAAAATGAGTTCCTCGCATGCACCTACGAGCCCGCCGAGCGAAGGAGACGACGCAAGAACGGTGACTTACGATCCGAACGACCCATTTTGGCGAGAGACCGAGACCGAGGAAGACGATGATGACGACATGGAGTACATGCCCGCCTCCCAAGGCAGCGACGAAGATGGAGACGACGATGTAGAAATTAGCTTCCATGGTACATACTAGCACCTTTATAAAGCAGCAACAGACTGTGTAGACTAACAATGCATAGATGCCGCGGACCATCTAAGCAATCTAAGCGGGGTTGAACTGGTCTTCGAATCCACCGACGGGAACGATGACGACGATAACGACGAGGAAGAAGAAGACGAAGAGGGAGAGGGGGCAGAGGCTCGGCGACCAGTATACATCACCCGCGACCAGATCATGCAGCTGCTCGGCCACGCAGGACTTGGCCGGATATTTGCCTCTGACTTTACAACACGCGCAGCAGCACGGCGGGTGAGAGTGGATGACGACGACGAAGAAGAAGAAGATAGCGATCCAGGTACAGGCTACGATGCAGTGGGTCCCAGGAGTAGCAGGCGAGCCCGGCGTGCACGAGGCGAGGCGCTCTATGAGAAGGTGCCAAGCGAACGGGGTCAGGAGTTGATGAATGGCGGTATCTTTGGATCAAATATACGATCAGAGGACACAGTCAAGAGAAAGAAGAGGTTAGCATACAACATCATGCGGAGAGAGCTGGGCTTGGGGAGTGAGGGTCGCCAGAAGAACGCCACCCGGTTAATGAAGCAGGACATGATCCCAGAGTCTGTCGCCGACGCCATCATCCACTACAACGCACGATGTTATTCTGGACAGTTCTCAGATGATGGTAACTTCTTTTTCTCTTGCGCGCAGGACTTCCGAGTTAGGATGTACGACACATCGAACCCATACGACTGGAAGTACTATAAGGTGGGTGGCAAACCTGAAAAAGCAGGCAAGCTGATGCTGACATACTATAGTCTGTTGTCTACCCCTACGGACAGTGGACAATTACAGACGCGTCACTTAGCCCTGACAACCGTTTCCTTGCATACAGCTCCATCCGTAGCATAGTATGTCTAGCACCAACCGATCCAGAGAACGACTCCGAGCCAAACCTTCTCGATTTCGCCAATCTCGGTGGCAATAACCCTCGCGGCTTTCACACATACTTTGGCATCTGGTCTATCCGCTTTTCCGGCGACGGTCGCGAAATTGTAGCCGGCACAGGTGACAACAGCGTCTACGTCTACGACATCGAGCGCCGGCAATCCGTCCTGCGCATCCCCGGTCACCAAGAGGATGTAAACGCCGTCTGCTTCGGCGACTCGCAATCCCCACACATCCTTTACTCGGGCTCAGACGACACGACCCTCAAAGTCTGGGACCGGCGCTCTATGGGCGACGGCCGCGAAGCCGGTGTCTTCCTGGGCCACACCGAAGGCCTGACGTACGTCGATAGCAAAGGCGACGGGCGCTACGTACTGAGCAACGGCAAAGACCAGACCGCCAAGCTCTGGGATCTGCGCAAAATGATGAGCAAAGAGAAGGCGGATAGAATCGATCCCAACCACTACACAACCCGCTTCGAATACCGTTCCAACGCCTACGACCCCGCTGACTTCCGCCCTCATCCACACGACTGCTCGCTCGTCACTTTCCGCGGGCACAAAGTTCTCAAGACGCTGATCCGCTGCCACTTCAGTCCGCCGGGGAGCACGGACAGCAGGTATGTGTACAGCGGGAGTTACGACGGGAGCGTGTATATCTGGAACCTGGACGCGACGTTAGCGGGGAAGGTGAATGTGCTCAAGGCAACGAAGAATAGTAGGCCAAGGGATCCGGAGTTGTTAGCGGAGACGTATGATTATTGGGGTAGGAATGGGGGAAATTGGATGACGTGTGTAAGGGATGCGAGTTGGCATCCTAATGCGCCATTGATTGCTGGTTTGTCTCACTATCTTCATGTTTTACTGACAGGAGTGAGTGCTAACGAGTCACAGCAACATCGTGGAATGGATGGGGTACGAGCCAGGGCACGTGTACAGTGCATAGCTGGAACGATGGGCTAGAAGAAGATGAAGCAGAGCCGCAGATTGGGAGAAGAGTCAATGCGCAGTTGCAGCATGACGAGAGGCTGTACAGGAGTGTAGAGGGGAGGTCGAGAAGACAACCTGCGTGGTACGATGAGTGGGAGGATGATGATTGACATGATCGTTCACGGCCTTTGTTCGACACGTAAATTTGCATTTGGCGGAGTACTGGTTATATAGGTACGGCTCAACCACACAGCGCACATTTTGGTGCGAATCGAAGATTACCGTTTTGGATCTCTGCTCGAGGATTGCCTTTAATGCGTCACTTCCCTACCATCCTATCGTTTGAATATCATGGAGTGAGGAATACTGCCTTAGGGTCCAGATAGTTTTCTTGTAGAGCTGGAGGTGTTGACGATAGTTGCGGAGTCCGTATTGATACTTGTGATTTCTATGTTTGCTGTCTCGTGCTCTTCAACTCGATGTAGATTGAAATGCAGGGTGCGTGGCGGGGCCATTACATGGTATTAGATAGAGAAAAATGGTAGTGGTGTTGATATTGGTCCCGCTTCGCTGCGCTTTGTCTAACGCGGCACGGCTGAGTTTGTTAGCACTGTGGTTTTCATGTGGTAGGTGTCGATGTAGATTGAAGCCCCTGTGTCCGCCTGCAGAGGTCGAACACGCTGGTCATAGGGCTCAAAAGAGGACTGTATAGCGCAACGTATATGCGCAGGTATCGAATTGGTATATCAAACTCCCGCTGACCCAGTGTCCGTAGTGTACAGCTTTTAGCCCGCCACAGCGGTGCATGCTCTATACGCTCGTACAGTCTCTATCGAGCGCTCTCCTCGCCCAATCAACCTCAGTCGCCTCCAGTAGTCGCCGTTCAACATCGTCGCAGATAAAGTGGTGTAATAGATGGAATGCCCCTAACGTGGGGTATGCAAGTACGAAATCGAAATAGGTGCGATTGAGCGTTTACGAGCCACCGACGAGAATGTTGTTGACAGGGATGTGGACGAGCTTGACGATGTACCCAATGACGCCTGTCATATTGTCAGTAATGGAAGGTCCTCTTCGTCTTCTTGCGGTTGACTAACCCATGATCAGGAAACCGATGCCGACGGCTTGCGAGATGCGGATGAACTCCCTCTTGTCAGGCTCTGAATGAAGTTAGCGTTGGTGATTGGTGAAAGGGGCGAGGTATGTCGCACTGGTGCAGCGGTTCATGAACAGAGTACCCTCCTTGAGGAACTCAGCGGGCATACTGCGCACATATTAGCTCCCAGTCTCCGTGATAAGTCCTGTGCGGGCGCGTACTCGGCAAATTCCTTGACGTTCTCCATAGTGACTGATGTGTGGTTGAGTTAAGGGAGTGAATTGGAGAAGTGGGTGAAGGTCAATGGTAGTCGTGTGCAAAGGGTCGCGAGCTCGAAAGTTGGAGCACGGAGGCCAGGTGTCTTGCGGAGGTGCGCTAGTGTCCGCCAAGCCGAGGCTAGAACCGATCCCCAACCTTGGAAGCTTCGACGCTCCCTGCACCCTTCACTCACGCGCCGACCGCTTCCCTCGAACAACAAACATCGCCCGTCGAGGTCTGTTGCGACTCAGTCACTCGTACTAACCGCAGTTTCACCAACGCAAAAATTCGCATACGTCATCGAGCGCAGCATTGAGCGAACGCCTTGAGCCAGCTGAATAGCGCGTTTAGCTGACCCTGAGCTTCAACACGCTCTCTCATTCTATCTCATTGCTGGTGGCGCGCATTTTTGCGATTCGCTGGAGGACCTGTAGCGCAGCAAACAACTGGATTTGGCGAGCGAGACACGAGCAAGAGCAAGCGCAGGAGTCAGGCTGGACTGCATCACATCATCTTTCACACCATTCTTGTATCTTTCAAACTCCGTATCTGCCAGAGGCGATCGGACAGTCACATCTTGCATTTGAGCAATCTTTCGGCTCTTGTCATCCGCCTGCACGGTGGTACTGTACGTATTCCTCGTTCTGCGCTTCTCTGTCTTTCCTCACGTCGCAACACTCTGGGCTGCGATTGCAATGCATTTCCTTCCTTCTGCCGCCTTGGCTTATAGCTCGCTGATTCGAAGATCGCATACAGAACTGCATGTACTTTGGCCATTGACATTGGCAATTCCAGTACCTACAAGCCAATCAAAGAAACAGTCCTGGGAAACACCCTTTTCACTCACTGCAGATCTCACTTGACCCACCACAGCAAACATGGCTGACGACGACAACTTCGATATCGATATCTACGGCGATGACTCATACCAGGACTCGAGCGCACAAGACGCAGCGGTCCCCGACGCCAGCGCAGCAAACCCAAACACGAACAGCGACGAGAACGCAGCAGCACCAGAGCCCAAAGCGGAGGGCAACAACGCATCCAACAAACAGGAAAGCTCAGCTACCGCAACCAGCGGCGGCGCACAGCAAGACAACACCGTGCAGCAGATTTCGAGTACTGGTGGCTCCGGGCACGATGTTCACAGACAAGCACCGCAGCAACAGGGCACGAAGCGAAAGCAAGGAGAAGACGATGACCGCCCAACCGATCCAGGCGCGACGGCAGCATTGATGATTAACGATCTGAACTGGTGGATCAGCGAAGAGGACATTCGTGGATGGGCAAATCAGAGCGGTTGTGAGGATGAGCTCAACGAGGTCACGTTCAACGAACACAAAGTCAATGGCAAGAGTAAAGGGTAGGCACGGTCAAGTACACAGTTTTGTAGCCATCAACTGACTTTGCTTCAGCCAAGTATACGTACAGCTCCAGTCACCGCAAGCTGCGACTGCTCTGAAGCACCAAGTCGATCAGCTCTTCAAAGACCAAGCGCACACCAAGAAGCCTACGGCGATATTCAACCCTCCACATCATAACCCCTTCAAAACACTACCCAAAGACGTACCTGCGCGCGATAAGAACCGCAATGACCCGCAATCTGGAGGCTTCAACAACCGGGGCGGCGGTAACTTCAATCGCTTTAATAGCAGAGGCAATTTCAACAACCGAGGCAACTTCAACAACAGGGGTGGCATGGGCTATCAGAACCCTGGTGGTAACATGGGTGGTCAAATGGGAGGGTACGGCGGCCAAGGTGGCATGCAAAACTTTGGTGGCAGCCCTATGATGGGCGGAGGTAACAACTTCGGAGGCGGCTTCAATCGCGGCGGCAACATGATGGGTGGTGGCATGCGCGGAGGCATGAATAATCGCGGTGGCCGTGGTGGAATGGGCATGAACAACATGGGCGCTGGCATGCAGATGCCGATGGGCGGGAACATGATGATGGGAGGGGGAATGATGGGCGGTGGCATGAACATGCCCATGATGAACGGGATGGGTACGTTTACACGAGCTATCTCTGTGTGGAAGTCATCTTCACAACACCTTTTGCTAACGAATATCACAGGAGCAGGATTCGGCGGCCAACCGCAATTCAACCCTGGGTTCTTCCCCAACCAACAGCAACAACAAGGCGGCAACGAACATTTCAATCCTCACGGGGCTAAGCGACCACGACCGGAGTAGAATCCATTGATGTCGCCCTACCACCCGTTGGTCAAGCCCTCCGACCGTTCATCCCTGCTATTTGTCCAATGGCCATCTGGCCCATTATACCTCACCTTCAACCCATCTGGTCCAATGTTCATTAACACCGACCCGTTCTTTACTCCTAGGACAGCGCCTTTCCCAGTGGTCAACAAGAGCAAAAAGCGGAGGGCTCACTCCAGACTTTCATTGTACACATGCCTACGAAAGCCGTGAGAGGGCCTCAACGTCAACGTTTGAAAGTTCGAGTCGTAAACTCTCAACCAGCGACGCCTGGCGATACGGTGTATCTGGTTTTCATCATTCTCTTTGTCAATGGCGTTCGGCGAGCCTGGTCAGCATTGTTAAAAATCGACTCTTTTTTTCTGCATCTTCTTATTGCTTTCGAACTCTGTATAACATCAAAATTTTGTCAAGGTTCTAGGTTGCAGTTGTGTCGTCGACATTCACCCCTGCAAATCACCCCAGTATATACTCGTAATCATTGTTAGCCATGACAGGTCTCCGGGGCGCTTTTCTACTCATTTGCAGACAGTCTTCCGTGTTCGCACAACATTTCTTCTTTACAGTTCATACATCCTTCGGGCAGGTATAGGCCCACTAGCCAAGAGGGACACGGAGGCAGCAGAACCTTGCGCCATAGCCACTGCTTTTTCACATGACAAAGTCTTCTAGACGCAGCCCTACTTACGGTCAGTTGAGGTACTAAGGCTGCAAGGCAAAGGAGAGCGACAATGGTGACACAGCCTACACTTGTGTACTTGGTGGAAAAACATAAGGTTGCCCCTGGATAATATGGTTAAAGGCCCGCCGGGAGTGCCGGACCTGCATATGAAGTATAACCGGGGTACTATGGCGATCAGACGACCACCAATATACACGACAGTCCTCCAATCGACACCGTCCAACCTCGGAACATCGCCTCAAACACACAGCAACCATGCAACTGGGTACCCTGCACCCCAGATTCTTCAGCCTTGCGCAATATCGAAACCAGCGCAAAAGCCGCAGCGCGTGGCGTTAGTGTAATGGGGAACACCAGTTCATCTATTTGGCACTATGAAGGGGTGTGCAGTGTATGGGTCTGGGCAGCGTGTTCCTGAATCGATATTTGGCCGAGATGAGAGAGGTGTGGAGCCGAAACGGCAATACGACATGTACAATCTTTGAGTTGTAAAAAGTATATATGCTCTCCAAGCCAGCCGAGCTTGGTTCCTCGCGCTAGAGATACATGATCATAGGCACTATGGCTCGCTACACATCTGGCTTGGTGCTCGCGGGAGCTTTGCTTCAAGGTGGACTTGTTAGTGCGCAGGGTAGGTCAATGAACTGGGTTGTGTGCAGTAGGTAGCTAACAGAGATGTAGCATTGCCATCTGGAAACGTTACTGCCGTAACATGTCCTTCAACCGCAAAGTTCAACACCATATCGGCGAGCGCCCATTTCGCGGGCATGAATCCAGGGTGGAACTTGGGTAACACCCTCGATGCTGTTGAGACCGTATGATCTGCTCTCAGGCGTACTCCAGTCAATGACTTACACGAGTATAGGAAGGCTCATGGAACAACCCGCCAGTTGTGCCCTCGACATTCGATGATATCAAGAATGCAGGCTTCAAGGGCGTTCGTCTTCCGGTAACCTACGCCTACCACTACAAGACACAGGCGCCAGACTGGACATTGGACCCAGTTTGGTTACAGAGAGTGTCCGACGTCTTGGATCAAATCACTTCAAGAGGTCTGTATGTGATTACCAACGTTCACCATGACAGTTGGACTTGGGCGGATTACACGCAAGCGAACGCTAATGTGACTGCTATTGAGGAGAGACTGTACAAGACATGGGTACAGATCGGGCAGAAGCTGGCCTGCAAGGGAGAGAAAGTGGTAAGTCCACTCAAATTTTTTTACCTTGAGCTAAAGGGTTGCTGACAGTTTCAAGGCATTCGAGACGATCAACGAAATCCCTGGAACCACCGAAGCGCACGGAAAGGAAGTCAACAGGCTGAACAACATTATGCTCCAAGCTATCAACCAAGCTGGTGGCTTCAACCCGAAACGAGTGGTCAACCTGGTGGGCAGCCGTGAGGATGGTGAGCAGACGAGTCTGTGGTTCGAGCCACCGGATGCGAAGTACAAGAACCCATGGGGCATTCAATACCACTACTACTCACCCTACGACTTCATCTTCGCCGCCTGGGGCAAAACGACTTGGGGCTCTGATGCAGACAAGGCAACACTCGAGGCGGACATTGCCCGCGTCCGCGGCAACTTCAGCGGCATCCCTCTGATCATCGGCGAATGGGCTGCTTCACCTGTCGCAACCGAGACCGCAGCGCGCTGGCGGTACTTCGACTTCTTTGTCCGCACAGCCGCGAAATACAACACCTCAACCGTACTGTGGGACAACGGCGCCGACTTCTTGAACCGCGCAACGCACCAATGGCGCGACACCGTCGCTCTCGACATCTACATCAACGCGCAGAAAGGCATTGCGAACGCGCTTCCAGACAGCACAACCGACGGCTCGGCAACAAGCCAGAAGAGCTCAGCCTATCTCTACCACAAGAAAAACACCACCGTGTCCGACCAAACCCTGCCTTTCCTTTTCAACGGCAATCAGTTGCAGAAAATCTCCGTCGCAGCCACCAAGAAGATCCTGACCAAGGGCCAGCACTACACCGTCGAGGGCGAAAGTATCACGTTTAAGAGCACTTTCCTCAGCACGATACTGACCCCAACGAGCCCCACGGGCAGCCTGGCGAATTTGACGCTGGAATTCAACCGCGGCGCTAAACTCAACGTCGACGTGCTGCAATACTCGACTCCCGTGCTGGGCCGCACGTCATCTGCTCTCCCAGCTACAAGCGTCGACTTGCTCATCCCGATTACCTGGGCGGGACAGAATAGGCCCGCGACTGTCAAGGCGGTAAGGGCTGATGGTACCTATCTGTTTGATAGCTGGACAACAGTATTAGGCCCATTGCAGCAGGGGCGTATGACATACGGCACGTGGGATTGGGATGGCAGCAACGTCATCCTGAAGGCGTCGGTGCTGGATGCTGTGCGCGCTGCGGGGCAGACGACGAAGTTTACGATTGAGTTTTATCCTAGGGAGCCGGGGAATGTGGCAGAGTATACTATTACGGTTTGAGGAGGGAGACGAAGTATATTTGGGTGGTTGTGGAGGATGTTTGTACATACAGTTTCCTTCGTGAATGAAAGTTTTGTGTCGCACCCGGAGAATGATGAGTACTAGTAGGTTCGGGTGCAAGGTACTAGTAGGTTCGGGCGCAAGGTAGGAGTTGTCTTGGTATTGTGGATGTAACCATCGGATCAGTGGCGCGATACTGAAGAAGTCAGTAGCTTCCGTACCTGGCAGCGTTCTTGCAATGTTGACGGGGGTTGCAGTATCCGTTTCCTTCTGGGTTAGCCAGTTTAATTGAAACCAGCGCATCGACTTGACGATTGTTTTAGTGCTCATGAGCAATAGAGATAAGGGTCACACTATAGGCTTGATGCGCGTCCTTGCAACAATGCCCTCGATGCTCGTTGACGCGGCCACGCTGCAAGCCTCTAACCAGCAGTGATACGGTACAGCAACTGGCGACTCCTGCCCTTCATTTCTACAGAATTATCCTTCGATGCGAATACACACGATATAGAGCCTCGAGTTGGTGGCTAGGCAATTCGCGGTTCCGTGATCTTCTAATGTTGGTAGAGCGTTGTGCTCGAAAGGCGCTACACTGAGATGATGCCCCAGAAGTATGCAAGCAAGCTTTGGGGATTCTCGTAGACTGGGACAGCAGGTATACACCCATGAAGTCTTGCGTTGAGACTGTCGTGGGGAGTGGAGCATGTTGACGTCCCTGAGTCGAGACAATTTGGTAGCCAGTGCGCTAAGCCCAACGCAGAGCTAGTGCCAACTCGCTAACTCGCACACTCTTCGAAATATGTGCCGGCCGACCTTTTGCGACAACTCCAACCTCTACTAACGTAACAGCGTCACGAGGTATGCTGCCACCCATCCTGCAAACACTGCGCCCACGTACTGACAATTGCTGCAATAGCCCCCATCCAAAATGAGTACGCCGCACACCTGCCTCGACGGCACCGCCGAGACCGAACATCGAGACTGACAGCCACGCAGCAAAGGGTACCTCCAGTTTCGGAAAGCGTCACAACAAGACGCACACGCTGTGCAGGCGTTGCGGTATGTCTTACCCGTAGTACCTTGACTGAGATACAGTGGAAGGGTTCTGCAAACGAGCAAATGATGGACAGAGAACTCGGCTAATGGGACACAGGTCGTCGCTCCCTCCACATCCAGAAGCACACCTGCTCTTCTTGCGGCTACCCTGCTGCCAAGACCAGGAAGTGTACGTGATCCCCGCGCTGTTCGCACAGCACCCGAAATTTCAAAGACTGGCAACTGACGCAGCGCAGTCAACTGGGGCGAGAAGGCTAAGCGCAGGAAGACCACCGGTTCCGGCCGCATGCGTTACCTCAAGACCGTCAACCGCAAGTTCTCCAACGGTTTCCGCACTGGCGCCGCCCCCGGCTCCAAGGGCCCTTCCACCTCGTAAATTGCTCGTAGATCGACGGGGTGAATAAGGTGTTGGCGGCGTGATGAAGTCCACCAGGGCAGGCGCACGATAAAGTAGGGGTTCAGCAAAATGGTATTGCACGGCATGGGGCGTTCTGTCCTCCCTCCCGGCTGCCTGATACCCAAATGAAATGAATGAGGGTTATACCAGGCATGAACGGAAAATTTCATCATGTTCAGTCACGAATGAAAGCATCAATCAAGCAACCGCTGTGCCACGGTTCCTTTAAGAAATTGTTCACCATGCCGAGAATGATGGAAGGCCATGTTGATGTGCGGCGTCTACATACTTACATCCTGACAACAGCTCCACCAGATGCCTTGCGAGGCTTCGACATCATACACGAAATGCGATCGAACAACAGCACCACACCGGACGCGCGAAGCAGCACCATAACTTCGATCGACAGCCAAACTCGGGCTCCACGTTACGCGACCTCACATCGTCAGTCCAACATAAGGTTTACAGATGCACCTTCGAGGAAAAGCATACGTAGAGGAACACAGTACAATCTAGCCAATGTCAATCTAGCCAATGTCAATCTAGCTTTACGGGACTTCAATACCTCCTTCCACTACACATCTACAACAACCAACCCGGATCCGTCTGTCTCTCACACATGTCTCCTCCTCGCCCACTTGGTCAAAAACTCCCTCCCCTCCACCCTCCACGTATCCTCCTCCACAAAACTCCCATTCTGCCCTCTCCCACTCGCCTGAATAACCAAATTACTCCCCTTCACACTCTCACTATACCTCGGCCACCTCGGCAACCCCTCCCCATTTGGATCCCCACCCGCAATGAATTTGACCCACTGTGCACTCATCACGTCGCTCAGGGCGTTGTACTCGGGCCACGGGCCGTAGAAGCTCGGGTTCGCGAAAACGAACTGCGTCTCGCTGAAGTGCTGCACGCCCTTGTACGCTGGTGCGAGGCCGCCTTCAGAGGAATTGGTTGTGGATGCTTGCCAGGGGCGCGTGTTGAAGCGGTAGATGTATGTCGGAGCGTACTTCGCATACTGTCTTGCGTCGTCGAGACGGGGCGCGTGATAGAATGCGTCACCCATGATTGCTGCTATGCGTTTGTACTGCATGCCCTGCTCTGCGAATCTCTCGTCTCTGGTGTTGAGCGGTATGCCCTGTGCCGGGTCGTCGGGGTATAGTTCAAGAAGCTTGGTGACGACGGCATCGGGAAAGCCGAAGCCCGTGCTGCCTTTTACAAAGTCATAGAGTTGTTGTGTGGTGTTTATCACGCCACCGGCGGGCGCGTTGTCTGTCCCTTCGTCCGAGTTGGAACCGTAAAGATGTGGGATGTGCGCGAAGCGGCCGGAGTGCAAGAGCTCGGTGGGGAAGTTGGGGATGATGTCGCCGTCGACGGTCGGGTACCAGCCTGGTCCTTGGATAGGTTTTGCCAGCAAGGGCAGTAGGGTTTGGTAAGGGACTGTGCGGAGGCAGGCGAGCGTGTCAGGCAGATTTGAGCAATTCGTCTTGTCGACGATGTTGTCGTAAATGGGCTGGTACCAGTCTGAACCGTTATACCATGCTGTTGCTGCAGAGCCAGATTCCTGGATACTGCGGTGGAAGAGACCGTCTGTTCGACCACCGTAGCTCATGAGTAGCTGGCCGACTGCAAAGGAGCCTGCTGATTCTCCCCAGATGGTCACGCTGTCCTTGTCACCGCCAAATGCATCAATATTCTCAGAGATCCAGGCAAGACCTTTGCGCATGTCTCGAAGTGCGAGGTTTGTGTTGCCGGTTCCTTGGATCTCGCGCGAGTACATCATGCCCCAACCGCCTTTCCGGTAGTTGATGCTTATCGCAATAATAGAATTGTCAAGTTCCACGCTCCTTTGGACGAGATATGTGAGGTTGTATTGCGGTAAAGCCGACGTTCCTACTTGGTAGGAACCGCCATGAATCCAGACAGCAACCGGCAACTTCGCAGACTCGTTCACCGAAAGACCAGCCGGACGCACAATGTTGATACTAAGACAGTCCTCGCTCATACCAAACTCTGCATCCCGTTCTGGTTGAGGATCAGGACAAGCATGTCCATACTGTTTGGCTGGGCGCGTGCCATTCCACGTCGAGTTCAGCGACTGTGGGACCAGAAAGCGATTCTCACCCCCTGTGTTCTGCGCGTAAGGCACACCAAGAAAAAGATCCTGATCGAAGCCAGGCAGGTACCGGCCTTCGTACGTGCCATTGAGCACCTTCACGGTTGGCTCAACAGCCGAGGCAACCGTCGTAAGCAAGCATGACAACGTGCTCCATTTCCAAGCTTTTGCAGCAACTCCCATGATGGTGGCCTGGCCGAGTCCGAGTGATTCTAGTGACGAAAAAGTAATGTTGGGCCATCGAGCGGCCATCGATCGCTTTTGTACATGTTGATCTCTGGCTAGCGGCAATGACATCCATGGATTTCGGCGTCGGCAGCACGCCAGACGCTCCTGCACAGTGACGGTTCGTGTTCCCCGGCTGTACTACGGGACTTCCCTTTATTTCCTTGCAGATCGTTGAGTTTGCAGGGAAATAGGCCAATAGTAACGGAGGTTGCGTTGGAAGAGGAAGGTGGTCGATTAGGCCTGCAGCTAAAGCGACATCGGCTGTAATCACCGGGATGGTCTTCCCGTCAATATCAGAACACCCTCAGCATATCATTGACAAGAGTGGGAGCAAAGCAACATCATTCTGGCAGGAAGACCTGCAACTAGTTTTGGTATCTTAGAGTATGGACATGCGACCAAGGCCTCGCTTTACACTTATCGTGAATGTGAGATGTTAATGAGCTTGACAATGTAGACATGAAGGCTGGAAACATTGCAACAGGGTAATGAAACCTGCGAACGCATTGAAGCGTAAGACAGCAAATGGGTATCGTGGATAAAATAGCTGAACAGCCAAGCAATCAATTTCTGGTTCTTGTATTAGAACAGTCTCGACAGAAACTTCTTCTTTTTCTACTGTCTATTAGCTCATGTGACGAGTCAATGACGATGGTTACATACCTCCGTCGATGTCGATCGAGTGGGCGCAGGTGCTGGTGCGACCAGCGTTGTGTTCCCTGGAAGTTCGACTGGCATCTCGACAGCTCCTTGCAGTGATGGCCGGTAGCCGTAAGGATTGTTCGGTGCGGCATTTGACAATACTGGACTTGGATACCCGGTCGATGGTGTATTTGGTGTCAAGGGCGGAGACATAAGAGGGGCATGAGCTGGAGCTGGTGGAAGCTCGGCAACAAAGTTGTTGTAGTAATACGCAGCCTGCTGTTGAGGTTGTGGAGGCTGATGCAGCTGTCTGTGTGGGTATGGCAATGCGTTCGGTGGGATGAACTGCTGTTGCGGCTTTTGCAAGCGCTCGGCAGCCCAAGCATCAAAAACCTCCTTCATAAGCTTCATCCACTCGGTCGGAGCCCCTGTGAAATCGTATTTGAGCGATTGGTCTCGAAACGCCACGAAGTAGTGGTGCTTGTTGTACGGTGAGATGGCGACATACTGATGTTGCTGTCAGCTCTACAACCTTACAACTGATCAGTGATACTAACCGAAACTGATCGAGGTGCTGCCTCGGTCAAGATCTTATCCAAGGCGTGGTAGTGACCATTGAATTTCCACGAACAGTTGCCATCAGGCCACAAGACGAACCACGCGTTGTGTGCACCTAACGAGACACAGCTTGGGGTATCGAACGATTTCCGTACTTTGTCTTCAAGTTCTGATGGTATGCCTGCCCATATTGAGCCATGTCCTGGAGCACAAGCGAAATAGCTCAGATTTAGGCCAAAGGTAACGAAGCAAGTCCTGGAAGCGTTGGGCAGCGTCTTCGTCCATCGTGACAAGTCCGTGTAGTTTGTCTCGAAGTACGTCTGTGAGTAGACTGCAGTCAGTCAGCACAAGCTACATGAACCATAGGTCCATACACCGTTTTGGGTATGCGTTTCATCTATCTTCCCGCGAAATGGGAACCGAGTAAGGCTGAAGCTGGGCGACTCACAGAGCTTATCCTCTCCACTCATCACCTTACATTCGACATACCACAGCGGCTCAGGAGAATTAATCTGAGGCGCAAGCGCAACACAATAGGGCTGTGCGATTCTCCATGCTGGGGCCATAGACGAGTTGAACAGTTGCCGGAGGGTCCCTGGAATGCGGTCGCTGCGCGCAATCAGCCTTGTTCAGCTGTGAGGTCAGCCTGCTCACAATTTCCATGCCTTCGGGCAGTCGAAGAAGAAGCTGCTGTTAGGCCCGAAGACGAATGTTATTTCAGGCATCGCATAGTCCTCTGAACGGTGGTTGCGATGTGGTGGAGAAGACGAGGATCAAAGATCACACCTGCTCGTCAGCACGGGTGGCCTGTCAAGCCGAGTTACGAGCGCGACATGCACTGCGCTGCTGTTTGTGGCGCTCATGGCGGCCGAGGGCTGTGAGCACCCAAACATCACCAATCGAAGCCAGCTTGGGCAGTCAAAGGCGACCCACGCGTGATGTGCTTGTTCATGTCAGCGCTCAACGAATGACTAATGTGGGAAGAGGCAGGCGAAGTGCAGGCGCAAGCGAGCCAGCGAGAAAGCCCCGCCGGATGGAGGCTCTCCTGTTATTCTTCTTCAACTTTGAAAGGACTCTGCCGGGTACGAGAGCTACCCAATAAACAGTCGCAATCTCGAGGACTCGAGAAGTCATTGGGATCGTCGAAGGACGTCTTCGAAAACCTCGGTACCGCACCACTGGCAGCGAGTAGGTCTGCAGCACCGCCATCAACAGTACCAAAGTTGGGTTCTACATCCCATCATGGCGTCCATTGTCAGGTCGCATCATCTGGGGGGGTTCGAGATTAATCCTCAGTTCGACTGCAGCGATTTCGAACGTCTCCAAATGAGATTTGCAGAGACGCGGCGCAATTCCGCTCCCAGAGTTTGCATCAGTCAGATACGCTTTGAAAGCACTCCTTCTACAAATCATCAATGGTGAATATAACAGAGTTGGGATGTACATCAAAATGATCACATCGTTTCATACCACTCATTGTTTATGCCAATGTCTTTTCTTCAACGAACCGTTGTTAGCCTCATTCGCGAATCCAGGAACAAACAAGCCCGCCACATTGAGCAGCATCTCTCGCATTACGAATCTCGGGAGCAGCTCCATCTTCTAAAGCAATTACTATGCATACGATCGCCACAGCCGCCATTACCAGGAGACTTAGTCAACGACATCGACAGTATCTTGACACATTCTCAAAATCAACGGATACTTACTCGGGGGTCCTCAATACCTGTTAGAGCGGCCTTGGACCGGCCTGGAAAGCCTAGCGTACAATTGATGCTCTGGCAAGGAGACATCACAGCATTAGCTAGCGATGTTATAGCCATTACGAACGCAGCCAACTCTCAAATGCTCGGCTGCTTCCAACCGACCCATAAATGTATAGACAATGTCATACACTCGTTTGCAGGTCCTCAGCTACGGCAGGAATGCTTTGATATAATGGAGGCTAGGGGCTGCGATCTGCCTGTCGGTGAGGCGGTTGTAACGAAGGGATACTGCCTCCCTTCTCCACACATTATACATATCGTAGGACCGCAACTTGATCCAGGCGCAGATCCAACAAACGAAGAAATTCAACAGCTGCGCCAGTGCTATGTGTCGGTACTTGAGCAATCAGACGGCCTCCCGGCGAACGAGGATGGCTCAAAACGCATCGCACTTTGCGGCATATCAACCGGGTTATTCGCTTTTCCTACAAGCCTTGCGGCGAAGATCGCCGTGGATACTGTGGCTGCTTGGGTGGCACATAAAGAAGACACGTCAATCACAGATGTCATCTTCGTCACCTTCGCCGAGGGCGATTACGACATCTACAACAACCTTCTTCCAGATATAAAGGAGCCCTGGCGGTTGCAGAATCCGCATTTCCCTCCAACAGAGATGTTGCAAGTGGAAGGCAACACCCTAACAACTGCCAGACAGTGGCTCAAATCAGCCGACACAATCGTCATCTCAGCAGGTGCAGGTTTCTCAGCTGCCGATGGACTAGATTACACATCCAAAGCGCTCTTCAAGAAGCACTTCCCCTCTTTCATCGACATGGGCCTGGATACACTGTACAGCGCCATCGGTTTCGAGTTCCCTTCTGAAGAAGCCAAGTGGGCGTACTACTTCATTAATATACAGATGGTACGCTCGTGGCCAGGCTGGGATCTGTACCAATGTCTTGTTCCTTGGTTGAAAGCGTCAGGCAAAGATGTTCATGTACGGACGAGTAATGCCGATGGTTTGTTCCTCACGAACGGATGGGATGAGGGGAGACTGTCGACGCCGCAGGGCAGGTACTCAGTACTACAGTGTTTAGCGAAATGTCGCCCGGATTCGACGTTTGATACTTTGCCTTTCTACAATGCTGCATTGCCATTCTTAGATCCGAAGACGCAGAGACTCATGGAACCTTCGAGAGTGCCAACGTGTAAGAATTGCGGAGGCAAAATGATGCTGTGTGTAAGAGGAGGAAATTGGTTCAACGACAGGCCATTCCAGAATGGCGAGATGAGATGGCGGAAGTTCCGGCACGACATTCTTAGGGACGAAAAAGAGACTGTCATACTCGAGTTGGGCGTTGGCATGAACACACCTGGTGTTCTGAGATGGCCTGACGAAGATCTTGTCCGGAAGGGCGGCGGCAGGGTGAAGCTAGTGCGAGTCGGATTGGGACCGTCTGCTGCGGTACCTGATGACCTAGAAGAGGATGGTCTTGCTGTCAGTATTGAAGGCAACATTAAGCTGGCTGTGCCTTGGATGTTGGAAACTGCACCCTATGAACCAGAACCCCTTGTCAATAACACACTACATCATCTTAGACATTGAACAAGCATAGAATCGGCTCTGCTATAGACAAACATATATATTCATCCGTATTATCTGTAAATACTCATCACTAGGTCCACTGCTTCAAACCTACACGTGCCACTCCACGACCCCCTCGATTAGCTCTGTAATAGTAAGGTACAAACTTGAGCTCGTCATTGATCCTAGCAGTACCAATGTTCTGGCTCAGCTCCTCCTTGTCAACGAAAGCGTCCGCTTTCAGGCTGTCGAAGTCTACCACATAGGCTGCGTTGTTGACCGTGATGCCCACATACATCTCCTCTCGTCAGGCAGACTCGGGTCGGCGATTTCCTTCTCGGTAACGGCGCTCTTGTTCAGACATCGAGGGTCAAGCTATGCCGATCGAATGTGATCAGTGACCCATTTGTTGTCGACGTCTTCGACACAGTATTTGATAGGGTCTCGAGCAATGGTGAGGGTTTGTTGGTTCGAGAGTGGGTGGGGGGTGATTAAGTGCGGCTTGAGATCGAAGGAGAGAACGAAGTTCGGGTGAGTAGCTAAGTCGTTGGCTGGCACATGTAGGTATCCATTCGTGACTGTGAGGCTAGGAAGAGGTGGAGGTACCTGATATGCTTGTCAGTGTTGATGCCAAGAGGTGTAGAGAGTGCCCGGAACGCATCTCCCAACTTGTCGCCCAGCGAGGAATGCGGAGCTTTAGCTAAACTTTCTTGCTTGCGCTGGTCAACGAGAACATGACTCTACCATTCTTTGACCAGTCACAATCTTGCTTAAGCTTGCTGGACCAGCGTCTGTCTCAAAGCCAAGGGTGGCAGGTGCATAGAGATGTACGTCGATCTGAGTGACATCACTCTTCTTACTCTTGGAGAGGTTCAAAATGTATCCTTCAATCATGCCGAAAATTCGAAGAACATTTGGTGGACAGCAGCAGACGGTGAACCATCCACACCTTTCGAACAAATTATTCTCGCTTGACGCCAGCTGGTTCACATCGGTAAATTGCGTGCAGTCAATCGACATCGCAGTGAAGACCGCGTTGTACATGTAGAGTCCCATGATATCTTCGTACTTATTGTTCAGATCGTACTGGAAACAGTCGGTGAGTAGTCTGCCATACAAGGGCGAGGGGAAGTACTTACTTGAAGCATCCGTTGTGGTGGCCTAAGTTGTTGAGCTCGTGCATGTCTCGCAAGTTGTGAATCGATTCCCTAGTTCGATAACCTAATAGTGGATATTGAGGTATCTGTCTGGTTCTTGCGCACTTCTTATCACTTCGATGATCTCCTTGATAGCACCATCGATGACTGGGTCAGGTTGCTACTGCCCGTGGAGGAAGTAGCATGCACCTTTGATTCACTTGCTAACATCGAAGCCCAGAAGAGATGATCTGCGATAGGTCATACTTCAGGTATTTTGTCGTATATTGGCTGCCCTTTGAGATTGAAAGCTTCGTAACGGCCGGTGCCTTTGAGCCTCTGCAATTGGTACGTGATCATATTCACGGAGGTTGCAGCACGACGCTGGCCGAGCAGTGATGTCGTCTCGACCTTTGTTGTCGGAGGGAGTGAAGATATCCACCGATTGCCATCTGTTTGCTAGCGGTATACTGCACTGGTTGTCCAGCTCGTTCGGTTAGCTCGGTTTGCTTCCCCACCCCTTCACTGCTATTCCTTTCTACTATATTACCTTGATCAATTCCCGCCAATAGCTCTTGGGATCAATCAACATCTAAACCCTTCAACATTTGTCGACTTGAATTTTTTGAGGATAGGCCATAACGAAGAAAAGAGTGGTTTTCGATAGAACTTCAACGGGGCTGATAAATTTGCGAAAGGCAGGAAAGAGCGTTACTTATGGAGGGACTTATCTAAAAGCTCCTCACAGATAGGAACTGCCTGTCTCTACTGGGCAAACAACTTCGACTTCCGGTTCACCGGGTATTTCCATACATTTGTACTATATCGCCTCACGTCAGGACCAACGTGAAGGTCTAAGGCAATGCATGAGGCGGAGAAGTGATGAAATGCGGACATACAACCAATGAAATGTATTAGGCACCGCAAAGGCGACCGCTTTCGCCAGAGAACCGACTTCAGCCACCGAAGGACGCTTCGGTCCCGCAGCAAGCCAACGGAGCCCAGCAACGACCGCAAAAGTATTATCTTCGTCGACGACGACAACCACGATTTTCAGGTAGCAGAGGAGAACGTGCGGCCATGCGGAGAAGGAGAGGTTTGGTATGCGAGAATACGGGGTAGGTGTTGGCTTCATATCGAAATGGCTGACACTGAGCAACTGCCCATGGAAGTCGACAAAGATGCTACTGCGCTCAGAGCGCGAGTTCAAGCGAACACCGACATCGAACATACAATGAGTCTTCGAGACGCCGTCAGAGTATACCCCAAATCTGTTCTCTATTGTGTAGTCCTCAGCATGGCCATCATCATGGAAGGGTATCAAGTCGGGCTGGTGCCGTCGCTCTTCGCCCAACCGGTGTTCCAACGCAAGTATGGTCGCGTTCGTCCGGACGGCCCACACCAGCTTGACAACAGATACCAGTCTGCCTTGACTGCTGCTGTTCAAGCAGGGTCGATATTTTGCTACTGGCTCAGCGGTATCGTCATCGAAGAAACCGGCTACAAGAGGTCCATGCAAGGTGCCCTTCTTTCGCTCACATGCTTCATCTTCATCATCTTCTTTGCACCCTCAATTATCCTCCTTGTCGTTGGCGAAGGTCTTCTTGGAATACCATGGGACATTATCCAGACAGTGACAACAACCTACGCGGTTGAAGTCAGCCCGATTGCTCTTAGGGCGTACGTCACTTCTTAACCCGGAGAATCTTTCGACATAGACGATTGGACAGCTCAGTTCCTGAACCGATACCACATGCCGGTCGAGCACAGACATAGTACGACAACACCTGAAAAGGAGTTTGGTGGCTGGGACAGGAACACAATACAGTCTCTGAACCAGTGGTGAAAGTCGCAAAGTCGATGCCGGAAGTTGATCAAGTCGCTGGCTGCCTTAGATCTCGCGGTCGGTGCACAAGGCCACCGATCCACTCGGGGTTTCGGACACAACGCTTAGGGCGTCCAGCACCAGCCAGCTGATTGACTCACCGGACTTTGGTACATCCCGAGAAGGACGAGGGGAAACAGATCGTATGTTCGGAGCTCAAGACATAAATACTCAGCAGCTCGCGATATCGAAGATGTCTGCGTGCAGAGACCTTTTCGAAATCTCGAGTTGACAGCAGTAGGAAAGCATCACATCGTCACCATGACCGTCTCACAATCTCTCGTTCTTTACAGCCCACCCACACCAACCACACTGTCGACCAGACCAAGCGCAACCTCACTCATTCCTGCGAACTTCTTCACTCAACAAACTGGCACCGCAATTGCAACTGAACTACTCTACCGCATTCTCTTCAATATCATCCAGCGCTTCTTGAACTCGTTCCAGCGGCTCGCATCCAAGGGTATGGATCAATGCTCTTCCTGGCTTGAGCGCAAGATGCACGAGCGCCGCGAGCGACAGGCCAATGCGAAAGATGAGCTCAAGATTGTTCAGGAAGTAGGCAAGCTGGCAGCCCAGAGAGGATTCATCACCTGCCCAATGATTGACACTGATACGAATGGAGGAGGGCTGCAACCGCCGAGATGGGTGAGAGGCGTGCTTGAGGGGATTGAGGAAGGCAGAATGGAAGAGAAGGACTTTTGGATCCACACGCATACTGGGTGAGCCGGTCCCTAACAAAGGTGCACAACTGTGCACTTTCGACGACCTCTCCAAGACAGACATTCTTCAAGCAGGCCTACTGTTGTAGGTGCGTTGGACGCGCGTATCGATCCGTCTTGACAGCATTCCAAGGCAACGCGCAACCTGCCAAAAGTGCCTCGACCTGTGAAGCGCAAGGGCTCGGAGGTAGAGATCAGGACGCCACAGGGCTCCATCGAAGACGGGGCAATGGAGAGCTCATCCGCGCCAACTGGCAATTGGTTCGAAGCAACTGGTTCGACTGATGAAAGGCCAAAGTCTGCAGTTGTCTGCGTAGCGACTGTATGCGTGCGTTGCGCATGGTAGATTCGCCTTTGTACACTCCCCAGGGTTCCAGCTCAAGGATGCTCTCGAGCGACTCCCGAGTCTGCAGTCATAGCCAAAAATGCAATGGCAAGGCTTTGTAACAAAGTGCTTGACTTCGCTATCCTCATCATCCACTTTGCACTGTCACAAGAACATCTCTTCCTTAAGTTGACAGACGGTGACAGTCTTCACAATAACAAGAGCTTTGGTGCCTGGTCTAACTGTCGTCCTGCCCTGACTTTTGCTCTTGTCACTCCTGAAGCTATGCAACGGCGATGTCATCCTCGACATCACCGACACTTCCCAAGATAGTCAAGCTCATCAAAGCACCACAAGTCTCCCCATACCGTGCCAAATAATCACTCTCAAATTTGATGAGGCCGCTCGGGCCACTTTACCTCTCGTCTATGTTGATGGTGTTGTACTTGCTTTCACCTAGACACCGCTCCACGCTCACCACCCGCCAATGCAAATCCGTCTTCACCAAGCCCAGCCACCTCATCTGACCTTTGCTGTCGCCGACAGAACCTCACTCCGGAGTTTGGCCCGGCGAGCGCATGAGCCAGCAGTCCTCCGTCCATACGAACGGTCGCCCCTCCACGATTTCCCTCCATCGCCCTTCTACTCCACTCCCTCAACCACCCAACTTCCAGTGCCTCGGTCACCTGACCTTGGGCGTCCTTTCCTTGAATTTTCCCCATATTCATCATGGCTCTTCAGCACTTCAAGTCTTCATGATATCCTTCCTCAACATGAGCACTGCCCACCTGCACCGTCGCTCCTTCACCATGGCTGCTCAAAACCATCACCTCCAACATGGTTCATCCTTTCACGACTATCATTGAGCTAGTCAGTATTTCATCTAAGCTCGTCTCTTTCGCTAACACCTTCAGCTCTGCTCGCCCCAGGTAGCCCCCATAACCATCGTTACAATACTTCGAACACAGCAATACCATTCCGCCTCGTCGCTCCGGAGCCTCTTCAAGCCACCGTCTCTACCCTCACCTACTTCACACCGACCGCTTACTCGAGCTTTGCCATCGATGCCCCTTCAGGTCACGACCATGTTCAACCCCAGTCATCTTCCGCAACATAGCAGCCACCGACGACGCCACCCTTCTCTCCACGTCCTTTCCTCGCATACGCATTCGATCATACATACAAGGCATGCTGGTTGGGTGTCACAGGGTTCAGTAAGATGAGGAACGCTTAGGGGCTTGACGGTTCGCCCAACAAAGCTTGGCATCATGGTACTTGGTAAACTCATCGTTTGGTGCGGGAGGTGAAGCTCTTGGAGCAGGCCTACCACTCGATTAGGGAGCATCTGTGTGTGTTGCTGAGGATGGATCCTCGCACTCCGGCTCTGACCTTACCGCCTGCAGTCTTTGACTGTAGCAGTATTGGATGGGAGAGACTTGTTCTGGTGGAATGGGAGGAGTTCTTGTGGCACCCAACCAGGTGTGGGAAGTTCGTATTTATGCCGGTTCTGTAGTAGATGGTGGTTGAACATTAGCTTAGAATCATTGGGCTTAGATTAGCACTTCATCGATGGACTTCATTAAAACAAAAAAGTCATTAGACCTTCGGGTCAACCATTGTTGCCTTCTCCCCCTCTTGCATGCTGTAATCGTCTTCCGCCTTCCTGTCCTCATGTGCTCTTTTGCCTTGCTTGTGACTTTGTCTTTCTCATCAAAAAAGCACAAATGCCCCGCCTGCAGTCGCAAAGACAGTTAATCAACGTGTCATTGCGCGTATGCTCTCAGGACTTACAGCCCTCGGGATCTTGAGGGTGAAACCTCGGTGGCCTATCTGCAGCTTTGCATCTGCTTTGATTGCTGCTGTGGCAAGGCCTGCATTTGACAGGCGTGGAGGATGCACAGCGATAAGTGCGGAATGAAAAGGTCCTGCGCAATCACTACCACGATGTACTACAATGCGCAATTGCAGGTACTCTGAACTTCTGATATTCGCCAGTCAATGTACGATGCTACCCTTCGTTCAGTGTTGCTTAGTTGCAGCAACATGTCTTGGGAATTTGTTAGGAATAGTAAATCAATGATAGTAAAGCCCGAGCAAAGTGAGCGAAGTGAAGTATCTGCAAGGTAACGCTCGTGGCTGGCAAGACGGGGTGAAGTTAGTGTGCTCAGGTGATAGCGCGCGCAGAGTGACGGAGGCGCGCCTGCCTGTTGACGTGCAGCCCCACACCACAAGGCAGCCTACAACACCGCAGCACTGCAGCATGCGCGCACCCGCAAAATGCTTGCCCTTGCTTCGTGAACCTCTATCTCGACCGCAATACGATAAGGGTTGCTCATACTCACTATCAGCATGTGGTTCCTCGAGCACGAGTCGCTCTTCGGCGGAAAGCGCGTCTGGCTTCGACCCGGGTCGCAGCAGCTCTTCGGTCGCACCAAGTCCAGCGCAGAGGGGAAGACATGGAAAATCGACAACAAGGCTGTCTCGCGGCAGCATGTCATCATTAGAGTCCTCGAAGTTCCACCAGAGGCCGGCACGAAGCTACACCACAGGTCGCAGATTGAGATTACGGATCTCAGCTGCAGACAGGGCACTTCGATCGACGGCAAGCAGCACCTGAAGAGCACAAAGAACGACGATGGATCAATGGAGTACGCTAAGGCGATCTTGGAGGGAACGGAGCATGAAATCAGACTCGCTCAGGGCTATGCGCCGTTCAAGATCGTGTGGAAGCCAGTCGTCTTCACATATGCTTCCAAAGAGACCAAGGAATCGAAAGCTCGTAGCGCACAGCTGCACGCCCTCGACATCAAGACCACAACAGAGTTCATGTTCGGTAAGACGACACACGTCGTGACCCAGAAGCGCAACTTGCCTCGAGTGCTGTCAGGTCTTGTAGCTGGCAAGCATATCGTAACAGGAAAATTTCTCGACGCTGTGATTGACCGAGCCACTTCCACGACGGACAGTGAGGGAGGATATGTGCCGTCGCAACTGGAAGAAGACTTTGACGACCGCTGGCCGAAAGAGGAGGAGTATGTTCCACCGACAGCCACAGAGCCTGTTCCTCGGCCGCAGGAGATGCTCAGACCGGATAGCTCGCGTTCGGAGGTCTTCTCGAACCTCACATTCGTCTTCCTGGACGTGAGCCAGCACGGCAGCTTACAGGATCCTATTTCTGGTGGCGGCGGAAAGGTCCTGCTCTACGAGCTGAAGCACGGAGAGACGACTAGACAGGAGTATGTCGACTATGTTCGAAGCGTGGCTGGCAAGAAGAAAAGCAGTCGCGTAAACAATGACAAGCTACCCGTGATCACGGTTCGCCTGCAAGTTGCATCAGACAGCTCGGAGGATTGGGCTACCAACTTCATGAATGGCGTTGACAGAGCACTCAATCAGCGATCGATCTTCCAAAATGAGTTCCTTGACATCATCATCACAAAAAACAGAACTGCACTGCAACGGCCACCTGACAACGTACCTGAAATCGCATCGAGTGCACCAGGATCAGCAGCGTGGCGATCTGTGCGGGACAGTACACCAACGTCCAGAGCACCTTCTCAAGCACCTGAGTCCTCTGCTCCCACCGACGAGCCTGGCAAGCCGATTCCTCGCAAGCGCTTACATCGACCAAAGACTACAAGTCGATTCACCGGCTTCGACGACTACGAACCGCCACCAAAGTATCGCAAGGTCGAAGACACTCAGATGGAAGATACCCAGCAATCAGTACCACAGCCCGCTCGAGCCGCAACGCAGGCGCCAGAGATCCAACATGCCACAGCGCCCACGACCCAGACCCAGACCCAGACCCAGACTCGTACACAAACTCGTTTCGCACCACCGTCACCTGTTCATGAGACCGTCGAGAAAGAGGAGCTGTTGGACTCTCTCTACCCAGCTGCAGCAGAGATCAAGCGCCGTCGAGCAGCAACACGCGCCCCCTCAGCATTGGTCGAGCCCGAGACTAGCACGTCCGTAACTCAACCCAAGAGACGTGGCGTGGAAGCTCTCGAGAGCCTACAACAGGCCAGACAGAAAGCCGACAAAGACATCAACGTCCGCGAGCAAACCCGCCTTCGCATCAAAGAGGAAGAAGACCGGCGCAAAGCTGATGAGGAGAGCCTGCGAGAGCAACTGGAAGGCATCGACATCGAGCAGATGAAGAACCTCGCCGTCATCGAGGAAATGGAAGTCTTGCCCCGGGCTCAACATAACAACGGCGACAACCTACGCACTCCCGCTGAAGCCCGCGCTCAAGCAGAGAGCGACAGATGGGATCCAGCCTGGAACGGGCGCAAGAACTTCAAGAAATTCCGCCGGCGCGGCGCAGAACAGGGCGTTGCTCCACACAAAGTCATCGTCACGCTCGAAGAAGCGCCGAAGCAGAAAGGCTTTGGCGACTCGGCGTTCTTCCTCGAGGACATCGAGCCGCGCGCCAGTGGCCTGGCGAAGAGTAGAAGGAAGGTTGTGGAGAGTGAGGACGAGTCTGAGCCCGAGACCGGCTTCAGGGGCAGGAGGAGTAGGACGCAGTCGCAGAGACAGACACAAGAACAGCCTGAGGTTGTTAACGTGGAGGATAGTGGGCCGGATGATGAGGAGGTGGTCGAGGTCAGGACGCAGAAGAGCAGTGGAAGGACGCAGAGGGTCGTTGAGACGCAAGTTTCTGAGGCTGCGGGGAGGAAGAGGGCTGGTGGAGCTGCAAGCGGGCAGCCAGCAACAAAGAGAGGAAGAATTGCAAGAAGAGACGAGGATAGCGATGAGGAGGAGACGGGGTTCAGGTTCAAGAGGAGGTAGAGATCGATCTACATGTGGAGGAGCTTTCGATATGTGTTCATCTTACAAGCATAGCGGGTCACGCATGTTATATACCCCTTCAGCAACGCCAGCTGTCAGAATCACACAGACGCATGTAGCAGCGGAGGCCTTGTGCGAAGCTGAAAATGTTCGTTCAAACAATCATGACGGTGACCATCGCAGTATCCAAACGCCAAGCTGCCCGCTGATTGAGCTGAGTTCCTGCAAAGCCTATACAATCCCATCTACTTCCTAGCGTGCTAACCTCTTTCCTTACTTCCTCCCTATACACAAAACCTACACAAAGCCGTCTCGGCCTCAAGCTTCTTTGACTAAGATATCTCCCTTGTCGAACCGTGTTTCCTCTAGCTGTGTTCACTAGATCTCCGCGCCGATTGTCCCAAGGTGTGTATACGGCTTATCGCTTCCGCTCAAAGTACGATGATGAGGCGAAGAAAGCAACGCTCTGGTCCATGACCGTCTCGCCCACCCATAGGTAGTTGTCCAGCCATTTCTGCACGCTGGGGGTGTCGCTGAATTGGTCTGGCCTTACACTGGGACTGAGCGTCAGCCTGTTAGCCTAGTTCTCGCGCGGTGTGGTATGAAGGAAGGGTATTGAGCAGCGGTGGAATGTAGTGCGAACGTAATGATATGACTTGGTCGGCGGCATGGTTTGAGGGTAGAGGCGTGGGGTGCTCGCGTGTGGAGGGTATGCATGATGGGGGGGGGGGGGGGGTTGGAGATGGAGGGACCTACGTGAGGCCGGTGGAGCGTCGCACGCCGGCGAGGAAGGCGGAGACTGTGGGAGGTTAGCCAAGAGCAAGATGAAGTGTTGAATGTTTGGACAAACCTAGTACCGCATCGAAAGCGTAGTGCGCGACTTTGCCCAGCTGTGATGTTTTGTGAGCTTTCAGCTATGCGACTCGTGCGAGGCAGCTAGAAGGCGGGTATAGAGCACGTACAACCATGTTGGTGATTTGTGTATGTGTATATTCAGTTTGTGAGGTGGAGAGGTTCTTCAAGGTGTTTACGTGTACTATGCAAGGCGTAAGAGCGGTTGTTGGTGATGTGAGGCACGGCAAAGCGGAGTGGAAGCTGTGGCTGGTGCCTTTCAGTCAGTTGCGGGCATGTGAATCGTTGCGGCTCTGCGCTGTTAGTGGGTCAACATTGAAACGTCGAAGGCACATCCCAGAAAGTTGAGATCTGGGCACGAGTTGGCTGGCAGTCTCTCCTTCACTATGTTGGTCTCTATGTAACAGCCTCCGCTGCGCTTGTCTGGTAACATGAAGGTCTTCACAGCGATAGCTCAGCTCGAGACGAAGGATAGCGTCATGTCTGGGTGCTTTCCGAGCTTAACCCCTTCATCCTCGGGAACCAGCGTCAGGTACGGCCATGCGGAGCAGAAGTTCGGGTCATGTAGGAACGAGACGTTCAGGCGCGTGGTCCATATAAATGGCCGAGCCTCGCTGTTGTGCATTTGGCCTTTCTCATAGCTTTGACCCCATGAAACGACCCCAAGACACGAGGCCTGCTGTGGATCTCCTCGCCCGGAGCATGACACGCCAAACATCCTCGATATCCGGCCGCGCACCACAGCAAACAACGACTAGCCAGGGCGAGACAAGAAATTTTCAATCGCTATAAAAAAACACGGGGCTTATCTGGGCGGGATGCTTGGTCGTTACGTGGGTGGGTTGCAGAAGCAATGGGTGTCACGGCGACAGGTCTGCTGCCCGCAAGAGTTGCAGCAGCAGCCTTATAAGTTGTAAATCCGGCACATGGCCAACAGATCTCGTTCAATTATATCGCAGGCTTTCTACTTGTTCATTCTTCATTTTCTTGGACTCAATCAGCCCGTTAATCATACCGGTTACGGTAGACTACTGAAGCTCTCAACACACCTGCAGGAAAGCCCCACGCACCCTTAGCGCAAAACGGTACCCCTCTAAGCTCAACACGCCCGGCCGTGCCAACGACTTTCCCTGAGAGAACAAAACCCGCCCAGGCGCATTCCTTCTAGAAACACGCCTGTTTGATTCCTTCCTCTCTCCCTCCTCAGGCCACCCCGAGAGCAATTGCAGTCACTCAGACGGCAGCAGCGCCCGGCCCCGCACCCCGCTACACCTCTTGAACAGCTCTTCTCAGCCTTCACATACACACATACCGCAACAATGGCGAACGCGTACGTCCATCATGACAAGGGGACCAGAGGTGCTTGGTTACGGCGTAACTCAAGGTAGTCTTCTACGAGAAGCCCATGAACCGCCAACTCATGCACCAACAGCCCAGTCAAAACCTTTCTCTTTGTATACACACTAACGTTTTGATGCAGGTTGGATCATCTTAACGCTGGCAGGACCAGGATTGAGTGGCTCAGCCAGCTCAACACCGAGTACCACCCTGCCAAGGAGTACCGCCGCACCTCCATCATCGGTACCATCGGTCCCAAGACCAACTCTGCGGAGAAGATCAACTCTCTTCGCAAGGCTGGTCTCAACGTCGTCCGCATGAACTTCTCCCACGGCTCGTACGAGTACCACCAGTCGGTCATTGACAACGCGCGCGAGGCCGAGAGGACACAGGCTGGCCGCCCTCTTGCTATTGCGCTCGACACTAAGGGTCCTGAGATCCGCACAGGTAACACTGTTGGCGACGCCGATATCCCCATCAAGGCTGGCACAATCCTGAACATCACCACCGATGACCAGTACGCCACCGCCTCCGACGACAAGAACATGTACGTCGACTACAAGAACATCACCAAGGTCATTGAGGCCGGCCGCATCGTTTACGTCGACGACGGTGTCTTGTCGTTTGAGGTCCTCGAGATCGTTGACGAGCAGACTCTCAAGGTCAAGTGCGTCAACAACGGCAAGATTTCCTCCAAGAAGGGCGTCAACCTGCCCAAGACCGACATTGATCTTCCTCCTCTGTCCGAGAAGGACAAAGCCGATCTCAAGTTTGGCGTGAAGAACGGCGTCGACATGGTCTTTGCCTCCTTCATCCGCCGCGGCAGCGACATCACCGCTATCCGTGAGGTCCTTGGCGAAGAGGGCAAGGACATCCAGATCATTGCCAAGGTCGAGAACCAGCAGGGTGTTAACAACTTCGACGAGATTCTCAAGGAGACCGACGGTGTCATGGTCGCCCGTGGTGACCTTGGTATTGAGATTCCTCCCAGCCAGGTCTTCATTGCCCAGAAGATGATGATCACCAAGTGCAACATTGCCGGAAAGCCCGTCATCACCGCTACACAGATGCTCGAGTCCATGACATACAACCCTCGCCCTACTCGTGCTGAGGTCAGTGACGTCGGTAACGCCGTTCTTGACGGCTCTGACTGCGTCATGTTGTCTGGAGAGACCGCCAAGGGTGACTACCCCGTTGAGGCCGTTACCATGATGCACGAGACCTGCTTGCTCGCTGAGGTCGCTATCCCGTACGTCAACGCCTTCGACGAGCTGAGGAAGCTTGCTCCTATCCCCTGCCCCACCACCGAGACTTGCGCCATGGCAGCTGTCAGCGCTTCTCTCGAGCAGAACGCAGGTGCTATCCTCGTCCTGACAACAAGCGGTACCACCGCTCGCCTTGTCTCCAAGTACCGCCCCGTCTGCCCCATCATCATGGTTTCCCGTAACGCCACAGCCTGCAGGGTAAGTCTGTCCACTACTACCAAATGAAGTTGTGCTAATTTCCGTAGTATTCTCACCTGTACCGTGGTGTATACCCCTTCTTCTTCCCCGAGGAGAAGCCCGACTTCAAGTCTAGCCCGTGGCAAGAGGATGTCGACCGCCGTCTCAAGTGGGGCATCATGAACGCTGTCAAGCTCGGTGTTCTGAGCAAGGGCGACCCCGTTATCTGTGTACAAGGCTGGAGGGGAGGTATGGGCCACACCAACACCCTCCGCATTGTCCCAGCGACGGAGGATCTTGGTTTGGACCAGGAGGCTTAAGGGAAGAGACACAGTTGGCTATAATGTAAAGAGTCGTGTCTATAATGAGATTAGAGATGACGCTGCAATGAACAAAGATACCTTTCATGACTCATTGGAGCAATTGCGGTTTGGCGTAGTTCGTAGTTGGTGCGAGGCTCGGTGCACACGCTAGCATATGCAAGTAAACTTCGAACACAATATCGTAACTCACCTGACTCTCATACTACAAGTCTTTTGAACAAACATCTTACGCGAGCAACCAGAAGCAGACTGGACTTCAGACAAAGGGGCCTGAAGATCGTGGGTGACTAAGAGGTCTTAGCGTCGTGCCTCCAATCACTCCCAGACAGGGCCATGGATCGTGACACTCTACCACCACCAACCATGGATTTATCCGCAATAGTGAACCAAGATGAGGGGCTGGTGCTACCACGCCGGTCCAGTTCCAATGCACACTCGATAGCCCAACCGAGTCCTGTATCCGCATCCTCGAAGCTACCAACGCCGACTTCCAGAGCAATGCCGCTGAAGCGCAAGCGACACGAACCCAAACCGATATGGGCCTACCGAGAGGCCGAGGAGCTTCCCGAGGAGCTTCAGCGATTACAAGAACAACAGCGCCAGCAAGCCCGACCTCCTCCGCCGCCTGTACAGCCTCAGGCGCAGCACCAGGCTCCAGCTATGGCGCAACGCAATGGACCACCGCCTACAGCCTCTGCTGCCGCACCGAACGCTGTTCACGAGCTCGCTGGGTACGAACGACCTGTCTCGAACGATGCGCACGTCTACGATGACGTTTCGCGCAAAGTGTGCGACTTCATCTGGACCACCGCCGTGAACAACGAGATCGTGCGCAAGGCTATTTCGGAGTCACCAAACACACAACTAGAAGTCGAAGCGCGTTGGGGTCAAATCATCGACAAGCATAGGGGTGTTAATGGGGAGCGTCTGCATGGCTTTCACGACACGGAATGCGTGCTTCGGAGGAGTGACAATCTGGACGTCAAGTTCGAGAGTACGATGACGATGGAGCAGCACAAGCGCATGAACATGTATCTCAACGGCCAGGTTCAGCGATCGGCACCCGCGTCGGGCAACAAACGACCGGAAGTCAAGTACGCGCACACTAAGGAAATCGATCAGTTCTATGAGCTCGGCCAGGCAGGGTTCGACAATCTACCTCCCACAGTGCGAATGATGATTGCACAATCAGGCAAGAAGGAGAGAGTCCGCGTGTCGAAAGATGCAAAGACGGGCACTGTCCTCCGCAAGATCATCAAGCTGCGCGTCGCCAACCTCGAGATCAGCTCCCCTCAGACCGAGTGGGATTACCGTATCGGCATCAACCTCGAAATCAACTACCCTGGAGCGATCGAGGAATTGGAACCCAGCATCGAGAGTGGGAAGACCCTGCGGGACATGCAGCGCCAGAAGGACCGCATGTCGTACTCGTGGCTCGGCGCATATCAGGTGGATCTGACGCAGGTGGTGCAAGGGCCGAGCAAGAACCACGAGCTCGAGCTGGAACTCGACTCGCCGGTGTTGCTGAACGAAGCAGACAAGGTGCGGAGGAAGGAGGTCAACAGCTTTGAGCCCTTGATCAACGGCATGCTGAACAACCTCCGGGTTCTGTCGCGAGAAATCACGCCTCAGGGCCCGGCTTAGATCAGGATGGTGTAAAATTAATACTGGTATTGTTATGGCGTTGGTCAATAGGTGGGACGCAGCATATGGAGCGGAGTTTTAACGCGTCAAATTAAGATACCCATTTTGGCTGCAGCATCTGGTTGCAGTCCTCACGTCGATTGTTTTGGCTTTCCATCTACTTCGTGACGTGAAACGTGGAGCTCAGCTGCCTAGCTACAATGCCTGGAGGTACCCAGGAACGCCAAGACGAACAATGCAGCATCAGGGTCACCCAGTAGTGGATGTTTTCTGTTGTTGGTGAAATATGATGCCACAGAGATATCAATCAGACGAGCGTGAGAAATCTTGTGTCACTTTGTTGGAGAGCCGTAGCTTATCGCGTGCGTTGTGCATGTGAGAAGGGGAGATTAGGTCATCGCGGCTAGTTTGCCTCCGACGAGCTCTCTGTGTTTGAGGTCGGCCAACACGTCCAACATTCGAATACAGCATCACCACGGCTCACGCCCAACCCATCACCCACGCCACTTCCCTTTCCTGTCCTTCCTTCCCTGCGCAGCACACACGATCCAGTCTGCGCTGCATCGCCCCAACATCGTCTTTGACCGCCGCAATCCTCGCAGGCGCCGCCACATAGCTCCATCTCCTTCCACTTCCTTCCGCAATCAACACACCTCTCACCAACACCGCGGGGACAACCCCAGCTTCAGCACCACAACCGCCATCTGCTCGCTTCCGTCACCATGGTTGGTCTCACTTCAGCTGCCGGTGTCGTTGGATTCCTCTCAGAGCCAGACCCAGCTCTGCGGTCATTCGCCCTGCATCAGTTGAACGACCAGATCGATCTGCTGTGGCCAGAAGTCGCGGGCTCAGTCAGTCAGATGTAAGCGCTCTACAGCACCGGCTGCCTGCCCGCAGCATCCACCTCAGTACCAGCTACTAACGTGTGCGTCATAGCGAGGCACTCTACGAAGATGAGTCGTTCCCTGAGCGAGAACTCGCCGCGCTTGTAGCAGCGAAGGTCTACTACCAGCTGCAAGAGTACAATGAGAGCATGGTCTTCGCGCTGGGTGCTGGCAAGCTCCTGGACATCCACAAGGCTGGTGAATTTGAGGAGACAATACTAGGTAAGCAGGCACAAACAGCCCAGGGTGCAATGTGGCACAGCATGCTGCATCCTGAAACTCAGACAGCGAATTTCCTGCGGTCTAGAAGCTACGGCGGCTAATTTGCTTGTTGCAGCGAAATGTGTCGACACGTACATCGCCATGTCCGCTCTCCACAACCCACCGACCCCCGTCAGCAAGGCAAACCAGGCGCCTCCGCAGCTGAGCACATCATTTCCCGGAAGCTCGACAGGTGCTGCCAGCACTTCAGCTAGCTTGACCTCGCCCATCACACCCTTCTCGCAATCTGCGCTGCCTTCCAAGTCGCTGCTCTCCCGCGAGGACACAAACACATTCGATCCCACAACTCCCGGTGGTGGCAATGCGGGTGTAGCTGGAGCACATCCCTCGCCCATGATCCTGCAGAGGAACGTTCAGAAGAATCTACAGGCTACGATCCGGCGGATATTCGAAAGCTGCTATGAGAGCGGTGACTACAAGCAGGTTGTGGGCATTGCGATCGAGGCACGGAATCTGGATGTTCTGCGTGCGTCGATCCTCCGAGCAAGCCAGGACGAGAAGGAGAAGTCGGGCAAGAAGCCTGCAACGGGCGCTTCCACCAAGAGCGAGGAGCTGATGGACTACGTGCTCGACATCTGCATGAACGTCGTGCAGGAGAGGGGCTTGAGGAATGAAGTAGGTTGAGCCTGAGAAAGGCGAAGCGATTGTGACAGTCAGCTAACTTGGAACAGATCCTCCGCCTTATTCTTGACCTGCTCAACGACAACGAGATCCCTACCCCCGACTACTTCTCGATCGCCAAGTGCGTCACTTACCTCGATCAGCATTCGCTTGCGTCGAAGCTCGTCCGACAGTTGGTCGAACAGGGCGACGACAAGTCGCTCGCGACCGCTTACCAGATCTCGTTCGACTTGTACGAGAACGGCACTCAGGAATTCCTTGCGAAAATTATGGCAGACTTGCCTGAGTCAGATGAGGAGGACAAGGAGTCGAAGCCCTCTGACAACGGCGACGCATCTGAAGCGAAGGAGTCGGACTCCCTACTTACGGGTGCAGATACAAGCAACGTTTCGGACCTGCCATCTCGCACAAAGAAGTCCGGCAGCGAGGACCACAGCAAGGCATTCAGCTCCGTGCGCCACATTCTTCGCGGAACCAAGAGCATTGAGCTGAATCTCGAATTTCTCTACAGGAACAACCACACCGATAAGTCTGTCTTGAACAAGATCCGCGACAGCCTCGAGGCACGAAGTTCCATCTTCCACAGCAGCGTTACATTCGCGAATGCGTTCATGAACGCCGGCACCACAAACGATACATTCTTCCGGGAGAACTTGGATTGGTTGGGCAAGGCGGTCAACTGGTCGAAGTTCTCAGCGACTGCGGCTCTTGGTGTCATCCACCGTGGTAACATCACACAAGGTCAGAAGTTGCTGGATCCATACCTGCCAAAGGACAGCGTCTCATCCGGCTCTCACTACGAGCAGGGTGGATCTTTGTACGCTCTCGGTCTGATCTACGCCAACCATGGCAGCAACGTTCTAGACTATCTTGTCAAGCAGTTCCAGAACGCCTCTGAGGAGGTCATCCAGCACGGTGGTGCGCTCGGTGTTGGTGTTGCCGGCATGGCTACGGGGTCTGAGGAGATCTTCGATGCCTTCAAGAGCGTCCTGTACACCGACTCTGCCATCAATGGTGAGGCTGTCGGTCTCTCCATGGGTCTTGTCATGCTTGGTACAGGCAGCATCAAGGCCCTTGAGGACATGATCCAGTACGCACACGACACACAGCACGAGAAGATCGTTCGTGGTCTCGCTATGGGTATGGCGCTCATCATGTACGCCCGCCAGGAAGCCGCCGACGAGCTCATCAACGGTCTCCTCGATGACCCGGACCCAACCCTGCGTTACGGTGGCATCATGACCATCGCACTGGCGTACTGTGGCACAGGCAGCAACAAGGCCGTCCGTAGGTTATTACACGTTGCTGTTAGCGACGTCAGCGATGATGTGCGCCGAGTAGCGGTCATGAGCTTGGGTTTCGTGTTGTTCAGGAAGCCCGGCAGCGTTCCTCGTATGGTCGAACTTCTTTCCGAGTCTTACAACCCACACGTCCGCTACGGAGCTACCATGGCTCTTGGTATCGCCTGTGCTGGTACCGGCCTTCCCGAGGCAGTCGACCTGTTGGAGCCTATGATGAAGGACTCCACCGACTTCGTTCGTCAGGGTGCCTTGATCTCGCTCGCCATGATTATGGTACAGCAGAACGAGGCTATGAACCCCAAGGTTGCATCAATCAGGAAGCAGCTTACCAAGATCATCGGTGACCGCCACGAGGATGCCATGGCCAAGATGGGTTGTGCGCTTGCTCTTGGTATCATCGACGCTGGAGGCCGCAACTGCACAATTGGACTGCAGACACCGACTGGCAACCTCAACATGGCAGCCATTGTTGGTATGGCTGTCTTCACACAGTACTGGTACTGGTTCCCCTTGACACACTTCCTGTCGCTCAGCTTCACACCAACCGCCATCATTGGTGTCGACCAGGACCTCCAGATCCCATCGTTCAAGTTCTACAGCAACACTCGGCCAAGCATGTTCGACTACCCACCAGAGACGGAGGTCAAGGCCGAGGAGGCGCCCGAGAAGGTCAAGACCGCTGTCCTGTCAACAACAGCGCAGGACAAGCGCCGAAGGATGGTCAAGGAGCGCCAGCGCCGTAGGGAGAGTATGGACGTCGACCAGACACCTACGACGCCCAAGCCTGCCGATGATGACAAGATGGACGTTGATGAGGAGAAGAAGGACGACGAGAAGGCTGAGGGCTATGCACCAGAGTCGCCGAAGAAGAAGGTGGAGAAGGAGAAGGTTGGTTACGAGTTGGAGAACATGTCGCGTGTCCTGCCACCCCAGGTGAAGCACATCGCATTCCCTGGGGACCGTTTCATTCCAGTCAAGAAGGTCAGTCCAGCCACATTGCCTTATACATTTCAAACACTAACTTGTACACAGCCAACACTCGGGGTTATTCTTCTCACGGATACAAAGCCTTCAGAGCCCAAGGAGCTGCTCGAGCTTAAGGTCAAGAAGGCGGCGCCGGCACCAGCGCCTGGTGCTTCAGGGTCGTCTGGTGAACAGGCAGCTGAAGGTGTTGCAGATGCCGAGTCGTCTGGATCTACAACAGACAACCTGGTAGAGGAGGGCAGTGAGGAAGCATCGCTACCTGGGGATTTCGAGTACGAGTCAGACACGAACCCAAATGACAGCGAGTAGAGGCAGTCGAGGGTCGATTGTAGTATCCTTCTTGGAGCCGGGCGGATTGTCTGCATTGATCTTAGGCTTAGGGAGGTCAGAGAAGGCCGCTTTCCCAGCCTGCCTAGATGTATAATAGCCCATGCGGTCTACTAGAATTATAAGCATAGTCGTTCACATCACTGTTCATTGGGTGACTGTGTGCATAATCATCCCATCTCCACTGGGACAACGCGTGTCTGCGGTCCTCGGCGGTCCGGGCTTGGCGCTGCATCGAAAAGTATGGCATGACCTTGACGCGCAGCAACTCTCCCACATGCCGCCATGGGCCTTCGACCGGGGCTGCCACGAACGATTGCCGGCCGCGGTGCGAATACTGTATGCCTGCAATGCTGGCGGAAGCTGGCCCGGACGCCGATGCCTTTGCGCCAGGCCTTCTCGACCATCCCATCACATAGATCCGGCGCGGTAGCTGTGGGGAAGAGCCGGAACTCGTTCAGCAAAGACTTCTTCGGCAAGAACTCATTATTAAAAGAGACGTTCTGGCAATCGAGGAGAGAACTGCAGAGCTCCATTGCGACAGTCAAGACAAATAGCGGACAGCCAGCAGCACCACGAGATGCAACCACCACACCCACACCAACGCCCACAGACGACATCCTCCCCCACCGGCGGCGGAAGCGCGCCAAAGAACTCGCCGCACCGCAGTCCTCGCCCTCGCCCACCCCCGAAGGCACAGAAGCCTACCCCATCCCCCTCGACGCCTCCGCCCGCCTCGCCGACCTAGCAACCACCCAAACCTCGCTCAAGCGCCTCTTCTTCACATACCTCTCGCTCTCGAAACCGCGGCTTTCGTTCCTCGTCGTCCTCACCGCCACCGCCACATACAGTCTCTACCCGGTCCCGCAGCTGCTCAGCACGGCAGCGACCGCGACGCCCAGTCTGTCTGCGCTCACGCTGCTGTTCCTCACCACGGGTACCGCGCTGTGTTCAGCGAGCGCGAACGCGTTCAATATGATCATGGAGCCCAAGTTCGACGCCCAGATGAGCCGGACGCGCAACAGGCCGCTGGTCAGGAAGTTGATTAGCGTGCGCGGCGCGGTCGTGTTCGCTGTTGCGTGCGGCATCGTTGGCACCGCAGGTCTATACTTTGGTGTGAATCCTACCACCGCGTTCCTCGGGGCCAGCAATATCGTCCTGTACGCTGGCATTTATACACCACTGAAACGTATCAGCGTGCTGAATACGTGGGTTGGCGCCGTGGTTGGCGGGCTGCCGCCGCTGATGGGCTGGACGGCTGCGGCGAGCCAGTACGCGCACGACGGCACGTGGGAGGAGTTGTTGTTCAGCGAGGGGAGTGCTGGGGGCTGGCTGTGCGCCGCGCTGCTGTTCGCATGGCAGTTTCCGCACTTCAACAGCCTGTCGTGGTCGATCCGCGACGAGTACCGCAACGCGGGCTACCGGATGCTGGCGTGGGTCAACCCAAGGCAGAACGGGCGTGTTGCGCTGAGATATGCGGTGCTTATGTTTCCGGTCTGTATTGGATTGAGTCTGTGCGGGATTACGGATATGAGTTACATCGCCACGAGTAGTGTGGTGAATGGCTGGATGGCCTGGAAGGCGTGGGAGTTTTGGAAGCAGGATGGGCACAAGGGGACTGCGAGGGGGCTGTTCTGGGCCAGTGTGTGGCATCTGCCGATTGTCATGGTACTGGCTATGGCGCAGAAGAAGGGGCTGGGTGAGAGGCTGTACAGGAGCATCTTCGGGTATGCGGATATCGAGGATGATGAGCTGTATTATGAGGCTGGGGAGCTGGAAGAAGAAGAAGAAGAAGAGGAGGAGGAGGAGGAGGAGGAAAAGTATCAGAGGAGACGGGTGGTGAACTGATGGATGAGTGTCTCCTTGCGTTTACCATGGGTTGGTGGATTAGCTGTCACGATACCTTGTATTATATGGCATCAGCATGTATCAAGATGATCAGTTGCGCACACCCGAAGGCGTTCAAGACTGCAACACATCGATTTGCTTGTACCATACACCGAGTATCTTCGCGGAACCGGCAGCACAACATGACAGTGCTCGAAAAACGATAACGTCCACCGTACGCAAGGAATCGTTCGCTCTGCACTTGGAGATGGCATCCCATAATTCCCCCGTGTCTTTTCGTCTCCGCTCAGCCATGCGCACCACCTGCTTATGCAGGATACTTCCGCAGCTGTGCACGTGTCAGTATCGTACTCCCAGTCGAAGGTCGAAAGAGGGCGAGGGGGGGGGGGGGGGGACTTAGAGGAGGACTTAGAGGAGGAGGACTTACATCCAGGCTCAAATACTTGCTCGTCATCTTGCTCTGATCCCTCATAACGCCGACCAGGGTCTCACTCTCCTGGAAGAAGCCAGCCTTCAAAGAGATGACGATGAACTGCATACCAGGGCTGGCGTGCTCGCGGACGTACTTTGCCACGCGCGACACATTGACATTGTCCAGCGCGGCATCGACCTCGTCCAGCACAAAGAAGGGACTCGGCTGGTACGAGTGGATAGCAAAAAGCAGCGCCAGCGCCGCAATCGTCTTCTCACCACCGCTGAGATGCTCCATGTCGCGGAAGCGTTTGAGCGGCGGCATGGCATGGTATTTCAGACCTGCGAGGTATGGCTCGGTGGAGTCCTCCATGTCGAGGTACGCCTGCCCACCCAAGGGGAACTGCGGGGACTTGGTCAGATCCTTGTACGTCCCGCCAATGTTCTCGCTGATGTGGTTGAAGGCTTTCATAAACAAATCATATCGGCGCTGCTTGACTTCCTCGAATGCTTTCTTGGCTGCCGCCGCGCGCTTGCGGGTCGCTGCGAAATCAGCGTCGACGGCGGCGAGGCGCGCTTCCGTGGCCGCCAGGCGCTCGCCGGCGCGCATGTTGGGGGTCGCTTTGGAGATGTCGGTTTCGAGGCGGGTGATTGTGTCGGTGAGGCGGGATTCGGTGGTGCGGAGGGAGGTCAGGAGGGCGGATTGGACTTTGTCGTCGTCGTCGTCGTCGGAGTCTTCGTTCTCGAGGAGCTCGAGGAGCTCGGTGCGGAGTTCTTCTTCGAGCTCGTCAAAGTCGACGTCGATGCCGTAGTTGTCTACTTCTGGCTGCTGGATCTGCGTGTTGTCGGGGTCTTCGTCGACGTCCATGGAGTCGGCGTCTGGGCGAGGCAGGTCTGTCATGGGCAGCGAGGCGAGTGGATTGGAGTCTGAGGTGAGCGGGATCTTGATCTCGTTGACTCGGCACTCCTTGAGTGTGTTGTAGCGGTTCGTTGCACTCGTCTTGATCTTGGCTTCTTCGCTGTCCACTTCTCTCAAGACCTTCTTGACCTTCTCGTTCCGCTGATCGAGGGCACGGCGTGCTTCCTTGACGGCGAGGGCTCGCCCTGTCAGCTTCTCTTCTAGGGCCTCGCGCTTCTCTTGCAGTTCCTCTAGCTCAGCCTGGAGCACGTCTCTTGCGTTCTGCAGCTCTTCCTGCTTCTCCTGGTGTTCTGCAAGCTGTTGGTCGATGCGCTTGATCTTGCCTTCAGCCTGTGAAAGACGGTCTTCGATCCCTTGCAGCGACGACTCCAGCTGCTTGAGGAGAAACGAGAGTTTGCTGCGCTGTCGGGTGAACTCGAGACGCTTCTCAGCTGCCTCCTGCTGGACTGTGCCTTGCTGATCTTCGTAGTCGCGGATCGATGCGTAGCCGAGCCTCTGACAGAAGGCAGCAAAGACGCTATCAGTGACCTGATTGACTACATCTTGGAAGCCCTTGAGTTCGTCCTCTCGGTTTCGCAGTCGTTGTGTCTGCTGGTCAAAGTTTGGCCGTACGCCTCTCAGCTCACTCTTGTGGTGTGCCAGCTCCTTCTTCAAGCTATCGATGTTGCGAGTGAGAGCCTTCGTTTCGTCCTGCGCCCGCCTAACCTGGTCCGTGAGATCCAGCAGCTCAGCCTCGATGGTCTGCTCCTGTTGTCGCGAACTCTCGAGCTTGGGCAGATTAGCCAGTTCTTTCTGTATCGAGTCAACGCGGTCGCGAAGGGTCTGGTACGACTTCTCGTCCCACGATTGCTCGCCGCCATCATCATCGCGGTCCAGCTCACCACCAGTCTGAGTGCCACCCTTGCTGATGACACGGCCGTCGAGTGTAACCGCCTTGGCTTGCACCCGGCGCTCGTACCTCAGCTCCTTCGCAACCTTCTCGGTGTCACAGATCATGGTACTGCCACACGCTGCGGTCATGGCGCGCTCGTGCTTCGGTTCGTAGTTGATGCAATCAATGGCCAGGCGCATGCCCTTGTGCATGCCCTTGAGTTGCGAATCGACGGCCTTGATCTGGATGGAATCGAGTGGGTCGAAGGACATGATGCCGATGCGCTCCTGCTTCAGGTAGGCGATGCATTCCTTTGCAGTCGCTTCCGTGTCGACGATGACTGTCTCCATCTGAGGTCCCAGCACTCGGCCCATGGCCTTGCGGTACTTGGCCTGTTTGGCTGTGATGAGGTCCCTGTACCGGCCATGCACCTTCTCGGGCCCGAGCCGCACGCGAAGCCGCTCGATGGCCTTGCGGGCTTCTTGCTGCTTGCGCGACTCGCGTCGGCTGCCTTCGACTATGCTGAGCTGCGTCGCGGACTCCTGCAGCATCTGGTTCTTCTCCTGGTAGTTCAGCTCCAGCTGTCGGCGATCAGAGCGTAGTTTGTCCAGCTCCTTTTGCTTAGCGCTTCTCGCCGACTCCAGCTCTCGCATCTGTGACTTCTCCTCCTTTTGCCGCTCTTCGAGCCGGCCAATCTCCGCACTCAACCTCTCGGCAGCCTTCTCGTGGGCATCGACGCTTTGCTGCAGGTTCCGAACGTGGTCCTGGTCTGTGTCGACTTCACGCTGTAGTCGGTCGATCTGCATCTGGTCTGCGTGGGTGCGCTTCACAACCTCGCCGCGGAGCTGGTTGTACTCGTGGAGGTCTTGCTGCGACAGCTCACGGCCCTGTCGCTGGGACGCAGCCTTGAACTCGTCCTCCCACTTCTTCTCCGCTTTCTGCACCAGGTCCAGATCCTTTTTGATCTTGTGCACCTGCTGTGCTTCCGTGTCGCGCTTCTTCCTGAGGTCGGCGAGCACAGCGTCGTTCTTTTGGCGCTGGTTGTTCAGCAGACGGATGGTCTCCTCGACAGGAGCAAGCTCGTTGCTGGTGTCCTCGATTTGCTTCTCCTTGTCCTTGATGCTGCGGTCCGTCTTGCTCACGTCACGCTTGACCTTGGCCTCGGCCTGCCTTTCCTGCTCGTGCTTTGTGTGGTACTTCTCGACGCTGCGCTTGTGCTCTTTGAGCTCTTCCTGGTGGGAGGCGATCTTGTTGCGCGCCTTCTCCATGGTCTGCTGGTAGAGGAACAGCTTCCACAGTGTCTTGGTGACGACGGCTTCGTCGCGCGCCGCCAGCTTGCGCCCGTACTCGTCCGCCTCCGCCTTCTGCTCCTGGTATGTCTTGAGCTCGCCGTTGATGCCGCGACGCTCGTGGAGGTGCTTGGCGTTGTCCTCGGTGGCAGCCTCGGACTCGGCCTTGAGCCTGTCGTAGTCGGCCTTCTTCTCGAGGGAACCAGAGATGCGCTCGACCTGCTCCGTGAGCTTGTCCGGCGCCATTGTCGCGATCTTCTCGACGTCGCCCTGGAAGACGAGGAAGTTCCTGGCCTTGACGAGGATGCTGTGCTCTTCGAGTGCCTCGTTGTACTCCTTCGCGGTGACTTGGCGCCGGTTGATGCGGTACTCGCTTGCGCCGGAGGCTGTGATGGTGCGCTGCCACTCGTGCTCGTGCTCCGCGTCGTCCTCGTAGACGGCCTTGACCCAGGCGTTCTGGGGGGTGTCTGTCTGTGTGCCGGACTGCGTGTCGGCGCTCTCCTGCGTGTCGGCGATCGGTTCGGCGCTCGCGTCGCCGTTCGCGTCGCCGTTCGCGTCGCCCTCGGTCGCTGTGCCGTCTGCGTTGATCCTGGCGTCACGGATGACCCTGCCGCGGTAGACCATGTCCTGCAGCTTGTCGGATCGCAGCTGGGACGAGCGGACGCCGAGGACGAAGGAGATGGCGTCCATGCTGTTCGACTTGCCGGAGCCATTGGGGCCGATGATGGAGGTGAAGTACGAGTCGGCGAAGAGAAGCGTGTGGCGTCCACGGTAGGACTTGAAGTCTGCGCAGGTCAGCGTGAGCGTGCAGCGGCGCGCGGGTCCATCTACTGTAGACCTCGAGGCGCACAAGCTTCCCCATGGTGGCGGCTGGTTTGCGCGGGAGCTGTGCAGCACGTGCGCGGTGAGAGGGTGGATTGCCTGAGCAGCTGTCGCGCGGTGTGCCTGCGCCGCGTTCAACGAGCTCGAAGTTCGCGACGACGCGTCGCGCTGCCGCCAGCCCGCCCGCCGTAGCTAGCGTCTGCTCGGGGGGGGGGGGGGCATACAAAGCTCCACAGTGACATAACAGGGCATCCTGCAGGTGAGCCGGCCATCAACTTCCTCGTTATTACTTTGGCAGTCGTGTGCCCCCCCCCTCCCTTTCTCTTGCACCCACCTACAGCCATCTACAGCTATCCAGGCCGCACGTCGTCTGCGGCAGTCTGCGGCAGTCTCTCTGTTCCCGTGACCAGCTCCACCTATATCGCGTTCTTGCACGTTGGTCGTGCTGTGACGACAGCAAGTGCCAATCACCAGCTGGCATTCTCCCACGACTCACATCCTCGACCGCTCACCGAGAAACGCTGAGCACCGGCGGCCAGTTCTGCCCCGCACCGCAGTGTCATGCGAACAGCCGTGCGAGCTTTGCTTCGATAATCTGACCATCATCCCCGTACGCGCCTTCCCTATGAAACTGTTGCGGCCTCCTGTTGCGGCTTCCTGTTGCGATGGGCCACGACAACAGACAACCACTGACAAGTCATGGCTGCAGGCTCCCCTCCACGCCGCCTACAGAGGCCCTCGCATCGCCGCACGCCCTCGAGCCTGGAAATAGTGCCCGAGGATTTGCCCGTCATGTCCACCCAGGACCCGAAATCCAGGTCGGAGCCCCAACTGGGCCTCTCTGCCCTCTCCACCGACCCTGCACCGGGCCACTCGGCACAGGCTGGCGCTGGCGCTGCGCTGCTGGGAGAGGCCTCGCGCTCACGTCCAGCACCCGTCTCCACGCCTGGCCTCTCGCGCTCCAACTCCTTCTCCAACAGCTCCTACCACGATGACTCGGAAGACGACACCGCCTTCTTCCCGCCCGTCGAGCGGCTCACCATGTTCGACTTCATCGAGAACATGGCGCTGCAGCAGCGCTTCGACAAGCTCCAGGCCTCCATCTCGTCCCAGACAGAGAGGCTGAAGATCCAGGCCAAGAACCGAGGTATCACGCGCGACCGAGTCGTCGATGAGTGGCGGAGAAGGGTGCCCACCGAGGGTGAACAGCTCGAGCGTTACAAGACGCGGGTGCGCAAGTCGGTCGATCGCCTCAACGCGCGCTTCAACGAGTCCCTGACCGTCACCGCGCGAGAGAAGGCTTCCTTCATCGCTGCTGTCTTGAACATCTTCGTCTCGGGCTATCTGGTCGGCCTGCACCCCGGCTACTTCCCGCACTGGTACACGGCGCAACTCCTATGGTTCATGCCTATCCGCTACTACACCTACCACAAAAAGGGCTACCACTACTTCCTCGCTGATCTGTGCTACTTCGTCAACATCCTCGCCGTCCTGAGCATCTGGGTGTTCCCGCGGTCAGAGCGTCTCTTCATCGCCACGTACTGCCTGATCATGGGCAACAACGCCATCGCTATCATCATGTGGCGTAACTCGCTCGTGTTCCACTCGATGGACAAGGTGGTCAGGTACGTACTCCCTTCTACGCCCGCGGCAACGCTGCTAATCCAACCAGTCTCTTCATCCACATCATGCCGTGTGTGACGCTTCACTGCATCGTGCACCTGCTCTCGCCCGAGTATCAGAAGGAGCACTACCCCGCCATCTACAAAATCCGCCACTCCGACCCATCCTCTCCGCACCACTACAGCCTGCCGCAAATGATGATGTGGGCCACGCTTCCATACGCCTTCTGGCAGCTTACCTACCACTTCCTGATCACCGTGCGTCGTCGCGACAAGATCGCCGCCGGACGTCCTACCAGTTTCACATGGCTGCGCAAGTCCTACGCTAGGACTTGGATCGGTAAATTCGTCCTCTCGCTGCCGAGCTTCCTCCAAGAACCAGCCTTCATGGGTATCCAGTACTCGTATGCCGTGCTCACCATGCTGCCCGCTCCCATCTGGTTCTGGTATCGCTGGGCTAGCGGCATCTTCCTCACGGTTGTCTTCGTCTGGAGTGTCTACAACGGTGCCACGTTCTACATCGACGTCTTTGGCAACCAGTTCAAGAAGGAGCTCGATGCCCTCAAGGCGGATATCGTGAAGTGGCAGGCTTCTCCTGAGGGTGGGTACACACCCTTCACTCCCTTTGAGGGAGGTCAAGAGAAGCAACTCGGCTACATCCCGCCGCTCGAAGGCAGCACTGCCGTCAAGCCCGCTGATGGAGAGGCTGAGAAGAGGAAGTAGTGGGGCTTTCGTGATCAATGCATTTAGTTTGGTGGTCCACTCTGATTGGTTATGTTCGCGTTTGATTCACTGTCTTTGAGCATCTTTCACGGCTGACTGCATATACCCCCTTTCCTTCGTTCGGCATCTATTGTCCAGCTAGCGGAACTAGTACACGTCCATCTCCCGTCTTCACACAAGCGTAGAGGCATTTATCACTTCTTGCAATCCTACATCGCTGCATATGTACCAGCATAGAACCCTTCAGTTCCCCTCGAAACTCTGGAACAAGAGCTAAAACACCACAGGTCTTCCTTTCCGCAGCAGACCAGGCCCTCATCGTATCCGTTCTACGGAATCATCGGTACGGATCTGAAGGGCTGTCTCATCAGCATCGTGAATGACAACAGGCTACTTCCTCACTCTTACCGCGTTCCAACCTCTCTATGGCAAGCTCAGCGACATCTTTGGCCGCGAGGAATGTCTTCTGTTCGGGTACCTGACCTTCGGTATCCGCTCAATGGCTTGTGGCTTTGCGCGCACAACTGGTGAACTCATCGCAGCAAGAGCGTTCGCAGCTATCGCAGGTGGCGGGCATGACGGTCTGCGTGAGCATCATGCTGTCTGACGGCGTGGGCCTGAGAAACAAAGGGGGGCGGGGCAGGGATACATCAACCTGGTGTATGCGAGTGTTGCTGCAGCTGGTGCTCCTCTAGGGCGTCTGCTCGCCAAAACCATCGGCTGGAGGTGGTGGTCTTTCATCGCACAGTGCCCCCTTTTGTCTGATAGCTCTGGTTGCTGTCGCCGCTGTGCGCCGACTACCAAAGCAGGAAGATTCGTACTGGAAAGCGAAACTGGCGAAGGTTGACTTGCTCGGAGCCCTGATCCTTATCGTAGCTATCTTCGGCCTTTTTGTTGGACTAGACGGGGATCAAACATCGGCTGGAGTTAGTCCCCATCGCCACCGCAGGGACTTTGCAATACTCCGCTATTCATCATCTTCGTCCTTGTCGAGAAGTACGTTGCGAAGCATCCTTTTTGCGCCCGGCCACATGATTCTCGACAGATCACTAGTTGCATGCTACCTGTGCAACTTCTGCACGCTCGGTGGATGGCTAGCGGCCATCTTCTTCATACCCTTGTACTGGCAGATCACACACGGCTACGGTGCTTCCCAAGCTAGACTCCTGCTTGTGCCGTGCATCATCTCGGGTGTTTGTGGCTCGCTGTTCGGCGATATCTATATGAAGCGTACGGCGAAATACTATTGGATCACAGTCATTGCTTACTCGCACCTGACGATCGCCCTCTTGATTTATCCTCCTTTTCGTTGGCATGATCATGCAAAGTTTGCCGGTCATGGTCGTGGGCACATGTATCTGCGGTTTCTCGAACGGCATTGGAGTCACGACTACGCTCATTGGTCTTGGTAAGTCGAGATATTGCCAGCCTCAGTACCATGAACGGACATGTTGCAGTCGCAAACGCCTCGCACGCCGACCAAGCCGTCGCAACAGGCATGCGGCTACCTCTTCCGCTCGCCCGGCTCCGTTTTTGGCGTGTCAATGTGTGCAACAGCTTTCAGCCAGACCCTGCGCTCAAGCCTCACGGCTGCACTCAGCGGCGATTAAGACGCAGACGAGATCGCCGAACGCGTACGAGCGGGTCTCGCATACTATCGAAGCTTGGAGCCCCATCTGCAAGAAACTGTGCGCGAGTGCTGTGGTAAGGCTCCCCAGGGCGGCCTTGTGTGTAAGTGTGGTACTGGGTTGAGGTTGAGTTTGGTTGACAGACGAACTTTGGTTCACATTCTCTGTTCCATATGTCTTCGGAGGAGATGTATCAATGTTGCAGAGAGCAGTGTAAAACATGATTTCGCTCTTATCCAAGCACCATCGCATCCACATATCACGTCTTCATTATCCTACACATACTATATTTTCCAAGACACAACTCCAACATGTCTGCACCAACCAAGCATGCTGGGGCTTCATAGCTCAGCACTTTCAAGACGTCGCCGCGCAGTACGAGCTGTCATCCCCGAGCAGTACTACATTGTCGCCATCAAGCTCACCCGACACGTCACCAACAGCATCACACTCGACATGGAACTCTCCAGGCTCCCTCGAGGTTGAAGGAGAAGATTGCTCATGCGGCTTCGGCTTTTGCAAAGGCGTCTGGCACGGAGATCAAGCCTGGAAGACCTGCAGCCTGATGCCAACATGCGGGAATACTTCTCCTACGAGTACTGGATGGCGGTGCAAGAAGCCCAGGCTGTCACTGCCTTGGTCCACTTGTACCTAGCGGCGCCCGACCCTCAGGCTCGTGTGGATAGCATTCCATGTGATTCGGAACTGGAGATGCGCCCAAAGGCGCAGGCTACGAGGGCATTGAGAGAGGGGGAGGAAGCGGAGTAAGGGTCTTCGGGTGCAGTGAATGGGATTAGGTTAGCATCGCGAGAGGTAGTGAGGGACTCCTGGGTGATGTTTAGAGAGGCGATTAGGTGCCGTGAAAGGTGTGAAGGGCTCCTAGGAGATGCATGTAGATGGAAGAGGATGCGTAGAATGTGGTGAATACCTCCAGAGAACCAGTTCTGTTCGATTAAACCGTGATCGCCGAACGCTGTGCCACTCGTACCTCGCGTCCGCCTCACCGGCTGCCTCGCCTCGGGTGGTTATTTGTCACCATCAACGTGTAATCTTGGAAGTGGGCACTCCATGTGTTGCGGCTCAGACCCGCATCGCCATCCGGTCAGAGAGGATGCGCAGGATGCGCAAAAAGCAAACAATCCGGAAGCGCTACCGAGCAAACAAACGAATGGTAAGGACGATACACAGCTCAAGGGTCCACACCTCATCTCGCTTCGTCAAACGTGCGCCATGGTGGTTGCTGCTGTAAGTGTTGTCGTAATAGAAGCTCGATGCAGTAGGCGCTTCATGGAGGGAAGGAAGGTGTGCAAGGCTGCGACTTCACAACGAACATCCTCGAGGGGCAGTTGCGCTACTTTGCGATGCTGCGACAGCTCTGCAACATACAAAAGCTTTTATAGAGAGAGGATACTTGAAATGCACAAAGAGTGTCAATAGTCGTGTATGTAGGAAAGTGAGGCAACCGTGTACATACGGAGAGCTAAGCGTGTTGCACACCGATGAGCCCCAATATCTACAACGCGTATATCATGCAAACTGAGGAATAACTCCGCGGTCGCGTCAAACGCGCCAACACGTAAAGGAAGTCCCATCACCGGGCACGATAGTGTCCGAAAGAAGCAAATAGCCGTCGAACAGCAGCAGAGGCGCAGCAAGGTTATGCAGGTCCCATCCCGAAACCCATCGACACCAGACAGCCGGTGACACGTTCATGCAAATAGTGGTCTGATTCTGAAAAAAGCATGTTGCTGCCTCAATGAAGGGATACTGGGTGCAAATCATCTGCGCGAGGACTGTTTTGTGATTAGCGAGGTTTTGTAAGACAGTTAGGGGCCAGGGTTGGGAAGGATGGGTGCCCCCGGCATGCACATGATGCTTCCCCGGTATACCAGCGTTGTACTCGATCTACACCATTTTTTTTTAGCGTCGATTGTTGTACATTCTCTTGACAGTTGAAGATCGATGAATGACTCGACATGGGGGGTGGCTTCCTGAATACAACCTCTCTTATCGAACAAGCCCCACGATTTGCGAGTCAGATGCACCCTACTGTGCTAGGGCATTGAGGCGTCGTTGCTCTGCCTCTTCCCAGACGCATCTTGCGCACATACAATCTCCGCCCAACGCACCTACTGCCCACTCTCTGCGCTCTTTGACGGGCAGTCTGACATCGCAGTAATGCCCGAAGACCTCTTGGCCTTTCTTCAATCCAGGGCCCTGGTTAGGGTCCCTTCCCTCCCAGTCCACAAGCTTCTCGCGTGTCCAAAATTTCATAGTCCCTTGCCATTCCCAGGCTACGTTCGGGTCGCAGCTATGGTTGGCTAGACACCACATTGGATGAACAGCGCCAATCTCCGGTCGTCCGTCTGGTCCTTGTTGCGCAGAAGCTGTGCCTCTCAGCTTGGCGTAGATGGTGTTGAAGACCCAGGTGTCGTATCGATAGCTTTGAGTGAAGATGTTGACATCCATCTTTTCCAGTATGTGTAGAGGCTTGATGACATTGTTGTTGAACGAGAATGGCAAGGTCTGGGGAACACCGCCGAAGGGATCAACGAGTTCACCCTCAGTGTTGGCTTGCCATACAGTATTCAGGTCTTTGCCGTGATAGTCACCCCAGATGTAGCGGAGTTCCTTCAACTCTAGAGGGTGAAGATCTTGTGTTTCTGCCAGTGCCAATGCTCGGACAAGGAGGATGGAGTACAGAGAGTCGGCAGCTTCGCGAGCAGGAACTTTTCCTTGGTTTACGCTCACTCCGCATATCGAGGGGTGGTAACTGTCCTGTGCCAGATCATGGCATTTTTCACTACAGAAGAACACCTCGTCGCACTCTTCGCAGGAGAGAATGGTACTCTCCGCACCTGGCGAGTCAGGTAGTGTTGTACTGCAAGCGTCGCAGTATGTATCGTGGAGTCTGGATACAGCCGTCAGTAGAGACCTTTCCTTCAGCACCTCCACTCCAGGCGCAATATCCTCCTTCGCGAACACGCCTAGCTGTTTCACAAATTGAACTTCGTGATTTGATTCCTGGGTTGACGGGTTGGTTGAGAGTAATGGCAGCTCAGAAACCCTCACTTCCAGCTTCGGAGCTATGTTCGCCATCTCATCGTTCAGAAATTGCAGACATTCGTCTGAGTGGCGATCTGGTTCGTACTCATTCCAAGGATAGTTTTCGCGACGAACAAGGCCCTTATCGGGGTAGTCCTCGACCTCCACGTCGTCAACGTTTTCTCCTTCTTTCTCGTAGTAAGACCGAAGTTTGGATGTCAGGATGTTGTCATACTCGCCGAAGGTCTTGTCGTTGGGAAAGGCTCTCGTTGCACGCGCGATATAGTCGAACGCGCTGCGGAAGCAGCCGCAAGCCAAAAGAGCTTCTATGAGGACATCATGCCTTGTCGAGTTAGTAACTGACCACACGTTTACATCGACCCAAGTCTTCTCTTACATACGCAGTCCTCGAAAGATGCTTTTGCGCCCAGGTCAGAACGTTATCCTCCTCTTTGCTTCGAGCATCGGCAGCGGAATTGATTGTCAGGCCCGCGACTCCCTCCGAAAGATAATCGGCGTTCGCAGCTTCTAGAGCTTCGTCATGATATTCTCCTTCCTCGGCTACCTCGTCAACAAGCAGGAGTGCCTTGTATGCATCGCCAACAGCAAGATCGGGATATCCAAGGCTTCTGTAAGCCTTTGCCAGTTTCAGACGATGTGCTATGCTGTATGGTTGCTCAGGCGTTTGTTGCTGTAATGCAACGAGTTCGTTGGTGATCCTTGTTCGTCTCTGAATTGGTCAGCACTATCTGTTGGTCTCGCTGGCGCTCTAATTACCTCCATCTTCAGTCAACTTGGATTTGTTGTGTGTACGATTGTGAAGCACGTGAGACAAACTTTTTGGAGGTGGCGGGACTAACTTAGTGGGACTAGCTCGCTTCGTAACCAGTGCAACCCACCACCACGTTACAGTGACACAACTTCAGCTGCAAACGCAAGTCAGCGCGCTCGTTGCTCGCGAGCCACTTTCAATCGCCTGTCATGCTACCCTCTGCGTCTGAGCTTGTTGCTCAATATCTTAGGACGAACGGCTACACCGAGGTATGACGTAGCCCACATTATTGGCTAGACTCACTCACACACAGTAGACCTTGAAGAGTTTCGTCAAAGAAGCTGACTTGCCACCCGATACTGGTACCGGTTCGAACAGCTCGGTGACTATAGAGACGATACTTCACGAGAAGAAAACATTTGATCTCAGTCTCAGTTTTGAGAAGCTTGGTGTCGAGGATGCAAATCGCGCGTGGGCTGTTCCAGCACCATCAAAACCCACAGTTTTCGAATCACTGCCTAGTCGCTCTAATATCTTGAGCGTGGCTGTCTTCGACCTGCTGCTTCCTTCTGCCACAACTGTTAAACAGTACATCGCCGTCACCACAGCTGACCGGCGACTACACCTCTTGAACCCGGCTTCACCAAGCTTTGAGCTTGCCCATTCGTATACCAGCTTCCAAGACTCTCCAGTATTGGACATCATCACTATAGGCTGGCAATATATGATGATCGCCTCGATGTCCGGAAAATTGCTACTGTACGACACCGCAAGCGACAAAATCCTGGACGAAAGGAAGGATCATTCCAAATATGTCGTCAAAATAGCCAGCTGGTCCGACAATGATTCTGTTCTGGTAGCAAGCGCCGGATGGGACTCTAAGGTGTTTCTCTATCGGATCCACATTGGTGGAGATGCCTTACGCATTGGCGAGCCTTTGGCCACCCTCACGCTTGCAAGCATCCCGGAAACCCTACTTTTCGTGAAGTCTCCTGAAGATGACTCTCCAATACTTCTGGTTGCTCGCAGAGATTCTACATTCCTGTATTACTATTCGGTTCCTTGTCTAAATGCTTCAGCGTTCAACCTCCTCGGGAAGCAGAACTTGGCTCCACACTCCAACGCATGGGTGGCCTTTACTCCGGCGGACGTCCAAATCTGTCCCACTGATCCGTCTGTGGTAGCCGTTGCGACTTCATCGACGCCACATATGAAGATACTGATACTGAAGCTTTTACTTCCGCCAACGAAACCTGCGATACCCGATGATGTTACTAGTTCAGAAACAACCGAACCGGCTGCTGTCACACAAGCCTCACAGGCACGTGCTGAGCTCCTGATTGCAGATAGAGAGGAGGCAGCCATATTGGTGAACGTGTCAACTATGGCACCTCAAACTGCTTATTCCACCCCACGGTTGACTTGGCGACCTGACGGCTCAGGTCTGTATGTCAGCTCAGATGATGGTGTCATTCGCGGTGTCGAGACGAATAGTGGAAAGCTTGTTGCATCTTTGGAGGGACATGAGCCCGGAAGCAAACTGCGGTGCCTCTGGGCTGGAACCCTCAAAGCACCGAGTGATGAAGCTGCCAGTTCAACGAGTGATCACGAGGTTTTGATCAGTGGTGGTTTTGACCAGAGGTTGATACTATGGGGTCGCTAGTCATGGCGCTTTTTGCGCACCCAAAACATTACCCGCCATGGCCATCTGGGGCGCAAGGCTGTACTTAGCCTGCCCGCAATGTCCAACAATCAAGGATCCGAAGGCTGCTTCGTAGCCTTTGTCACCTATCCGTATAGCTCAGCATGAGCTCGGGTTCCTCGCAATCCGACAAAGCCACCAATGAGCGTGAGTAGAATTGCGCGTACGAATCCAAAGTCTATCGGACACTTGAGGTTCGATGTAGTAACAGAATTGGTTCACTAATTACCGGCGCACAGAATATAGAAGTCATAGGGGTTGAAATTGCGCTTGGCAAGGTTTCTTTTTTGGTCGGCGACCTGTGCAAATACCCTGTACCGCCACGATCTTGTCCCCGCGATCTGGCAACGGCAGATCTTGCAGGGAACATTCGCTTATCCGCCTATGACACACGTGGTAAGCCACCCTGCATCACACACGCACGCCGGGCAAGGGACTTGTAATTAGTGTCCGAACAACCTATCTGTTCCACCATACACCGATTACAGGATCAATAGACGGCTTTACGCGGGGAGACCTCACAATGTTTTTGCTGGGCCTAGAACTGCAACACCACCGGGGAAGACGGCTCAAGTGCACTTGTCTCTACTTGTGAACATTTCGAGTCCATGAAACGTCACGGGCAGTATAGTGCGTATCTTAGTCTTGGAACGTATCCACTCGTTCGCGAAATGGCCCTCTTGGCTGATGTTCGTCCTCGTGTACACCTATTTCGAGACTTTGCTATTGCTGGCACGCCGTCTTCCAGGACTAGGACTGCGCTCGTGCTATCTTCCTCGCCGAGCAACTGTATATATATCACCGCGGTGCAACTCGATCAAGTCACACCTCCAAGTCGACTTCATCATCTTTCCCGACTTCACACTACACCATATACTTGGCGACTACCTTTCCATCATCCTCTCCCGTCCCGACTCTTCAATCTGCGCACCCTCAATCATTGTCGGTTTTGCTGTAGGTCTCTTCACGCATCTTCAAACATGTCTTTTGCGACAAGCTTGAAAGAAGGAGATGGCGACTTTTTGCTGGTAGTTGCTGGCCTGACACGATTTGCGCCCTATCTGACGGGCTGGCAAGAGTTCAAGGATCACATCCGGAGAGTGGTCAGGGAGCAACCTGGCTGGGTTGATGTATACGCAAGTCAGAGCCAGCGTAGGGGTGAAATGCAAGGCTGGTGCAGACTCAAGGACAAAGAAGATGCAGATGCAGCTTACAGTGGGTGGCACAACATGATGCTTTTCTGTGCTACAGCGCTGATCGCGTTCTAGAAACATATTTCAAGTCCAAAGGCATGCTGGTACATGTCTGGCAAACGCGTCGGAGCAGCGATGGATTTCGACTGATGAGGTGCAACTGCTCCGTGCATTTTCCAGAGTTACCTGATGGCGCTCACTCTCCTGGACTCTGTGGAATCGACATTGGAAGAGTCAATCAGCTAGGCGGCAAAACGTATGCCGCCCTTCCAGCACAGTACGTGCCAGTCCCGCCAGGATACGCTTATCCTACATACCAATCAACCACTTCCTACGCTATCCAACCAGTGTACGTAACACAGGCACCTCCATTGCCGCTGATGGTACCTCGGCCTCCAGTTTATTCAGCGAGCAGCAATGGCATGCCAGTAAACATTCGAGACGGGGCGATGCTTACCGAGGCTCGCGGCATTTTCATTCAGAATCTGAGCTACAAGGTTGGCTCAGACGAGCTCAAAAACTTACTGTACACTGTGGGACGGCCCGTTGATTGCAAGGTGCACCGGGATCGTTCCGGCGTATCCAAGGGGGTAGCAACCGCCAAGTTCGCATCGACGCACGAAGCACAGCTCGCGGTGACCCACCTAAATCGCAAACCACACCGGGGGATGACTTTGAAGGTTCGCTTGGATCAAGACACAACAGTTGTTGGGCAGGTTGGCCCTCCTCTTGTCGTCAATGGATCAGTTGGTGCATATAGGTACGTGCAGCAATTCATGCGTTGGCCAGCACTAACAGTAGATAGCGCCGGCAAATAACGCCGCGTGAAATCCCTGAGCACGATGCTCCTGTCACATCGACCTAGAAGACGTTACTGTCACAATCGTTGTGTGACGCATGTGATGTGGCGTCCTGTTAATCCAAATGGTTGGGTTTTACCCCTGTATCCACCTCGAGGTGCTTTCCGGCATGGCTAAATTTGGACATATCTCCGAGAGCATCATGTATAGGTCACTCGTTGTACATACTCCGGTTCAAGAGATGGCGTTCAGTGTAGATTACATCGCAATTTCTCTCTCGGCATTCTTAGCTACTATATCATCCATTATATATGTTTTGCTGCTGTCCATGCACTTAGGATCTGGTAGTACAGAGGCGTGCAGTCGTAATTGCTTTTGACATGCAGGTGCATCATTCCCGGTTTGCCTAAGCGTCATCATATCGCGTCACGGAAGCTACGCCATTAGCGCCGTTCTGACCTCGTATTTGCTTGTTACTCGATGAACTCCACATCAACCTCCACATGCCGCTCATCCACACATGCTTGCATTGTCTTACCCGTGACCTTCGTTGGCGCACATGGCCGTTTCCAATCCGATTCGTTCAAGCAACGCCACCCATATGCACAGTCTATGGCATCAAATGGTGCCTACATCCGACCACCGGGTGCATTTTTGGCTTGTTACCGCGCCCTTGGGTCATCGAAGACAAACACGTATACAACTGGACGGCCGTTGAACTCCATTAACGTATTGTCCCTGCTGGCGCGGAGTTCTTCGGGCGCCCAAGTGCCGGTGCTGCACAGTCACCTGCCCGTTCAGGAAGTTGTTGACGAGACGTACTAAAACAATCTAGGATACACAGAAACCTCGCCCTGTCAAAATCTTGAAGGATTCGTCCAGGTACTTGGGGCAACACGAGGTTCCCATGAGCCAAACGTACACAAAACTGGGCACTAATCTGCCGGCAACAGCGCGCCCCACGTGAGATCAGATGTTCGGGTATCTATGAATAATTGACACCTGTCGGCCTAATCAAAGTCGATTAGGCTATTGTCTTGGATTTATACTCCCACAGGAAGCCTCACAAATCTGCGGCAAGCTTTGCCCCGGCAGCCGTCATTATATTAACCTTGCGGTCCCACCCCTTGGTCAAAGCCACTGTGAAGACTAGCAACCCTGCAGTTCTTACTTCGAACAATTCGTCCGTTGTTGCACGGCACCAAAGCGCTGGGCATCTGTGCTCGGCGAGGTGAACACAACTTCGACAAGAGTCTGAGGCAGCCAGATTGCAAATGCTCACCCAAGGGTAAGCACTGGTGACTGACCTGTTGCAAGCGTCAGTGCTACTTGAGAAGTCACAGACTCAATGTTGTCTACCTTCGGACCCAGCTTAGGACTAGCATTTCTAAGAGTAACCCTGAGGTTGGACTTAATCCTCATATCAAGTACAGCTCTTGTCACAAAACGGACGTCTGTAAAGCATCGGTGACTTGCCCTTAGTAGCAAACTGTTACATCGTCTATCAGTAGACTTGAGCTAGCTGCAACCTTGAGACCGAACACCGAACAGAAGTAACATGTTCAGGACTGGCAGCGTGAAGCCCCGACAGCGGATCTTCGTCTTCTTAGTATTTGAATTCCAATCTGCCAGGAGATTGTAAGCCCTACCTTCTTCACTGACCGCCTACTGTTCACCAATCTCACCATCGACTAGGACGGCTCTCAGCAAGGCTGCAGATAGAACCTGGGGAACAGGGCACAGCTTCGGACATTTCTCATACAAACGGAGATGCCGTGTATATTACACGCCGGTATCTGTTTTTACAGCCACACGTAAGATCCTGACTCTCCATGCCGCAACAGCATGGAAGAGGTATGACGAACTACTGCATGACATACCCACGACCGACCACGGGCACGCTGCGGTGCAGGAACAGAGCGGGTCGAGAAGCTTAGTCTGAAACCTGCAGATCCCTGAGCGTGTGGTGACTGAGAAGGCCCGGTTGCGGGATACTCATCATCACAGCTGAAGCACTGATTCCGTCATCAAGCAGAGCAAGGACTGTTTGCTGTGAATGTGAATCCAGGACACCGAAGGCGCTGCGATGTCTTGCTGTTGGATACGACACAACGCCCGCGGGAAAGATTACAGAACACCTCGTCGTCCTCGTTGGTCAACACACCTCCAAAATGCGTTCCTTCCATATGTCAACAACCGAATCACCGAAGACGGACCTCAGATGCTGTCGTGCCACACCTACTGTTGGTTGTTCAGTTTTCCTCGTTGATTGCGGATGCTGGCCCTGTTTTGCGAAATTTGGTAGCGAGGCGGGCCGTCGCGAGCTAATGATTTCTTAGTGCAGAACGCCATGTCTACAGAAACAGCGGACTTGGAGAAGACGATGATCCAGAGTACTCTGGACGTCTCGGCAGACGTATCAAAATGTACAAACGTGGAAGTATGTAGCTGGCCATGCGGGCCTTCCTCGAAGATCCGGCGGTAAGTGGCACAAAGGATGCAACCTCCTCCTTCGCTTCCTGCTGTCCTGTCGCGTAGGAGTACCCAAAACTCGTCAGCGAGTCGAGCAACGCGCGGCTGTAAGAGATGAATCGATTTCCCCGGTTTACTTAGTCGCCACATCCAATCCGTCGGCGAATAGCGAAGCTCACAGCTCAACGATGTCCGAACTGCTCGGGCATAATGTACGGTAAAGGCACCCTGTCATGAGACACAGGCGACCGACGGCATGGTCAAGCGTGGAGACATATGGGCTCGAAGCACATCGCTATGCAGGTGTTTAATGTCAGCCGGCGGCATCTAACTAGGTTTGATGACTCACCAAACCTACGCAATGAATGCCAACGTACCTCTAAACGGCTCACATCTTTAATCACTGGCTCTACACGACAGCTAGAACTTCATGTGGTTTATCTCCAGTGCAGATGATGATACGTTTTTAGGGTCCTATCATTAGACTTGGATGTGGTCCGTTTGGCGATCGCATTCGGCTTCGTGTTAAGAACTCTGCTAGGATCGGAATTGCTGAAGAAGATTTGACTGAGCTATTCGTCACGGTATCACCCACTCACTACCCTAGATCTGGGGACAAAGGTGCCTCGGCATCCGGTGACAAACGGCTCTAGAGGGATGTGTGTGATCGACGAGAGCTTAGCATCCATGCAGGAAGAGTACGGGACCGAACAGTCCGGCGTCGTCCAAGTCATCAAACAGTCTCCAAGACCATCTTTCACAACGTGCTCGGGTCCATTGCATATACAGCAGGCTGACACATCGGGCTGTTGCATGTTGCCGAAGCTCTTGCGTCCAGCAGAACAGAGCTCGTACGGAGAGCAGTAATGCTCCTCGAATTGGCCAAACTCTGGATAAGCTCTTTGACGCTATCGTTCTGAACCTGCTGTAAGAATGACATTTCGATGCACTTATCAGACTATACAGCTGGAATCAGTCTGCAGTAGGGATCCCTGGAGGATTCGTCATGCATAAGGAAAGTTCCGCCTGCCAGATGTCCGAACTTCGTCCAGCTTGGATCAGCTCAATACGATGCGTCGTCGATCGTGAAAGGTTTGTATCGCTGGTCGCTCTTCCTTTCACGTTCAACAAGCCTGCAGGACGTGGATGCTGCTGTTGAGCTTAGCGAGACAGCCAGTTGAGGCGAACTTGCCAGCCAGCCCAATCAAGTCTGTCTCCTAAAGAATGACCGAGATGGAATTCCAGTAAAGTGAGCGTGGTGTTTACTCCTAGTGTCGCGGTCGAGAAGAGATGTCCACATGAGGCGACCTGTAACTATGCCAGCCTCTTCCGGCAAGGCAACATGCGAGCGCTTCTACGAGCTTGAGCCTCCATTCAGCTGTACTTGCTGAAACGGAGGAGCCTCGAGACTAGGTTTATGTCAGTAAGTTTTCCAACATTGCAACTCTGCGCGTGATGTCGATTTGAATCAGATCGATTGCTACTTCTCTCATACCCTCCACCCTTTGTTCTGTGTTTTCATCGTTACGAACCACAGGACGCATAAGAACCCCGTCCCTATCAGCAAACACACGCCACTCCAGATCTGGACACCAATGAAGTTCAAGTGTCCGTCTGCATTTGTCTTGAGTAGCGCACCGGCGATTGGCGCACCAATGAGGGTTGCTGGATTGCACATTAGTTGACATAATCGAGGATGTGGACATGATTTAACGTGCCTATGCTCGATACACTCCAGCTCATTCCAAGGCGTGTGCCCAGCCGCGAAAGATCGGGAGTGATGTTTGCGAATGCTGCGGAGGGCAGGGTGACTAGGGCGGCGGAGAAGAAGCCTGTACGGTGTTAGCATTCCTACTTCCATTCCTTGACGTTCAAAGCTCAGTGATTGACCTACCCCATAGTATACTGAATGCAATGAAGTTGGCCTCCTCGTCGATACTAATCCAACACAACGACAAAATGGCGGATGCAAAAGTACATAGTGCCCAGGTCACAATCGGTCCAAGCCACTGCGCCAGAGCTCCGCTGACCAACCGCCCGAAGAAGCTCGCTGCAATAGCCATGACCAGCATGTACAGGCCCATACTCTGGCTTAGGCCCAGTCGGTCCCTCGCATACGTGGGAATATAGAAGTAGGGTATGATGTAGCCCAGGAACGTCGAGAAAGAGCAAGATGTGAAGATGAGGAACAGCTTATCTTTGTACGCTGTCTTGTCGAACAGAGCTCGAGGCTTCCGTTTCGTGGTCAGGACACTTGAGCCGCTAAGGAGGGCAGGAATAGAGAGCAACGCAGCAGCGAGCGCAACAAAGCCAATGGCGCGCATAGCCCACGGGAAGCCAGAAGACTTCAACAGCCGATCGAACATTATGATGTAAACAACACCACCTATTTCACGTCAGCCACACATCGCTCCCACTGTTTCAACACCACACCTACCAACGGCAATCCCGCTCATAACAATGCCCAGCGCAATCGCCCTCTTCTTATCAAACCAGATCCCCACCAGCGCCAAACTCGGAATGTATAGCAGCCCCGCCCCAAGACCCATGCATATCCCCTGGCTCAGAAACACCTGCCAATACTGCGTGCTCAAGCTGAGCATCATGATGCCGAAAACGACCAAGACATTACCAGCAACAAGCATGACGCGGAAGTAGCCCAGATCGAATAACGGACCGGACAAGACACCGAAGAAGATGAGCAGCCAGGCTTGCACGGTGCCGATCCATGATATGGCCGAAGGCGAGGCGGAGGAGAGAAGGTCAGACTTGTAGTAGGCTTGGAAGGTGCCGTAGGAGAGTGTGAAGCCCCAGATATTGATCTGAGAGGCTGTTAGTACGGAACGACGGGGAGGATGGATAGGGTACACACGTATATCATGAAGCCGCCGAAGACTTTCAGCCACGCATGAAGACCGCCATCAGGCGGTGAAGGGATTACGGACTCCGTTGTCTTGGTTGAGTGCGCGTCGAGTGCCTTTTCTGCATGTTGTGTGGGTTCAATGCCTTTCTCCTCGTCACGGTATGGTGACTCTTCGGCTTCCTCAGCTGAAGATGGTCGGGGAGTCTTTTGTGATTCGACCAGGTCGCTCTTGAAGGTTTGCTTGTCCTTCGAGTGTACTGACGACGGCATTTGAGTTTTTGCGAATCGCGTGATCCTGTTTGCGCAACCGCAGTAGAGGCTGTAGTGGCAGTCGTCCTCTTCTTAAGAGATGTTCAGCAATTCCGGTCCCAGTTCCGAATATCAGTAGCTCCAAAGTTTAGGTCTTCCACGGAGCGATTGCGATGGTTGCGATTACGACAAAAGTACGCCAGCGAGCGACTGTTTGAAGGAGATGTCAACAAGGAAAAGTGGACAAGCACGCGAGACATACCAATTATTGGCAAGGGCCCTAATTGACCATATTCTCCACAAATCTGGGGATGCACATCATGACGATTTCTAAGCGTTATTGCCGTTGATGCGGGGATAAACTGCGGGCCGAGGTCAGGCATCGTGGAGTCGTGCGCTAACTTTCGAGCCTTACCTGCAGCGATCGAATCAATTGATCAGCCAAACGATGTTCAGAGGAGCAATGAGAGTGGAGGGACAAGCTGTTTGATGGCGTGGTTCCAATAAGCTCAAGATGTTTATTGAGTCTTGTAGCTGCAGAAAGCTTGGTTGAGTTATTGTATGTGCATCTACAGAATTGGTGTTGATGGCGCCAGATGCATTTGTCGCGCATTGTCGAGTGCCTGGTAGGAGAAGGATCCAATGGCTTAAATAGGCAAATTACATACAAAGCGTCGATTGGTTAAACTCGGACTGGGCCAATGCTCCCCAAGGCAAAAGCACAGGATGTTGGCTGATACCCAATGCCTCTGTCAGCAACGTAGAGATTCAGTTGGCCGAGTTTAGCGTCCTAAAAAGCACAGCATAGACTCTTGTGAATCTGGGATTTAACACTGCGGTGCTCGTTCCAGCTGTGTAACAGGCGCACACGTCCGGCGCTGATCAGGAACATCCTTTGCAGCGCGAAAATGTGATGGTGAGAGCCGGGTAGCTCTCAAGCACGTATTCGCAGAGTGCTCGATGTGCGTGATTGGAGGGACTTGGTGGTGAGTAGAAGGGAAACCGGAGTGGTATCAACGGGACCGCGCGTGTGTGGGGGCTTGGACTTAATAGATATATTGGTAGAGTTCCGAAGGAACGGTAATCGGCCAATATCATCGAAAGACGCCTGAAGCAATGTGTGTTACAAAAAATCGATGGTCCTGCATTTTGTTGTCTCGCCGAACCGGACCAAAAATCGTTCGGTCTCGGGCGTGCTGCCTGTCGCGCCGGGAGAGACTGGTAGCAAAAGGAGCCCTTAGCTGCTTCTTAAGCGGCAGGCTTCGCAAATCTGGCCTTCCTTGCCTCTGCAGCTTCCCTGTCAGCTCCGCTGTAGCCCGTGGTGGCTTGTGGGGCGCGTTCTCGGCGAGGGCTTCTGCTGTCTCGGCGGCTGCGCTCGTTCCTGTTGTCACGCCTGCCACCTCCCCGACCACCGCGACCAGGCCTGCCTCCGTCGCGGCGCTTGTTCGCGGCTGCGTCATCTTTGTCTTCCCGCCCTCGCTTCCTCTCGCGCTCAGGAAGGGCCTCATCGAGGCCCTGAACCTGACCTTTCTCACCAAACTTCTTCATGCGTTCCAACTTCTTCAGTCCTTCATCATCTTCGATCTTGGTGCCAAACTTCAGAGCACGCTTCTTGCGGCGCTCAATCTCGTCGTCGATGCTTGTGGCTGCGAGCCCTTGCGCGTAGCTAGGAGCGGGCTCCTTCTTCTCTTCGGCCGTGGTTTCGGTACCCTCTGCTGGCGGCTGGACAGACAGATCGTCGGTCTTCGCGGGATCGATATCAGCTACCTGGTTGGGGACAGCCTGGGGGTTTGGCGGCTGGCCTTCTCCGCCGGCCTTCTCGACCGTTTCTCTGTTTGTTGTGACTTCCTCAGCTGCGGCAAGCGCAGTCTTCGCCGGCTCATCATCGTCCCAGTCGATCTCGTCCTCAGCGTTGACTGCAGGTTTCGGGTCAGCAGGGGCGGCGCTGGAGCTGGCTTTCTCGTCATCCTTGGTGAGACGGTCGACCATGTCTGCCTTCTTGCCAGCGTGCGGGAGACCGCGTTCCTTGAGGAGTGCCTCAAGCTCGGCGTTCTTCATCTTCGCGTATTCAGGCATCTTGGGCGTGTTTTGACGGTGGTAATGCGTTATAATAGTACTGTACAACGCGACCCCTATTGACGCGCAAAGGTAAAGGCACAGGCGCGAAGCTCGATGGATAACAGGAAGGTTTGACTAACGTCAGTCACTGAGAACGAAGAGGAAAAGAAGGAGAAATATGAGCCCAGAAAGTGGTGTTGGCTGAACAAAGGATAGGAAAAGCGCGACAGCGACAATGGTTGTTGTTGAAAGGGTGAGGCTGGAGGTGAGGTAAGAGCTACCGCGAGCTCCCAGCTCCGAGTCCTTGGCGCGCTTACCCTTTGCGGACATGAGCTCTTCCCTCGGATCCTTTGATCTTCACCTACTCGTTTTCGAAGAACGCCAATGCAATAAGGATAATGTCATCTCAGCATGTCACGTGATTTTGACGACCGTGAGAGCCTTCGCGCAAGCACTTATCATGTTCTGGTTGCGTTTTCACTCACGATTCCAGCAAGCAGGCTTCCACAATTTATGCGCGTATGAGGTGGGTACGAGAGAGACAACTCTTAGCTGTCTTTGTCATGGTAATGATCTCATGAGAGGTCGAAGTTCCGACTTGCGGCCGAGGATGGGTGAACACGAGACTTTTGGAGAAAGAGTAGGAGCTGCGGATCGATAGAATGCCTCGTCCAGCAGTACCTCCTGCAGTGATGGTAACGAATATCGTCAGGTCTTTGATTGGGTCGAAGTAATCTATTTCGAAGAAACCTGAGGCATGCTGTTGGTTGTAAGATGCATCTGCAGCGCAGAGACGAGTCTTCCAACTTCAGCAGTGCTCGCTCTCGTTGCTCGCAGTCTGGGCTGTATGAGCTGTCCATCTTCCACAGATGGCCCCCAGATTCGACGACGCAGATCTATCGAGTCATATTGCTTGCTTTCTTCGAGTCGTTGTGGTGCTGCATCACTTTTGATGGTGAGCGTTCACACCAGCCGTTTCGAAGTCATTCAGATCGTGACCAGTTGGTGTTTGTCCCAATGGTATCGCACACTCATCTTATTGCAGCAAGACCTCCGATTCCTGGCCGACGGCTAACACATGTAGTACCAAGCCAAACACCTCCGTCGAGCGGGCTCCGAACCCCAGCGGCTCGCAGTTCAATCAAATATCGACCTACACGTCATTGCGTCCACAAGGTTTGATCACAGATTACTATCGCTGAAAAGCTCCGAGTCGACACGAACTGCCCAAGGGTTGGGTGATCTGCGGCCAGGTCCACAGTGGACACAAAGCTCACTAGTAAGAGACAACGGATTCGCAGGCACTTTCCACGCGCCGTGCCGTCCTCCCTCTCCGTACCAAATGGCCACAACCAAACTTTGAGCGCTCACGCTAGGCATGTCCTTGTCATGATTCACGAGATGAGCATCTACATGTACTCGTCTCGCCTTCACCGCCTCGCGGTTATTGAAGTGATCTGCTTGGCTAGACGCGGAAGTATGAATACTGTGCGAAGTGAAGGCACCCACTGTCGAAGTAGCGATGTGCAACACCAGATTGCGGCACTCCACCAGGGCAGGACTTGCAGTTCACGCCAGTGTGCAGGCGGTTACTCGTGCAGCCATATCACACGCTCGTTGCTTCGAGTTGGTGCACACACGAGCATGTACACACACCAAGTCGACGCATCACGTCCACGCGCACACATCCCGCAACACATGCGACGCTTTTCCTCTTGTCAACAGTGTGTACATGCAAGATGTTGTTGACGACAGAGGTGCATAGCTGCACGGTGGAGGATGATTTTTGAGATCTATGCGAGTCTTTTTCAATCCATGCCAGATCCTGGCCAGTGATCGCAAGTACAGGTGAACTCTGCTTGCCCATTGGCAGAATATGTGATTCAGACTGCCTTGATATGGTAAGGTGTGGTCCCGTGACTGAAATAGTATGCGGGAGGTAGTGGAAACGGCACACAAGTGAGGACGAATGAGCGTAGAAAGACTGGGGCAGAGAGACTTGGTGGCTTGTGCGCAACCTGGATAGTGGGACAACTCGTAAGAATCGCCGTCTCCCCCCCGATAGACTACTAAAACTGTTGAGTCAAAGCAAAAAGGACCGTCTCTTGTCATCTTTCACGAAGGCGAGTGTTCAGAGCAAGTTTGCTCGTGGGCTTGCGACGCCTTTGATGTGTTGTCAATGTGGCGAGCGTAGATCAGGGCTCAGCCTCATTCTCCTGCAGCTAGCATGTTTAACATCTGCACCTAGCCACACTTCAGCTGGCATTGACGGTCGCTCCGGCTCGACATACAACAAACATGGCGACTACATAGTCTCCTGCAGCTTGTGGTAATGTGTCGCAACGGTTACGGGGATAGCAACCGGCATTATGCAAAGGCGTCATTTTCGCTCCACGGGCTCCATACAATGCCTATGACTCTTCTGCACGAGAAACCCAAGCCGCCTCTCATGCTACGCGGCCTGGTTGATCCGTTAGACTTGTCCTGCTGTAAGGTCTGCTCGAAGACCTAGACGGTGTGGGCTTTCAACGGGTCCGGTTATTGACCGTTCGAGTGGGCTGCATCGATCCATTTATGGTGTATATTGTTCCTGCCGTATGATGCATTTAGGCAAACGATCTGATCGTCGCACATCGTCCAATGGTTCCAAGGTGCATTGCAAGCTGAAGATGTGCTGTAGTTTGGATAGGAAACGAGGTTTGCTCTGGTAGTCGACCCCACCTAAGTAGCTCTCTTGCTAGGTTTCTTACCTCAGCTCTTGACTAGAACCGCCTCGACGTGAAGCAGCTTCAGAAATGAGCTCATAGAGCGGAAGGCCTCAACCGACTTGTTGCAACGGCATTGATTGTGTGAGTAAACGAAGGGTAGGGGCAGCCGAGCAGCCAATTAGGCTCTGCACTTACTGCCGCCGCGCAACGACTCACTGCGAATCGTCGCCCACCATTAAGCTCCGAACGGTCGACTGGCTGCGCTTTGTCCTCGAGCCTCCACCCGCTTTCTCAAGCGCAAGCGCCCGTAACTGAACCAAGAATGCTTTCCGTGCCGGTGTCAGCACAAGTGCCCACGGCCATGAGCTGCCATGCCGTCGTTGGGGGTGACTTGCGCGTGCACTTGTCGCGACAGGATACATATCGACGCCCTGCTCACCCGCAGGATCCTCGAAAAGGCTGAGACCCAACGGATTCTTACGGACATGCTTACTATCTACTGGTTCCTTCTTCGTATAAACTAGAGATCCCTTGTATAAGCAGCCAGACGGGCCTTGGACGTTGAAGACGGCCGACTCGCGAGCCCGCCCCACTGCGGCAACAGTGAATTGAATCCCCACACTTGGACGGCAGACCCTGAGGGACGTGACGGGACGCGTGAGCCCGTGCAAGGATACGGATATAATATCACTCGCTATCCTCGCCGCTGCTCGTACGCTTCGCTGTCGATTTTCGCTCAAAACCCACGATACCCTTGCACAGCCCCGTCTTGATCGGGCTTTGCCGAAGCAGCGCCACACCTTCGGTGGCGCCGAAGAGCAACAGGAATCCACCAGGACTTGCTTGGAGCAAGTGGCCGCTGCGTTGTACATTCTTGCTGGATGACTTAGATTTGTTTGACTTCCAATCTGACTACCCTGGACCATATCAAATTTGCCACTTCCGTCCTGGCAGGGTAACTACCCGCCGTCACCCGCTCACGAACTCGCCTGACAGAACATACCCGAGCTGATTACTGCTGACGGTCCCGAGTATTCGATCGTCCCAGCAATTCGAAACACCCGATCCCCCTGCGTCGTTGGACCCTTCTTCCAAGAGTTTCACAGCCTGACAAGCACATGCCTTCATGAGGTACCCACCGCACACAAGGTTCCGCAATACACATAGTCGGGTCACACAAACTTACCCGACATGGCTTCCTATAAGTCACAGTATGGTCCTCCAAGGAGAACAGAGGACAATCCGCCCACCACACGGTTACCAAAACGATCTATCACACCTATTACTATCACATCTCAGCTACCCACTAGCAGTAGCCAGTCCAAGCTGCAGAAGAGGAGGCCCTCGCGCGATGAGCCAGCGCAGTCAGAAAGAGGATTGTCGAATCAGAAAGAGCTTGCGCGGAAAGTCAGCTCACGCCAGGCATCTAGTACAGCCGCACCTTCCACCATTCAAGCTCCAGGCTTCACATCATACAAGGCAAAGTTGACGAGCTCCTCATCCCGACTCCCGAAGCTTGAAGTACCCGCGAACACTCGAACGCCCTCCCTTGTCTCAGGATCGTCCGCATCAACCGTAGAAAGTCCTCGTTCGAATGTATTGAGAAGGAAACAACCCAGTGTCGGGTTTGCAAGCAATCGACACGCTTTAAGAACTCGAGACGACTCGATGTCCTCTCAGGAGGGCGTCCAACAAGCCGAGGGCAACCCAGGGGGCTTCAAGGACCCTTTCACTGAGTCTGTTTTTGGGATCTCTCTACCGCCCTCCTCCACGATTCTAGCCCGTTCAGAGCGGGAGCTCGAGTCTCCGCAAAATGGTCTATACGACGATATCGGTCCTTTGGATATCTACCCTATTCCCACGCCTCAATATGCCGTCTCAGCGACCCCATCAACACGTTACGCAGACTCTCCGGGCGCTTTCAGTATTTCATCAGCTGCGACTTCCATGACCTCGTATTCGCCGGCGACCGCTCTGTCGAAATCTTCATACAGTAGAGTCAGACAAGTGAGCCCATTGGAGAGTCGTCCGCCTGTAAGCCGACATAGGGCACCCGAAGAGCCCAGCATTCGCACGACTCATGGGCTATCGACTGTTCGCGAGTCGTCAACATCTTCCTCGTCCACATCCACCGTTGTAGCTGACACGGGGAAGGCAGATCTGGCGAAGAAGCAATTGCCTGCTGTACCTCAAAGCCCACCAGTGCTCAAGCCAACTCCGACAGTGCAGACAAAGCCTCGAGTCCAACCCGTGCCGGAGCTTGCTCACTTGGCCGATCCTTCTCCTGTATCGCCGCCAAGCTCGAGACGACCATCAAGGCCAAGCAGAGATGGAACACCCGAAATCCATGGGCTGCGAGACCCATCACCAATCATCCAGAGCAACATGGCCAGCTTTCCCACTCACCATAGACGCACGAGCTCTACAGACTCGAAGTTTGGATCCCTTTCTGCTGCAAGGTCTCGTATGGCCGTTCCGGTTAAGGCTTCCTCACGTAACCCTTCACCAGTTCCCACGTCTAGCATTCCTTCCACATCCAGCGCACTTAGACATGGAACAACGCCTGATAATCAGAAAGAGCGCGACACACGACGCTCCAGTACATTACCTGCTCCAGCCCCAGCTCCTAGCCCCAGTAAAAGGTTCGGCTTCTTCTCTCGACGTACGAAGACCGACCCAGCTCCGCACCCTAGCAAATCAGAGAGCAAGCTTGTGCGTAAAGGACCAGCGGCAGGGACTGGTCATGAGGGATACGGGAGACACGCATATCGGGGCAGGAGTAGCAGCTCGATAGGCGCAAGTATTGGACGATCGGCCAGCGCAGGCACGACATCTGAGAGCTTGACCCAGACTCTCTCGACTCGCAAGAGCAGTATAACCAGTACAAATAGCGGCGAGATGGATGATTTCTTCCTGAATAGATTAACACCAGTGATCCTGCGAGGAGCCGGTAGCAGTTCAGAGCTGACTCGCAGTTCAGAGCTGACTCGCAGCCCAGAACCGATGCACAGCAGTAGCAGTCTCGATATCTCAGCGCGTTCGAAACAACCTATGGGCAACACGACAAGTGTCAGTGCTGAGCCTGTCAATGACAAGAGTCGACCCAGGTTACTACCCTCAGCGATGCCAAACACCACGCGCAGCGGATCGCCAGCCAAAAAAGCGTCACGAACACCGTCGGAAAGCGATGATGACACGAAGAGGTCATTCTTGCCTACCCTCGCATCAAGGCGCACCTCGCGCACAGTGAAGCCTGTTGAGGGTGTACTCGGCCCACCGAGGCGCCGTAGTATCTCCAAGTCGCGAAAGGACTCTGCGAATGATGAGGGCAGTTGGCTTCGGTCATCGAAGAAGAGCAAGGCCGACAAAGAGAAGGAGCGACCCAAGCCGTCAATGTGGAACTTTTTCTCACGTGCCCACGCAGCCCCCCGAGTCGAGACGCCTGCAGTTCAGGAAATCAATACCACAAGCCCAGGACCTGGCTCACGATCCGTCGCGCACTACGCGCTCATGGATGCGCAGTCTAGCCTCAATATGGAGGATATTGAGCAGCTGATCAAGGAAGTAGCAGGAAACACCGATACGGAGAGCGTGCTTTCTGACAACGACTCCATGCGGAAGGAGCGCATGCAGTCAATGCTCCTGCCGCCGAAGCCCATTCTGCCAGCTTTCGCCCCGCCTTCTCGTCCTGCATCGCCCAAAGTTGTTCTGCGGTCAGATCAATCACCGCAGCGGTATGCAAATTTGACTGTCAATACCGACGTGCAGCCTGTACCTGAACCATCTCCAAGGCATTCACAAGCTGGCACAATCTTCGACCTCTCGCCGCCCTCATCACCGGTCACGCAGCAGCTAAGCACACAGGATGAGTTTGCTCCAGAAACCGCATCGGCTCCTGTTGCCTTCGAGCTGCCTCAGCAAGTAGAAACTCCCATCGAAAGCCTACCTCCTACAGGTCCAGCACCTACGAGCCCTCCTCCTCGACCGAGTCGATTGCCACAAGTTGGTCGCATACCTCAAGTCATATCGAGTCGCGGTAAGCCTCGTCGACCTTCGTCTCGATCGTTCTCTCGACCGTTCGCCACCGATCAGCCTCGTCCAATCGCCCTCCCACGCACCTCATTTGACTCGATTGGCTCGATGGTAGCTACGGCTAGCCCTGTTGAATCTTTCCCAATACTGCAAGGACTTGGTGCCCTCTCTCATGGATCGGCCATTGCGACTATAAGCCCTTTCTCAGACGAGTCTCGACAAAGCGAGTTCTTCAAGTTTCCACCGCGCAAGGACTCTGAGGTTTCCTACTCAAGCAGCTCAGGCGTTTGGAGTTTCGCTCCTGTCGCTGGTACTGCCGTTATACCTCCTCCAGAAGCCCCGTTGTCAGATGATGAGCTCTGGAATGAATACGACGACCTGCTTGATCAAGTTGTATCGCCCGGTGGTACAGTCAGAAAGGCTCCGGCACGCAGTCAACACCCTTCCCTCGAGCCATTGCCTCTTAAAACGAAAACGTCATGTGTATCGGTTCTCTCTGGTACCTCGGAAAAGGAAGTCTCAGTGCCTTCGGTGCACATTCGCCGCTCCCGTTTGCTTGCAGCCCTGTACGCTCATCAATCACCTACATCTTCAATGGCTCTGTCCGATGTCATCAACGATTACGGTGATCGTAAGCTCAGTGTTGTCGACTTGACCACTGGTAGATTGAGCTTGCCTCTCAGCCCCAGCCTGTCAACAGTCTCAGCTCAGAGGCGCTCGGCTCGAACTAGCTTGCCTGTGTCCTTGCCGTTGGTTGATAGGCAGTCAAAAGCAACCATCACCTCACGCTCGGACAAGGAACGCAACAGTGCTGCCGTGAGTCGTTACAGAGACACAAGTCTGATGGATTTTGCCGAAGCCCAAGCATTTGGTCATGCCTCTATGGCTGACCTCCGCTTCGGTGCCTTGATGACTAGCAAGTGGCTTTCATTCGGTCGTGTGCTGTTCAGTCCTGTGCATTTCCAGCTCAAAAATGTCAGGGAAGACCGCGTTTTGGTCATCGACGGAACTGGAAAGGACTGGTCTTTCTACTGCGCGCTTACTTACTCCGAAGCCGCTGTGTACGATCTCGGGCCTGCTCCGTCGTCCCCTCCCGCCACTGATAGGAGGTCTGCGCTCGCCAATCATCGCCATATTCGCCACTCGTCCCTCACCCACCCACTGCCATATCCCCAGAACTTCTTCGCCTGTGTTGCCCTCCGCTTTCCGTCAGCACAGACCTCGAGTACTCACAACTTCCTGCTGTCCGAGGCCAAACGAGTACTTCGCCCTGGCGGTTACCTTGAGTTCAGTGTCCTCGACCTCGACCTTGTCAACATGGGCAATCGCGCCCGACGCGCTGTGCGTCAGCTAAAGATGGACATTCATCGTGTTGATGAGAACATCTCGCTTCGTAACATCAGCGACGAGATTATTGCGGGCCTTGGTCGCAAGCGATTCGTCGAGTGCAAGTCCTGTGTCGTTGGCGTGCCAGTCGCTGGGAAATTGCCTACTCTCAGTGATATCAACCACCCTATGAGGAAGAACAGTACGACAAGCTCGCGCAAAATAGCTGACAGTAACCTCCAACCTTCGGCGGTGCCGAAATCCGAACCATCCTTCTCCGATCTTCTTAGCACCTCAACCCCATCCGAGTCCACCGACAAAGGGATTGCCGACAAAGTTGCCCGCGTCGGCCGCTGGTGGTACTCTCGCTGCTACGAAAGCATCGTGCTGCCTGACGGGGAAGGCCCAGACGCAGCACTGCCGAGCGACATCCTCAAGAACAGCATCTGGCGTGACAACGATCTCATCAGCGAATGCGAGGAGCTCGGTACCAGCTTCCGAATGCTCATCGGCTATGCACAAAAGCCTGAGGTTAGCCTCAGGCGCCATGTTAGTGTTTAGCCTCTTTCTCCTCTTCTCTTCACCTACCTGAGCTGTGCTCCAATCGTCCTGGAAACAGACTTTGACCACACCACTTTGTAATGGGCTTTGTTTTGATTCGATTTTACCAGAGTTCTACTGCGTTCAAGCGTTGCTTTTCTGCTTTTTTTATACCCTCGTTGCATAGCGATTGCATGGCATTGTACTGCATCACTACAGCTCAATGGCGCAAGCCTGGTATCATCATTATCATCACTGACATCACGACAACTTATGTAATCTTCCTTTTGATCCGTAAAGTTGGATTTGGACATGCTGGTAATGGACAATTATCGACTAATGGGTCTGCAATGCTCAAGATACCCTGATGAAAATAAATATTTATGTAGATACGAGAACGATCGCAATGGCATATTTTATTATACAAAGGGTATATCCATTGCGGTGATTAGTTTTGAATTTGTATCGTACTTCCTCTCAGACCCTACGAAATTTATCGTATCGATGAGGCTGCCTGCCTGTCCTGACCTTACACCAAGGTTTCACGTCTCCAGCAGCCATGAGATGGCCAGTCCAACGTCGAATCCGAACCTTCAACCCAGGAGAACAGTGACTCATAGTTCAATTTAGCGGGTCTGACCAGCGCCCCATGGGATGCGCATTACTACGCAGCAGCATCTGTGTCCAGGATGTCAGCCGTGACTGCAGATTCAAATCATGACGCAGGTAACATCCGCGCCTTGCAGACGCCGATAGGAAAGCAGCGTCACACGCAGCCCTCTTCGCTTGGACTATACCAACACCACCTCTTAATCCTGGATGTTGTGACAATCTCACAGACTCACCCAATCCATCCAGCTCTCCAAGAATCTGAGTCTCCCATCCTTCAACACCTCCTCAAATTCGTCAAAGCTCAACAGCCCATCCCCTCTTCTCCTTCGACTCTCCTGCTCCACAGCCTCGCAGCTCGCAAGTAGTCTGATATACAAAGGTGACTCAGGGTTTTTGGCGCTGCGACGAAGATTTGCAATCAGAGCGGCAGTCTGGTCCGGCTCGGGCGCGATCGCGTACGGATTCTGGACATGCGCAACATGGCGGCGCGTGTAAGACATCGTCTGAGTGCCGGAGGGGGAGGTAGAGAGGCAAAGGGTCTGTAGCCACGGTGTGTTGGTCACATGGGGAACTTTGATGTCTTCGGGCGCGGGCGCGGGCGCGGGCGTGGGTGCGGGCGTGGGTGCGGGCCCCGAAGACGAGGGTGCTTCTCCTTCTTGAGAGAAGTCGCGGCTGGGTCGAGGAGTTGCTGGGACGTTGCTTGGCGAATCTGATGCATCCATAACCAGGCGCCCTTCGCTGTCGCGGAACTCCATGCGCGAGGACGGGGTCACGGTTGGTGTGGTGGGTCTTTCGGCTTGTTCCTCCTCCGGACTGAGATCTGAAGCTGAGGGATGGCGACTAGAGACGAAGAACGGACCGGACGGGCCAATACGGATCCGTCCGTCCTCGTCTGCGAAGTCTTCGAGGTCTTGCTCAAGCTCTGATGACGTGCTATGCTGACGCGGTTCTTCCATAACGTCAGCAGTTGCATCTGTCTCAACGTTGGCTATTGAGTTGGGCCGGAACTGTGGCATCGTAGGATCACGACTGGCTTCCCCAAGCGTCTCGTGCTGCTCTGCAACAGAAGGCATTTCTTCCGTTGTGGCGTGGTGCGATGAATTGAGGAGTCGAATGATAGCTGATGTTATCTCCTGGTATAGCTGCTCCTTGAAAAGTTCGGCATTCCACTCAGCTACGCCTTCAAGAGGAGGATCCTCGTTGCGAATTTTAACATCCTTCAAGGCTAGCTCCTCAGCAGCTGCAATCGCGGTGCGGACCATAGAGGTGTACCATTCCGGATGGTCCTTATACTTGTGGCGTTTCATAGCCTCGAGGGCGCCCATATTCATATGTTGGCAAAAGATATCGACGATGCCCTTAAGAAATCGAAAAACACCCATTCGGAAAATTGCTGAGTTGTACTTTCCCCATCCCCATTGCTTCTCTAATTGGATATTGATGGCTTTGGCGTGTTTGCGGCGCTCGCTGCGCAGACTACGAGCATCCAGTGCCATGTCTTCTCTGACGCAGAAAAGAGGGTCGAGTAGCTCGTTGAAAGCTTGTTGCGTGATTTGGTACAAGACTTCCTTCCCAAGGTCTTGTTCGAGCTCTGGAATCTCGTAGCCGCCCCATTGTTCGCTGACCGATTTCTTCTGGGCTGACCTTTGGGACCAATCCCTATGATTAACTTCGTCTTGGAAGTGCACTCTCGATGACCGACGGGACACAGACCGCTCAGGCTTCGATCCAGGGCTTGAAGGGCCTGCATAGTCATTCGCCACGTCTTCTTCATCGTCCGTGTCTTTCGCGCCCTCGGGCCGTGTCAAGCCCTCTTCCTCATCCAGAGTAAATTCCCGCCTAGCCCATGCTTTCTCGACCAAGCGTTCTCCAGCGCCCTGGTTGGATGACCCTTCAAGCAACTGGCTAATTTCGTCGGCCTTGATCACGGACTCACGACTGGCGACCTCAAAGTCGGTATCGAGGACAACAGGCGACGTTTCATCAAAAGTGCCATTTTGCTTCCGCGCGAAACTGACGTGCGGAGTGTTCGAGGTTGGAAGGCTGTTAGGAGGAAATACTGAGCCCAGAGGCTGACTGGATTGTATGGTGTCCATACCGTTACGCACCGAAAGCTCTTCTGTCAATTCAGCAACGAAGTTACGCGTGGCTTCCTTCTCAATTGCATAGTAAGCTCGAAACACTCGCAGTACGTCTCGGCGCGAGATATAGCCATCGCCGTCGATGTCGTAGCCGTTGAAGACAATCCGGGCTTTGACCTTCGTATCAGTCGTGTGCATACCGTCAATGCCCTTGATCCACTCCTCGAAACCAATGAGACCATTCTTGTCACTATCGTAGTACGTGAAGATGCGGTCGTAGATGAGATTGGGTGCGGCCACGAAGCCGTTGTATCGAGGTACAAAGGCGTGATTGAAGGCGCGTCGGTCGAGGGCCCAGCCAACCTTGTTGGGATCACCCGTCCATTCAGTGCTTGCAAGGCAAGTGAATTGATCCCACAGCGCCTCAATCTCTTCGACCTCCATTTTGGTCTCCGAAGCTAGGCGTCTCTTCAGCGCCGAGTTGACCGAGTGATGCATTGTGTGCGGTTTGCCTGGGTAGAGAGGTTCTTGCTTCGCCAGGGACAGGTAAGGCGCCGGCACTCGTATTTTATAGAAGACATGAGTTCTGGTGTGCGAGTTGGTGGCTTCGCACGTGGAGCACAGGTCGAAATCGACACAGTTGGCGCAATGCCACCTGGTACCGCGTATGGGCTTCTCATCGCATGAGTTGCAGGTGATCCCTCGGTGGATGACACCTTCTTGCCTTGCACGTTCTTCTGCGATGTGGTATAGGGTACGCTGGAGTGTCTGTCCCTCAGGGTCGATGCCCTCACCATCGGTGTCTTCGTCACTGTTCCAAGATATGTCTGTGCCCGCAATACTCTCAGCACCGTCTGCATCAGCAGGTCTTGCATCGTTCAACCGTTGTGTGCGCCTTTCTACAGCACGAGAAACAGTAGCAGAGTTCGGTAGCCTGCCACCAACCCATCGAGTGACTGCTTCGATTTCCGCAGGAGCGAGTGGTCGGTTTGAGAAACCGGAATCTAGCAATCGATCGAGGAATACGTCGTATAACCGTGTCGTCTCAACTTCGATAGTGTCTTCACTGGCATCCGGAGCCATGGGCACGAGCAACTCTCGGAGCTCATCTGGGGCAATAAGGTTCTGAGGGTCGAGTGGAACCACAAGGCCAAGGACGTTGTGTTCGCCCAAAGCGTTTACTTCGCTTTCGAGACGTGATATAATGCGTGTTGTTCGTGAGGGTCGCCGCTGTGGGTTGGCTCGCCGAACCGCGTTGCTGCGATGCAGTCCATCGCTTGGCGCAGCCTGAAGACTGCCGTATAGAAGGTATGCGCCATAGGCGGCCGCCGCTCCGGTGAGCACAAGTATAGCAGGGCGATAGCGGGTGACGGCGGTCGGCGTCGAGCTCGACATTGCAGGCGGTGAAGCTCGTAAGTAGTTCAAGCTTCAGTGAGCATTAGTGTCGTGTCAACAGAACGACAGACGGCTGCAGTACGAGCGGTGCTGGAAGATGAGCGCATAAGCTCCAGCACCGCGACTATCTGTTTGACATGTTCGTCTTTGCTAGGCGCGTTCATACGTTCAAACGGTGCATTGCGGATAGCTGCTTCTTCAAGTGACCGTTTGGTCTGACTCGCCAAGCTCGGACTTCCATTGACCCTCATTGGCGCGACTACTCCTTCCTCACTCCTGCACCAGATAACTCTATGATGCAAGAATTGTACGAAAAGGTTGTGTATTATCTTCATCGACAACTCATCTGGGATATCTACCATGCACAGTGGCCGCCGTCTATCCTCAAGTCGGATCCAGTCATGAACGAGCTGGCGTCGCTGACCAAGAACACTGCTGCACCACGGTATTCCTTGGGAGCTGACAACCGCCCCAGCATGTTCTGCGTCGGCCATGTCTCCTTGCGCTCGGGGTACTTGACAAACAGCTCCTCCACCATCTGCGTCACGATGTATCCTGGTGAGATGGTGTTGACGCGGATGTTGTGCTGTCCCCATTCGGCCGCCAGATTTCGAGCGAGCTGGATCACACCTGCCTTTGACGAGTTGTACGCGGCGCAAATCAGACCCTGTCATACTGTCAGCAATGCCTCTATGACGAGTCGAGCAGAGACGTACCCTGTTGGCGACGGTACCAGACATGCTGGCAATGAATACCATACTACCACCATTACCGAACCTGATCATCTGCTTTGCGACCGCCTGAGCCGTCATGAAGACACCGGTAATGTTGACTTCAAACATGCGATTGGCGTCCTCGGCCTTGTACTCGAGTGCTGGTGTTTCCTGCTGGATACCGGCAGCCGCGATCAGACCGTCCATCCTTCCCTCAATATCTGCGATCTCCTCGACGGTCTTGTGAAGCGCGTCAACATCTCTTACATCAACCTGTCGATATTCAAACTTCGAGTTCAGTTCATTCTTTGCTTTCTCTGCGACAACGTGGAAGTCCGGATGAGGCTCAGGCAGTCTATCCAAAGCGTACACTGTTCATTCCGTCAACTGCTGAAGCTTCTCGACAATGTCCGGTTCATATACACACCAATTGCGCCTGCCTCCAGCAATGCTTCTGCTTGTGTCAAACCAAGTCCTCGAGCTGCGCCAGACACAAGGACGACCTTATTCTTTAGACTGAACTCCGGCAGTCCAGCAGCGTAGTTGGATGAAGTCATCTTGTTTTCGAATACCGCCGAGTGTGGAGAGCTGATGAATTGAGTAGTGAGAGCTGACAATACACCAGAACACCTTGCTGGGAAAAGAAAGCACGGGAAAAAGTTACAGCCCGCTCGACGCGACGGGCACTGGACTTTTTAAAGCATCACGCAGACGCCAGACCGAGTCCCAAGGTCACCAGACGGCTATCTGGAAAGACCATGCCATGCCATTTCCTCCAGTAGGCGTCACGATTGCATGGCGGGATATTGAGAGCTCGAGGGCGGGGAAAGCTCCTACTCACGGAATGTCCTAATTTGGACATCCCGCACGCGTTCGGTCTGCCTCCTTCGTCTGTAGAAGGCCGTTGCGGCGTCACTGAGAAGCAAAGTCAGCAATGACGGTGCTCGAGACGAGTATATGGTCCCATGCCACATCGTGGGAGACGCTTAAACGGTGCGCTTACATGCGTTGTACATGAATTGTTATCCGGAGCTTGCAAGAGCTCCCGCGAGTCAGACGACAGAGGCTCTTCCAGTATTCACCCCACGGAGTATTCCCCGCCTCACGTGCGCTCGCGTTCTTCCAGACAGAAGATCTGAGAGTATCACAGCCTCGCAATTTATAACAGAGCATGTTTGGTTTTCTGCACACACCTCTCGCAACACTTCTGAGGTTATATTAGAAGACAGTGCTGTGTTAGAGGTCCCTGCCTCGAGGAGAAGAACATAAGTTTGCATGTTCAACATAGCGCACAGCCGGCCTGCTGCCTGGGTGCAAAGAGCGACCATAGCCTCGCTTGGCACACACGGTTACAGTAGCAGCAGGTGCACTTCTCGTTCACCCCCAGCGTGCCGGAAACCCAACCGTGCAGGTAGATCACTGTGGCACCTCAACTTCAATGCAGCTGGGCAGCCCGCACACAACAGTATTAATTGACCGAACTCTCATAGATACTGAAACAGAGCTTCCGAAAGCCAAGTATGACAGCTGTTGTAAAAAAGACACGCGGCGTGACGCGCTCTTGCTACACTCGCAAAAGACGTGCTTAAGACCTGTAAACGCCTTTTGACCACAACACCAGCAAGTTGCGGTAGTTTGTGCTTAGATCTTGTTAACTGATTCTAACTCACTACATGTACCTTTATGCAGGCTTGCATATGCATCAACACCACTCTATACGGAGGAAATGGTGTGTCCGCCTTACTGATAGGTACCTACGATCGCTCGCGAGTCCTAAAGCGGTAGGAACGATACACTTATGTCAGGCCGAGGCACACCGAGCTGGACTGAGTCAGCAGCCCGGCTCGCAGATCGCTCGGATCGCACAGTTGCCCAGTCTAGCTGCATCCGGTCGAACTGAGAAGTCCCTGGAGGATACAAGCGTCAGCTGGTCACTAGGTCAGCAGCGAACGCCAAAAGATACGTGCAGTGACATGGGGCGACAGGGATCGCTGCGCAGATCTGGATGACAATCGTGCTTTTTGCAACACAAGCTACGTTCGAAAAATGGGTGAGCAACGCACGTCAAAGAGCGACACTACACGTCAAGGCCGGGTGTTTTGGCTGGCATGCAAGCGTTCAGGCTATTGTTTCTTCATTCAAGGTGCAAGTGCGTCCAACATCACAGACTAAGAACCAAAGAGTAGCTTTCCAGCCCCATCGCTTTGATTTCGTCCGTCGCAACCTCCGCCTTGCTCCTCTTCACCTGCTTGGCTTGTATAGGCACAGCCGCTGCTGACAAAGGGGGAGAGGGAATGCGCAGGGCAGTATGCCTCGCAGACGAGTGGCCGCAGTGCTCGCTGCCCATTTAGCCCTGCCATTTTTAGCACCTGCTGCAACCTTTGTCTCTTGTCCCTTGTTGTTTGTCTTTCGTCCTCGGGCTGTTGTGCCGATGATAGGCGCGAGATGGTTGTGGGAGCCTGCGCGCACTCATAGCGGAAGCTGTTGATGGGACAAGCGGCGGAAAGTGTGGATGCGGCTGGACAGGCGGGAACGGCTGGCGCGGCGGGCTGTCAAGCGGGGCATCATGTAAGCCAATCGAAGCCGCCATGCCGATAGCCGATGCACACCGGTGATGCGATGAGATATCGTCCGCCGCGCTGGAGCTGCGTTGTCGCCGCGTCTACGCAGGTTGGCCTACAGCATTCAGATTGAAGGTTAGGAAACAAAGCAGATGTTCGTCGACTAACAAAATGTAGAGAATGGCTTTATGCAAATAGCATGAGACATGTAAGTAATGACATTATTGCGGACACATCTTTGTATGGAATCGAATCTTTGGCGACTATCAAATAGCGAGGTACGACTCTAAGTGCTGCGTTCTCGGTTATCACGCCACTGGCTCAATAGCAACAGTAGAAGCGGCACGCTTGGACTTAAGATCAGTTTTTACGGTGCCGGCATCGATTATTATTCCCCGGGCTCCCTTAGTTTTAAAACTCCTGAATAGCCGTGCTTCAATCAGAGCTATAAGTACGGCTGAGAGGATATCAGGATCGTCGGAATTGTGGACGATGTCAAGGATGATGGATCTCCACTGACGCCAACCTTTTGTCCCCAGACGCAAGCTAAAGCTAGTACCCGCTCACAGACCACGTACCATCGCAGCTATGCAGACCAATTCAGAGCACAGCACAAGTATCAGGGATCAACTGTTCAGCTAATTGCATGCTGTTAGAGGGTATGCACGATGGGCCGAAGCATACAGTAGAGTGAACAAAGAACGCATTATACGAAGAGACGTATGTTGTTCCTATATTTGTGATAACATGTGCACCTCTTTGCCGAAATTGACATGGAACGAAAGAATTTCCTGGATGGGAGCTTATTGCAGGCGGTAATGTAAAAATTCGAAGCTTGTGACAGCAGTGGCGGCCTTTGTCCATGATACTGCGTCTCGGAGTCCAATGACCCTGATCTTGCACTAGGTTCATGAAGCCTCAAGCCACTGTAGATCTTCTCTGCAAGAAGGTGGGAGCGATCGATCGGGTCCCCTTTAACACAACGCTAGCTCTTTACATCCGATGTTGACGCTCCGGTAGACTTGAACGAGGTCGCCGCAGTTGCCCCCGGGGGCCAGACGCACCAATGACCGCCCATCAGAAAAGCCACAGTTCCTTCTTTCGGCCGGATCTATGATTATCCGGTCCCAATCCCGACAGAAGATGTGCTCCGCCAAGTCATCAATCCCACTTTGGACGCCTGTGCAGATCAGCACGATCGATACGGCCGTCGCAGTCGCCGCGACCGCCAAAGCCGGTATGCGACGACGATAGGGCAGCTGTGCCTCAACAGACCCTTTCAATTCAGCGCCGGCTCGGTCGACGCAAGCACAGCTGCTCCGACGACCTTCCGAGTGGTTATGATTGACAGTCTGCGGACGTCTCTTCTTCCTATCACTAACTATTTGTAGATATGAGCATCAACCTAAGTGGATTAGAAGCTCGAATTGACAACGAGTTCAACTCACTAGTGCGTGATCGATAATGCACGGTGCAGTCGTAATACAACGTGTTGTATTTATGTCACAGGTTCCTCAGTCATTCCTTGGGCATTCGAACAGTTCCGGTAACAAGGAGCTCTCCATCCGACTATTATAAACTCATCGTATTACCCAAGACGAAGTCGCAATGCGTCTCCTCAGTCGCTTCTCCATACTCTCAGGGCAACTACTGCTGCTAAGCCAACGGCATATATACGCAGGCGCGGTGGGCTCATTACCTGCCAAAACCGTTGTGGAATATTCTCTCCCAGCTGCAGGCCAAACCCACGAAATCCTCGCCGTGAGCGACAACCTCCTGCTCGTCTCTCAGCAAACTGATGGAAGTTTTGTCAAAGTAGGGCTCGACAACAATGGCCAGCCTACTGGTTCTCGCAAATACACCGCAACAAACCCATGGTCCGGTTTACACGGACTGGCACTAGGCTCAGGACCTGGAAGTAACTCGTCCACGTCCACTGTCTGGGCAACTGTCCAGTTCGACAACGCCATCCTCCAAATCGACCCCAATGGCGATGATATCAACTCACAACCACGCGTCATTAACAGCATTCCCATTCCCTCGCCCGCATTTGGCCCTCATGGCGTGTTGGAGAACGATGGCCACTTGTGGATAGCGTGCAAGGACAGCTCGCACGTAGTCAGAATGAACGTTAATAACCCAGCTGACCACCAGGTCTGGGCTGTTAGCGGACGCCCCATCTTCGTCGCCGTTCATCCTACAAGTGGGGACGTCTTCGCTGGTCTGGATCTGAGTAGCAAGATTTGGCATTACAAGAATGACGGGGGAGATGGCGAGGAGATTGCGGTGCCTCCAGAGAAAGGGACCACACCCGTTGGCCTGATTGCTGGACCAGATGGCAACGCGTGGGTCGTTCTCTTGGGTAACGCGACAACAGGCACAGGCACATTCGGACGCATCAATAAAGACGCGTCTATCGATTGGTTCACCATGTCCTCTGCCATTGGCAAGACGGCGCCTTTGATCCACCTCGCTTTTGGCGAAGATCCAAATCAGTTCTGGCTGCTGGGATCATCTACAACCTGCGCCGAATGCGTCAACGCCGTGTTTACGGTGAGAATTGATGATATCTCGGTTGGTGGCATGGTGAAGCCGAGGATTGCGATACAAAACACGATCATGTTGCCCACTCAGAGGAGCTGGACTCATCGTATGATCTTGCATGGGGGAAGTCTATACATCACCGAGCTCACAACTTCGATACTCGCGCATGTCAGTGGGGTTGCTGTAAACGGCTTGAATGTTAGTGAGACCTGGGACCAGTATTCAAACTATGGTCTTGGGATGAAGGCGCAAGCTGTTGATTATAATAACACCGTTTAGTGAAGGACTAGCTTAGAATGCTTTGCCATCACGCCATTGTTGTATCGAACCATGTATGTTGCGTCTGATGACTCCAACATGGCCACTGCTTGTGCCAGTTTGTATGAACTTCCATCTGTCGTGCAGCGAAATTGTGTCAAAGTACAGCCTACTTCAAATGATGATGCAGCAAGGTCAAGTTACACCGAGCTTTATAGTTGGCAAACGACCGGGATCCGGACACAAACGTCTACACACCGTGCAGTACCGAGAAAAGCTCCCACACCAACAAAGCGACGACGATTGCTGTGGGTAGAGATGCAATTTGCATAAACCAGGCAAACTTCCATGAACGGAACTATCAAGTATACATCATGAGAAGCATCTACTCAAAGGCCGAGCGTGTCCTTGTGTGGTTGGGCGATGTACAGATCAACGATAATCAGATATCGGCTACTCTTGCTGCAATGAATTCGTCGCTTCGAGAACTACGAAACCTGAAGATCGACGCCAACTATTGCTCAGCTCTTCCGGGTAAAGCATGGGCGAGAGTGGCTGGTCGAACATCTGGGATGCCCTTCGCGTGGTATTTTCGAGTGCCTGGTACACACCAGTCTAGTGTGATCAAGAATCCATTCTTGCGCGTACGGCACGACTGTTCTTGCACTCCAGACAAATCGACAGCAATACCGTGTTCACATCCTGTGTGTGGCTTACTGCATCTCGCGAAGCCAGAGAATGCCATCAGAGATCTTTCCTAGCATTGACAATATCTCACAGGCGTCCAGGAGATTCCAACACAGCACTTACGATCCAGATCCTTCCATGGCCTTGAATCGTTTCGACCAATCTCATTGCAACCAACCAAGGGACAAGATCTACTGGTTATTAGGGCTTATGCAATACGACATCTTTCAGGTCGACTACCAAAAGCCTCAGACCGAGATCTATTTTCGTTTGCCACACGGACTGCTTACAGCGTTAGATAACCTAGCCTTGTTACATGGCACCGCCTGTGGTTGTGGCTTTGCACACTGATGCCGGCGTGAGGTAGAAGCGTTCGGCTAGCACGCAGGCATGCGACTCAACTGCAGTACCAAAAAGGTCGTTAGTTAGCGGACAAGAGCGCTGCAGAACTAGGCACGGGCGCATGTTTAATTACCATGCACACCTACAATGTCGAGGTTAACAAGACGAGAGTCAGATCGCGTACATGCTTCAAGCGTTGGTAGCTGTTCACCGCTACAGAAGCGCAATCCAGCTAGCAACTCCAAGAGATAACTTTACTTGATGCATTTTTCATCGCAACAACCGTTCATGCTATTTGTGTTCGCATCTCAGTTGTTGCATTTAGAAATTTAATGTGTTCGTGAGCATGCTACTGCAGACCACCGCAATGCTCCTGTGCACAACTCTATCACAGCCTAAGCAGAGCCACGCGCCCAGATGGACACCCAAGACAGACCATATCCTTACATACTGCCGATTTGTATGCCCGATATTCAAAGGGCAGCCACAGAAAGCGCTGCGTATTGCGTAGCACCCACTGATCCTCTACTGAGAGGTTTGAAGGTTGCTCTTCCTGCTGAACAGGTGACGTCAGGTTTAGATCAGGAGGCAGCGAAATGTCCCCTTTGTTGGTATGCAGTGCCTGACCGTCAGACGAGAGAACGAGATGGTTGATGTACCGAGATGGGCTGTTAAGCACGCTGTGACACGTGCCTGTCGCCGTCTCCCACACTCGCACTGTCCTGTCCCAGGATGCTGAGACGACCAGCTGTCCGTCTGGCGAGAAAGCCACTGCCGTGATAT